TAAGCCTGAGCGACACCACCGGCCATACCACCACTGATACCAGAGACGAAGTCACCAGCGCCGAGGGCGCGGGCCTGGTACTCGGCCTCGGAGGCGACGAACAGGAGAACCGCACCCTTGGTAGATGCCTCAATCCAGGCCCACGGAATGAGTCCCTGATAGTCTAAACATCCGATCCCGCAAATTAGCCCGAGGTTACATTGAGACGGCGCTAGGAGACGCAAGTCCGGGGGGGTATATGGAAGGGAGGGGGCTTGTCACTTACAACCGAGGATACCGCCACGGCCCCAGATCCGACCCATAGCGCCCGCGAAGCTGTCGCCCCGGTTTGCGGCCATGGTTGTCTTGATCACCTCCAGCGGCTACAGGGATATCAAGGTCAGCTAGCGATTCCCATGTCACGACACCAGGGGAAAGTCCTACCTGTCCCAACGATGTGACCTCAAACAGATTCAATCCAGCGCCCAGCAAGAGGTTGCTGAACTTGACGGGCTTCTTCTCGAGCTTAGGAGCCGAGGCGGATGGAGTTGCGGTAGACATTCTGGGGGGGATGTTTTGCTGAAAGGGGCCCTGACCAAGGGATGTAGAGGGGCTTCGTGGGTTTAAGAAGGAAGAAGAAAGTTGCTAAATTCGGAGGATAGAGGTCCGGAGTGTAGATGAAGAAAAGGAAAGGAAAAGAGGAGTCCAAATAGTCTTATAAGGGGAAATGGGGAAATCCGCGAGAGCTTGGGTCAGGTAAGCCAAGGTAAGCTGGGGACAAGGTACTTGCTACGTCCGATCCCCACCGATTCCACTCATACTATTGGGTACTCTGTACCTCCCATACCGGAACCATCCATGCTTGAAGGTCCGTTTGTCGGAAGAATCCAGTCCCACGGAGGATAATAGTAATCAAATCATTAATTTATGCTCTTGCTCTTGAGATATAAATACTCTTCTTCTTCCCACCTTTCCTTGCCATTTCACTCTCTTCCTGGTTGTTTTGTAGTATACGCAGTATCCCTGACAACAAGTGGGTCACGATAATCGATGGTTGAGCTGTGGATTCCCAACAACAGGTGTACTGCATTCAACACTGGTAGCTTCCAGACCGTTGGATCGCTACGCCGTACAGTCGATCATTGCGATCGCCTTGGCATAGTCTATTCAGATTGATATGGAGCATGTCGTACGGAGTACTGAGATGTGGTTGGGTTCATTACTCCGTACTTCGTGTGCTTGATTTATTACCCCAGTCAACATTAAATAAAAATACCAATAAAAAATAAAAATAGAACTACAAGTGGAGATAGATCATTTTGACATGGAAGTTCTGTTACAAGGCCCGCTCGAACCGATCAAGTCCCTATCATACATAAAAATAACCAAAGACTCTCTCGGTCAAACAAAGGAAATAATACAAATGTCTAACTCGGGTCCTCACGGGCCCCCAAGGCGATAATTAAAAAAGAGGAAACGGTTGGGACATTAGGCGCTTAAAGCTTAGCACCGACCAGCTTGGCGTAAGCCTCAGTGCTGAAGGACTTGGGGCGCTCAATGGGCATGCCGAGAGCACGGTCGATGATCAGCTGGGGCAGGACACCAATGGCACGGGAAACACCGAAGAGAACGGTGTAGTAGTTAGCCTCGGTGAGACCGTAGTACTGGAGGAGGACACCGGAGTGGGCATCGACGTTGGGGTAGGGGTTCTTGGTCTTTCCGTGCTCGGTCAGAACGCCGGGGGCGATCTTGTAGACCTGGCTGACCAGCTTGAACAGAGGGTCATCGGGAAGCTTGCGGAGGGCGAACTCGCGCTGGGAGACGTAACGGGGGTCAGTCTTGCGGAGGACGGCGTGGCCGTAACCGGGGACGACCTGGCCGTTGTTGAGGGTGGACCAGAGGTAGTCCTTGATGGACTGGTCGCTGATGTCGTTACCGACGGACTGCTTCATCTTGGTGATCCAGTTAAGGACCTCCTGGTTGGCAAGACCGTGGAGGGGACCGGCGAGACCCTGGAGACCGGCGGAGAGGGAGAGCATGGGGGAGCTCAGAGCGGAACCAACCAAGTGGGTGGTGTGGGCGCTGACGTTACCACCCTCGTGGTCGGAGTGGATGGTGAGGTACAGACGCATGAGCTCAACGAAGTCCTTGTTGCCACCGAAACCAAGCTGGTTGGCCAAGTTGAAGGAGTAATCCTTGTCCTTCTGGATGGGGGCGACCTTGCCATCCTTGAACACGTTGCGGTAGATGCGGGAGGCAATGGTGGGGAGCTTGGCGATGAGGTCCATGGAGTCCTCGAAGGTGTAGTTCCAGTACTCCTTCTTGTTCACACCCTTGGCGTAGGCCTTGGCGAAGGCAGACTCGTGCTCGAGAGCGGTCACGGCCAGAGAGAACTGGGCCATGGGGTGGAGAGTGTTGGGGCAGCGGTCGATGAGCTCCTCAATGAACTTGGGGACATCGGAGCGAGCAGCCCACTCGGCGGACAGGTCACGGACCTGCTGCTCGGAGGGGATCTCACCGGTCAACAGAAGCCAGAAGAGACCCTCGGGCAAGGGCTCCTCACCACCGGGGGCCTTGGGCAGAAGCTTCTGGCACTCGGGGATCTAGGGATGGTGAGCCCACGACACTTTTTTTCAAATCTTGCAATGAACGAATGCAACTTACAGTGTAGCCACGGAAACGGATACCCTCCTCAGAGTCGAGGACGGAACCCTATTCAGAGATCGAGGTTAGCTGCGTCATTGACGAGCCGCCAGTTTGAAGATTCTTAGCTTACCTCCCAGACGAGGGACTTGATGCCACGGGCACCACCGTAGGCCTGGTCGAGGGTGACCTCACCAATGACCTTGTTACCGTGCTCCCTAGATTCCACAAAAGGCCACGGTTAGTTTTTGCATTGTGCGGATAGCGGCGGCTGCGGTCACGTACTTGCGGAGCTTCTTGACCTTCTCGATCTCGGCGGGCAGGTTGTCGGCGAAGGTGTCCTTGAGGGACTACATTGAGGAAACCGGGTTAATCTCTGGCCATTGAAGCTTGGGAAGCTCAGCTCGTCATACCTTAGCCTTCGCGGAAGAGTAGCAGCGCGCGCCGTTCAGGGCAGCGGACTGCACCGGCTTCGCGATGGAAGACCGGAGAGCGGAAGTACCAATACGGAGGGAAGAAGCCATTTCGCCAAAAAATAATAATAGATGGGGAGATGGAGAAGGATGGACACAAAAGCCTGGGGAGAAAAAGGAAGGAGAGGAAAGAAATCGGGGAGAAGCTCTTTTGCGGCCCTGGAATTTTCTTTTTTTTCCTTTTGGCCGTATATTACAGCCGGTACGGTAACTCTCCACTTCGGGACGCCGTGGCAGAGCGAAACTGGTAATTTTCCCCCAACGGTACGCCGTACGGAAAAGCACGGGCTCGGCCTGCCGGCAGATCCCCTTCGGCGAGGACATTTCCGCAAATTGCAAGTACAAGTATGTGATCAATCAGTATGAGAATATCATACAGTTCAGAGAATACTATATACTGGGGAGCTCAACAGTCTCACGATTACTACGTACCCTGACATCCAATTTATGCATGTAGTCCGGAGTATATAGCATGTATTGAAATAAGAGCCCTCCGTAATCTTATGCACAAGGTTCCGAATGTCGTGACGGGGGCGGTACTGCAATTACGTCTATTCCCTTTGGGGTAGCTGGCAGTGACGTCGGCAAGTCGTGGTATATCCGTGCCGCCATCCGTCCGATCGCAACCCTCGGCATCCAGGTCTTATCAGATGTTTCCTCTTCAGGGTGCGAGGTCATTGTGCAGCTGATCCCGCCATGACCCCGCGGACAAAGAGTCCTCCGGGGGGTGATGGTCCTTGTCTGTCTATAGGCCAGCTGTTCGTAGATCGGGACGTTCTCTAAAATGGTTCACCGAGGTCGGAAGAAGGCGGCATCCAGGGGCAGTAAGATCACGTTTGACGGAAAAAAGGGATGACATGTCCACGGCTTCCTCGGCCCACCGTTGCCCTGGTGTTTTAAACATTTCCTGTTTATTTTCTAGCTGGAACTGTATACAACATAGGCTTTGCAACCCCGGGATCCACTGCTAGGAACAGTTGACTTGTAGTTATGCGTCTAGGTGGACTTCACTCCGTAATCATCCAAAGACTCGTACTGAGTATACTGCGTAGGGTAATTGGATATCAATCAGATTTGACAATGCAATTGTTGATCCATGTGATTTATGCAATGATACGGATAGTCAATCCTCATATCGATCTCATTCCGTGGACTATTGACATTATAGGTTTATTCTCGTAGTCATGCTTGGATTCTGTATTGTTGGGTTGTTCAATTGGGAATGATGTTCGGATCTACTTACTTCCAGCTGAGAGCGACACTCTGTGGCAGAATGACTACGGTGGTCCATTGATGCCAGTGATGCTGCTCGGTCAAAGAACTGATTATCACGTGATATTTACCTCAACAGGACTAGCGCCAAATCGCAAATTCTGCCTCTTGGTACCCTCGCCCTTTCCCCCTGCTGCCTTCCATCTTCATCCTCTCCCTTATCCCTCATCCCTCATCCCCTTTTCTTTTGACTCACTTCATCAGTCCTCGATATCAGTCTCTCTCTCAGGGACTGCCCAGGATTTGCGTAACCCCTTATCTGGTTTCTTTTCGTTTCCGCCCTGGGATCTCACTGCGAAGAACGCTCTAGGCTGTACATCTTCCGTACTCCCCCCGTACTCTCGTACTCGGCATCGTTCCCTGGACACAATATCGCTAGGCTGTATCCCTCAGCTGTAGGCGGCACTTCTCTGGTCGACAGTGAATGCGCTCGTGGAGTCTGTAGTGAAGAAACCGACACCCGCTTAAAATCCTATTCTTGCCATCCGAGGAGAGATCGCACGATCTTTCACTCGCAGTAAGCCAAGGATCTCTCAGTTGATTCTCCTCAACTGCCCTAAATCTCTGGGATTTATCATCTTCCCTTTCTTGCAAACCTCTCCTCGCGAGTGACGCTATCACGATAGTCCAGCCATGTCTTCCGCAGTAGCTGAACTGGAGAACCTGCTCCAATCCATGCTGGCTTTGAAGCCGCCTGGCGTATCAGGATCCAAGATCGGTGGCATCACATCTCTGTGCACTGCCAACGTGCAGGTACGCTTGTCCCCTTTCGGGTGGATCGCGCCCGTCCCTTTGATCCTGACCCATGTTGTATATGCTAACCATCATCTGCAGAACGAATCAGTGCTTATTCAGAAAATCTACACTCACTTCAAGAAAGCCCCCGGCACACACAAGCTCGGCGTACTCTATGTCGTAGACTCAGTAACTCGACAGTGGGTAGAGGCGGCGCGCAAGTCCGGTCAGACCCCCGGTGGTGATGCGCCTGATGGCACTTTCGCCGCTGGCGTGAAGCGAGTCACAGATCTCTTGCCGGTCTTGATGACAGACATCATCAAGAATGCCCCCCAGGACCAAAAGGTACGTCCATAGAACATCAGTATCACGACAGACCTCACATCGCAACGGTGGCGGGTCGCAACCCCAAGCCATCTGCGATGTCTCCCATAGCCTTGAGGCTGGACATACCCTCACAGTATCACTCGCCTTGAGCCGTAGCTGACATTTCATCTCCCACTTTAGGACAAGATCAAGAAATTGGTCGACATTTGGGAACGCGGTGCCACTTTCCCGGCACCAATGCTAGCCTCGTTCAAAGATAAGATGAATGCGGCTCAGAACGTCGAATCGAACACCCCGGAAGGCTCGCCTGCTCCCAACTCGAACCCATTGGGCATTCCCCAACAGCCGGCCGCCGCTGCCGCTGCCCCGGATACCTCTAGCATTCTGAAAGCTCTGGCGGATATGGCAAAGAACAGCAACACTGCGCCTGCTGCTTCGGCAGCCCCGGCTCCCGCTGCCAATCCCCTGGGTGCATTCGCCCCAGCTGCTCCTGCCGCGGATCCTACCGCTCAGGGTGCGGCTTTGAACCCATACGGCGCCAACCCCGTCGCCAACCCGTACGCGGGCATGGCTGGCATGGCCCAGAACCCTGCCCTTCAGCCGCCAAGCCAGAATGGCACTCCGAACCCAATGGCTGCCGGTAACCCGCTCGCCGCGATGCTTCCTCAGGCCGCTCAGCCCGCTGCACTTGACCCGGCTGCCATGGCCGCTCAACTCCAGGTTCTGCAGATGCTTGCTTCTCAGGGCATCCCTCAGGACCAGTGGGGAACCGCTCTCCAGATTTTCAGCTCGGTCGGCGCTAACGGTATGAACGGCATGCCCCCAATGCCCGGTATGCCCCCGATGCCTGGCTTCCCCCAGATGCAAGGCCAGAATGCCGGTGGATGGGGTCGTCCCGACTCTCAGAACATGGATGATCGAGGACGCGAGTACCCTCGCTCTCCTCCCACTGGATATCGTCGTCGCTCTCGCTCTCCTGGCTGGGATCGCCGTCGTACTGCCTCGCCTCCTCGTCGTCGCGAGAGCCCTGTTTATGGAGAATATCACGGAGATTCTCCCGGTCGTCGTGGCGGTGACCCGCGTGACGCTCGTGGTCGTCGCGGCGATTATCGCCAGCGTAGCCCGCCTGGTGCTCGCGGTGGAGGAAGACGTCGCTCGCCTTCTCCTCCTCGCAACAAGGATCCCAACTTGCCTCCTCCCGGTCCCAAGTTCATTGAGTGGGACTACTCCATTGGTCAGGGCATGATCAAGGTCCTGAGTCGAACCCTGTTTGTTGGTGGTGTCACCTCTTCGGAGTCTCACCTGCGCTCGCTCTTTGGTCAATTTGGAATCGTTCAGACGTGCATCGTCAACGTAGACAAGCGCCACGCTTTCATCAAGATGGTTAGCCGTCAGGACGCTACTCAGGCACGTGATGGAATGGAATCGTACCGCACCGGAGAAATGCAACTCCGAACTCGCTGGGGTGTTGGCTTTGGCCCTCGCGACTGCAGTGACTATCAAACTGGAGTCAGCATTATTCCAGTTGATCGACTGACCGAGGCTGATCGCAAGTGGATGCTCACTGCGGAATATGGTGGTACCGGTGGTCGTCAAATTGAGTCCGGCATGGTTGTCGAAGAGCCGGACATTGAAATTGGTGCTGGTGTATCTTCTAAGGCGATCAGTCGTCGCATCGCAACCGACACTGGCGGCAAGCGGGGTCCCATCTCTACTCGCCAGCCTGGCCCTGGCCCTAACCCAAACCAAGAGGCTCGCTTTGGAGGTCGGCGTGACCGTGACGGATACGGTGCCCCCATGGGTGAACCTGATATGTCCAACATGAATAACCCCGGTGTTGCGCCTGCCGTTCCTGCGTATGGCTTCAACTTCGCCAGTATGCCTATGCTGCCTCCTGGCTTCATGATGGGTCAGGGCATGCCTGGTCAGCCTCCTTCTGGTGGTCAGGGTAACTAAATACGAAAAAAGTTCCTTTGCATCATTTGCGGTTAGGCGTTGGGAGGAGTGATCTGCTTCTTTTCTTCTTCTTTTTTTTCTTCGGGCATCTGGTTTGGCGGGGGAGGTTTTCGTGATTTGAACACTTTCTGCGATCACACATATTCTTATTACTTCTGATTCCAAGGTTAATACGAGCTTTCACGTCGTCCTTTAGGGACCTTGATCAAGCGACATTTACAATGACAATCCATTATCTATTATGACAACCATCCGATTACTACTCCGTACTCTGTCCTTGACCTTCTGACCTGTAGATCTCTCAACTTCCGCAGTAGTCGTAGCAGTAACAATAGCTTTGCATCGTCAAATGGTCGTTGATCATTGGTGTCTACTCATCTACTTGGGTATATCTCACTGGAACCCTAGATTCCAACCCTATTCCACCTCATGATACTTGCTAACATTCAAGCAGTGCGGTCCGGCACAGCCTTTGATGCCTGGAATGACTGCTCAAAGTCGGCAATGATGTCCCCAATATACTCTGTGCCAACCGAGATGCGAATTCCATCCTCAGTCACACCAGAGTCAATGCGCTCTTGCTCCGATAGTTGTTCGTGGGTGGTTGACCATGGATGAATGGCCAGGGTCTTGGAGTCACCAACACTGTGTCGAGTCAGTCACCACTTTAGAGGAAGAAAGTAAGATCGGTGGGATCATACTTGGCAAGGTTTGAAATCAGCTTGAAGTTATCCACGACTTGTGCACCGCTAGCAGCACCACCCTTGATGCCAACCGACAGCACGCCGCCAAAGCCACGCTTCAAATACTTCTTTGCGAGCTCGTGGGATGGATGGGTCCCCAATCCGAGGTATGAGACCCAGCTCACGTTCTCATTCTTCTCCAGCCACTGCGCCAAAGCAAGGGTATTGGTTGCATGTCGCTCGCATCTCAAACTCAGAGTCTCGAGACCAAGGATGAGCTGCTGCGCAGCAAATGGATTCAAGGCGGAACCAACATCACGCAAGATCTCAACACGAACCCGAATGGCAAAAGCAATGGGTCCGAAAGTCTCCCAGAACTTCAAACCATGGTATCCCTCGGATGGCTCAATGAATTGGGGGAAACGAGCACCGTTTTTGCCCCAGTCGAACTTTCCACTGTCAACTACCACACCTCCAATCGTGGTGCCGTGGCCACCGATCCACTTTGTTGCACTGTGGACTACAATGTCGGCGCCGTGATCAATAGGACGAACAAAGTAACCACCCGCACCAAAGGTGTTGTCAACCTAGAAAAAGGTAAGCCTCACTTCTGCATGCTGCGTATGAGTACATACCACAACAGGAACACCCTTCTCATGGGCAACTTTAGCGATGGCTTCGAAATCAGGGACATTGTAACGAGGGTTTCCAATTGACTCAAGATAGACGGCCTTGGTCTTGTCGTCAATTGCAGCCGCAATATCTTCAACCTTATCACCCTGTACAAATTTGGTTGTAATTCCAAGTCGCGGGAACATGACCTTGAATTGGTTGTAGGTTCCACCGTACAAGTTGCTCGTGGAAACAATGTTGTCACCTGCATGCGCGAGGGCCGTAATGGCCATGAATTGAGCGGATTGGCCAGATGATGCGGCAATGGCTGCAACACCGCCCTCTAAGGCCGCAATGCGTTTTTCAAACACGTCCACCGTCGGGTTCATGATGCGGCTGTAGATATTTCCAAACTCCTTGAGACCAAAGAGCCTGGCGCCATGAGCGGAGTCATTAAAGACATAGGAGCTGGTAGCGTAAATTGGAACAGCTCTGGAGTTTGTGGTGCCGTCCGGCTCATGACTTCTCTTGGTTAGGGTTATTCAAAAACATGTGGGAAAGTGAAGTCTCACCCAGCATGAAGCTGTAGAGTATCGAAGTGGAGATTCTCCGCCATATTGTAAATTGTAAATAGATGCGGGGAAGTTCGAGCTAAATGATCGGGTATTAGCACGGTCAGGTGAGCAGCCACTTGAAGCTCCCGCGAAACGTACTTCTGTAGTTATTCACAAAAGATGGAAGGTGTCGAAGAATCCAAAGATGTGAGGTTCAGGTCAATGCGCGGGGAAGGTTTAAGTAGAGAACGACTCGATATGGCGTGATTTTACCCTTTCGGTGCGTACCTCGGACCTGCACAAAGCAAACCGTTCTGTGCTTTACAATTCTAGTTATCCAATTCAACACATTTTCCGAGGTCTTGGTAGTTTTAACCTCTCTAGTGATACTGTGTGTACTCCGTACTCTCTGTGCCAGATCACGGTCTAAACACGCCATGACTAGTCAATAACCTGGTGATTTTTGGCTTAAAATGTGCAGATTGTATGTCGCTAATAAGACAGACTCAGTTAGTACTTATCCTTCGGTGTGTTGGTGTATTAAATTGTACAAAGAAGATGTCGATCTTGTTGATCGCAGTCGCTCGGGCTGTAGTTGGGCTGCAGGTTCCGTACTTCGTATTCGGATAAGATCAGGTAATTTTTTTGACATGCTTATGTAGTCAATTTGTCAGCCGCCTTTCATTAAATTGGCAAGATGGCCGAGTTGGTCTAAGGCGTCAGGTTAAGGTCCACCTTAACTCAATAACTGTTTCCAGTTTCCTGATCTACGTTTGTAGGCGTGGGTTCAAATCCCACTCTTGTCATATCTTTTTGTCTTTTTGTCTTTTTGTCTTTTTGCTCGATGGAAATCCACATCAATGGGAGTGGTCAGACACTGATTTTCTTTTTGGCGAAACGGGGTGGAAGTGTGGGCTGGTAGAATTTTCTCCGTGTGCCGATTTAGGTGACAATGCAAGCAATGCGCCTTCAGGAAGTGCTAGTTACTATACCACCGCAATAAGCACCTGGGCAGGCTCTCTTAGATGTATATTTAAAATGATACTGTGGCTCGGTATACTCAGCCCTGCAAAAAACCATTTCCAATAAGGGGTTTATTCAACGTAGATGCCTTGCTGGTTGGATCTCTTCTAACCACACTGATTATCAGTTTCTAGAGTTGCTTGACCCGCCTATCGACTGATGAAGTCCATCTACTCGTTGATTGAATTGGTGCTATGTAGCCCATGGCCCAGTTACAATCGTGTTTTGCGGCATTGTATGCTAGACAGTATATATCAAAAGCAGGCCCTTGCTCCTAGATGCTGTTGCTCGATCACATTACTCAACGCCAGTTGTTGCACACAATGAACTGGCGACCTGTCGATCAGCTCGGAATGACACGGTCGAAGCAAGCGTAGATCATGGAGAATACCACCGAGGAACTCAGTAAACTATACTTGTCCCCTGGACCGATCGACTTTCGCTGTGGACATCAATCAATGGGCTGCGAAGGATGCGTCTCGGTGTGTTACTACTACCGATGACTGGAGTTGTTTGTTACATTATATATCGATCCAGACACAACAGAACGCAGATGTTTGACATCTTGGGTCTTCTTTTTTTGGCATGTCTTGATCTGCACGCCTGGGTACTCACAAACCACTCGAAATATCTCAAACCAACTCGACCTAATCATACTCGCCCCATGATCATAATTACTATTAGTTCTGCTGCAAAGACAAATATATTACGGATAGAGAATCTTGGAAATAAATTTCTGCATTACATACAACCTTGAAAAAATAGGGTTAGTCTGGACCATGTGACATACCACACTGCACTTCCAACTCCCTTACTTCTTCGGCCTTTCGCATCGCGTTTTGAGCCGCCGAGGGACAACTTCCAGTACATAATGAATGCCAATTCAATTCTCAGTATGGAGATGCAGCAAAAACAAAAAGAGATGACAAGAGTGGGATTTGAACCCACGCCCCTTTCGAGACACGGAGACAGTTGTGAACCATCGGGATCAGGTTGACCTGAACCGTGCGCCTTAGACCAACTCGGCCATCTTGCCAATTGGATGGAAAGGAGCGAGCTTTAGTGCTATATCAGAATAAGCCTGATACAAGATCAATTAAACAATGCTGGTACAACATTCTACGCAATTGCGTCTCCTGCTGATCTCTACCTACAAGATTTTGATTTTGCGTTTTGGCAGTGACCTACCACACTATTCGTTCTGAACGAAAGTTTCATCAGGAAACCCTGGAACTTATTAGTAGATCACAATACCTTCTGACTACGTAGTGCTAGCTTTCAAGGCTACATGCTAAGCATAGCTAGTTTCAATTCTAATTTGATTTATTTAAAGAGCCTACATACCATTGCAAATTTGAACACTTCCTTGGGAGCATTGATTTTAATGAGGACCGCGACGGACTGAGTAATGTTGGTATCTCGTCATCTTCGGGTGGCAACCAGACCTCCGCAAAACAAAACCCATGAATGATGGGCTTTGGGCTTGAGGGTAGAGCCGTTGGGCTTGGGTTGAGCTTTGGAAGTCGGACCCAACCCATAATGGGTTTTGGGCTCTGGGCCCGGATGGGGGCCCATTGATAGGTTTTGCGGAGGCTTAGTGGTAACCAGAGAAGCTCACAATTTGCCGGCATTCACTTCGATGCTGAGTTTAGAGAACTATTTGTGTGTACCATTTTATTGGAGTTTGCGTTTCTGCAATCCGAAGTACACGAAAAGTGGCTGGTGGAACAACGCGAGTGTCATGGTCTCGGTTTTGGGGCGCATTCCAACCACCTAACCGCTGCCCCAGGAGCAAAAGATCATGATTACAAGTCCGGATGCTTGAAGCTGTGTTTGATATGGATGGGTTAATAGAGCTCATCCCATTGAGAAGATATAGGTTACACAGTATAACCCCCGCTTCCAACCCAGTACTTGGGTCGTAGTAACCAGAATCGCACCTAGAGGTCATTATACCCCGGAAGGCCCTGTCTCATCACCTCTCAAACCAAGATAAGAGACTGTAGAGGTAATATCTACCGGGAAATTCCATTGCAAGGGTCATAAAAGATGCCAATCCAAGAATAGAAGCATCTCCCAAGCTCTGGAACAAGGACGACCTAATCCTTGGGGGCCTATACTTGAGGCAGGGTATCTGCTGTGAATGGGAAAGTTGAATGTGCTCATGGATTTCTCCAATTTTGTTTTTCTGCTGATCTCTGGGCTTCTGATGTTACTTTGCGCCGGGAGCCATGGCCAGATGCTCTATCTTGTATGTATCGGCCTCGTATAGATGCCCACTCAGCTACGACAGATCACCATGACTGGCTTTTCTCTCTCTCTTTTTCAAGCTCAGAGAATACACTCTCGTAGTACGAGCCTTGGTTAGCCCACGTCTTATGTATGGTTGAATGGTACATCCAAATATCTTCACAACACCCACTGAAATAAGTTGATATACATGACATTTTCAGCACAAATTAACAAGACCCATAGACTACCCGTGGATAATTTTGCTTCAGATGAAAGCGGGTATTCCACTACAATATACATATGAGGTATTATAGTATCAGCATACTCCGCACAAGGTGTGTAAATCACCAGCTTGCTCAATGGGCACCGTTTTCATAGAGGAGTCAGCATACGAAACCACCTATCTCTACCTAGATCAGTCTATCTCCATTTACTGGAGCGATGCTAGTCAGTGAAACTTTCCTCCGTGAACAAGTAAACGATTTGCCTCAACGGAGCATTGGTAGGCATGGTAATGCCATTGTAAAACCGTGGAACCCGCCAAAGTCAATCTCAACAGTGCTGTGCAGCTAAGATACTTGATACCCAAATATTCCCTGTCTTGTGATGGACCAGAACGTGTTTATCATGATGTTCCCCAGGGTCACTCCCGAGGTCATCTATGGAACTATACAGACGATGGTGTATAGGTAATGGTCCTGCCTTATGTAACCACAGGACAGCTTATTTGTCATCCAATTGGCAAGATGGCCGAGTTGGTCTAAGGCGCACGGTTCAGGTCAACCTGATCCCGATGGTTCACAACTGTCTCCGTGTCTCGAAAGGGGCGTGGGTTCAAATCCCACTCTTGTCATCTCTTTTTGCTTCTTTGTGTTTTGGCATTCGCCCAGCATGCTTATTACTGACATGGTTGGGAATGTAGCCAAGTTTTTGTTCTCGAGGTTGTGGAATGGGGACCTCGAGGATGGGATTCGAGGATGAGATATCCAGAAGAGAGGCATGTATCAAGTCGTGCACATGGTTTGTTGCTTTGGAATTTGTATGTGTCAGTGGGTTGTTTGCACCAATATAGAGTGAGAAAGTGAGAGAGTGCGAGAGTGGGAAACGCTCTGGAAACAAACAAGGATAGGAATTGAAACAGGAACTCGTCTCAATCTGATATCAGCGTGGGAGAAGGAAATGACTCGCAACTCGCTCCCGTTTCCACGCGCAGCAACTTTGACAAAGTGGCAGATTAGGGTGGTTAGAATGGTGGACAAATGAATAGTGAGTATCTAATGAAGACCAATCCAAAGAATAAGGTACAATTGTATTACAGTCAACTACACCCTCAAAAGAACAAAGGAGATATCGGCAATGAATCTAGGCACAAGTGGTCACATCAAATCCAGAATGAAGGAACAAGAAATTTCCCTCTCTACAGTGTAATGTATACAGGGATTTTAAACGGTCAGACCGAGGTCCTCGGCGAAGGGCAGCTGGTGGATGTCACCGACGCTGACAAGGGTGGCCTTGCCAGTCAGGAAGGTGTTGGCAACCTGCAGATAAGTGTTAGCGCGCTGGAACAAAATAGACAGAAGAAGTGGAACTAGGAACATACCTCCTTGACCTGCTGCTCAGTGACGTTCTCAAGAGCCTGGGCAATCTCGTTGATCTGGTAGGGCTTGTTGCCGTGGACGAGGCCAGAGCCGGTAGCCTCGAGACCGGTCTCGAGGGTCTGGACGGACTCCAGAGCGCGGAACTTGGCGAGGGCAACGGCCTTCTTGATCTCCTCGCTGGCGACCTCACCGGCGGCGGCCTTCTTGAGGGCGTCGACGACGTTCTGGCTGGCAGCGGCGATCTGGTCGGCGGCACCGGTCAGGGTGACGGTGAAGAGACCGGCATCGGAGTAAGCGTTGTTCTGGGTGTTAACGCGGAGGTTGTTGAAGCCCTTGGTGGCCTGGGAGAGGAGAGAGAAACCAGGGGTCCACTTGATGGTGGACTCACCGCCGAGAAGAGCAGCGAGAACGGAGGCCTCGGCCTTGTAGCCGGCGGTGCCGAAGGCGCTGGAGCCGGGGAAAGCGATCACAACGGAGTTGCCGGTCTTGGAGGCAATGCGCTGCTCACCACCGTAGTACTTGGAGGCCTGGCTGGGCAGGACGTTGTATTGGCTGGAGGCGTTGCCGGTGGGGGCATCCTTGAAGAACTGGCCAACCCACTTGTTGAGCTCGGCAGAGTTGGGGCCGCTGGCGACAAGAGCGATGTTGGACTTGGCGTAGGCGTTCTGGGCGTACTGAGCCAGGGCGTCTCCGGAGATGTACTTCTCGAAAGGAGAGCTCTGGGAGGGGGTGATGGTGGCACCCAGACCGCGGTGGAAGGCAACACCGTGGGCGGCATCAACAGCGACGGTCTCCGGGTTGGAGTGGACGATCTGCTGCTTGTACTTGAGGAGCTTGCTGACAACCTCGTTCAACTCGTGGTCTGATATCATTAGAGAATACGGGTTAGAAAAAAATGCACAAGCTTAGATGTCGGTGCATCAATCATCGAAAAGGGACCAACTCACCAGCGAACTTAGTCTGGCTAGCGACCTCAGCGAGAAGCTCTGTGAAGTAGGGAAGATCCTTGGAAAGGAACTTGGTGCGGAGGACGACGTTTTCGCGGGAGTGTGTCGAGGAGATCTGACCACCGAGAAGCTCAGTCTCACGGGTGATCCGCAGAGCAGAGCGCTTGAGGGTAGTCTGTTCCAAAAACGCAAGATCAGTATCATAGTATGCAATCGAGAGGGCCCAATTGATGGCAGGGGGCGCGGACCTTGAAAGCGAAACGGTCGAGGGCATCGGCGAAACCAGGGAAGGGCTGGTAACGGGAGCCAGCCTTCGCAACGAGGGCCAGGGTACCGGTAGGACCCTCAACCTCACGGTTGGCAAGCTTCACACCGGAGGCCTCGGAGACATCGTACTGGAAAGCCGGGTTGACCGCAGAGGCCATGGACCGACGGCCGGCGGCGGAGAACGCACGCGGCGCATTTCGGCTGAGAGAAGACCGCGACAGCATCGTCGCCTGTGCCGAAAAGATATGCAAAGGGAAGAAGAAGAGATAACAACCCGAATTGGGTTTGTAAAGGGGGGCAATTGAGGTGGGGAGGGAGGCGGGATGCGGAGAGAGCAGAGGAGAAGAGGCAGTTTGGAGGTCACGAAAAGCTTCAAGATCCCGGGCTCTGTTGATTACTCGGCCTCTGATTGGCTGGAGTGACGAGTCGGACGGAACCGGAGTTACTTTTGTTCGACGTATACAATTGATGGGTGTTTGGTATAGATGCAGGGCTCAATTTGTCTATTTATTCCTGTTGAGAAGATCTTTTTTGTACAATTTGTCTAACGAGTAAATCCCTTCATTGTGTATGCACATGGCCATTGACGATAATCGCATGAAATTCCCTAACGCGGGCATACCCGGATCACCTGACACCCAGATCACGTGAGAGATGCGATAAGCAAAAAAAGAACGTGGAGACCCTCGCATCTCATTATCGGGCGTTTGAATTTTGGTGCAGATCTTCAAGTGCTCCATGCACCGGTGACCTCAATTGCCTGACCAAGGCTGGTGCTTCTATCCGTCCTTTAGCCCACTATGATGTCCCAGGTATGCGACTTGCGCTATGCGACATGCGACATGCCGTATGCGACATACGGATATGCGGTCCGAGAGCTGCGAGGACAAGTGCTGACATGACCTTGCTAGTGCTCTGCGGAGCTCTGTATGCTCTTGATTGAGGATAACTTTGGAGAGCTATTCGCAGTAAGTATCTTCGGCAGACCGTGCAGCTTGCGCGGATCTCCAAGCTCGATGATTCATTGCGACGGTGGGGCACAAGGCTGATCAGTCTACCTTTTTTTTGCAGCGCATCTTCAGTACCCTCCAACGCTATGAAAGATTGACTCTGCCTCGACTCAAGTTCTATGCTCGATTGACCGATCGCCAACTTCATCATGGCCTCTCTGCTATGATCCAACATCACCTCGTCTACCACTTTACTTCCCTCGATGATGGCAACACCTACTACGAGGCTAATCCACAAGCTGCATACTACCTCGTGCGGTCCGGCAAGATTCTGCAGCTTGTAGAATATCGGTTAGGAGCATACGCCGCCCAAGTTCTGCAAACAATCATGTTTCTAGGCCATGCGTCGATCTCCCATCTCGAGACCCTTCCTGAGCTTCAACCCAAACCACCAATCACCAATGGTGTAAATCAAAATGGGGACCACGATGGAGAAAACGGCGAAGAATCTACCGCTGAAAACGGGGAACCCCAAGAGAACGGTCATCACCAAGAGAACGGTGTCACCAACGGCGACCATGCCGTGGATGCAAAGCCCGCGCGCCTTCACCCCACTCTCAAGGGTCTTGCCTCTCATGGATACATCCATAAGGTCCGGGAGGCACATTTCCAAAGTCCTAATGATAATATCCTCGATGCCACGCGGATCATTTCCTCTCGTCCAGATATTAAGCAGATGAAGGGTAAGCAGCAAACGTCTGAGATTGAGGAACGGACGCAGGACATGGTCAAGGAAAGAACCGAAGGGGATTTAAGTCGTGGTCTCATGTTCAACGGCCTCCCTCAAGGACTGAAGAGGAAACGCGGGCCGGCGAACTCCGGGTCTCACGGGGTGACAAATGGTACCAACGGTATCAACGGACACCACGATATTGAAGGCGAAGAAAACGATTGGTCAGATGATGAGGATGGGTTTGATTCAACACCCATGGATGTAAGCTTGATCCTTGATCTTCCCAACCCCGCTGCAACTCACTGACAATACTCTAGTCCAATTTGATTGTGCGCGTCAATTACGAAAAGCTTGATGTTGCACTTCGCAACACGAGGTTCCTGGAGCTTGCTGAGCAAGACGCACCTCGGGCTTCCGCCGAAGTTTATGAATCTTTGCTCCATCGCATTGAATACCAAACAACCCGCTGCCGAGAGGCTTATGAGATCCCTCGCGAGGGCGAAGAGGGCGAGCAATACTCTGCTCCAATCCAATTGAGCGACATCGTTGCGGACGTTGACCCAGAGCTGGACCTGACCGGGTGCATCGGCCCCATGGAACCCTCACTGGGAGCAAACCGAGGAGGGAAACGACCTTTAGATGACGAAACGAATGGTTCGTACGACGATTATGATGATGAAGAGCCGGCAGGGACCCGCGCCTACGAAATTGATCAGCATCTCGGTATCCTTTCACAGCCACCCTTCAACCTTACCACAAAGCACGTTATCGCCGGTCTTCCCACCTGGCGAGTTGCCTTCCGAGGGCTAGCTCGCAAGCTGCGCCACCTAGAGTTAGAACGCATGGTTGAATCTCGGTACGGCGATGTCGCATTACGAGTGATTCACGTCTTGCACGCCAAGGGCAAGCTGGATGAAAAGCGACTGCAGGAGATCAGTTTGCTTCCCTTCAAGGACCTGCGCCAAACACTAGCCAGCATGCAGACGGGTGGCTTTGTCGATCTGCAGGAAGTACCCCGCGATGCGCAGCGACAACCCTCCAAGACCATCTATCTGTGGTACTACGACCCCGATCGAGTGTGCAGCAGCATTCTCGAGGACACCTACAAGGCGATGTCTCGCTGTCTGCAGCGCATCAAGTTTGAGCGCGAGCGCGAGCGAGACTTCCTGGAGAAGACGGAGCGAACCGATGTCAAGGGCCACGAGGAAGAGCTCCTCTCCGAGGCAGAACTCCACCATCTGAAGAAGTGGAGGGCCAAGGAGGGGTTGCTGCTGGCTGAGGTCTCTCGTTTGGATGATATGGTTGCCGTCTTCCGGGACTATTGATCTTATTGATCTTGTAGTGGATATTATGGAGGCTTGGAACGGGTTGCATTTAAATAGGCGCATAAGCGACGAATTCACTGGTTACATGTTTCTGCACGCTGCGAGTGGCCAAACCACGAAATAGATAAGACAACCCTCAGATCAAGTACAATGCATGGAATTTGACTGTATGCCAGGCTATGAGTGTTTCATGCATCTTCCAAGGTTGCAAGGTTGTTGCACCCGACGTCATCTGGTCACATGCTATCCCTTAGGTAGGCAGCAGAGAAATCAAGTCCAACAGTCAAACATCAGAGTCGTATGTGCTGATGTATATAAATAGAGGATTAGGCAGTGATATCTATGTAAACGGTGAGCTACCTCAGTGCCCAGTATAGAGAACATTCAAGGTACGAGTCAACTCCACCCTACGTCAGCCCTAACGCCAAGCCTTCCCATGACGCTGGCGCAACGCCGGTGGCTGCCCAATCCTTGCTTTGAATGGCCTGCTTTTTGAGTATGGCGATGATCTTCATAAATAACTGATGCCCCACAGCAACTCCCATCTGCAGTCGCTGCATTTTGAATCCTCGCCTACTACACCTAACATATACAAACCAGTACACAGTCACGAACCATGGCTATCCCGTGGCTATTCCCCGTTCGCATTGCACAGGCGCTCTTTGGCGTGATCGTGATCGGTCTCACAGGTTATGGTATGTGAGCCTAACACTGTGGCATGGGACCAAACTGACAAAAACACCAGTGGTGTCCACCTACTGGGATTCCTGGGCATGGTCCGACACGGTGAACTTCGTGCTCTTCCTCGGCTGCTGGACGGCGTTTGTGGCCGTGCCTTATCTGGCCCTCTCCCCGATCTTCTTCCCTCGACTGGCGCATCACCTGGTCATTCCGGCGGTGGAGGTGATCACGATGATCTTCTGGTTTGCCGGGTTCATTGCTATCGGCGCGCAGTTACCGCCTCCGCGGTACTGCCACACCTCGGCGTGCAGCTCCCTCCAGGCGGCCACGATCTTTGGGGCATTTGAATGGTGAGAATAAACAATCCTTCTCTGGGAGAGTTGATCTGTGTGAATTTGAGTCGATGGCTGACATTAATTAGGGCGATGTTTGCAGTGACCACATTCTTCGCGGTTCTCGATGTAAAGAACCACCGACGGAGTGGGGAGAGTGCGAAGACTCATTCCAATGCGCATGTTGGAGTGTGAGATGAATAAGATGATGAATATAAGGAATAATGAGAAGTGCCCAGGTGGTTAATATGGAATATAACGAGAAGGAAATGCATATGTCATTGTTATTAGTTTCTATCAGTTCGGCTCTTATCGGCTCCGCAAGCGGCACGTACGCCCTAGTCAATAAGCAGCTTAACTCCTCCTTTGATTGGCTTTGCATATTCTTAGGTTCAAGCTTCATTTAGACCGTCAAGGACTCGACATACTCGTTTCTACTTCGAGTCCTCATGCTACATCCATGCAGGAATGGGAGGTGTTCCCAATAGAGAAGGTATACCAGATGATCTATAGATAACCCCGCCATAGCGTCGCATTGACCGAGTCTTGAAGGGCGTGCATAAGATACAATCGATCTGATTAGTGATTGGAATGACTGATTATACGTCAAGTAACTATCTGAGTCTTTGGGGCGAGAGACTCGCCACCGAAGAAAAAAAGGAAGAAAAGAAAATTCTGTTCCCGCGGGCCCCCACAACGGCTTGGTACCGGAGGCGAATATGAAAGAACTTTATGTTTAGAGATATTAAATATAACCGAAGAATCCAAAAAGTATTCTTCTCTCAGCTAGGAGTACTCGATCTCTTCTCTCCGCATTAGTCGAAAAGAAGGTAGAGTTTGGCCTCGCGTGCTGCTCCACTTTTTCGCGCAGAAAAAAACCCGTCTTCGGAGTCATCCGTGTGGCCTGGCGGCTACTGTGGAGCGCGAACTCTCAGATCCTTTTTCTCCTCTTCTCACTCATATAAGCCCATTCATTCCTGCAGTCTACGGGCAGCAATGGCTGGCGAGAAGAGCAAAATGAGCTCCGAGGCACCTGTCATGCAAGTCGCCCAGCCTGTCGACTATGACTACGACTATGAGAAGCATGGCGCCCAGCGCGAGGCCAACCCGCTGCCAGAGCTCAAGCGCAAGTTGAAGAGTCGACACTTGCAGATGATTGCCATTGGTGAGTGAGAACGGAGAACTGCCAGGCTCTCTTTTTCTCTTCAGAGACCCTTCTTATGAACCTTTTTGTTAACCATCTCTGCGCAGGTGGCACCATAGGAACCGGTCTGTTCATCGGTAGTGGCACAGCAATTGCCCACGGAGGCCCCGTCGGGGCCCTCATCGCCTATATCTTCGTTGGAACCATCGTATACTCCGTTATGACCGCGCTCGGAGAGATCGCAACCTATATCCCCATTCCCGGCGCGTTCACCTCGTACGCCGCTCGTCTGATCGATCCCAGCTTGGGCTTTGCCATGGGTTGGATCTACTGGTTCTCCTGGGCGTCGACCTTTGCGCTGGAGTTGACCGCTACCGGATTGATCATTCAGTATTGGGATCAGGATATCCCAATCGCCATTTTCATCGCCGTCTTCTGGGTATGCATCATCGCATTCAATATGCTGCCGGTAGGATTTTACGGAGAGATGGAATTCTGGTTCTCGAGTATCAAAGTGATTACCGTGATTGGCTTTGGAATTTTCGCCATCTGTGTCAACGCCGGCGTTGGCGATCAAGGATATATTGGATTCCGCTACTGGGTGCACCCGGGACCCTTTGTGCCCTACCTGATCAGTGGCAATGACAACCTGGCCAAGTTTGTTGGATTCTGGTCGACGTTGATTCAGGCCGGTTTCTCCTACCAGGGAACCGAGTTGGTTGGTATTGCGGCCGGTGAGACGGAGAACCCCCGCAAGACCGTCCCCTCTGCCATTCGCAAGACCTTCATCCGTATTGTCTTCTTCTTCATCCTGACAATCTTCTTTATTGGAATTGTCGTGCCTTCCAGTGATCCTGGCCTGCTGGCTAGTGAGGGTAGCGGTGCTAGCGCCCAGAACGCCGACGCCTCTCCCTTCGTGATTGCGGCCAAATTGGCCGGTGTCAAGGCTCTCCCCGGTATCATTAATGCGGTTTTGTTGACCGTGGTGCTCTCCGCGGCCAACTCCAACGTCTACAGTGGCAGTCGTATCTTGGTCGGTCTCGCCCAGGAAGGATTCGCCCCCCGCTGGTTCAAGCAGACCTCCAAGCACGGTGTGCCATACTGGAGTGTCCTCTTCACTGCGGCCTTTGGTCTCCTCGGATTCTTGAACGTGTCCGATGCCGGTTCCACCGTGTTCACCTGGTTACTTCAGATCTCCGGTGTAGCTGGTTTCATTACCTGGTGCTCGCTGAACGCGTGTCACCTCGCCTTCCAGCGTGCGCTCAAGGCCCGCAACATCTCCCGCGATATCTTGCCTTACAAGGCTATGTGGCAGCCGTGGTTCTCGTGGTACGGACTGTTTTTCAACTGTCTGATCATCCTCACTCAGGGATTCACTGCCTTCATCCCCCATTTCCAGGTCAAGGAGTTCTTCATCAACTACCTGAGTTTGATCCTCTTTGTGGTGCTGTACGTGGGTCACAAGGTGATCTACCGTCCCGCCTTTGTCAAGTCTATCGACGCCGACCTGGACACCGGTCGCACTACTGCGGACAACGAGACCTGGGAGACTGTCGAGCCTACCACCTGGTACGGCAAGGCGTGGAAATGGGTCAGCGACTGATGCGCGACTTGAAGTCGCATTGTATAACTCTTTCTTTTTTGCATATATTGTTGTCGGCGTTGGTGCATTTGTACACATATATTACTATAGGCCCTACGCCTATAATATTTACATTCTAGTATTCTACTCAAAAATGAAGATATTCTGAAGCCATTCGGCCATGTGAAAAATTAGTGCATGTGGGTTATGCATATGACGTTGTGTCATAATCTCAACGGTACATCTGTCACAATGGCGATCGCCACTTTGGAGCAGGTACCGCCCGAAACAGCCGAGGTCCCTCACAGCCCTCTCGGCTCATGATAACTTCAATAGGGATTTGTCCAAAAGGGTCGGTCGCTCCGGTCGTTTTCTGCTTCTCCAGTTTTCTCCTCCCCCACACTCTTTGCCCCCTTTAATCTCTACGGATCGCCCGGCCTCTTTTTTTTTCTCTCCTTCTTTCGTACTTCGGTTCACCCAGGTGGTTCTATTTTCAACCGTCGCGATGTTCTTTACACAACCACCGCACCTCGTCAAGGCCGAGGAGCTCAAGCAGGAGCCTCCCAAGGGCACTGCCTACTCCGTTGCTATCCCCGGCACCGAGCAGCCCGGCCGCAGTCGGGTATACCGCGCATGGAATGCACAGAAGGAACTTTTGACCACACTGGACCCCCAGGTATGGCGCGGAGCGCGAGGAGATGGTCGCCTTTGGAATACAAGTTCACTAACCACTGCTGCTAGGTCACCACGGCCCATGACATGTTTGAGTCGACCGCCAATCGCCAACCCAAGAACCACTGCCTCGGATGGCGTCCGTATAACTCCACGACCAAGACCTGGGACCCATACCAGTGGCTTACATATGAGACCGTGCAAAAGAGGCGCGCCGCCTTTGGTGCCGGTCTCGTAGAGCTGCACCAGAAGCACAACTGCCACCGTCCAGGCCAATACGGTGTCGGTCTCTGGGCGCAAAACCGCCCAGAATGGCAGATCACTGGTGAGTGGCATCGCACAGGAAGAAGAGACGGGTTGCTAACGTGAATCTATCTACATAGATCTGGCTTGTATCTCCCAGTCCCTTTACTCCGTCTCCATCTACGATGTCCTGGCCCCGGATGCCACCGAATATATTATCAACCACGCCGAGCTGAACTGCGTCGTCACCTCTCTACCTCATATCCCTACTCTGCTGAAGCTCAAGTCTTCCCTGCCCAACCTGAAGATGATTGTCAGTCTGGACCCGCTCGATGGACCCGAGCAGAACGGCCACTCCAAGCGGGCCCTGCTTGAGTCCATGGCCGCTGGTCTGGATCTTGCAATCTACACGATTGATCAGGTTGAGGAGCTGGGCTTGGCTTCCAAGCGCGGGTACAATGCCCCCTCTGCGTCCGATATTGTGACTATCAACTATACTTCCGGAACAACCGGACCTCCCAAGGGTGTCGTTCTGACACACGGCAATGCCGTGGCTGCCACTTCCTGCGGTCTGACCACTATCGGCCAGGCTCGCGGCGATACCATGTGTTCTTACCTACCATTGGCCCACATCTATGCTCGTCTCGCAGAGCACACTGCCTTCTGGGGTGGTGCCCGAATTGGCTACTTCCACGGCAATATCGTCGAACTTGTCGACGATTTGAAGCTGCTGAAGCCCACCGGTTTCATGTCGGTCCCCCGTCTATATAGCCGATTTGGTACCGCGATCCGTGCTGCCACGGTTGAGCAGCCTGGCTTCAAGGGTGCTTTGTCCCGACACATCGTTGCAGCCAAGATGGCCAACATGAAGAACCCCGACCCCTCCAAGGCAACCATCAAGCACGCCCTGTACGACCGTATCTGGGCTAAGAAGGTTGCTGCCGCTCTCGGTCTGGAGCGCGCCAAGTACATGATTTCCGGTTCTGCGCCTCTGGACCCCACCCTGCACAACTTCCTGCGTGTGGCAACCGGTACCGACGTCGTCCAGGGCTACGGTCTGACCGAGTCATACGCCTCGGCCACCGCTCAGTCGACGCAGGATCTCTCCTCTGGAAACTGTGGACGTCTCGCACCCTGCACCGAGGCCTGCTTGGTCTCTCTGCCTGACATGGAGTACTCCGTCGAGGATAAGCCATTCCCCCGTGGTGAGCTCCTGCTGCGCGGCAACAACATGTTCCGCGAGTACTACAAGAACGACGACGAGACCTCCAAGGCTGTCACCGAGGATGGCTGGTTCCGCACCGGTGACGTCTGCACCGTGGACGCCCAGGGCCGCTTCATCATTATCGACCGCCGCAAGAACGTCCTCAAGCTCGCCCAGGGCGAGTACATCTCCCCAGAGCGTCTGGAGGGTGTCATCCTCTCCGAACTTGGCTACGTCGCCCAGGCCTACGTGCACGGAGACAGCTCCGAGACTTTCTTGGTTGGCATCTTCGGTGTCGCTCCTGACCTCTTCGCCCCCTATGCCAGCAAAGTCCTGGGCAAGACCATTGCCCCGACTGACGTGGAGGGACTCAAGGAGCACTTGAACGATGACAAGCTGCGCCGTGCCGTGCTACGCGATTTGGAACGCGTAGCCAAGAAGCACAAGTTTGCAGGATATGAGCGTGTCCGCAATGTCTCGCTCAAGGTTGATCCTTTCACCGTTGAGAACAACCTCCTTACCCCAACGTACGTTTTTACTCTATCACATCCAGATATCAAGGATATTGCTAACCCAGTCCGACTAGTCTTAAGCTCAAGCGCCCACCTGTCGTCAAGATGTACCGTACCCTTTTGGATCAGCTCTACGGGCAGGCTAACGAGGAGCAATCCGCTCCCCGTGCTAAGTTGTAGTTCTGTAACCTCCTTGGTCCCATTTTTGGTTTCTTTTCTGTTTTATTTCTGGCGAGTCGAGATTGTCCCACGGCTTGTTCTAGCTGTATATAGGAGCTGTGCATACACTGTAGTATATATTAAAGCATTTTTACATATTACGTTTCCTCGACCTACGTATAATGCCTACATGCAGCAAAAACTTCCCTAGGTTTCATACCCAGCCCGCCTACCTAGCAGGCAACCTTCGAACCTTCCGAGGTCGGAAAGCGCTCAACGTATTGTAAGGTTCCTCATCACACTCGTTTCTTTTGCCCTAGTTCTCTTCGAGTCACTCTCATACTCTCATTGTCCACTTCGTATATCTTTCCATATCAAACTAGGCAACGCAAAATGAAGATAAAAAAAATTCAAATACATATTGACCACTACCAAAAATCACACAGCGCTACAACCAAATTGACCATCAAGTATATTCAGGATGAAGTACAAAAACAAAAAGCAAAAAAGATATGACAAGAGTGGGATTTGAACCCACGCCCCTTTCGAGACACGGAGACAGTTGTGAACCATCGGGATCAGGTTGACCTGAACCGTGCGCCTTAGACCAACTCGGCCATCTTGCCAATTGGATGAAAAAGGGCTGACACATTGACTACATAAGCCAAGAGCATGGCAGAAACACTTGAAAAGCCGATAACACTATACTTGCAGACACCGATGAACAACTACCACAGTCATTTGCAAAGCCCTAAATTTTCTTACTATAGAATCCCCAGGTCTCCAGGCAGCATCCAAAGTCCGGTAAGTTTCGGATAAATGAATTCAAATCAGAACTACCAAGCTATGCTACTGGGCGTAAGACTAAATGAGCCTAGTATAACTAGCCGACGGCAATAAGACAGGGAATAAAAGGACTAAAAACCGGCAAATAAGCAAGCAAAGCCGCACCAATCAAACGCTAACCCACAACCTCATTATCGTATCATTACCTTCATGGACTCCGTACGGCATCGAAAATCACCGGTCCAGACTACACCAGTAGTCCACCCGCATATCCGTCAAGCTGCGCGTCGGCAGACCCCAAGTACGCGCTAGCCAAAGTGCCAACCCACCCACAACGCCGACACTCCCAACGATCTGGACAAGCACCCAGCTCCTCCTCCCCAAATCATCAACCCAACCAACCACCCCAAGCGGATCCTGAGGACTAATTCCAAACCGATACGAATGTGACCGCAGGCTCTTCTCCCGCAACCCAAAGCCCGGCGTTTGCGAAAGCGGCACAAGCGACCCATCGACCACGCACTCGCCTAGCTTTTCTGTCAGCCACACGGCACGCTCGCCGCGCGCTAGCTCCGCGTAGCGCTCGCGCTCATTCTGCAGGCTGCGCTGGAGATCGGTCGCCCACTGCGCGAGACGAACCTGCGCCATGCGGTCCTCATTGCGAGTGTAGTCTGTGATGCGGGCCATGGCATAGCTGGGTGGAGAAGCAGCCGAGACGGCCTGCCAGAAAGCATTGGACCCACCGGGTGGGGCGGGGGTGCTGGGGATAGAAGGTTGGAGAGCAGAGGCGCGTTGTAGAAGCTTCTTTGCAGCGGAATGGCGGAGCCAAGCTAGATTGTCACGATCGAAGATCTGGTCGACCAGGGTGTTTAATTCAGAGGGGATGAGGGGTTGGACGTAGTCTGGGCTCATTAGGATGCTTGCGTCCATTGTTTCTGGATCGGAGCCCTTGGCCGAGGAGACGGCGTATGGGGGCTGGAAGTCTATGCTGGCCTCATTTAGGCCAAAAAGGAAGGGTTTAATCCCGGCTTCTCGGGATTTCTCATGGAAGTGAAGTTTTAGGGTGCTGATTTGGATTGGGGTGAGTGTGTCTGCTTTGGGTATTATGGGGATTACATTGCTCAGCTCGCTGAGCTTGCGGATGCATTCCACGTCTGTAGATAGGGTGTCTGGTGTATCATGTTAGTTCGGAGTGTGGTTTTTCGCGACAGGACCACCTTACCATGGGAAATCAAGTACAATATGGCATCCACCTGGGATCCACCGTTTCCGGCTAGGAGATTTTGGAAATCGACATTCAAACCATGAAGCGCATTAGTGGCGCGAACAAATTGGTGGTACATGTATTGCGCAGTAGCGTCGGTTTGACCCGCGCGACTTAAACTGGATCTGGGGGTGTCGACGAAACAAAGGTTCCTTTCGAGGACAATTTCCCCGATACTCTTCCGGCGCTTGAGCACACGCGAATCTTCCAAATCCGACCACCAGGATGGATAAGGTTTCGTGCTAGCATAAATTTCGGTTGTCGCAGTTCGGGATGCCGAATGAGACGGCCTGCGACGCTCCAACGAGTTCACCGGGATCGTGTCGACATGAACGATATCTTCACATGTTTGCACGATGGCCTTGATCAAAGCGGTTTTGCCCGAACCTGTTTTGCCCCCGAAATTCGAGATTAGCTCCTGTCCACCAGTCATGTTCTCTCGCGTGAACTTACCAGGGGCCCCCGCCAAAAGAAGTTTGAATCGACCCATGGCTTGGCCACGCTCGGTGAACGGGCGGCGACTGGGCATTTTGATACTTGGCATGATAAGCTGGGACGCCCCACTTGCCATTCGTGGGGATCCCTTTGCCTCCTCATCTCCCGATCCGATGGCTTGGCTTTCGAGTTCATCCGTGATGGATATATCGTCGAGTGGCCGTAGGGATTGATTCGTTATTGATTTTGGACTGCTTGGAAGTGACGAGGGCTCGTCGGGGAGGCCTAGAGCGAACGGAGTTAAGGGCCGGGAGACCCCCGGGGAGGTCTGCCCCGAGCGGGCTGGATCCGCCTTCAGTGTCGACCGGCGGCGTGTGTGCGGTTCCAACTCATCGGGCAGTTGGGGGCTGTCGGGAGTCTCGCCAGGGAAGATGGAATGGCAGGTCTCTTCCAGGCTATGTACCCCGTACATGCTCTCTTTGGTATCGTCGGGCCCTAGCACGAGACTCGGCTCCAGTTCCGAGACATGCGGATTGCGGGACAGGAAGAAGGTCGTGGGGGAGTCGAGAGGCGCGGGCGAGGGTTTGTGACCGGTATCTGGTATCGACCTCATCGTGGAATGAGCAAGTCTAAGAGCAAGCAGTGACTATCAAGGGATTTAGGTGTAAGTAAGTCTAAGAGATCATGTCATTGCTCAGGTAAGCCAATCACGAGGTGATTAGACCCCTCCTTCTGGCCTGAGGCATCAGCCAATGGGCCTCGTATAAGATCGTCTGATATTTGCTTCTTGCAGCAATTTAGTTCCTATATGCAGATATTCCCATGTTCAGTTGTTGAGTACTCCGTATAGAGTATTCTAAATCAAGGTCGCATTACAGGCACAGCGTAGTATCTAAATCTCCGGATTCTCCACTGTGGGTTAGCCGGGGACTCAACAGTCAAGTCCAAGGCGAGTGGAATTAGCGTTCTCCTGCATTGGTTAGCAGCACTGGCGCCTCTAGCGACAAAAAGAGGATAGTCATCCGATCTCACGACTAAGACGACTAAGACTACTAACTACTAAAACCAAAAAGTCCGAAAGTGCGAAATGAAAAGAGCCAGCCGAGTGAGAACCGTGTCCGCCCGAAAAGGCTGATCTCCACCTGCGACTCTTTGAATTCTTTGGATTCCCCTCCTTTTCTCCGACGTCTCTCCTGGCCCTGAATTCTTGATTCTGTCGTGTGTCTTGGCTTCTGCAGACACTCTGCACTTTCGTTCTTTTCCAGACTCATTGAAAACTGATCGGCTCGCCTCGCCAGATTAGCCTGGCAAACCCGCGAAGAACATGGAACAACCAGCCATGTCCTGGCCGGAGCAACTCCCGAGTTCGCTGCCAGCGCCCAGTGAGGAGGAGTTTTCGAGTTATCTCGACTTCAATATGCCGTTTACCGATATCGAGCACGGACCAGGGAACATGCAGCATTCTCCTCTGCCCACTTCCGCTCCGGACTCCATGGCCCAGTTGCGATCAACCGCCATGCAGTACTCAGGCCAGATGGAGGGCCTGGCCATGGATTTTGGAGACTCACAGTCGCATAATCAATTGCCCTATTCCACACCCCAAATGACCCCGGGCTTTTGCGCCCAGGAGCCCTCCCCCATGGCGCAACCCCGATCCCATCACTACATGCAGAACCACGGCATGATCCCTCCCACCCCGAATAGTGTGGAGATGCATGGCAACGCTGCTCGCTATAACCAGCGCGTGGATGGCACTCCAGATTTCTACGAAGGGCTTTCACGCGCCAATGAAGAGCAGGTTGGTCGTTCTCCAAATCCGTGGGCAACTGCATGGAAACTAACAGATCAGGCTCTTTACACCCCCTCGTGTCACCGGCTATGACCCCTCTGGAGAACCAATTCCGACTCCCTGAATACACCATCCCCGGCGAATACTTCACCCCGCTCACCTCCCCGGCCTTGGAGGCCCAAAATGCCGACCACAGTGGCTACCAGTTCCAGGCCAGACAGGTGTCCGATGTAGGCTTTGTGCCCACCACCGCGGAGTCACATTCCCTGGCCGCCATCGCGCCGGGCTCCCCCAATACTCTCAGAAAACCCAACACCCGCCGACGCGGATCGACAGCCTCCACGCGGTTGAGTACCGCGCGCAAGGTCAAACAATCACCCAATATCTTAGCGCAGCGCAAGCGCAGCACATTGGCCACCAATTCAGAGGAATTCTACAACAGTCTCACCCAGGAGTTGAATGCCACCTCCACAAAATTGCCAAACCAGGATATTCGTTCGCTCCAGGCCAGTAGTAATGAGGCTTCCGGCCAGGACTCTGTCTCCCCGGAGCCATTGTCAGAACCGTTGATGCCACCACCCGCACTCCCACCCCCACGGATCTCTCCCGCAATCACCCCTCAGTCATCCTCCCCCGGTGGTGCGGCCACCCCAGCGCTGCTCATGCGCATTCAGCGGAGCCAGCATGCACAGGACCCCTCGGGCCAGTTCCGCGGCCAAGCCCAGCTGGCCGAACCCGAGTTTCCCGATGAAATCATGGAGGATATCTCTCTCCCTGAGGCCGCGGCTCCTCAGCAGCAGCGCCCCAAGCCCAGTCGGATCGAGACTGCCATACGAACACCGTCGATTTCGACCGGTGGCACCCCGCTGTTGGCTCCCTCGCCTGCGGCGTATGACCACCACTCAAATATTTCCCTTGCCCCCAGTCCACGCTCAGGCGCAATGGCATCTCCCAGCGGGCCGGTCCCTAGGAGGTCAGAGTCTAAAGCGGCATCCAATCGCAAACGAGGCAGTTTGAGTTCCACACACGCCAGTCCGCAATTGCGACCCAAGATCAGTCCCAGCATTCAGCCCCTGGTAAAAGGCAACGAGGGTGAGTAGTTCTGAAATCTAGTTCCTTTTTACTATACTAATTTTCCTTACAGGCATGTCGCAAGATGCCATGTACCTGGCATCCAAGTCCAACTACCAGCACATTCTCGACGGAACCCTTCCGTCCGGTGTGAGCTATCCGGAGGCTTTGGCCGAGAATCTCAGCTCCAAGCGCACGAACCACAAGCTCGCCGAGCAGGGACGTCGCAACCGAATCAACACGGCCCTCAAGGAAATTGAGCAGCTCATTCCTCCGCAATTTATCGAGGCCCGCAATGCCAAGGAGGCTGCGGAATCCGGTGGTAAAAGCAATGAGAAGGAAAAAGAAAAAGAAAAGGCCAATCAGACCATCAGCAAGGCCACAGCTGTGGAGATGGCCATTGACTACATCAAGGCACTCAAGATGACCTTGGATGCCACCACTGCCAAGCTGGCAGTGGCTGAGGCTCAACTGTCTGGCGAATCCAAGCAACCTACAGAAAAGCCTCTCGCCTCTCCAGCTGCGACCCAAAAAACGTCCAATGATGGCGCAGAAACGAAAAGCCCAGCATGACCAGACTTACTACCCACTTAATTTGACAGAATCCATTCGCCATGGTGACAGGAATAACGAGAGCTCAAATGAAGTTCTTCTCTTTTTCGGTTGGATGTTTGCGCAAATGTTCTATGATTTGCTTGATGTTTGATAGCGTTGGTGTTTCTATAAACGGTGTGCTTTTTTCTTCTGGCTTTGCTATATTACTATTTAAGCTTTATCTGTGTGCGAATAGATTTGATATTTTCTTCCTTTTCGTTCTTAGTCGATAACAATTTATGGCCCCATCTAGGCTGAGCCCATGTGTCAGGAGTAGATCCATCTTCATTGACCCTTTGATTGTATCCCCAAAATACCCACAATGAGCACATTAGGAGAACACAATGGTATCCACTTTGCATAAAAGCCATGAAGGATTTCTTGGAAGTCACTAGTAATCAAAGGCATTATGTCCAGACAAAGACTAGTTATCGCAGCTCAAGATGGAGAAAATCTATAAAAGCCTCGAATTCACCTCGACCTTATAGAACCACCACCCCTTCAAATCATTGAAATACATCCACACTTCAACTGAAACACACAAATAACCCAAACAGCCAAGATGAACCCCACAAACAACAACACAGTGAGTAGCTGGACCGAGCGCGCCGAGGCCCTCAAGCGCGTTCGGACCTGTTTCCTACACAACTCAAACCGCATGCCTGTCAACACATCAGAATCCTCCATCCGCAAGAATGTCTGGTATACAGTCCGTATCTACAAGGAAGATGAGCGCTTTAGCGACGAGGAGCTGGTGAACATCTCAATCCAGCGCCTGCGAGAGGGTTATTTCGTCGTCGAACAGAAGCCCGAGCTCCAGCACAGGGGCTGGCACATCTCGTATCCGATTGTTGATCTTGTCAATGCAGATAAACTTGATTTGGCTATTGATTTGGCTCGGAGTCGTCGGGATGATATCGTTAAAGGTGAGATCTCGCTTGATCGGATTATGATCTTTACTAAGAAGATCCCCGAGCCCACGGTGAAGCTTCCGGAATTTATGCCTCGGAATAAGATGCAGTGAAGAGGTGTATTTGACTAACACAAAAACACAAAAAAAGGTGTAAAATGAGGGAAAACTAATAAAAAACAAGAAAATCGAAGGCGTAAAAAGACAAAAAAAAGGGAAGAGCTAGATGAGAACTTGGGAGTAGATATAGTCAAAGGAGCAATATTACTGAGTTCTTCCCATTACCTTTCCATTCAGACATGATTAGCTCGTATAATATAGTACTGTATTCCTGCACTGGTGCTAGGTCTATAAGGGCAATGATTCAGGCTTCTACTGACCGGTGCTTGTGAGACTATACAACTAAGCTATGAAAGCAACCTTCGAACTGGACTAACCACTTCCAGGCGCTAACCTACATTTCCCCCTGGTCTAGTCTTGATCAACGAAGCCTAGTAATAAACAATAGGTCTAATTTTGATGCCAAAAGAGAAAAAAAAAAAAAAAAAAAAAAAAAAAAAAAAACAACTATCACAACTCAAGCAAAAAGAGCAACATTTCTTGATATCATGTAGCTCTAACCGTACGTCGTAAGATAACATCAAAATTGCCCTAGCATCTGTTGTCTCTTCGACTTCCTGCTACGCCTTTGGTCTTGTGTTGAATTCAGGAAACAGTGACCTGCTCGGATCTTTGGGAATCTCGGCCACTTCATGGGCACAGGAAGACAGTGAGCTCCATGGCCACCGGCGTTCTTTTGATCGCCGATTCTGGGGATGTCAAAGGCTATCCAGTTTTGGACCCGGCGGGAAATGGTCTTGTAGACATCTGTACGATGGGCCCAGATGGTGACCTCTCGGTCCATCTAATCCAGATCAAAAAGGTGGTCGCATATGTCCGGATCGCCGAGTGTCCGTATCTCAGGTCGATCAAAGGTCAGGACTCCAGAAGTGAAGTACTCTGGATTAATTTCGCGGTCGTCAATCAGGGGAGCTGCCGATTTCGCTCCGCTTGTAGAGTCGTACGCTTAGTGAACCGGCGTGCCGGGTGAAGGCCACTGAGCCACCGTGCTCTTGTAGCGTACAGATAATACGTGATGCCCTTTGACGGGTGTTGATTCTGGCGCTGCCTCGATGGTGCTCATCTGTGCCAGTGCTCACGGAGGCTGGGATGACGACTCGGCAGCCAAATCCGCGAGTAGAAATGATTGCAGGATTGGGGAATCTTGGTGGATCAATCGGCCCGGGGACGGGCCATTCAGGCTCAAGGGCCAGATTTCTGTCGATGGCTGAGGTGAAAGAGAGAAGGGAGAAGCCATGGTTTGGATAGGAGGCAGCTTTTTAAATGAGCTACCTACGGGATAGCCGGGTGCCAGCTTGGGGATAGGTAGACTCAAGGTGATAGGTCTTACTCAGTTGAAACCCTGGAAAGTGAGCGCGACGGCGGATGTAAAGCTGAGGGAGAGTACATGAGGTGAACCCTTGGAAGTGAGGGTAATGTAGAGCGATCAGAGGATAGCCCGTAGTGATGATCCTATAGATCGGTTCACCCAGCCCAGCTATTGATGGGTATGGCCCCGGGGTATTTCTATGGGAATTGCAAGCATATGGGACAGCTACCACCAACCCTTGGAAGAACTGCAGGAATAGTTGGCCTACCCTCCTACTCTCGGGGACTATCTCAAATTCGATTTGGAGGTCTTTTTTTCTTGTTTGCTTTTGTAAATTTTCAAAAGCGCTGAAATATATTCTGTTCCCATCAACACCGTGGACCGAGGCTTTGAATGAAGTTCATTTTTTGAACTCCAGGACTACACCAACAGATTGACTGGTTGGCCATGCATCTGTATTTTTCAACACTCATATTTACATGTGGAATATTTCTCAGATATGTGATTAGGTGGGTATTAGTGTGACGATGTTGAGTTGTCTGTTTCCCGAGCTAATTATTGAACTATGAGATGTTTGACAAGAAGACACTGAAGTGTGGAAACTGTCACTAATGGGCGTGTGACTCAGTGGTAGAGTGTTCGCTTTGCATGAATTCGTCTTCAAAAGCTTGCGAAAAGTCCGGTGTTCGATCCACCGCTCGTCCAATATTTTTGTCATTTTTTGCTTATTTTTTGGTTCCAGATTGTGCCGGGATCCCGGGAATTGCCTATGTTTGCAAAGGGTTGCGCCATGATTTTGCTCTACCATGGTTCCAATGCCAATCTAAAGTAAGGTTCGCTTCAAACCATGGTACACATACGGTTGAACCTTGTGCTCAAGCCCTAATTACTACCTACTTCCAGCAAGAGACCGTCCAGTCTGACTTCCAAGTATTGTTTACTCCAAGGTTACCTTCTCATAAAGTCGGTCGCGAGATTGCTCGAAATGGATGACTCGGCAGTCATAGACCACGAACGCATTGTGAGTGTGATTTTGGTCACAGTGATGATCCAAAGCCGCGTCTGTACAGGAATTGAGAATCAACTGCTGGATCGAATGAGCATACAGTATGCCCACCGCCTCGACTAGGTACACGTGAGCTCCACCTGGGCAGTACTGCCCCTCTCCGCGACAGTTCAATTCCCTGTACGGAGTAGACACAACTTTTGATCTTTTTTGGCGGTTGCCCCGCCCAATATGGATGGCCTTTCTTGCGCAGCGAACGTTTTCGCGGCGGTTGAGCTCACAGCGAGTGTGGTCAAGATATGTGCCCGCTTTATCACAGAAGTGAAGAATGCGAGAGACGACATCATTGCATTGCAGCGTTCGGTGGCAGGTCTTGGGGAAATTCTTCGGCAATTGAAGGAGGTTTTAGAAAGCTCTGGTCGCTCCAGGTCATTTGTATCCTCCTCTCTCATCGAGAGTCTCAACGACTGTCTTTTAGACCTAGGGACCCTGAACAGGCGAATTGACCCGAAAAATCACAAAGGCATCATGAGAAAATTCGGCATTCGAGCTATGAAATGGCCGCTTCAACGCCCGGAGGTGGAGAAAATGGTGACCAATCTTGAAAGATACAAGTCGTCCTTTATCTTGTCGATCCAAGTCGACCAGACGTATGTTGACTGATCGAGCTAGCCTGCCCATTCGGGTTGACTGTAGTAACATTACCTACAGTGGTATTTTGACCAAGCTGGCACGAGATACGGAGTCTACTTTAGAGCACCTACGTGTCGGCAAGTTGCCCATGGCACGTGGAGCCGAGTTTGACTCCTACATGGACCAGCATGAGGATGTGTGTCTCTCCGGTACTAGAATCGAGCTTCTACGTCAGGCAACCGAATGGGCTAGCTCATCGGAGGGAACATGCATCTTCTGGCTCAACGGTATGGCAGGCACTGGGAAATCAACCATCTCCCGGACATTAGCACGGTCATTCAAAGAAGCGAAGATTCTAGGAGCGAGCTTTTTCTTCAAGAGAGGCGAAGGTGATCGAGCAAATGCCTCAAAGCTCTTCTCCACGATTACTAGGCAGCTTGTGGTCCGCATACCACAGTTGATCCCAGAAATTGAGAAAACACTCGAGGGTGAACCAGATATAGCCGGTAAATCTTTGAAGGAGCAGTTCAACAAGCTAATCCTCCGGCCCATTCTCAGCTTGCAGCTTTCAGAGCTACCATCTTCTGAATTTTCCAATCTTCCACTGGTCATTATGCTTGACGCGTTGGATGAATGTGCCCGGGATGAAGATATACGAGTTATTCTTCGGTTGCTACCAACTTTCCAAGACTCAACTACAATAAAACTTCGAGTATTCTTAACAAGCAGGCCTGAGCTTCCAATCCGAATGGGAATATCCCAAATCCCAAGTCTTGCACATCAAGATGTGGCACTCCATGAGATCGCCGAGCCAGTGGTACAGCACGACATATCTCTTTTCTTGACACAGCAGCTGTGGGCAATCAGGAAAGACCGAGATTTATCTGAAGATTGGCCCGGAGAAAGTGCTATCAAATCTCTTGTAGAGCTATCAGCCCCTTTGTTTATCTTCGCGGCTACTGCATGTCGTATTCTCGCGGACCCTATGTGGGACCCAGAAGACACCCTGACAAAGCTACTTGCGTACCAAAAGACCGACTCCGAGCTGGATGGGATTCCTCGATTCGATGACATGTCCCATTTCGACAAAACATACCTTCCCGTGCTCGATGGGCTTCTGGAGGGGCAGAGCCAAAAACAGACAAAACAGTTAATACATGAATTTCATGAAGTGGTCGGGGCAATTATGACCCTTGAATGCCCACTCTCGGTTGCTTCCCTAGCCAGACTGCTTGCAATACCCGAGAAACAGATTTTCAGGACACTTGGCTCACTTCACTCGGTCTTAAGAGTGCCCACCGATTCCACCCAACTGGTACGGCTGTTCCATCTATCGTTCCGAGACTTTCTTCTGGACCCAGAGACAAAAGAAAAAACACGATTTTGGATCGACGAGGGCAAGGTGCACCAAAGACTTTTCGCTCGATGCCTCGAAACATGCGGTGCTCTGAGAAAGAATATATGCGGTAGAGAAGATGACACAAAACGTCAGGACATTGAGAGGCAGGTCATAGATCAATGTCTTCCGCCAGATGCTTCGTATTCATGTCATTACTGGGCCTACCATCTACTTCACATCCAGGGATTACCAGCTGCAACAGAAGACTCGCTTGCGTCTGTCGACTTGTTTCTCCGGCAGCATTGCTTACACTGGATGGAAGCAATGAGAATTTTGGGGCTCTCTTCTGAGATGATAGACATCATAGACCGACTACAGTCACTTCCATCGGTTGGTATCAGCAATCCCAAAATGACAACTACTGATGTCTTTAGGTTCAGAAATCCGTGGAATTGTGCGGACTTCTTCATGACGCTAAGCGGTTTGCCTTGAAAACTGCACCCATTGCCAACGACATGACCCTCCAACTATACTCCTCAGGGCTGTTATTCGCACCCAAGGAATCCGTTCTTCGGAGGAACTTCATAAAGGAGCTTCCCAGTTGGATACAAAATTGCTCAGGGGTGGATGAAACCTAGAGCGCAGAGCTCCAGATACTCGAAGATCATGGCTCGGTCCATTCGGTAGCCATTTCTTTTGACGGTGACTATCTTGCATCAGGATCTGGCGATGAGACCATCAAGATCTGGGATTTGTTAACGGGGACGTTAAATTTATGCCTCGAGGGCCACTCTGGTAGAGTTCATTCTGTGGCCTTTTCATCTAATGAATATCTCGCATCCGGCTCGAGTGATAACACAGTGAGGGTATGGATCGCTGATACCGGTTCTCTGCACTTGACCCTCAAGGGGCATTCTGATTGGGTGAATTCCGTGGCATTTTCCCCAGATGGCCAGCTACTGGCCTCCGGCTCCGATGATGAGACTATAAAGCTATGGAATGCCTCGACGGGCAGCCTGCAACAAACTCTTCAAGGTCATTCTGCCCGAATCCGATCAGTGGCATTCTCGAGCAGTGGACTACTCGCGTCTGGCTCTGATGATGGAACTGTTAAATTATGGGATCCCAAAACCGGTGTGGTGCGGCGGACTCTTGTCGCTCATTCAGACTGGGTCAAATGTGTGGCTTTTTCAGCCAATGGCCGATTTTTGGCCTCTTCTTCCTATGATAAGTCAGTGGTCGTTTGGGACTCTTCCACCGGCGATTTACTGCAAACCTTAAACGGACATTCAGAGTGGGTTAATTCAGTATCTTTCTCTCCTGACGGTCGAACCCTAGCCTCTTGCTCTAAGGACAAGACGATCAGGATCTGGAACCCTTACACAGGAGATTTACAAGGAGTATTCGATGGACATTCGGGATCTGTTTTGTCCGTTGTATTTTCCTCTTGTGGTCAATTCCTGGCGTCTGGTGGATATGACAAGACAACTAGGCTTTGGGATTCAGCCATGAAGACAAAGGAGCAAAAGCCCCCAAGCGCTCATTCAGAATATGTTCATTCGATCTCATTCTCCCCTGATGGTGGTACACTTGCTGCAGGGTCCCGTGATACCACAGTTCGACTCTGGGACTCCGCAACAGGCACAGTGAAGCATACTCTCTCTGGTCACTCACTGGCAGTTAGAGTAGTCATTTTCTCCCCGAACGGCTTGCTTCTTGCATCTGGCTCTTATGACAAAACAATCAGGATCTGGGATTCTTCCACTGGCATCCTACAGCAGGTTCTTGAAGGTCATTCAAGTCGCGTTCGATCGCTGGCATTTTCCCCTGATTCGAAACTACTGGCTTCCATTTCTAACGATGAGACTCTCTTCTTATGGGATCTCGCCAGTGGAATCGCTATCAAACAGATTGTGATAGAAACCTGGCAAAAGACGAATTTGACGATTTCAACTGACGACTGTCATCTGAGTCACAAGCTGGAGCTCATTCATATTCAATCTTGGTTCAAAAGCCATGCCTGGAGCTCAAAAGATAGTAACATCCGGGTCGAAGATGAGCAATGTATACTTCTTCAGGACAGGAAAGCCATCTGGCTTCCTTCGGAATATCGACCGAGTTGCTCGACTGCCAAAGGCAATATTCTCGCCATGGGACATCCTTCTGGACGAGTGACCTTCACGAGATTCAATGTATTATGAAATAAAAATCCTCATGGCCAGGAAAAGGACATTCCAGCTTGATTTACCCGGCATTTGGCGCATCCCCCCCGCGAGGAAAGACCACTCTGCGAATCAGGAATAAATATGCAGGCAACTCGTGGATAATGGGCTTTTTTTTGCTCCGCCCAGGCGTACTCGAGTAGTCACATGCTCAATGGGCCTTTGCATGATCAATTTGTTACATTCCGACTTACCCATGATTAGAACTACTCATTCTTATCTAGTTTGAATGTTCTGCGACAACACTGAGAAGGATATTGATTCTCCCAAAGTTTGTCGGATGCTAAATTATGGTTCATGGACTGACTGAGAACATACAGTCATTTAATTTCTATAATTCTTATGGCAATCCAATCAATCAGTTCCGGGTGACCCAGAGAATGTATCGACGAGAGAGAGGAGAGCAGAAATGTACGATGGAGTATTGTACTGTTGGAGCTGAGTAAAGGAAGAGCACAGAGAGAGAGAGGGAGGGAGGGAGGGAGGGAGGGGGAAAGAGAAAAAAGCTCTCGATCAACGCAATCTACACTGCGGGAGCCCGACAAACCAGGCACCCACCGGCGCCAACAGCCCTAGAGAATGGGTCGGGTCAGCAGGCACAGCGAGATTACTGCGTACTGCAACATTACTTGTTCCACCTTCTACCATCAACCACAGCGTGATTGGCCTGTTGAAGGGGTAGCGGCATCTCTCTAACCACCTCATTCTCATCGGAATCCAGTACCGTGATAAGCTGGCAGATGAGAGCCGAAGCGGCAAACCTCGCAAACACCCCCAACGCATCAAGCGTACCAATAAAAAGCACCGCAGAGAGAACCACAGTGCCAAAGACGACATGCCCCGCAGCAAGAGTATTTGCTAGCGAGTCAAGAATATTAGATTGGCGATTTTGTTTCCCGGCATGTATTCCTTCGAAGTACACACTCCCGATTGCGAACAAAAGTGGCACAAGAGCCAGAAAGACCCAAGCAATCTCGAGGTACGCCCAGGTACATTTCCAGCTGAGAATAGTCTGTTGACCCAGCATGATCGCATTCTGAAGGACATTGGCAGCTGCCGCACTTGCAAGTAGATATTTAAGTGTTATTGCCGCTAGAGATGCCGGGTGCTTGGGGAGGAGAGCCCTACTACCAAAGTGGCGACTTGGCACTTTGTCTAGCCTTTCCCAAGGCCTCGAAAATGGACTCGAGGGAGCTCCAAGAACACATAGGAACCCTAGAATAGGATTTTCCCAGCACATTTTAGCCTTTTGTTCTAGCGTAGGGCTGAGTCCCCCGAGGATGGTTGGCGTTAGGCCGAGCATGACGATTGCAGAGGACCAGTCTGCTTTATTCACCTCCCCAGGGTTATCCATGAGACATTTCACCATGTTCTTGCATGTCCCTGAATCCAATGCGCCATACATTGTCACATTCTGGGTATAATTGCTGTAGCAATAATGATTGTGTTCACCATGGGTGAGGGTTCCAGTATAGAAAGGATACCAATTGGTAAACTGTATAGCGTTGGAAGTGGTCAGATAAAGGCAAATTAGAATCGCTCGAGGCAGTGCTGAATGGTTTGCTTATCAGCAACACTTATTCCTCAGATTTGGACTTTGGGGATATTCACCGTATATGCTTTTCATCTTGAGTTCGTTTTAGGTGCGATTATATGGAAGCAAGAGCTCTTGGTCAACAAGCAGGGGGACATAGGAGAACATCCTAGAAGGAATGAATCGCCGAGTCGTTCAAATGAAAACGAAGAAAATGCTGTCCCAGTGAGTCCATAGCCCTATTTAATACAGATTGCACCTAGCTTTGACGAATTTCTGCTCAAGCTAGCAACTAGGGCCCTGGAAACACACTTAATAAATAATGCTTATCATCTTCCATACACGCGACCGGGTAAAAATATCTTTAGCACGCATGGATGTCCTAAATTTGTAACCAGCCCTAAGCTAAGCTACGCCATAAGCACTAACACGAAATTGCGCATCACTCGCTGCTTTTTATGCACCCCCCACGCGCAATTTTCCATCAATCACAACCCTGGAAATTCTAGCATTTTCGCGCCATGTTTTCGGGCTAGATAGGCCATTATATTGGGCTGTGCAATTAAGTCGCTCTGATCGCGTCATCCACAACAGTGTCTCTCTGCCCCGAGATGATTTTCCAAACGAGTGTAGGGCAGACCCCTACCATGCACAGACAGAGAACTGGTACAATTGACATCGCCATGACCCACATGGACTCGGAAACGGACCGACCCTCACCCAACTTGGCCGTAAACTCAATTCCTCTAGAGACTATGTGGAGTATAGAACCTGTGGTAAGGTCTAGTTTATTGTAGCTACGGGGTGCTTCACTCTTTGTTTCTAAGTGGAGACTAACAGATATTATAACCCACAAAACAAAGACCTCGTATTCAAAGCCCTGGTTAGGTCTTGTGGCCGAGTCTTCCCTAGCTCCATTTCATGTTAGAAAACTGCCTTTGGGCTGCTAGTTGTGTGACTTGGAAGAGCTGAGTGCAAAGTATCCAAAGGAAGACTCTTTCGAGGATCAACCTCTAGGACAAGAGCTTGATAGCATAGTTTTTATGATGAGCGCATGCGTGTAACTGCTGGACCTGCGGAGCTGGTTGAGCGGAAGGATATCCGGTCGAAGGAGTTGAGCCCTCAGGCGGCGAGTAGATTAGACTTTGGGCCTTGGGGAGAGAATACGTCTGCTTTTCTCGCCCCCCTCCTCTCTCTATTGCTGGCAGCCAATATAATTATGCATTTTTGTCTGCGTGTGTCTGCGTGTGTCTGCGTGTGCGCGCATTCGAAGGAGAGCGCGAGTTTGAATTCGATATGACGGGCTGTGTGTGCTGCCCAGCTACTGGACGGGCCATGCTGGGGTAAGAAAACTGTGTGTTGGGGTCAAAGGAATGATTGTGCGCTGGCGGAAAGGGGAGAGTGAAGATGCGTCAGAAGCTGGTTCTTTGCCCTCATCGTGGGGCTGTACAGCCTGTGCCCGGGGATCCACGCCCAATCAAACCCCACGTATATCCAAAGTCTTTAACATGTACGGAGTACGGAGTATATTTTAGTGCCTACCCATGGCGCATGGACCCTTAGAGGATATACGGTGTACAGCGAGTGGAATGATAGGAAGCAATAGCCACAGCAATAAAGTTCGTGAAATGGGGAAACGGAACCTGTGGGCACAATAAAGGCAGAGACTGGCAGTGAAAAGATAAGGAATTGAGAGAAATAAAGAGGCCGAGATTTCACAGACTTCCAATTGTCCACAGGTTTTGTAAGTACGGAGCACTGCCAAGAATGCTATTGTGTACTCGTTCATTCAAGACGGCCTTGGGTTCGAGGGTCCGGAAATGATATCCGGGGAACTCCCAGAGCCCACAGAGAAGATCAGGATACGAACATTGGAGTGTATGAAAAAAAAACCTTGATGACAATTATGTACTACTTCAATCTACCAAGGTTTGGAACGCGTCACAATGCGAGCAGGTATTTAGGTCCTTGCTGCTGCGGGAGTGTGGAAAAAAGATCATTGATCGTTACGGAGTACAAACAGATCTTGATCGTCTAGCCGATATTCGCTTGGAAATGCTGGAAAGGTCTAGAAGAAGATCTACATACCTGCATTACTCCGTACATTTTGATCTCATCATTGGGCAATAATGAATGCCTTAAAACCCTATTGTGTACTATTCTTCTTCTTTTTCTTGGCGCTCTATGTGACTGGTACATGCACATACTGTACAAATATTTGTGCACATCTGCCATTTCCCACTCGGTTTCCAAGGTTTATGAATGAATAACTCTAATCTAAAGATTTGACTTATATATTTCATGTGTAAGTTGTCACAGCGGCAAAATCTACAAGGAAAGGGGATATTGTGGCCCTTTGACTAGAAGCACTAAAGCCGGGGAAGGAAAGGAGAGAGAGAGAGGAGATTTGTTAGGATCTATGAGGGTGCCTCACGTACTCTGTAGCCCTACCTGCCCTTCCTGCACCTGATCTAAAGTCACGCGACTTGCGAACTTGCAGATCCCGACATAAGTTATGAAGATCTGCCAATGATATTTTGTATGAAAACAATCCAAAGATAGTAACTATATAATTCCAAGCAGATTAGAGCGGTTTAGTGTGGGCAATTTTGGTGGGAAACTAACGGATGTACCAAGACTTTTGGGCACGGACTGTATTTTATACTATGCTACAGAATCCCCGACGGCTCTCACCGGTTATCTATATGCATGAGTAATGTTTTTACTGAAGGTTTCTCATATGCAGTATTGAAAAGAGACTTTAAACTTACGTCACAATCTGTGAGAGTATGGAGAAATGAGTACGATAGCTAAGGGTATGTATGGTGGAATATCCTTTACCGCTCCATGCTGAATGGTATATCATGAATCCATGTCAACATTAGGGACCACTTATTCCAAGGTTGAAGAGTTGAGAAAACATCAAAGGAGAAAGCATACTGGAGAGGAATCACAAAATGACCATCATTGTTCATCCTAAATATGATTTGGTTATCCCAGACGAATTGCGCCACATCCACCTTCCCCTCGCCGTTGTAGGCCTTCTTTCTCACACCTTCTTTATTCGCCATCAACATGTCGACCGACTGATAGGAATATATTTCCTTCCTTACATGTGTGCCGAATTGAGCCTCTGGACATGGTTATCCATCCACAATGGCATGTCGGCTTCGGCCACTATCATTTTGCTCTCCAAGGCAAGTTAATGGGCTCCCTTACTGATGAGTATTTCGATCTACCGGCTCTTCTTCCATCCCTTGAAGAATTTCCCAGGGCCTAGAATGGCGCGACTCACAACCTGGTGGGGAGTTCGGAAAATTGCGATGGGGGCAAATCGGTACGAGCTTCACGATGAGCTCCACCGTAAATATGGAGAGATTGTACGAATTGGTCAGTGTGTCAAGGAGGCTTGCTCTGTGTGGAGACAAGATCTAATTTACATATGAGTCAACAGCACCGAATTATTTATCTGTCAATAGCCAAGAAGGCGTGGCTGCTATTTATGACACGGGCACAACATGCGGCAAATCCAATACGTTCTACGGGTTACGAGACGCAAAAAGTCTTCAAATGAAAACCGCGGCTGACAGGCATCGCGCCCGGAGGCCAGTATGGGAGAAGGCGTTGGATACTGAAAGTATGGACACTCTATTCTCTTCTCCGGGTATTTTTTTGAGTAATATGCTGACCGTCTTATTAAGAGTGCCAGGAATATCTTCCCAAGCTCCATCACCATACCGATTTGTTGGTCAGCTGTATTGACGAGGCGGGAGCGAAAGGTAAAAAGGGTGTCCTGATCAATCACTGGTTGAAATGCTTCGTCTTCGATATGGTGGGAGATGTGGGATACAGCAAGTCATATAATTGCCTCAACTCTGGCTCCCTTCACCAAGGCATTCTGGATCTCGAAAAATCCTTGGCAAAAGCAGTGATTCTTTGGCCACTTCCATGGCTGGTCAGAATTATCAACAGTCTCCCCGGCATGTCAAACCCGATGCAGGCTTCCATCGACTTTGCAGCTAGCAATCTTGGCGAGTGGAAGGTTTTCAAGCGCAACAAGGGCCCCGATATTTTATCTTGTGTTTTCCAGGGCAAGAGTGACTTGACTTATGAAGAGGAGGTTGAAGACACCATGATGCTGCAGATCGCCGCTAGCAACACAACTGTCGCTGCGTTGACCTTTGCCATGTATTATCTTTCGGTCAATCCTGAGGTACAGATGGCCCTTCGCAAGGAAATTGAAGCCAACGCGGATGTTACCAACATAGCTTCCGAGGCAATTCAAGGGCTTCCATTGCTAGCAGCTGTCATTGACGAGACTCTCCGAATGCACCCCTCAGTGCCATCTGGACTACCACGCGTGACTCCTCCTGAGGGACTTCAGCTCGGGGGAACCTATATCCCTGGAAAGACCACAGTGAGCTGCCCAACCTGGACCATCCAGCGTAGTGAGTGGACTCCCCTTTATTCCGGCAAAATTGTGTCATGCTATATCCCGATGTAACGTCGACCAAACACTGACATTGCATAGATCCCAAGCATTTCAGCGACCCCAACACTTGGAACCCTTTCCGCTGGATCAACCCCCCGAGAACCACAATACCAAAGCTTTCTTCCCATTCAGTCTGGGTCCGTACGGTTGCGTGGGCAAGGCCTTTGCGTACATGGAGATGAAGCAAGCGCTCGCAAAGTTGGTGACTTCATTTGACTTCAAGATCGCTCCGGGACACGATGAAAACCGAGTGATCAATGAGAGCAAGGATCACACAATCTACTCCTGCGAGCCCATGTGGTTGAAAATGGAAACGATCGCCCGGGAATGATTTTAGCGTTGATCTCCGCTCGGTAGACCCCCGCCGATCGAGATCTTTCAGGTATTCGCCTAGATGTCTGGGCGACCAGCTCTGATTGCTCATCTATAAGAAGACTTGTAAGGAAGAAGAAACACTTGTTAACATAATGGACAAATACTCCATAAGCGAGTTTAAAGCCCCTAGTCTGTAACCTGCTTTCATGTCTTCTTCTACTGTCTTTTTGAGATTATTAGATTTTCAACAAAGACAAATAAAGATAGAATGAGGATGACGATGAAAAGATGAGATAAAGCATGATTCACCTACGGAGTACGGAGCTCATGACTAGCTGTTTGATGACCATGATCCATGGATATGGATAACAGGCTGATCTATGGAGAAGAAGCAAAAATCGCTTCAAAAGTGTAGATTCTGGCTGTCAAGGGGGAAAAGAAGAAAGAAGAAAGAAGAAAGAAGAAAGAAGAAAGAGAGATAGAGAGAGCTATCTAGCTTAGAGGGTCATCGGACCGTCCAACAGTTGTTGTTGATCCTCCAAAATCCATGCCGTAGACCAGTTGACATCAAGTCCACTTATAAGAACAGCAAGGTCAGTGACCTTGGAACCGTGGTACCTCCCGAGACCCAGCGGGGCGGGTGCCGAAGCCCGCGGGAACAACCTTGGAAGGCATGCGCGCTTAGCGCCCCCCACGGGCAGCCCCGATTGGCCGGTGTTTGAATTGATATAAATCGTGTGTTGGACAAGGTTGAGCCTTCTCATACTCCGTAGACAGAGCTTTCCTACTCCGTACCCTGGGATTACTTGAATACGGAAAATTAAATTGGAGCGTTGTGAGTTATCAAACCCCTATGACGAGTGGTAGAAAGTGATGTCATACTTGCCTATCATAATAGGGGCCCCATTACGAGGTCATGTTTTGATGCCTGGCCATTACAGTTCTATCCCTAGACCATTTAACCTCTCATTGTGACCCCAAAACTCTATTTTACCTCATTCTACCTACCCAACTACCATACTACCTGTCAAACTACTTTACAATATACAATGCCTCAGACCTCCAAACCCCCCCAAACTCCCACCAAAAAGCAGTTTACGCGCGACCAAACTTGCAAATTCCTACTCTCCGCACCATGTGCAACTTCTCATACGCGAAGATACGTAATCACATGGCAAAAGAATACCCCGATATCACCTACAATCAAATACGCTATACCTGCGCTGCAGGGCATCCGACCCCTCAAAAACGGCCTGGTCGCGGATTGAGCCTCAGTGATGAAGAAACCGCCAATATAATGGAATGGATTCGAGAAAGTTTTGAAAGACGTCAAATGTCCTATGTTGAAATCGTGGAACAACTTGATTTACGATGTTCTTTCCATACATTGAGATTGGCCCTCGATCGAGCTGGAATGACGTATCATCCAGCGGCTGTGAAGCCACTACCACCCTTGGACTTAGGGGCACATCAAAGATAAGCTGCTGGTCAAAATCGGCAAGAGAAGCAGGAGAAAGGGAGATCGAGGAAAGATAAGAAGCAAGGATTACACATGGGGGCTGATTCGTCCTTCACATCACCAGTAACGATAAGATAGTATGATGTCATCCTTTCTCACTGGCCATATCTACATGTTGTTTATGTTTGCAGTTCGTCCATTAGGTGCAGACTTTTCAGCTCTTGGGAGCTTTACCCAGTTTCACACATTTATACGGTCTCATGCGACCGACAGAAGCATTTTAGCGTATGCCGCGGCGGTCGCGCATGCATATTCCTGCCACAGCTTGTTCTTATGGGAGTCCGCGTAGTCGCATATCCCTCGAATGACAAGGCTAGGAACGGCGTTCATGATCCCAGCAGCCTCCATTTCAAAACAAAGAATGTTGTACTTTGCACCCAGATGATCCCGCGTCTCGGCATCCTTCACAACTTTGTTTCCCGAGGCAATCAGGCCGTAATGGATCAGCGGATGAATTTCGGGGCGGCGCGGTCTTCGGACAGAGCGACCACTGCACTGGGCGAAAAGCTTGTCTTTCCGGGCACCGGGATACTTGTACGCGGGGTTGCACACTGTAATGTCCTTGATATACCCTTGAAATCGTGTGGATGGAAGCTCAGGATCCGACATTAGCGTGCTGATAGCGGTCATCAAGAAACGCGGAGGACGCTGAAGCGAACCCGTTCGTTTGAACTTGTTTTCCTCCATGTTCTTGCCAAGGTCGTATTGAATAACCCCGGGATGGATGTCGGTTGGATGACTGACGACAACATCACCGAGTCGGATGTCATTGTCTCTTGAAGGCACTCCGCCCCCGATCCCGACTAAAAGACAAAACTTCACCTCGGGAAAGCTCCTGGTCAAATGGGACACAACGTCCGCAGCGGCGTTTGTGCCGTATTCACCAGATGGAAGGCACGCAGCAACAACGTGATGACGTGCAATACGACCCAGTGCATAATGATTGGTGTCTCGCACAGCCCTCTCTAAATCTTCATGTCTGTCGTCAAAGAGGATGCGAACCGCCCGGAGCTCTTTTTGCAAGGCACATATGATCCCTACCGTATAACTCTCACGAGTAAGAGTCTCTCCATCTTCATTTGATGGATGTTGAGAGCTGGAAGCTGCTGAACTATGACTTCCCTTCTGAGCTGATGAGTTCGTGTCAGACGCAATCCCACTGTCATGAAACTCGGTCTCAGGTGCCTCGGATGTCTCGGATGGCGGCGACGATTCTCCTTCTTCAGGATATCCAGTATCTTTCCAGGACCATTTGGAGTACTCACTGTGGCCGAAGATAGCCGCACCACGAGCATCTAGTGGAAACTCATGATTGATGGATAGTCTCTTTCTAAACGCTGAAGGCAGAAGAACTTGAACAAGATCCGAGTGCTCATCCTGTCCGTCCAGCAGCTCGCACTGACATGATCCAAATGCAGCTGGATTGTGCCAAATGACGTTATGTGCTAAAACCATCGGGCTTGCTTCTGAATCTCCATCCATGTCCATGATCTCTTTCAGGTCATGGATAGAGGCGGCGAGATAGTACATGGCTTTTGGCAGTTCAGTCCATTTATTACAGGAGCTAGTCCTGATAGGTTCAATGACTTCACCAAAGCGTCGACCGAACAGGGTAACTGCGTGGATAGCTCTGGTGAAATCAACCCAGCCCTTGCCAATTGCTTCGAGCTTGGCAACACGAGGATAGAATATATCGCGACAGGTAGCCAAGTCGTTGAAGTCCCAACCTTCCAGGTATTTTCGGGGTCTGGATGATTTAGCGCTGCTTGGTGTGGCGATGCCGACCTCGTAGTCCATAATTTTCTCCAACGTGTCGTAGAGCTCTTCAACTCGATCTTCCAGGCGGAGATAGTTTTCTTTTCCGAGATATATTGGGAGCTTCCTGTTGCTTTGATTCGCGAGTAATTTCATGGCAGAAAAAGCCTTGCGAGTTTCAGATGCTTCTTGCAGATCCTCAGGATTGAAGAGAAATTCGGTGCTAAGTTCATCCATACTGTCGTGTTTCAGAGAGGCACGGAGTAAGTGTAAAAGAACACTGCCCCCATTGATTAACCATCCTCGTTTGTCTTCTTCGTCCCAAAGCACAAAGAATCTCCGACGGATTGACTTGAGCTTTTCTATGTACCCATTCCGTGATATATGGATCGCGGAGTCTTTGTGACCCATGCTAAACGCGCTGCCAAGAATAATCTGACCCTTGAATAAACGGACATCATTGTAGAGGCAACCCTCCGGCGGTCTTGGGAGCCGTGACGGCGTGATTAGATAGTTGGCCTCCGCAGTCCCTGACAAACCGACGCGTTAGCAAAATACCCAGCGTTTTTTCCGAAGTATTCTTACCAGCGTTGTATCTGGCTTCGGAACACCACCCAAGCACGTGCCGAGCCTTTTCCAAGTCAAAGATGCTGATATCCGCCAGATGAGGCACAGTATGTTGGATGTAGGATATGCGGCTTCGATCTATGTTATACATCAAATGCCAGAGGAGCGTGGGTCCATTTTGTCTTGTTGGAATTAACATTGTCGAAAAACCCTTAATAAAGAGCTTTTTGTTGAAGCTGTTGACACGCTTGGTTCGGGCCAGTCCTGCCATTATGTTAAGTGGGATCTCCAGGCCTGTGCCGGTCTCCGATCTCCATGGAATTGGGTAGCCTGTGACGACAACAGGGTTCCGGAATAAGTTGTGCCAGCATTGCGCATTCGACGTTGTGGATTGCTTCTCTCTCTCCTGAAAGACGAAATCAATCTTGCCAAGGATATGGGGGCAAGACTGATTCCGAGATTCTTGCTGCGAGGCGCTAGATATATAGACGTCACTAATAATCGGCGTGCAGTAGGCAATTCCAAGTTCATGTGGCGAAGAGCGTAGAGCAGCACCCAGCCATGCAAACTGTTCACCGATCTCGGCCACTGAGTTTCCCGTGCCAAACGCCTCGACGTTAAAACCGGACGCATTAAGCCAGGCTGTGACTTTGGTATTGTCGGGTAAATTACCTAGAGGACCACGATTAGTATTAACTCATACCTAGCTATACAGCGTCGTGGACTTACAAGTTTGTCGATTGCCAGGTCCAGCGCGAACGATTTCCATGATTAGCTGAAGAATATATCCACCTGTTGATGGCCATGTCTGGCACAGGTATTGTGCACAAGACAGGGCTTGCGCATCCTCGGATGATCCCGTAAGTGTAATGACTCCCTTGAGTGCCTCGCCTGGCTCCTCCTGATACCCTTGTTCATCGAGAAAATCCAGCGGATTCCATTGGACAACATAGGTCACGGTGTAGGCTTCTGCAGATAACCTTCGGCTGAGTCTGTGAGAAGATGGCAGGGAGGTAAGAATTTTGTTCCTGATAGCTTCCATGATATTTGGCTTCGCTGGGGCCAGGAAGAGCTCTCTGCGTAAGCTGGAAAGAAGCCATTCGTATGATGCGATATTGGAAATAGAACTTTGATAGACAGAGAGCTCAGGCATATCGGATTCTTCGTCCTGTTCTGCCTGTTCTGCCTGTTCTGCCTGTTCTTCTTGTTCCTCCTGTGTGTGAGTATTGTCGGTTGTTGACTCACTAATACAAAGAGAAGGCGGAATGGGGTCTTGCTGCTCTTCTAGGTGCTTGTTCCATAGGTCCCATTTCTCATCCAGAGGCATTCCCATAGAGTCGGAAGACCCATCCTCAGAAAGAACTTCTTCCTCATGGGCACACCTCTCTTTGAAATTGCTCACAATGTTGCTGAGAAATAGTCAAAGTCAGGACAAAGTTAAGGCAAAGTGAGACTTTATCTTTGGAACATTGAACTCACTCTCTGTTCTTGTGAATAAAAACCATAACATCACGATGAATCTGACTGGGTGCATTGTGGCCAATTTTGAGAGCGAAAGCTCTCAGCAATTCAGGAAGAGCCTCGGAAATTCTCTCCATTGCCTGCGCATCAGGTTGCCACGAAACAAGTTTCGTAAACAAATCTTCGCCAAAGAGAGATATGTAGCTTTCCTTTCGAAAAGGAGCAATGCTTGATGTATCAGAGTACACGGTTCGGCCTGCAGCCATCTCCAGGGAGTCATGTGTCGGTGGGGTTTCGAAATCCTCTGCCAACTCGTGTTCAGAAACTGTAGGAAGTCCGAGCCTATCATGCGAAGTACTTTGGACATATCCATGTTTGTCAACATTTGTAGATGCATAGCCAGAATCCGTGAATGCTCCAATCTGGGTGAACCCCGGGGGTTGTACGATATCGGCTGCCCCAGAGTTCTCCATGCTCAAATCCATTGACTCGTCTGAGTCCCACTCCTGTAAATGAACGTCTGGGATACTGGATTCCATTCTGAGCTCCTTCTTCGGAGGTGATTGGAGGTGTGTCCTATTCCTATCACCATCACCAGAAAAGCAGGTTGTCCCCATCTGATCGTCCTGCTTCAATCGCCTTTGCTTGTGCAGACCCGCAGCGATCTCGATGATCTCAGATGGAAGCTCAAAGTCCCGCCTTTCCAAATCGGGGATGGGATGACCAAAGGCAAAGCGCGCCCGGCCCTTGCCATTTGCGGATAAGGCTATTTCGCGGAGAGGGGGCGTTGCGTAGAAAGAGGTGAACAGTTTGGTTTGGCCGAGGGCTGGGGGGAGCGTGGGGGTCCGGGGTGTGGGGTTGGTGTGCGTATGGCTCTGTTGTTGGTGTTGCCGGGATTGATGAGAGTCAGGGTGATCATCACCATGGCGTTGCAGAGAATCATGAGTTTGAAGGACCTGGTGAGGGTATACGGGATTGTGGGGAGCTTGGTTTAGTAGGACCGAATCCAAAGAAGGTGGAGGAAGGTCAATTGTAGCAGGTGAAGTGGTCAGCCATCGCCACGTGGTGGTGCCAATCTCTCCTGGTCGCGTCTGTCGAAATTTCCAGAGAAGGATGGCCATTCTCTTGCTTTCGTGACCCAAGGGCTCACGGGCCCGGATTTCCTGAACGGCGCTTAGGGAGCGAAAGTATCGCCGAGTAGTATCATCACTCATATCATACTGTGCGGCTTTTTCAGTCTCCTTTTTTTGATGGGTAAGTTGTGTGAAAATCCTTGCCCACCATGATGACTCAAACGGCAGCTTGATGGTTGTGGTGGTATGCGGCAGGGGGAGATCATGCTCTGTTTGTATCGTCGCCTGCCCGTTGTCATATATGTAATTGCTGCACGTCCAATCCTTCATAATGCTACTCATCGGTGCAATATCAGGTATGGAATTGACTCTGTCCAGCTCCAGGGAAATTTCTAGCTTCGAACCCATAGGAGGAAAGTCATCCATCAACCCAAGATTGACTTCGAAGAGTATAATATCACACCCCAAAGGGCCTCTGATACTCGAGAGTAATGCAGCCAGATGCGGAAAGTAAGTTTGCCAACCCCCCATGTACTGCAATGGTATTGGTGGTGAACCCTGGTCCCCCAGAAGACGGGTATATACATGGAAAGCATCCTCGATTCGGTCTGACGTGTTTGGAGTATTCACCCACATGTCAAAGCGAAGACACTGGACGGCATGGATATGATTACTGTAGTGATTAGAAGGTTTATTGTCCTTCGAGCTCCCCCATGTAGAACCAAGAGGCTGAGCCAGGTCATTCGAATGGTTGGTTGATTGTTCTCGAACGAGCCGTTCCCCTGTATTTCTTGTCAGATCACGCCGATAACTGTATCCTGATATTGTTGCACTTACAGTCCGGGTCACCCTTGAGAAAGGAATCAAGTACTTGCAAGTGAGCTGACACCTGTTGTCTTGTCCTCCGCTGGCCAGTCATCCGATACATAAACTCTGCAATCAATTGATTTCGGCCATACGATTTCCCATTTTCGGTCAACTTTCTCCTACCCATCGGTGGGTATGCTTCAAGAGCTGCATCATCCATTAGTGGCTTGCTAGTATGAACAAAAAATGCGACTTACCTTGCTGAAATGCATCTTCCAGCTCGTCTGACCACACTACGTCCCCATCTTTCCCAGTACCCCGACATCGCCGGGCCCTATACTCCAGATACTTTTGGGATCTCAGATAGCTCCTTCCCCGTCGAGCACCACTAGATGGCCCGACGCTTGACTTTATGCGTAGCCGCCTTGCGTGCTCCCTCGCGAGCTGCCTCGCGAGCTGGTGTCGTTGGCTCGATAGCGGGTGGTTGGTAGAAGTCCGGGGTGGAAGGGTGGAACCAGATCCTGTGGTCTCACTGGGTGTTGGGGCGTCTTTATCTGTATCCTGCGGAAGATGAAGAAAGGAGCGAAGGCCTAAGCTCTCTAGACCTGGCAGGTTCATATTCTTGGGTTGCCGATCAGACTCCATAGTTGGACCATTCGATTCGGCTCGGGCTAGAAATTCTGAAATGATGGTGCAGAGGGTCGCAGACAGCAAAGAATATAATACTGATTCCATCGACAAGGCTAGAGCCTCATCGAATCGCATGTGGCCACATGGCTCAGCGAGATGTAAGCGAAAGATTCCAACGCATCGGCCGATGCAGAAAACGGGCTAACCTTACTTAGTGATCCTGCGGCTGATCAGATCAGATGTCAACAACCTGGCGCTTGTATATCCAATCTCTACTTACTCGTGTATTAGAAGGCCCAGTCTGCAACACAACCCATAATAAACAGAACACAGGGAGAAATCAGCATTACAATGTAAAGGGTAGACCTCGACAGGAGTCGCGACTCTCCTGGTTCGATTCGACTCGGAACCGCCAAGACTCACGCCCAATTCTAAGGTTTTGGAACCGCGATCCGACCCCACGGCTTTTGGAGAACCGGTTCTCAGGTTCCTCAAACAGTAGTGACTTAGGTGGTGATATAAAGAATCATATAGAAATCTAGATCAAATTAGCGCTTCCAATAAGTCCGTAAAATTCAAATAATTAGCATAATAAACTTTTGGTGTTTTGGCAGATACGAAGGTGTATAGCGCCCAAGGGTCGGATGCGCATTTTCATGCCTGATAATGCCTAAGGATGTCTGATCTTAGGCGGAAAATGTGATGCCTGAATTACAATTACACCTTCATCTATATGTGGATCTTATGTACGGAGTAGTAAGGAATGTCTCCTTTCACGGAAGTGAAAGTTTGTCCACCTAAGCCTCAACAACATTTACTGAGCCGTTGAGACCGTCAACGCCTACTCCGTACGGAGTAAGCAGATACGCGTCATGAAGTGAGCCAAAATTCCGAGATAACCTCGAACCCGACAAAGGGGTTCGTGCCCTCCACAAAAAGCTTGTTATCGAAAAACGTCACACAAGCCTGGAGATTTCACCAATCGTTATTACTCCGTACCTAGATGACCCTTGTTGATTGGGTAATTCGGCATGTCAGCGTGGAAGCGTGCTGTCCTGCAGCTCAACCCGACCACTCGTGGGCCTTCGGATGTGGCGCTGCATGTACGTGGAAGCCTTTGAAGCCTTCCGACAAACCAATTTGTCTCCGGAGTATTGAGCCCGTCACAAGCTTTGTTAGATCCCCGACTCAACTCCACATGCTTCCGGATGATCGGCCGGCAGCCCACGGACCCCATCCCCTATCCACCCGGAGTAAATACTTCGGAAGGGCTCCACGATGACACTGCTCCAAAACCCGAAGCTCTATCGTGCGAGAAATGATAGAGCGCTCATTCAAAGCGCGATCCGATGGCAACGAACATACAAATAGTCCGCTCAAGGACTCCCTTCGTCCTCCATCACTCTCAACATCCTTACAACATTCCAGCAAGCCTAAAACCATCTGATTCGATTGAATCCACCTGCACAAATCCAACTCACTCCGTATCAAATCAGACGAAATGGGTTTACAAGACAAGCGAGTTGTGGTCGTCGGCGGTGGCCTCAGAGGCATGGCGTTCATGAACGCCGCTCTCTACGCCGGGGTCAAAAACATCCAGTGCTACGAACAAGCCCACCAATTTAGTGAAGTGGGCGCGGAAGTAGATATCACAGCCAACGCAAACCGCATCCTCGATGCCTTCGGTCTCCAGGACTCGTTGGTCAGCCGCTCATCGCCCCAGCTACCGTACTACATACAGGACCACAACTACCAATCTGACGAGTATCTCGGCCACATTGAAGAGTTCTCCAAGCCACATACACGTCTGATTCACCGCACCTATCTCCTCGATTCTCTCAAAGAGCCCGTCCCCGAAGAGAAGTTGCACCTGCAGAAGCGTCTCGCTTTCATCGAACGCAATGGGGAGAGTACGCCGTACACTCTGTATTTTGAAGACGGCACTACCGCAGAGGCAGATATTGTCATTAGATGCGACGGGATTAAGTCCAGGGTCCGTTGTGAATTAGGCTTCAGCGACTCCCCCACCTACTCCGGCCAGGTAGTCTATCGCGGCTTCGTCGAGTACAAAGACCTACCCGAGAATACAGCCACACTCCTCCGCAACGTCGTGAACTTCTGCGGTCCTAAACGCCATCTTCTGTGCCTTCCGATCGGCAACCCAGCCACGAACACCGATCGCGTCGGAGTGATTGGCTTTATGACCGAGTCTCTGGATAGCTGGGATTCGGAGAACTGGATGGCTCGCGCCGAGATCACCACCCTGCACGACCATGTCCGAGACTGGTGTCCCCAGGTACAGGATATTATCGCAGGTCTGCAGGCCGGTTCGCCCGATGGCCGGATGATGAAACAGGCCCTGTACGTGCGCGATCCGCTCGCGAAATGGTTCGAGATGAATGAGCAGAACGCGGGGATCGTTCTTCTCGGCGATGCGGTTCACTCGACTCTCCCCCATCAGGGTAAGCTGATTTCTAGTATTGCCAGCCCCCTTCATTCACACGCTAACATTGTATAGGTCAGGGTGTGTGCATGGCGATCGAGTCCGGGATTGCACTGGCTACCATTCTTGCTCACTGGAAGAATGACGACCTCCAAGCTGCCTTCCAGTTCTATCAGGACTTGCGTAAGCCGCGCACCGATCGTGTTACCAGGACTAGCTTCGAGGCTGGGAAACTGGCTAGCTCGGACGCTCCGGATCAACTGAGCGAAAGCTTTAACCCCCAAGTCCTGATGGAGCGTATGAAGTGGATTATGGAGTATAATGTCCTCGATGATTTGAAGGTTAAAGGGGCGGAATGTATGGATTTCCGTGATTCCCGCATCTGATCATCGGGTGATATATTTTGGATGTTGGGGGATGAAGTCCTACTACAGGGACATCGCCGTTAAGGACGTTGCAAACTTCTTTTCAGTTCCCTTTCAAGTCCCAAGTTTGATGAGCCCATGTTTTCTGGGACTTATTACTGGTCTTTCGTTGTTGGATTTCTTTGATCTTCTTCTGCATTTTTGGTGACTTTTGCTTCTGCTGCCTGCTCCCCGCGATAGATTTCTTTGGCCAGCCTTGGAACTAGTGCATTAATACATTTAATTATTCAGACATGCCGCACAGGTAACTCCCGAGGTCTCTAATCGACGATGATCATATTAAAGTTGATGATAAATAAATGTGATTTGTAGGTTCTTAGTAAATAATGTCACCTTCATACTTCTTCATAAGCTGACCAGTAGGATCTTCACCAGATACATGAGCCCAGGCACCCGCGAAATGGATTACAAACATGCCCTTCTCCCATTTCCTTTTGTGTGTATCGTAGCAACCGATTTCTTCTGGGAAGGCATTGATCGTCCACTGCGGGATACGCATCGCATGCTGGACAAGAGGATCCTTGGTCTTCAGAAATCGGGCCATCGAGTCTTGGTCGCTCAGTGAAACTCCACCGAGGACCTCTTCCCTGTCGTGGAGAGCGCGTACTCCATTGAGGAACTCTATGGAGCGCGCTGAGGATCGTGCAATGAACGAACCATCGTTGAGTCCGTTGCTGAGGAATGATTAGAAATCAGGTCCTTGGGCTCGGTGGACGTGGGCTTTTGGATCACTTACCAATCGTCTGTGACAAGCAGATCAATGTCATTTGGCATTGTCACATTCGCCAGGTTCTCGGAAATCAGGTTCGTCAAGCTTACGCTGGTATTTGTGATAAGCGTATCAAAGTCCAAATACCATACCCAGTCGTGTTGATTGGCTTTGATTACGCGTTCGACCATGTCGAACTTTAGCCATGTCGTGCCTCGTGAGGAATTAGACTCGTAATCAACGAAAAGGTCATAACCGTGAAGTCTCGCATATCCTATGAGTTGGGAAAGGTTAGTAACTTTTTTTTTCAAGGAAGGTATGTGTAGATCGAAACACGGAGTCAAGACTACATACTATCTTTGTTTTGAAGAGAGAGGTGCATGTAAGTCTGCGGCTTTGTTATGAAAACAACAATAGCGACGCGAGGTCCCGAGTGATCCTCAGTCTGACGGAGATAGGGAAGGGTGCTCAAATCTTTTTGACTGGCGATGAGTTGCCAAGTCAAGACTGAGACCAATAACAGGAAGAATATTGTATTTCTGAACGACCGGGAGGTTCGACGACTCATCGGTTTGGGTGATTTCGCATCGTGTGTTTGAGAGGCGAATCCATACGGCCACCCAAATGGCACCCAGTGTTTGAACATCGCAAATGGTCGATCTTCTAGCAATTGGTGTGAAATGTGGTTAGGTCCAACGAAGCACTTATTAAATTAACTAGCGTGAAAGTTCTTTACCAATGGGTTGTTCTTGCCCACCCATTTCCTATTGGCTCAATGCTGGAAGGAATTAACTTCCCCCCTAGATTTCTTGGGATTGGATATTTTGAGATGTAACGCGACCGAGGACGGACGTTCTTGTAGCGTACACATCCGTAGGAATGAATATCGATATAACGCCTATAGTACTGGTGTAGATAGACTCCATTGGACGGATGCCGCCACCGGTCACATACCCAAAGCCCGAAATATAGTTTGAGGGCACAGACCAGGCCAATTTTGACAGTGAGGATCGTATCCCTTCCGCTGGGAATGTCCAACCCCTTTTGCAATTGGCCCATTCAGCCCCATCAGAACTTTAAACCTTTGATACTTGGTTCAATGCTTAGGTTTGACCGTGTAAACTATGGCCTCCGGCACCCCAGTTTATTCAAACCCTTTCAAATGCCTTCAAAGTTTGTCCAGTTCCTCTATCCTTTGGAATGACAAATAGAGACCTTGCTATCTCTACCGGCTAATTTTTCCGTATTTTCGCATAGTTAGACCTCTTGAGCTGACATGATACTAGATATTCATTCTACAACAACAGTTATTTTACTCAATAATAAACACAGTTCTTTGATTTTCACTTTTCGCTGCAAGAATGGTTATTGAAAAAGAAAAAGAAAAAGAAAAAGAAAAGAAAAGAAAAGAAAAGAAAAGAAAAGAAAAAGAAAAAGAAAAAGAAAATACACCATGGCTTTCTAGACAGAACTTGACATCAAGTCAGCGTATCCTTATTTAAATTATATTTCGTGATAGAATATAAACGAGGAATTGCTCTTTACGAACCTATACACAAGCCTTGCAAGGTTGATACTAGATAGGGTTGTTTGTCGACACACGGGGATCTGTGCCAGGGGCACGCACAAGGGACCAATCAAAATGCCACCTGACTGCGCTTTAGTGGCCGGAAGAATTAGCCGGGGCTTGTGTACATGCGTATGTTGCACCTCCCTAACTTCCACATTTCTTTCTCGTATAGGTGAATCAAATTCCAGAAAACACATCCAGGCATTTGGTTCTCGATGGCAATGTCTGAATAGTGAGCGGATGGCAGCGAGGAAAAGCTATATATTGTGCCCTCTGCCGCCAGGATGTGAACGAGTATCCATCACAACAGTCGGCACAGTTCAGCCTGATTCACTCTTTTCCACTTCGTTCATCACTCAAACAAAAAGGCCTTGCCAAAATGCGTTTCGCTCTCGCTCTTCTGTGTGCTACTCTGGTCTCTGCCCTCCCCAGCGAGCTTGGCGGAGATAAGAAAAAGTGGGATGGTGACTCCTGGGAGGGACCGAAGGACAATTCGGTCAAGGTCATCAGCGGCGGAAAAGGTGGTGGAGTTGGCGGCTCCGTTGGAAGCATTGGCGTTGGCACCGGCGGTGGTGGCGGCGGTAACTGTGACCCCGTTGCCTGCGACATCAAGGTAAGATACCTCTAGAGCCTTGGGAGGGTCTGTCGATAATAACACACATAACAGTGCAAGAAATTGGGCAACCAGTCTGGCTACTGCGACACCAGCGGTTCCAGCGGCCTGCTTGGACTCGACGTTCTTAACGAAAATACGTCGTGAGTTTCTCTTTGCAATTACAAGAATTAACCAGCTAATGCCAGCAGGGGCTGCATTTGTGTTCCGAACACTTCTTCTTGCACCACGACTACCACCGTCATCTCGACTGGTACAGCAACTGCCACGAACACTGTCACGGCTACGAATACCGCAACCGCTACCGTGACCAACACCAACACCATCACCGATACGATCAGTACCACGACCACGGCCACGACCACGACAACTGCGACTTCTTGCCCGACCAACTACGCATGCTTCTGCTGCACGAATCAAACTCAACTGGACCAAGATTTCCTCACTGGTACATGCGACATCATCTCAAGCGGCACCACATGCCCAGTCGGGAACGGCCAAGGCAGAAGATGGAAAGTCTGTTGCAACGGCGATGGACAGTGTACACAGACAGAGCAGTAATCGCGTCGAAAGGATTGATGCACTGGCTCCTGGCCGTCCAATCGTCCAGTTCGAGGTTCTGTTTGATTACTTTCAATTCGTTTCTTCCTCTCAGTCATTCATGACTTGGAGGCTTGTTTTCACAGGTGATTCGTGGCTTTGGTTTGACAGGAGACTTGATTTGTACTATTTTTAATATTTGACCCCAGCACACTGTGTTGTCTCTTTGCTTGTTTCATTATATGGTCGCATGATGGTGTCTTCCATACCCTTGTCAAAGAGAACTTGCTTAGGTAGTCATTAGGTAGTTTATCAATTCATTTCGCTTCAAGACGTTCTGAGATTTTCATTTTTGCATCATCTTTCAATGTGTAGTAAGACCGAGATTCCAAGTCGGCACTTGGAGCTGCACTCGCTACATAAGGCATAGATCACTACCAGTATTCTTTCTTTTTGCATCTTTTCGTTCTCCATGAATGAAAATTGTTGTTTTGTTTTGTTTTGTTTTATCAGCTTTGTGTCCGCCAACAGACTACCAAAAAATTTGCATATTTGGTGACAAGTCAATGGAGGAAGAAAAAGCAAAAACATACAACAGTGAGGATTCGCTGGTGGTCACCCACCCAACTACTAACTCACCGGCGTGTGGCTTAAGTACGGCTGAGCGGACGGGAAGCCCTGTTCTCCACACCCTGTGGTCGTATGTGCTTGATTTCACAAAGAGCTGGTTTATATGAAATCAAATTAATCAGAAAATGCTTCTCAATTTTGTCCGGGTCTGTGTGCAAAGACATCGATATAGTGAGTTGCTCATGGGCACTGCACAAGGCTCCATCGACAGTTGGGTGTGGGCTTTTCATAGAATATACTGCAAAGTACTCCGTACGGAATAGTAAGAAAAAAGTGAACTGTAGTAGGAAGATAGCCAAAAGGGCCGTACTCTGTACCTGACGGAGGATCATGTACGGAGTACTCCGTAGTTTTACATAGTTTCCAAGGTTTAACTAGCCCCTGGAGCCTTTGTTTTGATGTGACCAATCAAAGTAGAGAAGACCACGTGATAGACATAGCGTGTTGTGTTTTATTGACGTCCACTCACTCCGTACTCCTACTCCGTACTCAGTGTGTCGATTTAGCTACGCGAGAAATGCTGTACACCTACAGAGTACTTTAACCGTCTGAGACCGACGTTCTCCACAGCTCCTGTCGACAGTGGGCCTGTCCAAATTGGGAAATCATCGTCTCCACTGTCGACAGGAGCTGTGCCTCCCGTACGGAGTACCCGAGCAATTGCGGCTGACCGGACGATCTTGCAACTACTTCGTCTACGGAGTACTCGGGGTCGGAATATTGTTTTGAGAGACGGTCCTCCCTGGTTCACCTTCATGCTCAAGTTGTAGAAAAGACAACTTCATCATACCTGGGCGTTGAGAGATATTATGGGTGGAAATGATTGTTTATGATCCACATAGATCGGGTCAAGGTGTGGAGTCGGAGTTCCATTTCCAGCCTCCTACAGGACAGATACGGGGGTTTCCCATACTCGTGGGATTTTAGCCTACAGTTCGTCCACGGATCATGGGTCAATTAATGGTCTTGTCCAAATACTATGATCCGTATCGTTCATCATGATTCGCTATTAGGGCTAATCAAGGAGAAGGATGATAAGCCAATGAATATCCAGGCCAACTGGTATGGAGTACAATCCAAAGTTTCAACTGGCGACCATCACGCTGTGGATCATGAAAGGCCAGGGGTTATTCGCACTCGATGCGTCAAGTTAATTGAGGGTGCGCAGCGCCACTGCGATTGAATCTCTCCACGATCGGCGGAGAACCATTTCCCAGCCTATTCGAATGAAGGGCTTGCCGCTTTGTGGAGACTCAGATCCACTTTATCGAGCTCAGCTCTCTCTGCCGTCCTGCACGCATAATGCACTAATTAATACACAATAACCCGGCAGCCCGGTCGGAATTTCTCCTCACCCCAACACGCAGGCCTCGGAACCAGAGCTCCCTGTTTGGAGTTACATACACGAGATCATGGGACTGCGCGCGCTCTGCTATAGCAGAGGTGACAAAGGCGACGGTAGCCCGGATCCTCCAGCTCGACTGGTTCAGGCACCGCCCGAGAAGAATAGGCAAAATTCACCACCCAGGTCAAACAGGAGCCACCTTTGCCTGCTATAACTCTTGGGGAGTTGACGCCAGCAGAGTCGGACCAGGAAAAGCCGAGTCAACCGACACCAAGCCCGCAGGCACCGAGCCAGCGCGATCTGTGGAAAGAGGCATATGACAGCCTGGATCTCTCCCAGCAGAAGCACCTTGGCTCAGAGGGTGTCCCTGCTACTGCGGCCATCAATCAAGTCGTCGATGACACGACGGCCAAGTATGAACAGTGGCAGAAGGGTGGTCTGAAGATCCGTCGAAAGGATGGAAATGATATCAACCTGCGCGATTGCTCCGAGAGAATCCTGAATGCAGCCTTGCAGGCCAGCGATGTCATCACGAAAGCTGTCTCTTTCGATCCCACAGGCAAAGCATCCACTGCTTGGATGGTCATCTCCTTTGGAATGAGTGTACTGTATCCCCTTTCCTGGCCCAGGATTGTTTACGATGGATACTGATACGAGATAAAGATTGTCCAAAACAGACTCGACCGTCGGGACGCTATTTTCGCTGTCTCGGGGTACCTCGCCGAAACTCTTTCCTACTACACGTTGATCGACGTCAACTACCGAAACCAGAATGTCGGAGGTGATAACAACCTCGACGAGGCCCTGCTTCGCGTTTACACGGCGATACTCGAATTCACGGTTGAGGTAAAGAGAGGGCGGGACGAGAATGAAGCTAGTGAGTGAGCGACTTTGGGAATATCCCAGTGCAAGCCCCCAAATTCGTGGTGGAGATTCCAAGCTGACGTCTGACTTACATCCAGAACGCACCTTCCAGAGTGTGATGGCTCTCACTGACCAGCCACTGCAAACTTTGAAGGACGCGATCAACTCACAAAGTGTGATGGCTGAAAAGTGGGCTAGCTTGGCCGCTAATCTCGGTAGGAAACAGGTTCGGCTTCTTCATATGGGAACGCACTAACGGAAAACAGGCGACGGAGCATCTTGCGAAGACAGACGCGGTCCTAGTGGGCGTGAAGAATCTTGCAACAAAAGCGCTGACTGCCGAGGAAGAAGCCCAACTCAATTGGATGTCAGACGCCCCTTACTCGAATCACCAAAGAGCTTTGCAAAAGAAAAAAGCCGATGATACTGGTGTTTGGCTACTGGATTTACCCGAGTACAACAATTGGAAGACGACTCCTGGAAGCCTTCTATGGCTGCCGGGGATTTCTGGCTGCGGAAAATCTGTTCTCTGCTCTACTGTCATCCAGGACATCCAAGAGGACTGCTCACTGAATCCATCGAAGCTCCTTGGATACTGGTATTTCCAATTCGGTATCGATGCAACTCAAAGCATTGATGCGATGACCCGATCGCTCATCAGGCAATTGAGTCGATCACCCGTGGCGCCAGAGGTGACCAAAATTTGGAAAGACCACCATCTCAAGGGGAGCCAGCCTGATACGAATGCCGTCTCCGACGTTCTCGATGATCTCCTTTCCCATTTGACCAGTGATGTTTACTTAGTCCTCGATGCGCTGGATGAATGCCCAGAAAACGAGGAATCCAAGGAGAGAGCTCTGGTTCTTGACTTCCTCGAAAAGCTTCTTGAGCGACAGGGTAACGAGGCCCAGGTGCATATCCTGGTCACTAGTCGCCCAGAGCAAGACATCAAGGAGAGACTTGATCGATTCTCAAAGATTGACTTAGAAGCCCACCTGGCCGAGGATGTGAAAACCTTTGTCAACTCATCCCTTACAAAACGCCCCCTCAACAGATGGGACGCGAGTATTCATCAGCTGATCTGCGATGAATTGCTAAACTCCAAAGAACGGTATGTAATTCACATCCACTGCTTTCTTCCAGCCTTTCTCATGACCTTGTCACTAACATGTTCCAGACGTTTCCGATGGGCAGAGTTGCAGATCATAGCACTTAAGAGATGTCGTAATGAAGATCAGATCAAGGACACCCTGAAAACAATCCCTCAAACCCTGGAAGAGACTTATCGCAAAGTCCTCGACAACATTGACTCAAAAGATGAGGAATTGGCTCGTGAGATTCTCATGATCATCTGTCTCTCACCTGTGGTTTTCGACGCGAAGACAGTTGCAGATATGGTAAAATTGCCTATCCCAGGCATCCTTGTCGAAATCTGCACAACATCGTTTATCACTTTATTCGATGAAAACGTCCAGTTAGCCCATTTCTCTGTGCCAGAGTTTTTGATTGTCCTAGAAGAAGGGGGGCATCACCACCCATGCCAGTTTTCCGCTGCTAGTGGCCATCGTTATCTTACGGAGAAACCTGTGGATATTCTTCTTGAGCAGACGGAAGTCTTGACCCAAGCTACTGCAAAGAGCAAGGTTCCATTCTTGTACGCGTCAAAGCACTGGCACACCCATATGACTGCTGCTGGAGGTTTCGATCAGCTCTCACCAGAGCTACAGGCCAAGATCAATCTTCTATTTACCGAACCCGATGTTTACTTCAATTGGGTACGGGCAGGCGAGAGTAACAGTCGAGACAATGAGTGGAGTAAACTCTCCAATGAGTGTCAGCCCCCAATTCACATGGCTTCCATTATGGGCCTGGCTCAAGCAGTGAACAGTCTGCTTGCCCAGGGTGCGGACCCTGAAAAACCATACAACGTCGACCTTGACTACAATTTCACAGGCGATTCATTCACCGTGGCTGCCAATTGTGGGTGTTTTGATGTTCTGCAAACGCTCCTGGATAAAACCCCAACCATAAATCCTAGCGTGGTCGGAATGATTTTGTCTCACATAGACCCTCTGAAACTTGGAAAAGTCCAGCTGGCATCTATTTTGCAAAAGCTATGGGACCTCAACCTACTCCGCAACCAGTCCCCGGATGCTGCCAATGAAATTGACGAGCATTTGATTTGGCGTGCGATGGGTAATATGTACTCTGCAGTCGATATTATGGAAGTTTTCATAGATTGGCAACAGAGCGGTTTGGTGCTGATGCCGCAAAGCGTTTTCCTAAACGCAGCCTGCGAAAACAAGAATGTGCTTGAACTTCTTCTCGAGCGCTGTCAGTTTCAGGTTTCACCAACCTTCCGAGAAGAGTTGAAGACCAAATCGACCTTTGGTACGGCTTCTGGACTCGCTGTGCTGGCCATCAAACGACCCGATGAGTTTCCTGTGGACCAAGAACTTTTTGAAACATTTGCACAAGGTCTTGGCCTGGACGAGATGACTTCCATAATGCAGCTAAGAAAGTCGGATGCTCTTGTTACGACGGATATACTGGAAAAAGCAGCTGGTAACAAAAACATCTTCCCACTGCTTTGGCCCGAAAGGGAACCCAGCACAGTCATCACCGAATTAATGATAATCAATGCTGCAGCCAATGAATCCCATTCGAAGGAAATGTTAGGCTTCATTAAAGAGCACATGGATCTGCAGATGGGTTTGAGTGAGGAGACGATTCACGAACTCTTGTCCACCACCTCCACAGAAGGGGTCGCTACTCTGGATATGCTCCTGAGCCTGCCATCTTTGTCTTTTTCGGTGTCTGAAAGGATATTGGAGATCATATCCTCACACAGAGAATCGACGGAAATGTTGACCCTTTTGGTGAGCAAGGGCTTTGAGATCGCCATCACAGAAGGTGTTGTAACGTCCGCAGCCTCAAACAAGTTCCAAGCTCCTGAGATTGTCAAATATCTCATGGGTCTTCACGGCAAGCCTCTTCCGGTCGCGGAATCCACTGTTATCGCAGGCGTCCAAAATTCCAAGTTTGGCGCGGACGTTCTTGAAATTCTCTCACAAAACACGCCACCCAGCCTATTGACCGATAAGGTTTTTGAAGGGGCATGCCAAAACAAAGATGCCCTGATTACGCTCCTGAAAAGGCGCCGGGACAGCCTACCTATTGGTCCGATGTTAGTCAAAATTGCGGATGCTCCTGCTTACAAAAGGGGCCCTGAGCATTCGCCTACAAGGCTTTAAAGGTTCTTCTTGAGCACGATCTTGTCAATATCGACGAGACTGTGGTTGAAACGCTGGCGATTAACTTTTACCCCTTGAACGCTTTGTTATCCTGGAAGCCCAACGTACCAATCACCGAGAAGGCCCTTATAGCCGGTGCAGCGGACGAGCGCTCAATGCGGGTGATGCTAGAAGCCGGAGCTCATGATGTACATGTGTCAGAAGATGTCTTGATAGCTGCGACGCAATCATACGAAGCCAAGGACGTGATAAACGTTATACAACATCGGTTTGGACCAATCAACGTCACGGAGAACGTGATGAGAGCGTGTATCAAGAAATGTGATTTCCCAGTGATGAATTGGCTGGTTGAGCGGACGCCGGAGCCTGTGATTGCAAAATTTGTTTCGTGGGACACCTGGCAGGATCCCGATTTATGGAGCTACAGATCCAGATGTGTCGTCCTGGTAGGAGGTATTTTCAAGAAAACGGTTTCAAGAATTTCCACCCTCAAGTCACTGGATTTACCGTTTGATCTCGACGAAGAGCGAATCTCACGACTCAAGGAGTTAATTTTCAAGAGAAGAGAAGAGCTGTCAGAGGTCCCTGCTACTGATCTGGCCCCGCAGCTTCTTGTCGAACTGTGTTTCAATGAAACAATTGAGGAGCTCTGGGAGGATCACCAATTTGCAGTGACGGATCGTTTGATTGAAGCGACAGAGAGAAACATGGTTGCGGACAAGGAGCAGCTGAAGTTGTTCCTGGAGCAAAAGAGAGGTTAGACCAGGGAACCACCGAGTTGCAAATCCAAATATACCAGGGAAAACTGTATGATGGAATCTTTCAATAATTGCATTGATTATTATCATGGCCTGGGTGTTCACAACGCAACCGCTATCCCAATTCAATCTCCGAGCTAAATTACACGCATGGACTCTATGCCACTTAAAGTTAGGAGCCGTCTACCCGCAAATCTCCGATATAAACCAACTCAATGTCATTCCAGGCATATACGACCACAGGGAGTAGAGAACAGGGCTTTTTGTCCGCTTAGCTTAAGCCATATTATAGAATACGTTGTCATGCTCGTTCGCATCACATGATCTCCTGGGTCTCTCCCAAGGTCTCTCTCTGGCTGAAAGAAATAAATTGGCTAGTATCAGATGCCGACTTGAGTTTCAAGATTTATAAAAGCTCTGTAATACCTGGGTACAAATCACTGCCATGCCAGTGAGACATACATACCGCCAAGAGAGACTCAGGGGGATGCTAAAGACTTGTGATACTGGCCATTCTCATCTCATGAAGGGAAAGAATCCTTCCACGAGTGTCCTCATCCATGTGTTATTGTTGAGCGTATTGAAAGAAGACTAGGTGTGAGGTGTCTCACTGTTGCGAGGTAAGAAGAATCTTCGAGTTCCAAACTACATGGACTCGCGGAGAGCATCATACATAACTTATATAGGCTTACTCCGTATATGCATCATGCATGGAGAGGATGAGATTGAACGTGCAGCATCTAATTGGGGAACTCTCTGCCGGCCCAGCAATCATGGAGCACACAGCCCGACCCGAGCCCGACCCTAGGCAGATCGCTTCAAAAAATCACGACTGCCTCCAGGGATGATTTCTCAGCTTGGGCCTCATTCCATGCCTTTTCTTGCCTTCGTTGTACTCCCCAGGCGGCTTCCGTGGTGGAAAAGGCAAGGCTGAAACGAGACCGAAACGGGGAAAACTCTGCTCGCCTTATGGCTTTGTCTTCAACACTACAATCAAAATTCAGCCTCACAAGCTATTAGCGCAAGGCTGGCCTTGCATCCTTGAGTAGTTGATTAAGGTCATCTGACTGGGCGTTTAGCCACTTTCAAGCAACCAGTTCCTTAGTCTCTATCTGTGCCCGTATGCCCCCCTTATTTGTGACCTCTGTCTACTCCGTACTCCATACGCAGTACTGCATTACCAATTACTGTTGGGAGATCAGGTGACCCCCGTTGGCTAGATAGCTCTCTCTCTCTCTCTCTCTCTCTCTCTCTTCCTTCTTTTCCCCGGTCGGTCTTTTTGCTTCACAACCACAATCTACTGTTTTGAAGCGATTCGTGCTTCTCCTCAGTAGATCAGCCTGTTCTCAATTACGTCTGCTCCAGAGGCTCAAAATAAGACGCCAAGCGTTAGAAAACCGCCTGCACCCGGGCTTTTAGAGCCCGGGTGCAGGACGACTTCCAATTCTCTAACTAACACTAGCCATATTAGGAAGTACTCCGTATTAATGCTAACAGACGGATTTGGGGGAAGAGAAGATGCAGGTCTCGAATTTCGTTTCTTAGGTGAGTGCGATTACTGGACCCTTGGCGCAGGTGGGCGCAGGTTGGCGCAAGACCATTGGGTTGGATTAAAATAATTCAAAGTTTCCCACCACACTCATGCAGGTTTGCACCCACTAGGTGCCGCTAAATATGCACCTACCGCAACCCCTCGTGTTCAGCGATTTTTGGGAACTGCAGTCTCGTGGGCGGTTGAATAAAGAGTCCGAGGGAGAAGCAGGCTGAGTGGATAAATACAACTCAACCCCCAGTTTCGATCGGTTCATTATAATCACCCTGGGCTTTGATCTTTACAGGTATAATAAGCATCCAGAATTTCACGGCGAGAGGATCCAAAGAGTTTGAAATAGTCACCCCTTGCCGATGCCATCATGCCCCAGTCGATCGATCGTGGTGTCAGATACACCTCTATGCGAACTGTTGCATTGACAGACCAGCCTTCTCCAGACAGTTTGACTGAGCGACCAACATTACCCCACCGTATTAGAGCCAGTTCCGAGTTTGCGCCGATCTCTAAAGATGATTATTCTCCTGCGGTATGGGGATTGGGATGGCGGAGTCCGACTCTGATGGTCGGACTCTTTTTAGGTGGCCTGGCATTATCGGTAGGCCATCATCTATACTACAAGAGCCACGACAATACGCTGGTTAAATCGGCTGAGCAACAGACCTGGACAATTCGGATCGGCACTGGGTTTGCATTCCTGGTCAAAACACTACTTGTAGCTGCCATCGGGATTGCGGCGGTGCAACAGATGTGGGCTACACTCCGCAAGAAAAGTGTGAATATTCGCGGCATCGATGCCATGTTCAGTATTTTGAGCGATCCACTTGCTTTTTTCGTCCCTGATATGTGGATATGTGCGAAAACACTGACTGTGTTGGCAATTGTCTCCTGGTAAGTAGTGTTTGTTTACTGGAGTCGATTGAAGAGTGTGTGATGATTAACCCCGTGTCCAGGCTGATCCCCTTAACTGCTCTCATTACACCAGCTACTCTCTCGGTACATTTAAAGACAACGTCAACCACCACTCAGATGAATGTTCCCACTGTGAAATTTACCAAAGATTTCTGGAGCAACTGGGCATCGTATGGAGGGGCGGGCTTTATTTCTCAGCCTTCCTATATCATCAACCGTTTATTCACGGCAACCTCCTCATCAGCTGCTATTATTCCCCTTACCCCACCACTGCCTAACTCATCCTATACTCTTCAATTTTGGGGACCTTCCTATAAATGCCAGGATCTGAGTGAAGTCATTGCCGAGACGAAGGGTATCATCTACACTGATGAAGATCTTAATAACCATACCTCCTTTCAGGGTGTGTGGGATAGATATGCAATAAACTCGAGTAACAGTCGAGCGATATACTCAGGCAGTGCGCCGGAGTGGTTGAGCAACACGCTTCTGATCGCTGCGAGGCAATACCAGGGCATTTACAAGGAAAACTCCACCGAAACATCTCTTGTTTGCAAGCTCTGGAACACTTCTTATGTGCTGGATGTATCTTTCGACGATACCATTCAGAGACTCATCCCTATCTCGACCGATTTGGTAGCTCCTTGTGATTGGAATACAAGCACTGCAATGTGGTCAACGTTATCATCCGATGTTCCAGAGAGCCTTGGGGGTTATTATATAACCCACTTGCTCTTCTCATCTCTCATCAATGGTTACCTAAGATTAAGTGCCTCGGAAGAGCTCAACGGCGACGCAACCTGGATTATGCAGTCTGGTCTCTTCGAGTGTCCAGAGCTTGTGAATAGCTCGAGCTATTCTCTGGTGGAATTCACGCCCAGTCCGACCTGTCGCAATAAGACATTGGGCCGAGCCCTGGAAGACCTCTCACGGAACTTTACCTACAGCCTTCTCAGTCTGAACACAGCCAACACCAGTGTGCCTGTCTCTGTCAACTCACCCAAGAACTTCTACAGTTATAATTGGAGAAATCTGGTTACGGCTTATGTGACCGCTCTCGTGGTCACTTTTGGGTGCATTACTATTGGGCTTTTTGCTCTGTGCAGCAATGGTGTCCCTGAGAACACGTCTTTTTCCAACCTACTGAGAACGACGCGAAATCCGGACTTGGATGTTTTAACAACTGGATACTGCTTGGGCTCCGACCATTTACCCGATGAGCTTGAAAAGGTGAGGTTGCGGTTCGGGGAGATTGAGACACCTCAGCCATTCAAGCACGCGGCATTTGGATTTGAAGATTCAGTCATTGATTTGGTGAAAGATGAAAAGTATTATTAGATGGTATTTGCGCCACAAAAATGCAGAAGGCCCAAGAAAATAATGCTACAAGTAGGGAAATCTAAAAATAAGAGAGCAAGCAAATATCTGCAGTAGCAATTTCCTCTACCTGCAATTCCTCAACACGGAGCGAACTTAGTCCATTTGGCACAAAGATCGTTATTGTGCGAAGGGACAATGGACAATATGAATGGCCAAATCTGACCAACTAACATAAAAATAAAATCAGAGAAATCGTGATTTCCAAATTTCATTTTCAACAGGTAAGAGCACTCAACTACCACATGGTCAGTGGTAGGCAGACTGTTTGAGCATTCCAAGCTTGTTCGGCCTAGTATATTGTAATATACTTGGAGATATATAAGGACCTAATATAATAAATCTTTTACTTACAATATTGTTTATCTTGAGTACTAGTTAATGCCTGCTAGAACCCTGTGCTTCCTATTGGTATCTTTCCCGAAGTCCCGAGGTCCTGAGGTCCCATCATCAAGTGGGTTCTTCAGGGCAGCTCAACCAATAGGAATTGGTGGGTAATTCTGATATCTGAGAGACTCTTTCCGATTGGATATGTCTACCTTGCTCATTCATCAATCTTTTGTGAGGCATACTGAAAATTTCAAAGCAATAGCAATGGGTGAGAATGTATTGGATGTTGTTTGGGACAGTATGACGTAGCACAACAACTTCTAGCGAGAAGTAGCCGATTTAACTCTGTTTCCGGTGATAAACTGGATCCGGCCTCGGGGCAACCACTAGATGATTAGACTATTACATCAGAGACGAAACTATTTTATTTATTGAGTGAATGCCCGAGTATATAGCCTGCTTCTTGTACAACTGCATTGTGCTTCCATCACAAAGCCACGATTTTGCGGATGTGATGCTCTGAAATTTTCAATATCATGTCGCATAACATTCTCGTTACTGGAGGATCTGGCTACCTAGTGTAGTGGGGAAACCGCACTGCTCCTACCTGTGCCTCAGGCATCCCTGGGCTATTTCTAGCCCCGTTTTCATAGCATAGCAATCAAAGAATCCTACACCTCTTTGGCAAAACAGCATCTACTTCCTAATCGGGCCGTTCTAGGGCTTTGCATGCCTCACCCCTCCCGCCGAGCACTGAGCACCCCCGTCGTCTTGTCTGCGATGTCAGACCGCCAGCGCGCTCTTCCCACTTCACTAGGTGGAACTCTCTTGGCCCGTTAGAAAGAGGCAGGACTTTCTGGTTATGGAAGGCTTTTCAGTCTGGTCCGGACAGATGATCAGGACAAGATGACTCGGAAGCTGTACGGAGTTAATCCTCTGAGAATCGATCTAGAAGATGAGGATGCTGTCAAACATGCCATTGTGTCAAAAACATCACAATCGTGCTCTATCTGATCGATGCCTACTACCTGAAGCACCAGATCCACTTTATCAAGGCTCTCGCCGAGGCTAAGAAGCGAACTGGCCAAGAAACCCACTTCATTTATGTAAGTCATTTCTTCCATTTGGCTATGGCTTCAAGGAAATTCTCACATCTCGCTATAGACCACTGGAACTAAACAGTTCTCAAGCCTGGCTGGTTCTCCAATGGATCGAGACTTGCTCGATAACGACCCTCAACTTTTTCAAATTCACAAAGCACAAAAATCTCCATACCCAGAGTTGCAAACAGTATGTAGCATAGACTGGCATTGATGCGGGGATACTCACTGTTAAATCACAGGCAACCAACACGAACATCGGGGTGGTAGAGGCCGGCCTTGAATCTGGCGTGAGGGTCTATCTTTTTTCTCCATGCATTGTTTGTAAGTCTTGTGGTCTAGACTGTTCTGGACTTGTCTAACGATGAACCTAGATGGTAAGGGGGAGGGATTTGGTAACAAGATTTCGATTCAAACCGTCGATGTTGTGATTGCCGCAAGGGCAGCGGGTCGTGTTTATGAATTTGGTCAGGAAGGACAGGTAAATGGACAGCAAACTTCAATTTTCCTTCATTGAACAAACTAACGTAAGATCAGATATGGCCAGTGTCGCATGTTCTCGACACTGTGTCCCTATACTTTGCCTTGCTCCACGCTATTTTGACAAACATGAACCCTGGTCATGGTAAAAGCGGATTTTATCTGGCAGCATCTGGCAAGATTGCTTGGCATGATATCTACGTCGCTATTGCAGAGGCCTTAGCCCGGCGTGGCGTGATATCCGATGAGCGAGTTGATTTGATGACCGATCCTGCCCTTGAGAAGATTGCCAAAGCTCAAAACGTTTCTCCATCTTCAGTGACCGTGAAGATTGGTGGAAGGTGTGCACATTCTTCTCTTCAAAACCCGAGGAATATCTATGCTAATATTTACCTTGAAGGTCGACTTACACAGCCGAGAACGGCAAGTCTCTGGGCTGGAAGCCGCAATTCCCCCTGAGCATATACTTGGGAATCTTGACAAGGAAGTTGAGCTTATTCTCGATTCCCTCGATACTAAACACCTGGGCATTCGGTAAGACGTGCAATCCAATGGAACGAGAATCTGAACCTTCGAAACATTCATGCACAGTGGTACATATAATTGTTTAATCAATCATGTTATCACTGTGACCACTTTGAGCCAAATTGGTGCTGAGGAGCGAAAAATGGGCCGTCTGGGTCTGAAGCCAACGTTGGTTGGACCACTTGTGGTTGATTGTGAATTGGTGCCTCCCGAGGAAAGCTGCAACACAGAGATGTATCGAGGTATTAGATATATTGAATTGACGAATGAATACATGTTTGATTTTATTATATCCATGGATAGATTACGTATGCACAAATACATATACAACTTTCGGAATAGCTTCAAATGTAGTGGACTAATGAGTCTTGGCGCAAAGGGCAGGAAGGTCAATTAGAAAGTAGACTTGTTACACTCGGTTCGTGACGTACTTACTGCACAAGCATCTTACAATGTCTTGGACAAGATGATTACATTTCATTCATTCGTCTTATTGAACGGTTCTTACAAATTTCCGGTAAAATCACCAGACCCTCTCATGGAGGGTCTGCCATCCACTTTGTAAATGCCCATGGGGGGGCATCTCACTACAGCAGAGCCTCATCCCGTACAACCTCACCTCGCCTTGCTGAGGCATTCCTGCAAACATACCTTCTCGCCTGTACAAAATAGAGCACCATAGGAACCTCTGAGTCAACTTCCAAGGTTGTGGTGCTGGAAAGAAACGCTTGCTGGCGACCCTGATGTCTTGGACGTCTGGCAAATACGGATTAGCGGAAACTTCCTCACCTTCCGCTGCTCTGCTCTATGTAGTAGCCAAAATATTGTATGGCGCTGAATTTTGAAATATTTGCCTGCATCTGGTATGAATCTGGTGGAAAGAGGCTCCATGCGCGAGAAACCTGAGTGTCTTTGCTCGGTATCTTCGGCAAAGTCGGACATAGCTCAGCAAAAGCGGCACAAGCGGCTTCGGCATCTTTATGACACTCGGTATACATGGGGGCACTGGGCGCGGTATGAACGGCAAAGGCCAAAGCTCGCAGGGGCACCAACACAATGACAAAATGGGATAGATCAGAGATCGTCTCCACTCATGCAAAAATATGCGCGTGAGTGAGGTTCCTATTTGTTGTGTATTGTTGTGTTTTTCTCCGCCGTCAATCCAGCCTCCTGATGACTTTTACCTCCACGCCAGACCCAATAACGGGCCGCGAGAGCGTGAGGAGACAAGGGCTACGTAGGTTTTAAGATTAACAATGAGTAGCTAAGGGCATGGGAATTTCAAGGTAGTGCGGCAGATTACAGACCATAAAAAATCATTGGAGAAGAGTCCCTAGACACCAAAAGCAACAAGAGAACACATAACAGGAAATAACAATCTTGGAAATCTGAACACAGGACAAACTTTGCATGAGGCTCCTGCAGGATGACAGCTTTTTCAGCAAAGACACAGACATCAAGCATCCAACGTGTATTTCGAAAAGAATCAGCACCAAGAAAAAGAATCAAGACACCCCAAGAAAGTTGCCAGGTAGTAGAGCAGAGCGCCCAACGTTGAACGAGCCATGCCCATGGCTCATTTCCGTCCACAAACCCAACCATGCTCAGCCTCAAATCTAGGACGACAGCGGTGGTGAAGAGGGCAATGGGATTCAATATCGTCGTGATCGTCGCCAGCCATTGCATGCACCGAGCTGTCAGACGCAGTGTCACCACCGTCAAAGATATATTGCTCTGCGGTGGAGCCACATCCGCAGTGCTGGAATCTGGTCCAGGTTCTGGGTGTTCCATACCTCGAAGAGAAAGTCTCCGAAGCAGGACTCCCACAGGTACATTTGAGCTGCCGCGGGTTGGGCTGATCGGGCGAGCCTTGTCGGGATCTGGGGTGTGACTGCTGAGGCTGTGTGCGCGGAGGAGCAGGTAGTGGAATTGGCGAAGGCATTACACGACAGAGCTCCGGATGCTCCATGCAGTACGCTGCCTGCGAGGAGTGATAATGAATCATCGGGGCTGCCTGTGAGCAGTGATGATGAATAATCGGGGCGGCATGCATAGTCGTGATCGATGGACGAGTCGAGGTGGGCTTGGCCGATAGGGCAGGTGTCATAGGAGCCGAGGGAGCTTCCCGAGGTTTCTCGGCCAGAGGTGAACTGCCGGCGCGACGGGCTGGATGACGATCACGGGCTCCTGCGGTGCGCTCATAGCCGGAAGAATCACTGCTAGTTGGGCTTATAGGTCGTGGCTCGCGGGGGCGTATCCGGCGATTCTCAATGTCACGACACTTGTCGCAGCCACATTTGCTGTTGTAATCGGAGTCTGATGACAGACTGTTGCTAGAAGACCGGGGGCGTACTTCCTTGATGTAAATCTCGCACCGGGAACAACTGCAGACTAGTCTCTCCACAGGCGAAGAGAGGCCCGGTTTAAGGGCATGGAAGCCACCGCATGATTTGCACCTCATACCAGGCTCAAAGCCTGAGTGGATGCTGCTTGTTGGTGACGTCTCAGGGATGTAGCGGACCAGTCTGATTCGACTACTCCGAGGGCGTTTCTTGTCCATCGGTTCGCCTGCAAAGTACCAACCAAACCCAGTGTCTTTGGATGTAGATCTTGTGTGTCCGGTGAGTCTAGATCGCCTCATCCCTAATCGACAGCGAATGAGGGCAGAGAGTTGATCAAGAACACTTAGAGTTCATAGAGCACTGAACAAACTGTCTTGAAGCGAAAGAAAGGTCAAGTGGGAAGAGCCGAAGTAGCAAATGTCATTCTTATAGGGTCTTGACCTTTGCTATGAAGCTCTAACACTGAGCCCATTATATTGATTAAGGCTAAAACATCTCATTGTGCCATGCTAGATCGCCTCTGTGTGACTTGGACAAGAGTAACAAGTGAAGGCATGTCGTTCAGCGAACAAAGCAGCGAAGCGGGAAAGCACACAGAAGCATCAGCCTCACAAAGAAGCCACTCTCCGGCAAGCCTTACTGACAGCCACAGAGAATGGGATTCTTAACTCAACCGGACAGGCCAAACCTAAAGACACAGAACCGTTGAATCTTTAAAGACAGGGGTCGCAGCATAAATGCACGTTACCCCTCTGACCGGTCTGACAAGCGAACATCCAGGCGCAGTGTCCTTTGAGCGATGAAAGGATGCAAGGATGAAACGACGCAGAGATGCAAAGATGAAAGAGAGTCAAACCTCCTGCAACGCAATCCAACTTTGACTGTTTGCAAGCAGCTGACCTTCCAATCAGAGGCAGAGCGTGGAGGTAATAGACATACACGTCCATCCCGATGCTTCCACACCTCTGCTTGCGGCAAGCCACCGACAGCATTGATGCTATCTATAGTCTGAAGGCTTCCAAAGAGGCAAATTCAGAAATTCAAAAAAGAGAATCAAATGGATTTCACCCATGTTTCATTCCAAGCTTCATTTAGTCTTACAGACAAAGTCCCTTGAAGTGAGATCTAGGGCTCAGGGTGGTGATGTAAGGTAGAGGATACTCGGGCCAGAGTGTGAAGACACAGTGTTGTGTGTGTATTGAATACCTGCACTGGGGGGGTGGCTGGCTGCAGGTATGTAACAATGGTATTTGACAATACAGCCACTTACCCAGCTATTCACAGCTGTGACCAGCCAACAATCACGCGACCCAGGCACTGATTACCGTGTATTTACACAGAAGCAACGCGTATTGCCACGGACACCGCTTAATCATTTTTGCTCCAGGAAACTTCCCAAGCGAAATCGAACTCGATCTCTCTCTTTCTCGACCTTGTTAGTCTGGCGCTCCGCATTTCTGCATTCCCTCTCTTACAGCTCTTACCAACTACTTTGATTGACTAGCTTCCAGCTGTCATCCTCCAACCCTCCCCCCAATTTTTTTAACCTCGTGTCTTGCGTATCCGTTCGCATCACACATTCGCACGCAAACCCCAAGGTCTCGCGCACTATTCCAAGCAACAGTTATTACGTGGGGATTTCCGACCGGAACAGCCTCTCGACCATAATGCCTACACCACTTCCATCCAGTTTCGCTTCGGCCGCCGCCGGTAACACCCAAGACCCCAGTCGGAGGGGGGATGGTTCGACCAGCGGAGAATGGTACGCCCCAACACTGCCCTCTACCTGGCATCTCGGTCTCAATGTCTCGGGAGCGGAGGCTTGGCTCGACTCGCCTTCGATACAACGCCGTGCTCTCGGGCCCGCCAATGTTTGGAGCTGGGGAGATCCGTTGCTAACCTTGGATGCCCATTAGGTCTCGAACCCGCATGAATGGAGCTACGCAGACCTTCCGTCGTCCGTCCGTTGCTACCAACACCCCTGCCCACCGGGATAGTAGCCTGCCTGCATCTGCTTCGACACCTGTTGGCGGCGCCTACATCCCCCCACACATGAGCTCAAATACTTCTAGCATTGCACGGAATGGGGACTCCCGGTACTCCAAGGATGAACTTCTAGAGCTGTATAAGTCACAGCGCGACGTGGGAAGTTTGAACAGGAACGTGGAGGAATACTTCGTGGCCGACTGGGATCCTCACACAGTTTCAGCTCCCGCAAACGGTGCGTGGGGGAAGCGGGATGACCACAAGAATGGCTCCGCGGGGCCCGAGGTGTGTTGGGACCACGCTGGCCAGGTGGAACCTCTTGGGTTGACGGACATGACGGAGGACGAGCGAGAGGTACGTTTGAAACTTTTTTTTGGGGTTTTTGCAAAAAAAATTTTACCCCCCAAGCTTGTCAGTGAGAGCTTCTGCTAAAACAAAAACTTTGCCAGATGTTCGCCGCCTCGGTCAATTCCCCTCTGAAGCCACCCCCTACCAACGCCGCAAAGGAAAACGTTCTTCCCGGAACAGGTGGTCGCAAATCTTCCATCTCCTACCCCCAGGGCCATATCAATAACTACAATACGTCCTCTCCTACCGCCGGGCGCCCTGGTCCCCGCCGCAGGGAAACGGGCGAATCGGTTGGAAATCCCATGTCTCCCACCGGCTCGAATTCTCGATTCTTCCGCGACGAGGCCAACACTTCTACCCCTCCACCTGCGTTGCTGCGTCGCAAGACCGACTTCCGAGAACCGAATCCTAAGCTCGACGAGAAAGTGAAGGATGGACGGGAGGATCCCTCCTCTCCCTTTGGTTCTCTGAAGCGAAGCACCACTAATCCCCTGAATACCGGCGTGAGTGGACCCAACTCCCCTTGGGGATCGGCTTCGCATAACGCCAACTTCTCGCCGATGGGCGCGTTCGGGGCGTTTTCTCTCGGCTCCAACGCGAACACCCCGACGACTGAAAAGAAACCCGGTTATGGAAGTCTTCGCGGAGAAAGCAGGTTCAAGGGATTACTGTCCAAGGACAGCTCTGAGGACATCGCTGGCTCTGCCAAGGAAAAGCCTCTGAGTAACCTCGAGCGGCTTGCTGAAAGCGAGCTCGATGCACGCTCCCAGTCGCCTTGGGGAGAGGCCGTCAAGACGCGTATCAACCGCAGCGAAACTAATCCATTCGATGAGCCCCGCAGTGGAAGCGCTGCTCTTGGCGGGTCCCAGGATCTCGAGGGCCCGTCTCAGGCTGATCTCGGATTTGGCGCTTTCGGCATGACCTCCAGCATTCCCGGTTTCCGTGAATTGATGCAAAGCCAGGAAAATTCCAGGAACCCCACTCCTAGTCTGCTGCAGGGCCACGAACCGACCAGTCCGACCAACACCAACCCTTACCAGAGCCCCCACGGTGATCGCCACGGCGAGCGGGCTGAGCCTGAGGATGTTGACACTGATGGATCGGATATTCAGCAAGCCCAGCATCCTGGTATCAGTGGACTTCGGGATCCCAACCCATTCGGCTCGATGAGACGCGTCGGTTCGGGAATGGATCTTCCTTCCGTGGACCGCAGCCAGAACTCTAGTGTCAATGCTAACCGCGGTTTCTCTGGCCTTGGCGGCCTGGGTGGCTTGTCTTCTCTTGGGGGACCCTCCGCTTGGTCGTCTGGCGGTGCCGTCGGCACTCCTACCCGCGAGCGCTCTGCTTTCGCTGGTGGGTTCGGCGATCCTCTCTTCGGCTCCATGGGTGATCTTCAATCTCCAAGCTTGTCTACTCTTGGCGGAGGGGGACTCTTCAGCCCCCATGCTGGCATGACTGGCACTGGAAGTATTGGCCGATCAAGCAAACTGGGTGCACTCTTCTCTTCGATGCAAGACGAACAGGGACGACCGGACTCTGTGGGCTTGGAAGGCTTCGACCCCCAGCAGGCCGAGAAAGCTGGCCAAGCAAGCCATCCTGGCTCGACGCCTACTTCGCAGACACCTGTCTCCGCTGTTGGCTCCATGGCTAATCTAGCTGGTCAGGATATTCAGCCGACTGGAACCCCTGGCGGCTCTATTCCTACATCTCAGCAACGCACCATGGTCATGCCCGATAGGATGCGTTGGATCTACCGGGACCCGCAAGGAAATATCCAGGGCCCTTGGACCGGACTTGAGATGCACGACTGGTTCAAGGCTGGGTTCTTCAGCCCCGATCTGCAGATCAAGAAGCTCGAAGACACTGAGTTCGAGCCACTTGCTCAGCTGGTGCGACGCATTGGGAACTCCCGCGAGCCGTTCCTTGTCCCTCAAATCGGCCTTCCTCACGGCCCCGAGCCTGCTGTTGCTCAATGGACTCAGAACAGCAACGCCGGATCTGCACAGCCTCCATTCCCCGGCAGCTTCCCAAGCTTCGGCACTACGCTGACTGCCGAGCAACAGAATGCCCTGGAACGCCGCAAGCAAGAAGAGCAGTACCTGATGGCCCGACAGAAGGAGCATTTGGCCCAGCAGCAAGCTATCATGAAGCAGATGGCGCCACCTGGAGCCCCCTCATCCTCCATGAACCCTCCGCTTCAGCACCAATCCAGTGCTCACAGCCTCCAGAGCCAGCCCAGCTTCGGAAGCATCACCTCGCCCGTTGGCTATCAGCCTTCCCCTATCCAAGCTCCCATGCAGCAGGGTACACAGGGTACTGGCGGGTTCTTTGATGGTGCCACGCAAGGCAGACAGGGCGGCTTGTCGAACGTCGGACCCGGCATGCTGGGAACTGACTTCGGTGGCCAAGATCAACTTCCTGCTCTCCTCGATCGTTTGAATGTTCGCCAGGACCCCTTTGCCTTTGGCAACTCCGGTTCATTCGCCGCTCGCCAGCCCGACAACTTCTTGCAGTCCCAGCAGGTCTCTCAGATGCTTCAGGACCGTGCTCAGCTCCAGCAGGAACAGGAAGATTTCGATAAGGCCCACGAGGATGATCCATTCGACCAGCATGCCCGCGAGGAACGCCTTCGCCAATTCCATGCACTTCGTGCCCAGGAAGGCGAGATGGGTATGCGCACTGCCGAGGGCCTGCCTACTCACCCCGTCGCTGCATCTCAGCAGCATGAGGCCGAGGTCGCCGCCGAGATGGAGGAGGCAGCTCACCAGCTGACTGACTCTGTCACCGGCACCGAGCCCCTCACCCTATCCCAGCAAGTCCACAAGGCTGCTTCCGCCCAGCGCCAGCAGCAACAGGAGCACGAGCAGAGCCACGGTCCTTCCGAGTCTGTTTGGAAGATTGATCATGCTATGCCCCAGCCCTTCCCTCCCCCTCCTTCCGCCTCGCCTTTGCCCGCTCCCACTGCCCAGCGCAACCGTCAGAATGTTGCCGAGTCTCTGGCCACTGGCTCGCGTTCTCAGACCCAGACCCCCGTCGACGCAGCCCCTACCTCTGTCGCACCGTGGGCCAAGGAGGCCAATGACCTGCCTAAGGGTCCCTCTTTGAAGGAAATTCAGGAAGCCGAGGCTCGCACTGCTGCTCAGCGTGAGGAAGTCGCTGCCGCTGCTCGCCGCGCACAGTTCCTCGCCGAGCAGGAACGTCTCAGCCAGGCTCAAGCACAGGCTGCTCCTGGTCTTCCTTCGTCCGCCAACTGGGCCAGCAGTGGATCCCCTGCCACCCCAGCCTCCACCGGCTCCCCATGGGCCAACAAGAGCGCGCCTGTTCCTACTGGTGCCGCCACCAAGAAGACCCTTGCTCAGATCCAGAAGGAAGAGGAGGCTCGCAAGAACCGTGCGGCTGCTGCCGCTGCCGCTGCTATGGCTGCCACTCCTAGCCCTCCTGTTCCCTCTTCCACTGGCAAGCGTTACGCTGACCTTGCCAGCAAGGGTCCCGTCCCCGCTGCTCCCACCGGCCCAGGCTCCAGTGCCTGGACTACCGTCGGTGCCAGTGGTAAGGTCAAGGGTGCACCCACCGCACCTCTCGGACCCCGCTCTTCCAGCGGAGTCGCCCCCATCTCGCCTGTCATTGCCAAGCCTCGTCCTGTCATCACTCCCCGCACTGTGACCAGCGGCAGTCTCCCCCAGTCCAACCCCAACCAAGCCGTTGAGGAGTTCACCAAGTGGGCCACTCTCAGCCTGAGCAAGGGGTTGAACACCGGCATCAATGGTATGTTTCCACGATCTCCAAATCAATCTCACATTTCACGTACTAACATATCATCTAGTCGACGATTTCGTCCAACAGCTTCTCTTCCTCCCCGCCGAGGCGGAGATCATTTCCGACTCCGTCTACGCGAACTCGCAGACCCTTGACGGTCGCCGTTTCTCGGAAGAGTTCATTCGTCGCCGCAAGCTCGCTGACAAGGGTATTGTTGACCCTGTCTCTCCCAGTGCTTTCGGCGAGCAGAAGAACGGCGGTGGCTGGAGTGAAGTCGCTAAGAAGGGCTCTGCCGCTACTGTTGTCGCAGCTGCTCAGCGTGAAGAAGAGGCTGCTACTTCTGCTTTCAAGGTTGTCGCTCCCCGCAAGAAGGGTAAGCGTTAATGGTGTGCATTTGGCGATTCCATCTTAGTGCATTTGTTTCCCATGTATGAAAAGAGTCATGTATCTCGTGTACCAATATCATACTTCAAGCATTTTCTGCTATTATCTACTCTGTCCCTTTCCACTTCAACTTGTATACTCCCTGGCCCAGCCAATGGCCACCTCTACTGCTCCCTTTGTGGGCTCCGAGGTCACTAGATAATAGATGATCTCTGCATCTGGCCTATCATATAGAAACTGGCAGTGGCACTTCAAGTCATGAAAAAGTGGAAATTCTAGAACTTTGAGATGCTTGCCAAACAAACTGGTCTCACAACTAACGTCATGCGCTAGTCGGAAAGTAAAGCTGCAGCTGTTGTGTTCGGTTCTGGAGCCATGCAGCTTGAATGCATTGCGTAATGCAGCGGCCATGCGCTCTTACTGGGCGTCCATGGGCATTGCTAGTGCGGATTGGGCTCATCCCCAGGGAGCTAGGTGTACTAAAGCCGTATCTACATTGTTCAAGCTCTGTGTACATCAGGTACAGGCTACCCCTGACTGGCACCTGTGGACCCAAATTGGTGTTTATAACACAGCCTTGGAAGTTATCCTAGCTGACGATAGGCTCTTCATCGAAGGCTAGCAATATGTTCAAGTTGCTCTGGGAATGTGACCTCAAAAAGATTGTTTGTGGACGCTACTACCTAGGTAGTGTACCTGTATCCTAACTAGATCAAATATTTGGAGTAACTAGGATTGCTTATCGCAAATTCCAGCCCTGAAGGACTGTAGTCTTCGAACTGGTTAAAAAAAAAAAAAAAAAAAAAAAAAACGACCGCCAAAATCATCATCGTAGCGTCATGTGTCCAAATTTACAAACCACCATGAAGAGATCATCGAACAGAACTAGATAATGCAATATCCCCCATTCCACCTCTGCGGCGACGACGTCATATGTGATTCTCGTCAGACTGGGCTCTGTTGCACAACTCGCCCTTGATGGAAAGGCCCCAAAAGCCTCTGAATTCCCATCCACGGAGTATGGATCGGAGTATCCATGCGAGTATACAGAAATAGATCGTAAATCCACCCACCGAAGGTACAGCCCAGAATCGGTGCAACCATCGGAACCTATGAAAGCTTGATTAGCAGTCCCACAAGCGTGAAGAAGAAACATACCCAGAAATAATAATTCCCTGCCGCCCATACTTCATGTCCATATCCAATCATGTAAGATACAAGTCGAGGGCCGAAGTCTCGGGCAAGATTGATTGCGTATCCAGTCTCCCATCCAAAGCACGCACCGATGCCGAACACAACAAAGAATAGCGCAAGCGGGAACAATGGCCCGGCGCCAAGATTTCCCTCGTCTTTCAGGGCGAATATCATGAACATGAGGACCGCACTAGCAAGGAACTCCGAGAAGAATTGTCCTGTCTTTGTCATGAACTCGGCCGGGTAAGTGCAGAAGATGCCTGCTGTAGCTGTTGTCGAGTAGCCAGGGACGGTACGAATGTCAGGTCCACCCTCATAGGCATTGATGGCTGACTTGTAGTTGCCGTAGACAATAGCAGAGCCTGCCATAGCACCGAGGGTCTGGGATAAAGCATATACGGGGAATTTGCGCCAGGGAAACCCACGGAATATACAGGACGCAAACGTCACCGCTGGATTGATGTGGCCCCCAGATGCACCACTGGCGTAGACTCCTAGCATGACGCCGAGTCTATGAGAAGTTAGGATAAAGATCCGGAGCTGATAGGAAAGACATACCCCCATCCCCAAGAGATAGACTGGTAATCACCCTTTTGTCCGTGACTGAGGTGCACCTGAGCCACGACTCCGTTCCCAAACAATATAAGTATCATCGTGCCAAAGAACTCAGAGACCGCATCACGGCAATATTCCCTCACTTTGAACCACATCGGTGGACTGGTGTAAGGAGTCTCGACATCGGGATTGATATGAACAGTTTCCGTTTTATCAGCCGAACAAGAACCACAGCCACTGTGAGAAGAAAGGGTCTCTTGAACTTTCGACATTGAACCAAGCTCAAAGACTTTCCAGGAGGCCATTGAGAAAGGCCCGGAGCTGGGCTCGGCCTGATATAGTACGCGGAAGGAATACGCACTGCACAGAAATAGTATATCTGCTCTATCAGGTTGGAACCAGGGACTACCGTGTAACCGACCCTTCCTGCTTCAAACTCTGCTTGATATCGGCGAAATTGATTGGTTGTTTCTTGTCAAGTGTGTGTTGCTGTGTCTTTGGGGTGTATCTTGCAAGATTCTCAGAAGTCAAGGCCGGACAGACTCGGAATCCAGTATTCACATTTTGGGTTGGCTGGGCCGGCCATTGTCCTTTTTGTCTCGCTACTTCTCTGGTACAGAGGTGAAGGTTTTTGGACAGCGCATCAGTCTGAGCTTTTCTCCTTTTCTTTAGACGTCGTTTGTAAGTCGTTTGGTTGGGCCGGGTTCGGGTTCCATGCCCGCTTCCGCTTGGGTTGGCGCTCTCTTCAGGGGTAGCCCTGGTACACTGCCGTGTATTGCTCCAGTTTCTCAATATTTGGCATAGAGAGCGTCCCCTATTTTGACAATTGCTCATCGTCAACTCGGGTGTTGGACCTCACGCAGGCCAGATTGAAATTTTCTAGAAAGTCCCTGTGTCACGTTGACAACGACGCGTCTGCTTGCCGACGAAGGGAGAACAGAAGAGAAGAAATTGGCTGCTGATATCGACCTGAGCGTAGCACTGTGACGCCTTTTCTCCTCTTCTCGTCAGCAGTGGTACATTGGCCATGGTCTGTATGACCAAGTACTCTGTAGGTGTAGGTAGCATCGAGACCGGGGCTGTTTGGGTTTGACTCGAATGTGGCTGCTGAGTATCTCTCATGGTTATTATCACTGCAATATCGTAATATCGTTGCATTTACCCCGGAGAGTTGAAAGATAGATCTCGAATATTGTCATTGTGATTCCGACGATGTGTTGCAATTAGGGCCGATGTTGTTAGCAATCAGCGATAGCATCTCATAGAATAAGACTTTTAAGTCGCTGCATTCGACAGCTCCGCCGCATTAGAGTCTGCTGATCTTCCCCGCAATATGCAAGCTAGTCATGTTAGTCAAAAGTGGAAGATCCGGTGGGTATCTAGGGCTGCCTCTTCTTTTCTACTCCCAACATCCAACCCCACGAACAACTCACCACTCACTACTCACCACTCACTACTCACCACCTCACCCAATATTGGATAGTAGATATAGCTCATGGCTGAGCCAAGTGTCTAGAGCCCGTATCGCCCATTCTCACCCTCACTACTCCATATATTTCCACCAATCCCTTGGTCTTCCCCTCACTCCTCGAATCAGCACCCCGCTGTGTGACCATGTAATAGCCGTAGTTCTTATTTATACACCCTGGAAGCATGGGGACAATTTATGGACTTTGATGTTACGTCTCAAGTTCAGTGAGCGCCAGACATCACTTGTTTTCTTCCTTACTCCACATCCACAATGGAATCACCAGAGACTTTCGTCGGCGCAATAGACCAAGGTACGACAAGCACCAGGTTTCTGATTTTCAACCGTGATGGAGAGCCAGTAGTATCACATCAAGTCGAGTTTGGTCAGATCTACCCTCACCCTGGGTAAGAGTAGAGCCAATCCCCCCCCCCTCTCCCCTCAGTGACTATATTCTAACAAAACCAGCTGGCACGAGCATGATCCCCTCGAAATAGTAGCCTCGGTTGAGACCTGCATCTCAGAAGCCGTCCAAAAATTCGAAGCAGCAGGCCACAACCGCGCTGCCATCAAGTGCATTGGAATAACCAACCAGCGCGAAACAACCATCGTCTGGGACCATCAGACTGGCGAACCCCTCTACAATGGCATTGTCTGGACAGACACCCGCTCTCAATCCATCGTCACCGAGCTAAGGCAAAGACCCGGCGCAGCGCAACTCCCCAAGCTCTGCGGTCTCCCCCTGTCAACATACTCATCCGCACCCAAATTACTCTGGATGCTCACCAATGTCCCAAAAGTCAAAGATGCATTCGACCGCGGCACGCTCGCGTTTGGAACCGTCGATGCTTGGCTCGTATACCGTTTGAACGGTGTGGATGCCAACGTTTTTGTCTCGGATTCGACAAACGCGTCACGTACAATGTTTGTGAATTTGGAAACTTTGCAGTATGATGAGACACTTCTGGACTTTTTCGGTGTTCGGGGGAGAATTCATTTGCCGAAGATCGTGCCTTCGTCCCATGCTACTGCGTATGGTGTGGTTGGATCCGGGGCATTAGCCGGCGTGCCGATCATGGGCTGCTTGGGAGATCAGTCTGCTGCGCTCGTGGGCCAAAAAGGGTTCTCACCAGGTATGGCGAAGAATACGTATGGCACTGGTTGTTTCCTTCTGTACAATGTTGGAGAGCAGCCAGTGCTCTCAACACACGGGCTGCTGGCGACGGTTGCTTATCATTTTGACAAGCCGATCTATGCCCTCGAGGGAAGTATTGCCGTTGCTGGGTCTGGTATCAAGTTCTTGCAGAATAATATGGGGTTCTTTGAAGAGTCCAGGGAGGTAAATGATCTTGCTTACTCGGTCGATGATGATGGTGGATGTGTGTTTGTGACTGCCTTCAGTGGACTGTTTGCACCCTATTGGATCGACGATGCCAAAGGGACGATATGTGAGTTTTGATCCCATAGTCGCTTGATTCGTCTGACCGTTGCAGTCGGCATCACCCAATACACCCAGAGGGGGCACATTGCACGCGCGACACTGGAAGCAACTTGCTTCCAGACCAAGGCCATTCTTGATGCAATGGAAAAGGATAGCGGCCATGCGCTCTCCGAACTAGCTGTTGATGGTGGCATGAGCAACTCCGATTTGGCAATGCAGGTACGGGATCTCTTCTCCTCCGCAAAAGCATCCATCTAACGTACGACTACTAGACCCAAGCAGACTTAATCAATATCCCCGTCTACCGCCCCAAGATGCGCGAAACCACGGCTCTCGGTGCAGCCATCGCTGCCGGTCTGGCAATCGGAGTATGGCGCAACTTCGCTGAACTACGGGATATCAATCGCGCTGGCGGCACGGTATTCGAGCCCCAACTCTCGCGGCAGGAAATTGCAGACAAATTCGAGGAATGGGAGAGGGCTGTGCAAATGAGCAGGGGCTGGGTCAAGTCCGATGAAGACAAAGGCGTTGGGGCCATCGACAAATACCCCCCGAAGTCGAACAAGGATAATGTGCCCTCCTCGCTGACAACTGGAATTCCAGACTGCTCAGTCGTTTCCAAAGTTGTCAAAGGCCCCACAGTCACTGATACGACCAAGAGGGTGACTCAGATATCAGTGAAGGAGATCGGGATTCATCCTGTGCCGAAGCCGCTGGTGACCGTAGTAGGCGATTTGGATGACATGGATGAAGAAGAACTGTTCTTCGAGTTGCGGAAAGTTGAGATCCTGAAAAGACTCAAGAAGCTGAAACGGCTAGACTACTATTGAGTCGAGCTGTATTGCTTCAGTATGTAGAACCATGGTCTGCCTGACTATCATGAGAACGTCGGAGGGCACTACCTGTTTTCTTGAATACCAGGCAAAGACAATCAAAGGACAATATTAGAAAGGCATAAATGGGCATAAATTCGTATCTTAGGTCTCCTCATATCAAGTCTCACCATCCTTAACGAAGACACAGTTCAACTCCGATCCAGGACTAAGCGTCACCTCAAACCTCATCACTGGATCCTCAACCTTGTCCTTACCTTCAACGGGTAAGGCAATGATCCTCTCATAGGCCTGTAAGATTCGAATGACGGTGTACCCCATTTCAATGGTCGCAAACTGCTGTCCAATACAGATCCTCGGTCCACCATTGAAAGGAATGTAATGCCACGGCCTTGGCTGCCACGTCGCCCAACGTTCGGGAATCCACTTCCCAGGGTCAAAGTAGTTCGCCGAGCCAGGCCCGTCATAAAGGTCCGGATCCAGCTGCATCAGCATAGTCGAATAGATGATCCGTGTATCTGCCCGCACACCGATGGGGTCAAGACCATCCGGCCCTCCACCCCGAGGCAGCGTCGTGTCTCGCAACGAGTGGCGTACATTGAACGGAACAACGGGATACACACGCATGGTCTCGTGAAGGACTGCGTTGAGATATTTCATCTCCTTCAGATCCGTGTAAGTGGGCTTTTGGGCAGATTCACCGACTCCAAGTCGTTCGCGGATCTCCTCTCGTAGCTTGGCGACAACTGCTGGGTTTCGCGAGAGTTCGAATAAGGTGAAGGATAATGTACCAGCTGTTGTGTCACGGCCAGCGAGGAGGACTGCAACGAGTTGATCGCGCAGAACGCGGGGATCGCGGGTGAAACGAGCGAGTGCGTCCAGGAAGCTTTCTCGCTTCGAGAGCTTCTGGTCCAGTTCGTCGGTCGAGAGGGAAAGAACAGTGCGGATGTAGGGCTCGATGAACTCGTCCATCTTCTTGAGGTTCTTGCGGAACTCGACCTTGGACATGGCGAAATCGAAGACGCTAGTTTTGTGAGTCAGTGGGATTGCTACAAGTGTGTATGTGTGTATGTGTGTGTGGGTTGGCGATGTGTATGTCTAATTGACTTACCCGAATCGGAAGAGCTCTGCCTGTCGTTGTTGCACGTATCTGAAGGCTTCGGCAAAGCCGGTCTCAGGATTATCCAGACTATCTGTTCCTTGTCCCAAAAGGTAGTCTGTTGCTGCGTCGAGGGTGTATCGGTAGAACAGAGAGCCAACATCGACGACCTTGCTGTTGGTCGGAGTGCTACTTCCCCCGAGAAGGTGAATGAGCTTCTGGACGTGCTTTTCGAAGATTTCGGTATCGACAATGCGGTCTCGGGCGAACATTGGACGAATGAGCTGGCGTGAACGAGACCAGAGTTCTCCGTCTGTTGCGAAGATACTGTCCCCTAGGAACTCCTTCCACCCCTTATGAAAGGTTTCACCCTTGCCATAATCAGCAAATTGGCCAGTCAGGATGGCCTTGATATTCTCTGGGTCCTTGGTCATGATAGCACGGGTGGAAATGCCGGCATCCAGCTCAGCCGTCTTCACATTCCTGCTTCCACCCGCTTGCGCGATATTGGTGTTCCAAAACTCAATGTCTTGGTGTGCGAGATTGGCCTTTTGGCCTTTGTAGATAAAGTCCAGGGCATATGGGAGACGATGTTTGATCTTTGGGGCTCTGGCGCCCAGACGAGCGATCTGTGCCGAGGCCTGGAGGCTGCGGAATACGCAGAACGCCACGAAGAGTCCGAGCAGCCAGAGAATGGCTCGACCAGGACTTGCGCCTGCAATGAGGTCTTCGATCATAATGTTGAATGAGACCAGTTGTAGTTCGAAGTGAGAGTTGTGTGAAGGTGTAGATGATCAAATACGATGAAGGGTTTTAAAGGGATGCGGTATGCAGGGCTCCATTTGACAGAGTCGGGAGAACTATGCCCGGTTCCCCATGAAATATATTGACTGATGTCTAATTTCCTAAAGGGGAGTAGCATGACGGCTCGAATGGGCCGTTCTTGCGAGGTTCTTGCGAGCCCCGCTTTGAGATGACTTCACTTTGACTCTTTCGATGGTTGACTTCGGTTTCCAAGGAAGGTGATTGGCTCCCAGGGAAGTTTCCGGCAGTCATGCTGTTCGATGAAAATCCATCAAATCTCCGGATTCGCTGGGCACTCGGTTTCACACGTTGGCAGTCTGGGGAAGGGGGCTGTGACGGCATGGCAGCCTCGGTAAGGGAGCATATGATCTCAGGATCGACATTTTCGAACTGCAGACCTCCAGATACATACAGGACTGATGGGACTTGACTTTGTGTAAACAGCACGGATAAATGCAGGCACCATCTAAATGTTTGCGAAGACGTGTTGGTGAAGAAATGTTTGTGACGAAATGTTTGCAAACGCTCGAGGGGCCAAGACCGCGAGCCTAATACCTCAGGCAACGATGCCTCCTTACATCTATGGTTTGTAGACAATACTGTCGCTTTTTGAATTAGCAGTTAACTTAAGACATATGAGAGCTTGGTGCTTTTTATCATTATCCTAATGTAATAGGGTTGGTTCGCCGGCATCAGCGAACAAACATGTACTTTGTTCACTAAAAGTTCCATCTGACTATACTTCCGAGGTTCGTAGAACGTGGGTGATTTGGATTTGACCAATTATGATTGAATACAATTAATTCCCCCAGAAAACAAAACACCAGTCCCAAGATTCTGAACAAAGGAGCATAGTTATATGTCATAGATCGTAGAAAGTAGCATCTGTCCGTGGATATTGTGGCTACCGATCCCTTGGCATTGTGAACAATGGATGATTTCAAGATCTTAGTCTGTATCCAAAATTCTGATGATCTTTTCTACATGTTTCGTACGCTGAAAAATATCTTCTGTTCTCTTGAGGTTCTCTGCAGAGCTGTATCATTCTCACTGGTATTTGAACAATCCTGTTGAAATTCACACTTGGTTGTGTGGTTCCCAGGCTTGTTCCAAGTACTCTGTACAGTGGCGTGACTCTGAAGACCCTGCAAAGATACCCAAAATAGCCTATTGACCTCAGAATCCAGCACAAAGCACTTTGATCATTAAGACAAAAGATACACAGGTGGCTCCCAAGTTACTGTGTGTGGTGGTTGAGAGACACACAGGTAGGGGATCCCCACAGGTAGATGTTGCACTGTCAGTGAGCGACGGGGTTATTCTTTTCCCGTGTTTCCAGAACATCCCTTTGTTCTCTGTTTCCCATTGTTCGGCAAGGTCCAGAATAGCCGGTGATGCTATTGGCTCGTATCATACAGGACAATAGGCGCATCATCCGGAAGAGCTCAAATACAGTTGAGGCGTTACGCCACAAATATTCACCGCTCTCCAGCCACACCTTCAAGCATCCAGTTTGGGTCTTCGCATCTTCGAGCTTTGCATTCTGTTATCGTCAACCCTTCTCACACGCTTGAACAGGGTCGCTAATTTTACAATTTTACATCCCCATCTGCTACATCTCTGATCACTATTTTCATCCTACCGCTTTGTTGGTCAACCTCAATACACCTGAAACGCCTTTATCGGGTGGCGCAAATCCGTTCTTTTATCAACGTCTCGCATCGTCAATATTTCGCAACTAAACCCTCTCTCTTCACCCTACAACCATTCCACTATGCTGCCACAAATTACCTTGGAGTCGCCTCTTGCGCAGGCAGTCGCGCACGCCATCGGACCCAAGCTGGTGGAGATGGGCTGGAGCGACGGCCAAGAATCTCCTCTGATCGAGTATATCGTCCTCATGTTGGTGAACGGCAAGACGCAGGAACAAATTGCCACCGAGCTATCAAACGACTTCCTTGGCCTGGATGAAGGAGACACCGCTGCCCTCGAGTTTTCGCACTGGTTGTTTGGCCAAGTCGAGCAACTCAACCAACAGATCAACGGTGTTCCCAGCAATGGTGCTATGGGCCAATCATTCCCTCCATCTGGGGGTTTCAATAATCAAAATCAAAACAACCAGCAACCGTTTGGAGAAGCGAATGGCCAGGATGCCGAGATGGGTGAAGCAGAAAATGACTCTGTGTAAGTAGCGCTCATATTTTTCTTTGCTTGCGAGCTGTGCTGACTGTGCTGTTTAATAGCCCCACTGGCCCAAGGGCGATGCGCAACGGACGAGGTGGAAAGGGAAGGATGTTGAACCAAATCAACCGCACTCTGGATCGCGGCTCGGACGCCGCTCTGCATCGCGTGCGCGGGAACGGAAACGGTCGCATCGGTAACAACAACCGGGGCCAAAGAGGAGGATTCAACCAGAACGGTCGGGGCGGTCGAATGGGCATGCAAGGCAACATGCAAATGAGCCCGGAAAACCAGATGCAGCTGATGACAATGTTGGAAGAACAAGCGCGCATGATGTCCCAACTCATGCCTGGCTTTGTTCCGCCTGCCGTCAACCCTGCATTCCAAAATGGACAGAACAACCAAGGTCGCTCCCTGTTCGATCGGGTCGAGCGCGGTGGCCAGCGTGGAGGAAAGCGAGGATACAACAAGCCGCGAGGCGCGGACTCCGGAGATGTTGATATGGAGGCGTCACAAGACCAAAGCAACCCCGATAGTGTTTGCCGGTTTAACACACGATGCACGCGCCCGGATTGTCAACTGGCGCATCAGTCACCCGCTGCCCCCGACGGCATTTCCCTCGACCCCTCCGACACTTGCTCTTACGGAGCCGCTTGCAAGAACAAGAAATGTACCGGTCGTCACCCCTCACCAGCGGTGCGATCTGCCCACCAGGCCGAGGCCATGTGCCGATTCTTCCCCAATTGTACCAACCCCCATTGCCACTTCAAGCACCCCAGCATGCCGGTCTGTCGTAATGGATCCGACTGCAAGGCGGAAGGATGCAAGTTCACACACATCGAGATCGCCTGCAAATTCAACCCTTGTCTGAACCCGACCTGTCATTACAAGCATGCCGAAGGCCAGCGCGGCTCCTTCGCCGACAAGGTGTGGACGCCGCGATCCGGAGAGCACGTCAGCGAGCGTAAATTTGTTGCCGATGCCGATGGACCAGAGGAGTTGATCAAGCCCGAGACTGCTGCGCCCGAGGAGAGCACTCAAGGTCAAGAGATGACCGCGTGACTCCGCCTGACATGACTTGACGATGGAAAACGCGAGAAACCCCACACGCTCCCAAAAGTCTGCCAAAGCGAATAATACCATGTACACATCTGATCAATGAACGAGGGATGGCTGGACGGGAGGACGTTCATACTCTTTTATGCATTTGCTTTGTTATCTGCCTGTACATAGATTCCCCTGATCCGAAAAGAATAATTTCCGAACGATGCTTCGTGGCTATATCGTTTCAATACTGTGCATGTCTGGTCTCACTTGAAGTAAAATAAAGGAGGGGACCTCCGTAGTTCTCATGCTTTCCTCCAAGGTCTCAACCTTGGGGGATATACATTGTGGTTCCCCGGTTAGATATGCTTTCCCCGCTAACCTCATGGGGGAAGTAGTGCCTAAAGCTATAGAATCTATTGAAGATAGTGAGAATTTTAAATCTAGAAATTTAGAAAATACACGGAGCTTCTCGGCGAAACTGTGCGAAGTAAGTAGCGCAACACGTCGGCGCGTCAACTTCCGAGCCCGGGGGATCTCCAGGCTTATTAAGACCGGAAGCTCTCCAGACTCCCGCATCGTCATCTTGGAAACCCTCCCGGCACTGTCCATCATGCGACTCCAATGTGCGAGCGCAATCAGGCAGAGGCCATTGGTCTCCCGTCTAAATCGCATTGGCCAATCTCGCAATTACAGGGTCGCCATCTTAGGCGGTGGCATCACAGGCCTCACATCCGCCTGGCAGCTGTCGCGGGACCCCAGATGCGAGAGTGTCACGATTTTTGAGAAGTCCAACAGACTAGGTGGCTGGATTGACTCCGAGAGAGTGCCCGTCAATGGTGGTGAGGTGCTGTTCGAGTACGGTCCGCGCACATTGAGGAGTGCGGTACCAACGTCGCTTCCGCTGCTCTACTTGGTATGCTTCCGCTTGAATTTACTATGTTTGGATATTTTTGAACGGGATGACTGACTTCTTGGTAGGCTACAAACCTAGGCCTGAAAGAAGAGCTTATTTTTACCTCGAAAAAGAGCCCGGCGGCGCTCAATCGATTCATCTACTATCCAGACCGTCTGGTCAAAATGCCAGGCCCTTCCCAGCACCAAGAGAGTTTCATTGAGAAAATCACACGGATGATAGAAGAACTACAAGACCCTGTATTTGAGGGACTGGTGTCGGGAATATTCAAGGATATCTTCGGTCCACCCCGGCACCCGTCCGAATGGGCGAAAGATGAATCCGTGACGGAATTTGTGGAGCGTCGTTGGGGCTCGAGTGTTGCCGAAAACTTGGTTTCAGCAGTATACCATGGAATCTATGCCGGTGACATCGATCAATTGAGTGCCCAGATGCTAATGGGTGAGCTCCGCAACAACGAAGGCGGCGTTGCTGGCGTTGGTGGTTTCGTTTCTGGCGGAGTGCTTGGATCAATGGTATCACGGGCGATGTCGAAACTGAAGACAAGGAAAATGGATGATTTCATGGCCTTGCAAGCCCTTGCCACAACGCCGGAGCTGATCGAGCACCAAGCTCGTATCACAAGGTTCCTTAAGGAGTCGAGTACATTCAGCTTTAAAAGAGGCGTTGGGCAGCTTGTTGAAGCACTTGTTGCTTCTTTGGAAGCGTCTCCCAAGGTAAAAATATACAAGAATGCTGAACCGACTACGCTGGGTAGAACCCTTCACTCCTCTTCCATTTCGGTATGCCCCGGTACCTTTCCACCGTCGTTTCCAGCGGTACTAATTACTCCAGATTGAATGTACCTCACTAAACGATTCCAAAAGCTCAATTTGGGCTAATTATGATCATGTCATTTCCACAATACCCCCAGTTTCACTCGCCAAAATTATGCGTCCAATCACAACAGATAAGACACGCACCCCAGTGAATGAGGCTCCCAAGATCCAGAATCCTGGCCACACTCCCTACCTTCTCGGCAAACACAACTACGCCGTGACCGCCATGGTCGTGAACCTCTACTATTCCAACCCAAACCTTCTCCCCGTACAAGGGTTTGGATACTTAATCCCACGCTCGATCCCATGGACACAGAACCCAGAATGCGGATTGGGCGTCATATTCGCCTCGCAATCCAGCACAGGCAGGACTGCAGATAACGCAGAAGTCAGCCAAGACACCGTCCCCGGCACGAAGCTCACCGTCATGATGGGCGGCCACTATTGGGACGGCAGACAAGAGTATCCGGATCATGATACCGCCGTGCGTATGGCACGCACCATGCTCCAAAGGCACCTGAACATAACCGCCACGCCGGCTGTTGCTAAGAGTCGTTTGCAAAAGAATGCCATTCCACAGTACACTGTTGGTCATCTTGATCGCATGTATGATTTGTCGAAGGTTGTGCGCCATGAGTTTGACAACCGTCTTGTTTTGGCTGGAAATTGGTACAATGGAGTCGGTGTGGGTGATTGTGTTAACCAGGGCATCATGGCTTCTACATTCGGCATTGGATACAGACTTAACGCCAAGGGCGCTAAACCTTCACGCTGGCGACCATGGGAATCTTATGATTACAAGGGCTGGGATCTACGGGGTGGTGTTGTTACGGCACCGGCGAGACTGATTGACTCGAAAATTTAAGACCGTGGTCAAGGTTTGCTGGAGGGGAGGGTGTAAATGTCAAATCTTATATGAGTGGGGTTGCACATTGAAGACTGTATTGTATAATAGAAAATTCCTGTGAGATATAGGGACTAATCAGCAGCGAATATGTTGAGTTCATTCTACACCCGAGGTCAACGAGCGGATGATCACGTAGCTAGGCACTCGATTGAGAATAACTACAGGGAGCACAACCCTCAAGTGTTTGAAACGAAACAGAAACAGAAACGCAAACGGAAAGAGAGTTGAATGAGCAACATGTGCCGGATATCAAATATTCTTCAATTTAAATGTGGGACATACAGGCGGGAGGCGTGAACCTGCCATCGCTGGACAGAAGTTTTCTCCCACTCATGGAATCCAAATCCACGTATCCCCGTTCTGAATCTTGGTATGAGTCAATGCCCTGGAGTGACGCAAGCTGGAACAGGCGGGGACGGGGACTGACAGCTACAACCATCAGTCAAGTGATGGCTGGAAGGCTAGTCACCGAGTTCTGGAAATGGGCCATCGGATGTGGCATAAGAGGATCATCACATTAGTGGCCAACTCGACACACCATGAGATGATACAGCAGCAGGTGGCGCAAGGAGGCAGCATAAAGTGCCTTCGCAAGACCCAGCGGTGTGTACATGAGTGGTACTCAGGACATGAAAATGTGGGGGACCAGTTAGATCTGAAAAATATACCCGCGTCTTCGAGGGGGCATTCAAGCGCTTTCGCCAGCCTTCTTGTCCCCGTTCGAGTCAAAGCCCAGTACATCCAGCTGTCTCACAAGTTCCTGGATCTTGATGACCTTGTCCAACTGCTCAGGCAGCAACCCCTCTCCCTGCTCCTTCTTCTCACGCAGGTCACGGGCCTGACGAAGCTTTTTCTTGAGATTGCGAGCCTTCTTCTCGTTCTCGGCTTCAACGTCGACCGGTTCCGGGATCGGTTCCTCTTTCTTGGGTGGCGGGGCACGCCAGTTGTTCGAGTCCACTCCTTTGCCCTCTGTAGTTTCGGCGTCCTTCGCATTTCGCTTGGCTTCGCGGCGCTTAGCGTTCTTGGTGCTGGCAGCTGTAGCGGGGGTCGCAGCTGGGGTCGAAGCTGGAACTGTCGGCTTTGCTGTTTTGTCCTTGTCCTCCTCACTGCTCAAGGCTTCGGCACCTGGCACTCCGCCTCGACCACGGGTCTTCCATGCTGCTGCTGCGCGGTTCTTGTAGAGTTCGACATCCTCGGGAGGCTTGTAACCGGGGCGCACACGGATCTCCTTGCGCTTGGAACCGTCGGCGCGGACAGAGGAGGGGATATATCGTTCGCCGGTAATGGCATTAGTGGTGATACCGGACTTGGCAACGTCGGACATCGTGGGTAGAACAAGGTAGTAATCCTCGATCGCAGTTAAATTCGACTCTCCGGAGTCCAGCTCAAAAGAGTCCCAAAGGATCAAAAAGAAGAAAAACAACCAAGTTGAGTGCGGAAGGCCGGAGTCTCGGTCGGCCAATCAGCGGACCGGGAATTCCCGCAGCTTTTCGTTTGACTTCGCAACTTCATCTAACCTCCCCCATCATCTTGCCCATTCCTCTCCTTTGGTCGTGTGAAAACACCTAAATTCCTTCACAATGGCTGGTGTATGTTCTCCTTGCAATGTCACTGCAATTCCACTGCAGTGCCTCTGCTTCTCCCTGTCTCCGCTGACTGACTAACTCGACACAGTTCGCAAACGCTATCTACTCGCACGTCTCCCCTGTCTCCCTCGATCGCGATCGCACTCCAATTGAAAACTAACCGAGGTCTTCTTCGCCACGTATAGCACCTTCATCCGCAAGAACACCGTTCTGCTGACCACTGCGTTTGCCGGTGCTTTCGCTTTCGAGCTGTGGGTTACATCCGGTCCGAACGGGGTATACATGGGACTGACCAAGCTTTTCCACCATTCAGTGCATTCGATATCGGCTCCAACAAGATCTGGGACTCCTGGAACCAGGGTGTATGTGACCTTCCCATCCCCGATGTTATTCCGAACGGGCACCGCGATACCCGACCACAATCACACTGACTAGGATCCACGCTGACTCTCTTCTCACAGCGCCAATGGAAGGACATCAAGCACCGTTACATGGTTAAGGAGGAGGAAGATGACGAGTAAATCTTTCGCAGAGTTGTCAGAGCGGGCACAGGGGCACGAAAAGCCAATATGATGCCTTTGTTATATCTCATCCCATAAGTGGGCTTGTACGCAATAGATGGAAATCTGTATTTTGACTTTGAATCTTTCAATCGCTGCACTTTTTCACTGAGGAACACTTAATAACTGTCAGAATTGACTGGAAGACGAATGCTGGAACCGACAGTAGTAAAGTAGAGTGACGCCGTAGCGGAGATCGGTGTGGCGTTTACACGGGAGTTCCATCGATGTCATCGCTAAAAAATCACTTCTCCGACCTCGACAATCCCCTTTGGTGTATTTCTGTTTGGATCTTCGAGATTCGGCTCTTGAACTCCACATTCAAATTTGAACAGATGACTTCACCGTGTTGCTGATCCGCATCGGTCCACCTCAACTCTCATATTTCCCCCACCAAGTGTCGTGATCAGCAGCCCAGGCTATTCAAACCGAGTCAACCCGGGCTTACAATTTGTCCTCGCTATATCGCCCACGCCCTAGTGAATTACGACAATTTCTACCTCATCCCTCCTCTAGCGCATTGTCGCGCCGGTCCACCTAGCGACACGAGAACCGGACCGACAAAAAATAAGCCATGCTCATGCTCGCAGAGTGCGAGAAACTCCTCGGCGATGGTCTCCTACGCTTGCCCAAGAAACACAACTACCGCTATGGCCCTGCGGCCGAGAAGGACCTGCTAGAGCTCCTGTTCCGATCGCTAGTCGGCTACGACAATGAGCTCATTCAAGGACTCTTCCCAGAAGGTCTCCCGGCAGGTCCATGGAAACTGGCAGAGGCACAGGGTGCCCGAGAAGGTGCTGAATACAGTGAGGCTGCGCGGGGCAAGCGCTGCGGTCATATCTTCCGAGCTGGGGAAGCCACATATCGATGTGTGACGTGCGCGGCGGACGACACCTGCGTGCTGTGCAGTCGATGCTTTGATTCCTCGGACCACACAGGTCACCAATATCAGATCTCCCTCTCTTCCGGGAACTGCGGTTGCTGTGACTGTGGTGACGACGAAGCGTGGAGACTTCCGCTCTTCTGTGCGATCCACACTGATAGCGGCAATGCCAAGGGCAAGGAGCGTGCGCAGCGAGAATTGCCCTCGGACCTCGTGGCATCGATTCGGCTGACCATCTCGCGTGCGCTGAATTACTTCTGTGATGTCATTTCTTGTTCGCCGGAGCAATTGCGTCTGCCGAAGACCGTTGAAGGCATCAAGCAGGATGAGGTCGACTCTCGCCTGCGACCTGGATGGTATGGCGCTGGAGACGAAGTGCAGGAAGAGCCTGAATTCGCCGTCATGTTGTGGAATGATGAAAAGCATACCATGCGTGATGTCTCCCATCAGGTTACCCGCGCTTGTCGTGAGCGGGATAGCTTTGGTGTGGATCGCGCCCATGAGACGAACGACTTTGGCCGCAGTGTGATTAAGTATTCAAAGGACCTGGACAGGCTCCTGGGTGTTTCCAAGATCATTGAAGATATCAAGGTCACGGTCACGGTGCGGTCGGCGCGTGACACTTTCCGCGAGCAGATGTGTGCTACGATAGTGGAGTGGTTCGCTGATATTGCCGGATGCGAGATCCTTGAAGACAATGAGATTTTCCGACAGATCATCTGCCAGGAGATGCTCTCTCCTTGGCAAAAGGGCAGCGGTGGTGTCAACGAAGATATTGGCATGCAGGGAATTGATGACCATCAGAAGACCGAGAATCTCCCTAGCCGTACGCTGCTCATCAACCTTCCGACACAAGGGCAAGTCCTCGTGACTACTGATGCGGATGATCTTCTCGAGGACGATGTGATTGACCAAGACGAAGATGAAGATGAAGACTACGTCGAGGCTCACGACGCTGATGACGAGGAGGATGAAGAGATGGATATGGAACTTAGCCGTCTTCAGGCCGAGCAAGATGGTCAGGAAGATGACGATGAAATGGACTTGGAAGGTGCCGAGGATGAACTCGCCATGGCTGAACGCATTCTCGCCAGCCTGAGTGGTCAACCACCACAAGCCCCTCGGCCAGCGCCAGTCGAATCTGCAGATCCACCGCCCGCTGAACGCGAGCAGTCCGAATCTGGGAGCCCTGCGCCCGAGTCTGCTCCTCCTGGCTATATCCCCATTCCCAAAACGCCTGGCCCCGCCTACAGCAAGCCGAGGCCAGCCTCCACCGAAAGCCACTGGAAAATCCGGCCACCCATGCCCGCGCCAGGTGAGGAGACAGCCCCCTACGAAGATCTCTGGCAACGCACTCGCCTGGATTGGCTGGTACTATACGACTTGCGGTTGTGGAAGAAGACACGAACTGACCTGCGCGACCTTTATATCAGCACTGTTGTCAATGTTCCTGAATTCAAGCGCATCATGGGTCTACGCTTGTCTGCGCTCTACACAGCTCTAGCACAGTTGTATCTTATTGCTGATAGAGAGCCGGATCATTCGATCGTCAATTTGTCACTGCAACTTCTCACGACTCCCTCCATTACCGAGGAGATTGTCATGCGAGGAAATTTCTTAACAAAAGTGATGTCAATTCTTTATACCTTCCTCACGACGAGACAAGTCAGTGAGCCCTCAGAGGTTGATCCCAAAGCCACACTGGCCTTCGATGCTGGCTCTGTCACAAACAGACGTCTCTATCATTTCTTCCTTGACCTTCGATATCTTCTCCAATCTGAATATGTCCAGCACCGCGTGCGAACTGAACAACAATATCTCCCCCAATTCCTTGACCTTGTCAAGTTATCACAAGGAATATGTCCTAATGTCCGTGCCGTTGGGGAGCACGTCGAGTACGAAACCGATGCTTGGATCAGTGCTTCTATCCTCATGCGGGAGATCAACCGCTTGTGCCGCCAATTCTGTGAGGCCTTCCGCGACCCCGAGATCGACGGCGGGGTGAACCTTCTAAGGGCGATTGCAACCACTACAACCACCGCTGTTCTGCATTCTACTGGTCTCGAGCGCCAGCGGTTCGACCAGGCAGAGATCAAGGAGGACCTTCGTTTCAAAACGCTGCCACCATTTGACTTCGATGTGGCTCCCTCCGGTCAAGTTCCGTGTTATCGGGTGGTTGAATTTGTTGTCGAACGTGGGTCCATCAGTTTCCACCATGCACTTCACTACACATTGTCCTGGCTCATCGAGTGTGGACGAAACATCAGCAGTGAAAAGATGCGCATTACCATGTTCACTGCTGCCAACCAGGCACGGGGACGTATTCACACTGTTCAACCTGGTATGGCCAACAGTGTCAATGATGCCGTGCTCGTTGGTCTTGGGCCCGAAGATCTGCTGCTAGTCATGTTTGACTACCCCCTCAGGGTTTGCGCCTGGTTAGCCCAGATGAAGGCTGGAATGTGGGTTCGCAACGGTCTCAGTCTTCGCCACCAAATGTCCCAGTACCGCGGAGTCTCCTCTCGTGACTTTGCCTATTACAGAGACATTTTCCTTCTCCAGACCGCTCTCGTGGTTTGCAATCCCAGCAGAGTTCTCGCATCCATCGCTCACCGTTTCGGCATGGTTGAATGGATGGCTCGGAATTACATGCCTCGTGCTGGGTACGAAGATTCTCAACTTGTGGATGTAGCCGAAGAATTTGTTCACCTTCTGGTCATCTTGTTGACCGACCGGACATCTTTGACGGCCATTGACGATAGCACACATTTGACCCACGAGAACATCAAGCGTGACATTGCTCACGTCCTGTGCTTCAAGCCGCTCTCTTTCTCAGACCTCTCTACTCGTCTCAGCGACAAACTTCTAGACTCCGACATGTTCCAGGATGTCCTTGAAGAAGTTGCGAACTTCCGCCCACCAGAGGGCTTGAGTGACTCCGGAACCTTCGAGTTGAAGCCCGAACATTTAGATCTAGTTGATCCTTACAGCGCACATTACACAAAGAACCAGAGAGACGAAGCAGAGAATATCTACAAAGAATGGATGGCCAAAAAGACCGGCAAGAATGCCTCTGATATTGTCTTCGAGCCAAAACTCCGACCTATCACCTCAGGAATGTTCTCCGATCTCCCGCGCTTTGCTGGAACTGGGCTCTTCGCGCAAATTGTGCACCAATGCTTGGAATATGTCATCTCGTCGAAAGAATGCACACCGAGCATCCCACCCACTCGTGTTGAGACTTTCCTTCAGGTGATTTTGCATCTTATCTTGGCTGCAGTTTTGGAAGATAACTCTGAGGAGAACGACATGGTAGAGGAACACTCCAACTCATTCAATTGGAATGCTCTGTCAAAGACCCGCGAGATCAAGGCAGGCAGATTAACCATTGTTGGACTGTTAGAGAAGATCTCTATCACGACTGACTTCTCTGCTTCCGGCCCTAAGATCCGTCACATTCTGAAACGTCTGTGGCAAAAGCGCCCTCGCACCTATTCTTCTGCAACTGCATCCCTTCGTTTCCCCTTCGATCGCATTGATACCAACTCCCCTGCGATCGATCTGGACAATGATAAGGAGACAAAGAAGAAGCAGGCACTCGAAAGGCAAGCCAAGGTCATGGCGCAGTTCCAGGCTCAACAGCAACAGTTCTTGTCCCAATCAGGGAACATCGACTGGGGTGAGGAGGACTTCAGCGATATGGAGTCAGACACCGATGCTGCACCCGAAAAGAAGATGTGGAAGTACCCCAGCGGAACATGCATTCTGTGCCAAGAAGAGACAAATGACACAAGACTCTATGGTACATTTGCGCTGGTTCAGGACAGCACAATCCTACGACAGACCGATATCCGGGACCCCGAAAGGATTCGCGAGGTTCTCAAGACACCATCAAGCTTGGATCGATCAGCCGAGGAACTGCGCCCATTCGGTGTATCCGGTGAGAATCGCACCACGATCAAGAGATTGGATTCTTCTGGTGGTGAAGTCACCAGCGAGAAGGTTGGACTGAGCAAGGGATTCAATGCAAAGAGCACCCTTCGGGGGCCTGTGACTACTGGCTGTGGACACATCATGCATTACTCTTGCTTCGAGCAATATAATGGAGCGACTCAACGGCGCCACACTCAACAGATTGCGCGTCAGCACCCTGAGAACACCGCTTTCAAGGAGTTTGTCTGTCCTCTTTGCAAGGCCCTTGGAAACACATTCTTGCCCATCACTTGGAAAGGCAAAGAAGAGTCTCCTCTGGTTCCCCTCAGCCCTAGCGAGTCATTTGACCAGTGGATCGATACCGGTCTGAAGCAATCCCTCAGCCAACAGCAAAACATTGCAGTTCTCATGGACAAGGAAAAGAGCCATCCTCAGCCATACACAGATATTTTCATGGACTATCTCTCTAAGAACTTGGTTCTTCCACTGTCGACCAAGATCGATCAACTGACGGCATCATCTGGCTCGGCAAGTGCAGCCATCCAACAAATAACATCTGCCCAGATGCCGATGCCAGGAATTTTCCCGCCCAGTGAGGATCCTTCACCTTCTAGTCCTCTCCAGCAGACGTCTAGCCCCTCGGATAGCTCCATGCTCGAGTTGTTGCAGATATATCAGCGCATGAAGAAGACCTTGAAGACGAACAATGTCGGCTCGGCGTTCAACAACAACACCGAAGCTAACAGCAGTGATGAACTTGTGCATACCGACTCTTTGATCCGCAGCTTCGGTTTCAGCATCGCTGCCGTGGAGATTGCGCAGCGTGGTATTGAGTCAGAGCACGGCTCTACCTTGTTAGACAAAATTCCTCCACTGACACTGACACATTTGCGCGTCTTATCAGAGACTGCAATGACATACGCTGCCGTTGGGTGCCTTTATTCAACATCGGTATTAAAGTCCCGCCCAAACATCGAGTTCTACGAGATGCATCGACAGAAGATCTGTCAGCTGCTCGTCGGTCACCCTTGCCTAAGTGGGACTGCGCTACTTAACGATGTCCGCAACATTGAGCCCCTACTCGCTGTTGATACATTCGTGTTCTTGGCAGAATCATCACTATCCTTGCTTCCCGTTCTTCAAATTGATATCCGCCATCTGGTGCACATGTGCTTCGTGGCTGAGATCGTCAAGGTCGCTGTCACCTTCATTCTGTGGCCAATCGGGCTGAAGGAAGAAGTCGAAAACCATCCCGAGGATCAATACAGGCCCACTTTCTCAAGAGACACGCTTGTAGCGGCCAAACTATTCTTTGACTCGATCATTGACGAGCTCAAGTCCAACTCAGTCGGTCGCGCCGAAGGCTCATCCTTCCCTGCTGAGAGTGGCTACGTCAAGGACAGAATGGAAGCTGACAGAATAGACATCATTGCTGCTTTCCGCCGACTTCTCGCGAGCTACGCTTTGACATTCTTGCGCAAGGCAGTCATTCTTCTTCACGTCCAACATGGTGTGGAGTTCCCAAATACCGGCTTTGATGTCGAACTACCCGAGCTTGATCGCCTCACCAAGGCCCTCCAGTTGCCATCCATCGATGAGATCCTCATGTCTATCAAGTCCGTGCGCCATAGCGACAGCCCCCTCAACGCAATGATCTCAGGATGGATCTTCCACTGGAACGCGTCTCGCTCCGGCATTCGCTTCGAGGACCACAGACTCTGGCCCAGCCTCTCCCATCCGGCAATCTTCGAACTTGTCGGCCTGCCGAAGTACTTTGATAGTCTCATCGAAGAGGCGAATCGCCGACGTTGCCCCAGCACCAATAAAGAACTCACAGATCCCAGCATCTGTTTATTCTGTGGAGACATCTTCTGCTCACAGGCAGTATGCTGCATGAAGAACAAGCTCGGTGGCTGTAACCAACACCTCCAAAAGTATGTATCTCCACCTCTTCAATCAATGTCCAATGCTAACTTTCCCTCCAGGTGTGGAAGAAACATCGGTCTGTTCATCAATATCCGAAAATGCACAGTTCTATACCTGCACAACACCAACGGATCTTGGCACTACGCCCCCTACCTCGACCGCCACGGCGAAGTCGACCCTGGTCTCCGCCGCAACCGCCAGCTTATCCTCAACCAGAAGCGATACGACCGGCTTCTGCGTGATGTCTGGCTGTCTCACTCTGTTCCTGCTACGATCAGTCGCAAGCTGGAGTCGGAGATTAACAATGGTGGTTGGGAGACTATTTAATGAGTCAAAAGAGTCCATGTTTTGGATGCGTACATTAGATTAGTAGGATCGTTTTAGCATCCCTGCATCTTTTCTTATCTGGAATTTATCTCCTCCCCTTTTCATGATAGTCGTCTTCAGGTAAACATGTCCTACGTGTTCAATAAGTTGGTTCAAACATTTTCACCATTCCACTGTTGGTAGTACCTCCACAACGGAGATATTACACAATGTACATATGTTTTCCCAGCTGGCAAGGCTATCACAAAACTTTATACAGTCAAAGTATTAATTCATGGACCTCCATAACGACGGTCAAGTTGCCCATGGGTTGTTAGGGCAAGGTTCGGGGATCCGGGGCGATAGTCTTATCGGTGCCAAGCCCGATCTTCACCTCTGACAGTCTTCAACCTCACTTTTTGAACATCTGCGCTCACAGCCATGAACAACGAGCAGTTCCGACGGTTGCTTGTCAACCAAGCAGCTGCAAAGTCTCAAGACCAAGGCGCAACCCCAACTGGCAATGCATCCCGTGGCAGCGCAACCCCAGGCGGGGCGCTTGGTTCACGGATGCGGTCCAACATCCCAATGACCCCGTATGTACCCTCGTTCGCACACCATTGCACTTTCAATGTGACTAACCAGAACACCATGTTCTAGGCGCTCCGTTGGAGGCGTAGACTTTGCGCGCCAACTCGCCGAGAAAAACCGCGAAGCCGATGGCCGACCCTCCAAGCGGTTCAAGTCGTCTGCCGCCCCCAAAGGCACTTCGATGCCGACCGGCTACCAAGATCGCGCGCAGCTTCGCAATGCAAGCGATGGAGAGGAAAAAGGCGAATCCATCGAGACCCGAATCAAGGCACTAGAAGATATGGTCAAACTAGGACAGATCGATCAAGCTACCTTCGATAAACTGCGTCGCGAACTCGGGGTTGGCGGTGACCTGGAAAGTACACACATGGTCAAAGGACTGGATATGGATCTCCTGCGAAGAGTTAGAGCTGGAGAGGATGTGTCACAAGCGGCCGAGAAACCCGCTCCGTCGCCTCCTGCGGAGGATGTAGACGACGAGTTCGAGCGCCTGGAGGAGCAAGGGCCCACAGAGTTTGCCCCCGCCCCGAAGGAACCAAAGGAGAAGAAGAAGGGAACCATGGCACCACCACCTACACGGCCAAAGACTCGTGATGAGATTCTGCGCGAGCTGAAAGCGAAGCGCGCTGCGGCTGCGGCTCCTGCTCCGCCGCCAGAATCCACACTCGGATCCCGGTTCAAGAAGCTGAGCGATGGAAAGCCTGAAAAGAAGAAGTTTGTGGAGACAGACGAGACGGGTCGCCGACGGGAGGTGCTCCTCATCACTGACGCGGAAGGAAACACCAAGCGCAAGACTCGGTGGCTCGATCCGCCAGTCCAAGCACCAGTCGATGCCGCAGGAGACTTGCCTATGCCCGACAAGACTGCCAAGCCCCTTGGTATGGAGGTTCCGGCAGATATTGCCGCCCGTGCTGCGGCTGCGGCTGCGGTGCCAGAAGACGAAGATGATGATATCTTTGCCGGCGCAGGAGACTACAACCCCCTTGCCGGGATCGATGACGATGGCTCGTCTGAGGACGAAGACGGCGAGGTGGCGGATCCGGCACGCACAGCGGAGAAGGCCCCTGCCAGCGAGGACAAGCCTGACGCAACCGCACCTAGCAAACCCATCAATTACTTCGGAGACGAGGCTCCAGCGGAAACAGAAACAGACAACACCAACCCGCTCGCCAAAGATCCCACCATCCTTGCTGCCCTCAAGCGAGCTGCTGCCATTCGACAGGCTTCTCCCTCTGGGGGCGACGAAGGCGAGTCCTCTGAGGCAGCTCAGCGACAGAAGCGCTTCATCGAGGAAGCTCGTCGTCGTGATGCAATGGATGCTGCTGATATGGACATGGGCTTCGGAGGAAGTCGCAACGAGGACGAGGCGGAAGAAGATGATGGTCCCTTGTTGGACTTTGACGAGGACGAGAAGCGAGGCGGGCAGAAGAGGAAGCGTGGACCTAAGAAGAAGAAGGGTGACAAAAACAGTGCTGCTGATGTTTTGCGTGTTGTCGAGGGCCGCAAGAAGGATACATGAGTTTTGGGCCATGTCTTCTCACGTTCTATCTAGATCGAATCTTCCATACTGCGTCTTTTGATACCCTGCAATGCTATACAATGTCTACTATCAAAAAAAAAAAAAAAAAAAAAAATGTGTATGAGGCAGCTATTCCTCATCATGTGGTTCCAAATATTCCCCCTTAAAGTTTGCAACCCAGCCCGGTTACTCCCTCGAGGGTGGTAGTTGGGCAAGGGTTACGGGGCAAAGATGACAGGCGTGCATGTGAACTTCAGGAAAGGGAATAAATTCCAGCTCCGTCCAGGCTCGAACACATGAGCATCATCTCCTGGCTGTGACCATCACTTTTACTCAGCACGACACTGAGTACTTTCCCATCTCCCCCGAAAATGGCAAAGGCTAGGTCACTCCGGTTGAGCCACCGGCGGGAAGATAACAATACTACTCCCTTTTGCCTTTTTAACCTGCGTTTTTTTGCTCAAAACTAGTAATCAAAGACATGTCCCCCACTTATACTCTCAACATCTACACTCTCAACACCCACACCCACACCCACACCCACACTTACACCTATACTCATATTCACACTCACCCTCACTTACCTACAATTACTTGCCTACACTGATTCCCTTTTTATCCTACACACATACTATACACGTGGAAGTAAATCAATATACCAACTGAGCCCCACCAGTCAACACTTTAGGAAGAAAGAGTATATAAAAGAATACAAGCTAGTAGATCGTACCAATAAGTCACGACTTAGACTTTACTACTAAGTGAGATACATCATCACGGCCATTCAAATAATTCAAATAGCCTTGGAAGATGTTTATACTTCTCTTTGACCGCAGCTGAGGTTGATACAAGGTTGGTGGGTCCCATGGTTGTGCAGGTCTGTGCGTTTCCCCACTAGACCAGTGCTGACCTCCAACATCTTACTCCGTACTTCTCTGGAGACACAGGTTCACAGGTTCTGCCAAAGGTATATGCCGAAGCTACTCTCTTTACCAAGAGCTCACCCAGGGTGTTTCCGGCGCATCATGACAGGCCACGGCAGGTCAAGACAACCACGGCCCGACAAACGGCCTGCCCTGACTCACTTCCTATGCTTGCCTTTAATCAACTCTGCATCCATACCGCAGCTGGAGAAGTCTCTTTCAGCATTTAAAAAGGACCATCGATTACCGCTTGGACCACACGCAGGGCATGATCCAGCGAATCCCACGCGGTTGGGCCTGCCCGACACAGCTTTCCGCCCATTGGGGACTCTACATCTCACGCTCGGGGTGATGAGCCTTACCAAACAGCGTCTTGAGCAAGCATCTGAATTTCTTCGGACCCTTGATTTGGAAAGTCTGATGCAAGAAGCAGAGCGAGTTGCCAGCCGCTCTTCTTCACGAAGCCAAACCCATTCACCACATGCGCCACAAACATCCACATCAGTTGCGCCATTCAACGTCTCGCTAGAGTCATTACATGCGCTCCCACAGGCAGCTTCGGCAACCATCTTGCATGCTTCCCCCGTGGATCCCACTGATCGTTTATATCCATTCTGTGTGATGCTGCGCGATAAATTCATCGAGGCTGGGTTTATGCTAAACGAAGCTGAACCGAAGAAACAAATGCCCTCCAACCAAAGCCCTACCTCAAATGCTAGCCAGAGCACTCAGGATATCTCTCTTTCACAAGATGCCTCTTCGCATGCACATGTCTTGCCAAAGACCCTAGATCCATACACAGTCGCCATGACACGAGAACCAAAGCCTCGACCACTTCTTTTACATGCCACCCTCGTCAACACGATATATGTTCGCGGGCGAAAGAATTACGCAGACAAGAGCACGCCAGGCAAAGGTGTCATAAAACGTTTTAAATTCGATGCCTCCAACCTGGTATCTCAACACACCGGCCACACACTTCAACCCGCTGCCGCCTCCGTCCAACCAACACCAAATAACAGTCATATCTGGGCGAGAGACATCGCGCTAAATGACATCTGCATCTGTGAGATGGGGGCTAAAAAACTACAGCCAGGTTCTGAAGATCAACACGGCTTGAACGCGCGCATGGGCGAGAAATACGTGGTCGTTGCGCAGCGAAGTATAGTACCAGCCCAATGATCGCGTGGCCTGTTCGCCGAAAGTGACAGCCGAAGCTTTGGGGTGAGCACCATGGTCGTTGCATTCTTAGATTTGACCATCCTCTCAAGGCAGCAGACGATTTAAGAACCAAGAGCATACATTATTGCACGTTGAAAAAATCTCCCGATGGCCCCTGAGACATCACTTTGAAAAACCATTTGCTTCCATTGTTTCATGATAGTATTAAGTAGACTATATCCCAAGCCTGCTCGGGATACCACTGAGGAATTTCATAGGTTGCATGGTGACATCTGTGCGCAACTATGTGGCACTACAAAAACCCGACGGTGGGGTGCGTCTTCATGATGACATCTGCAGGATGATGAGACGCTATCCGAGATGGTAACGCGTGGCTTCCACCTGTATAACCAAAAGATGAAAAAGCGGATGAATGACTCGAGTTGCAGCATCTCACACAGCCAACACACCTTTCCCAGCGCAGGACTCGCTGCAGTAACAAACAAGCAACAGCCCATCATGATCATCGAACTCGACTCATGATAGTCTCCATTCCACGCTCAACAGACAATTCAGCAGCCTTGGCCTTGATAGAAGTAATCATGCTGCGTTCGAAATCGTCACGGGTGCGCAGCACAGCCTCAACCCACGAGAGTTGCAGGTCCCAATACTCGATTTTGAAACCTTCGTAGACGTTCACGAGCGCAGGGCCCTTGTCCGTATCGAGGAGTTGGACAAGCCATTCAACAAGTCTCCACTTCTGCTTGATCGTGCCCTCGAAGGAATCGGGGTAGTTTTCGAAGAAGGCGAAGACTGTGAGGACGTCGTCTTTGAATTTCTCGGTGAAGGGATCGACATGGCGGCGGAATTTGACGCCCTTGTTGCGTACTGATGAGAGGTAGCGTACCAAAAGCTCGTCGGAGAGTTCTTCGACCAGAATTTCGGCGAGGGATGGGTGGAGAACTGGTGTGTAATCCGCCATGTAGTCTTCAAAGGTGGAAGTAATACGTTTCATGGCGTATTCACCATACCATCGTGAAGTGAAGATGTCTGGTAGGACGGTGTCGAGATCGACAGTGAAGACAATGTTCACGAACTGCGCCAGGCAGTGCGTGCTTAGATCGACGTATCCATCTCGCAGTGCGTCGAGTTCAATACTTGCTGTTGTGGCCATGTACTTGGGAGTGACAAGGGGCTCGATGTCGTTCTTGAACCTTGTAAGGTATCCGAATACCCCGGCTTCTTCGTTGTCGTCAATGCACGAGATCTGATCGTTTGCGACACCAATCATCCAGTCTTGCAAAAGTTGAACACCTTCTTGATCTGCGCTGCCGTTTTGATGTTTGGTGCACTCCTCGTCAACGAGATTTTGCCAAGCACTCTGTCGACTTTTGAGAAGCCGGAATATGGCGTCGATAACGCCTTCCACTAGATCTGCACGGTCGGAGGCACCCGATGCCATGACCTGTTCGTGAAGCATGCGCCACATGTCGGCCAATGTTTTCGTGCGGAAGTGACCTTCTGCATTGTTGTCCAGGGCGTCTGCGGCACGCTCGACGAGGGACTTCTTGTCCGCGTTGAAAATTCTGTCCATCCATTCTTCCACGGCGTTGATGATGACGCTCTGCCATTTGTGGACGAGTTCGGGTTCTCGGTCGTCCAGGATGTTGGGCTGCAGGTCTGTTGGAGCATAGCCCAGCTTCTTCATCTTTTTGTAGTACTTGTCGCTCCAGTGGATGATCGTGAGTAGATTGCCGGCTGGAAGCTCGGGGTCATCAATCATGCTGAGTAGGAAGTCGTGCATCATGCGGTGGTAAATATCAGTGTATGTTCTGAAAATCTTCCACTTCTTCGGGACAAGGCTTTCCATGCCCTGTTTGACCGTGAACAGGTCGTTGAAGTACCACCTGAATTTCTTTTCAAGGTTGTCTGGATCACCGAGGAAACTCTCAAGAGTCTCTTCGAATTGGCCCTGAGCGTATAGTTCAATAGCTTGGATGAATTTGTCCTTATACCCGCGAACCGTCTTTGGACCAATATTCATAGACTTGAACCGACTCGCCAGATCCTTGTGATCTTTCTGGGCCTCCTGCAGAGCTCGGACCGTATCATCATTCTTCTCTTCATTCATCACAACAACAGCAAGTCGAACAACCATGCTTCTGTTATCTGCCTGCACCAAAGGTATGAGATTCATACAAGCAGTTCCAAGGTGATCATCAAACCACTCAATAACAGAGTCCAGGCCCTCAAAGTACTCCTCAAGAGTCTCCTCGCTGCTCTGATCCTGAGCCTTGCAGATCTGATCCATAGCCTCGTCACGGAAATCTCGCAATCGTGAGATCTGCATATGCGCACGAAGAATATTAGGCTGATTCTCCATATCCTCGTCATCCTCCCTGAGCAAATCCTCCACTTCCTGAATATCTGCACCAAAATTCTCCAATCCGCGTTTCATCATAAGCGTAGCGTCGAAGTGCCGCTGGATCCGCGCGAGCTTATCGATCTGCGCAAAGTCCTCCACATTATCCTGCGACTCAGCGCACAGCTTATCAATACCCTGAAGCTCATCTTTCGTCTTCGAAACTTGACGCTGACCCTCTGTCAAAGCGCCAATGCTGCGTTGTACCGCCTCGAGCTGATCTCGGAGGCCTTCTCGGAGCCGTGAATCGACAGCTGTCTTCTTTCGTAGGTATTCAGCCTTCAAGCCACTGATCTTATCAAGATCTTCTGGATGGCGGAGCAAATCTTCAAGACGCGGCAAGGCAACCGTCGTGTCCATGTTGCTGGCTTGCGCCATTGTCGCGGGTGGATCTCGTGTTGTGGCGGATCAATGGCTCGGAATCGGGGGTTTGGAACTCGATAACGCGGACATGAGATGTAGAACTCGCAAAGATGTACTTTTTCAAGCTATCAGAGGCACAAGCCTAGTCACATTTAGCAAGACACGACGCCTAGCTTTGAATGGAGGTGCAGCAAGTATATCCCGCTATCGTGCTGGTGGCAGAATGGACACGTGACCCACCGCCTTAAATTTGCGGGATCTCCAAGTCCGCGACTCTCCAGACGATCAAGTTGATTGCTACGGGTCCTGCAATTCGTGCTCACAGATACACTCGTATCAATTTACCTCTACCGCTCTCGCTCCGCAAAATCTGAGCCAATTTCTACACCACCCAACCAACAAAAAAACCGTCCGGAACCCGGACCTCAAACTACAGCCACAATGGCCTTTTTCCGCATCACCCTCCTCCGCTCCGCAATTGGACTCCCCCGGCGTTCAACAGACGTCCTCAAGGCCCTCGGCTTGAAAAAGCGCATGGGCACCGTCTTCCACGCCGTCTCGCCCTCCGTCGCCGGTCAGATCATGAAAGTCAAGGAGCTTGTTCAGGTCGAAGAATGTCAATACCGCCTCACAAAGCAAGAAGTGCATCTTGAACGCAAGCCCGATCCCGGATATTATCTCGAGCAGAGCGCCACCGAGCAGCGCAGTGAGACCAGCTCATAATCGTCACAAAGTTGAGGATTAGTGGAGCTGTGGTTATACCTGAAGGACTCGGGCGACTGAGTCGCGTCTTTCTATTTTCTGTTTTGGTTTCCTTGCATGGAGCGGGTTGCTTTTTTTTATCGCTTGTTCTTTCTTATGTACTCTATGGCCCTTGGGGTCTGCAAATTGTATTATATGCATCATTGAAGGAATTGACTTGAAATAAATACTATGTGCAATCTGAAATAATGATAACGCCACTGCTCCAGTACAGGTAAGGACAGCTAGGGAAAAGTTTACTTTCAAGCCACTAGGCGCAAGATTTATGCTTTGTACAGAGTGTCCAAGAAGCCCTCGGCCAGACGGTTGACGATGGTCTTATCAGGGATGCTGCCGGCAACACCGTACAGCGCGGATGTATCACCACGCTTGAGGATGTAAGCCTTGCCCTCGCGCTTACGCTGCTCGGCTTTCTCGAGTTCTTTGCCAATGACCTCGGTGAGATCAGTGATGAGCTGGTCGACAGCCTTGGCAGTGGGGATTGTGAAAGCACAGTGGATGGCAGGGGGAGACTGCAGGGCGTTGAGATGCCATCCCTTAGCAGACAGGTCATCAGCGATATCATAGATATCGATAGCACCATTCTTGCTGCGGAAAGCAACAACGCTGACAATGGGGTTTCCAATAACTTCCATGTGCAGGGAGATGGTAGCCTCGTTACGGACAGCCGTTTCGAACTTGCGGGCTGCGTTGATGATCTCAGTACAGCTGTTGATGTAGCCGGTTTCACCGACGCTCATCAAACTAGCCCAGCAGCCTGCGATGAGGGCACCGGGACGAGAGCCAGCGACGGAGGGAGAGGCATAGACACCACCAGACCAGTCAGGGTAGATGAAGTATTGGTTGTTGCGGTAGGACTTGTTGCGGTAGATCAGGACTGAGTTACCCTTGGGCGCGAAGCCGTACTTGTGGGTATCGACACTGATACTGGTCACGCCAGGCTGGCGGAAGTCGAAGCCACCCTCCTCTTCGTAGGGCGAAGGGAAGCCGGCCTTCTTGAGAAGTGCGACGACGAAAGAGCCCAAGCAGCAGTCGACGTGAAGAGGAATTTTATACTTGGTGGCCAGGTGAGAAAGACCGGGGATATCATCAACGATACCGTGGGGGAAGTTAGGGGCAGATCCGACAAGTAGGACAGTGTTGGGGTTAATTAGACGGCGAACAGCGTTCACGTCAACCTTGAACTCAGGCTCGGGACAGGGCACCCGGTGCAACTTGATCTTGAAGTAATTGCAAGCTTTGATGAACGCCGCGTGAGCAGTGTCGGGAATGATCCTGTCAAATATAAGCCATGTTCAGTCACCCAATCGAGCATAACTCACATCTCAGGCTCAGTAACACCACGCTCCAAGAAAGCCTTCTGTCGCGCAGCCAAGCAAGCCATAAGGATCGACTCGGTACCACCGCTGGTAGTGACACCAGCGCCATCAGAGGGCGCATTGAACAAAGCAAGAACCTAAATTATTAGCCAAGCTCCGTCTGCAAGATAAACCAGTCACGTACCATAGCAACGACCTCGGCCTCCATCTTCCGCACACCAGGGAAGACATCCGGGTGAATGGGATTCGCCACACCAAACTGACCAAAGGCCTCAGCCTGTAACTTCAACAATTCCTCACCACCATGGTAAACAGCACCACTGACGCGCCCATCCTCCCAACGCGTATGTTCAAGACCAGCCAACTTATTCAATTCCGCGCGCACAGCATCCCCAGACCACCCCTCCTTCGGCAAAGAAAGATAGCGCACGACATCAGGGCCAGAGTTCACGAGCTTCGATTCCAGATTGGTGATCGCCGTGCTAACTTGCTTATCAACTTGTCCGCGGACACCGGGTGTGCGCAAGAAGAGACCATAGCAGAAGAGGCGCAGGGAGATATAGACGTTGCGGATGCTACCAAGGATGCCGTAGCCACGGACGGAGTAGAAGGTTTTACGGGTGTAGCGAAGGATGAAGAGGATGAAGACTATGTTGCGAATGCTGCTGGGGTGTCAGTGGTCTGATGCCGGGCTCCGCGGGGAAGTACTTACAGGTCGAGGTTGATGGCGGATAGCTGGGCGCCGGAGACGCGGCTATAGCCCGCCAGCTTGTGCTGGAGGGCTACCGGTAATATTGAGGATTTCATTGCTAGGAGTTTGGGGAGGAGAGTGGCGATGGAGAGGTTGCGTTCAACTTGGAAGTTGAGTCGGGCCTCGGCTGCCACATGAATCCGTGTCCGTACGTACAAATGTGACTCTGCAGTCCTGCGCAATCTTTGATGTTATATTTCGCTATTGATTGTTTTTACTGCGCATGTCGCTAGTTCTATTCCTTTCACAAACATAGTGAATTTCATACATACCAGCCTTAGGAGTCTTTGACTTTTTTCTGTGTAGTCTGACGTAATTGGTCTAGAGCTCCAGGGCTCCAAGGCTTATTCCAAGTTTATGTACGGAGTATGTTAGGACGTTTACTATGAGCCACACCAACTACTTCACTCGTTTGAAATACTACCAGAAAGGGCTCGAGGCTCGATGGTCATGGAGTATAAGTCATTGTGGCTTCTTCTGCGCTTATATACAAATTAGAGAGAAATCTCTCCTAACACCAGTTCTTTTGAGTCTCCAAAAGGAGGACTTTCAAACCCATGGAAAAATGTCCCTAACATATAAAAAAAAAACATCAAATCATCAAAATTTCCGCGCACGGAGAGCGCGCAGAATAGATGTGGGAATCGATCAGAGGCGCAATATTTTATGTGCCATGGATCGTTTATGCGATACCGGCAGCCTGGGCCTCGAGGAGCTCCTTCTCCTTGACGGCGAAGGCCTCCTGCTCCTCGGCAGTCAGGTCGAGAAGGGGCTTGTTCTCACCGGACTTGAGGTTACGGTGGTAAGCACGGATAATGCTGTCAGCGTCATCGACAGCGATGGGGCGAATGTCGGCCATAGCCTTGATCTTGGCGGTGCACTCCTTGTATTGGGCATCGGTCATCTCAAGCTTGAGCTGCTGGGCACGAGACTTGATAGCGTTCCAGCCAGTCAGGCGAGAAGCGAAGTGGACGTAACGAGTCATACCGAAGTCGGCGGGGTTGATGATCTCGTAGGTGCTGGGGTTGTTGAGGATAGCCTTGGCGTGGATACCGGCCTTGTGGGTGAAGGCACAGAAACCAGTGATGTAGTTGTTGAAGGGGATGTTGACCTCGACGGCCTCGGCGACCAGGTCCTCGATCTCCTTCAGCTTCTCGAGGCGGTACTTGCCCTTGACGTACTCGGGGTCGGCGACCATCATGCGGGCCATCAGACCACCGAGAGGGGTGATACCGTTACGCTCACCGATTCCGAGAACGGAGGTATCGATGTGAGTGGCACCGGCCTCGAGGGCACAGTAGGCGTTGGCAATGGCGCAACCGGTATCGTTGTGGAAGTGAGTCTCGATGTCACAGCCGACAACACCGCGCAGGACACGGACAAGCTCGTAGACCTGGCGGGGGGAGGCGCAGCCGACGGTATCAGCAATACCGACACGGTTGACACCGACCTTGTCGACGGCGGAGTAGATGGAGAGAAGGTCGACCAGGTCGGAACGGAAAGAGTCCTCGCTGGAGAAACGGATCTCAATGCCCTTGGACTTGACGAACTCGATAACTTCAATGGCGGCGTTCTTGATGTAGGTCATGTCCTTACCGTGAGAGTGCTCACGGAGGTAGGAAGAGGTACCAATGACAACATCGACTCCGTCAACACCGGTCTCCACGGCAATACGGGCGTCGTCCATGTGGCAACGGATGTGAGTAAGGATCTAGGGCTTCCATTAGACGCCAACTTCAAACTTTGTGCACGCCACCCAGAACTCAACATACCTTAGCCTTCAGGCCAAGCTTGCAGATAGCCTCGCAGTCAGCGCGGGACTGCTCAGAGGCACAGGGAGAAGTAAGCTCGATCTATCACCGCGCTGTTAGCCTCTCATGATTCTCATCTTCAACTTCAATTTCTTCTGTCCAATGACTCACGTAGTCCACACCGAACTCATCGAGGGCCTTGGCGATCTCGATCTTCTTCTCGGTGTCGAAGAAAGCGTTGGCGAACTGCTCACCCTCACGCAGAGTAGATTCAATGATCTGGAAACGAGAGACGTTGCTCAGGAAATCGGTGACGCCGACATTGTGGCCGTACGGGTTGCGGGAGGCGGAGGGGTGGGGGTTCTGGCGAGTCTCAATGCCAGTGAAACCTTCGTGGTCTGGAGGAGATGTGAGTCCATGATCCATCGATGAGTGTTTGCCCACTTACTATCACCGTTGGCGCCATTGGCTTGCCCATTGGGCTCGGGGTCGGCACCGGGGCACATTGTGTGGTGGGATGTGTGGGGTCGGGGGATTTGTATAGATGCAAGGCAAATTGAGCAGAACTTGGGGATCTGGGAAGGATAGAACCAGAAAAAGGGCAGATATTTATGATCGACCGAGGGGAAGAAGCGAAAGAGTCATAATCGAAGCGGGCGGTGTAGTGTGCGTAGTAATCTGCCTTTGCTGGGTCGGCGGCAAAAAGCGAAAAATTTCGCTGCGCGGAGGTGGGGGGCCGTCGCGATGTCATAGGGTGTTTTCCCTCTTCTTACAACTTCCTGCATACTTCGCTACGCCCTACACTTTTGATTCGGCGCACATGATGACTCAATCGGTATATCCTTGCCCTTTTCCTTCAATTGATCGTAACCGGCATTTCTCCGTGAATCAACGCCCTTCAGCGGCATTCTTCCTCTATACACTTGCCCGACATCGGACTTGGCCCGCGGGGTCTGAGTCATGTCTTCATTGGACGTTCCCTCCCAGACCCAATGGTTCCATTGGTAATAGCTTTGCCCACAATTATGTCCTCAAGTCCTCAGATAAGAGATATCTGAATAAGTCGATCCGTCTGGCCTCGACATGTTTGCACTGTAGATCTATAATTCGCTGATGTCATCACATTTTTTAGTCTCAAGTTTCAACCACGGCCACCAATTTTACAATTACCAATACGGAGTACAATCCACGTAGACCTCGAATTAAACTCGCATGTCTCAAATTTCCAAACTGATGCAATGTCGTGCAACGCGTGTACAACATGCAAAATTGATGTTCATCTCATCTCTGCCACGGCTGGCCAGGGCTGAACTATGACTGGCTCGTCCTATCCAGACCATTGCCACAGTCACATTTCACATCCAACTATGTGCCAGTGCTCCGTAGTATAGATCGACGTTGGATCAAAGTTGACTTTCACGCCGGATCGTGCGACTTGTTCCGTGCCAGAGTTGATTTCAGTACTTCCGATACAACAATTTCCCATTTGGCATTAAGCCTACGGAGTATACCCTTATATCTTTTTCAAGTACACTTGTATCTTTCGAACAATCTTTCTAAACTTGGAAATACTGAAAATGAGCCTGGCCTCTACAGATCTGCAAATCCAAACATGAAACGCGGTAACTTCAAACTAATTATACGATCCAAGACGTTGGTTGGTGGTGCTGATCGAACCGTTATTCATCCCCACCTGGAACCCCCTGTTCTCACCATTAAACTCGATACGCGTATTATGAGACCCCTCGTTGAAGACATTGACAATCTTGGCCTCCTGCTCGACCTGCCAAGGAGCAATCTGATTCAAAAGATCTTTGGCATAAGCCGCCGCAGTCATAGCCGCATACCCCTGCCAGACTTTATTCTTATGCGAATCGGCATAGTCACAGATGCCCCGGATGACAAGGCAGGGGAAATTGTTCATCAAGCCAGCTGCTTCCATTTCGAAACAGAGAACATCCATTTGCGCGGCGAACTTATCTCGGGCCAAGGCGTCTTTCATCAATTGGTTCGCCGAGGCAATTAAGCCGTAATGAATTGCCGGATCATCTTCCATGTCCGTGCGAGGGCGTCGTGAGACCAAGAGCTCGAGATCGTCTCCGCAGTTCGGATCGCAGGACAAGTCACCATGTGCCGGGTGAACAACATGACTTTGATATAAGCGATCGGTAGCCGGGTCCGGGCGTCCATATTTAACTCGAAGTCGAGGCTTCTTCTCAAGCACGGTGTTGATCATTTGGTCCAAGGTATGGCCTTCAGCCTCGTGCTTGGCTTGAAGTCCACCGAGTGCTGTAAGCAGAAGGGTAGGCGGTTGGCTGAGGAAACCCGTGGGCTTGAATTCTTGATCCTGGATTGTCTTGCCAAAATCGTATTGAATCACGCCACCTTTGCCATTGCCAGGAACGCTGACAGTGATATCCCCAAGACGGATATCGTGTCTTGAGCTTGGGACTCCGCCGCCGATGCCGACCATGAGGACAATGCGAATGTTGGGAAAGCTCTGCATCATCTCCTCGGCTACCAGGGCTGCCGATGTGGTGCCATATGCCCCAACTGGTAGATTGGTGATGACCACGTTGTGCCTCCCGATCTTGCCCACAGTATAGTTGTTCTTGGTGCGCGCTGACAAACGCGGGGGATCCTCATGTTTTTCGTCGAGCAGCTGTTGAGCAGCAACGTACTCGGTTGTCACAGCGGAGATCCACCCAACAGTATAGTCTTCTGGATTGCTCATGATGAATCCCAAAGACAATGAACACTCAAATTCTCTAGTATGAGACCTGACACGTCCAGAATCACCAATTTAGGGGGCCAAAAACGCGGGGCTGCAGTGTGAGATTAGCGCCGTTTAGTCATATGAGAGTGAGGCTGAGGGGGGCGATTGTCCCGTCTCTAGAGACCTTCGCATTCTCGTCAGTTTATAGATGCCAGTCCCTGGTCCATCGCATGGCATCCAACTCTATCTCGTTTAGTGGCACCAATTACGGGGTTCAGGTGGGGGTCAACCATGGATCGATCTACCCGCCCATAGGTATGTCCTGGGTACTTCTTCGACGTCGCCCAAATACAACTCAGGGCTGACTGGTCGTATGTATAGAACGGCCAGAGACTCCACCGGCACCTTTCTCGAATTGTCCGTTCCGTCGTGATCCAGACTTTGTTGATCGTGGAACGCTGCTGGAGGAGGTATATCAGAAGGGATGTGTCCCCGCGGCTCGGATCGCGCTTGTGGGCCTTGGTGGTGTCGGGTGAGCGAAACTTACAGAGAAATATTCACATATTGCTGATACCTCGGAAGGAAATCGCAATTGGCAATTGAATGCTGCTACCGGATTGAAGAGCGTTCTCCCCAGACATGGGTCTTCTGGATTCACGCAGCCAACGCTGAGCGATTCGAGAAGAGTTGCTGGGATATCGTCAATCGGCTCAAGATTCCAGGGCGGAAGGACCCTAAGGCAAATGTGTTTCAGCTGATTTACAATTGGTTTTTGGACAAAAGAAACGGCAAATGGGTTGTCATCTTGGATAATGTGGATGATAGTCGATTTCTCCACGAAACTCCGGCAAATGCAAACGGACAAGAGGACAGGGAAGGTCCACTCTTGGAATACTTCCCTGTAACCGACAGCGGCTCCATTATTATCACATCCCGCACCAGAGATGCGGTTGATAGTCTTGTGGAGCCCGGCGATATCATCACAATAGGACCGATGAATGAATCAGATGCAGCGGAGCTTTTCTCAAAGAAGCTAGGAGAGCCAGGTACACAGGACGCCAATCAGCTTATCCGAGAGCTTGATTTTATGCCACTTGCAATCGTACAGGCTGCAGTTCACATCAGGCACAGAGCCCCTCGTCTCTCTGTGTCTCAATATCTTCAAAAGTTCCAGCAAAATGATCGAGAAAGGATCAGGCTGTTGAAGCATGAGAAGGGGCAGCTCCGTCGAGACAGAGAAGCTAAAAACTCCATTCTTGTTACTTGGCAAATCTCCTTCGACCATATACAGCGAGTCCACCCAGCAGCTGCGGATGTTCTATCCCTCATGTGTCTGTTCGACCGACAAGGAATCCCAGAGAATCTAATTCGATACTACAAACGAGAGATGGATGACAACCACAGCTTAGCCTCGAGTGAGAGCCGTGGCTTTTCCAGTATCCTGCATGATTCCGCCAAAGCAGACACATCAAATCCAGCATTGAAAGCAGCATCTGCTGTTGAGCCAGAGTCCGAGACTTCCTCTGTCCACAGCACTGACAGTCTATTCGAGGATTGCATATCGACATTGAGAGACTATTCTCTGGTACATATTGATGTGGATGATACAGCCTTTGAAATGCATCGACTCGTTCAACTTGCCATGCGGCAGTGGCTTGAAGCCCACGGTCAGCTCGAGCAATGGAAAAAACGGTTCACCGGCATACTTCTACTGAACTTCCCCACTGAACGGTGGGATAGGTGGAGTGTTTGCCAATTGCTTCTTCCACATGTCTTGTCTGCTGTCAAGCAACCACCAACTAAAGAGCTAACGTTGGGCAAATGGGCTCAATTGATCCAAACCACTGCTGAATTTACGCTAGACAAGGGGAATTATGCTCGCAGCGAAGAGCTAGCCATGTTAGCGTTCAACACAAGAGCTAATCTGTTCGGCTCTCAAGACGAAAGAACACTTGACAGCCTTAGCGTGGTGGGGCAAGCGACTCACCAGCAAGGGAAATGGAAACATGCAGAACAAGTGCATCGCCAAGTGATAGATGCCCATACACAAATATCGGGACCAGAAAGTTCCGCTACCTTGACCGGCATGAACAATCTGGCGAGCATATACTGGGCACAAGGCCGATGGGATGAAGCCGAACAGATCCACCTACAGGTCCTAGAGGTGCGGAAGCGTATTAATGGACCAGAGGACCTTGACACTCTGGCAAGCATGAGCAATCTGGCATCAACCTACGAAGAGCAAGGCCGATTGAACCAAGCCGAACATCTTCAATTGCAGGTTCTAGAGGCGCACAAGCATATCCGAGGACCAAAGCACCCTCATACCCTAACCAGCATGGGCAACCTAGCATTGATCTATAACCGCCAGGGTCGATGGAGCGAAGCCAACGAGCTCGAAATGCAGGTCATAGAGGTGTATAAGCGTGTTCTAGGACCAGAGCACCCTGAGACTCTGCTTAGCATGAGCAATCTAGCAACGACCTATAGCCACCAAGGCCAATGGGATCAAGCTGAAGAGCTCCAAGTGCAGGTCCTAGATATGCGTAAGCGTATCATGGGCCCTGAGCACCCTGACACTCTGATGAGCATGAATAATTTGGCATCGATTTATCGATATCAAGGTCTATGGGATGAATCCCATGATCTCCGAGTGCAGGTCCTAGAGGTTCGTAAGCGTATTCTAGGACCAGAGCACCCTGACACACTGGCCAGTATGAGCAACCTGGCATCAACCTACAACGACCAAGGGCGATGGGATGAAGGCCAAGAGCTCGATTTGCAAGTTCTAGATGTGCGTAAGCGCATTCTGGGACCAGAGCACCCTGACACTCTGATGAGCATGGGTAATCTGGCATCAGTGTACTCCGAACAAGGTCAATGGAGCAAAGCTCAAGAGCTTGAAGAGCAGGTGCTCCGAATTCGCAAGGAGGTTTTGGGACCAGAGCACCCGGATACGTTGCTTGGTATGAACAATTATGCGCATACTCTGTGGTTATCGGATCACAATAGCTCTGCCATCCGGTTGATGACTGACTGTGCTCAAATCAGCATCCGAACAATGGGTCCTGAGCATCCCGACACCATCCATGCAACCAGTGTTCTAGATAAATGGCGCGAGACAAAGATGCCCTTGTGTGCAGAAGACGTCGAATCACCGCCTGAGAAATTGGGTGAGGCAATCGAGGACAAAGGGACGAAGAGCCAACCCACCGTTTCCAAAGCAGACCCCCAGCCGAGTCGGCGCAAGCGGTCGATAATCTCACGGTTATTTCGTAAGAATTAAACCACCCAGCTTTTTGCTTCATCTTGGCGACACTTAAACAAGACGCTTAAAGAGGAAACCCAACCTTGGAAGTTTTATCCTTCATGGGCTCAAATACCAGCTGGGAAATTATTGTATCGGAAACCTTCCAAGGTGAAAATAGTGAAATTGACCATGGCCCCTATAGACCTGCATAGACCTATGAAGGGGAGTCGGTGTATGAATATACGCTAAATCGCCCTACTATATACAGATTATCGACGGAGACCAACTAAACTAGCAAGGTCACTCGGCTTTGCACGTATCCAAGATGCTAGACAAACCAAACAAGCTTGCAAGGACCTCGGGAGATGTATATGAAATAGGACTTATGGTTATTTAAGTTTTTCTATGGATGAGAGATGTTGTTTATGCACTGGATACAGTTGTAGAGAGCCATCTGTTCCTTCATAATCCCCAAGGTCTTGGATACGCGACAAAGAAACAACCTTGGAATGTCACTGCTTGAGATGGTTCGAAGATCTTCCATTGAATCACCGGTGGGTCTGTATGCAAGTCAGAATCCACACTTGCATGTCCTCAGGGCCTTACTACCGAGGCATATAGACATTGTTTGGACAATGACTATACGTACTGCTGTAAATTGACACTAGAACCAAACTGACAACATGAAACAAAAGATATCAAGCCCCAAACGAGTGAAAGACTGATATTCGGAGTGATTGCAAGGGACCGTGTAGACCGTGCAAGGAGTAAATTGGGGCGATGTGGTTGGTTGACGCTCAGGCCAGCTGTCGTTCCACCACCTGTCTTCTTACGCCTCGTTCTTCTTCTTCTTCGCCTGTGTCAATTCCAATCGTTGCCATCGCGCCTTTTCTGTCTAATGTAAGCTTTTGATGATTTCCATCTATCATGATGGAGTGGAATCACCGTTCCATCCGCGAAGACCCCCGGATCATGCACTAACCCGCGACAGTCCTCAAGATGCGTTTCACGTCGCTCGTCACCCTCCTCCCTGCCCTGGCCATGGCCCAGGAGCAGGTCCCTCTCGCCGACCGCGTGCAGGGATGGTTCAACCAGGTCAAGTCCTACGTGCCGACTGCCGCTCCCGTGGCTCCCGTCGAGAAGCTCGCCGAGAAGATCTCCGAGAAGAGCGTCACCCCGGTTTCCATGAACAACTGGCAAACCATCCTGACCCCGGGTCCCAAGGAAGAAGACTGGTTGATTTTCACCACCGGTGGTAACAAGACCTGCTTCGGTCGTTGCGCCCAAGCCGAGAAGGCCTTCAAGGTAAGCCGACGCGACGCGTCTTGAATTCCCCAAACACCCTTCAAATACTGATTCACATCCAGGAATCCGTCCTTCTCTTCTCTGCCGACCCTACCTCCCCCCATCTCGGATACTTGGACTGCGAGGCCAACCAGGTTCTCTGCGCCGCCTGGTCCGCCAGCGCGCCTTCCGTTCAGTACTACCAGGTTCCCCAGGAGCAGGCCGGCGAGCGCGCCCCTACTCCCCTCCGCACCGTCTACCTGAACTCCACCACCGTCACTCCCGAGACCATCTACGAGATCCACTCCAAGAAGACCTACGAGAAGGTCTCTCCTTACGAGGGTATCCTCCACCCCGTTGACGGTCTGCTCGCCCAGTACCAGCTCAACATCCCTCTTGGATACGTCATCTGGGGTCTTGGTGCTGTCCCCAGCTGGTTGTTCATGATTGGTATCAGTTTCTTCAGCCGTACCATGATGGGCCGTCGTGCCGGTCCTACCGGCAACGCTCCCCGTGCCGCCCCTGCCGGAAGCGCCAACTAGATCTGTTCTTTTCTTGGATGTACATAATAAGTGGCAGTATATTGGTGCAATATACTCCAATTGGCTTGCGTTCTTTGTTGGGCAAACATCTGTCAGGTTCAGCTACTTTTTTAATCAATTTATCCTAGACTTTTGGAGCGACTTCAGTCTGATGTCAATGAAGTGCAATTGCGATATTCAAGGAACTGCTCAGTTTCATAGGGTGTTCGTCTATTCAAGGTTGTTCATCTTGTATTGTTGGACCAAGGCTACCGCAATGCCAACTCATTTCCATTCTACGACGAGGGCCGGAACGGATAGTCAACACCTGCCTGAGCCACCTGAGGCACATTGTATGGGACCTTCTTATATAACCAAGGATTTTGCCGATGGTAACGCCTCTCGTACTCACGGCATTCTCCAGGATGACTGGGCTCAGCGGGATATTCAGCAAGGTAAATCCTCTCAACCTCAACAAAATCAGAGCGTCGGTCGAATTGAGCAAAGCCGATCAAATCTGGAATCCCGGGACTCAGAAATATGATGTCTCCGTAGGGGTTATACGGTTGCAATTGCGGTTGCATATGGCGCTCAACCCCAGGGTCGAACCCCGAGTCAGCATCAAATGTGTCATCGACCGCGGTGATGCGTGGGCCGCACCATCGCCTTGCCAAAATTGGGTGGAAAGGTACTGGCCGACGCGGATGCCCTTGCGAGGGCAATGTCTGGTTTGCTTGGGGTCCTTGGGTCTCATCCCAGTGACTTGCAGTTATAACTTTATCTCCAGAAGAGGAAGTCCACATGGTCTGTGTGCCATTGTAGACATCCTCAAGGAACAACCACGTCTCCTCAATCAATGAGTTGGCTTGTTCCGCGGAGAACACCCCAAGGATGAACATGCCTCGAGGCCGAAAGCCGAACTCGATCTTGTGTTGGCGTAAGACCTGTGGATGAATCTCATCACACAGCAAGAAATACCGAGTAACTTTACCATTCGGCGAAGCTATGAACATTTCAATCTCACTGTATGGCGGCAAATCGGTATGGCTCAGAGTAATCGACTTCCGCTCCGGCTCTACCATGTACGCGATGGGAAAGCGAAAATGGTGCAAAGTGCTTTCCAGTCGTACTACCGTGCGACCTGCGAGGCAGCAACGAGCTAGATCATCCCATCCAGGGATATATTGGTCAAATTGAAGGTGGAGAGCACGGCCTGGGAGATTTGGTTAGATTCTGTATCCACAAAGGTTTCCAACAAGGTGTTCAAGAAGGGATACTCACGGCGTAGCTCGCATGTGCGTTCTTGGAGCAGATGCTGGAGCTCCATGGCCAAAGAGCCGTCCACCAGGATCTCCTCACCGTCAGTGGTGAAATTTCTTATACCCATCTCGTTTAAGGCATACTGGACATAACAACGCGTGGGTAGCCTTGTATATAGCAATCGGGACCAGGGGATGAATCTCCAGCATGTTTTGGTCTTTCCCATGCTATATATGGGTCTGCAGCCCATACTGTACCCTGCTCGGTGGGATTTGAGAGACCATATGCATTTTGAGGCAGCCAGAGCATTGAAGATATCTTTTTTCTCGTCTGCCAAATTGGAGCGGGCGTACTGGGGAATTGGGGGTGCGCATCGGGACGCTCACCAGATGCCCAAGTGTCAGCAGCAACAATGTTCGAAGAATTGGACATTTCGATTGCATTTTCGGGGCTTGGAGATGAGGACTGGTCCAAAGGGTCTGCCGACTGGCGTGGCTCATTAAAAAACCAACGTGTAGGTATCCGCGCCTTATCTGGGCCAAGAGACGAGGACTGGTCGAAAGAGACTGCTGTCTGCCGTGGCTTGCTAGCAAACCAACCTGTATGTCTCCGCGCCTCATAGGTTGGATCCGATGTTGAAGAGAGAGAAGAAGTAGAAGTTGAATATTGGGAAGAACTTTCTCCATGATATGAGGGATCTTTCACTTGGGTTTGGAACCACGTGCGAGAGGGAGCCGGTTCTGAATGTTCAACGAGCGAAGTAGACGGAGCCGATGTCTGGGGGGGAACTTGGGCCGGGTTATTGGCATATGGATCCACTGCGTACGTATCAATGGAGGCGGGTGGATGGGCGGTGTTATTTGCATAATGCACAGCTGTCATTGGAGGCGTGTCAGGCCGCCGAACTATACCTCGTCATTTTCGCTGCCATGCCGACTAGAGCTAGTACACCAGCTCTTGGCTGACCTTGATGCCATTGTGTAATAGGCCAAGTGCCCTCATTCGCCGTATTCTGTGGTGTCATTTGACGCAAATCCTCCCGAAGCATGTACAGCCCTTTCGCTCATGATAAAACCTGCTGACGCCTTTGCGAAACAATTCAACGTTGTTGCCAGAGTCCATCCGCCCTCCGTGTTCCCAAAGCTAGTGACTAAACCACCTGTGGCTCCGGTGCATCTATCGAATGAGTTTGAAATGAAGAATTGTGTTCTGATAAGTTGCATTGGATGACTGCGCGGCCATTGTTCACACATGGATTGCTGTAGTATATACTTCTTTCGAGCCGTACATGATCATCACTTCCAAGGTTGTTTAGATTCCATAGATCCCTCAGCATCCGTCTGACAACCACAAGTTAGCACAAAGCGCTTCTCGTGTCAAAATAGTAACACACCCTTTAAGGCTTCGAGCATTCAAGATACTTCTCGCCACGCTTGCAGGGAGCATCAGCTAGGACCTGGCAGCACTTGGCACTGGCCTGAGAAGCACAGTCCCCGGATCCGTCCTTGGAGACAGCCAAGATCAGGCTACCGTCGGACAACTTCTGACCGGCCTTGAAAGAGGTAGATCCACAGTAGTCGTCACCGTATCCGTACTCGGTCTTCTTCCAGTCGCAACCCAAGCCGCGGTAGACACAGTCGTAGTCGTCGGGGTTGATTGAGGGCGTAGCAGAGGACGATGGGCTCGCAGTCGATGAGACGGCGATTGAGGAGGAGGGAGAAGGAGAAAGAGAAGTGCTGAGCTTGGCCGAGGCCATGCTGGCCAGGAGGATGGCTGTGAGCTTGAATTGCATTTTGATGTTGTGAAGAAACTGCACGACATACCTGCTGTTTATAAGTTGTGAGAGCATCGATCTTCGCTGCAGGTTCCAATGCACCAAGTCAATAGTTCGGAGGGTCTCGGTGGGTCCTGGGCCCTGAAGCGTCATTCCCTAACGCCATGCGGCAAGTGATCGCTGTCACTGAAGGATTTCCTCGGGCATTCGATCGCAGGGATCGGGATGATCCCTGACATTCCCAGATCGAGCTGGATCTGGTGGTTGGGTTGATGTCATGCCGATCTTTAGTTCTCGCTTTTTGTTTACTTCTGGGAGTCTATGAATCCACACCAGGCAGGTATTCAATTCGCTACAACCTTAAACTCTATGTGGAGACGACACTATACAATTGCATCTTGATGAATCTCGTTCTAAATGGAAGATATGGAAGTGCATGACCAATATTCATTCGAGTGTATACCAAAGGCTGTCGTCATCCAGAGAGGGCGTCGTGTGCTTGCAGTCATGATCCTGATGATGGCCATTTCCATGCCTCTTTTTGAAGAACGCACTGCTCGTATGAGGATCTGTAAAGGTGTATGAGCAGAAAGAGGTTCCTTCCACGGGTGTAGTCCAATTTCGTGCCAGTTTCGTATTGTGCATTGTGGAAAATGAAATGAGCTTTTGTTCATATGACCCTATTGAGTCCCGTTGCGTGTGGACGCCAATTAGCTCAGCCCTATTCTCATTTCGCCTACCTCGCTGCCTTTATTTAAACCCTTTCCTCTTCCTCTTCCTCTTCCTCTTCCTTCCTTTCTTCTTCTTCTCTCCTCGTCCCTTCACGTTTTCATCATTGAACTTCAGCCTCCACCATTTCGGTCAAGACTTGGGTTCCATCCTTCCTCGCGTGAATACCATCCTTCGTGCATACCATTCCCTATCCTGATATCTCTTGAAGGTAAGTTTTGGATGCTTCACAGCCCAGGTCTACTTGACGATTCCCCCTTCCCTTGAGCCTTGCCCTATGATATGTAGGGCTTGCTCTCTGCTGTGCCAACTACATCCCACACCCGTATGAACTTTTCCTATACTTCCTTTCCACTGAGCCTCTTCCACTTTCATCTTCACGTGTACTTCACTTCACCACGCGTGCAATCTGCACGTCTGCTTAAAGCTTGAGCAAAACTGATCGAACTCCAAGTATCAACATCCAAGCGTCGTAAGGCGCACCAACTTGAACTTCAGGTTACTTTTGCAAAAGCTCTCTGAGCTACTATTCGGTGAGTTCCTTGGTCATGAATCCTATCTCTACCCGTCTACTCGACTTGACTCTTCAGGGCATTTCACTAACCCTCAACTAGCAGAAGACATTTCCTTTTCTCCTTTCATCCGTTCATAACTTTTTCCTACCTCTTAACACCCGAACAACCTTCGGTCATGGAAGATCGATGCAATTTCAGTGAGTAACTTTTTCAATTTCGATCTGCCTAGGCGTGGATCCAATCTATACATGATTCTAACGTCAAGCAGAGCGCTATGGCGCCACCTACAAGGAATCGCAAAAACACGTCACTGAATGGGCGGACGCTTTCATCAGGTCTTACAACGAAGATGAAGACCTGGGCCACGAGATCAATGGCATAAAAACGAAACTGCAGAGAAGAGAACATCTAGAGTCATCTGGCGTCGATGTCTCTAGAATCCCAGAGCTTCAGACTCCGGATCTTAACTTCTACACTCTCAATGGCATGGAGACGAGACATACGCGGCTTCACGCGTTCCTGCACTTGTGGCTTGATCCATATGGGGCTATCAGAATGTCACCTGGCCAAATGCTCAAATATGTGGGGTCTGGGGGAGGTGGTGTCGAGTATCTGAACATCCCTGTCAAAGACGGCGAATTGGCTGCCTATCGTTTCCTTCGCGATGTGATGGACCTCGTCAAGAAAAGGGAGTTGAGATGCTACAATTATCTGTACGACCGACCGGGTGTCACATATCCAGCAGAGTTCGAGTGGCTCTCCGATGATGAAGATGATGCTGCATATGCTGCTATCCAAAACCGAAAGCAAGCGGCTCAAAAGAGGAAAGAAGCTGCAGCTGCCCAACAGAAGGCGAAGGCAACACAGAACAACCCGAAGGCAACCCAGAACAAGTCAAAGGTCATCTCAAAGACCACTTCGAAGTCTAGCTCTGGCGAGAAGACTCGTGCTAATGCCAAGGTCTCCACAAAGGACCAGTCCAAGCACGATCAACCTATTCTCGGTGGGCGAAACGGTAGCGCTCGGGTTAAGGACGAGCCAGCCGGCCCGAAAGCTCAGGACCCCGCAGATAAAAAGTGCAAGGAAGATGACTCGTGTACGTGCGGTGCACCTCGTTGTCCTGGATGGAATGCCTTCAAATTTTCTTGGTCTGAGGATGAGGCGGTCGAGTCAAAGACTACTCCCAAACTCGAGGACGACAAGACCCAAGGATCGAATCACATGAAAGGAGCTACAAAGACTGGTGCCGATGTTGCTGTGGACTCTATCGAGCATGAAGGGAAGTGCCACCTACCGGAAAGAAGCAACTCTTGCTCTTCTACTGAGCCAGAGTCAGGCGAAAGCAGCAAAGCGCAGACAACAACACCGGCAACCACCCCCGGAAAAGCCACCCCGGAGGCCGAGGACAAGTGCGCCAGCTGCGACGTCACTTTGAAAAAGGAGACCATGATTCATGGCCGTTGTGAGCATCGCTACTGCGTGGACTGCGCTGCGACAATCCTGGAAGGAACACTGGTGGACACCAGTACCTTCCCCCCACGATGCTGCCGCGAACCCCTTGTCTTTGAAAATAAGGAAGACCTGTTTAACCCTAGGCTCTTCGGCAGGTATGAGCTGGCGATGATCAAGCACAAGGATCCTAAGCCGCTCTATTGCCACGTCCAAACCTGTGGGGCCTACATCATTCCTGAAGCCTACGGCAAGTGCCATCTCTGCGGTGCGAGGACTTGCAAGAAGTGCTTGCGAGAGGAACACTATCGCGCATGCCTCCCCCTGACGCAACAACCGACGATCACAAGTTGAATGATCTCGCCAAGGAGATGCAATGGCAATCCTGCCCCGAATGCAACTACTTGATTGAGTTGACCATCGGATGCAAGCACATGACGTAAGTCCCCTTTTACTCTGGTCTATTGACACAAACACAAGCTAACAAATCCAGTTGCCGATGCGGACACCAATTCTGCTTTGATTGCAGAGTCACGTGGCCGGGCTGCAACTGCAGCACATTCGGATTCGACTACGTTGAAGCTCAACTTGCTCCACGCCGACGCTTTTGCAGGCACGAAAACGGTTGGGTCCGTCTCCCGTGTAATACCCCATGCCAGACGTGCTGGGCCGATGAAACCTTTGCCGTGCTGCAGTGCAATGACTGTGAGCTGCGTACTTGTGGCCCATGCAGGAAGTCAGCATACGAGCTTCGGGTGCAGGAGAGAGACCATGGAAATTACGACCACATGGATTACTTGGATGGAGAATAGAGTTTGGACTCTTGAAGTTGGTGCTCTCGTCGTCGGGCCTTCCACGATTCGTCAACGACACCAACATTGTCGTCCAATGGCTTGAGGGCGATTTTGCGGAAGATTTTGGAGATTGAAGAAGGTGACTTTGGAGACTGGAGGTGAATTTTGCTTGGAGAAGACAGAGATCGTTAGATCTACAGAGGAGTTGGGTGATTGAGATTGCTTTTTGGGAAAGACTGGAGACTGGAGAGAAGGTCAGAAAGACCATAATGGTAGGATGGAAAAAGAAAAGACCAAAAAAAAACACAGAACTAGCTAGCTTGGAGAGAAGAAAAAAGAAACACCAAAAACAGAATGGAAGAGGTTAATCATTTGGGAAGAGGTCTCCACTAAATAAGGATAGGCTTTGTAGATCGGCTAGAGTGTAGTTCGTATAGTTCGTATAGTTCAAAGGAACGAGGTCATTCCGATGTCACACCTCAACAATGCACATTTCGCCAACTACAAACTCACCTCACATCTCCAAGATGTCTAAACCATTCCGTCTCGGGATCCTAGGCACAAACATCCAATACCTCCACATCCTCCCAACCCTCCCATCCCACTTCACCCCCATCGCCATCCATCCAAACCCAGAACCAAACCAAACCACCATCCCTAGCGCATCCATCGCAACAATCCTCTCAAACCCGGAAATCGACCTACTCATCAACCTCCTCCCAAACCATGAACAACACACCATCGCAGCTCTTCAATCCGGCAAACACGTCATGGTCACAGTACCCTTATCAATGAGCATCCCAAGCCTCCGACGAATCCGAGACGCCATCCAAAAAGGCAAAGCCTCTCGACCCAACAAATCCTCACCAAAAGTCTTCATCAGCTGTCCGCGCCGACACGCGCCCGCCTTCCAAATCTTCAAAGATGAACTCGCGGCCCTGGATCGAATCTACTATGCGCGCTGTCGCAATATTGCCGGTCCATCTACGCCAGATCTAACCTTCGAGTCCTCGGCACTGGTCGATATCTTCGGTGAGGATGTAACGGGTGATCGCATCGCGTTCTGTCGATACTTGGCCACGTTGGGATGCCATGATCTATTGATTATGAGGGAGGCATTGGGGTTTCCGAATGCGGTTTCGAGCGTTGCGATTACGAATCCTTTTTATACTGCGATGTTTCATTATTCGGATGATAAGGGACATCCGTTTACGTTGTTTTATGAGGCGGGTGTGGATGGGGTGCCGCGGAGTGATGCGCATGTTATGGTTTATGGGGCTGAGAAGACGGTTAGTTTGCAGTATGACTTTCCGCGGGCTGGGGATGGGACGGGGGGTTTTGTTAGGGTTATTGTTGAGAAGGGGGGAAAGGGTGGGCAGGTTGAGAGGACTGAGACGGTTAGTTCGTGTGAGGAGGCTCATGAGCGAGAGTTGATGGCGTTGTATGAGTATTTGTCCGGGGATGAGACTGGGGAGGATGCGGTGATGGATTTGAGGCTGTTGCTGATGATTTTCGAACATTACAATCGCCAGTGTGGGACGATCAAAACACCGCTTGGCTAAAGTATGGAATGTCTACGTGAAAAGGGGTTGTGTTATGCACTGATCCGAAATTATTCATGGCAGATTGTGGCATGGACGTCGTTGGGAGTTTCAAGGATATCTTAATACCGAGCGCATCTTGGATCATTCAATACATGATTTTCAGCTATGCAATTACACTACCTCTTTCCCTTCTTCTTAGTCTTCTTGGCGTTGGATCCGCCTGCCTTCTGCTGCGCAGGAGACTCCTCGACCTTCTCGCTGACCGGTCCACCTTGGGTGAGAGCCGCAGCACGCTGCTTGCCCTTCTTACCCTTGGGACGGTAAGAGGAGCGATCACGGATAGGCAGCCAGCGCTCAGGGTCGGGCTTCTTAGCAGGATCGAAGTCCTTCGGCAGACGGTCTTTGCGCACGCGCTTGTGAGCCCGATCGTCGGCGCCAGCGGTGCGCTTACGGGCACCCGCGAAGGCTGCCGCTGCAGCTGCCGCAGAGGAGGCAGATGGGGCGATACCTGCGGATTCAAGGGCCGAAACGTCGATATCGCCAATCAGATCGCTAACTTGGGGTAGGCGATCTAGTTGGGATTCGACCTGTTCGTAGTTGAGGGTTGCCTGGGAGGCGACGTAGCCAGCAATGGCAACACGGTCGCTGGCATCTTGCTGATGGAGGGCGCGGAAAATCTCGCCGGCGGTGGTGAGGTCGGCCCGGTCTTCGGAGTGCAGGAGGGAGGCGGCTGCGGCGCGGAGGAGAGACGCAGGGGGCTCTGGCTTTGCGCGCCAGTAGGCGGCGGCCTGTGCGAGGGTTGTGCGGATTTGAAGCTTGCGGCCTTCGAGTTGGTAGAGGGAAACGAGGACGCTGAGGACACCAGGGTTGAAGCGGGCGGACTGGTCGGTCTCAGCGTTTGACTCCTCGAGGCTTCGGAGAGTTCGCTCGATGGCTGTGATGGCGGAGGTGGTGTTGCCGCTGTTCACGTAGAGCTGCACCACTGTGAAAAGCAGACCAAAGTCTTTAGGGCGGCGCTCAAGTAATGGGGCAATCTTTGAGAGGGCCTTTTGGCCGGTCTGGCCTTCGGCCTGAGCTGCCGCATTGTAAACGGAGAGGAGGTTGGTGGCGGCGTCGGTGGAGGGTGTTGAGCGCTTTGACAGCGCCTTGTTGGTGGACCGAATAATACCGTCATACTTCTGGACAAGTAAATCGGCGGCATGTGAGTTACCAACGAGATCACGGTCCTGGAAGTCGAACAGTCGGTCGTTGTCGGTGGCATCTGGGGTGTCGTGAATGGCCTTGTATAGAATGAAGGGGTTGACGGTGGTCTGGCGGGCGAGTACAATGTTGTTGCGCGCAATCTTCTTCGTTGATAATTCGGAAACGCTAGAATTGGTTAGTTGCTTCAATCCGTGCACATTGTTGTGCGACTTACTTGTCAACAGAGATATCTTTGAGGAGCACCTCCGCCTCGTCGAGCTTCCCAAGTCGGATCAATACATAAAGCTGCTGTACGTTGATCGGAAGTAGCTCTGCAGCCTTATCTTCTGGCGAAAGGTCCTCTGATGTGCGGCAAATATCTAGAACACCCGTCAGTTGGAACTCGAGCTTCGGCAAAATGTGGGGTTCTGACTTTGAGCACGGCTGAGCAATATTTCACCCTGCTTGAATGCGCCCTTTGCGATGTTCAAGCAAGCTGCATTATATGTTGTTTCGAACGATTCCAAATCCTCTCTCGACAATCGGTCGTGGCGCACGAATTCGGGCTGTCCTTTCCATTGTAGCTGTGCATCGGTGGCCCACGAATTGATATTCAAATCGTTCAACTCATGGCTGTGAGATGTTGTGTCCTGGGAGAGTTGTTCATAGAGCTCGGCTGCTCGCTTGAATTCTTCGGCACGGTAGCGCTTGAGGGGTCACGAATTAGTGGTGATCCGACATGATGAAGTGGGTTGGGCGCATACCACTTGTGCCTCCAGATGGCTCGCACCGCGCCCCGCAGCCACACTGGTCACGGCTTTGGTGGCTTCCTCCAGGTTACCACATTTGTATGACGCATAGGCATATTCCAGACCCGCGGCCTTTTTCAACGTGTCGCCTCCGGCCTCGAACGTCTTGAGGGCCTCGTGGTAACGATCAAGTTTTAATAGGGCGACAACCTTGATGTGCTGTGCTTTCAAATCGGACTTGGACTTGGCGAGGACGGCATTGCACGACTGAATGACTTCCTCGTGGTCGTCAATCGACGCTCGCTGGAGGAGCGAGGCCAGCGATTGCGCAACCATAGCGGGGGTTTGTTAGGTTTCGGGATCGGGCCGAGGGAGTTTGGAGTTCTAGGAGTTTTGTGAACGTCCAATGTGACACGGTTGCAGATTTCCCCGGACTAGCTGATATCAAACAATGTGCGGAACTGGTCTTTCCCGATCGGGGGGACATTCTGCGCCGAGGGACTTCTGCCCCGCCGTAGCAGTCACGTGTTGCCAGAGCTATGAAGCTGTCTGTCCTGAAGGCCACTCACACTACGGCACAATACTGATTCAAATGCCAAAATTGCCAATTTAGAATTCTGAGAGTAGGTTCTGATATCGGATCTCTTTTCCGATTTTCTGCGGTCCCGGGTGGAAGAGGTATACACATTTCCAGTGTGGAGAGGCTTCATAAAACACGATATAGTCGGTGGTTATTCTATGCAGTACCATCTAGCATTTGAAGAGGCTTGGAAGTGCATTCAAGACCCCGATAGCATCATGTTGCTGCACGGTATGTCATGATATGCTTCGAAGCAAGTACAATTACGTATGGGTCCTAGTATATTAGACTTGTATGGCTGAGAGCCCATAGCAACGGAGTGCGGTGGGTCATGGAGACCCAACAATCCCAACTAGTCAAATCGAAATAAGCTACGAGATAATTGTTGCTGGTCCTCAAGACTGGAACTGCAGGAAGAGCATGAAATACTTCAGACGGTGTGTTGTGTAGAAATGTGATGAATCGCTGCATGCGGCCCGGCAGCACACAAGAAATTAGCGGACTTGCAGCACGGAAGGTTTCAGCAAGGCTCAAACAACCTAAGCTCTATTCCGCACGAGAGACTAAAAAAAACGTTCGGTCCCTGATCAGCGCAGTGAATCCTGTTTCTGGGGGCTGTGTCTTGTCCAGTACAAGTACGACGCACCTGATAGATTCTGCGTCTCGAATTGGCCCCCGGGCTGGCCCCGAGTACGGTCCAATGAGAGAGGTGACACCTCGAGTCACTACCTAAAACATCCTCAAATGTAGGAGTACTGGTAATTGACAGGGCTCTAGTACACCCTGTGGGACCTGAAGGACTCTGAACCCTGGTATACTATTCACCGAGCTTGAACTGGTTAGTAAAACCCCCTTCAGACCCTACAATGTATACTCCATACCCGCGATATCCAATATCATATCGACAGGGGCCGATCGGCACAGAGATCGCCCAAAGAAACCTTTCAGACGGGAAGCGCTCATGTCCGAGCTTTTATAACAATACAGTCGATTCAAGGCAAAGATCGACCTCCCAAGATGCATCGGAATGAGGGCACGTCGACATGCAGTGTTAGATAGTGTTAGCGCTTACTTCGTACTGTAGGGCGAATTAGGGCCTTGGTTTTTTGGCATGTCCCACGCGAGCACTCCGACGTAGCAAGGCAGTGGCCGCGCGGACGCGCGGATGTGGGGACCGGAGGGATCAGCGACGAGTGAAAAACGGAAGCCGTCCTGGGAGGCGGGCTTGGCATTGACAGGGTCGTATAGATGGACCTTGGATTGTGAGTCCGGAGTCGAGTAAAACAGGTAATTCTTCAGGATAGACTCAATGGCAGAGGTTGCAGAAGTGGTGAGAGACAAGAGAGATATCTACGACCTCAGAGTCACTTGCAGAAGTCGAGCGGAAGTCGACGTTTCATTCTGGCACGTGACTTCACGTCATGATCATCCCTCAGACCCCTTGGGAAAAAGAATTGGCCTTGCCCATTTTCATACCATGGAACCATGATCGTCCCTTGACCCGTATTCGATATTTTCCCTCACTTTCTCACTCTCTTCTTCTTCTACACACTTTGGTGCTCGCCTTCAATCGTGGGCCCTTGATTGTGCTCTAGACCCTTGTCTCCGCAATGCGGTAGAACCCCGAATACAATCAAATTAAACAAGATGATCTTCAGCACACGAGATGGGTCAATCCCGGGGGCCTCATGGGCGTGGAAAAAGCTGCTGCGGTTCGGTGTCGCCTTTCTGGTCATCATAGGATTCATCACTATGCTATGGCCGTCCGCGGAACCTATCAAATTGCCACTGACAACTGTTTCCAACATCACCGTCTCTCCCGATGTCGCCTGTGAACTGGACTACGATCTGCTCAGCCGGCTCGATGTTCTCAAAGTCGCCCAGTACACCCGCCGCGAAATCGTGATTGACGTGACGGACGAACCAGTACCATACACCCGGCGGCTCGAGCAGCCGCTGTTGGGCGTGAAGAAGGGCACAGAGGGCGCCGCAGATGGGTGCTCGATACCCACCCCAGTCGCCCTCACAGTGCCCAGACCCCCGAAGATGCCGGTCGCTTCACACATCGACTTCGGAGTCGCGACCAGCGTCGAGAGATTGAACGAGTCTCTCGATGCGTTCGCGCACTGGGCGGGGTACACCAAAGCCCGCATCTTTGCGCTGATCGAGACCGACAGATCAGACAACGGAATCCGCGATGTTAAGGCGAAGGCCGAAAACATGGGTGTTGACCTGTTCATCACCGAGTCCGACGACGACTACCTGCACCGATACTTTGCCCTCATCCCCCTTCTAGAAGCCAATGCACGGGAATCTACCCGCTGGGGCTGCGTCATTGACGACGACACATTCTTCCTCTCCATGGCAAGCCTGGTCGAAGCGCTGGACAAGTACGACCACACCAAGTCCATGTACATCGGTGGACTATCCGAGTCCATCCCGCAGATCGCGAATTTCGGCATGATCGGATTCGGAGGCGCAGGCGTCTTCCTATCACGACCTCTGTTGAAAGAGATCACCAACGTCTATGACGAATGCTCCGCCATGGATTTCACCGGTGACCGCCGCATCGCCATCTGCGTCTACCGCTACACCCAAACCCGCTTAACCGTCGACCATCGTCTCCGCCAGCTCGACCTGATGAACGACGCATCGGGCTTCTTCGAATCCGGCCGCGAGCCTCCCCTCACAGTCCATCACTGGAAATCCTGGTTCCACGCCGACATGCCCAAACTTTCCGTCATTGCGGAGTTGTGCGGTGACACCTGTCTCCTCCGCCAGTGGCACTTTGGCGACGGCTGGATCCTAACCAACGGATTCTCCGTCATCAAGTACCACTACGATCCCGAGGAGGGTAGTCTTGCGATGGAGCAGACGTGGGAGGCCCACAATGGAGCCAATGACGAATCCTACCTCCACGAGCTTGGTCCTCTCCGTCGCAAGGACGAGGACAAGAAGAGCTTCCGTCTTCAAGATGCCGTGATCGAAGAGAACGGCCGCGTCACGCAGTGGTATGTGATGCGGGACCCGAAGTCCGGGGATGAAATCTTGGAGCTCTCGTGGCGCAAGAGGTAAATAATGGCTTTGTTTTTTGCTTGCCTTGTACAGAATGTTTGGCCTCCGGCCCCGGTGGTCCGGATCATTTTCCGGCGCATGGGTAAAGGAAAGTCACTTGCATGGAGTTTGTTTATAGATCAGAGATACAATATCTACTCTAGTATAATGAGTCCCTTGAGATGAGTCAAATAATGTGACATGTTTTGGATTTCCATATGTATTGATTTTTGTAATAACGACGGTTTCTCGCCATCTACAGATTTGGAAGTCATCCCCATCTAGACAGGGCTGGCCACCATTTGTCCGAGTGAGCTACCTCTATGGCACCTGCCCAGGTAAATTCCAAAGGTCGGAAGAAAAAAAAATGCATACCTAGGTATTGATCACGATTCGGGTGTAGGTAGATATTGCGTCTATGCTACGGCGGTTGAAGCCTGACACCATAACTAATGATTCCAGACAAAGCCTGTGATATATTTCCAATTTTTACAAATATTTTTAAACGTTGAACAAGTAGTGATATCTACAAAAATCCAACTCGCATCTGGTCAAATGCAACATTGGAACACCCTTCCAAGCTTGAATAAGCTATGCTCGTACTGATATTCACGGATATATAAAAGACACTTGAGCACCTCCAGGGCTGGGCAGTACCCGATTTCCATCGCTTTCAGCAAGTACATAATCACCCCGATGAAACATGTATGCCGTCCACGTTTGAAAATTGTAGGGAAATCACCCAAGCGCTGGAGGTTAGATACTTGCACGATCAAAGTTCAAGGCGCTGACATTGTGCAGCTCGTGGCACGTTGCGAGGTCTCCGCCTCAACTAATTGAATCGTCACCTCGGACCAGTACGAGATCATGACATTCGCTGCATCTCAGCGTGGTAGAGCCTCCCGGTATTCCCGGCTTTGGTCTCATCGCCGTCAGCGAATTCCATGGTATCGTGATGGAACGAAGTTACTACACCCATAACTACTGGATGTGATGCGTCTTGGACAAGCCGGCCCAGAGGTCAAATGATATCAAGATGCATGGCAAAATAAGGGCTTTTGTGAGGAGTAGTCTACTCGATAGCAATTCACATGAAGTAGTGAGCTGTAAGATATGCAAGGAGAGAAAAAGAGAGAGCGAGCGAGAGCGAGCTATTTCCGAGAACGGGAGCTCCATAGAGCTATGTGACCCTGCTGCCACTCATGATTTCCAACAACTCGATACACTCACTTGTTGAAGGTAGCCAGCTTCAACAGAATAGCAATGGGGGTTTGGATATCCCCTGGGCGAGAGCTTTGGGCGCATAGACCGCAAAATCTGTTGCCACATACGGAGTACCTCAAATTTGGTGAGATCCCTACATGAGATGATCTGGGTTGATACAACAACTGCAATAGACATGAAAATCTTGGAAGCACTGAAACAAGGCTTACCCTGTACGTGTAGTCACTAGGGGGTGGTTGGCTCCAGGCCCTCGACGTGTCCAGATGGGTTATCCTTCTGTCCGAACCCGGCGAGTTTCTCGATACTAGCTGATGATCCATCCTGGGCTTCCGGCTCTAGATCGGCCTGCCGACTAATCGGATAAACTAATCAATCGATCACCGTTTGATCAACCCAGTACTGCAATTTTGAAAGCTGCACATGACCAAGCGTTTCATATCCCTGATCCAGGGAACGTGAAGCCAAAGCGTTTTGAGGTGAGGCCATATGTTCTCAAACAAGAGAGGGAGGCTCATTTAGGAAAGAGTTCGGAGACACTAGATGCACATCAAGCACACCCGATCGTAAGACATATGGGTCTCGCAGCCAGTAACCCAATGGAGTAACTGTACTTAGCTCTGCCCCGAAGAAAGTCCCCACGCCAATCCCCCGAGCGGATTGGAAATCAAAGTGGCGTTATGTGTACATCCGTAGTAGATATGGAGTCAAGGTGATTGACGTAAATTTCGAAAGTTAGGAATCGATCTCACCGCGGATCCAACGCCCAACGCCCGACTCCGCAAGGACACAGACAAAAACGACTCGCAGCGATCCTCAACGACTTCTAACGCTTTCAAGCAGCATCTCCGATCTAGCGCCAGTCCACATCCACACGCGGATCCTATGGAACCCCTGAAGATCGATCAACGTTGGCTGACGATCGGGATATCGGTGTGAGACCTTGTGGAGAGGGCAGTTAGACGCCATCGGAGGGGCCCTTTCATCTTAAGCTGTGAGACATGGTGTGCAGTCGGATAGTCTGGAACGTTGTCTGTTTTGCTGGAGCTCAAAAATGGGCGAGAGGGAAAGGCAATTAAGATTGCGCAGAGAGCGAGATCCGGCCTTGATACTCCGTCCTTGTCATGTTGATGATGTGCTGTTTGGCTGTTTCAGTGGCCATCGGCAGAGGGGGAGTCTATTCTCCTGAGTGGATCGAGGATCAGAGTGATTCGCATTGGCACTCCACAGATTCGAGGGAGATTAACCGATTCTCATCTTGAAAAGCTAGTGTTGACTTGTGCGGACTATTTGTTTTTGGCGTGAAGACTTGCCGTGCATCAGTGGGCCATAGCTCAATTTCCCCAAAGAGTGACATCAGAGGATCAGACACGGCAGTAAAAATGGGCTTTGGTCATAGCTTCGGTGCTTTAGCGGCTGTTCCTGGGTGGATATCGGCTTGACTTGAGGATTCATATAGTATCATTCAATTGCGCACTTGTGAACTCTGCCCTGAATGCACAATCTATCTTGACTTGACAAATGCTGCAGGAACAACATCAGATCAGCCCCCAAAGGCCCAAACCGACCTGTATGCAACAGATATGCCTAACATGCCCAACATACGAATACAACAGGGGCTGATGTTCTACTAATAGAAATATGGAGCCTAGCGTGGGATATGATACAAAGACACGTCTCAGCCACAACCATGTGGAGATCGCCCCGTGTCGAGGGGAATATGTGTCGGCCTGACCCGCGATAATCCGACATTCTCGCAAAATCAAGGCAATAGCTCAAACTAAAATAAATCATATGGGTGGTGATTGGCAGAGGAACCATGAGACGTCCTCCCTGATCCTACGTGAACAATAAGGAGATAATCTCCGCAACCCCCGCAGGAGCTGTCCCGAGGTGCGTCACTTCAAGGGGGAGTCCAATGCAACTACTCCGTAGTGAGGGGAAACAGACAAAGTACATTGTACATTGTAAAGTGATCACGACAATAGGGAAACCATGAACCAGTCAGCGTACTGCCCAACCCCCCCTTTTTCTTCCCATCGAAACAAAACTTCACGATGTAAAGGGTGCACTGTGCAGGATTGGGGGGGGGGCCGCGCAGACCAATATTTTCCTTTTCTTCCATTTTTCTTTCTTTTTTTAAATTAAGACCCGGCTTTTTACGGCTTCCAGGGCTTCCACGGCCGTTCGAAAATCCTTCTGGTGGCCTTCTGGAAGGTCAGGAGAAGGCTTGGCAGAGCCGTGCCGTGAGTGGGTTCGAGGCTGAAGCCAGCCGGTGCCCACTAGTGTCCCCGGAAGAGAAAAGGGGCGAGATGTAATTACCGATGCGCCCTGGATTGGCTCCACTGGATCAGAAGTTCGTGAGGTTAGGGTAGTAAAAGGCATATGCTGGGTGTGACCTGGTGTGACCGAAGTATATCCCGAAGTTGAGTTTGAATTGCAAGAGGGTGTATTCCGTATCGATGTTGACTCTGTAGTTTGAACATACCTAGATAGCATTAGGGAGTGAGTCTCGAGCAGAGGTGATACATAGATTGGAAGCAAGGAGGGCATATCTCAAGCTGTCGAGTTGGATTTGGATATCAAAACAATGATATCAACATACAATCTCACGGAGTACCATTACCCATTTGGGTCAAGTAGGGGTAAAACCAAATTGAATGACACTTGACACTTACGTACTTGGAAGTGGATGCATCAAACCTTCTAGAAGCCATGGAATACTTTTAGCCAGGCTAGTCGTAGTTGGAACAGACTATCGAGATGGTGAGGCAACCTCTCTGTGAATAATCTACTATTCGTCGCACCATAACAGCCCAGGCTACCGAATTGTTCCGTGTTCTTCTATTATTCTATTATTCTATTATTCTATAATTCTATAATTCTATTATTCTGTTATTCTGTTATTCTGTTATTCTGTTATTCTGTTATTCTGTTATTCTACTCCGTGCACTGCTTGGATTTTTATTCTCTTGAATTAGAGTCTATGAGATCATGGTGTATTTTATTATGTTATTACTCCGTATATGATTCTAATATTCTAATATTCTAATGTTCTATTGTTCTCTTTTCTGATCTCACAGCCGAAGCATGTTTTCTTTTTCGTCAGGGGCCATAGTTCCCCCTAAAACCAGAATGCCCTAGTTCGATCGCTCTGCAAGCGCGCTAACATGGTAATTTCAGGAGGATGAGCCTGCAAATAAAATCGAGATAAATTCTGCAGATCGGCGTACCTTTTCGTATCCACCCTTTTCGGGGAGAAGGGCACGTTGTGGAGCCAGTGCTGACGGGGGGCTTCTGGTGCGGCCAGGTTTCCTTCTAGCGGGCTTCGCTGGGTCCAACTAGGATAATTAGCATGGGTCCAAGCAAAAGGGAGTTGGGTATAGGAGTTGGGTTGTGATGTATTGTGATAGTGATCAATTTCTCTCTCCCAGAGATCTAGAAGGATTCTAGGAGATAAAAATCGAGGTAAAAAATAGGTCTAGATTTGAAATCTCACTCTACACAGAAAACTACAATTATCCAAAGAAAGACCGGGAAAAAAATAGCCATAAAAAATAAACAAAAAAAGGGCCTAAAATCGCCGTGAAGTAAAAGAAGTAAATAATGATGTAGTTGATGCAGACGGCACCTACCACACCTAATATATCCCCTCCCCTTTCTCTTCTTAACTCCTTCGCTTTCCTTTATTTCTCACCCCACCCGCACCAGTTCTCTGCACTTCTTCTATTCAGCTCTCAGCTTCCATTATCCGCCAGGTTCGTATCTTGCCTTTGCTTTTTCCCACGCGTATACTTTCGCCCTTGCGCCTTGGGCGTCGCGCGTGGTAGACAGGTCACGGGACGGCCAAACAGCGCGAAATGAACCGGGAATCGCAATCATCTTCAGAACCCACGATGCTGACTGTCAATCCTTCCTTGCAGAATCTCTAGTGGGACTCCCATCTCGTTTTTTCATACCCACACGCGTTCCGCCTCTGCCCGACCACAACATTATTCTGGAGAGAGCTTGATTTTCAACCCATTGTTCGCCATCGCCTGCGTAATCTTGCATTTCTCTGCAAGGAAGTGGAGAATCGTCCTTATTCCATCTCGAATTGCGCATCGAACTGCCAGACACACCATATATCGTTGCTTCACGCAGGGTGAGTTTCTTTATCTCCATCGAAGTCCGAGTTGCCGCGTCGCGAAGCCTCGCCCACGTCGAGGTCCATCAGCCGGGTGGAAGTCTGTGTTCTGACCGTATTCCAGTGCTATTTGTGTACCGAAGCCGCTGTTTGTGACAATCCTGTCCACACAAACCTTCCGATCCACCGATCTCCGAAGAAATTCGAGCCCCCCAAACACCGAGAGATCGATTTTCGAGAAATCGCCAGTTGCTGAGCCCAGGCTGTTAGGTCTGCTGAAGGACGTCAGCGAAGGCAGTCCTTGACCGCGGTCCCTGCTTGACTTGAGGTCGGGTCATGGACTTCACCACCATCCTGAATAGGAAAAACTCCGCCGCTGCAGCCGCCGCCGCCGCCGAAGCGCAATTACAACACCAGTACTTTCAGCAGAGCGCCCAGTTACACACCGGAGCTTCGCCCACCATGAAGAGCGAATCAGGTGGCTCGGACAACCCGGTGAACGCCTACCCCCTCACGGGCCCCCGATGCAAATGGACGCCGGGCTTGCCGATGGATTCTACTACGCGCAGCCCACGGGCTCCACCCCCCGAAATATGGCATATGCTCCCGCGGGATACGCTGGTGACCCCCAAATCCAGCAGGAATCTATGCCTCAGGGAAGAGCGGGTGTAGACCCCCCTCCCAAGACTTTCCACTGCTCAACCTGCAACAAGGGCTTTGCCCGGCGCAGCGATCTTGCTCGTCACGGTATGTTTTCCCCCAAGGCGTCCACCATGGGTTGTTACTGACATTCAACCACAGAGCGAATTCACACCGGCGTGAGACCCCACGCCTGCGACTGGCCTGGATGTGGAAAACAATTCATCCAGCGCTCGGCATTAACGGTACACTCCCGTGTGCATACCGGAGAGAAGCCACACATGTGTGAGCGATGTGGAAAGGTGTGTTCCAGCATTCAGCTTGATTTGCGTACCTGAACTAACACGATATCCAAACAGCCCTTCAGCGATTCTTCCTCGCTGGCCAGACATCGTCGCATCCATTCCGGTAAACGACCCTACAAGTGCCCGTACGCCAACTGCCAAAAGACATTCACGCGCCGGACTACTTTGACTCGCCACCAAAATCACCATACTGGAACCATTGAAGAAGCTGCTGCGGAGACCGAAGCCCAGCTTCGACAGAACAAGGACCGCGGTCGCCCTGGCGAGGGAATGTTCTCCGAGCATGGATCTATCCACTCCACCCCGTCACCCGGACAGCATCCCTCGATGTCCCCGGGTGGTGAACTGCCCCCGTTGAACATGCACCGATCCGCCAGCGACTATTACATGGGTACTGGTCCTATCCCGCCTCATGTGCGCGGTGACTTCCCCCAAGGTAGCCCTCGAGCTTCGCCGACTGCGACATCTCCCTCGCTCTCCAGCTATGGCAGTGCCCCTCACGTCCGCCCGTCCATGACTTCGCATCCCTATGCGCCGCCTCAGCCTTTGGAGCCTCCGGCCACCAGCGATCACCGCCCCAACAGTGTCAATGGAAGCCCCCACATGACTAGCCTTGGATGGGCTTCTCCGTCTCATGGCAGCATGCCTTCCCCCGGGTCTGCCAATGACTTTACCTATCCCGAGCCCTCGGGTCCGGCCTACCCCACGTCCATGCCGCCACACATGTACTTCCCCAACTCTACCATCCGCCGGCCCACCAGCACCGAGCCCGATAACTATGACATGAAGTCCCGGGGCGACCACTCGTGGTCCACCGCTGTATGATGCGCCTGTAGCATCTGCAGTATTCACATTTCCTTTGTTTATTTTCCTTTGTCACTCATTGCATCAGCCTTTGATTCCCACGAGAGAATCTCTCGATATTTCTTATCTCCTTTGTTATTCATGCATTTTCTTGACTTGTACTTATACTGGATATCACGGGAAGGAGTCGGGTCTGATCGTGTTTCTGCCTTTATTTGCTTTTATCGCCATTCCTCGGGTGGCATTTACCGAGACACGATCAGATGAGGAACTGCATCCATGGAATAGATTGGTGGCATTGGGATCAATGGATGGGTTCGGGGTTTTTCTTATTGTTTTGTGACTCTGCGGTGTCTGGGATCTGGCTATGATTTTCATCTTTTTTCGTCGTGTTTATCTATATATCTAATATTGCTTTCTGTTCTTGCTGTCACCAATATCTTTTCCTGGGGGTTGTACGTTGATCTCATATCTCAGCGTGGTATTCATAGACGGTGTTCCAAGGTCCCTGAGCGACCTCTTTACTCAAATGACGTTTATCCAATACCCACTTGGTTCAGGGCACTGTATCCTGTCACAAAAATACAAACCCCAACCCAGAGCTACAGTGATCCACCCCCTAGAACAGTGCCACGCACGAAGGTTGCATGAGTTCGTTTCAAGGTTACACTATCCCCAATTACAGCTTCTAGCTGTCAAACCGACACTCGTCAATTACGTGCAAGAGAAGCAAGAACGAAACCGCCAAGAGCATCAGGTAGCCAAAACACCACTGCCAATAATATCCAGTTACCTCAATGCCCACAGGGGTACGGAGTACCAGGTCCACCCACAGACCGAATCTACACAGTCCCAGCAATGAGAAGCTCTGATCATGTCTCACATGCAGCTATCACCTGTGCCCCAAGACAACCTTGGAAGGCGTCCCGCTTCAGAAAGTACCAATAGAGGGGTTGTGCTACCGTTCGACATGCCATCGAAGTTAGGGGTAGATGCAACGACTGCGAGTACCTTGGAAACAACACCGTCTCTTGACGTACTCCGTACGTATTTACTAGATGACCAGATGCCGTGACCAACTTACGTAGATCACCTGCCTTTGGTATCACCCAATGTCTTCACGGCTTAGATTTACTGGACACGTTGGGTGTGTTGTGTGACGTCCGTCTCGTTATGAAAAAAAAGAGAGACCGGTACTTGATGTCCGTTGTATTCTTGGTAATTGACAATCTTTGTATTGGAGTTACATACAAGTGGCAATGGAGATATATGACATGGGAATACTCCGTAGTGCTGTTTAATGTGCTTGTACATTATTTCCTATGCTGATAGTGAGAGCAAGTGCCCTGGATGCTAACCTTGATTGGCCTACTGGTTCATGTGGTGTGGCGCGATGTTACGATTGGATCAGTGGATAGAACAATGAAACAACCTTGGATAGATTGAGCCAGAGGATTTAGCGAGCTCCAGGACATTTGCCTTTAAGAACCTTCGTAAGAGTTGTGTGTTTCAAAATTCTACTGCGATCCCAAGATTCAAGATCAACTTTGGAGTTCCAACCTTGGAACCACATAATTCTACCAAACATGTCTCAGTCCATTGCACTCATCAGCATGCAGACAAAAACTACAAACCACTTGGGCACCTGCCGATGAGATTTGGCAAGCGAGTTATGTCTCACATCAAGACCAATTGAATTCACAGATTTTCGGACCTCTCGTGTTGAGGCTCGTATTCCTGTGCCGGAGATCACCGGTGGAGATGCAAAGTCTGGGGAAATAAGAAAAGCTTTAGAGTTGGACCATAGACTCTGAACCAAACTTGATCATGTTGAGGTCTTCGTATCAGGGTCATCTGCTTGTCTGGTTCTTCGGGGTTGGCGGTTTGGGCATTCTCGTATCCATGGATTTGGACTGGGGTATATAGTTGAGGAAGTTGACAGTAGGAAGATCAAGATCAAGATCAAGACTGAACCATCGACATACAAGCAGCTTAGGTTCTGAACCGACTGACGGCTCCTTTATATTCACCAAGAATCAAACATACTCCATAAGAGATGAAGTACCACGCTCTCTTCATTCTCTTTACTCACCTCGCCCTCACGAGTATGTACACCATACCCCAGCTCCCCTTGAAACATAACCAGCCTACCACTCTGCAATAGGAGCAGCAGCATGCCCAGCAGGATGCGGCACCGCAGATGCCTGCGTTCTGACCGAGACATGCACGACCGCGACGTTCACTTCGCCCTCGACTACGATCACAACCTGTGTCCCTACAGCCACCTGCGTCGGGGTTTACTGTAAGAGTCCAGGTAGATGAAAATAGATTTATAGGTATTTTCTGACAGCTACTAGCATCGTGTGTATTCGGTGATCCGACCAAGCAATGCTGCTCGGGCTACTGTGCTGCGAACAAATGTCGGTCGACGGACGAGGATTGGCCGCTTTGTAGTGAGGATCATGGGCCTTGCGTTGTGGATAGCAACTGTTGCTATGGGAATCGGTGCACGGGTGGGATTTGTCGTCGGGGTTAAGGGGCTGGCTAGGCTAGGGTTGGAATTGAGGGTTTACTCCGTACTTGGGATGAGGTTTGAGCTTGTAGGAGGGAGCTGGGGATATGACTGTGCTGGTTATACTCCATAAGAACAGCTGGGGATGGAGTATTTCGTTTGTTTATATTCCAATTGACTTGATCTTCATGTACAGAATAATCCAGAAATTGTATATTGTACAGCATCCTCCGTATTGCACTACTCCGTACTATCTACTCCAAACCAGACTAGACTAGACTATTGATTTTAAATACCCTCAGCCAACAAGCTCTCAGCCTTCTCAGTAAACGCCTTCATAGCAAATTTCCACATCTCAGGCCCAACACTAATCCTCGCAACCCCCAATTGCCTAATCTCCTTCACCCCCAGAAATCCCTCGCTCAGATTCATCTTCACATTCACCCGCCCATCCAGCGCAGCCACCAAGCTCACCACCTCCTCCCTCGAAACTCCCCTTCCACCAGGCCCCCACACAAACACCGTCCAAGCCCCAGCCCCCAAGAATGCCTTCCCGCGGTCAATGGCCTGATCGACCGTCCCGCCCGCCAACACATCCGTCCGAGCATTGACCACAAAATCAGGCACGCCCGCCTCCGCCGCCGTCCGCACCACCGTCCTCACGCGCTCAACCGCCTCATCCAGCGACCGTAGCTCGCCCATCGCATCCGCATCTTCAATATTGCAACCCACCGCACCGAGCGCAATGACTTGGCGCACGGTATCGGCCAGCTCGGCCGTATCACCGTATCCGTCTTGCAGATCGACGGTTAGTGGTTTCAGTGGGTTGACGGCGCGAATGGCGGATGCGATGGCGGCTATGGCGGACAGGTTCTGTGATTTGGTGAGCGCGTTGTCGTCTATGCCGATCGAGGCGGCGATGGCGAATGAGGCTGTGGCGATGGCTGGGGCGGTTGGTAGTGAGGCGATGATGGAGGCTGTTGCGGCGTCGTAGACGTTCGTTAAGAGGACGGGGTTGCCTGGTTGGTGGAGAGCGCGGAAGGCTTTTGCGATGTCGTTTGGACTCATCCTTTTTTTTTTTTTCCTCTTAATTTTGTAAGATTATACAGGGTAATTCACTTCTCGGCGTTTGTTTCACAAATGGGAGATGATTGGATTTGGATTTATTGAGTTGCTACGGGGGGAACATTTTGTAGTGTGCCGGATAATTCGTGTAGAGATTATTTCTGGACGACAGATTGTAGTGGAAGTGACCAATGGCCAAGGAGGATCTCCCGTTTCGGACCCGACATGCATTTAGAAGCGTAGATCGGATCAGGTTTTCCTGTATGCAGAAACAAAGGCACCCCTGTCTCAGACTAACTAGCAGACCAGAGTTAACTAGCCGGCTATAGTTCGTACGACGACGGTCGTCAGTGAGGCGCAAGGGGAGCGGTATGTTTTGTAGGGAATACACATCAAGTGCTCTCCGTACTCTCCGTACTCTCGGTACAAGTGCGTTCAGACAATTCTCAGATGCATATTTGCCACAGCTGTGCCCAATGTGAAGAATGTATGCGGAGCTGGGGGCCGAGAATAAGCAAAAGCCGTATTACAGTTGGCATTGTGAAACATTTCCATTCGGAGTACGGAGTACAGCAAGAAGATACAGATGAGTTACAGATAATTTCAAGCAGGATTGAGTACGGACTACTCCGTACTAAACTGAAGGGATACGGAGTATTGTAGGGAGAGTCCTGTTCAGCATCGAAAGGAAAGACCGAATTTCGACGGTACCACACCCGGTTGGATCTCACGGAGTAAACGAGGGGTATTCCAAGGTTGTGGCATTCCTTTTTACGGGCCTTTTCCATTTGCTTAGAAAGTGCTCTGGTATGTGTCCAGGGTTCTTTTCTTTTCTTTTTTTCGTTTCAGATGTTCTTATAATAGCCCAAAGCCGCCCAAACATAACACAATGGAGTCAGAAACTCAGAGATCAGAGATCTGAACTTCGATTTAAACAGTATATCTAGAGTATCCCAAAAGAATCCCCAGTTCAGAGGCAGTTTATTAATTGAATAACCCGACCACACCCGCTTTAAGCGGAAAACAAGTCTGGACTCGGGAAGCCCCGTTTTTGATGGAGTCGCTCTCCTCACGGTATCCGTATCGTATGGGTATGGTAATATTACGAGACAATTGGAAAGGACCATGGGAATATCCTCATGTTGAAAGAATATATGAAAATGATCTAGTTCTCTGGAGATCAAATCTCTTTCAATGTTCTTTATATCCTCTCATCCTTTCGCTCCTGGAGGTCCAACAATAGAGAACCGAGAGTACTCCAAGGTACTTAAAGATATACGGTACCTCGTAAAATTAATTAACCCCCATCGGGAATCCCCTGTAATTTACCGTCAGCTCTCTCCCCACTCTCCGCTTCGCCTTGCTCATCGCCTGGGCTTCTCTGCCTTTTCCTCTTCCTCTCACTGTGTATATGTTCATATTCCCACATAGTTGCATTACCACACCTCCATTCGCCCCCGATCTTATGGCGTATGGTTCTTCCCTCCTGCAGTTGGCCGCCTGACCTGCAGCTCTCACGCTGCCATCCGACCCTGCTCACCTCGAATCCTCTCTTCCCCGACTGGAACCTCTTCCTCCTACACACACACCTCCTCTCCTCCCCCATAATGCATACCGGTCTAAATGTTCCGTCCTCCGGACTGGCTCTCCTCCCTGGAGATCAGTCCGGAGACCTCTCCGCTCGGCCGAATCAGATCATGCGGCTGAACCTGGTGCAGAGCACGCTGGATGATCTGATCGACAGCCTGAGGAAGGAACAGCCGGCTCGACTCCGCCTGGGCAAACACCCGTCTCTCCATTACGGGGGCAAGTCCCAGACCTTCCATGCGTATCCCGAAACACATCGCTCCGAACTCTACCATAGCTCCGAAGAATCTTTGTATTTCACGGGGGTGCTGAGCCACAGTTTGGAAGTGGAAAAGGCTAAAAATGACACGGCGGCGACCGATCAGGCATTAGCAGACCTGGAAGAAAAACTAAATGCTCACGAGAGAGGGAAAGAATCGAAAAAGACACACATAATCTCTCACCCCGATGAGTTGCGCGGGCTCCGGGGAGCAAGGCGGGCTACAGAGGTCCCACGAGCAAGATCGAGCTCGAAAAGGACCGCTTCCTCAAGACCGCCGCCAATCGTTCTCTCACTGCTAGTCCTACTCTGGGTGCTCCCAAATCTCCAGCTCTCACCATGACGCCCACCTCAGCTCCCATGTTGCAATCTCGGGATCGAGAGAGGCTCGATGCCCTCAAGATCCCGTTCATTCACTTGCTCGCCATTCGTCCCGTCACCGTTCAATTCATGTCCCGCCAGACACGCACCACCCACGGAGACTGCACCGTGCTCGCCGAGAAGTTCGGCATACAGAACCGCATCCTGACCGAGAAGTTTGATCTGAAGGACAAGGTTTACAAGGATCTCGACGTGTGGAAATTCAATTACACCGAGGAGGACCGAAAGATGGCAATTGAGAACTCCATCTCTGCTTTTGATCGCATGCGTGTTTCCAAGTCCGATCCCATCTGGCAAAAGCTTCTTCCGAAGAACGAGCGAGGCCAGGGCAAATGCTTGTCACGCCTCAACCTCCGCACCGCCCCACCCCCGAAACCCGCCAAAGCCAAAACCAGTGGCGACGAGTCGGGCAAAGACGAGGTCGACCACGCCTCAAAGGCATCTGCGTCTGGGTCCAAGACCACTACAACTTCGAACAAGGCCCGAGTGTCGGACAAGGATTTCCCCAAGCCAAAGCCCAAGTCCAAGGCCACCAACAGCACCCTCACCGGACGAGTCACCAAGAAAGCCGCCACCAAGGCCCCCGCCAAAGTGGACGGCAACAGCAAGATCAAGTCTGCCGAGTATGTCCACGACTCAGACGATGATGACGATGTTGAGATGCTCGATGCACCTCCCGCGCCTACCCCCAAGCCTCAGCCGGAACACAAGCGGGGACCATCCAATGTCAAGGCTCCACCTCCGAAGATCAAGGCCCCAGCGAAGCCTCGTCCCACTGAGACTCCTTCGGTCCCTGCTAAGGCTCCTTCCAAGGTCCCCAAGTCCGAGGTCCCCAAGCATGAGACCGCAAAGCCCAAGCTGGAGCCAACCAAGTCAACCCCCAAGGTTACGGCCTCGAAGCGCCCTCCCTCTCGGCCCTCCACTTCGCCTCAGAAGCCATCTCCACTTGGATCGTCTCCTCCAGCCAATGCATCTGATCGCGCCGGTCGCAACCGGTCCGATAGCCAGAACCAATCGTCCGGTTCATCCTCATCCTCGCCTCTCGTGGTCCAGCACGCCAAGGCCAAGGCCGGTTCATCCACTGCTGTTACCAAACCTGCGGCCGCTAAAACTACGAGCCAGCCGAATGGTGTTATCAAACCCGCTGCCAACCCATTGAAACGCAAGGCAGAGCCTGACCGCCTGTCCGTGCCCCAAGCAGGCCGACCCACCGGCAATCTCGAGGCCAAGCGCCGCCGAGCGGTCAGCACCACCTCTAGCGGTGGCAGCACTGGCAGTGCGTCACCTCCAATGAGCCACCAGATCTTGTGGCAGAAGCTGCAGGAAAAGTCTCGGAAGTTCAAGCGCTTCTACAGCAAGTACCGCTCTTTGCATGTCTCCCTTGCAGAGAAGGCAAACCCTACCCGCGAGGAGCTGGACCGCCTGCAGGGTCAGCATGACCACCTTGAAGAAATGAAGAAGGAAATCTGGGATGAAGATCGTCGACTCAAGGCTCTTCGTTCCTAGATCTCCGGTATTTCATACTCCCGTTTGCACTACGGCAAGCATATGAATCGACAGACACGGCGTTCAATGGGCATGTTTCATTCTTTGTTACCTGCATTTTTATCCCCCCTATGTTATCTCTGCCCATTTTCCTTTCTTTATGAGTGTTTCTATTTTTCTTCCTATGTTGTGAAGAATCGGTTTCGCATGGCTAGTCCATCATTATCATTAGTGTCATCATTATTATTCTTATCAGCACAAAACCATGAGGTCCCTGGACTAAACAAACAAATATCATTATCATCAAACATTCACCGCAATCCCATATTTCCACACGAGTAATACGTCAATCTTGAAAGTTCCTGTTGATCATCGCAGCTTACCCCAGATCATCTACCAGTCCCACTGTGGTTAGCGGGACCAGTCTCTGCATCTGATTGGTTCAACCAGCACGTGGCAATGTCACAAGGTTGAATTAGTAATGAGTGTAAATGCACGTGATGATTACATCATACACCAAGAATCGAGACAGTCCCAATCAGGTTTAGCGCGTAATGCGTATCGAACTTGCTGTCTCCGAGCATCATACATGTGTGACATCCACGGCGAGATCGTCTTCCACACCAGAGGTGTTCTTACAAGGCACTCATATCTATTGAATTAGCAAAGGATTGCTTACTCCAGCTTCATTGACAATGACGCCCCCGGCCCGTGGACGGGGGACTAGTCAGCGCAGTCCGACCGTTTTGGTACGAGTGCCGCCAACTTTTTTTTTTATAGAAAGGATTTCCGGAGATCAAAATATACTAACACATGCATTGTAGGTAACGGACTCGCGTGACCAACAGAATCCTCAAACTCCCCGTCGTCGCCGCTCCCCCGCAACCCGATTCATCACCGTCGATAATGTCCTACAATACGCATCCGACGTGCCTTCAATGCAACAACGTGGACCACCACCCAGCTCTCGGTCACGCAGACTTGCCTCTGCAGCAGGTGGCTTGATTGGTACTTCCGGAAGCAGTAGTTCCAGCGCGGTATCCGGGGCTGGCAAAGCCGGCCGACTCGCAGCGCAACCGCGTCTGCCGCCTCGAACGACCAAAGTCAGCGAGAAGCTGGTTCTTCTACCTGACACCGATGAGATTGAGGAAGGGGAGACCGAAGAAGATGAAGACGAGGGCGGCGAGGGCGCGGGGATGGTGGATGAGGAACTCGTTGCACGATTGGCGCGAGAGAAAAATATCGATCCGGAAATGGTCAGACACCAGCTTCTAGTCTCGAAGCGGCTGGGTAGTGACTTTGGTGTTGATAATGATCTTGCGCCGTTGTTGGCTGAGGAGGAGGTGTTGAGGAAACGACGTGTTGCGCCTGAGCGCGCGAAGAGTTATGCGGAGCGTCTGCCCAAGGCTCGGAGGACGGAGAAGCTGGCTCGTGTTACGGCTTATTGCACGGCTCAGGCGTATAAGATGGGGTCGCTTGCTGCGTTTGTTAAGGAGCAGCATGGTGGAAGGACGAAGCTTTATGATGATTGTCTTTACACGGCTTATCATCTGCCCCTTTTGCCTGGCCATGATGGGTACCGATTGAGGAGTAGCCCTGTGCTGAAATATCCCGGTGGCAAGTCCTTGCTGGATGAGGAGATTGAGCGCAACGAGCAGCGTGATCATCATGATGATTACATGGTTGAGCCGGAAGAGCACTCTGTTGGTGGTCACAATCGTCCGGAGGATGAGCATCATTACGAAGGCTCTCCGCATGACTCGGCGGATCATTCTCACCAGGAGAATCGGGAAGAGTTCTTGAACAGGATCAGCGAGGAAGTTCATGGCCATGCCGACGTGCATGAGCATGAGCGCGAGCTCGTGCACGAGCATGCTGCTAGCTCTAGTGAGAGTGTTCAAGGCTTGGAGCATATCGAGCCATCTGAAACCAATGATGAGAACGGTCCTCCTTCACCGGAGCCTCTCCGTCGTCGAAGACACAGCACTGATGACAGCCACGCTCTCATTCGGGATCGACCTTCTCCCCACTCACTACGCCTTCTTCATCTTCATTGCCCCAGGCCCCAGCTCGCACCTTGTACAATGTCGCTGAAATGTTCGTATTCAGCTATGGTGTGGTGGTGTTCTGGAATTTCACCGAGCGACAGGAGAAAGACTTGCTCGCTGATTTGGCCTTTGCCACGTCTTCAGCGACCGGCATCCCTATCCCGTTGGCAACAATGCCGCTTGATGAAGAAGATTTCGAGACGGAAGAGTTCCATTTCGAGTACTCGACGGAGATCTCGCGTCCGCGAGTCTACAATGATATGATCACACTGCGCAGTGGTGATCATATGATCAAGCTAGCTATCAGTCATGGTATTTCGCAAAGCACCAAGCTTTGTTTCTTCGAGGAAGTCATGGCTCGCCAGATGGCAGACGCCAAGGATGTCCCAAGACGACTCGCCGTCACAGGCCAATTGGGCATGAAGCGCGAAGAGGTGTTCCGTATCCTCGGTCGTCTCTTCAAGAGTCGTGTCGAAGTCAACCTATGTAAGTTCTGACTGGTCTTTAACATTGAAACCATGCTCACAATCACACAGCATCAAACATGCTCGATGTCCCTAACTTCTTCTGGGAGAGCGAACCGACCCTGTATCCACTCTACATCGCCGTGCGCGAGTACCTCGAGATCAAACCCCGTATCCAGGTCTTGAACGAGCGATGCCGTGTATTCCTTGATCTTGCCGAGATTCTTTCCGATTCCATCGCCGACACCAGAACTTCCCGTAAGCTCCCATCTCATCCCCAAGGACAAAGACACATGACTAACCCTGTTCCCGCCAGACCAAACATGGATCATCATTGTTCTCATCGTCATCTCCATCCTTGTCACTACTTCCGAAGTCTTCCTCCGCTTCGGCCTTCTCCATGCTAGCCAAGGTACCAACGGCACACCTGCCAGCGTCCTCGCTCGAGTCATGGGGCGATCTGTTCCCTCTCCTTCTTCGGGCTGGTACCCTTATGCTGCCGCTGATGTACCCCCGGGCTGCGTGTGTCCCTCCATTGTCCCAGGCGGAGGCTCGCAAATGGGCGTTAGTGGCTTGATGGATCTTTGATCGTGTTGCATTCTCAAAAGGCTGGATTGGCGTAACTGGCGTTCGGTGGACTCCTAACAATTTCACTTCTACTGCATATTACCTCGAAATCTTAGGTTAATACAAATCAATTTGAGAATAGCTTTAGCGCCAAAGACTCTTCTCTGTCATGGTGATAGTCTGTACCCAAATTGTTCAACTACTCAAAGATTCGACCGAAATCGAGAGCCATCCTTCAAACCCGCCATGACGTCCTGTACAGCCTGCTGACCGCGCTCAATAGCCCCATCAACAAACCCTCTCCATCCATCCGCACAATCCGCACTGGCGAAAACAACACGCCCATGAGGTCTCTGAAGCTCCTGAAGGTACCTCGAAGCAGAATTGGGACCCCAACAGGCCCAAGCCCCTTTAGCGTATGGATCATTCATCCAATCGTGCGTCGCATATGCCTCGACATCGCCATTTGGGTGAATATCCTTCCGGAACTGGTCGATGATATGCTTACTATCAGTCTTGTCCGTCAATTTCGAGCTGTACCCAAAACCAATGCACCAAGTTCCCGCTGGCTCAGAGGCTTGGGTTCCATTGTGATCAGAAAAGGCAAAGAGATATGAACTATCGCGAGCTGTAGCGAACCATCCAGGCTCAGTTGCCCGAAGCTTGAAATGGATCTTGGCTCCTGTGTTTATATGGCCTTCTGCAATAGCTGCTTGTCGGAGGGGACTCAGGGGTGGATTGAAAGTAATATCTCCGAGACAATTTCTGTGAGATCGGTCAATGTCAATTGCCAATCTGGCTCAGCGTCAGGGTATTTGACTCGACTCGACTCGACTTACAGTGGAATGGTACAGACGATTGTCTTTGCCCGCAGACACTTGCCGGAAGTAGTCACGATCTTGATCCCCGAGGTAACATGATTGATCTCTTTCACGGCGGTGCTGAACAGAAGATCACCAGTATACTCATTCAAGATTGCATTCGCGAAAGATGTCATTCCACCTTTTCCAATCTTGTATAATCCAGCCATCTCAAACACACCCGCCATATTGTGTCCGCCTAGCGCATACCACCTCAGCGCCTCAGTGAACCCAATATCCGACCCAGGCGCACTACCAAAAGTACTAACATTCGACTCGAACAAATCCTTCTCAAACTGCGAAAAGTCCAAACAATCCAACCGATCCTTGACCGAAAGATGGTCATACGATCTCCACAGCCCCGGTTCTCGCAACGGGTCATGAGGATAAGGCATAAGAGTACGACTATCATACCCATCAACCGCAAAGAAAGCTCTCGAGACCCGATCCAGAATCCCACCCGCTTCGACAATCGATATCTCCCGCAGTGCACCGCCAGATGCGAAGGTCTGCTTTTCCGGCGCCAGCGTCCCAGCAGATGTCTTCAGGTTGGCGTGGAGTTCGTATTTGCGCAGCTCGCTGTACAAGTGAGGCTGAGCCCAGTGGACCCATGTACCGCCCATTTCGAGGTCTTCGCCTAGGACTTGGGCTGTCCATGTGCGGCCTCCGATGCGGTCTCTTGCTTCGAGGAGGAGGACGTTGAGGTTATGTCTTTGGCTGAGGTCTCTTGCTGCGATGAGACCGGCGAATCCTGCGCCGATGACGATTACGTCGTAGCTTTCTTGGGTTCGGGTTGATGTTCTTGAGGCGTTTGTTTGGAGGCCTTCTTTTGTTCCAGCGGGGGTCCAGAGGAATCCTTCCTTTGTGGATGGTGACATGGTCGAAGGGTCAAGTATACTAAGATTTGAGTTTGATATAGCGAAGGAATCACGACGCTCAGAGTGTTTTCCGTGTATAGATTTCAACATTGAAGGATATTATACTGGGCGAGAGGCGTGTTGTCGGTAATGCGGAATTGGTTCCGAAGTACTAGACATGCGAGCCAAGATAATGATTCGATATCATCGGTTCTCTTTCCCCAATGGGGCCAGTCAGTGCGATGAATGAAATTCGTTGTAGCCTGCTGCAGTTACAGGATATTCGAGGTCCCTGTTCTCACCGAAGCCAAACCTGCCAAGGCATGAGAGTAATAGAACTAGAGCTTCTGCTTCCCACTGGTGTTACAAGGGCAGAAGACCAAAGGATTGGAAAATTGGGGTGAGATCATTCTCTTGATGACGATATTCAAGAAATGAGATGATCGATGAGTTGGTTGCTAAACAATGCCCCAACCTACTCCTTTCATGTCAGATACTCCGTACATTCAAATCCATTCCATGGCTCAGCTATCTCCCTATAAGGAGAAAAAAGCAAAAATGACGTTTCAATCTGAACCGATAAAACAAATAGCCCATCCAAGCTAGCAGATATTTTTCAAGTGAACATCGCCGAGCAGTTGATATCAAGATACAATGACCTCGCAATACGACCTAATCGTGGTTGGTGCCGGTAAGCATGAAAATCCCCCGAGACATTCGATTCGAGCTAAAAACACCCTTGTCTCAGGATGGTTTGGCCTCGCAGCAGCCAAACATTATATCCAACTTCACCCATACGAACGCATCACGATCATCGAGTCAGCCAGTACCTGCGGCGGAACCTGGGCCGAGCACCGCTTGTACCCTGGTCTAAAGTCCAACAACATGGTCGGATCATATGAGTATCCCGATTTCCCCATGGGCGAAGCATATGGCGTGAAACCAGATAGTCATATTCCCGCGGTGACTCTGCATCGCTATCTGAGCGATTACGCGCGCCGTTTCGGGATCTTTGAGCGTGTTATTTTCAATACCACCGTGGAGACAATTGAGCGCCATTTTGGTGGCTGGGTGGTCAATACTTGTTGCGCGAAAGGGTCGGCGGCGCTTAGGACTAGGAGGTTGATATTGGCCACTGGTTTGACTTCAACTCCTAATATTCCTTCGTATGCCGGGCAAGAGACTTTCGATGCTCCTTTCTTTCATGCGAAGGATTTTCGGAATTGTGGTGCCTGGGACAATTCACAGAATGTCGTCGTTGTCGGAGGTGCAAAGTCTGCTTTTGATGTGGCTTTTGCATTTGCAGAAGCGGCTGTTCATGTTGATCTGATTATTCGCCCAGATGGAAATGGACCTGTTTGGCTTTCTCCGGCTTTTGTGACTCCTCTGAAGAGAAAGATGGAAGAGTTGCTTCACACCCGTTGTCTCACATGGATGAGCCCTACGCCATGGGGTGACGAAGATGGATTTTCTCTGATTCGCAGACTCCTGCACGGAACTAAGATCGGGCGGATGGTTGTGCGCGCATTTTGGCAGATGCTAAGCTCTGATATGGTCGAAGCTAATGGATACGACGATTATAAGTATCCAAGTCTTGCTCTTCTCAGACCATGGACGTCAGCATTCTGGACCGGCAGCGGAGTCAGTATCCATAATTATGACTCGAGTTTTTTCGAGTTTGTGAAAACCGGAACTATACGAGTTCACACGGCAAACATCTCGCTTCTGAGCCCGAGTAAGGTACACCTGAGCACCGGTGAAGTCCTCGATGCAGATGCCCTGATCTGTGCTACTGGGTGGAAGAAGCGCCCTTCTTTCAACTTCAGCAATTGGGATATCAAGATCCAAAGATCAGTAGCTGAGATGACAGAACTCATCCAAGCAGCCGATGAAGAAATCCTATCTCGCTTTCCGATTCTGAAGGCGCAACCGCTGCTTCGCAGCCACACAAAGCCAACTGATCCCCTTCGATTATATCGGTTCATGGTGCCACCCGCTCTATGGGAAGATCGAAGCTTAGCATTTGCAGGAATGGTCTCATCTGTGAGCACGTCCACCTGCGCTAGTCTACAGGGGTTGTGGATCTCGGCGTATCTCGACGGCAAACTCGATCGGACTCCTGTCGATGACACGGAGGCTGTGAGAGAGACTGTGCTCAATTCCCAGTGGGGCAAATGGAGATACCCATGCGGGTATGGAGGGGAAGTTGCGGATTTGGCATTTGATGCACTTCCGTACTTCGACCTTCTGCTTCGAGACTTGGGCTTGGAGAGTCGGCGTAAGACCTCTTGTTTGGCGGAAATGATTACGCCGTATAAGCCGTGGGACTATCGTTCTGTGGTGAAGGAGTGGATGGATGCACATCGTGTCAAGAGTGACTCACAAGTTCAGGAGTATCAGTCGTATTGATGAACAATACATTGATATTTCGAGTCAATCTACTTCGACATCGAAGGGAATTGGTAGAATGCCAGATGGGACTTGCTGGCGACCAACTGAACGTAGAAGAATTCGAGAGTGTCGGCTGGGAACGATAATCGGTTAGTCCGAAACAGAGAAAAGAAAGTCACCTGGTACTTGTGTGCCCGGGGTACCCTTGCCAATGGTGACGGATGAAGCACTGGTTATCTAGGGCATAGTCACTGAGTCGAGTCTCCCCTAGTCAATAACAACGAGGGCATACATCTCGCTCGACAGAACGAACTCCGATCTTGCAATTATAAGCTCAGCGACACTGGATATTAGACCCAAGGGAAGAAGGAATCAAATGAAGTAGAAGAATCCAAAATCTCCGTTGAGACGGACAGAGCCGAAGCATGCTATATATGAAACAGAGACATTAGATATCAGTACAAAAGGGCCGGTCAAATGCAAGTCCTGCCCGGGCCCTGGTTATCACGCCCCGCGCTCATTTTATCGTTTATCCTTTCAAGTTTACTTTTGGCGAATTTAACCGGTGATCTTGAAGATAGACTCGGCAAGTCTTTGCACGTTGCCGGAGGTGATACCGGCAACGGAGATACGACCGTCCTTGGTGGCGTAGACGGAGTGCTTGATAATTCGTTAGCAGTGTTTGATACAATGGGGTGGGATGATCTTACCTCCTTGGCAAGGGCATCCATCTGCTCGGGCTTCAGACCAGTGTAGGCGAACATGCCGATCTGAAGAAATGTTAGCTTAGGCTACAACAGTTGGAGACATTGGGGGAAATTACCTGGCTGGTGATGTGGGACCAGTCGTGCTTGCTGCCGAGCTTCTCGAGGTTGGTGCGGAGGAGAGAGCGCATCTCGATGATGCGGTCAGCCATGCCCTTGACCTCACCGAGCCACTGCTGGTTCAGAGCGGGGTCGTTCATGATGGTGGAGGCGACGCGAGCACCGTGAATAGGAGGGTTGGAGTAGAAGGGACGGATGAGAATCTTGATCTGAGACTCGACGCGCTTCTTCTCCTCGGCGTTCTCGCAAACGAGAGAGAAAGCACCGACACGCTCACCGTAGAGACCCATGTTCTTAGCGAAGGACTGGCACAGGGCGATGTTGTGACCCTCCTTGACGAAGTGGCGGGGAGCGAAAGCATCCTTGTCAGCGTTACCGCTGGCAAAGCCCTGGTAGGCCATGTCGAAGAAGGCGAAGTGGTTCTTCTCCTTCATGACATCGCTGATCTGGCGCCACTGAGCCTCGGTGGGGTCAACACCGGTGGGGTTGTGGGCACAGGCGTGCAGAAGGATGATGCTCTGCTCGGGAGCGGCCTTGATGTCGGCGATCAGACCCTCGAAGTCAAGGCCAATGGTGTCCTTGTTGTAGTAGCTGTACTGAGCGACCTCGAGGCCGGAGTCAGAGAAGACAGCCTTGTGGTTGGCCCAGCTGGGGTTGGGGAGGTAGATCTTCTTCGCGCCGGGGTAGAACTGCTTGAGGAAAGAACCACCGATGCGGAGGGCACCAGTGCCGGAGATGGTCTGGGTGATGACGAGACGGTTGTCCTTGATGGCGGAGGAGTCGGCACCGTAGGCGAGCTCAGCGGCAGCGGTGGTGAAGGCGGGAATACCGGTGATACCAGCGTACTCCTTGTCGAAGCGCGATGCGACAACCTTGTCCTCGGCGGTGCGAACGGAGGGAAGGACGTAAGGCTTGCCCTTGTCATCACCTGCAGGTAGAAAACTTCCGTCAGCAATCCCATCTATTGTGCAACACGCGACGGTGAGTCTTACGGTAAGCGCCAACACCGAGGTTGATCTTCTCCTTGAAGGAGTCGGCCTTGAAAGCCTCGGTGATACCGAGGATAGCATCCTATAGATCCATTGATGTTAGGAATGCCTTTTCCAAATCACCAATTGAATGGTGGAAGCTCCTAGACCAAGCTTACAGGAGGGCCCTGGGGAACGTTGGCCCAGGTCGAGCCGTGACGAGCGACCATCACGGTGCGCACATTGGCCTCACGGGAGGCAGCCGAGCGGCTGGCGACGCGAAGAGTGGAAAGCATGGTTGCAGAGATGAAGAAAGATCAAATTGAGGGATGACACCTAGATCTAGAAGCTAGACTTGGGGAATGGGAAAGGGAAGAACCGGGAAGAGCGAGATAATAAAGGGTCGGAGACACAGTCCCGATGTTTTTTTAGTTGACTCATGTGATGGTGGTACCGGGTACTTCCTACACAGTGGGGAACCACCGTGCAACCAAAGTACTCAATACTTCTTACGGCGAGATGTGCGAGTGGGATTGGCTGCATCCTCCGCACGGTTAATTGTTTAATTGCATGTTATTCTCTCTGGTCTTTTTTTTTCTCTGTGCTGTACATGGCAATTCTTCGAGTGTTGCTAGTGTTTCCCAGTGGAATGTAGCCAGATATACATTCTGAACCGCCCATCACAAAGTCCTAAAACCTCCCAGCCCATTCGCCCATCAGCCCATCTTTAAAGGCTGGGGATGTCCTGCCGGGAATTTGCGTCTCCGGTGAACTGATCAAGCCCCTTCTCCACACTTTCTTCCCCTCACGCACAGTTGGGGTAATCGGTATTGAAAGGTACAAAACATGTCTGCTTAATTATATGGCGTATGAAGTACTCCCTACCATAGTCAATTTTAGTACCTGGGGAATGACACATCCATGGATGGTAGAGATATCTTTATTGTTTCAACAATCAATAGAACCAACCTTGGAAAAAAGCAAACATTCTCGTAAGATAATTTCGTAATTTGATATCCCCACATGCGGAGACAACTTGCAAACATTACGTAGCTCGGGAGGACATAGCTAACGCGGAAAATTACCCTTTTGGGTGTAAATATGCAGTGATGTGCATGAATTGGACATCCATGGATATGGACTCCATATGGAATGTCTGGTATTGCCTTCTATGTACGGACCTCGAGAGTATCAACCCAAGCGAACACCAGCTTGACGATTCTTTTTCGCAGCGTCACCAACAGCAGTATTCCTGCCACCTTGCTGACTAGTATCCAACGCACTCATGCCCTCGCGTTTCTTCTCTTCCTCAATCTTCTTCAAACGCTTCTCGGTCTTCATCTTACCACTGCCCTTGCCGTGGAATTGATGACTGAGCTGCTTGAAGGCCTCCTTCTGGTTCATGTTGCGACCAAACTCATCGACGTAGCGGAGTTGAACATCCGGCTTGTACTCGCGATTGAAGACTTCGGCCATGTGGCGCGCTTCTTGCTGATCGCGCTGCTTATTCTCCCAGCGCGCGTGCTCTTCCCGCTCGCGAGCGGACATACGCTCAAGTTTACCGGAGGTACGGTCGCGCTCACGCTGCTGGCGCGCGCGGCGCTCGATTTCGGTCTCGCGGTTGGCTTTGTCGGCGATGAAGCGTTCGCGATCACGGTGGAGTGCGTTCTTGGCACCACCGTCATTGTCTTTCACCAGACCGCGCGAGCGTAGCATCTTAAGAGTGGCTCCGAGACCCTCGTCCAATGTAGACTCTTCTTCCAGACCGGTGCCGCTAATTTCGGGACGGGTTGGAGCCGCTTCGCCACGCTTTGCCTCTTCGTTTTCAACGTCACCGTAGCGGTCCATATCGATCTCCATTCCTTCGCCCTCGGCCTCGGGTGCGGGCTCTGGGCTGGTGGGTTCTTCTGCGGGAGTTGGCTTTGAAGCAGCTTTGAGCTTCTCCTCGGATTCGAGAACGGCAGACTTTGATAAATTAGCGACAAACTCGGTCGTTTCGTCAATGATAAGTCCGGGTTCATCTTCCTCGTTCTTGGCTTCTTCAGCCTCCTCTTCGCGGAGTTGACGGGCAAGTTCCTCGGGGCTGATCTTCTTGCGCTTCTTGAATGCAGCGCGCCGTTGCAGCGCAAGTGAGGCCTGGAGATCATCGTCGTCTGCGAAAGAGACATTTTCAGTGGTGGGCTTGCGGCGAGCAGGGACTGGTACGCCTGCACTAGAGTCTATGTCCATGGCGGAGTTTCCTTGTGTAGCGGCAGTTTCAGCAGGCGGAGCGAGATCATCGTCGTCCATTACAGCTCTCTGTTTCGTAGTTTTGGCCTTCTTCTTCTTGGGCTTCTTAATTTTGACCTCGCTGATATCCATGTAATCAGAGGTGGGTACTTCTGGCTCGAACTCGAGGTTGATCACGTTCTTCTTCAGCTGGTTGGAGACTTCCTTCCGCTGTGCCTCACGCTCCTCGGTTGAACCCTTGGCATCCAGTGTAAATCGCTTCCGTTTCTTGCCATCGATCTCATCGTCGTATTGTGAAAGAAGTCCCTGACCTTCAGCGTTGGGATCGTATACGGGCTTTTTCTTCTTCAGCTCCAGCTTTTCCTGCAGCTTCTCCCTCTCGGTCAGGGCCGTATTTTCAAGCTCATCCACCTCATCGTCGTCATCGACCGCAGCGTCCTTGAGTGTGAGGATGTGATCTTCATCGCCATCAAAATCGCCCGCAGAGTGTCCGACCTTGATACCGGCTAGATCTGCTGCGGTGTACTCGGTCGCTAACAGGCGCTCGCGCTCTTCCAGTTCCTCTGCGGTTTTGCGGGCGCGCTCTTGCTCAATCTTCTTGGTGCGCTTTTTGGACTGTGCGAGCCATGCCTTTGTGTCAAGCGCGGCGCCACTGTCTTCTCCTAGTGTTGAGCCTTGGAGTTGTATGTTTCGCTGGGCAAGCTCGCGCGCTTTCTTGATGGCAGAATTTCTTTCTTCCCTCTGTCGCTTCGCCTGGGCTTCATCTTGAAGTTTCTTCCAATTATCGTATCCGGCGGCTTGTCGTGTATCGACGGTGCTGGCTTCTTCTTCCTCTTCTTCATCGCCGGACTCACTGTCTGATTCTTGGAATTGGGGACCGGCGCCGGGCACAGGGAGTGGCTTGAGGCCGAGAGCCACACGGATCTTGTTGTTCTGCTCTATTGAGACAGCGTCCGCCATGTTGACGGTGTTGAGAGGAGTGGGAGGTCAGGAAGAGGTGAAGCGCGCAGAGGCTGGTATTGAAATGTGACGTGGAGTGAGAAAGATACCCAAAGTTACAATCGACAAAAGGAGTTGGGAAAGAGGGACGTGATGGTCGCCGTCCGATGCGCAACGACCAGCACGATAGCCGCAATCGCAAACACGTGAGCACGCTAGCCCCTATATAGCCTAGCGTCTTAAAATCTTAGCGGCCCCACTTTCGACATAAATAAGAGCTTTTCCGCCCTTTCCTTCTCTTTTCTCTTCTTCACCTATAACACGGATTTGTGTCCAGATTTCCTGTTCATGGTACCAGTCTGACTGGTTTCTGTGTGACGGTTGAGAGCTGGGCAGTTCGACTGAATGGAGCCATCATAACTTTGCGTAGATGGCCTTTACGGTTTCCGGTCGACAGATCCCAGATTAAATGTCTGCGCCTTGTGTTGCGGGTCTTGAGCTCCCACTGGTGAGCTCGGCTTGACAGCTTGGTGTCAGCAGGCGTCATATTTCATGTCTCTTTGCCGATTGGCCGTTGGCCGCTGAGGTTAGGGAATAACCATGACTGCCAACATCCCTTAGCCTAGCTTCTGTAGTATTGTAACCAGCAAGCAACGAAAAAAAAACCTTCAGCTTCCGCTGGGTGAAATGTGTTTCCTAGGAAACAACAATTTCTACCTTGGACAATCTATGAACTGTCTGCCAGTGATGCGTCGCGTACGGAGTACAGAGTACTGAAATGCCTCTATTTGCGTCATTCAAAAGCTCTTCATTGAGGTCATGATCATCATCGCCTGGTGTATACAAGGGAGCATGTAATCTACAAAAGCTTCAAGTGTCCCGTCACGCCGTCCACCACACTCTTAGGACCCAAGATTCCAAGGACAGTCTTACTGCCACTGGCGATCTGGGTGCGTCCAGCATCCTGAATGACACGCGCGCAAAGCCCAAGGCTCATAGCCTGAGCCTGCATAAGCAAAACCTCCTCTTCAGACCTCGTTTGCAGGGCGATCTTGGCCTGACCACCGCGCTCCCACTTCTTGAGGATGGGCGAGTTGGGCGCGAACTCCTGGAAGTATTTGTAGCAGGCGAGGGTGGCGTGGGAGCATTGGGCGGCGATTTTGCCTAGTAGAAGACGTGAGTTAGCATGTGCGCAAAGCGATGTTCGTAGATCGCATACCTTTGGTCATGCCCAGGTCCATGCGAACGACCAGCACCAGCTTCACTTCCTCGGTGTTGTCCTTGAAGCTGGCCAGTTCCTCGCCATTGCCCTCGTCTTCGGATTCTTCCTCATCAGTCTCCTCTTCTTCGGAATCTTCTTCGTCGGAAGAGTGACTGTGGACCTTGACATTGTAGCTGTTGGGCCAGCCTTCGTTCTTTTCCTTGAAAAGGTTGAGCGAGGCGCCTTGGCCGATGAAGTATCCGGTGACTCCTGCGATGATGGCGGTCGCGATCACGTAGGCGGTTGTCGTGGGAGGCAAACGGTCTATTGGTACTGGAGCGGCCATTGTGAGCGATGTGGTGGTTAGATGTTGCGCCGTTGCGAGAAAAATAATTTTGGGGCAAAGCTCGACCGCCCTGACTTCATAGCCAGACTTGGAAACTCCCAAGGTTACTCGGACTTCTTTGTCGCTATTCAATTCAATTCTTTGATGGTTTTAAATTTAGAGCGCAAATTTCATTCTTTCTTGAAACTTAGTTTACTTGGCCCAATGGGTATTTCACATTTAGCGTTTATTATGTTCACGTCTCTGGGGATGACATATTTGGACTGGCGTACACTGTTCGAGGTCGGTTTACACGCCGATAAAAACCACCACTTGGATGTGAATATTGTTTCATATTCTTTGATGATAGCAAGACAAACTTTGGCCTATGTTTTCCTTCGTAGAATGCAAAAACATACATAGTGTGTTGCAGCTTTTGTTGTATCTACTATCTTCCACGGTACGCAACACCTGCGCAAATGAAGTCCAATCCTAGGTAACTTCAAGTTTTGGATATTCAATTATGGCGATGGTCTTTTTTGCGATTTCTAAAGTTCAAAATATCACCTGGGCAAGCTTTGGAAGTAGCAGCATCTGGCCATTCGTGGATAGTCTAGAGGCGGTCGTCAATGATTTAGTTCCAGAGGCCTAAACCGAGCACTCATGGTAAACTCCCCTCGTTGGCCAAACCGATAGTTTCGACAACAAAGCCTAGAGGGCACCTATACAAGGCTGCATATTATGCCTGCTCTTCAAGACCCAAGACCACGGGTTTTCTACCTACCTCCAATGGTTGAGTGAAGTTGTTCGTTGTACTGGCACCCATCAAACAAAGGCCAGCGCGCTACGGAGGAGTCTTGCAGCAAATCCGATGAGCCGATATCAGCCGGAGTGGCCTTGACTCGTATGATGCCGATAGGCTCCTCCGTACCGATAGGATGATCTTCAGACATGCAAGCAGCAATGCAAGACACAGCCTTAGCCCACAGCTTCTGGAAGCATCGTCAAAATGTGGGGCCCATACGAGTACGAGAGTGTTTGGTACAAATTTGTACTTACTTGATCTGACAAACACAAAGAGGCAAAATGTCCAAGTATGCAAGGACGAAGATCGAACAATAAAATAGTAAACTTTGAAGCCTGGTGACTTCCCAACAATGTAGTGATGCGTTGGATCCGGTGACCCGGTGACTTCATTCCAAAGTACCTTGGGGTACTTTGGCTGACTGGCAGACCACTGCCACACGCTAGGTATCCCGAGGTACCAAAGGTCTACAGCTCAGCCTCAATTAGGAGGGGCGCTATCCACATCAGGCAACGTCATTGAATCTCATCTCGTGAGACATCTGTTATCTTTCTTGTCATCTCTACCCCTCCATTCACGCATCATGGGTGTAAGTACTCCAGATTCTCCTTATATCCTTATATCACCTGCGCGGGTGAATTTCCAGTGAGCCCCGAATCTCAACTGTCTTTAGTTTGCTCAGAAAATCGCCGCCGCCCAGAGTAACGACAAGATGTCGAACAGTGGCACTTACGGAGGTGCGCCTCCCACCGGATATACTGGAGGACCTCCGTCCGCCCTGCAGGCCGGACACGTAAGTCTGCAGATAATCTCCTGTTCCTACATCGAGAACCACGACGTCATGTACTAAGGAGACTTGCTAATCCACCTCCAGAGTCAACAATACCAGGCTTATTCAGGATCCCCCGCCCCTCAGGGATCGGTAAGAAATTTTTGATTTTTTTTTGATTCTGTCATTTCCCCCACTACACCACATCCTTCCCCTCCAACTTGGTTCCGTACGGACAACCAGCAAAATGTCGAATCCCTACCAAGGCTATCCCAACGGCTCATCCGCTCCCTACCAGTCCTACAATCCATCCCCGGCTCCCTCGACCCCTTCCTATTCCAGACCCCCGCAGTCGCAGTCGCCTTACCCCGCATCACCGCAGGGCTACAACCGCCCGCCTCCACCTCCACCAGGTCAGCCCTACGCGTCTTCGCCTCACCCAGGCCAACAGCCACAACAGCCCTACAGCTCTAGTTCCCCATACCCGGGTCAACAGTCTGGACAGTCTTACGGCCAGCAACCGCAAGGATACCCTGGACAGCCACCTTATCCTGGACAATCGCAGTACCCTGGACAGCAGCCTGGACAGCAGCCATACCCTGGACAACAACCTTCTTATGTACACAATACCCCGTGCCCTGTGTCTTGTTTTCACACCTCATGCCGTATTTGATGCTCATCTCGCTGCCTTGACACTTGTTCAAAAGAACCATGCTAATGAACATAGAACCAGCCACCTTCATACCCCCAGGGCGCTCAGGGCGCTCCCTACCCCGGTGGCCAGCCTCAAGGTCGCCCCGTTCCATCGCCAGGCCCAGGTGGTCCACCAGGCCAGTATGGTGCCCCCGGCGGTCCCCCCGGTGGTGCTCCCGGAGGCGCAGGAGGCCCAGCTCCTCCAGCCACACAGCAGCAGGTTGCAGCCTACCGCTCGTTACTGATTGGCACAATCCAAGAGAAGAACCTCCAAAGCTTCTACCCACCCGAGCGTTTGGATCGCCTCGTCCAGACCCTGGCCGCTGAGGCCCCTGGCAAGCTCGCGAGATTGATTCACGAATGGGCTGTGCCAATGGAAGTTGCCACAGACGTGATGAAACTTTCACTGTTCGACGTGATCCTGTACGTGGATGACAGCGGATCCATCGAGTTTGAAGAGAAGGGGCTGCGAAAGGACCAGCTGAGACAAATTCTCGGCATTGTCGCGACTGCAGCTTCGACCTTCGACCAGGACGGTATCTCGGTGCGGTTCATGAACTCCTCCGAGACGGGTGATGGTATCCGTGACGCTGAGGATGTGAACCGCCTTGTCTCCCGTGTTCGTTTCTCGGGATTGACTCCCCTCGGCACAAACCTCAAGACCAAGGTTGTCGAGCCGATGATTGTGCAGCCCGCTCGTGCAAACCGTCTCGAGAAGCCTATCCTTGTTATCACTATTACAGATGGACAGCCGGCTGGTGAGCCACACGGTGCTGTGGGTGATGTGATCCGCTACGCCGTGGACGAGACCTCGCGAACTCGCTATGGCCCGGGGGCCGTTTCCTTCCAATTTTCACAGGTTGGCACTGATCAGCGCGCTCGTGACTTCCTGTCGGCCCTCGATGAAGATCCTCATATCGGCCACTTGATCGACTGCACATCCAGTTCGTGTCTCCACACTTTCCACTGGTTCTCAACTGACGTATTCTAGACTTCGAGGTGGAGCAGGATGAAATGTCCCGTGCCAATCCCCCCGTGCATCTCACCCGAGAGCTTTGGGTATGTTGCTCCCCCGCATGATCTGCATGGAAATGCCACTAACATTCTCAGTGTGCCAAATTGATGCTCGGTGCTATCGACTCTTCTTACGATACTAAAGACGAGCGAGACAATGCCCGTCGTGGCGGTGGTCCTCAGGGTTCAGTCAGCCAGTACGGCGGCGGCGGCGGCGGTGCTGGAGGGTACCCTCCTCAAGGAGGTCAATCTCAGTACGGTGCGCCTCCTGGACCCCCGCCCGGCCAAGGTCAATATGGCGCTCCTCCTGGCCCTCCCCCACAGAGTCAAGGTCAGCAATACGGTGCGCCTCCCGGCCCTCCCCCAGGGCAAGGTCCTCCGTATGGCGCACCCCCCGGTGCTCCTCCCTACGGTAGCAGCCAGTCCGGCTATGCGCCCCAGGGCTATCAGCAGTCTCCCCAACAGCCCCCGCAGCCCCAGTACCAGGCATCACGTGGATATCCACCGCAACCACCGCAGCCCTATGGATCTCAGTCTGGTTACCCACCGTACGGCCAGCCACGTTATTAGTGGAGCGTGACGTCATGGGGCGTTCCTCCAGAGCGCCCATGGGTGGCGCTGGGTCGACATCAACGAACCACGAATGAACGTGCCTTGTCAACTTTAATCTTATTCAGAGTTTTCTTCCACTTTGTGTCGTTCCTGAATTTTAGGCAGTCGCTATTTTGTGTAAAGTTTGCTGGAAGTACAGTATTAGTCGAGTCACCAAAGTACTAGTACGGATCCTTAAATGCGGACTGCAGTGAGGTTAAACATCCCAGTTAGTACATTGCACCACATGTAGTACGGAGTACGTCCGTATGTACTCCGTCCTCCATACTAGTGAGGACATGGGGATATACTTCAGTGTTTCAGCCTGCATCCAGACCCTGGGGAATGTGGCACCCTCGCCCCTCGAGAATTGGCTCGCAATTGGTCTGCACGCAGATGTTTCGGCTATTCTTAAAATTGACTTGCGTGGACGGGGCTGTGTCTGGCCAAGACTGTGCAGAGGAGAGGTTACGCGTTAGAACCAAACGGTCCGCGACCATAGGACCAGACAGAGTTATCGCCATCAATTTCCACAGAGTCCACCCTAACCTCAACCCAACCTAACCTGAAGCCCTAAATGCTAAAATATCCACTAAATCTGTGCCTATCATGTTCATCGTGTTCATGTTCGACTGAAAACTGACAGATTTTGTATGTCGATCGTGCCCACTAGGCCGTTTCGGGTTCAATACCGGATCCGTGTGTCCTCTCGCCTCCAAAGTTGGTCTTGGCTGGCCGTTTTCTGCTTTCTGTTTGTCTGTTGTGGTTCCTCGAGTCGGATTTCTCTTCTCTCTTTATCTTGCATCTTTACTTCGTACTGAATATTTTGGGTTCACTATTGCGCCCTGCGGTTATCCTTGCGTCCAACCCTCGTTAGCACCGCAACACCTTCGTTTCGCGATAGGGGTCTCAGAATGACACTCACGGCCTGACGACAGCCTATGTGATTGAGCAAGAGAATATACCCCAAGTCTATAACAGTACAGAGAACCATCGGGGACGAGAGAGAACGAGAAAAAAAAAAATCGAGATACCGAGATCGTCGGGCCTGTCCCGCGGAATTCAAGCCCGCCATGTCCAGCGACGACCACCATTCCGATCACGAACGCCCACCACTCGTCTCCGCCCTCTCCGAGTCTGGTCGCCGGATCTCCGCCCAGCATGTCCGCTTCTCAACAGACATCGACCGCGAGGAGGAACGTCAAACACGGCCAAGTTCCCGCGGCTTGAGCATCAACACGGCGCTGGCGCCGCCGACCGTCCCAACCGCCGCGCGATCGCCCACATCCCCCTCTCCCCTCCTAATGCCCAATCGACACTCTCGCCCGTGTCGCCCGTGGAGCCCGCCGGTCGGTCTCGCTCGCGAAACCGCGGTTACTCCCTTCGACGGTCGATCTTTAATAAAACCATCACCTCGGCAGAGACACCGGATGACCTTGCCCTAGCAGAGCTGGGTGAGGTCCGGGAACCAGAAGTCAATGAGAAGAACGAGCTGAGCACGGCGCCGACGACCGTGTCCGCGCACAAGGAGGAGGTTGCTACGTACGTCTCGTCCGAGCCTTCGGAGAAGGCGTTCAAGGACTTGGCGCAGGGGCGATGGGCGAAGAAGCGCACGACGAAAGATGTGGCCGTGGCGCGGGTCCAGGCGGCGCTCACGAGTGCGCGGAAATTCATCCTCAGGATCAAGGATATCCCGCCTACGAAAGATGGTCGGCATCTGGATCTAAATCCCTCTTTGGTGGATTCGATGCTGGATGAGCGTACGGGCAAGGCTTATATTGGCAATTGGATTCGATCCAGTCGGTATAGTCTTTGGAGTTTCTTTCCGCGACAGTTTTTCGCACAGTTTACCAAGATCGCCAACTTTTACTTCCTCGTCGTTGCGATCTTGCAGATGATCCCTGGCCTCAGTACCACCGGAACGTACACGACTCTGGTGCCGTTGCTGATTTTCGTGGGTATTTCCATGGGAAAGGAAGGGTTTGATGACTGGCGGAGATATCGTCTTGATAAGGAGGAGAACAATCGCGATGCTTGGGTGCTTCGACCTGGTCATGGGAAGTCGTCCGATACTGATTCTGTGGTCAGTAATGCCAAGGACTGGCAGTGCGTTAAGTGGGAGGATATTCGCGTTGGAGATGTTATCAAACTGCAGCGTGACCATCCCATTCCTGCGGACATTGCTTTGCTTCATGCCAGTGGTCCCAATGGGGTTGCCTATATTGAGACCATGGCGCTGGACGGCGAGACCAACCTCAAGAACAAGCAGCCTTGTCAGCCGGTCTCGAAAGTCTGCTCCACCATTGAAGATATCACCAGCAATTCGTTGCACTTTGTTGTGGAAGACCCTAATCTTGATCTGTACAAATTCGACGGCCACGTCACCGTCAATGATCAAGAGAAGATCCCTCTCACCAACAACGAGATTGCCTACCGTGGCAGTATCCTTCGCAATACGGATCGTGTGCTCGGTATGGTGATCTACACTGGCGAGGAATGCAAGATTCGAATGAATGCCAACAAGAACCCGCGCATCAAGAAGCCTTCCCTTCAAGCCAAGGTCAATCGCGTTGTGATGTTGATTGTGGTCTTGGTTGTGCTTCTGGCTGTTGTCTGCACCGTGGCCTACAGGTTCTGGTCTCGCGATGTGGAACAAAAGTCGTGGTATCTGAGCGATGCCAGTGTTAGCTATGGCCCTATTTTCACCTCTTTCCTCATCATGTTCAACACCATGATTCCCATCTCGCTCTACGTGAGTATGGAAATCGTGAAAGTTGCTCAGATGCTACTACTCAACGATATCGACATGTACGACCCTGAAACGGACACTCCCCTGGAAGCCCGGACTTCGACGATTAATGAGGAACTCGGTCAAGTCAGCTACATCTTCTCTGACAAGACCGGTACCTTGACGAACAACTCTATGCGATTCCGCAAAATGAGTGTCGCTGGCACTGCGTGGTTGCACGATGCAGACCTACAAGAGGAAGCTGCTCGTGAAGGTGACCACACGAAGCTCATCCACAAAAAGCGAAGAGCCAAGGGCAAGAAGGCGATTGGACGCAAGTCCAACCTTTCCGAAATGCAAATGCCTCGTCCATCAAACGTGTCCGGAGCTGTCGACCAACCCCCACCTGGCCGCTCCGCCACTACATATCGCACAGCCGAGATGATTGATTACATCCAACGCAAACCCTACACCGTGTTCGCCCGCAAAGCCAAGCTTTTCATTCTTTCCATGGCATTGTGCCACACCTGTATCCCCGAAAACGACGAATCCGGCAACACAACCTTCCAAGCCTCCTCCCCCGACGAACTGGCCCTAGTCCTCGCAGCCCAAGAACTGGGCTACCTGGTCTTCGACCGCCAATCCAACACCCTGACCATCCGCACCCAGCCCAACGGACCAGACGAGGCAACCTCCGACGAAGTCTACGAAATAATGGACGTGATCGAATTCTCATCCGCGCGCAAGCGCATGTCCGTCATCGTGCGCATGCCCGATCAACGCATCTGTCTCTTCTGCAAAGGAGCCGACACAACACTCATGCGTCTCCTGAAGCAAGCCTCCCTAGCCCAAGAAAAGGCGAACGAGATCGAGCGCCGCGCCAGCAGACGCAAGAACGCGGAAGCCAACCACGTCATCCGACGAAACAGCGAGCATCATTCTCGTAAGAACTCTACGCGGAGCTCGATGACAAGACCTAGTTTCACGCGCCGTCGATCGTCGATCACGGGACAGCAGGGGTCGGCTCTTCGTGCGAGTATTGATGTCTGGCTGCGTGATCGTGAGACTGATGGTGGGATGTTGAATCCCGGGGCGAATAGCGAGTATTATAGTCCTCGACCGTCGGCGCAGATGGGTCGACACTCTGCTGCGATATCGGATTCCGGGAGTGAGACTAATGGCGAAGATGAGGATCTTGTTGAGGAGGCGTTGGTTGTCAATGAGACTGCCATTTTCGAACGTTGCTTCCAGCACTTGAATGACTTTGCTACCGATGGACTGCGCACTTTGTTGTATGGTCATCGGTTCTTGGATGAGAATACCTATACGGCTTGGAAGGCTGCGTACAATGAGGCTTGCACTAGTCTTGTCGATCGACAGGAGAAGATTGAACAGGTCGGCGAGGATATTGAAAAGTCGCTTGAGTTGACTGGTGCTACTGCTATCGAGGATAAGTTGCAGAAGGGTGTTCCAGAGGCGATCGATAAGCTTCGCCGGGCGAATATCAAAATGTGGATGTTGACGGGTGACAAGCGGGAGACTGCTATCAACGTCGGACATTCATGTCGCCTTGTCAAAGAGTACTCGACATTGACCATCCTGGATCAAGAGAATGGAGATGTTGAACAGCTCATCGATGGTCTCATTGGCGAGATTACCCGCGGCCGCGTGGCTCATTCTGTAGTTGTTGTCGATGGCCAGACACTCTCAGTGATCGAAGATGATGAGGTCGTGCGCGAGAAGTTCTTCCAGCTTGCCATCAAAGCGGACTCGGTGATTTGTTGCCGAGCAAGCCCGAAGCAGAAAGCTTTCCTCGTCAAATCAATTCGCAAACATCTCGATGACGCCGTGACCCTTGCTATCGGCGATGGTGCAAATGACATCGCCATGATCCAGGAGGCTCATGTCGGTATCGGTATCACCGGTAAAGAAGGTTTACAGGCAGCGCGTATCTCTGATTATTCGATTGCGCAATTCCGCTTCCTCCTCAAGCTGCTCCTCGTCCACGGCCGCTGGAACTACATGCGCGCCTGCAAGTATACGCTCGGCACGTTCTGGAAGGAGATGTTGTTCTACCTCACCCAAGCGCTTTACCAGCGCTGGAATGGCTACACTGGTACAAGTCTTTACGAGCCGTGGAGTCTGTCCATGTTTAATACGCTCTTCACCTCTCTCGCTGTGATTTTCCTCGGCATCTTCACCAAAGATCTCTCCGCCTCAACTCTCCTTGCCGTACCAGAACTCTACACCAAAGGCCAAAAGCACGGCGGGTTCAACATGCGACTCTACCTCGGCTGGTCCTTCATGGCAACTTGCGAAGCAGTTATCATATTCTTCACCATGTGGTCGCTCTACGGCCTCGCACGCGTCAACCCAAGCGGCAACGACATCTTCTCCCTAGGCCTCCTCACCTTCTCCGCCTGCATAATCGTCATCAACGTCAAACTCCAAGCCCTAGAAGTCCACAACAAAACCTACATGTCCCTCGCAGTCATCATAATCTCCGTAGGCGGCTGGTTCGTCTGGGACATGATTCTCGACCGCGAATACACAATGTCATCCGGAAAAGGCGTCTACTTCGTCCCAGGCAACTTCCTCCAACACAGCGGCCACAACCTCCTATTCTGGGTCGTTCTCCTCCTCTCCGTAACAGCCGTCATCCTCTTCGAATTCACCGTCTCAACCCTCCGCGCCCTCTTCTTCCCAACAGACGTGGACATCTTCCAAGAATACGAACAAGACCTCGACATCCGCAAACGCTTCGAAGAAGCCGCCGCCTCAGAACTGCAGCAGGGCTGGGACCACGGAACGAAGAAAAGCAGTTTCGAGCTCGCTCGCGAAAAGGAAGAAATCGCCGAACTTGACGCTCGCGAACGACAGGTTCGCGAACTCCTTGCTCGTCCTCGCGTTATGGATAAGCCGAATGCCGTTGAGCATGAATTGGATGGGTATACCAGTGCCAGTGCGACGGCTAGTCATAATGGGAGTGTGCCGCGTCCGGAGCCTGAGAGGAGACAGTCGGTTGAGATTCAGGAACTGTTTAGTCAGGGCTTTGGTAAAGTGCGGAAGGGTCAACTTAAGTGATTGTGTATATTCATATCTTTGATTTCTTGTCTTTTTTTTTTCTCACCCTTACACATCTTCTTATGTGTTCATAGCGCGACTGTCGACTGTCATACCCTGTCTTCTTGGGACAAAAGGCGTTTTGTCTTTCTCTTTCGAGTCTTTTTTCATATCTGCTGTACAGTGCGGATTCGAGATACCCCGGCTCAACTAGTTCTTTACGGAGCTTGGTGAGGGTTGTTTATATCTTACCTTGCCTCTCTAATCCACTTCATATTATCTATGTCTAATCATTCCAAGGTTCTTGGTGTTTTGAATGTCGTAAACGAGATTTCCAAGGTTTGAATGTCATGGGCTTGAAAAACATGCCCCGTGCTCCCGACCTCGGAGGTTTCTGCTAACTTTCAGGATAATGCTTCTCCCGAGGTCAGTACAAGGTTCGAACATGCCATCTATATAGAAACGTCGGTCAAGCACAGCCTTCTACTGAGCTTGGCAGCGTTCCAAGCCCTGGAGATTGTCAGCCTAACGAGGTTTAAAGAGACCCACTTGCTGTAGCCCTAAGAAACGCCTGTAAACCCGAAGAGCCGAAGCCAATCGACCTCGGAGATCGCCATTTTGCTTTCCACCGTGGGTAGACGAGACCGCAGTCAGCCTATAGTGCTATAGTGCCCCCAGGGCCCGGTCTTGGACCTTGCATGGGGCTTCTGGAGAACAGCTGCCAAGCCGGCCCAAAACTTACCCGCAAGGCTTCTTTCATTCGACAGATCCATGCTCAATATCATATTTGAACTCCACTAGCTACTATCTATCCACTTATTTGAATCATGTTTTCCTAAAGAAATTCCTGCGAGTTGGTTGGCCGGGTTAAGATTGATCCAATATAATCATTTTCGGAATGCATCGCCCTATTTTTAGTAGGACTGAGCACCGACTGGACTGGGAACTCATATGCTTTGCAAATGAGGCTCTATCTGCTGTTTGGCTTTACCATGGTGATGTATTGAGTGGTGCAGACATGATCTATCTCAAGGGTGCGTTGAATGCCCCAAAGAGGCTCAAATGACAAAGTGCAAAGGCCTGGCGTTTGGACGAAGAAGCAAACAAAAGAAGGCAGAAGGCAGGGAAGAACTGAGTGGATACCTGCTAAATTCGGTCAGATGGAGGAGGACCTGATAGTTCATTTACTTCAGAGAAAGCTCGTCTAATTATAGCATCCTTGTAGTACGATATCTTCCAGGGGAATTCCAGCCATGAGGGTATATAAGATGACAATGACCTAGCCGTCAGTGATCAGTAAATCATACCAAGCACCCTCGTTCAGCTTGTTCCACACTCGTTATCTCTCCCTCATTCAATAACACCCACCCAAGTCATCGTCATGTCTATGACCACCACCTCCACCTCCTCCGCGTCGGCTACTTCCAGCTGCCATGCCAAGCTGTACGACCTCCCTACCCACGATGCCGCCTGCGCGATGCCCATGCAAAGCAACAACTCCGCGATTATGAGCAGCTGCTGCTCCGATGCCGCAGTCGTCGAGTACGATGGTTGTGACTACTACTGTCTTGCTCAGGGACAGAGCGTCGGTACCCTTGCCGAGTGCCTTATCAAAGCCTCTGAGCCTGGTGAGGTTTGGTGTAACACCAATGCCAATGCAACGGCTACGGCAACAGCCACGGCTACTGGAACCGGCGTCGTGACTCTGACTGCCTCGACAACTGATGCGGATAGTACTACCTCGGGTACTTCGAGTGGCTCTACGGCGACTTCGACTGCCAATGCGGCTGCTGGTATTGTTGTGCCTCGTCCTTTGTCTAAGTCTGCTGTTGGTATTGTTGGGATGCTGTTGGCTGGGTCGGCGGCAGGTCTTTTCCTCTAGAAGGGTCAAGGTTGTCGGGTGGTGAAACTCACGTTGTGATCAGCCTCCCGAGATTTATTTGAACTCTTTTTACTTTCGATTAGTTGAAGGTCAATTGAATTTTTAAATGAATTGATCTTTAGGGGTTCAAGTTTGGGACCAAGTGTGCACTGTCGAATCAATGCGGTGGATGTTGTATCAGTTCCCATAGAATCAAACCTCCACTGTGCGGAAGCGACCAAATGTCTCTAGTGTCTGCTCAATATCTTTTTGGTCAACTCCCTCCCCAATTTTCACCCATAGGGATGGATATTCATCTATGTGCCATTTCCACCAGAATCCTTTGACAACGTCATTCTCCCTGACAAAATCGAATACGCCAGCCTTAGAATGGTCCCAATCGCCCATGCTCTTCGCAAGCAGTTTGTCATGCTCTGTAACCATATAGCTAAGCGAATCGTCGTTGTACGGCTCGAGGTCGCACTTGGTGGAATCGTTATCATTGAATATCACGGCAACTTTGGCCTCGGCAGTATCGCTCGCAGTGATGCTGATGCGGCATGTATCAAGGCCGATGTACGACCCGATGAAGTCCTGAGCGGAGCTGGTGTAGCGAGAAAGATCTCGACCATGCTCCCAGTCACCGATCACCTTGTCGTGTGCTTTGAGGCATCGCTTGCGCTGCTCGCGTAATAGAGGGAGGAGGTCAACACGTGGTTTCAGATCAAGCACAGCTTGGAGGAGAATTTTCGAAATGGTGTCTGGGGCATCTCCGGCCTCTGCAGCATTGGCTAGAACAATGATTGCTGTATGCGATGATGGGAAACAATACGTCGTTGCCACCGAGCCATTTGTGATCCCGTAGTGGCCGTACGAGGTGCGTGGCTCTGACTCCCGACCAAGGATATTCTCGGGCAGGGTATCATTCTTGTTTCCACCGTTGGCATCGAAAGTGTTGTATGACCCATAGCCTAGTCTGCTAGTGGGTATAGTTGTGCGGTACCAACCTAGTGTGTGCGCTGTTTCATTGTTGAACTCATCGTCCACTGGGTGGGACCACCATCTATTCCAGAGAGAACTAATCTCTGGCAATGGATTGCTTGCCTTTTCATTCAAGAGTGGTTGAGGATTATCGAGACCTTCTTCTACGTCAAAACGATTCATCACTGCCGCCAAAAAGGTCAACATGTCATTGACAGAGCTTCTGATGCCCAGGCTAGCCAGAAGTGGACTGTGGTTCTCCGTTGTCAACTCGTTGTTGACCTTGGACCAATGACCATCAGTCAATCGCACGTAAGGGTGAGCTATGTTGTCGTTTATTTCAACATCAGCTTCACTAACGAGTGTCTGCGTCAGACCGAGCGGTGCAAAGACACGTTGTCGCAAGAAATCCGAATACTTCATCCCAGATACAGTTCCGATAATCAGGGCCAACAACCCAAATGCGCTGCTGCTGTAGACCCAAAATTCACCAAAGCGCTGGCCATCATGGTCGGAAGTGGGTAGCGCGTTCACCATAGCGACATGGTCTTCTGCCCTATGGATAAGTGCACCCCCTGGACCCTGGAACAAAACGCTTGGAAGGCCTGTTGAATGTATGCACGCATCGGCGATAGTTGCTTCTTCTCCAATCCGAGGGTCTCCGATCGGGTTGAAGCTAGGGAGATGTTTGCGAATAGGGTCGTCCAAAGAAATCCTTCCTTCAGCTAAAAGAATTCCAAGTGCCGCGGATGTAATAACCTCGGAGCATGCCGATAGGAGGTATGATGTGTTGCTAGTGGCTTCGAGTTTGGCATCGACATCACGAAGCCCAATGCTCTTTCGAAACAGGACCCTGCCTTCATGAATGACCCCAAGGGATACTGATGGCGCATTGGCGATTTCCATGGCTGCTTCGATGTCTGAGATCGTAGCTTCTAGGCGCGCCTTCACCTCGCACGAGCTATCCTTCGTTCAGAAAGTGTCTTCGAAGGAGAGTAGAATTACTCACATTTGATCGGCTGAAATGTCCATGATGAAAATGTTTCACAACAGAAACCTCTGGTATCGCCAGGTATAAGATATTCAGACTAGATCGCAAACAATGTATGAGGAGATAATTTGTTTGGAACACGAGGAGAGGAAGAAAGAAGTCCAGAACTTGGAACCGTGAGATAATAGAGCCCCATGGGTTTTTTGTGATTCAACCAACGACGATTCCAACACCAAGCAATACCAGGTGATCTGCGGGGATTACAAGCAAACATCTCTAGCAATAGCCGCTTGCCAACCTTGGAATGTATTTAGTGTGCAAGGGTCGGAAACCGTCCTGAACATTTGAGCACATCTGATTTTAGACCACTGCTTGTATTGCTCCATACTAACCATTGTAACTAGCGTTTGGTAACAGTGAGGTATCCAAGCTAGCCGAAATCATCGACTCATATAGATATAGGCGCCGGGGACCTTATACCTCTTCACAGCCCACAGCCCACATATCCCATAACCCAACCCAACCCAACCCAACCCATCAGTGGGTTGGGTTTTGGGCTCAGATATAGAGCCCATAGCTGCCCCCCAAACAATTGAAACGCACCTATGGTTGGCAAACATATGGATTACGCCTAGAAATAGGCTAGCATGTGGGCCCATGCTCCAGAGGTTCGGCCCCAACCCAACCCTCTGAACAGCTCTGTTCACGAACATTGTTACAAATGGATCAAGCGTCATGTAGACCACCACATTCATGGGGTAATTTCGATAGGTCAATTAAATACAGTCATAAGCCTTTAGTTGTGGCAAGTATAGATCCCTGGCCCCTGGCACCCGAATTCAATCTAGCCGATTGACCTAAAGAAAACCATTAGACCCAGACCCAGAATCATGCGTCGGCATGGATGGACTGGTGTAATGCAGGAACAATGCACCATCACAACCCCCGTAGAAACATCAAACATACCATAATCATAAAACGCACTCATACAGGAGGTATCTTTACAGCAGTCCGATGACAATGTCACCGTAGACCTGAGCATCGAGCTCAAGCTTGACCTTGGCGTGCAAGTTCAGGTGGATCTTGATCTGGAGAGAGCTACTGTCGTCCTTGCCGCCGGTATCGGTCTTGCCGGGGGTTGTGAGGCCAGCAGTGGAGCCCTTGATGAGATCACCAGTGGCACCGACGGTCTCATCGACATCCTGGCCTTCCTTGCGACCGCCGTGGATCGGGTTTGTATCGGTGAGGACGGGGCTATGGGGGAGCGGAGGAAAGTCAGTCTCATTGAAGGCGGATTTATCGTATGGAGGAGTGGGTAGATCGGTTGGTGACTGTTCCTGGCTCGTGGGTGGGATAGAAGGCGGTTGATTGGCCTTAGCCTTTTGAGCCTTGGTCTTTTTGGCCATTTTGGGAGGAGACAGACGTTGGAAAGGAACTAGTTTCAAGGAAAAGATGGATTGGGCTGAGGGGAGGAGTTAGAAGTACCTGGCAGACATCGTGTTTCTGGCTGGTTAGGGTTGGTTGAAATGAGGTTGTGGCGGGTTGAGCGGAGAAGGATACAGTAGAAAGGACAGGGCATAAATACTCGGAGATTGCTAGGCGAGACACAAAATGATACATACGGCTGGAAGGGCGAGGTATTCCCTCATTCGACCAGGAGAAGTATTCAAGTTCCACTTAGCTGGGCCATGGCGGAGCTGGCTGAGGTCCTTTGAAGATCTTCACATCACCCCGACGCCATTTCTGCCATCGGAGTCTGTGTGCTTGTACGAAGTACAAATAGATGGACTCCATTTCTTTAGTTGCAGAAGATGATGCAACATCTGGATACAAAAAGTGGATTCGTTCACTCCTAGCGCAATCTATACTCCACACTAGCGGGGAGAGCTGAAAGCTGTATTTATCCATTACGCGCCTGCGTGCTTTTCCACGCCTTACTCATACACACACTTGAAATTTTCGCTCTTTCCAACGACGAGGATATTGGGCAACCCTACAACAAAATGGTCCTGGGTATAGTGATGATGACGGCGATGCTGCCCACTATGATTGGTCTCAACGAGGCCAGCAAAGGCACACGCGACCAGGAAGATAGTCGCCGGAATACAGCGCGCAAGCAGCGATGTCATCTAGTGGCGATGTGCTCACTCAGCCAAGGGACCCAAAGCCAACGCGAGCAAGTTCATAACGCCCGCGTGTATGTGGGGCGAGACGGGAAAGTAAGTATCGTCACTGAATTGAAACAATGTCGCAAAAAGAAATACATGATGAGCTGATGATCGTCCTGTTTTAGCTATATATCACAAAAAAGCCCAGCTCCGGAATGTCACTCTTCAATGGCGGCTTCTACACACATCCGGATTTCCCTCCTGACAATTCCTCCGGCGTGGTAACAATCACCGGCGAGCAACCCCCACTTTACGATGGGTATTTTTGGATGCCAATACGCATGAAATGCGGTGGGGAGGGCGCCCTGACAGCGAAGGCCACGTGTGTGGACCTTTTGACTGGACGAAAGATGAGCAGTGCATGAAGCTTGAGGGCTGGGAGGGGTGGTTGGCGATTCGGTTACCTGAAGATGATGCCCGGGACCAAGCGGATACAGACCTGGAGATTGGCGATGGTCGCGAGATCTGGCGCCTGTATTTCGACCAGAATGATGACGGGGCCGATCTGCCGCCCGGTTCCCAGGGATTGGAAATTCGTCTCAAGCGAGTTACGGCAGAGTCGTAATTGTATAATAAATGGAGTCCTAATTTGTGTGCTTTGAGTCTCGTTTTGCGGAGTAGTGCTTCCACCACAGGCCCAGCTTCAGTTTGTTAAGCTTCAAAGACCAGGTAGTATTACTGTCTCTTTAAACTATCGCAAACAATGTTTAAAGCACGGGCTTCCAAGGTTCGAGTGTGCCATTTTCACTTTTGACCATATTAGCCCGTAATATTCGATTGCGCTAGGGAAGCCCGGACGAACAGTGGATCGTTTTCAGCCAATAGTAGATCCAAATCTGCCGATATTCTGGGAGTTCGCCCGCTCGTCACTTAATTCCGGCTTTCTGTCACTTAAAGTGGAGACTATTCCACTTGTATGCAGATGTTGTTTGTTTACTGTGCTCTAATTGAATCACACTGTGGTCTTTGCCGCTTGACAAATTACAAGATGAGCGAAATTTTTAGAAAATCCCAGTAATCTGGGTAAATGGATCAGCTCGTACATACAAACATGCACGGCAGTCTGAGGGTCCCCTTGCACACCAGTCTGTGGGCAATCACTGCAGCCCGAAGAACCCACGAACAGGCCAAAGTACATTCCACAAGAAAAGGATCTTCCGCTCCCTGCTAGCTTGCCAGAATATGCTCAAAAGCCCATTTAAACATCAAGTTTCCCCCTTCATCTACAAGTAAAATACTTGCATCCGCTGTCACACTAAATCTGGGCGTTCCTCCGCTCTGTGGCGTAGCTGGCGATCCCCACTTTGAATCAATCAAACTCAGTCAAGCTGGGTCAATGTCCAATTTCCAGCTTTTATTCACTTGAAGATGTGAGCTATCGCAGATAAAGGCGCAAATCACGCCTAAAAATATGTCAATTTGGAGTCTGAAACCATCTGCATCATTTTGGTAAATGATATCGACGAGATGGCCATGGACAACAGAAACCACGAGACTTGTCTCCTTCGATCGACCTCCGTCCTAGGTTTTAAGGAATAGAATCACTGTTCCAGCGACTTGCAATAAATCGCATCTTCTTGAGACCAACGACTTTAGCTATTCAGTACGCAGTACTCCGTACCCAGAGCCGTGCTGGCTGATTCGCCCTGGGGGATTGCCGTTCTGTACGGATTATAGTGGCCACGATTGCATCCTGGGCGATGAAATCCAGGCCCTCGAATTAAATGCATACCGTGGCGTTCTCATCAACCAAATCGGGTTCTCGGAGTTCTGCAGACCAATATCAACAACATACAAGCCTCAGTGCCGTGCTCACGCGCGGCCAAAAAGAGGATGATAGTTGCTTATAAACAAGAGTATTTATGTATTGTCTTGATCTCGAATGTCGATTGGTAACGGAAGAGAGCTATCATCAACTTCGGGACATCTTTTTAACTGTCTTCTCAACTGTCTTTCCAAGGCTCCAACTATGTAATTGTCGAGTCATCATTATTGGTCGAGTAAAGGAAGTCTTGGCTAAGCCGTGAACAGAGAATTAGGGATTGGGGATACGGAACAGCGTGGGTCCCAAACAAACTTTGATGTTGCGTCCAATGAGTGCTGGAACACTTTTTGAGCTGATCGATAAACAATTATAGTGGCACGTATCAAGCTGCGAGGGTGTGCTAGATCTGTTGAGGTCTAAAGACACGGCGTTTGTCATCGGATGACTGATCAATTCTCGGGACCCGGGCCGTCGCCTGGTTAGCCGTTGAACCTTCGCCTCATTCTAAATGTCACCAAGCGCACATGTTTCAATTCCAGCGAGATGCCCCCTGGAGGTGAGTCCAATTTGGATAATGGAAAGCTCCCCTCTGACAAACGTAAAACAGGCCCAGCGTGCATAACATGCCGTGAAAAGTGTCGTAAATGCGACCGCACAAAACCTGTCTGCCAAAGATGTATAAGCAAAGGCCTTGAGTGCAAAGGTTATCCAGACAAGTTTCGTTTTGCAGGGTTAGCGACTCGAGGGAAATGGAAAAACCGCGCGGTGCCAAGTGAGGCCCTTGGCCACCGTGTCCAGAGTCGGGCCGGCGTTGAAGCGACAGATCCTCCTCAACCTCAAGAGCACTCATTAAAACCTGTTCGACAAACGGAAGCATCGCAGTCAAGCTCCATCCAAACCTGGCCTCGGTCACAGGAGGAGCGATCTGTCGAGTTAGATGACCTGTTAATGCTCGAACGAACAGAAGCATTGCTCGCGTATTGTGAGTACTCGTTTTGCTTTCAGGGACGTTCACCGATTTTTAATTGAGTCGCAATTAGACGATCGAGTCATATGTCCTCATCAAATCGCACTAGCTGCAGACATGGAAAATCCCTACCAAGCCTATGTCTTGCCGCTTGCATATGAGCAAATAGGACTTCTTTATGCGGTATTGGGACTCACGGCATGCCATGTGGGAATCCAAAAAGAAGATCTCTATTTGCGAGAAACATTGGCCGTTGAATATCGAGTGAGGGCTATCAGCCGCCTCGGCGATACCCTTCAGAATGGATTGTCGAGCGAATTAAGCGAGAATGAGCGGGATGGAATCTTCGCTACTATACAGATCTTGATTCTGCAGGATGTGAGTTGTCAAACATTCTAGTGTATCTTCAAAAGCTGATTTCTCATGTCGAGTGAAGATTTTTGAATCGGGCATTTCCACCCACGGTGCGCACATCACAGGTGCCCTGTCTATCTGTAACCAATTGCGGTTAGCCGATACGATATCGCGAGATCATGAGCAGACTGTGTTTTTCTTGGGAAATCTTGCATGGTAAGAAGATCTTCTGCCTCCTTGTTTCGAAGCGTTGCTGAGACCAAAAATAATCACAGGCTTGACATCATTCGATCCCTCACAGACCCACGCCGATTGTGTTTCTCCTCCGAGCTTCGTGGGGCCATAGTGAACTTGAGTGATCTCAAATTTGAGCGTGTAAATGGATGCCCACGCGCTTTGTTTCTTGTCATGGGCAAAGCCATGGAACATGCAAAAGCACATGCTCTGGGTAATATGAGTGATTCGGAGTTTCAGAGTTCTCTCGGTGCCTGCCAAGTTGAGCTGAATGCATGGCGTTTGCCAACAGACGGCTATCCCGATGACAATTCCCGTTGGCCGGCCGTAGCTGAAGCATTTCGACACGCGTGCATACTGCATACGTCCCGATTGATGGATATGAGACAGCCGGCTGAAGCGCACGCTATACAGCACTCCGTGACGGCAATATTGGATGCGGTCGCCGAAATCCCAGCTGAATGTCGTCTCATCGAATTGTTGGTCATGCCACTTTTCATGGCTGGAGCCGATGCTTTGTCCTCGTACGCTCGACATTATGTTTTGTTGCGTTTTGACCATGTCAAAAACCATGGAGGTCTCGGGAATCAAATGCCCATATCTCTTCTCAAGTCAGTCTGGGACGGTCGTGGGAGACAGTCGAGGCACGACAGGAGCAATGTTTATTGGGTGTGGTTTGTATGTACCTCATCCCTCAGAGCTCGCTTCGACGGCTAACTTTATCTAGACCCATAAATCCCCTTCTGAGCCACCACATGATTATCTGATCATATGAAATATTCAACGGGGTCAGTGAATTCCGGACTGTGTCCAGGTTACCTGATGAGGATCATTGCCACAAAAGACTGTCGCGCCAGACAAGCTCCTCTGTCTGGATTTCATTGTCATCGTCGTGCACATTGAAAACATTTCGACTGATGTTTTGGAGGCCCGGTGCTTTGACTGCGCCATAAGTTAGCTTCGAAACCCTGACGAGCTCCCTCTCTCCCTCCCTCCCCCTCTCTTTCTCTCTCTTTCTCTCTCTTCTTTCCCCCGTCCGGCCTTTCCTTTACGGCCTGAATCTACTGGTTTACAGCAATTTCTCGCTTCTTCCATCAGATCATCCTGTCGTCAGGTTCTGAGCGCCTGCTGTTCCGTCTGTTTTGGACGACTAGCACGATTCTACTACGTTTTCCACTGAGCTCCAACCGGGTCGTCTGCGTCTGCCCCACCACGTTGATTCACCTTGGCAGTGACCAACCACATCGTACTCAGCTTGCCAAGAAGACGACTTTGACTCCTACAAAATGGCTTCCCAACAGGAGGAGTCGGGCCCGAAAACCCAACTACACAGGCTACCGACTGAGATCGATTACTTCGAGATTGAGAATGTGACTATTCTTGAGAAAGATACTGGTTTCAAGGATTGGAGACTCATGATTATTTGCTCACTTCTGCCCTTCGGATGCCATAACCTCATTCGATCAGATATGCCACGCCCCAAACCAGCAGACACAAGTTACATGGTTTGGTATTATTATTCCGCTTTCGTCGGTCAGTGGCTTTACAATCAGGTGTCCGACAGCATCAGAAGCGAGCTGGTCGTTGCCCGCATGACGTGGAAAGATGGCTTCTTTGCTGATGTCGTGATGGAGAGAATTGAGAAGATCGTACTGGGAAATGGCCGCGTCGGAAGCATCCTTGTCAACAACATACACAATTTTTGGTCCATCAATCGAAACCAATACGACTCCGCCATCGACTACATCAATGATTTCTACGCGCAGATGGATCTCTTGCACGAGTTGAAAGTTCCTATTCCTTGGATAGTTGCTCTTGGAAAGATACTGCAAGAACTCACAGACGAGCTCCCGTCGGCTGTATTCTTGGAGGATAGGATAAGGGATATGTCGCCCGAGGAAATCACGGAGGAGAAGTTCCTCGAATTGTGTGAAAGTCTACGGTTCGCGGCCCGGCACCAGGATACTTGGTCCAAGAAAGCAGCAAATTCCGATGACTCTGAAGCCAACGCCGATCGCAACAACAACAGCAACAACAAGAAGAAGAAGAACAGGAAGAAGAAGAAGAAGAAGACGAAGGACAGGATGCCTTAGGATGCCACGAAGCGCAGTGATCCCATTGAGCCCGATTAACAATGGGTGATCAAGTGAACCAGTTTTGACGGGCCTGACAAGTTCGCTCTCCTCTTCTTTTACCCATCAGCTTTACCTTTACAGCATGGACTCGCCGTATTCCAATGACAGCGCAAGGGAATTCGTTGAAACAGGTCAGCTCTCCGAACGGACCACATACTCCAAGCGGGAGTCTGCAATACTTGACTGGACCTCCACACTATTCAAAACTTGAGATGGTGTCAGGTTGGGAATATCCCACAGCCGCAAGAAATTCAAAGCTAGATATTCTTTTCTCGCAATGGCCTACGGCCTAACCAACATGTGGAGACTGACCTCGGGACTGCTCTGACATGTGTAAATAAATTCCCTCGAATAGATAAAGAATACAAGTAGCAGGACATGAAAATGTAAACTGGCATTTGGCAAATATTCAGCACCGAAATTTCTTCGGCCTTGCTTTGAATCATTCAAAGCACTTCGGAGAATCAAGGACCATATGGAAAATAGCCATGCGGGTGCAGTGAAAGGGTTCAGGGGAGCGATGGGAGAAACAAAGACCCCTGTTCTCAGCCCAATCCCGCTTGAGCAAGCTCACCTCAACTTGACCCATTCCAGATATTTTTGCGCTCCAGCACTTATTATGGCAGCCATCAACGATACTTGCATTCCCAATTGGGATATTTCAACACCCACATGGAGCCCAAACTCGATATATATCGTTTTGTTTGACCGCGGAGAGAAGGCTTATACATTTCATTGGGCACTCTACCTACACCAGGCAGCGAACTCCGGCTTCAAATACCATCTCGTCAATACAACGAACTCCACGAGCTGGAAATTCGACCCACATGCCATTGAAGATGTTGATAACGATGGGTCTATCCTTGCTGCCCTCGAGATAGGATGCCTTGAGCCGATGATGCACCCGCATCTCCTGCACCGCCTCGAGGAAATTTCAATCTTGGATTCCAAGAGGTTTCGCGAAAGAATTACTTGCCGGGTGTGGCTCAAAGAGGCCATATATGCGTTGGATGATGAAGGCTACATATCACTTAGCAGAACTGTGGACGAGATCGAAGAAAGGGCTACGCTCCTCGCGATGCAGAATAAGTCTTTAGGGAGGCGGACGATTGCACAAATCGGAGATGGCGAAGCATAAAATTTCGTTGCACTTTCAAGGTTGAGACCTCAGGATGGAACCAGGGGGACGTATTCTTATGAGCCATATCACGATAGACAACCTTGGAAGAGCACAAATTTTGCCTTAAAAGCGACATCGACGGCGCGGTGTGTGTTGAAGACGAGAAGTCTTGAGCTAGGGATTTTGAACCTTGGAAGACAGCAACTTTGGATGTTCCATGTTTCCTAGCATACACTAAATAGATACAGTATTTAAATGACAGAGACAATATTTTGGACCCAAACTTGAAAATTCATAAGCGCCATGAACACGCAAGATGAAAGTGTGAGATTTCCATCCCCAGAAACCGTAGGCTATAGATATGTCGCGTCAACCCTTTCCTTTTCACGCTGCAAAAATTCCTCGAAAGTTCCCAGCGGCAAGTTCCATTTCTTGACCTCCTCCAGATCCACCAATGAGGCCATACCGCGTGCCATGTGCTGGCCAGCAATGAAAGGGTTGGTTGCCCTCTGCGAATTGACCTCCTCCTCGGATAAGTATACAACCTTCAACTTCCTTCCAGTCGCACGAGATATAGATTGCATCAGATCCTCAACTCCCAAAAATTGCGATGCGATTGGAATTCCCTGTTGATTGAACCGAACAGGATCGAGTACAGCGGCTGTAGCAAATGTTCCAATGTCGTGGGGATCCACCATTGGCAGTACAGTATCGGGGGTGTAAGCAGTGGTGAATACTCCAGTTTCGGTGAAGCCTTGATACATCCTTGCCATCGGGGACAAGAAGTTGGTCATGAAGTGAGCCGGACGCAAAATGGTCCAATGCTCAAATCCTGCAGTGCGGATTTCATTTTCGATGGCTTGCTTGTTGAGCATCATGGTGCTGATGATGCTGTTCGGATCCCAGTCTTTGAGGCGTCGAGGGTCGTCGGCGGATGTGGCGCTGGCATAGATGACTTGCTTGATGCCGGCGTCTTTGGCAATTTTGAGAATTCGACGTGCTTGCTCCAGACTTGCGTTGAGATCCGTTAATTTGGGCATGAGGTTGAGGAATAGGCTGGTGCAGTTGGCCATGGGCTTTCGGAAGGATTCATCGTCGTCGAAATCACCTTTTGTGATAAAAACACCGAGGTCTTTGAGACGTTGAGCGGCTTCAGAATCAGGGGTTCGTGTTACGGCATGGATGTTTGCGTTGCTCTTGACGAGATGGTCAATGAGAGCTCCTCCTTGGGTACCGGTGGCACCGCAGACGAAGACATTCAAAGAAGACATGTTTGGGAGGACTTTTGGAATGGAAGAATGTGTTTAATGTTGGATGCTTGCTGTTGAGCTGAGACTGCAGCCACCCCTTCATATATCGCAGTCTATACAAATCCAGCGGGAGTATAAACTCGTTGGGTGGACATGGCGGAACTCCACCGACCGCGCCGCAAAAGGGCCCGCGCTGATTGGTGCGCCAAAGCCTCATCCCACTAGCGTGCGGAATTCCGCCCCAAGACCCACGCGATTGACACCTTCCTTTTCTCTTTTTCCACCTTTGCCTTCTTTGCTTGATCTGTGACGACGATAATTGCCAAAAATGCCTCACTATGCCGGCCAAATGCCAGGCCCTTCGAGGCGTAAGTCATGTGAAGCATGCAAGTCGGCCAAGCGACGTTGCGACTTGGCGTTTCCAACTTGCTCGAGATGTATCCACAAGGGCCTTCCGTGTTTTTATCCGGGAAGACTACCGGAGACTTGCGCCGATGCCATTGCAGATATTCCTACATCTGCATCTGGCGAGTGGGCACATACTTACACCCAAGAAAATATTTCTTATAATACGCCGCCAATGGTCGACCAACAGACCCTTCACCCTTCTATGATCGAATCGCCATTTCGATCCCTTGCTATAATTCCTCCACATGAGCGAATCGATCTTTTCGAAGGCATTTCAATATCATTCAATTCTGATTCAGCGATGACAAGGATTAATCCCCCGAAGCGGCTGTCGGAAGTTCTAGCAAATCGTCTACAGTTCGCAGTCGATGTGCTTCAAGATATCCCCAGAATGGTGGTAACGGAGAACCAAACACCTTGGTCTCATCGTCAGCTCTACAAAAGTGGAATGTCCAAAGATATGCAAGGTTTGATATTTCTATCGGAATGATAACAACAAGCAGTTGGATTAACTTGACTCAAGATGCATTCGCTTGTTGCTCCCTCTATATGGCGCGAAACGAGATCAACTCGCCTGTGCTCATGTCCATATTCGATGCCCGCATCAATGAGCTTATTGCCGCAGCACCACCCACAACACCCTTGGAGCTTTTGGCACGAATCCACGCCCTCATCCTATATCTTATAATGCGCCTGTTTGACGGTGGCATCCAGACCCAGCCATCCTCAGAATCGCTGTTGGCTCTCTTAGAGACATCAGTTCTCTCCTTGTTCGATTACATTTATATCCCGGATCCCTCCCAGCCTTGTGACATACTACCCGTCTCCATGGAGCCCGTAATGAGCTTTTGGGACTCTTGGGTATTTCAAGAATCTGCGCGACGTACGGTGATGATGGTCTTTTATTTTGTGAAGATTCAGCACTTTTTACACGGGAAGCCCCTTTCCACCTGCGACGGAAAACTGGGATTGGAACATGCATGGTACCAGTCCGCGCATTTATGGAATGCACAAAGTGCTTTCGACTTCGCAGTGGCCTGGACGGAGAACCAACACTTCATCGTCTATAACGCAGACTTCACTGGAGTTCTTCAAAATGCAAGACCTGATGATGTGGACTTGTTTGGGAAAATGCTTCTCGTCACCAAAATCGGTATCGATGAGACTAAAGCTTGGTTCTATTCAAGAGGAGGTGCTTTGTAATGGGAAAAATGCAATGGAAGTCGTCCGTTGTTCCAGGGCGATTTTCTCGGATCTCCATCACATGCCGACGGGGGTCGTGGGGCCCAATTGAATGTGCCCCGGGAATTACCGTTCGGGCGGTAACCACCCGCCCGTGCCACGGCCCGTTAACGGCTAATCCACCGGCTACCCCGTCCACCTGTGAAGCCCGTGCCGGAGTTGGAGAAAACCAATGGTCAATGTCCAGATTTACCTAAATATGATGAGTTCACAGTAACGTTCTTCATCTTGACTTCACTGCGGCGAATTGCGCGTCCAAGTCTAATATTATCAACGTTACACTCATTGGCTTCGAATCCTTCACGGTGATCTGACCGGCTCTATTACCTGCCACATTCTTTGTCCTTTTCGTTCCTGGGACTGTTATTGAGGGGGCTTAATGACATGGCTTCACCAACTCTTGCCGACAATGTAGCAAGCCAAACGCCCGAATCACGCCCCAATCTGGTGATCTTCATGCCCGACCAGCTCCGATACGACTCGGTCGGCTGCTTTGGAAACCCCCATGTCAAGACACCCAATATCGACGCCTTTGCGGCTCGGGGAACCAAATTCACCAACTGCTATCTGCAAGCCACTGTCTGCTCACAGAGTCGCTGCTCTTTGTATACTGGACAATATCCACATGTATCAGGGCATCGGAGCTTGGAAAATCTGATCAAGCCATGGGAGCCAAACATGTTCCGGGCTTTGAAGGAAAGCGGCTACCATGTTGCATGCTTAGCGCCTCGAGGGGACACTTTTGCCCCAACAGTCACCGAGCTCAGTGTCACGGAGTACGGCTTCCTGGTACCACCAGAGTGGATGCCTCAATTCGGGAAGGGGGAGCAAAGGAGCCATCCGAGGATATTTGGGATCGCTTATTCTACAAGGGACTCCGAAGCCAGGACAAAACAATTGATTATGACGAGGCTGCTGTGCGGTCCGCGATCAAGTGGTTAGAGAATCCACCTAAAGGCCCATGGGTGCTGTATCTTCCCTTGATCTTCCCTCATTGTCCGTTCCAAGTCGAAGAGGAATACTTCTCCATGTACGATCGCAAAAATATGCCAGTACCGTCCAAGCCAGATCAAAAAACAGGATATGAGCCGCGATATTTTGCGGAAAATCGCAAGCGCTATGGCACAGAACGGGCGACGGATGAAATCTGGGCTGAAATTACCGCGACCTATTATGGCATGATCTCTCGCCTTGACACACAATTTGGCCAAGTTCTGGCAGCATTGGAAAACACAGGACTGGCCTCCAATACAGTGACAGCTTTCTATACCGACCATGGCGAGTACCTCGGAGACCACGGCATGATCGAGAAATGGCCCAGCGGGGTGTCCGAGGTTCTTGCGCGCGAACCTTTGATCATAGGAGGAGCCGGGCTACCGAGTGGTAAAACCAACGAAGACATTTGTGAAATGGTTGATCTCCTGCCGACTGTTTTCGAACTCTGCAAAGTCCCAGAAGTCTTCCCACACAACGGCATATCACTACTTCCAACCATACTGAGTGACAAAAACCACCCTAAAAAGTACGCATATACCGAAGGAGGGTTCCTCAAATCGGAAGAGCCCCTCCTCGAACAGGCTCCTTATCCATATGATATCAAATCTGTGCTGCAGCATCAAGATACCGAACTTGTCGGTAAGGCGGTTTCGATGAGAAGCAGCGAGTGGACCTATGTCTATCGGCTGTACGAAGCGCCCGAGCTATACAACAGGAAGTCCGATATTGCAGAGCTGCACAACTTGGCTGCAGATCCGGGCTTTGAACATATCGTTCGGGAAATGCAAGGAGAGATGTTTCGCTGGATGATAGAGTCATCAGACTTCCTTCCTTTCCATAAGGATGCTCGGTTCCCGACAGTCAGTCTTGAAAGCCCGCAGGACCAGTATAATAAGCGAGTTGGGGCAACTTGAATATACATGTCATTAATTATTGCTCACTATAGCACTGGTCAATATCCTGATATTCGAAGTCAATGAAAGAATCTTCAAATCCACTGAACGTGTTGCCCAAGGAACTGAATAAATTTTCATTCTCGAATCCAGTATACCAAGAAGGTTCGACAAATCCAGGATTCCCCAGAGGTTCCTCCGATATAGGTCTCTTGTTACTATCATTTGCTGCCGTCTCTGGTGCCAAATCACAGTTGAGAGATGGAGTAGCAGCGGGGCTTGCAGGATAATCCTGGAGCACTTCCTCTCCCGTTTCAATGTCGCTTTGACGAATGCGCGCTAGGATATCAAGCACATTGGCATCATGTGTCTGTTCTGTCTCCAATGCTTGCGTCATCAAATCAGAACCTGAAGCTCTTTGAACTGCGAGACCAATCATTTTTTGAATCTGGTGATACTGCGATTTCCAAAGTCAGCACAATTTGTGATTACACAACGAATGTTGGCTGGTAAACTTGGTCATGGTATCACTCACCAGTTGGCCAATAGAATTCTTCACGGCAATTATAGGTATCATTATCTTTGCGGCATCTTTGAGCTGAAACAAAACCTCCAATGCTGTAGAAAAGGATCCGAGAAGTCCGAGATCAAAAGCTCGGATGATGATTCTCGCGCACTGATAAAGACAAACATTGATGCCAGGGTCTTGCGGTGTTCCGTCGCCAACGCTCTGGGCCATCCGAAACAGATCAACAAGAGCTCTTGCGTGTTTGATCACTTCTGCTTGGCAATAAGCTATGTACTCGGGCGAAGTCTTCTTGAAAGCTTCCTCGGATAATGAGTCCCGCAGCCCTGGAATCATGAATCTGTATAAGTCACAATAGCACTGATGCCACATGGAATGTAGCATCAGATATCGTCGCATGTGTGGAGAGTATGCGCGGAAGCTCATATTTCGCTGAGTTAGCTGCATTGATTCGGGCTGTGAGTTTCTCAAATTCATTAATTCTTGTTCCAGCCGAAGAAGCTCAGCACGAGAGTCATGTGCCGCAGTACCTTCTGAGATGACCGTTCTCGTATATCTGACAAGGATCAGAATCTGGAAAGCGTATTTTTGGAGATTGACATACTGGAGAATTTCATGTCGAATGCTTGAGAGTCTGCAAAAACATGCTCTGGTCCCCATGCTCGAGGTTTCTTCATCAACGCCTTTTGGGAATAGAGTACCCGTTCTACCGTAGATTCCTAGCTCGAAATCTCTCTCACAGGACGGAAGTTGAATATGCATCAAATCTTTGCGGCATGATATCAAGTCCAACTGCCCACCGGCAAGCCGTCTCTCTAAGATGAAGATAGACCACATGACACGACGGCGCATTTCGCGACCCGTGACGGACAACTTGTTATTTTCATGGTTGAGCCGAAGCAAGAATGCCATTTTTGCGGCGATTCCCAGTAACGGCTGTAAAGTTTGGAAACGCGACAAGGCAAAATTTTGGGAAATCACCACCACCAGAACTTGAAGTACTGTCATGGATGGCCGTCCAATACTTGACCAGATGTAAGTCTCGGCCTCAGACCGCCATGTTTCTCTTCTTGTGTGTGTGGCTGACTCCGAGGACACAAATTCCGCCGACGCACTGCAAATCGCTTTCAGCAAAGCTGGAGCTACCCTTTCACTCGTCCAGGCGCGGAGAAAGATAGCGCGGTGGATGAATCCATTCTCACAAAGAGGTGATATGTGCTCAAAGTAAGCGTCGATATAGAGTCGGATGAGGCTCTTCTCTAACCCAAGCTCTCGACACGTGTCAAAGCCCCTTTCATCGCGTCCTGGCTCCTTGTGGCAACCGGTGCTGATAATTTGGATTGACTCTGATCCCAAGTGCTCGAGAAGAGGTGGTGGATCTGTGCTTTTGGAGGATTCTAAAGGCGATGGTAATGTGTTTCTTTGTTGGGTTTTATTTGGTGAAACCGCTCTCCGTCTCTTTCGCGTTTTCGGTGGCGGCTTAGGCAATGCATACTCGCATATGATGCCCTTTTTACAACATCGATGACAGGCCGGAAATGAGCCAGAGCACTTTGCCTTGAGCAAGTGACAAGGCTTGCAAGCTTGTCTGATGCGTTGACGTTGGGTCCCGCTTTGCGTCAAGTGGGCCTCTGCACTCGGCACAAGACTCATCGGCTCCATTCTTCGATATCTTTGGACTTGTGATGCCGTGGACTCCAAAATATCGGCTAGCAGGCAGTGGCAACGGTTAAGTTGACGAGTTTCAAGCGACCGGGCCGTTGCTGCGAATATCTAAATGGCGTGCTCGGCCACCTGAATTGCGACCTTTCCCTTTGCGACGGCTAGCAAACCACCCGCCACCGGCTACACCAACAAAGTACGACTAGCTCCCGCCGATATACCCAAAAGGAGAAGGATTGTTCCTAGTGATGGCAAGGACAAGATGGGTCGGGTTGAATATTGCGAATATGCCTTCCGAGATTCGACACGCCGGCCAGGCCATTCCATCGTTACTTGACTGCTTCCATAAGACTTCGATGTTGATCATATAGCCACCGTCGGTACTTGAATTTCTTTCATTCCAAGGTTGATAGTGACTGTCTAGCCACTGGAGAGCTGTTCTACATATCACGCGAGCAACATGACAGGCTTCCATGATGTGAAGAAGTATTTCAATCGGAAACTAGCACTTTCGTGCAGTTTGATCGCCCTGTCGAGCTTCAACTATGCTTTCGATAACCAGGGGTTTGCTCAGACGCAGGCCATGGATGCCTTCTCAAGAAGGTTTGGTGTCTACGACGACAAGACCAAAACATGGTCGCTTGACACTCAATGGAAATCATACTTTAACGGACTTCCGTATATAACATTTGCCTGTGGTATGTTGCGAGTCATCTGGAACTATACGAGTTAACTTCATCTCTGACAGAGGATCAGGTGTGGTTATTGGCAGTGTTATCAGCTCACGCTTCGGTCGCCGCTGGTGCATGTTTGCCATGAGTATCTATGCTTTGGCAACTGCTACCATCACAACAACCTCTCATTCCAACGACCAGATACTCGCTGCCAGGATTCTGAACTGTGAGTCTGCTCTCAAGACCTGGAAGAATATCTCCTCACATACCCAGATGTATATATTGGAATGGAGCTCTCCGTCGTCCCAGTCTTCCAGTCTGAGATTGCTCCAACCCAAATCCGTGGTTTCGTCGTAGGCAGCTACCAGTTAAGCATCGTGGTGAGTACCACCCTGAAAACCTTGAAAACAACCAAATTGAAAACGTCCATTTGCTGACGATACTTTGTTTTAGTTTGGAGGCATGGTGATTGGCTGGGTGTCCAATGGAACAAGCAAAATACAAGATGATCGTGCCTGGAGGATACCCCTGGGACTCTTCTTTATCATTCCGACTATCATATCATCTCTTATATGGTTCATCCCTGAGGTAAGCAAACGCTCAAATCAAACTCCCTTGACTGCTTCCATATCTTAATACTTACCTCACGCAGTCACCGCGATGGCTTCTTATGCAAGGCCGTGAGAATGATGCCCGCGTCAACCTACACAAATTACGAGAAGGGGCTTTCACAACAGACGAGATCGAACAAGAATTCGAATCAATCCAAAATGGCTTGAAGAATGAGCCTGTGCAGGGTAGATTCAAAGAATTGTTCTCATCGTCGAACAGAAAGCGGACAGCCATTGTTCTTGGACTGAACTTTTTCCAACAAGCCACGGGCCAGGCGTTCGCATCGCAATACGGCACTCTGTATGTGAAATCACTGCACACAATCAACGCTTTCAATTATCACGTCATAAATGGATTCATTGGACTTTGTGTTATCTCGGTCTGTCTATATCTCAACGACAGAGTCGGAAGGAGGTGAGCAAATTCTTTTGATCTGATGCAAAAAAGAGAAAGTCATTAACACCCTTAGGCCTCTGCTTCTGACGGGTGCCATAGTCCAATCAGTTGCTCTCCTCGTCATGGGAGGACTCGGGGTCCACACACCATCCTATTCCGAGAAATCGGCAGTTGCCGCAATGCTGTCGCTCTTCACTGTGGGCTTCAACATTGGGTGGGCTGCATTAACATATGTTGTGACGACCGAGATTCCAACACTCCGTCTGCGCGATAACTCACAGCGAATTGCGTCCGTTATGAATGTTCTTACATTGTAAGTTGGGCTCGGATTGGTTGATTGAGGCGCGCCGCTAACAGACTCGCAGCTTCGCGGTTTCCTTCACTTTACCATACCTTATGGACGCTGATTATGCAAACCTTCAGTCCAAAGTTGGATTCATCTATGGGAGCTTCGCGATTGCCTCAATCGTGTTTGTCTACATTTGCGTTCCAGAATGTCAAGGGAGATCGTTTGAGGAGATTGATCAGTTATTCCGGATGAACATCCCTCTTCGTAAATTCCACAAACACGAACTACCAGATGGAGTCACTGAGATTGACGTAAATGGCATTTCGAAGGCTTGAAACCTTTCGTTTGATATCTGGATCAGGAACGAGACTTTCTACTAGCACCTGCATACCATGTACCTATCACCACGAACAAGAAAGTCGTATTTTCCCACTGGTTTGATGTAATAATAATAATATCAGCACTACCTCTCCATTGCCACTTCGGTCAATTTTTTGACCGCCCTCTCCCATCGATCCCACGCTAGACTAAAACTGAGCGTATCCCTCCACAGATCTTCGGGATCGCTCCCAGGTGGTGGTACTCTGTCATTTCCAATTTTGCCATTTAATTTGCCTTTGACAAAGCGCATATGCCAGGGGATCACCCCAACATTTTCAAATCCCATTCGCTCGGCAAGTCGAGCACTTGCAAGATTTCGCGAACTGGCCATCCAGTGGACTCGCTTTAACCCAATCCCACCATCTTCAGGTGACTCAAAAGCCACCTGGAGAGCAAGCCCAACAGCGTTAGTTGCAACATGGCTGCGTTGGTATGGTGGCAGAATGACAATGAACCCGATCTCGGTGCACAGATCCACCGGAGACGTGCGGATAAAGCTGACAGTTCCTGCTAGCTCGCCTTCCGGATCTTCAGCAGAGGGTGGTCGAGTCTTGTCTATGATAGCGAAAGCAAACGATTGAGGATTGGCGAACGATAATATGTGCGTCGTTGAGTCACTATGAAACCGGGCTTTGAGCTCTGCTGCTGAGCTCGGTGGTAGCATTGGCATATGCGCGTATATCTCAGAGTGTGGTGAAGAGAGGCGGAAAAAAGTATCGCAATGCTTGTCAGGGTCGAATGCGACAAGCTTGGTGCGCTCGTTTGACGCCTCGGGAATGGCGAAGGGGAAATTCGAATGATTTGACATTGCGCTTGTGGTTATATCGAATGATTTCGATCTGATTTGTTCGGTTCATCAATTTACCAGGAGTATGCGATGGGGTGTTTGGAGCAAACTGCCGAGGATGGTCTTATTTCTGTGAGTCATTTCGTCCGAAAACCGCAATAAACTTCGATTTCAAATCTGACTCCCTTTGAAAGAGTGAGACTACCGCGTGCCGCGTATGCCGTGCACCGACTATGCCGTGTCTCGCCCTTGCCGTGTCCGCCGCGTGAAGCTGCCGCGAGGCCATCGACCATCACACAACGCGGACAAGCAATACTGAACCCTAATTTAGAGTGATTGAATACCCTCGAAGACCTGAAAATGCAGGTTTCAAAGAGAAACGAATAAAAGGGACAACAAGAAGACGCCGGATACATTGCAAGAAAACAGAAGATGACCCGGGCCCTGAGCTTGAACCTGTTCCCCTCAATTAGCCGTCCCCGTCACATTCACAAAGACCACAGCTTTGAGAGAAAGCACCAGTATCCCACCCTTTATGAGCTAATCCAAACATTTCTGACTGGTTACACGATCGATCACCATGGCTCCTTCTCTTAGCAAGGAAGAAATCTCCCAGCGCATGAGAGATCTTGTCTTTGGTGGTCATCTCGGTCCCGCGCAAGGGAAGGCTATCACCTTCGACATCGTTCGCGAGGATCCTGTGTCCATAATCTTCATTGCCGCACTAATATCATTTACTGAGGTCAATGCCGGGTTAGATCGATACCTGATATCCCTTGCCAAGGACGGAGCCTTGCTATCCACATCACCTGTTTCCTTGAACACGGGAGAAATGGCCAAGCTCCTCTTAGAGTCCGGCTGTGGTAAACTGGTTGAATACGAGAGATTCAAAGACGGATCATTTGGAACCACATATAAAGCAAAAGCACGCGGAAAGAACAAGGATGAGCCAAACGAATATATCGTTCAGTTGCGATACCATGCCAACATCGACAACATGTACCATCTTATCAAATACGTTCGAGAGAAAAGCCCCGGAGGGCTCCCAGTTCCCCAGATGTTCCCAACCCCCACGTCGTCTAGCTCTGTCCTTGGGGTCCAGATCTCTCAGTATGTACCTGGCCATATGGGATCCGCTATGATTGATGGTCTTTCCTTGGAGGGAAAGCGAAGTGTTGTCAAACAAATGGCGCAAGCCTTCGCAGCTCTATGGGAGCTGCCTACTCCCGGGACTGGAAACCTAATCGGAGAAGCAATCGTATCTCCCGAAGGCACCGTCTCGGTGGGCCCGGAAAGACGATACGGACTGGGTGGACCATTTTCTTCGGTGACCTCTTACCTGCAAGCATGGATAAAACACCGCCTCGATAAGCTTCAAGGTCAACAAGCGATTGACGAGTACAAGGACAAATATCTCGATCGAATTATCAGATTCGCTGAAACCACACTCAACCACATCCCCTTCGAGGTCGAGAATGTCCAGCTCGCACTGGTGCATACGGATCTTGGTCTACACAACATGATCTTCTCCGAATCCCCAACACCAATCCTGAAGGGGGCGATCGATTGGGAATTCGTGGACTATGCACCACTCCTGATCGTCGTTCCGACTCTTGTTGAGCCTACCTTCGAGCTATTCGCATCAGAGAGCGGTGATCTTCGACAAGCCTTCTGGGATGAGATACCGCTTTGGAAGCGGGGCTTCGCATCTAAGGGTTCCCGGATTTTCTTGGACTTCTATTCCTTCGGACTATATCTCAAAGCGGACGCTCTCCCAGATCGCAATGCTGACTTGGCCGCGAAGGAGCAGTACTGGAAGAAGAATATAGAATTTGTGGAAGGATTTCTTGGACAATGGGAAAATCTTCAAGTTTCCGTTTGAGGGGAAAACAAAAAGCATGGAGCTAAAAGTGCGTATCCTGGCTCCAGCAATTTCATGATGGTTAATGTGGGAAGTTAAGCAAAGTGTACGTAGAATTTTTGGATGGGTATTTAAACAAAGAAAGGGATTTAGAATTATCAAGACCAGAGATTCCCCCTAGATCCACTGAGACTTCGATACCGAGCTTCGATCTGGGAGCTCAAAGGGACCACACTGGGAGTGGGCGTCTTTGTTATTACCCAACTCAGTGACGGGCTTCTTTTCCGGGGCCAACTCATAGAATGGTCCCCTTTCCGATCCAATCTCGTATCTTTCACGGTCGGGAGCCAGTTCATTCAACTGCTTCCACTCGCTCACAGAAAGTTCTGCCAGCTCCCCTTCGTTCGTCTTCGTCGAGCTATCATCCACCATCTTATACATATCCTCATGGGACTGGGAGCTCGTTTGTTTCCGCCGGTGACGAATGCAGAATGTAATGATGATTGCAAGAACCAATGCGCCGCCGACGGCGCTCCCAACAATGATTCCAATTTTCGCTCCGGTGGAGAGCCCCGTGTCGGATGTGGAGTTATCATTCGATGCATCAGTTCCACTTGTTTTCTCAGTCGAGGTTTCTGGCAATGGAACCCATTGGCCTTTCCAGGTATCTTCCCAACTACTAGCTGAGCCGGAGACAGAGGGGTTTTTCTCGTCCATGGTAGCTGTGTTGACGATGAATGATGCGTCTGGTCCTGGGGCTTGAGCCAAGTACCACTTCCCCGCATGTAGCCAGTTGACACCGACAAAGGCCGCTTGAAGAAATGCTCGACCTAGTACAGGTGTGCTGTTGGTGGGCATGCAAGGGAAGTATTGCGTTGGTGTTTCGACAAGCGGCGCTTCCAATGTAAGATTCAGGAGGGCGAAAGGAACTTTGATGGTGATATCTGCATTGTTCAGACTGTTCTTGCTGAATCTGAAGGCTAGGTAGCTTGGTGAGGTCAAAATTTTGTTGTACTGAGGATCGGACGTGTCCCAGAAATAAAGGCCATAGTCGGGTTGGTACGTGACAGGTAGCTCGGCAGCTAGGGCGTCACATGAGCTTTGAGGGAGATAAATATAAGGATTCGTCGGGTCCACAATGACTGTCAGGCCGGATGACAAGGAGGAATTTCCTTGGGCCAAAAGTTCGGATTTGTTGGAATAACTCCAGGCCGATCCTCCTTCTGCAACCCCGAGGCTTATATCAAAAAGCTGGATCGGAAAACTTCCACTGTTGAACGACTGAGAAGAAACTTCTCCGATCACCCTGCTCTGGTCGTATCCGCCCAGGTGAAGCGATCCCGGAATTCCCAGCGACGCGGAGCCAATGTGCATACCGTAAGAATAAGACGGAATGGTATTGACGCCTCCTTGGTCGTAAAGATAACTGTTGACAAATGTCGTATTGATCTTGATCGTGGACCCAAAGGTCTGGTTCAATTCCGGACTTCCAAGGGAAAGTGTACCAACTTCAAGCGGATAAGCCTGGCCATTTGGATATGTTTGCCACCCAGCACGTATGAGAATCAGATCAACCTCGGGAATCGGAGTGCCTTGTATATTGATCCAATCTGTCGCTCGTCTTGCCCTGGCGTATATTGGAACAGCGTTGGTATATCCCCATTCCAGATCATCCCATGTTCCGTAGGGAGGTAATTGGATCGAGGTGTTATCCAGGGTCATGGACTTGTCGCTATTGAAGAGCCCGGCTTGCTCTGCGTAGCAAATCGGGGATAAAGTTTGATTGTCGCACAAGGATGAGAGTAAGATCTTACTTTCCCAACTTCCGCCAGGATATAGTGCGACTTCCGATGTTGGTTGCATGAGATCAGAGGAGTTGCTTCCCACAATGACGTTGACTGCTTGCCAGGGACCATCTGGACCGAAGGACTTGGTCGACCAAGTCATTTGTCGAGGACCCGTACATACTGATGTTTGGACGTATAGGGTGAAGATCGCGAAAGCGTAGCGAAAGTGCTTCATTCCTGACATTCAGTACCGTGAAGCGAAAGTAAGAAGTGAGGGAAATGATGGCGATGGCCTCAGTCATAATTCCACATATTGGACAGCAATACTTGCCCACTCCGTTTCCCCTCTGAAACTCTCGGGGATTTGTACAGCGTCTATTGCTGTTTCGACGGCTGTGATAGACCAGAAGCGAATGTCTCCACATGACTGTCCACTCATATGAAGCTGGTGGAGTTTTGACGCCCAATCACTAATCTCCATCTGGTACTAGTGCGGGTCGGATCGTGCATGGCAAGCGGTTAGCCACCAAATCAACGACTTCAGGCCTCTCATAGGTCGGGCGCTAGCGAACCCGACTGCCAATTTCCATCGTCTCCGTTCTCCTTATAAACTCCCCCTCTCGCATGGTCCACATCCCTGAAGTCCAGAATCAAATGTCGCGGTGCAAATGTGACTGACTTAAACAAACGGGAATCTGTCGAGTGACCTGCAAACGACGATGTTGAGTATGGTCACGTTATCCCCCAGACTCCTCCGTGTCATCTTCGTGCTTCTTTCCTTTTTCTTGGGATATGTGACTTTGTCGCAGCTTCCACATACCTCAAATTTCTTGAGTCATGCCAGTCCGGCATTAGATCTCCTGCACGGGGCGCAAGTCGACTGGTCGCGATTTGCATACACCCAATATGCCACCGACAGATCTTATTTGTGCAACTCGTTGATGATCTTCGAGGCCCTACATCGCCTTGGGAGTAAACCCGATCGTGTGCTGTTGTATTCGTCTGAATTCAATCTGTCTGAGGATGATGACTCGAAAGAAAGTCACATGCTTCGCTTCGCGCGTGATAACTACGGAGTCAAGCTCAAACCCATTCAAGTTCAGCTTCGAGGAGGAGACGGTGGTAGGTCTCATCCCGTCGAGCATTTTTTGGAGCGCATTGGCTAACGGTATTCACAGCGCCATGGGCAAAAAGTTACACCAAGCTTCTCGCCTTCAACCAGACGGAATATGACCGTGTCTTGAATTTGGATTCAGATGCAACACTCTTCCAAGTATGTCCTTGGTATTGAAGAATCCCAGTCGGTTGCATAAGTACTGACACCGATCTAGTCCATGGATGAGTTATTCTTGATGCCATCGAGTCCTATCGCCATGCCACGGGCGTACTGGAAAGATGCAAGCGAGAATCTCTTCACATCTGCATTGATTCTGACCGAACCTTCCGCAGTTGATTTCAACCAAATGATGGAGGCAATCTTTGAAGCCAATTACAGCACAACGTTTGATATGGAGATTTTGAATAATCTGTACGGACCAACTGCTCTCACCATCCCACATCGACCTTATATCCTTTTGAGTGGCGAGTTACGATCAGATAACCACGCTGCGTACCTTGGAAATACCCAAGAAATATGGAACTCCAATGCCATTCTTCAAGAGGCCAAATATGTGCACTTTTCGGACTGGCCGGTCCCGAAGGTAGGTTGAAGCGCCGGAATATCATGCATGCTCTGTCGCTTGCAATACTAATGTGGTTTTGTAGCCTTGGTTTGAAGGTCGCAAATATGTCATCGAGGAAGCACAGCCTCGTTGTGCATTCGATTTATCGACTGGGCGGCAAGATGATTGCCGCACACAAAAGCTTTGGCTGGGGCTATATGACGACTTCAGACTGAGACGAAAGGTAGTGAATGGGCTAAACCCAAGTTTTCTCGTCAAATGACTGACCAAGCATGACTAGGACATATGCGGCACCGCTATTAAAGATCAAAGATACGGGTCGCTTCCCTAAGCACCAAATGGCATCGGTGCGGCAGAGTTTTCCATGCGTTGACAATAGTTCCTTTGAGCTATTGACGAACGCCAAGCTCAATTTTTGATAGACTCCAATATTTAAATTTTGCGATAGACAACAGCGCACGTGTGACTCTCTCCGGCACACATCAGTCCATTCATACTCGACTCTTCGTGATTGAAGACAGGGAGCGCACATATGGAGTACAACCAAAAATCGCGAGCCGAGAGTATTCTACTCCGTAGGCGTTCTCATATCAAAGCTACACTTGGCAAGGTGAGTTCCCGGTACCCAATTACTACTCTTTATACGATTCACCGAAGACTGAACCACGAGAGAGCCATGATAGGATCCAATACGCCGTGAATGAAAAACAAGAATTCATCGGAGCGACGGTTTGGGATTGCCTGCCAGCCGGAGCAAAGGTCAAGTGGTTCAACAGAAAGCAACGATGGAAGAGACACACGGTGATTGAGTCGACAACGATGATGATCTCTTGGGCAAATCATACACCCAAACAGGACCTCGGGATATCCACGACGAGAATGCAAATGCATACTAGTAAAAACTGGCTCAAAAACTTTGATAGAACTCTCAGAAGCAACTATGCTACCTTTCACAGAGTGCACTTATACACACTCAAGGCATTGTTCTAGTTGTACCCTGATTACCATGCCCGCGACTCCAAATAAACTGACCGAGTAACGTGATCAGCACTACGAGGGCTAGGGCTGCCAGGAATACAGCTAGGAAAATCAAGACAGCAATGCTGAAGACCCAGCTGGTCCATGAAAATGTATCCCATTCATTCTGTGGGTTAGTCTCAACAGCAAGTGCAACCTGCATCGAGGATAAAATGACCGAAAGAGAACCAAATATGAAGATGAAGGGAGCGATCGAGGCCTGAACAAAAGCACCTGTATCCCAGTACAACTGCTGATAGTAAAGACGACCGAGGGTGCCGTGATAGCGGCGAACAGAAGGTTGGAAGAATCGGATAGCCCAATTAAGCCGCGAGAGGCGAATTTGACCGTAGTGGTAGCGTTGGGACACTTCATCGTCTCCTTTATCGCGAAACGGTCGTGTAAGCAGTTGAAAATCCGCAAAGGATATTCGGTCTTTTGAGATGAGGTTCTTTTCTTGCGCTATCCGGAAGTCACTTTCGTGGCGGACGAGACGAGTATACGAACGGATGAAGCCTGTGGCATCATGACGAGCACATTTGACAGAGTCCTTTTGGCTGGTTTCGGTATTCTTTGGGATATATTTGTTCCGAAATTCTTCATCAAGTAGCCAGAGTGGGAGAGGCTTCATCCAAATGACTTTCTTGTGCCAGATCAGGTGCAGCTCTGGGTCTTCTGTTATGACCACCTCTCTGCTCTTGACGAAGTTGTTGTGTAGGGCATCTATATGCATGCCTGAACGTTTGGCCACCCAGTGCATATGTGGATAGAGGGAAGTGATGGTCGGACATGTCAGTTCCGTCTGGAGAAATTGTTTGATACTGTCTTGGTCCGTATTTTCTGGGAACGGCCAATTGTCCATAAAAGATTTTGTAGCAGCGGTATTCTCGGGTAATAATGGGGAGGAAGACGACGAGTCTGTTTGAGGCTCCATGGTCATCATATACAGGGAATCGCAAGAGAAGACAGTGAAAAGAAGAAAGAATTTGTCGCCAGGTTAGTCCCGTTGATTTTCTAGGGCGATTGTGACCCGACCCCGGCCCCGCATACGGCAGGCCCCAGCGCCCCGCCGGTATCCCCCTTCGATTTTGACTACATTGGTGCATACGGCCATCTGTAGGAGCTCGCTTTCACCGCCTAGTTTGCCTAACGAACTATATCCTGATATAGCGAGCGTGGCTTCTAGTTGGTGACTCGGACTCTAGGTCTTTTCCTCCTAGCGTAGCGGTCCAGATGTCAGGAACTCCGGTTAGTCGTTCCCGGAACGCGCCACGAAGCCCGATTGTAACAACCTCCCGCTTATTTACAACGATAGAATTATAAATAAAGCACGGGATAAAGTAAATAAGCAGACAGAGAAGTATACCCTGTAGCTCTGGGTTAGTAAATAACCAAGATAATCAATTAGTTCAACGATAAAGGGACATGGGACCCAAATGCTATGGATTCAATAGCAACCTTGGAATATAATTGTGACTTTACATAGTCAAATACCGGAAAGTGGACGATTGCAGATATTTGAAAAAAGCAAAAATGAAAGGCCATACAGGGCACTGGAGTATGTTGTACCCCGCCTTTGCTTTTTCCTCTCAAACATTGCACGTGTGTGCCCGACCATTTCCACTCTCTCCCTTTCTTTCCACAGAAAGATCCCGGCACTAAAGTCAAAACACACCTGGGCAGTTGTCCAACCGGCTTTTGAAATGCGGAAAGTCAAAAGAACATTTCCGCGCTATGAACTTGCCTTCTGGGCCGTCGTTGTGGCGGCCGCGATGCGGTGCAACTTCTACTACATTGTCACTTTGCTCAGCTTCTGTGCAACCCGTATGTACTGGGTGTTGTGGCCGTTGGCACGTGTCCCGGTACTGCCATGGCTGGTTTTGGTCTTCTTATCGATCTGGTGTCTCTTCCTTACCCCGGCTCACGTGGTCACTTTCACTCCTTTGGATCTTTGGACTCCATACTCGATACATACGCCATTGAATCCCATTGAGGTAGTGCATGATCCGGGTAAAAATGCGGTTGTTGAGTATGAAGATGCTAAAGTCTCCTCTGCTTGTCGTGGACTAACAGCCTATAGTGTCTTCGCAATCCATGGGCTTGGATCAAACCCTGACAGTGCATGGACATACAAGGAGAATGCAACAGAGATACGTTGGTTGAAAGATCTTTTGCCAAAGGAGCAGGGAATATCCAATACCAGAGTAGTGATGGTAAATCACCGAACTCATTGGGACGCAAATACTGTCGATGCAAGCTTCGAAGACCACGCGGAAATGATCCTCAACGAGGTCGAGAGTGTCCACAAGGTATGTGCCCACCATCCCAGCAATTTACGAGCGAAGATGTTGAAACATCCAGAGTGACCCGCAACGGCCAATTATCTTCATAGCACATAGCTTTGGCGGGCTGCTTTTGAAGCAGGTATGTTGCCCATTTTAGCCCTTGCTGGGTGCATTTCTAAGCAGAACATAGACTCTCCTTCTTGCAAAGCTGCGTTCCAGTCCGATTGCCGCAATGACAAGAGGTATTCTTTTTCTTGGGGTCCCTCATAGCGGCACTAAAGCAACATTCCTCGCATCTCTTCTGTCTTGTACAACGTATTGGCGCGGCTCTTCTACATCCTTGCTTGAGTATATGGCTCCTGACTCAGAACACATCAAAGATCTCGAGAAGAAGTTCTATAATGTCTATGCTCATCCCCACTCGAGTCAACCCCTTCTGCCGTACATATGCGATTTCCAGGAGATGCGATCGGAGAAAATCGGAAGACTTTCCCTAGCACCGGTACGTTTTCAGAGCTGCAGATCTAGTAACAGCACCTGACTGTGAAGCGAAATCAGACAGTTGACCGAAACTCCGGGAGATCTTCTCATGGAGACGTTGTACAGCTTGACACGGACCATCGGGGGTTGAACAAGTTCAGATCGCCTCAAGACCCGAACTTTCGGCGCTTCTTAAGGCATTTCATCATGGCATTCGAGACTGCAACAAGTGTGGGTAAATGTACAGTATTCAACCATGCAAATCGAAGGGTACCGAGTTGAAATGCTGATTTTACTAGCTCGATTTTCAAAAAAGCTCGGGCACAATCATGGGACCAAGGGGGTCTCTGCTGACCCAGGTGCCGATTTGAAAGAATATGACATCCCTTTCCAGTTGGATTTCTTCAGAAATGACAAATTTACTGGACGAACCGATGTCCTCGATCGCGTACATGAATCCTTGAGTCGTCGTCACGAAGACCACCGTCAGCCGAATTTTGTTGTTCTCCAGGGAATGGGGGGAGTAGGTAAGACTGAGCTGGCTGTCGAGTATGCGCATTTGCATCAGGAAAGCTATAGCTCTGTTTTTTGGGTTGATTGCTCAACAGAGAACTCAGTGCACCTCAGCTTTGTACGGATCGCAAGTCGAATCTTAAGACATTATGCGGGGAAGACAGCCGAACCGGCGACTCACAACGCTTTCGCTGCAAGGCTCGGGTTGAAGGGGCTGGTCGATGAGAAAGGCTTCAGTTCAACCCTGGACGAACATGCCCTAGACGTTGTGGAAGCAATGAGAAACTGGTTTGCAGAAAGTCTCAACAGAGAATGGCTACTTATTTTTGACAACCTTGACGATCTGGACGCGTTCAATATCATGGACTATGTTCCAAGAGCCGCGTGGGGTAGCATTCTGATAACCAGTCGCCGACGAGAATTCTTAAGCTACGGAACCGCCATCGAAATTTCGGAAATGAGCCCCGAGGAAGGCTTGAAATTCCTAACGAGCATCGCAAGGTTCGGTCGGGATCTCAACCCTGATGGTACGTCCTTCGACGACTCCGTTTAATGCACTGGAACTGACACTATTTAGAGCAACAACTAGCGTTAAAGCTATTGCAGTCACTTGGATACTTCCCTCTAGCCATTGAACAAGCTGGGGCATATATTTCGCAACGCATTTCTGACGACCCTGAGTCCTACTCACACGCTCTGGCAAATTACCTCGACTCATATGAAAGAAATGCCAAGATGCTCCTACGATATAGGCGGTTCTCTGGGGTCTGGAGCAACCGGAATGATTCCGCGTTGACAACATGGGAGGTTTCGTTCAATGCGATCAAACAAGAGAGCTCAGAGGCATCCGATCTACTTCAACTGTGTGGATTTCTTGCCAACAGTGACATTTTTGAAGAAATGTTCCGTCTTGGCCTCCAACTGCCTGCCAATGGTGAGTTCAAGTGACCAGCTGAAAGATCCCGTGGCCTGACTTCTCTTCCCCTAAGATACAACCTTCCAGGAATCAGTCTCCAAGCTATCGTCATATTCATTAGTAACCTTCAGAAGTGCACATGACGCGTTCTCCATTCATCCTCTGGTCCAGCTTTGGGTTCGAGAGCGTGTGACATTGGACGTTCAGCAGCGGTTAGCAAACGACGCTTTCCAACTGGTTGCTCGCAGCCTACGTCTCAAAAATGAAGAGAAATCTAGGGACTACACGGCATTTGAAAGGCGCATCATTCCCCATCTTGATAATGTTGTGGACAACATGCGAAGATTCCTGAGCTCCTTCACAACAGAAGTAAGCATCCGACCGCCTTCAAATCCCATCCGGCAAAGCCCACTGTCTCTTTTCTATGATACTATTGAAGGGTGGTATCTATGGGTCTGGGGAGCTATGACCGATATCTCAATTTTCGGTCATGGCTTTTTCCTTTCAGATATTGAGTCTTCAAGTGAGAAATGGCAGCTGGCGTACAAGCTTGGATCTACATACCGAAATCAGTTCCTCCACCAAAGCTCAGAGAGAGTCTACGGATGGGCATTCACCGAGGCCCGCAAACAGTTACACCAAAAACATCCAAAAACCCTGGAGATTGCAGGCGATTTGGCTTGGTCAATACATTTGCAGGGGCGATACCATGAGGCTTGGGACTGGTACAGCTGGCTTCTTGCTTCCCGAAAGAAAGTCCTCGGCAAAGACCATCCTTCAACACTTGGTGCTACCAAAGGTCTAGGCTCTGTATCAGAACACACAGGAAATTCCGAACAGGCCCTTCAGTTGTTTTTCGAAGCTTTTGCTGGGCGTCAGAAGAGGCTGGGGCGAAATGACATCTTGACGATACATGTCATGCAAGATATTGCAGGGGTCTTTCGATCTCGAGGAAACTACAGCGAGGCTTTGAGATGGTATGAGCAAATCCTTTCTGGGCAACAAGAGACGCTTGGTGCCACGCATACGGATACGCTCAAGACAATTCACAACATTGGCGTCGTTTCTTGGTACCAAGGGAAAAGCAAGGAGGCGTTGAGATGGCATGAGCAAGGCCTTTCTGGAGAACAACAAACACTTGGAGAGAAACACGCAGACACACTGGACACTATTCACAAGATTGGCCGCATCCTGCTTCACCAAGAGGCATACACGGAAGCGTTGATATGGTATAAACGAGCCCTTCCAGGGGAGCAAGAAATTCTCGGCGACAAGCACCAGACCACACTAGAGACAATTTACAATATTGCAGTTGTCTTTGAGGTGCAAGAAAACTACGAGGAAGCATTGGTGTGGTATAAACGGGCCCTTGCTGGAGAACAAGAAATGTTTGGGGAGACAAATTATTATACGCTCCAGACAGTTTCCAAAATTGCCGTCGTGCTTGGGAATCAAGGAAAGTATGAGGAAGCAATGGAATGGCATGAGCGAGCCCTTGCCGGACAACAGCAAACGCTTGGAGAAAAACATGAAGATACGCTGGACACTATTCACGACATTGGCCGCATCTTTCATGATCAAAGAAAGTACAAGGAGGCACTAAAATGGTATAGACGAGCCCTCGCTGGACAAAACCAAACGGTTGGAGAGAAGCACCAAGACACGCTATTGACAATTTACAACATCGGTCGGGTCTTCCATGACCAACGAGAGTATGAGGAGGCATTGAGATGGTATGAGCGATGCCTTTCCGGGGAACAGGAGACGCTTGGAGAGATACACGAGTTTACATTGATCACAATTCACGAGATTGGCGCCGTCTTTCAGGGCCAAGGACAGTACGAAGAGGCATTGAGGTGGTATGAGCGAGCACTTGCTGGGCGACAATTAACACTTGGAGAAAGACATCGAGCCACATATAAGACTCTTCATAGCATTCGCCTCATTCGCCTGGGCGGTGGTGGTGGATCAGATTTACACCAGATTTAATTTAGATAGGCTGAATTTGTCATTTGAGCAAAGCTGGCCCTCCATGAATGGGCCGACACAATCGGGGTATGTGTCCTGCCCAGGTGGGCAGCATTGCTTATATAATTCCCTGTACGTGCCCAGGTGCAGGTGCCCAGGTGATATTTGACTTATTACTCCTAACTCCGTATCAGGGCATTCCATCTCTATCGCTGCACCAAAATGTCGTAAGTGGCCTTTGGCCCCTTCTCATCTCCTGCGGTATTATCATAAGCACATCACCGGCAGAAGGCATGAGGCCCACGGGCCAACCTTGGAAGTAAAATATCTTGACACCCGTGTCAGAAAACGGTTGCTGAAATCGGTCGGACGATAAAGACGCGTTGTCTATAACAAGCACGTATTTCGGCTCTGGACACCCCCAAAGTGCTATACGGAGTAGACGTTGCCCAATCAATGATTCAAGGCGCACTCTTTGGCTTTCATTATTGGAAATACGAGAAATGTTGGTCCTGTATCACCGTCTTAAGCATGCGCTGGAGTGAGTGTCCCAACCAATCTTGGCACTTGGACTTGGGTGACGCCGGAAGAGGAAGCAGATCTTCATGCTGCGATCTTCCACGTACCTAAATGCAAGGCGGTGCTGAATAGCTGCAGATAATTAGACACCTCTCCAATAGATTGATCTCTCTGCAATGTCCACGTAGCTCGCAGATCGCGTGACTCCTGTGTCCCATTTTTCAATTTTGCTTTTCAGCAGCTGGCAAACCTACTCCGTACTTCCCAAATCCCTGTACCTTGTATCTCCTTTATCAATAATCCACATCTCTTGTATAAAGACATGGCTGCGAGAATTTCATCCTCTACGGGTGAAAAACGCGGTACCAAAATACTCGTAACGGGGGTGAGAAATACCCATCGGTTTTACTGCGCGTTTGCGGCCTCTAATTCCACCAATCTGAGAAATAGGCTGCAGGGTTCTTGGGGTCAAACTTGGTTGATTTCCTCCTCAAGAAGGGAAACACCGTGATCGGACTTGATAACCTCCAAAGCGGCTCTGTGCAGACTCAAGACCATTTGCAAGACCATCCACGATATGAATTTTTCAAGTGATTTATTTGATTTTCCATCTATGGCTTCAAATATACTGATCATTATATCAGCCACAACATTCAGAATCGCCTCCCGGATTTATCAAACGTTGAGCAAATCTACAATCTAGCGTGTCCAGCAAGTCCAGTCCATTATCAAAAAGATCCAGTCTCGACTTTGAGCACGTGCTTCATTGGAACTCAGAATCTCCTTGAGTTGGCAAAAGCAAGAAACATTCGAATACTCCACACCAGCACGTCAGGTAAGTCGAGAAAAATAGCGCAACGCCCCCTTCACCCTGTCCAACAACCGTCTGATTAAGATACTCCCACCCGGCAGAAGTATATGGAGATCCTTCCATTCATCCCCAGCCAGAACACTACTGGGGCAATGTGAACTCATTCGGTCCACGGGCCTGCTACGACGAAGGCAAGCGCGTGGCCGAGGCACTCTGTTACGCCTACAAAGAGCAATACGGAGTGGACATTCGCATCGCCCGAATATTCAACACCTACGGTCCGCGCATGGCAGCCAGCGATGGTCGAGTCGTATCTAGCTTTATTGCATCTGCACTTGCTGGTGAAGACTTGAAGATTACCGGCGACGGGAAGTCCACTCGCTCCTTTCAATATGTCACGGACTGTATACAGGGTCTCTACGCTCTTATGGAGAGCGGCTACGATAAAGGTCCGGTGAATATTGGGAACGATGGAGAGTTTACCATTCAGCAGTTGGCTGAGATGACTATCGATGCTGTTGCACAGATGACCGGTCGCTCGAAGGTTTCGATCACCTATCTTCCGCCCCTTGCTGATGACCCGGTTGTTCGGCGGCCGGATATTTCCCTTGCGAGAAAGGCACTTGGGTGGGAGCCGACTGTGAAGTTACAAGATGGATTGCAAAAAACCATTCAGTGGCATATTGACCAACGTGAATCGCACTGAAGCGAGTACATATCGCGTTACATATTGCCTCCCGTTTGATGACACGGGCGATCGGGAGTTGGGCGCCCGAGTACGACCGTTGATGATTATCAGTTTACAAAAGTCAAGCAAAGCCCCGGGGTCTATACTGCAAATTCATGAGATCAAGGCGAAAGATTGCGTATGTTGTACACTGTAACTTTCCGACCCGCCCTCACTCCCGAGGTTCGTCCACGGTCGGAATGACATCGTATCCATGGCAGTCTGGGATTAGGTCGCAGGGGTTTCTCTTATCAATAAGCTCTGTTCATGGATGGAAGTGATGGAGGTGATGAAAGACCGAGCCTATCGCGTTTATGCACAAGTCGACCGTGGGTCCGATAAACATTTCCTCTTTGGGATTAGCTTATCGTGGGCAACTATGAAGTCGTCGGAGCCAATTGTTGGATGCTGCTGCCGTCACCAATCACGGCGCTCTGGTCAGACCTCTTTTCAATACCCCAGCTGGAGCTCGGGCCCATGTTACAATGGCATTTGTCTATATATTAAGCACAGTTAACCCCGTCTTCTCTGTGCAGAGCAACTTCTCGAGATACTCCTTTCATTCTTCAGTGAAACACATACACTCGATTTACCATCTTCTTCACATATATCGAGTTAATCCTCATCATGGGCGACTATACACCAGATACCGAGACTGTCCACGTACCTACTTCGTCGGAAAAGCAGCTCGACAGCACCCCCGCGGAGCTGTCGAGTGGAGTCTTGTACCACCAGCTTCGCAGGGAGCCCCTCAACATCGTCGGTGGCAAGGGAAGCTACCTTGTGACTAGTACCGGGCTCGAGATACTGGATGCTACCTGTGGTGCAGCTGTTTCTTGCCTGGGCCATAGCGATGAACGAGTCCACGAAGCTATCATGGATCAGCTGAAGAAGATACCATACTGTTATTCTCTGTACTTCACAAACAGCGCCGCCGAAGACCTGTCCAGGCTTTTGGTTGACTCGACCGGAGGGAAGATGTCTCGCGCCTTCATCGTGAGCTCAGGTGAGACGATCTCGAAGTATTCTGCAGTGATGCCCGCAGCTAACAACAACGTCTTACTATAGGAACCGAGGCAGTTGAAGCAGCCGTCAAGATGTCGATTCAGTATTTCACAGAGCTTACTGTGCCACAACCTCAGCGAGTCAAAATCATCTCACGACAGTCATCCTACCACGGGAACACACTTGGGTCTCTTGCCGTCGGACACCATGCTTCTCGAAGAAGGATCTATGAGAGCCTCTTGTCCAAGAACATGAGTCATGTTCCACAATGCTATCCCTATCGGGGAATGAAGCCTCAAGAAACCACCGAGGAGTATGTGGCGAGACTAGCACAGGAACTGGAAGACGAATTCCAGAGAGTGGGCCCCAATACCGTTGCCGCTTTCGTGGCAGAGACGATGCCCGGTGCTGTGAGTATATTGATCGCATGATCGAAAGTACCATCTAACTATCTGACAGACACTCGGATGTGTTCCACCACTCCCTGGCTACCTCAAAGCACTCAAGGCAGTCTGTGAGCGACACGGCGCACTTTTCATCCTGGATGAAGTGATGTCCGGCATGGGGCGTACTGGCACCCTCCACGCATGGGAGCAAGAAGACGTCGTTCCTGACCTTCAGACAATTGCCAAGGGACTGGGCGCCGGCTATGCCCCCATCGCCGGTCTCCTCATCAACAAGCACGTGGTCGATACTCTGAGCAAGGGAACGGGGGCATTCGTCCACAGTCAAACATACCAAGGACATCCAGTCGCCTGTGCTGCTGCCTACAGGGTACAGCAAATTATCCAAGAAGACAACCTGCTCCCCAATGTTCGAGAAATGGGTGCTTATCTCGGCGAGCTTCTCCATGAACACCTCGACAATCACCCTCACGTGGGCGATATCCGCGGTAGAGGTTTGTTCTGGGCTGTAAGTCTTCCACCATTTTGTTGAAGTGACAAATCTAATTTTTCACAGATGGAGTTCGTTCAAGACAAACAAACCAAGGAGTCTTATCCGCCTTCCAAAGCCCTATCTTGGACTTTGCACGCAACCGGTCTCAAGCCCGAACATGCGATTTCTCTGATGCCTGGGAGTGGTGGAGCTGATGGTGTCAACGGTGATCATATCATTCTGGCACCCCCTTATAATACTACAAGGGATGAGGTTCGACTGATGGTTGATCGGACGGTTCGCGTCATTCAAGAAGTTCTGGGTGAGTGAAAGACTGAGTGCACACATACGGACGGTTATCGTGGCTTTTGAGAGGTGCTATGCTATATCCGAGGGCTATATGAGCCCTGAAGAGTGGATGGGGTTGATACTTGGTTCAAGTCTGGAGAACTGCTCACTTATCAAAGCAATCTCCACAAATAATTAAACTATTGAGATTACAGATATACTACCAAATATGATTTAAGTAGGCTCGAAATCCTTGACGGCATTCTTGAAGATCTGGCAAGGTATTTTTCATGATACTTGGTTCGTTGAGATGAGGACCTTCTATATTTCGAAAAAAGCCAGCAGTAATGCCCTGCTCTTACGGAGGCCTGAACCGAGCTCGGAGCTCTCGGAGCCATCGAAACCTTGGGAACAAAAGAATAGACTTCGTTCAGGAGGCAAAGTTGATGATCTATAAGACGGAGATATTCGTCCTAAAACAGAATAGTGCGGCTTGGCATGGGATTTCTCCACCGGGGCAGGCATGTCAATCTCACTCCTCACCCTTTCGCCATGCATTCTAAGTTCTAAAATGGCTGGCTAAGCCGACTATCTGATGGTACAAGGATGGTGCATACTCTTCCTATAGGATGTTCCAATATCGGTGTTCTAGTTGGAGCCGAAGAGCCACTGCGGAGATTGTTCCGTGGTGGCTTCAGGGCTCATTTTTGGTTTGGAACTACGGAGATATACGGCCAAAGGAAGAAGTGATCGTCTCTTGTCAAATCTCGATGCGTACGAGTATACGGAGTATAAGTATGATTGCATGCGTGTCTTCCTGGCAGCCTCACAAATATCTTCCTCCATTTCAATTTACTTCTTTCCCGGAGCTTCTCGACAATGGCTTCTTCTCAACAGTCCTGGCAAAGCATTGCCAGCTCCAAGCAGGAGAAACGCTGGAGTTTGATCCCGGAACAATGGAGGCTATCTGAACGATATTCATTGGGCTCAAATGTTATGAATGTTCCTGAAACTTGTGGCATCCTGACGGCGACTGAGATCGAAATCAGTTCTCACGATGCGGTGCAAATATTGAGCCTGATTGCAGACGGCACATACTCCTGTGAATCAGTGACGGTGGCCTTTTGCAAGCGCGCTGCAATTGCTCAGCAGCTGGTGAGTTTCCCACTGTCAGTGAAAGAGCATGTACTGACGATTTTCAGACAAACTGCCTTACGGAGATCTACTTTGAAGAAGCTGTCGAGAGGGCAAAGACGCTGGACGCCCAGCGTCGCGCATCCCCCGAAAAAACGCTCGGCCCTCTTTTCGGGCTTCCAATCTCCATCAAAGACAGCTTCAATATCAAAGGCTCGGATTCAACAATCGGCTTCGCTTCTTACGCCAACAAGCCGAGTCATGAGATGGGAAAGCTCCCAGAGCTCCTTCTGGATTTGGGTGCTGTGATTCACTGCAAGACCAATATCCCACAGACTATGATGACCTTTGATTCCGATAACAACGTTTGGGGGCGGACGCTTAACCCGCATAACACTGCATTTACTGCAGGTGGATCCAGCGGTGGCGAAGGCGCTCTCGTTGCCATGGCAGGGAGTGCTATTGGTATTGGTACCGACATTGGAGGCTCTATTCGAATCCCAGGTCATTTTAATGGGGTATATGGCCTGAAGCCTACCAGCGACATTGTCCCGTTTAGCGGACAGGCATTCCCCATTCATCCGGGGATGCCGATTTTTGCTCCATCTGCTGGACCGCTCGCACGATCCATGAGGGACTGCCGATTCTTCGTGCAAGTGATACTAGAGGCAGGTGCATGGACTCGCGATGTTACCTGTGCCCATATATCATGGACCCCAAACGATTCAGAGATTCAAAGCCGAAAACTCCGCATCGGCTTTGTCAAAGATGATGGTATTCTAACCCCTACGCCTCCGGTACAAAGATCGCTTCAGGAGGCTGCCGACAAGCTTGAGGCTGCTGGGCATACCATAGTCCCCATCAAATTGCCCCAGGTGGCGGAGATATTGACGACAGCCAGGGAGTTCTTCACGATGGATAGTCTCAAGGTAAGTCTCAAGAGCAGCTTCAGCATATGTCCCTTTTTGCTGATATGTACCATTGTATAGTTTACCAGAGCACAAATCGAAGCAAGCGGGGAGCCATTCACTCCATCGGTTGTGAACATGGGCCTCTTGCAAGACCAAGACCATTCAATTTCATTTGATGATCTACAAAGATTGCGCGGTGAACGATTCGTTCATCAGCAGATTTACAACGACATGTGGCGAGAAAACAGACTCGATGTGATTTTGGCCCCCGTGTCATCTCACACAAGTCTACCGCACGATCAAAGCAAACACCTCAGCTATACCGTCTTATGGAACTATCTGGACCACCCCGGTATCTCGATCCCTTGCGGGGCTGTAAAAAGCACGGACAGTGTGGGCGGAGCCGCAAAGTACGGCGCCATTGACGAGGAAGTGTATGCCTCTTGTGAGTTATCCTCCACTGCCTCGTGTATTTCCGCCCACGCAATCGCCGAGCATACCTTGTCTCTCCTACGGCCATGGTATCCGCTCTTATCGAAGAATCCAGGTTTGGATGGCATTAAACTGTCTCATATTCATGGACACTATCAATTGCCTGGTCCGACGGAACAAAGCCCCCGTGCTGAAATATGTCTCAATATACCCACATTTCCTCGACCGTGCTCTTGGTCTTTGCTGTACACTTCTCCCTCTCCTTCACGACCTTTGTTACCTTTTCACTTGTGACCCAGCCTTCTACGCCTCTATCAAGATCGCGCTACAAACATGGCAACCAACTCTACCCTCCGATTTCTATACAAGCTACTCCCCCGCAGAAGTTACCATAATGCTCAGTCAAGCCCGCGTCTACCCCGACGCCGCCCTTCTCCTCCATCACCGCCTAAAGCATCCATATGGGAGTCTAGAGCCCCAGTCACAGGAAACGACAATCGCAAAGGCGCAATCTATTCTCCATCAGCTCGCCGCCTGTTTCGCGGCCACAGGACGATACCCCTTTATGACTTTCTTCCCATTCCTCATGTCAGCGCTAGAATTAGATGGTCTTCATGCACAGGATAGATGCGATGTCCTTGCAGCTATTGATACCAGATGGCACCCCATTTATTCTGCGTTCCTGGTGAGCCTCAGGAAGATCATCGTCCATGTTTGGGCGGTTCGTGACCGGGGCGGAGTGATATCTTGGAAGGAGGTAGTTGATAGTATGCCCGGACTGTTTTTCCTACCTTGAATTCTGGTACTGCTTAAGTATATATTCTGGATGAGATCTTGTGGAGTATCTTCAGACGAGAAACCGCAGTGAGCCATTCGAGCCATCAAAGTTGCGAGAACTGGTGGAGTGCTTCTGCAGCTTGGCTTCACTAGTCATCTCCCTAATGCACCAAAGCTAGTGCCGCTATCTCCAGGGCTTCAGGGCTAATGGTGAAAGTGGAGCATATGGCATGCGTGATTCGGACGGCCTTTTAATATATCCAGCCAAAAGGTTCACGGAGTTGAAGTGATTGGTTATGTAGATAGCAGTATATAGTACTCCGAACTTGCATATCAACTCCGGACGAACGATCAACTTGGAATTTTTCGCCGCTCCACTGAATTTCGTGATTTGATGCCGGTATGACATGGCGCTATTCCTGTTTGGGAAGCCATACAGCACCCTCATTGGTTGCCGATCAGGTGACCGGCCTGGATGCGAAGAGATACGCGGGGAAACAAGACTGAAGCTGCTTCCAACTGACATGTCTCAATAACCTATAACCCTCGACTAATATGCGAGGTGAGAGGCAATCACGGTCAAAAACAGGTATCTCTAGCGCCATCATTAGCGTGATCCACTTGCTTACACGAACAGGGTGTCTACAATGTAGACAAAAACATAACAAATGCGACGAGCATCGACCAACATGCTCGTCCTGTGCTTCGAAAAGCCTGAAATGCACATATCCATCGGGTCTGAAATGGGCGCAGCCGACTCAGCCCATGGAAACGAGACATAAGCCTCGTGCCAGACAAAACCGAGTCACGGAGCAGAGTCTGGTTAGACAGCCCTCCGCAATCTTCACAGATACCCGTTTCGAATCTGCAGAGGAGAAATCCGCATGGGAATACTGTATGTGAATTTATGCTACACAGACGAGGTGTAACTACCTGACACAGCACTCGTGCAGACGTAAGGATGGTCTCATCAAACGTGCCAGCCCAAGACGGCCCAGAGAATCCCTACCGCCAACTCTCAATCCCAGCACTCTCATCACCAATCCTCCTCGACACAATCGTCTGCATATCCACCGAGCACATGCTCAACTTCGGTCTCGCAAGCGTCGACCTCGCAGCCAAGCGCCAGCAACGAATGCTCCGAACTCTAGGCCAAAAGCTCCTCAGCATCGACAGCCCAACAAACCGCGCCACGGTAGTCATCGAGAAACCCGAACGCGAAGCACTAATGATCGCAGTCGTCTTGCAAGGTATCGTAGTCGCTCAATCCGCCGACGGAATCCTGGAACCACACGTCAAATGTGCATCCTGGCTCATGCAATCCCTCGGCTACTTCGAGACCATCCCACCGAATCCAATCGCGCGCATGGCCGTGCAACGATACGGGATGGTTGATGTCATGCTCGCCATCTCGCGACAGCGAAGACCCTACGCACCCCAGCATTTCATCCTAAGCCAACCGGACGCGCGTGTCTGGGATGAGACCGAGCCTTCATTTCACAAAATGACAGGCTGTCCGCAGCCCCTGATGTGTTTCCTCGTCCGCATTGCACATCTGGCATGTGACGTGAAGGAGAGCAGGGAAAGTGTGCTCGGTGAGGCTTTCAGACTCGATACCGAGCTGAGAGCTTGGGGATCCCAGTACACGGGTATTATACCATCGACGTGTGATCGGGAGCTACTAGATATTCTTACAGAGTGTTTTTACTGGACTGCGCATCTTTTATTGGCGCGACGGGTGTTTCTGGACCAGACGTGCTCACCACGCGTGCAGTTTTTGGTGCATGTGTGTTTTCGATTGATGGATCATTTGGCGACGGGGTGTGGGCCGGATTCGTCGCTGCCGCAGCCTTTTTATCTTGCGGCGAGGGAGGCGGTGTCGCCGGAAGATCGGGCTTGGGTCCGACAGAAACATGCGTCTATGACGGCGTTCTATCGGGAGCAGCAGCGGAACGCGGCTATGGAGCTGATTGAGCAGATCTGGGAGACCACTGATGCGCTACGGGAGTTGGAGGGTGGGGCTGTGAAGTTGCAGGGGCTCTCTGTTGTGGATGAATTTGTTCAGACACTTGATCGGGGGCGAACTTTTTCATCTTCTAACGCATTGGCTACTTTTTTCGTTCTTTGTTTTTCTCTACGGAGTCACTTTGGTGACCCTCGTGGGTGCGATCGGAGGAAGATCCACAGCAACGAGGTCGGGCATTGGCATGTAAATAATGAAAGATACGGTATGTCGAATTGGATGATTCGTGCATGCAGTAGTCGAAGCAAAATTGAGTGGGCACCGACAAGGATAGGGCCTTGGGGAAACCTCGGAAGGGGATACTAATCGGAATGGGTATATCGGCGGCTGGGCCAGGATATACAATATCAGATCTATACTCCGTACTCCGTACATATATTATGCCCGATCGCTACTCCTTGCAACCTGTCGCTCTAAAATTGAACATACTGAACATGATCCCACCAACAACGCAGTAGATCCTTCCGGCCTCAACTCGGAGTATAAACCGAAGAAGGCCCAAGAGCAGTCGGGATTTGGATTGACAGGTCATCACACTGCCGGCAGCCAATCATAATCATCGGAGCGGCGGGTACCTGAATGTCCAATCCACGGGACTGCACGTGTAACTCTAAGCTTATTGGCCGAGGCCACTGGATGAGCCCCTGGACCCGTGGACGACCAACAGTGGCTCCCAGGGACCCCATTGCCGAATCAGGGGGAACTATGGCAGACTTTTTGCTATCCTGACACACAGCCCTGGGCAGATGAAGTCGATTTAATTTATTTCATTGATCGAGACCACTGGTTTCAGATTCCCCGCGAAAATCTCACGTGTTCGTGATCTAGGATAAATTTGTCCGGAGCATCGTCTTCAGTATTGTCTTAGGGGGAGGAGATAGCGCGGAGTAGTCGATGGGAGAGAGGGGGCGTTTGCCGGCTGTGGTTCGACGCCACCATTCCCATGACAGGCTTCTCCTGAAGTGTTACAGAACGTTGGACAGAAACAAATAATAATGCAAAATACGGAGGACAAAATACAAAATGCAAAATACAAAATACCCCCAATTGTACGAGTCGAGTAAGGGGAGATCACGTATGGACTATTCCGTACCCCTCTCTTCAATAATGTACGCTTATTGCTCCAGACCTCCGTGACGATGGCTTGGGTACATGCAGGTCGAACGCAGGGGCCCAAATCCGGATTTGCGTTGATCAGGCAGGATCTGTGGTTCTGGAGGGGGGGCCCTAAAAAAAGAACGGAATCGAGGCCTTGAGAGAACCAGTAAACGAGAGAGAACCAAAGTCCAGAGAAAAGAAAAAAGAGAGGGAAAAAAGAAAAAAAACAATGGGGGGAGGTCCACGAGGTGCCAATAGTGGGAATTGCTTTGCACCGCAGAGTTCCTTGGTCCCGTTCTCCATGCGTAGTCAGCCATCTCCTGACTTCTTCACCCACCTCTTACTCTCTTTTCTCCCCTTCAGCCTTTTGCCCAATTTCATTCGTTTCTTGTTTGAGGTCGTTCGTTTCATTCTTTCACGACGACCGTCTCCGCTCTTTATTCCTTTCGTTTTTACCCCGAGATCGGCTTCCCCGTTCCCGCCTCGTTGATCGATTCAACCTGGGGTGCGATACACTCAATATATTGAGTGCACACAAATCCCCTGCCCTTCTTTCCCGCTGCCTAGGCCAGCCTTCTTATTTCCCTCGTTTTCTGGTTTTGTTGCTGGACGCCTCTGCGACGCGCCCTTCACCCAACCTCCCCCCAATCTCTGACGTGGACGCGACCCGATCCTTACGCCAGTCTTTCATTCATTACATCCTCTCGCGCCTGAGGCTGCTTCGAGAGATCATTTAGACCATCCATCTGTCGCCATACAACCACATCTACCCTCACCATCTGTCGACCGGATCGTCACTGTTTTGCACATCTTCTCTTCGATCACGAAAAAAAAACAACAATCTCACTACACACCAAAAAAAAAGCCTTTTGAACATCACAAACACAACACCGGCATCGCGCGAGCTTATCCGTGATTGTTTGGAAACATGTCCTCGTTGACAGACATGCATTACCCAACCGGCGCATCCGCGCCGGCCTCCTGTTCGCCGCCGGACTCGACCCCGTCCCCCTCGACCTCGAGCGCCACGGCCCAATCTTCCGCGCGCCGACCCCCACGCAAGAGCACCTTGACCCAGCAGCAGAAGAATAACAAACGCCAACGGGCTACTCAGGATCAACTGGTCCTTCTGGAGGTGGAGTTCAATAAGAACCCAACCCCAACTGCGGCCACCAGAGAGCGCATTGCATCGGACATTAACATGACCGAGCGTTCGGTTCAGATTTGGTTCCAGAACCGGTAGGTCCTTCAGCTCATGCTTACACTAGTGATCGTCTTTACTGACTCAACAATAGCCGTGCTAAAATCAAGATGCTGGCCAAGAAGAGCATTGAAACTGGTGAAGGGTGTGATTCCATTCCTGAATCTATGCGCCATTACCTTGCGATGCAGTTCGACCCAAACAAGCCGGGGGCAAGAGACCCCTTCGGCCGCGCCGGTGCATACGGTCCCCCTAGCATGTACGCGAGTGAAACTAACCCATCTGGCAAAGTCGGTACGTTCTCACCTTCCATTCTCTCACCTGCTTTGATATGTTCAGTACGCTGACTTGGTTTCAGTCATCTCTCACTTCACTTGTCGATCCTTGACCGTCGGCAGCTGGCGGCGCATTGGGCAAAATGCCATGGACCTGGTTGTGTTCTACTCGCCTGATAAGGCGTGCATGACCTACTACATCAACAACGATGCTGCCGGCTACAAGATCGAGTATCCTTTCGCCTATATCAAGAACATCACTCTGGAGACTGGAGATCCCAACCCTGGCCCCAATGGCGCGCCGCCTCGACCAGGCGGTCTGGTCGTCGAACTGAACCGCCCACCGCACTTCTACATGGATTCTTCCAACTCTGGTGGCTTCTACCAGTGTGGTGATTTCACCGAAGAGCAGCAAGCAAGCCAGATCATGGTTCATCATCTGGGAGGCCATCCCAAGGTCTTGAGCGTTCAGCTTGCCAAGCTGGTGTCCTTGGAATCTTTCCAAAACCGCCTGGCTTACAACAACAACAGCTTCGCGGCCCCGCCAGCAATGTCCCCGCCATTCATCCAGCGACCTGCCTCGCAGCCCAATCAGTTTGCCGTATCCCCTTACTTGAACCTGTACCAGGACAGCAACCACTTAGGGTTCAACATGCCACCAGCCCGCGGACACAAGCGCCAACGAAGCCGCTCCGTCCCCGTCGCTGTGGACATCTCGACTCTCCAAGGCCCCATGTCTTCCTTCCACGTGCCACCACCTCCCCCTCCTCCATTCAACCACACTGAGGCGGGAATCTATGCTCCCGTGCCACAGTCCGTCCACCACCTCCCTACCGACCTTCGAATCGATACCCAGGGATACGGACTCGATTTCCGAACAAACCCAATGTCCGCCACGACCACCGGATCCCCATCTGACTTTGCCAGCCCGATGTTCAGCAGCGCCGGTCAAGGCGACTCCACTCCTGTCGCCAACATGCCACCGCAATTCAACTTCGTCTCCGGCGGATCAACGGAGCCCTCGACAATGGGCTCCCATGCTCCATCCCCTTACTCCAGCGTCAGTCCTGCGGACCCATTGATCGCCAACCACTCCCCGCCGCTGTCAAACATGTCGCACGGTTCATCTGACTTGTACGGCTTCTCGCACGATCAGCAATCCGGTTTCGACGATAGCCTCTCCATGGACATGTACTCGAAGCACCAAGTCAACTTCGTCTCTCACGAAAACCCTACCTTTGAACTACCTATGCACGGCCTGTCCCATCCCTCGCCGGGAATGGGCGACTACAAAGATTACGCCCATGACATGACCAACCTGGATGAAATCAACTCCCAGGGATTGCCTACTTCATGAGTCATCATCCATGAGCTATCAGTCTGTCTTCTCTTTTGTCAATTGATGTTTCACGGCCTTTTCTGGAGTGCATGTGGCGCTTGTGCTGGGGTTTGGGATTTTGGGTTTGCTTTCTTCTCGTTCGTTCGAGTCTTGACGTTGGGCAAAACCCACCACTCGGACGACACGGTTTTCGTCTCGCTGGCGATGGCTTGGCGATTTGGGTTTCTTTTTCTTCTTGCGTGACATACCCTTGTGTCTTGTATTAATACCCTTTCAATTCTCTGGGGCCGGTCCTAAAGCGTTTTTCTTCTTCTTCTTTTCCTCCCCTTCTTCTTACTGTTTCCCCGGCTGCTCCGGTTGAAAACAGTCTTTTCTTCGCACCCGGTCATTTTTTACCCTTTTTTTGCTCTTTTTGATTCTCTTCTTTGATCTCTGACCGGGACTTTGATTTTTCTTACGTGGTTATGCCAAACAGACCGACTCGGACTGCGACTCCATTCCTCTCGATTTTCCTTTTTGTTATTTTTTTCCTCTTTGGTTCGAGTGGACGATCAAGTCCCGCTTCATTTTGTGGTTACAATGGTCTTTCTTCTTGGAGTCAGTTTTGCACAGCGGCCCCTTCGGCACCTGTTTGGGTCCGACAACCAGCGCAGAGTTGTGATATTTTCTGCACGTTTGGTGGTACACGACATTGGGGGAATTTACCCTACGCTCTGAATATCAGTCCATTTTGTATCGCATTCCACTTCCAGTAGAACTTCATTATCGGTAATATGCTATCGCTATCAACAGTGGGTATCTAATATATTACATTCAAATTCAAGCCTTCTCCCATCCTTTCGGCAGAGGTGCCTCTACTCCCCTCCTCCGCAAGAACTTTTCAATCCAAACCTCCATCTTCTCCAACACATTCCGCTCTGGCTTTCCCTCCTCCCCAATATCAAATACTCCTTCCTTACACCACACACTCCAAGACCCCATCATCCCAGCCATTAGCACATCCGTCCCCAACCGATCACCTACAACCGCAATCTCATCGGCAGATTCAACAACACCCCGTTCTTGGAACCACGCCACAACCTCCTGCCCACAAAACGGTTTCTTCTCCGTGCCAGCCGGAAGCCGAAAAACAGGAATCCGTAGGTGCGCAAGCTGTCCTTCTAGATCTCGCACTTCGTTATCGAATGTGCTGTGGCTGCCGGCGCGATTCGACACAATCAGAATAGAATTTGGATTGGTGGATGTTTGAAAGGGGGATGTTGGGCTGTTGCGGAGGGCTGATAGCTTGGATAGGATGTTTGGTGGGAAGGTTGTTGTCTTTGCGGCGCAGAGGGTGTTGTCTTTATCCAGTACCAGGGCGCGGATTGAAGGTATGCGCTTGGGGGCCCCTGATCCTGATCCTTTGATGAGATGCGGGCCAAGGTTCTCGGGGAGGTGTGTGAAAGTTGGGATAGTGAGGTGAGGGAGGAATTGGGAGGGTTGTTTGAGGAGGGTTTGGACGGCGTAGTTGAAGCCTCTGAGATTTGAATTTGGGGATCCGGCCATGTTGGATCTTGAGGAACTGTAGAGCCCAGCTGTGCTGATGGTGTAGGTATGTAAGTGTATTATTGTATGTGCATTTGGTGGAATTGGTGGAAATTGTAAAATTGGTGAAGTTGGAGGTGGATGTTTGGTGAGGACTCAAAGCGGAAAGATTGTTAGCCGCAAAACTCACCTCTCTCTGCATCTCCCGTCCCACCATCCACCACCTCCTCACTCCACTTGTTTCCTGTTTGCGAGGGAAGCTTTCTGTGGTTCAATTCTCCTTCTTTTAGTCTGCTTGATTCTCGAATCCCCGTCACACACTCGCCAAAATGGGCAAGCTCACTTCCACGATCGGTATCCCGATCAAGCTCCTCAACGAAGCGCAGGTGCGTTACCTCCCCTCCAAGCGATCTCTGGGATCTTGAATCTATCGCAATGCTATGCCGCATTGCAAGATGATATGACTAGCTGGAGTTCAATAGTGTGCGACAGAGAGCTAACGATTCAGTAGGGTCATGTCGTGACTCTCGAAATCACATCCGGTGTCGTCTACCGGGGGAAGCTTTTGGAAGGTGTGTGATCAAAATACCCCGATGTGTATGGGACGGCTGGTTCTTTGAGAAGGGTCGATCTACAGAGCCGAGGAAGATCTTTCGTCGCAGAATGAAATGCTGACTGCTCTCCAGCCGAGGACAACATGAACGTTCAGCTCAAGGATATCACTGTGACCGCCCGCGACGGCCGTGTCTCCCATCTCGATCAGGTCTACATTCGCGGCAGCCACGTGCGATTCTTCATTGTCCCCGACATGCTCCGGTACGTTTCTGATAACAGCAGCCTGGTCAAGGCGATGCTCGATGCTCGATGCAACATACACGCAGTGCAAAGCTTTTGTCATTGGAATACCCGCTAACGGATCTTTCTCATTTCTAGTAATGCTCCCATGTTCCGTTCACGAGGCCAGCGCGGGCGCGGTGTCGGTTTGGCGCGTGGTAAGGCCACTGTGCAGCGTGCGCGTGGCCAGCGCGGTCGGGGTTGAATGTGAAAGAAGTCACAGTTATAAGGCCTCGCGGACTCCGAGTGGTTGGCGTTCTTCTTTTGTGTTTTTTCTTTGGTCAGGGTAAATCTATTCGGGCTTGGTCTTTGCCGAGTCTTAAAATGTCGGCTTTCAGGAGCTTCGTCTTATCATCGTTCAATCCAATTATGAATCAATACCCGACATACATTCGCCGATGGGCCGAAGCCTAGCTTTTCAGTTTGGGATCTGGGAAGCTATCTATATGTGGAAGTTATCAACGAGTCTGGATTGGGCTGCAAGGTGCCTACACTCGACACCAGGAGCTTATACGTAGCACCATAACCGATAAAGTCCAAAGCATATCCTGTGCAATCTAAATACTCTGAAATATCTTGGTTCTAGAACGATTGGCCATAACGTAAACCGAAAAAGCACCTGGCGCTATGAACAAACCCACTGCCAACCGTTTTTTTGGTGCGGGGAGCAACTTTCCGCTTCACCACACTCACTACGAACGTCGACCTATATCTCGAACATAGAGCTTGCCAACTCCCAATCCACGAGGCCAATATTTCCCTTAAGCGCCCCCTATACACAGAACCCAGGCCCAATCGCCCCAAATGGCCTCTTCATCAAACAACCCCGCAGCGCCAACGACAAAGCCAAAAGCCAAAACCATCTCCAACCCTCGACGCCTCCTAATCCTCTCTCCACCAACCCAATCCCTCACAATAATTCCTCCTCTCCTCGATTCCCTGACCGGAGTCCCAATCACCAACCCCCCACAACTAGAGGACCCAGCAGCCGCACCCTCTTTCGCCGGCTACACAACTCACAGTCCCCTCCGCCTCGAAACAAAATACTACAACACCGAAGTCCCAGTCTGGGTCGATGAGATCCCTTTATCAGACACGAAAGAACAATGGAAGACCGACTTTCTGAGTGAAGAAGCTCAAATCGTGCGCGAGGCTGTTGGCGCATTACTTGTTTGCGCTCATGCGCCTGAGACAGGTCCGCCGAACACGGATTCAAATGATCTTTCGGGGCGAGAGGATGTTCGCGCATTGCGCGATGTAATGCGCGGTATCGGCGCTGTGAAAGAGAAGATTGATGAAGATCGTGGTGGTGTTGGTGATGTCTCTGGTGTTTTCGTTCTGGTAGGGCCTAGGAAAGTGTCTTCTAGCTCGGGATCGAAAACTACTTCGAATGAGTCGGATCTTGGGGGTGATTTGGGTGATGATCTTGGGGATGTGGTGCCGTTGTCTGTTAGCTGGTGGGAAGATCAATTTTATGATATGGGATTGCTGGGGTGGGAGGTTATTGAGTGGGATCCGAAAGAGGGGGGTGAAGAGACGAGGAATCAATATGGAGGTTTGTTGCTCTATATCTGGATCTGGATTATACTCGTGCTTATGCTGATATCAATATTATTAGAACGAGAGGGTATGCCGAGGATCAAAGAAGTTCTCGAGACCCATGACTGGACTATGACCAGTGCTGAGATTGAGGATGATTCCGATGCTGAAGATGATCTCGAGGATAAGCTCTTGGGAGTGAGCAACTCTCGTGGGTTTGGTAGTGAAGTCCATGAGCTTGAGCGTGAGATGTTTGGCTTGCGCATGGCGATTGAGCGTGGGGGTGGTGATGGTGCAGATGAGGATGAGGATGGCCCCAATGCTGACGATGGCGAGCTCGATGTCGAGTCTATGGAGTCGCTAATGATGCGTATGCAGACAATCAGAGGTATGATTACCGGTGGACTGATGAAACCATTCCATTGGAACTTTGCTGACTCGGGTTTAGATATGGGGTCTGACCTGCCCGAGGCCGAGAGGAAAAGATTCGCGGCCAAGGCGATACAGGATATCATGCGCGAGCTGTGATATGATTGTTTCGATCAATGCTAGGATTTATTCTGAGCAGTTCTGATAGATGAGCACCGGACCTATACACTCATGTGCATCAATATTTGAGCTTGGATGAAATCGCAATTCAGATTAAAGACGACATTTCAACGGACACGATGCTATCTGTGATGGTCTCGAAGCCCCACCATAATCTTGACCTGGAGTGTTAGGACCTTGGGAACCTTGAAAGCCGTGGCTCTGCCACGGAACACTCGATTTCCATCGAGCTTGCGATGTATGTGGACTGTCGAAAATGGGAATGTATCCAAGCCCCAACTTTGGAAGCCATAAGCAACCTTGGAGGTTACCTTAAGTCATGGCCGAGCACATTGCGTACTTCGTACACGAAGAATACTGACCATATTGATATGATCCAATATCATATGAAGTCTAGCTATCAATGGCACCAGCCAGCAAGAATACTCTCAAATAAAGTCTATTTACCTTCCAAGGCAGCAATTAGTAAAGCTAGTAATAATTACATCTCATCCAATCCACTCCAGGTTTGGACATAGTTTTGTATCGCCACGATGCTCAAACCCAAGCTCGTGGCCATCTCAAGACAACGCTTCGTCAAACCCACCAAAGGCAAGTCTAATCGGCACGCTGCTTGCCTCGCAGAACCTTGCGGCGCTGGGCAATCATGTGCGTGTACAGAATATAAGAGCCTAATAAGTCAGCCATGAAACAGCAAGTGAAAACACTCCAATAACATACCAGGCACGTAGATAACCAGAATAGCAACCAGCGCATATTGGAAAAGCGGGTTCAAATCACCAGCAGGGCCAAGAGCCTGCACAATAAGTGTGCACTCACTGGTGATACCAATCGGATAGAGGATATAAAAGGTATTGTATCTGCAAAGATCAGTAACAAGACTCCAAAACCACTCTAGACAAGAAAAACCTACCGCAACCAAGTCCACCAGCTAGGCACCGAGTTCCCAGACAAAGTAATAGCAAAGAATCCATAACGAATGACCTCCGTAATACCCCAAGCAGCCACACAGCCCAGATACGCATAGTCGCCAAGCTGGGTGCTTCGCGCACCGACAATCTGTCCTCCGAACTGAGCCATGATTCCCCAGACTAGCAGCAATCGACTAGCGACCTGCATGGCGGTCGTCATGAACGGGGCGCGCACGAGTCCCACGACGCTGTGGACGACCTCCAGGAGGGCGAGGGATTGCGTCGCTAGCAGCGGGGTGAATGTCAGACTGAAGACATTGGGTAGGTTGTTGATATTGGCGGGGAGGAGGGAAGCGGCGTATGCGACGCAGCCACCCCAGGCGAGGAGGTTGAGGGTGTTGTAGGTGAAGAGGTAGGCTCTTGTGATGCCGGCGGGGCCGCGGGAGGCTGGTTTGGAGGCCATTGGCGGAGGATGGGAATTTCGAAGCTTCAGAAAGCAATTGGTGATGATCTTTTCAGTAATTCGTCAAGAATTGCTGTTGTTGATGATTTCGTTGGGAAATGACCATCAGCCGAGGTTGAGGATGACTAAGCAGAATGATTCTGGAAGAAAGGAACAAATCTCCAAAGGATGATCGGTGGGGAAGGTTTGCTGAGTCTGGGGTATGATCTTTTGGTTCTCCATATCGTTGGTGATCTACATCTAATCTCTCTTGATTCAGTTTGCGTTTCATGATCCCAGGTTCTCTTGTCGCTATGTTAATATACTGCGAGGTACTTGTCCATCAACTCTCTCCACAACTACGGAGTCAGTACCTTTATGATTGCCGAATATGACCCGTGGCAGGGGCATCGGATCCGGGCTTCTGTTTTCCTGCAAGCCTCTTCGATGTTGATGTTCCCTGTCGAGGAGTCATCGGTGTGATTTGTTCAGCCCGCAGCTTGCAGCCCATCGATTGCCCAAACTGGCCAAGCGGAATGCTTCCATTGCAGGTGTCGGTTACTATAGGATACCGCGATGTACTCCCTACTCCGTAAGCAGACTAGGTAACCCTATGATCCCACTGCATGATCTAGTTGGACTACTGAGACAAGCTGCATTCTCGTATTTTCCTGTGGACATGGGTTTATTCGGGGTATGAGCGGTTCTAAGATCGGCCATGCTGTTCAGAAGGTGGGTTCGAGGTCAGGTTTATTCAGGTTTATTGGTCCCGTGCTGAACATGAGCCGATTCGCATCGAAGGAGTTCATCTCGGGGGAATTGGCCTCTGCATGGACCGTCCGCGGGTATTGAGTGCTTGCGCTATGCAACTATAGGTGGAACTTGGCATCCTTGTTCTTATGTACTTCGGCATGAATCTCTGGGTCTTGGGCTGCACGGTTTAATTACCGAAGTTGAAGGCTAATTTGATTCTCGGGCTTCGAGGTTGATGTCATTGCCTGCACAGTGTACTGTGATTTTGCGTACTACTTGTAGTAGTTAATCCGTATACAGCAATGGCTCTTGTATGATCTGACATCATGGGCAACACCTGGGCATTTGTATGTGCCCTGCATTAAAGCCTCTTCCATTTGCATACTCCGATGTCCCATATGACGTGATGTGGATATCTTGCACGACGTGCGGAGTACTCCGTACAGAGAGCTCCGTACAAAGACATGCCCTTCACGAGTATTGCAGATGGTCTGATGTTTGAAGGTATTCAAGTGCCGAAGTGCGTAATTACGTTACACACAGGGGCTGATGACATCAGCGGCTGGGAAGGCTGATTTGGGCCCCATCATGATGATGTCATGGCAACCCTCAAATGATCTCATTGGTGGACGTCATTCGGTGACGACCACTTCGTACAAATTTGGTGGAAAAGGGAGAAACTGCACAAATGCCCCAATCTCTATATAAATCAATGTGGGCTGCAACGCGCGATGCATTTTCATTCTCAGTGAGCCAGCCGATACGACCTGCCACATATCCCTCGGAATTCTCGATCCCGCAAAAAGCAACGTCCCCGGAAGCAAAAAAAAAGAGAAAAGGAGGAAAAAAAAGGAATTAATAAACATCCAGCGTCATCGGTGACAGCATAACCGCTCGTGTCTTTGATACCAATATTACACCCTTTGCTACCTTCACGGCCAGAAAGGAAGGGAGGGAAAAAGGAAAAAAAGGAGCCGTGGAGCCATGCGATCCCACACGGACGGTTCAGGTGTCTCCCACGGAGCATGTCAGAGAATTACATGTATTCATGCAACAAAAAAAAGGAAGTATTCCGGGTTGGACACGGTCCTCGAGGGTCCAGACCAACTAAATCAGGCCCTCGCTGCGCACTTGGCCCAAGACGATCGTGCTTTTCCCTGCTGTGCAAGGCGGTTTCATTACGTCTTTCCCCCTCCCTTTACGGCTAACGGTTTGCTATGACACCACGGAGTGAAATTTCTGACTTTTGACCTATCTTAGGGGGCTCCAGAGTCCCCAAGAGTATCCATATCGCGAAGATATATACAAATCCTTCACAAACGGCTCTCCTGAAACCACTTGATCAGCCCAAGCCCTCATGGTTTGTCGACGGTTCCACGTGTGACCATCCCAACATTCGGGAAAGACCCCAATGACGTTCGTTACTGGGATCGGCGCCCCGATGATGTCGACTCACTGGTCTGCCGCTGCCATTCTCCAGCGTTCTTTGGGCCCATTGCGGACAGAAAACGTGTCGGTATTTTTTTTATTACCCTATCTGTCCCCACCCATGTACTGTTTTGGTACAGCTACAGGTCGGCGAGGGGTTATCCCGATCAATTTTGCGCCTTTTCCTTCCGGTGGAGCAGTTGGCTGTGATCATGATACTCCACTGGAGTGCCGCCCTTCATGAACGGCTTTTCGCCCGACGACGGGTTCAATGGTTTCAGGACCAGTTCGACATGAGGCTGAAAATCATGACGACCTCAGACATATACTTCTACTCATGTTCATCCACAGATCCCCTTTCGTCGACGCTGATATGGATGGTGGGGGGAAAAAGAAAGCATCACTCGGATGTTTGACTGCACCCACGGAGGCTAAACAGAAAATGGACACAACAAGATACCATCTGTCGAGACCTGAGCCCAATAAGAACCCATGATATAAATTGTAGCTAATAATATATCGCCTAGTCGAGTTGTGCAATCAAACCTTTCGGACATGCGCCAACATGAAGCCCTGACGGTGATCAAAAACTTGAATACCGAAAATAAATTAAAAAGAGATCTGTATAGAAAAGAAATGATTCAGGAAGTAATTCGCACAGATAGACTTTTCCCTAATATTTAAGGCTGGGAGGTGGTGGTTTAAATAACTTATAATTTTCATCTAGCGGAAGCCCCAACCGTGCAAGTGTGAGTGCCGATAATCTTCTTCTCCGCCCCTCTTCCTCTTCTCCCCTCTTAATCAACCCCCCCTTTCGCCCTCTTTTTCTTTTTCTTCCCTTTGGGTTTTGCTACTCCGGATTCTCCTTTGGTCGTTCTATTTCGGTGAGACTCGATCTCGGGCCCTCGAAAAAAAAAAAAAGTTAAAAGGTGGGATGAACATTTCTGTGCCCCTCGCTGCTCGAAACCTTTCGCGATTGATCACCTTGATCCTTTTCGTTTGATCTTACTCTTCCTTCCTATATCTCTTCCATGGAGCTTTCCATCCAAGTCTGCAGCTATTGCAAGACACTGGCCTTGGCTTGGACAAGGACTGTGGCGTGGTCATATGCGGCATGCTTCATACCTCCCCTCAACTCCCCTCTGATCTTCATTGCACCTGATACCTCATACCCCCCTCGGTCGTGACTTACCAGGTAGTCTGGTCCGGTATCTGCACATCAGCCTCGTTGCATAAGATTCGATCTGGTGATTGCCGTACTCTACGCCACACGTCCTTCCCCGACAACCCTTGCTACCGTGGTACCTGGTTCCGTAACACTCTGGCTTTGTAAGACAACATGTGCACTTTGTGCTGTTGCTCACGACTCTGACGTCTTTGTTATATCATTGATTTTATTCGCTTTTCACAATTGATTTTCCTCGCTTCCATTCGAAGTACAGGGTTCATCCGATGAAGTCACACTGACCGGGATTTTTACGAGCAGAGATCCACCCATTTTATCTGGATTATCAAGATTATCAGATCGGACATTGCCACGTTCCAACCTGTCTTTCGCCTTCAGGTTGCTCCTACTCTTTCGAACTTCCACCACCCGCACCCCACACACACAAACACCATGGCGCCAGCCGAAACCAAAAAGGCCGACTCGGTAAGTCTCGCCTGAATCGACAACGGAAATGCGGCTGACAGTTTCATGCAAAGGGCCCTCCCAAGCTTTCCGACTACAGCACGATCCTCGACGAGAGCACATTCGAACAGATCCTCGAAATGGACGACGACGAGGAGGACCGGGATTTCAGCAAGAGCATCGTTTATGGTTTCTTTGACCAGGCCGAGAGCACTTTCAAGAAGATCCAGAAGGAAATGTGAGTTTTCCCTCTTTTTTTCTGTCTTCGTGTCCGATGACGTATGCTAAGCAAAAACAGAGATGACAAGAACCTCGACGAACTCTCTGCCCTGGGCCACTTCCTCAAGGGCTCATCTGCTACCCTGGGTCTGATTAAGGTCAAGGACGGTTGTGAGAAGATCCAGCATTTCGGCGCTGGCAAGGATGAGACAGGCACCATCGACGAACCCGATAAAGAGGTCTCCCTGAAGGCCATCAAAAAGACCCTCGACGAAGTTGTGGTTGCCTATCGCAAGGTCGAGAAGCTTCTGCGTCGATACTACGGCGAGGAAGTACCCGAGGAGAAGGAAGAGAAGCCCGCAGCGAAGGAAGAGAAGACGGAAGAGAAGCCCGCAGCGAAGGAAGAGAAGAAGGCGGAAGAGAAGCCCGCGGCAAAGGAAGAGGTCAAGGAGTCCAAGGAATCCAAGGAATCCAAGGAGCCCGAGGATAAGAAGGAGACCTCGAAATAGTGGTCAAACAGGACAGTTGATACCCTGCCACCCTCCCCTTTTTCTTTTTAGCGACGGATGGAGCATGGCAAATGGCTGTTTCTTTTTCTTTACCCTTTTTCCCTTGACTCTTTTACCCCCACTCTCTTCTACCCCTATGGCTTTGACGTACATACTATCCCTTCGACCCGGGAAAACGGGCGGGCGGCTATTCCTGGTCTCTCACGTAGGTGCAGGCGCGAGAATCGTGAAGATTCCGAGGAGTCTTGAACAATACCGAGACGCGGAAAATCCGAGTATCATGTCATTCCTCTTTGCTATTTTTGTTTTTCGCGCCTTTCATGCATTACCACAGTAGTCGCATCAATGAACCACAGACATCAATATCAATATCAGATCGACAATACCTCGTAGTGTGAGCTACATGTTGGAAACACCACGCGCGGCTCCAAATCGAGGCTGAGAAAAACAAGCATTAGTCGATCTCTGCTATTTTCTGGGATCTTTTTTGGTCTCTTATGGATCCTGCATACGATGGTATTGTGGCGCCCCAAAGAAAGCTTCTTCTTTCAGCCACTTGCGTGGGCCTGGGGTCCCCGGACAACCTAGTCTTTATTTTATCCCCCCTGGTTCCGATTAGGGAGTGATGGTCAACCTTATCGAAGTTGAGCATTTGGCGATCGATCGATCGGCGGCTTATTGATTGGCGCACCTGAACTACTCATTATGGTCCGAAGACAGCCCGACTTTTGAGAATATTCTCATTTTTCCTCTCTTACCACTAGGAATCAGCGGAAAAGCTTCAGCCATCAAACTTCCAAGGTTCTGCACTGGGTCTGTTGATACGATAGACCTGGGCTCTGTTCTGATTGTCCGTGGTCTACCGTGTGTTGCCTTCCGTGTCTGCATCTGCCGTCGCAAAGATGATGATGGGATGTAAACGAAGGTCGGCGACTTGCATTGTAGACGGGGACGGTGCACGTTCGATGCTTTGTGTGCTTTTTGGTGGAGTTACAGCTGCATCGATGACCGGGAGGTTTATGGACACTCATGATTGTACGCCATTAGCATTGCTCTGGGGTTGTGGTGTTGTCCTCCCACTACTTCCTTGCCACGATGCGGAAACCCAGACCCAATAGACCTTCTACTACCATCCTATATGCAAGACTACGGCGGGATCGTGCATCTCTGAATTCAAGAAGAATATAGCAAGCACTTAGGCAGTACATCTTGTCTTTTCTAGCACCCATCTCGAGCGCCACTGAGTCTGTTGTTGGGTCACGGAAGGGCATTATCATTGAAACCCCTTTTTCTCGGGGTGCAGTACGGTCGAAAAAAGTGGCGGAAGCTTTCTTGATCCTTATATCGGTGCTGTGCTTATCTATGGTAGTCGATCATATTTGAACATGATGGACAAGCTTTCGGTACATATAAATTCCATTGAGACCAATGATGCATGGATTACCAAAGGCTCCGAGGATTGTCACACAGACTCAAGTTACCAGGTTCCAGAGGCCAATTCCTAGAGTCTAGATCTGCTTCTGCCACGTTGTATGGCCTGTCGAAAGAATTCCTATCATCAGCAAGCCACCTTAATTCATGCATGTCCTCACTAGTACTCCGTACAGCCCCCATTCCAGTCGATTAAAGGGGTCCTCTCTCCAACCCAATTTCCAAAGTCAGATCGACTTTCCTTCAGAGACAAGCACTGTCTCGGTCTTCTGGTCTATCGAATTTGCTTGATTGCATTCTGGGCCAGATTCCGATCTTACAGGTCACACGAAAGATCCAACGGGCCTTGTTCATCGACGTCTCTGCAGTCCAGCGCAAAGATGCAGACGCCCTAGGCTTTCCAATGCTCTTGATTCTCACTAACAAGGGGCAATTAAGATTCACTCCGCGAAACAAGTCTGAGCCTCGATGCCGAGTTCATCATGCAGTTTGACGGTTTTCTCCACATCCGGCTGCAGGCGCACATACTCGAAGCTGCAGCTTCCCAGCACTGGCGCGGCATGGACCACATTGGTTCGAGCTTCATCTCCCGTGCGGGTGGGTACAGGTTCGTGCAAAGGGAGGCAAACATTTTGAAACGGAGCTGCTCACGGCTTCCTTCGTGGATCTTGTGGCTGGAATGAAGAGCTCGACTTCTGTATGTGTGAAGATCTCGATATACCCCCTTTCTCATGCATGTAAGTATACATATATCTCCTATCCGTCTGTCTCGGATAGTGTACACGGCTTCAAAAAAGAATCCTCGACAGACCAGCACGTACCTCGTCACGCTCAGTCCTCGAGATTATTCCCAGATTCACGAGGGCCTCGTTTGTCGCTTTTCGCTTCCAAGGTTCTTTTGACTTGTCACAACCGGTGGCATGCCGACATAATGCCTAAGTGAACGAGAATAGGAGGTGGACAAAGAGCAAAGGATATGAGACCCTGTACCGTGTCCCAATTTCTATCCATATTCATTGCTTCCAAAGTAAACTATATTGCGTTTGTCGTGATCCAAGCTTTGTTCCCGATGCCAATACCCCGGACTTGTTGAGAAACTGTCTTGCCCCGTAGCCTATCCACAGCAGCAGAGGCGGACATCCACTAGCGAACGATCCGGCCCGCGGTTTGACGTAGTCCGGGGTTCCAAGGTTGTGGGTTAACAGGTATGAGTGCATTGATCGTACACATCTTCCAAGGTTGTGCCACTATGAATCCGAGTTCTGCACAACGTAAGAGAGAGTCTAATACTAGAGGAGTATCTGTGAACGCCAGCGAAGTCGATGAGCCCATCGCACATCTTATTCGTGCCTTCTTTCTCTATCACCAAATAACATGCATGCCCACGCTATGATCAGTCGAACGATAATGTGAAAGCCTCGACAACTCCCTTAGACCCCTGTTCTCTGCCTCCTTGTGCTATCGTATCCCCATCTATCTGATTGCGGTTTGCCCCATGGCCCCCGCTTGTCTGATTGCTCTTGTCTCTCCTTTTTGTTTCTGTCTCTGTCTCTCGTCCGTTCGCTGGCCCTGCTCCGTTCCGAGCTATCAAATTTGATTGCATCGGCTCTGTGGATTCGGTGCCGTGTAGCAAATGTGGCTAATGGCCGTTGGAAGTGCATCCGCACCGTTGAAGTCTGTTTGAATGCACTGAAGTGATATAAAGTCGGGCTCGGTTTCGGGGTTCGAGTTGTAGTTCCTCAGACCAGCTCGACATTCACAATCACAATCAACAAATAATATTCATCACCCCGACCTGTCTTCCAACTACTGGACATTGGAGTTTCATAGTTTCATACAATCTCACTTGAATCAGTACTTCTGTTCTACTCTGCGACCAATCGACAGCGAACACTCGATACTCCACCCTGCACTTTTTCTGCATCCTTCACCAATCGAGTATACAACCTTATTTCACTACAAACCCAACACGCCACAACCATGCCCGTCGGCCCTCGAGTATCCAAAGATGAATTCATGCACGCACTGGGTCTCAACCCAGTAGATCCGCACCATGAACAATACTATCGTGCCATGAGAGTGAGTAATCGGATCCAGCCCTGAGACCCTCAACCTCCCATTCTAACACTGAAAACTCAGGACGAAGCCATCATGGTCTACAACCGCTTAAACCAAGACACCTCAAACCTCCTCGACAACGTGCGCGCCGATCCAAACGCACGTCCCCCATTCTTCTGGCACCACATTCGACCAGACCGCCAGCGGTGGGCGATTCTAGAAATTTGGCGAAATGCTGCTCCCCTCACGCGGGCACTCTTCGACCGTGGCGCCACTAATGGCGAGTACGGACCCAATTGGGTGTCTGGGTGGTTGCTGTACAGTGTGTTTCGCTCACGGGATGTGAGAAATAATCGCAATCGGAGGAAGGGTGAGACGGGATCTTCTGCGACATCGGAGCCAGGTATGTTTCTGTATTGTGCTATCATGTTGCAAGTGCTAATTGGAGTACAGATAAGCAGCAAACTGGGCAGTCGAGAGGATACTATGACCCTGTGAGGAATGGGACAGTATGACATATTGGTGACTGTTGGTGATCTATTTTCTTTGGAGCTTTTTTGTTCTTTTCTTTTCTTGCGTTTCATGTTTGCTCGGTGACATCTACTTTGTTGCGATATAGTCCGAAATATGAAACACGGGTCATGGACTTCTGAGAAGACCGAGACCTGAGAATGTAATTTAATACACTGAATGCAGAAGCAGACGCTATTTGTACCCGAAATGAAGATAAAATATTTAGCAGAAAGATACACTTGGTATCAATCAATCAGACTTGTTGTCTCCATCGTCGGATTCCTTCTTTTCCTTCTTCTCTCCGCGGTCCGATTTGAGGACCTCCGTGACGCGTTGATCGTGCTCATCGGCCCGCTCATCCCACTCCGCATCGTACTCGGCGGCGATGTTTTTGATCTCCCGGCGGAGGGATTTGCCCTCATCAATGAGAGACTCCCAAAGCTGTAGATCGATCTTGTGCAGGTTGTACAGCTTCTTCTGTCGGGCACTGATGGTGAAATCCAGCGCCGATTTATATGAGATCTCCCGGTTGTGATACAGGAACCACAGGTAACCTCCCATCAAGGTCGACAAACTGACCAGGTAAGTCACAGGTTCCATAGTGTCCCATCCAAGTGAAGTCTCGAAGGTCAATCTATAGACCGTAAGCCACCATACGGCCAGAATGCCGAATCCACCCATTGCAACACGCTGTGCACCGCGATGCGCAAGTGCATCACACTGTTCCTTGACGTTCGCCATAGTCTGGATGCGACGGGCGAGCTTGCGAAGGCGCATGCGCAGATAGTAAGTGCGCTCATTGAAAGACGGCACCGCGACGCGGATCTGGCCAAGGCCTTCCGGTGCACCCTCAATAGTGACAATGAACTCGCCTGCTCGCGACGCATCACGAATAAAGTCCCCGACCTCGGTGGCTTGGGACCAGCGGACGAAACGCTCAGGCTCGCCTTCGGGAATATCCTCGGAGCTTGATACGCGAGGATAACTGATAGTCTCAGCATCTTCCTCACGCGATCGTCGGCGCTGTATCGGACGACTACCCTTGGGCCTGCTGCCGCCAACGCCATCGTTACCGGGGACGAAATCGTTGTCATTGCTCTTGCCGGCATCAACGTCGATGTCATCTTCGATCTTCTTTTTGGGCTTGATAGCGTTGTCCTCGTGTTGCAGGGCAATAAAAGACACAGCGGGCGGACGAAGCTTGTCGGTTTGACCAATGATTGGGGGCACTTCGGATTGAATCAATCGCTCCAGATATGATAGTGGTTGTTGAGGATGGACGAGGATTGCGATGGGTTCGATTTCTGTGAACGTCGTTAGTTAAGCCCTAAGGATATCGGAAGCATGCTTGCCTTTATCACGACCCTGGTTGCCGATAGTTGTCAATGGAACGATCAGCTTGAAGAGCCGTGAAGGAGTCGTCAACATTTTGCCTAATGTAATTAGCGAATATGGTTGAAAGTCGTCATGACAGAAATTACCTTTGGTCATTCGCTCAGGCCACTTGTTTCCCTCCAGCGGCGACTTCTTCTCTTTCTTATCTTCATGTAGTATCGTGTGCTGGGGACGAGCCTCTTGGTTGCCTTCTTGAACTTCAAATTTTTCCAACAGCTCTTCGGTCTTGGGATTGTCCCCCGAGACTTGAGTGTGATCCGCTTGGCTAAACCCTCGGATCTGACATCCAAAGTGTTTCGCCGGGAGAGCAGCTGGAACAGCACATGACAATATTGTTGTGGGTGGTAGCACAGGGGCTCTGGGTCTGGGGCTTCTACCCAGACATCTCCTTGAAAAGGAGCGAATGTATCCAGATGAGGCCACAGAACCCTTAGTCCACCCGTTCAGCCCCGAATGTCCAAGGCTCCCCATAGCGGAGGGAGCTCCCCGTTGTGATACCATTCGCGTCGCCGCAGACATGGCAGGGGCACAATTCCGTGCTGACAGATACATGCTGAAGATAGGATCTCCAGGTACTCAGATCGATTTGTGGTGTCTTTATCCGCGTCGCATTGAGGGAATGTAATATGAGGCAATCGCGAGAGTTTGGCTGTAGCTGATGAGATTCACGACATGACGAAGAGGCGTTTCAGGGGTGGAATTGAGATTGGGTTGATGATATAGGCACTAAGAATAACACAAGCAATGAGCTAGCGGGGATGATCCAGGCGCATTGGAGCTCATCTTACCTGATGCCTTGAATTCCAAGGAAGAGTCTGACGTCAGAGTCTCGTCTCAACGGTCTCGGCACTTGGAAGGCGGTGTGGCGCGGTGTGGCAGTGCATGTTCTTTACACCAGAAACGCCTCTCATTGGTTGGCTGACGTGTTTAGCAGAGGCTAATTGGCCAAGATGTATGGGGATTGGCTTTCATGAAACGTGAAGCTCACGCTGGAAGTAAGGGCCAGAGCGTAGATTGGGCTTTCTCACCAAATTTCCATTTGCGATTCCACAGTATATCTGCCCAATGTAATCAATAAATCGGGTGTCTTTAGAACTAATGCCTAAATGCCATGAGCTCGTCGCAAGCCCTGTTGAATATACTCAGAAATCCCTAATAACCAAGTCTCTGTTCACGGCTTACCCAAGACTTCCTTTACTCGACCAATCATAACTACTCGATGATTGGTTTGAAAGGCAGTAAAAAAGATAGCCAAAAGAATAGCCAAAAGAATAGAATATAAGTGGCCTTGGAATATGGAGTAACGTCTAGTAAATATCGATCAATTCTGATCTCCAAATATTTATAGATGGGATAGTGATAAGTGCCGTGCACATTGAGCTAATACCTAGTGTAATGGGGAAACCGCGCCAGTACTCAGGTGTGCCTCAGGCATCCAAGGGGTATTTCTAGGCCCAATCCCCTGGCATAGCAATTCAAGCATTCGACATCTCTCGCAAGAACAGTATCTCTTTCCTATTCCGGTAGTCCTGGGGGGCCTGCGTAGCTCCCTGATCCCGCCGAGCACTGAGCACCCCCGTCGTCTTGTCTGCGATGTCAGACCACCAGCGCGCTCTTCCCACTATACTAGGTACGCAGCTGCTCCATTTTATAGCCAACTATCGATGTCTTTTTGGCCGCGCGTGAGCGCGGCACTCCGGCTTGTAGTTCAGTAATTTAACATATCATGTTTGCTGATCCATCTACTCCGTATGGATATACCGTGTGCAAAGAGATACGTTACTTACCTCGAGAACTAATTGGCTGGCACTGACTATTGTGTTGGGGCCCTTTGTTTCCCTCTCGCTTCCCTCTTGAGCATAAAGAAGATGGTCACATAAATCACAGCAGCTACCGAGCAAAGACCAAGATATAGCTTTGCACCGATTCGCCAATGAGGTGCCTCTGAAGCTGGGTAGGCAGCGATTGGTAGGAATGCGCTGAAGAGGTATGAAAACAAAGTCCCGGTCGCAAAGAGGACTGTGCGAACTTGAGGCTCTTTTTCGAGGTGTGCAGATGCCCACGCACAAAGAATCATAGTCGATACCCTATTGCAGTTAGACGACGTGCTTAAATGACCAAGCTCGGGGATAGTGCATAATACTCACGCGCCTACATAATTCAAGTACCATCCAGCCATATAAGCGTGCTCATTTCCCGGTCGAATGATCAGAATGATGAGTGAGGTGATGCTGATAACCTGGGCTTTGGATCAGTATTAAACGTCCCCTGGTGGTGGCCACTTACTGATTGAAGAAGCAGAAATGGCAATCGAGTTCCAAGATAATCACTGAACCCACTGAACAGAAGCTCTGCAACTAGCTGCAATGCTTGGCCGGTGATGGGTAAATAGTTCAGCATGCCGACTGAGCTAAATTATGCAAAGTCAGATAAAGCGTCCAGTACTATACTGCAAATAGTCACTTACTATCTCTTGGTTCCATCTGGATTTTTTAGTGACTTTAACCAAAGGTTGAAATAACTAGAAGGCGTGATTCCAGATCCAATAGCCCAGGCAACTATCAAATGAGGTTAGTGGCCCAGAATGAGTATTTTTCCATTGACTCACTTGAGAACAACCAAATATGCCAGAACTTGAAGCAGCGGAAGAAAGTCTTGACTTTTATACCCACTTGGGCATCACGCCCTATCCGCCGAGTTCTCGCCTCGGCCACTTCTGCAAGTGATGATTAGCCAGGCTCTCTTCTCGAATATTCCTTTGATGGTCATGATTGTACATACCAATGTCTCGGGGTCTCAGATAAAACTTGGCCAGTGGGTTCGGACGGTCCGGCTTTTTGTGTTCGTCAGTCTATGCTAAAACGTTCACAAAGGTCGTAGAGGTCGGTTCTTACAAATCCTGGTAAGAGAACAAACGCAAGTAGAGCAATGAAAATAGTGCAAACACCCTGTAATGTTAGATAAAATTTCGAATCTTGGGCACCAGTCAAAGGTACTTACATTAATAATGAATGCCCATCGCCAGCCAGTCCGACCAAGTGCACCATCCAGATTTGTTGAAAGCGCACCCTGCATTGCACCTGACAGCATTGCTCCGACAGGCTGAGCTATATTGTAAAGACTCATCCTCAAAGCCATTTCGTGTGGTAGATACCATTGACTATGTCAAAATCAACAAGATGCCATTGCACATAAAACGGAATACCCACCTGATCATTGTGAAGTAACCAGGCCAAGTTGCACCTTCGAAAAACCCGATCAGAAATCGAAGACCATATACCTGAGAAAAGAGTGTTACTTCCAAGGTTTCACAAGCATATCGGGGGAGCTAGTGGTGTTTACCTGCTTTTCATTGGAGACGGTGGATAGGCAACATGTCAAGACTCCCCAGATGACCTTGTAAGATTGTGAGTCTCCTTGAAAAATTGAGCATCAGTTTGGTCCTTACTTCGCATGTGGGTAGCCATATTGATGGCCCGACGTGAGATATAATGATACACGAGGGATATAACATGATCATGTAGCCAATACTATTACTGTCAATGAGAATTTCCCGAAATGAAAGCAATAAGCACGTACTTGAAAAAGGTGGTGAAATAATTGAGCTCATTCCCATAGAGCTTGAGGTCTGTTTCCATTCCAGAAACATATGCATTACTCTGATAGAAGATTAGAGCAGAACGCATCTTTGGTCGGTGATAGTCGTACGATGTTGGTCTGATCGAGGTACTTGAATGCATACCCCAAGAACCCGATCGTCAAGAAAAAGATGTCCAAACGCCAGACCTGATCAAAGTATTAGCGATGTGAATTGGCTCGCGTTGAGTTCATGAACCTACCAGAGCCCTTTCTTCCTTTGGGTCAATTTCAATAACTGGAGAAACCGTGCTCGTAGCATCTTTGACACTAGAATGTACTGAAGACTTCATGTCGCTGTTACTTCATTGATCAAACATGAAATGGAAGTTGGGCGAAGTTTTTATTCTCGAGTGTGACACGAGGAACAGAAATTAATATGTCCGTGGAGTCAGGCCTGGAGGATACGTATACAAGCGATATCTTATGGTATAACACGAAAGTTCCAGGTGCAAAACATCGCTGAACACGCTAAATTTTATAACTAGCTCTTTTTTTAATCTAATAGACATAATCTTGTACAGTTATATGGGGCCGAAATGGCATCATTGGAACTAACCAAAACTCATCCGGTGCTTATCTTGATGCAATCCTATCACCTATTCATTGATTGAGCTGAACAATTGTGTTGTGCAGTTTTAGAAAAAACAATTATTCGTTTCAAGATTATAGAATTGGTTCAAACCCCCATGGACTCTTACGCGCCAGATTTTCACATCGATGCATTTTCTGAAAGCTTTCCAAGGTTGATCTAAAGCACATACAGATGACACCATTATAGCCACGATGGTGAGGATGTTGACTAGCGCTATTATGTCGAATTAGCAATTTGTCATTTCGATTGTGCCACATACATCTGCACCAAATAACAGTTGAAGTGCCCTCAAGCCCTGGACGCTGTTTGCAAATTTCTTCCCGAGTTCTTTTTATGTTTAAAATTAGAGTATAGGGTTTCTGGCATGGTTATTTCTTATTGTAGTTTTCAACTGCTGGTTTCGAGAAAAGCTAAATGTTGTAGTGTTGGGGCTAGCTCAAGCCCAAACCTTGGCAATTCAAAAGAAGGCCCGGGGATATGAGATTTGCCCTGTTAATTTGACAAACTGCCAGACCCACTCAGTAGTACGAAGCTTGGTTTGGTCCTGACTTCTGAGATCATATTTTGGAAGGCTTCTCTGCCTGATTTCTGCCTGGCTCCGAAAGTTCCGGCACAAACCTACCGCTCTCCCTACCGCCTGTTTTCGAAGACCCACCCTTGTCTTGGCGGAGAATCTAACCATTTTGGGACGTCACTTCATGCGGGGTCTGGCCCAGCCAAACTCCGCCGACCCACCTCTCCTCCGTACACTTCAAACACCATCACTGTAGTTACCATGTGGTCTTGAAGTTCAATTATTAAGAATTGATCCACACTTTGACCTCAATGATTAATCATAAGCGGAAGTCCATGTACTTAAGGGATGCTCTGCCCCGGGACACCCTCCTCCTTTCTGCATCCACCACATAGCAATAAATCGAACTTCATCTCTCCCACACTTCATCCAAAAAAGAAGATCAAACAATGTCTCCATCAGCTCAGTCTTTCCGTGAGATTATTGGGGTGCCCCGCTCCTCGGCCTCCCCGCAGGACTCAACCCTCATCATTATCGACGCCCAAAATGAATACGCCACCGGCGCTCTGAAGACGGAAAACGTCGCAGAAACCCGCAAGTCTATTGCCAACCTCCTTGCAAAATACCGCCAGGGCGGCGATGGCAAGAACATCGTGCACGTTGTCCATGCGGTCCCTGAAGGCGCGCCCGTCTTCACACCCAACACTCCACTGGCGCAAGAGTTCGAAGAGCTCACCCCGAAGGCGGGTGAGAAGGTCGTTACCAAGAACTTCCCTAGCTCCTTTGCTCAGACTGATCTTCATGCCTATTTGCAAGGACTGGGCGATCTGGGCAAGAAGGTCGTGCTAGTCGGCTATATGGCGCATGTTTGTGTCTCTACAACCACCCGTGCGGCTGCGGAGCTTGGATATGATCCCATTGTTGTGAGGGGAGGCTGTTGGGGACAGGAACATTCCTGGTGTCGATGCTGCAACTCTCGTGTCAGTTGCTCTGGGCGAGCTGGCGGATGCTTTTGCCACTGTTGTTTCCGAGAAGGAGATTGGGGCATAAAGATCTTAAACAGGTTGGATTTCGTGACCAAGCATACGAGTAGCATGGGCCTCATTCTAGTGATGGAGCTTTTTATGCTTTGGTCGAGGATGAATCAACCAGCGCTGATGTTATTTTAAGCAAACGCATATAAGGAACTTCATTCTGTCTTCAGTGACAATTACCAACAATTTGTACTCACCCGCGGACAGGTCCGTCAGTAAAGGAGTCTTGTAAATGGAACACAAGTAGTTACATGACCCACATGTCATTTTCACACTAAGCTAACATTCTGAGGTTCATATTCAATTCGCAGGGGCGAACTTCTTGTATCCTGAACCCTTGACGAAGGTCTGTTGCCAAGGTCCCTGAGACTTGCCCTCAGCAAGCTGCGCATAAAGCTCGGCATGTGCCTCTCCGTCAATCTGAGGGGTAATCGACCCATCAGCCTTGCGTTCGTCGGCGTAGTAAAATCTATGAACAGTCAACAGGAGAGTAAAAATAGCGGAAGCTGAGGGTTTCTGTACTTGAACCCGCGATCAGAGTAAGAAGTTGCGGCGGTTTGTATAACATGCGCCGTGGCCGACTTTCCAACGCCCAGATCCAAGAGAGGTGGAATGACGGTTGTGTTCAACATATTACCGGTATAAATGAAAGTTTTCGATGCCGAAGGGGGAAGTTCTTGAAAGGCTAGAACTGCTTGCTGTGCAGCGACAAAGGCACTAGTAGTGTTGACATTCAGGTCACGAGTGAAGTCAGATAGAGGCAAAGAGAGAGGATTCTCCCCATCAGCCCGGGTCAAAGCCGCCGCTTTAAAGTAATGGAAGTCAGCAACAACGTCTGCAAGCTTGCGAATGACATACCATTGTACACCACAACACTTGGGGTACCGAGTGCGGTTTTGACTTTCGAGAAGGCGTCAACTACCGAATCTGGGTTGGACAAGTCGCTATGGATGTTGAGTTGATCCACAGTGCTTTCTTGGTCTTTCAGCGATCTCGAGGCTAGTGCGACCTTGTAGCCTTTGGCAGCAAAGACCCGCGCCACATTGATCCCAATGTTGGGCCCTGCGCCGAGAATCAAAATAACGGGCGATTGAGCTGACATAGTATTAATGCTAGAGTTGAATGTGTACTATCAAAGAAAGGAGTTGGAGAGGAAATATATGGTATGATTTCCAAGGTTGACTTGATTTATACCTCAAAAGGCTGTGCTGACAAAAGCGTGTGAAATGACGAATCTTCGGTGCTGACAACTTGTATGCTTCCAAGGTTGGATCCGAAATGGCCTAAGTATCCATCCTGCCGCTCCGGTTCGTCAACTTTTTCCGAGTTGGTGGCTTGTGCGCTTGAAGCATGAGGAAGCACCCCGCTTGGTAGTGATGGGGTGATTTATAATACCCTTGGAATTACGAGGCATGCAAGTTGCTCGTCACGGAAGGAATTGAAATCAGATTAATCATTTTGCCTACCTAACTGCAAAGATCCAAGATGAATTGACTGGATTGAATTGAGTCGTAAACTTGTCTCTCCCCTCCAGCCTCTATTCATCCCAGAAGAAGGAACGCAATTTTTTTTGTAATATGAGATCTAGGTACCCGTCGACCACAGCGTCTCTCTGTCAGGAAATGACCTCCGGCCTTGCAGTGGTTTCCTCTCTGACTTTTGTTCATTTCGATCATATGTTATATCAATGGGTTCTGAACAAGCTCCGCTGCTGGCTCACAAATAGCGGGCCATATATTCTTTAACAGTTAGACCTAATATTCCGTTCTCATGGTTCCAGGTCTTGGACAAGTCCCAAGACACACCACGACCTTCTCCGAAGACAATCTGATATTTGTAGATCTCATTGGTTGGTTCTTTTGCGAGATCTGTCTGCGCAGATTGAACTGTTCGCAGAGTTCTCTGAACAGGTTTTCCAGTGGCCTTTTCCAGCAAGAGGGCCAAATTCGCGTAGCTCAGAGTGTCACCAGCAATGAAAATCGCGTTGTTGGTGAAAGCGGTCTCGCCCTTGTCTCCAAGCAAGATCTCTGCAGTAATCTCACCAATGTCCTCTGGGGCCGTGACCGTGACGGCTGTATCCCAACTTCCTAGCGCGCAAACAGCATTGTTTTTCAAATCGACAACACCAAACCACGGTTCAAACAGGAAGCTTATGAACATTCCGGTGGAGATAATCAGCCATTGAGTAGTGTTCTGTGATCGCAGTAGATCGCGCACATCCAGCTGTTCGTCAAAAGGTCCTGGGCGGAGCCTCGACCGATGATATCGTAGTCGACTCCGAATTGCCATGGAATGTAGCGCGGGACCTTGGCAGCTAGTACCGCATGGGCCAGTTTGCGTTGTGTGCCCCTTCCAGCAGCGAATCCAGTGCAGCTAATGATTGTGTCATACTGGCGAAATATTTGAGAAAGCGATTCTTGAGAATCATTCGTGAGATCACCGGGAACCGTTGAAATGTTTTGGTCGTGTAGCAGGGAAGTTGGTTGCGCCCAGTCTTGAACTTTTGAGGAAATGCTGGATGGTCGCAATAAGACAGTGATGGTGATGTTGTCTGATTGGGGATGTTTAGCCAGTGAAGACAGCACCTGTGTGCCCAACTCTCCTGCGCCTAGGACAAGAATATTACTGATGCCTGCCATAATTCAGGGAGATCCTTCATGAATGACAAGGTTGTCTGGCTTGGAGTAACAAGAATGGGCCTTATATAGCATGAACCATCCATGGACGGCCCTAATATTGGTATTAATAATCCCCCGGCCGCATCCTCGTATTTTGCGGTGTTTATTTTTTTTATCTCCGACAAGGAGCAAAATGTTTGTCATGGCAGAAGTATGCACACAGTCGAACGCTCGAGTGTATTGACATGGCGTTGAGAATTTATCTCAAACACGCAACATGAAAAGAACACTGATATTAATTCTCATTCCTCCGGACCACCGGAGAGAGAGGGAGGAGAGAGAGAGAGAGAGGGCCCCGCTCAACATCGTGACTGAGATCAGGGTAAACTGATCCTGAGTCGTGAGAAATATTTTGCCCCCACGATTATATCTGGGGCTGGCTAAGCATCGTCGCCGACACCGCGAAGCTGGACCAGAAGTGTCGCAATCCGCGCTATGCGATTGCGCAACTTCATGCCAAGCGCGCCGCCCTTGGCGCAGGAATCACAACTCTTAGCGTCGGAGACTGGACGCCCAGGTGTCTACATGTGACCTCACATGATCTGGCCAAGCTCTCACCTCCGTAGGGCTGGCTAATGTTTATCCGCCGAAGACTCGCATCAGCACTCCTGTGATATGGGATGCTATCGCCGTCAGTGGACCGCGTCCAAGACTCTTGGCAGGATGATTGCACCGCACAAGCCGCCTAAGAACCCATGATTCAGGACCTAAGATGAGAATGCCCTCCCAAGCCTCTTGGCATGGGTCCGACGCGACAGGGTAAGCAGGATGGGATGATTGGCAGCTCCTTGGCATCGGTCGAGATCATACAAAACTGGCTTTTGTTCGCCACGGCAGCACCTGAGCTCTTTCCCTAACCGACTTTTCAGTGAGCTTTGATTTCTCTCAAATACTCAAATATCTTGCTGTATGGTTATTCCAGAGCCTGTTGCAACTTTCACAATCAGATCGGCTCCACGATGGTACTTGCCCCGTATTTGAGGAAAGTTGTGCAGTACCCGAGAAGTCTCGCGCACTCGTTCGGGAGCACCAAAGCCGGGCGTTACTTGAGCAAAGTCGGCAGCTGGATCGCGCCTCCTCCAAACAAGTCAGAAGATGGGCGTGACCAGTGGCCCTCCCGAGCAGCTTTCCTGCTTGCCGCCATGGGAGGCTGCGCCGGCCAAGGAAACTTGCTACGATACCCCTCAGTGGTCTACAACAATTACGGGTTGCAGTGGTTTATTCCCTATCTGATAGCAGTGTTTGCTGTCGCCATTCCAGCCCTCATACTCGAGATCTCAATCGGACAAGCTTATCGGGGCGGAACGGTGATCGCCTTCAACAACATCAACAAGCGATTGAAAGGTGTTGGTCTGGGACCGATTCTGGTCAGCTTTGTGGTGGTACAATACTTCACTGTGAATTTGGCGTGGATCATGAATTATTTCCGCAACTCGTTTACCAGCCCGCTGCCATGGGAAGGTAGAATCGAGGAGTTCTACATGGGCGATGTTGTTGCCAATGTTGATCCGATCGAAGGCAGTCTCACGGCTGGAAACGCCGCTGTCGCAAATTATACCGTTTACCCCGGTGTCGCGCTGATTGGCGAGACGGTTGGATGGAGCGCCTTCATTTGGTTCCTGATCTGGATTTCTATCTTCCGTGGAGTCGGACTGACTGGTCGTGTGGTCTACTGGACCATGGGTCTGCCAATTGTCACCACAATCATTATCGTCGGCCGCGCATGTTCTCTGGAGAATGCGCGTGAGGGTATCCGACTTCTATGGGCCACTTGGAGGAGCGATCAGCTAGCCTCCGGCACCGTGTGGCAGACCGCAGTCGGACAGGTATTCTTCTCGACGGGCATTGGCTTTGGCTATTTCACTTCATACGCTTCCTACAACTCGAAGCATTCAAATGCAGTCATGGACGCAATACTCATCTGCGGAAGTAACATTCTATTCGAGAACTTTGCTGCATTCGCTGTCTTTGGTGTCGTGGGGTATCTCCAACGTTGGCCACAGGATGGCGAGAGATTGGGTGCCTTTGTCGTTGGGTTCTTGACACTCCCCGAGGCTGTTCTCCATATGCCGGGTGCCAACTGGTGGGCAATCCTGTTGTTTTTCACCTTGGTTGTTCTCGGATTCAGCTCGGCCTTTGTTATGCTTGACGCGGTTGCAACTTTGGCTGTGGACGCGGGGATGAAAATGTCGAGGCCGATGATTGTAACGGGCTTGACTATCATCTCCTTCCTCATGTGTCTGCCATACTGCACTCAATTTGGATTCTACTTACTAGATGGAATTGACAGGTGGATCAACAACGTCTGTTTGATCTTTGTTGTCTGGTCAGAGCTCGTTGGAGCAACCACAGTCTATCGCTGGCATGACGTGGTGAGCCAAACAGGGCTTCCTGCTTTCGTTGTGTACAATTTTGGATACTTCGGTGGCCAAATCATTGGTGTTGCCGTTGCGCATGGTGTGTCGGACCCAGCTGCCGGTGCCGGTGCCGGGTTTGGCTTATACATCGTTTGTTCAATTGTTTCCACCTTGATTTCTACCACGCCTGCTATCAAAGCAGCCAAATTTTGGGGTCGGAATCCTCTACTCAGTCGATTCTGGTACCTAGCCTTCTATTCTGTACGTTCCCTGAACCCACAGCTGAAGTAAACTGACTGACACCTACAGGGTAATCAACTGAGACGCGACCTCAACCTCGTGGTTGGTGGTAACGGGAACTGGAACATCCCGACTTTCTGGCCCGTCCTACTCCGTTATATCAGTGCACCTATCTTGGCGATTGTGTTCAGCTTCGCGTATCCGGAATTCTACACCTTGCGATATGATCCTATGATGATCTCTGGATTCATTCTGGCACACATTTGCTTGCTCTTGATTCTTCTTGGTGTGGTTTTCCCACGATACTACGATATCTTCATTCCTCCCCGCCGAAGAGTCGAAGGCACTGAAGTCACAATCGCCAATGAACCCAAAGAGCAGGAATTTGTGCCGGAGGGGGGTGTCTTTGATCAGGAGTCTGGTGTTCATGCATCTATTCCGAAGAATAGCTCCGAGAGATTTGACGCAGAGCATTCAACAGCGCAACCAAAGCTGTAAGCTCCAGATTCAGGATATCGGTCAGATCAAACATAAATGTAATTTTTCTCCTTTCTTATCATCTGCTTTTTTGTGTTATTGCAAAGAGATTTCTCCAACCTTGGAACTTCCTGGGCGAACCGCTCCCTTCAACTATTCCTTCTTCTGGCTATTTATCAAGTGCCTCTCAAGGAGAGATCAACTTGCTTGGAAAAGTAAAAAGCCCACTTCTCAAGCCTAAAACCACCCGCAAAGTAAAGTGAGCCGCGCAGTGTGTATTGAGTTGTCGTGGTTGTTTGTGCCTCAGGCTTTCCACAACCATGCGCCTTCCTTTTCCAATGAAGTCTACCTTACGCCTTCTTCATCTCTCTTCCTCTTCCTCTTTTCCTCTTGGAAAACTCAAGACAACTTCAGTGGATCACTCGCAAGTTTCTTTCACTCATCTGATCCAGCTGGATATAGCTCGGAGATCTGGTAAGTCGATGATTCTATCTGATATGAGATTATTTTCATGAGCAGATGGCCTGAATGACAATTTCCTATCCGTGCTACAGGTCTCACACAATGGGTTCTCCGGCTCCGGACTTAGAGGGCCAGCCCCTTGGAAAGGACACGAAGCTGCCTCTGCGGCCCGAATATCTCGATCCACGTCCACATCGCCGCCATCCTTTCTCTAGCTTTGTGCCACGCAAAAAGTTTCAAACCTGGACAAGTTACCAAGGTCAAAAAGCTCGTATCGATAATTGCGGAAAATGGGCCGAAATTGTCGAGCAAGAATTCGAATCTATGCACGAAGAGACTGAAAAGATTCTGCGAATCCAAGCTCACCTCTCGGGATTGCCGCAAAAGACTGAAAACAACGATGCTGCACCCACAACACCACCGGAACAATTGGGAGCTGCAACTTCCACTCCTTCACACACCACATCTATGGAGGACAGCGACAAGATCGACATTGCCTTTGTTGCAAGTCTACACCACGCTAGTCTCAGGCGTCTAGAACTTCTGGTCGATTTTATCAAATATGAGAGCGATCAGATCTCAGCTGACATGCGTGAGAGCGAGCCGACATTCTCTCTGCTAATGTCTGTCATCACTGTGCTGTGGTCTTTGTACACTTGGTGGTGGATGTGGTTCTTGCTTTATGGTGTGCCCTGGAGCCTGAAGCCTTCCATAACGATCATGAATCTGTGGATCACGATTTTCCTCAACATGTTTGCAGACGCTTCAAGAAAGTGATCTCATCGATATTTTTCCTTGCTTGTGAATTACAGAGTCAATTTCCGCAGCCCTCGGATAAGCTCTGCCTCTATGCTGAAAGATGCGGAATATTAGCAGTTCTATCGATTATGATTCAAGTCGAGTTTTCGATGATAATCAATGACAACAAAACTATGGCGGCCTTGCCAACCTTTTCGAAACCAGAGGCGATGGATAGCCTGGAGGTATGCCGACCAGACCCTGGTATCGAAAATGCTTGTATCGAGGAATAGCTTTAGCCCTATTATTTAGTCAGGCCCAAAAGTCTCTCGCTCCGTCTTAAACATCTATTACGCGTTGAAAAGCTCAATTATCCTGCACAGAAGAAAATAGAGTACAACCCACTCTTTATCTATCAGTCTTTCAGACTTCACCCCTGGAGTGTTACGTCAAAAGCTCTGGGTCGACTCCAGGGCTGCGCCCGGGCGTTGAAGAATGACTAGGGACACAAAGGGAAATAAATTACCAGAGCATCACCCAACCAAAGGGTCAGCCCAGCATTCCCTTTATGATTCTCTTCTCTTTACTTCTGTTACGTTTAATCAAAATCTCTGTTTCGCGAGCTGTAGTAAATATAGCACAAAGGCTCAACTTTGTCTCTTTGTGAATTCCGAAGGAAAGGACTTCCTCACCATCAACCCATACTTGGGACTATGTTTGCTTAAATATAGCAACTTACCTCCTTTGTTACTTGACTGACTTTATCTACCTCCTCAACCTAGCACAAAGGTTTCCGAGACGCAAATTTCACACAGTGCCGACGCATCTGCGTTAAACCTCAGACATATCTTCTACTAACCTTTCAACATGGCAAGAGCAGCGCAGAGAAAGCCTTCTAAGAGTGCAGCTGCAAGGCCTGATGCAGCCCGGGCGAACCCTCGACTGATTCGCCAGCTTCATCACCAACCCCACGTGCCATCGATGCCTCATCATCAGGGCAGCGGAAATGATATCCAAAATTTTTATGACCATCGCCCTCTGACTGATGATCAAATGGGTTTCTGGGTGGATCAAAGGCCTGGGGAGATCCCTTTCCATACAGGTGCGTCTTGATGAGCACTGCATTGTAACGAGCGCTCGAGGACATTTGGGGTCCATATTTCTCGTGCTATCATATCTCTCTGTTTCCAATGTATTGTACCGTGGCCAAGTTCCAAAACTAATTCAACGCAACAGAAGCATATAAACTACCCCAGATATACGGTCTACCCCTTCAAACATATCAGCCGCCTGTCCAGACACGCGGGCCTCAGGTCCAAGCATATCAGCCGCCTCCAATTACGTCAACATACCAGCTACCTATCCGTTCCTACTCTCCTGGAAACATAGTGGATCCACGGATGACGATGGGTCCTCCACAAAAGAGAAGTCTATCGACAAATTTGGATATAGTCTATTCGGCTCCAAAGAGGAGAGCAATAAGCTCTAATACCAGAGGTCTGGCAGACACAGGTATAATCACTCCAAATGATCCTTACGCGGATATTTACACGAGATACGAACCTCTGAGTTTTCAAGATAAGTTGCCACCAGATGAAGACATGCCGGAGTATCCCAGTTCTTTCGATGAGGCTTATGAGGCGATTCTACTTGCTCGAGCAATCATAGACTTGGTTGAAATCGAATCATCAACGGAAAAGACGGATGAATTTTGGAGTTACTGCGAATACTAGGTTGGGTTAAATAATCGAATATAGACGAACTGTTTTTTGCTCATTTGTACTTTTCTGGGCCAACTAAATAGCCCTGTTGATGTATGTAGACCTCAGAACAGAGTAAGCCATATCTTGTATGAAGTAACTATCAAAGATTGTAACCTTGGAGCCTTGAATATACCTCACTCATGTGGAAGTGGTGATTGCAGGGCAGCCACCTGGGCACTTTCCAATATTGGTTTATATGTGGATTTCGATACTAATCCATGGAAAAACACCCTCTTCTTGCAAAGTACAGGAAGTAAAAGTGCTCCAACACCTCACCTGAATATACTAGCTTTTGTGGCTGGCGAGCGAGGCTTGAGACATAGCTACCCTCTGCTCTTGTCTAAAATCAAGTGATTAGCTTGAGCCATCCATGGATGGAGATGTATGCTGATGCTAGCCTCATACCCTTCCTCTAAATAGCATGTTCATGTGTCATCAAAGCATTTGGCTACCTCTTTGTCTCAATATTTTTGTTATGGTATTCCCTTTGGAGCCTTGGAAAACTACCTTTGTCCCAAAGCTTTCTTCGTCCTCTTGCATACTACTATGAATGCCATTGTCCAAGACTTAAAGCTATTCGAGGCATGATCTCCTTGTTCGCCTGCTTTAGAAAGCCTATATAACCATCACTGGTTCTACATCATACAGATTTATCATCAGCTCTTTAAAGATCTTCCGCATGCTATCAACAACACTTGCAACAATTCGAACTGCCAATCTAGCCACACTAGATTTTGTCCTCACCCTTCTAACCATGACAAAACGTACTCCCGGAAAGGCTGTCCCACGCGGCACGAGAAACATCTACGCCAAATTCAACATTGGTCTTGCGGAATTCGAACGCCAGGAAATTCTCTTGAATTTTCTCCGAATAAGCTACGTGCCTGAGCTCAATGAATTTCTCGACGATGGTGGAGATAGCACTATGTTTTTTCGGAGTCCACTACGCGCTAGAGCCTTCAAAGCAAAACTATTGGATAGGCTCCATGAGCTTCCAGCTGATATAAGAGCCTGTGCGCCCGACGATGAGACCTGTGTTAAATATTTATGGGAAATTCTCATAGAGCATCGGAACTTCAAGGAGAATGCAGTATGGTTAAACCATGCGACTATTAATCCCGATGGCTCATATGTTACTTTCAGTCGTGCTCGACCTGCTGGCCCTGCTGCTCCCCTCCCCGCTGTTGTACCTGGTCCTCCAATTGTCCCTGTCGGCCCAGTCGTCCCTGGTGGTCCCGGGTCTGGATTCATCCCTGCTTTCGCCCCTCCGCCTCCCCCACCTATTCCTGCTCCCGCAGTTGGTCCTACTTCCCCCGAGGTCGTCGATTTTGAAGGTGTTAGTGAGAGAGCTCCCAGTCCCGATCTTGGTACGGAATTTTTATCTACAGATGTTCGTCCAGAACTCCCTGGACTTCCTGCCATCTCAGATCTTTCGCCAGGTTCCAGGCATACTGATCTTCCTGTTCGTCCAGAACTCCCTGGACTTCCTGCCATCTCAGATCTTTCGCCAGGTTCCAGGCATACTGATCTTCCTGTTCGTCCAGAACTCCCTGGGCTTCCTGCCATCTCCGATCTTTCGCCAGGCTCTAGGCATACTGATCTTCCTGTACGTCCAGAACTCCCTGGGCTTCCTGCCATCTCAGATCTTTCGCCAGGCTCTAGGCATACTAATCTTCCTATTCGTGAAAAGAACCCCGATTCACCAGCTTCACTGGACCTAGAAGATCCCATTTTGGGCACCGCCTCCCCCACTCTGGAGGCTGGTGATCTATTTGACCAGTTCATAAACTATGATGCTGATACTGATTCACAGTCGTCCAAGAAGAGAGCGAATACCACCGAGGCTGAAAAGGGTGGAGTTGTCCCAGATAAGAAGACTCGCAAGCGTTCTAGAGATGACGAGGAGGAGGAGCTTCCCAAACCCACGAAGAGAACTAAGCGGCCCCGACAGAATATCAAGCGTCCCCGGACAAAGAATACTAAGAAATCCCGAACCAAAAAGGTTTAGGATTCTGCTGGCTTTGTGAACTTTGAGTGGAGAATGGGAAATTTTTGCAAGGTAAGTTGAAAGCTTTTGTTGTTCTTCGGTTGCTCTTTACATTAGGTTTCTTTTGGATTTTCGGCACGTTGACCTACTACTTCGGGGCCAGTGTTCACAGGTAGGAGTTATTGTTAGTGTTATTTGGCAAGTTAAGTATCTCTTCATTGAATCACTTTCTACAATCATGATCGTATTAATCCAGCTGTCAATACAGGTTAGAAGACTTCATCTCAAGGTGAATTGTAATAAATCAAATCCCACTTGGCTATAGCCTCGGTGGCATATGGACAGAGACGATACCTCCAGTGCTATCTTGAAAAATGCCTTCTTCTTTGAGACTCCTTGAGAATCCCCACGAGAAAAAAGGTAGTACAAGACAATCTGACATGTAAATTCATCGGCAACCACCACTGCACACAAACAACACGCAAACAGGGAAACGATCCCAAAGATACCACCATCTAATTAGCCCTCATCCTCAACATATTTTGCAGCTTTTCATCTATGAGAATAAGCACAGTCATAAGAATCATAAATCATAAACCCCTCATGTATCCCAGTCCTAGAACCGGATTCCCACCTCTTCCCGCTCAACCCTCACAGCCCGATCAGGACTACTCCCTCCACTCCAACTCCCATTCGAGCTCCCCGAAGAAGTAGAGTCGTCGCACTTTCTCCCGGTCCCAATAGCAACTGGAATTCCCTGCACCACGCCGCCATGGTCATGCCCAGCCGGGTACATGCCGTCATTGACGGAGAAGTTGCGGCAGATCAGGTAGGCGCGCATCGCGGCACTTTCGCGAGCGAGTGTTTCACTACTACAGATAGTATCTGTTTGATATTCGCGATTGTTCACGCGAACAATGCACGTGTAGCCGCTGGCGTTGGGAAACGCGTTGTAAGTGGGCTCCGGCCAGTGGCGGCGGCGGCAGAGGCCTGGGTCGGTTTGTTAGCGTGCTATTCAATACAGTTCTTTGTTTGAGCTGTGGGGGGTGAGGTAGGCTCGTTTGAAGTCACACTGCGGGGGTACTTTTGGCGGACTCACTCGTTAGGTAGAGGATATAGTACATGATGATCTGGGCTGGTGGGCTGGTGGGCTGGTGGGCTGGAGCTAGGAGCTAAAGTTGGAGAATGCTGCAAATTGAGCAACAAATCGCGACGATTACTCGGAACGCATTGGACTGGCGTTATGCGAGACGGGTGCGGTTTGAGATGCGGATATGCCCTGGTGCCCAACGGCTCCGCGTTTGTTTCAAGGTTGTTTTGTGTAGATGTCGAGAGGCTCGGGGGAGGATGGTGTGAGCTTCGTTGGATCCTTGGAAAGTGAAGGATTGAAAGTTCAAGAATGATTGCTCTATCTATACAAATACAAATATACCAATACCTCCGAGGGGTGGGAAAAAAGGAAATTAATTTCGGAGCAGCCATTGCCTCCATATAGTATACAGGCTATACCAATTAACCAAGGGTACCGTGTAAACAGGTGGGGCTTCTGCATTGATACTGAAGTCATACTGGTACTAGGATACTTGGGATAACCTTGGAATTGCAATTGCGACAGCGCACAATATGCTGTCAATGCAGACAGGCTGAAAGTCAAATCCGTGCAATTCACAGGGTCTACGGGTTGTTTGAGAGTCTCAGCAATACACCAATTCAATTCTTTAAATCCTTTTTCAACTGGAGACTCGGGGTGGAATTGTTTGTGTGAATTGACTCAGAATATAGTATAAGTTGTATAATGTCCTGCAGGCCGGTACCCAAAGACACACAGGTAACAGTACTGGGCCCGTTTTTTCGGCGGGTTTGACTGATGCGCTGGCAAGCTCATTACCAGTAGAATCAAACCGAGTTGAGACCGGGGGTGAGGTGTCTGCTTTCTGCAATTCGCCGATCGAATAAACATTTCGGAGACTATGCAGAGTCGAACCCGGGTGAGGATGCTAAGCAGCATTGCCATCCCAGCAAGCTTCGCTCTGTATTCTATGCATCTTGCCTCTGATGTGCCCCGCAGTCAATTGCCGCGCAGTGGACGCCAAGAGGCCAATGTTGTGCAGAACGCGTCTGAGTCAATGGAGCGGGGCAATTGGTAAGTGGGATTGTACAAAGGGAAATGAGAGCCTAGGTTCAAAGTGAAAGAATGCACAAAGTTACTCAGACGCAGTGATGAGTTGGCAGTGGGGAAGGGCGTTGGATTTATCTATATTCCTGTGACGATGATTCTTCCCATCTTGGGCCTCGTGCAGATCAGCAAACATCGAGGGGTTTTGATCGGCACTTTCGAGATCGATCTACTTAGAGGGGGCTGGTTTCAAAACACGGTGAAAGGTGGGGGTCGCTGGATACATCCAGGAATGTTAGAAATGGCTGGAAACTGTGCCATGACCTATAACTAGAACTAGAACTCGGACTCCGACGTTTCACTCGCCTCTCTGGTCGCCTAATCCCTTACTTCGGCCTAGGTGTCTGCTCCTCTCAACCACCATTCAAGCACCATCGCGTGGTTTCCATGCTATGACCGCGGGGCTTGCAGTGGCATCCAAGACAAGTCGTGCATCATGCGTTCGCTCGGAGCCCCCTCGGTACCTCTCAGCTAGTTTCCTTTTGTAGATGACGACTTCTTGCTTCGCGTTGTCCCACTCTTCTACTTAGACGAGAGGGGGTGGTCCTGAGACCAGAGCCGCATTCTCTCCGCATCTTTGTGTGGGATGAGATACAAGGGATGCAATGGGGCCAGCCGATCACCTTTGGAGAAAACGTTATCTGCGCTTTTGTTCGGGGATGATTTCCAGGAAAACGCAGAGGAGAATCCGTCTGACACGATACTTGAATCGGTGCGGTAGTGGTGGTTTTGGGTCGCACTTAGTCCTGCCAGGACGTAACAAGAGTGATAGGAATCAACGGACCTAGATGTCGTCAGCCAAAGCACTCATGGGCCATAGAGGGCAATACATACTTTCCGGGCTTATCACGAAGGCCTCCATCATTGCCTTGGCAGCATGCAAGGATGTATCGGGTGAGGCCCTCTCGACTGAAAAGGCTGGAGGCTGGAGGCTCAGTGCTACTGGGCTTGCCATCCAAGGAGGACTCAAGCAATGGCCAACACCCACCAACCCAATGGCTGTAGCACCCGTCCACTAGCTTATTAGTTCTTCCAGACAGTCCACCCTCTGGCGCGGATTGGCGTGCCGAGAGCCATGACACCAACATGGGAATGTCCATATGTCTGCTCCACCATTAGCAATCCAATGCATTTCCTATCTCCGAAAGGAGTACCGTTTCATACCTAGTGAAGACCTCCTCCGGGGGTCCCATAATAGCAAGACACGCCAACGCGCAGAAAGCATATGCACCATGGGCCTCAGCTCCAGGACTCCCAGAAATGCCACCCTCGAACGTCTGGCCTAGAAAAGATTAGCTTCCTGCCAGACAGCCAACCAGAGCCTCGACTCACATCTCGAAATATACTGCGGCAGACCACTCGTCAAAGTCTCCAATCCAGCGTCCCGCGCTTGACCATCCGCCAGGGTGAGCGGCAGATCCAGCAAGGAAATAATCGTCATAGCGCAATATGCGCCTCTACGAAACGTCAGAAAGTCAATTCTAGCCACGCTCGTTGCCTCACGTACCGCACGTCCTCTTCGCCGCCCTCGCAAACCCGAAACCCGCCATCAGGCTGCTTAAGCCGACTGAGCCATTGCCACCTGCACAAGTCAGACGCACATCATGCAAGCACCGAAATGAACAACTCACATCGCGTGTCGATCTACCAATCCCAGTGCCTCACCACCAACCATGGCAAGCGACAGCACGGCCGCATAACTGCCTGCCAGATGAGAAGTCTGGCCATGGCCACCTCCAAATCCTCCGGAGGGGTTCTGCATGGGACGAAGAGTTGCGATGACACTGTGCTTGTTAGCACATCATGTACTCCTTTTTCCCCCGCTCATTTTATTATTTAATTTAATTTTTTGGTTCGCAATCTCCCTGTCGAAACCGTTTCGAGAATGCTTTTTTTTCCCCTCGAAGCTCCAAGCACATGCGTAAAGCTAAAAATGTTCACGTACCGTCCTCGAAATCGACTCGTCTCTTCCCCCAGCATTGAGAACCCCGCAAGGCCCCAGTAGACCATCCACGGGCGGCTAGCGTCCATGGCCACGAAGCCGGCGGGATAATCCTCCAAGCTGTCGTAGAAATATGCCACATGAAGATCGCGCTTGAGAGCAGGGACGCCATGCTCGTTATGATCAATTTGGCTATGGTGGGTGCCTGCTAGAAATGGAAGGCATTTATCCCGAGTCGCATTTTGTAGATCCGTAGTCTCTGTGACGAGCGGGTCGATGATTGCTGGTGGTTGGGTAAAAAGAGCCGGGATCCCCGGGCGCGTCATCTTTTTCGGCTGTTGGATGATGCTTTTGGGGGTTTTCGGAAAGCGAACTTTTCTTCGGCCGGTGAGTGGCATTCACTTGGATTGAAGGGGTGTTATGTAGCTTCGTGTGTGAATGAGTGATCTACTTGCTATTGTTTCCGGTCGTGAATGGGTGGGAGTCACAAGTTTTCTTTGTCCGCCCGCGGGGAATCTCTCAACTTCGACCTCACTTTTCCCCTCCGCCCCCCATGTTCTTTCAGAACCCCTCGTTCTCGACTCCCACACGTTCCAAGTGTCCATGATTCATGGCTAGTTTTCAATTTACTCCGTACATTGTACCATGTTTGACTGCTTTTCTTTGTTTGTGCTCCAACCGGATCCAGTTATGGAGTTATAGAGTAGTCCCCGGTGGATTCGTATGCATATATCATATTTAGGTGCAGAGGGCTATTGAATCCTCCGTGAAGATGTCCTGCATGTCACCTTGCCACGATGTGTGTGATGTGACGGGTCTTTTGCACGAGTGCACAATGCATTAAGACTCCTTACATCGTGCAGGACGAAGAAAACAAAGTCAGAGCCCAGAAAATGACCTGTCGACTCACTTCTCAACCGGTTTTTCCCCAAGGTTTCAACGACTCCCCCAATGACTTGCTTACGACATACAGGTGATCTCGACATCGAAAATAGCCCAAACTACTGCACGGTCAGCATCCTGAATTGGGCCGGAGGAGACCAGCGCGTAAACGAATCATGGACATCGTGGCCAGCGGGCTGGGTCCTGATTGGATCTGATTAGGAAGGACTCAAGCACGACACGATCCGACTGTCAGATCGGATCTATTGCCACGGAGGCCCACGCACTGGCTCAACAATTGGGCTTTTTCTGCGCTGGTCCACTGATCTTCCCGTGTTCCGTTTAACCATGTCAGGGAAGTGAAAGAATATGACCAAGAATGAGTTTGGAGAATATAAAGGGTATCAGGTGTATAGTTTGTATACTTTCATACCTTGTATACCTTGTCCACATACTTGATATACTCCAAAATCGGAGTATGGAGTAGACAGAACAAGGCAGAGAAGGCAGAGAGCCGAAAAGGAAAGAGTCTTGGCACTGTGAGCTAACCCCAAATAGGAAAAGATACAATACAACAAAACATCCAAAACACAAAAACCATCGAAAACCTTTCAGAACCAGTCAGAACCATTCAAAAACATAAAAAACACCTCTCAAAACCACCAAGAAACACAAAAACACAATTACAAAAATAATTAAAAAAAAAACAAATTGATGTCCACATCATGGGATCAACATCTTCCTCCGCTCTGCTCACACCCTATCTCGACTTTTGCGCTTCTCTCAACGTATCAGAGTCCCCCAATCCCCCTTCCCCTCCACTAAAGTCAACTACTGCACCACTAGTCCTCGCCGTGGCAATTGTGGAATCTCCTCTCACACAGCCAGCCTCTCTCCACTCTCCACAATTCCCCTAGCGCACTTTGCTCACCGCTGCTTTGTCCCCCCCCACCGCCTCACTCAACTCTCCTCTTCATGGCTGTGTGACTCTTCTGAAGAAGGTCCTCTTATCCAGGCTGGTCCTTTCTTTCCCTTCTATCTCACCTTCCAGTGGTCGTTGAGACTCGAAAAAAAAACGTCATGTCAAATGTTGATTTATCTAGCGATGGCCTGATAGGCGTCGACTATGATTCAAGAGGCTATTTACACCAACCATGGCCTGTGGCGGTTGACCAGGCGCCCCCACGGTCAGATGAAGGCCATGGTCTCTCACCCTTACAAACCAGCGGTCACCCCCTGGAACAGTCGGTGACCCAGGATTCAAATCTCATGGTCGACTGGCACTTTCAATCGCTCCAACACGCCCCTCACCACCACCACCTTCCATATTCATCCGAGGACCCGTCGCCGCAATTTACCACCAGTTATGGCATGCCCATGCAATCCTCCCCCGTCGATCTCATGGCCGGACAGGGCCATATGGGGGCCGGTTTGCTCGACGGGCCTTATCTGCCCATGTCCGCCCCGGTCGACATGGTCCCATTCACGTATCAGGATTTCCAGCCGGACTTGATGGCCTTCCCCAACGGACTTCCGCCAAACGGGCTCACGGACGTCTATCATGCCCCGCACCACGTTCTCGAGAGCAGCTCCCCCACCGATACTTATTTGGAGGTTCGCTCCTTGTCCAGCAGCGACAACGGCTGGAGTACCATCGACCATCGTCGCTCTCTCGATTTTGGTTACCCCGAACAAGGCGTTTTTGTCAACCCCACCCAGACCCTACACGACCGCAGTCTCTCCGAGTCTTCATATTCAACTTCGTACGGCAGTTTCGTGGATATCACAAACCCCATCGGCTCTCCCGGCTCTGAAAACAATATGGACTTGCCGTGCTATACTCATGCTCATGGTCATGGCCACAGCCATAGCCATAGTCACAGTCATAGCCATAGCAGCCATAGTCACAGTCACTCTCACAGCAGCTCGATCGGCATGCCTGCCACCTCCCCGACGAGTAGCTCGGTGGTCCGTCGTGGACAATCTGCCGGTTCTCGCTCGCCGTCTGCCGTGAGTCCTACCGGGATGGTGCGGCCAGTTCCTGTCCCTATCAAGAAGTCTACATCTCCGGCCCGCTCAGCGGGATCTCAATCATCCGCCTCACCCCCGAGCAGGAAACCCTCCCGCAAGAGCCCGATCGCTGCCAAGACAGCTGAGACCAAGGTCCGCAAGCAGTCACAAACTGGCAAGCCCGAGACTGAAAAGCGGGTCGGCAAGAGAAAGGGTCCCTTGAAGCCTGACCAGCGTAAGCAAGCCAGCGAGATCCGCAAGCTGCGCGCCTGTTTGCGTTGCAAGTTCCTCAAGAAGACCTGTGACAAGGGTGAGCCATGTGCAGGCTGCCAACCATCTCACGCACGGTTATGGCAGGTGCCCTGCACTCGTATTGATATCAAGGAGATTGGATATTTCATGAAGGACTGGAAGGCGGACTATGAGCGCCACATTTCAATGGGCTTCTCGGTCGGAAACATCAAGGGATTCTCTGACCAAGAACGCACCTTGTTCATCACTCACGGCTACGGACAGATTCTCCCCATCAACGCACGTGAAGTCTACGTCCGTGACGAGCAATGCTTCACCGTTGACTGGATCGAGTCTATGCAGCGTGACCCCACGCAATACGAAGTCGAGACCGCCAAGCTCTCCGCTGGTATGGAGGGTATTTCCCATGCCATGTTGTCTGATTATCTCGACCGCCACATCGACGGTAACGGTACCTTTGAGAAGTTCGTCGATGATTACTTCGAGGGCACCCCCTTCCTGACCCAGATGCTGAAGACCGCCTTCCGCTTCTACTTCCGCACTAAGCTACCGGTCATCCGCAAAGCGCTGAAGCTGATCGTCGCCTACAACCTGACCCTCCACGTCACGATGGTTGAAGGAATCGGTGAGGAGGAAGGTTTCCTGGGCAAGATTGAAGATCTTGGTTCCAAATTCTCCGGCAAGACCATGGCCCCCGTCATGATCAACTTCCAGATTAAATGTGCTATGGCTAGCATGTGGCGCGAGCTCCAAAAGGACGTCCTGGAAGAGCTTTCCGCCCTCTACTCAAGCGTCTACAGCGGAGATAAGCTCAAGAACTGGCCCACGATCTTCATCCTGGCCTCCATTCTTCTCGCTGTGTGGGAAGAAATGCAGTTTGACAGCCACTACCGCACCCCCGATGCCGCCGCCGTCGACAAGTTCTGCACGGACATGGAAACTACCCCCGTGGGTGTCATCGTCGGTCTCTTCCAGGCCATCTCGCAGAAGCTTCCCCCTTCACTGAATGGGACTCTCAGAAGCACCACCAGCTCCTGTACTCCAACCCCGACGTGTGCAACACAATGACCGAAGTGCGTCAACACGTCGAACAACACGGTAAGCCCAACTCAGATCCTTATTACCTAGTCCATTCACTAATTCCCTTTCTAGAGAGCTACCTTCGCAGCCGCACCGGCCAAAAGTTCGATCGCGGCGACTTCGACTGCCTCTCCAACAAATTTGTGTCGCGACTTGTCATTCGCGCCAACTAAACGAACCATTATGATTACGATCGTTTCACGTTTGCCGTAGCGTTTCGCGTTTGCTGCAACGAACTCTATGACGAATGCGCGAGACGCATTTCACTCCTTACGATGATTCCGGGCGAGTCCCGATGTATTGAATCCGACCTTCATTTAGTGGTATTGTTTTTCGAGCCTGTTTCGTTATCTCTTTTTTTCCTTGTCTTTTTTTTTGAAATATTGTCTTTTTTGAATCTGTGGAACTTTTGGAATCTTTTCTTTTTTCCTCTTTTTGTGTCTTTGGTGTATACCTCCGCATAGCTTTGTCTCCAGCGATGAACGAGGATCACGAATTTCATGACTGTGTACGGCCGAGGTGTTTTTATTTCCATTTTTTGCCCGCGCTGAGACGGCCTTCGGGCAAATGGGTGTTGTTGGCCGGCGTCGGATGCAGAGCGTGTTTATATATTTTTGACTCCGACTTTAACTTATATCACCAATTGACTACTAGTCTTGATTATGATTATGGATTATGGATTTTCTCCAGGGCTGCTCCCAAGTTTTCCACATAATGTCTGTAATCTGTACTCCGTACTCTCCAGGGCTGTACTCTGCCAAGGTGGATGTTCTTTGTCCTCGTCCATGTACGGAGTATGTATCAAGCATGGCACCTTGTGAGCCGAGATGCCGGTACCGGTACCGGAAAGGTCCCACGGATGTTCCTTATGCTCAGCTGTACCCGTGGACTCTAAGGGAACTGAATTATCATGTACGGAGTAGCAATGATCATGTACAAGATACTCCGTACTCGCAAATATCTGTTACCCCTAACTGAAGCAGAACCGGTATACTCCAAATGTGGCGGTGTGGCCGAATGCGGGAAATCAGGTGATATACTAAGTTTAGGAGCGGGTACAGGGTACCGGGAGTGCAGAGCAAATAGCCGCCCACAACCCCGTACCAAGTACCTTCTGGCCACGCTAGCGGCCCAAATCGGTCCACCCCCTCTTTTCGCGATAAGCAACTCAACGTCATACATATCCCTTTGGACACTGCAATGACGAGTGTACGTAGACTCCAGGGCTATACTGATGATTGATGTCCACACAGAATAGAAAATAATCAGTTGGGAACAAACATAGAGATTGATTTCAAAGACTCTTAAAATCTAGATTCTCTATCCATTCGGAGAGTTGGTGGCGACGCTGTTCCCAGGCACCCGTTTGACTCATCCGGCGCTTTCTAGCATTTTCATGAGGTGCTCGCGTCACTTCCTGACTAAGAAAGGCGCTTCGCCCCCTCATCTACATAAAGGCGATCTTTCCCCTCTGGCCACCTTTCCTTGTAAACTCACTCTTTGTGTTTCCTTCACTTCCGTATCTATTCATCATGCAGATCTTCGTTAAGACCCGTACGTCTCTCCCTCTGGTATTCCAGACACTCCCTCATCTTCCCCCTGTCTTACTCTCGCCACCCTGTTCCTGAACTCACCGTGCTGACCGATTCTAGTTACTGGCAAGACCATCACCCTTGAGGTCGAGTCCAGCGATACCATCGACAATGTCAAGTCCAAGATCCAGGACAAGGAGGGTATTCCTCCTGACCAGCAGCGCCTGATCTTTGCCGGCAAGCAGTTGGAGGATGGTCGCACTCTCTCCGACTACAACATCCAGAAGGAGTCTACTCTGCACCTTGTGCTCCGCCTGCGTGGTGGTATGCAGATCTGTACGTTACATTCACTTATCACCTTACCCGCTTACAGGTTACTAACAACCAGCGCAGTCGTCAAGACCCTGACCGGAAAGACCATCACTCTCGAGGTCGAGTCCTCCGACACCATCGATAATGTCAAGTCCAAGATTCAGGACAAGGAGGGTATCCCTCCTGACCAGCAGCGCCTGATCTTCGCCGGAAAGCAACTTGAGGACGGCCGTACCCTCTCCGACTACAACATCCAGAAGGAATCCACTCTCCACCTCGTCCTCCGTCTCCGTGGTGGTATGCAAATCTTCGTCAAGACACTCACCGGAAAGACCATCACACTGGAAGTCGAGTCCTCGGACACGATCGACAACGTCAAGTCCAAGATTCAAGATAAGGAGGGTATCCCTCCTGACCAGCAACGTCTCATTTTCGCCGGAAAGCAACTTGAAGATGGCCGCACCCTCTCCGATTACAACATCCAAAAGGAATCTACCCTCCACCTTGTCCTCCGTCTTCGTGGTGGTATGCAGATCTTCGTCAAGACTCTTACTGGAAAGACTATCACCCTCGAGGTTGAGAGCTCAGACACCATTGATAACGTGAAGTCCAAGATCCAAGACAAGGAGGGTATTCCTCCTGACCAGCAGCGTCTTATCTTCGCTGGTAAGCAGCTGGAGGACGGGCGCACTCTTTCTGATTACAACATTCAGAAGGAGAGTACTCTCCACCTTGTCCTTCGCCTCCGTGGCGGTCAGTAATTTTCTTCTTCTTTACGGGCTATGGTTTTGACTATGACCTGCATGGCGTTGGGTCGGTTTTTCGAGGCTGAGGTCTCTTGCTTTTGTTTTTGAGGATCTCCTCCATCTCTCTCATTCTTCGATTCTACCAATAGATAATTCTATGGAACCTTTTGCAGCTTTGCTGTGACCAAACATCTTTTCCATCGTACCCGTTGCCTTGACAATGGAGAACACTATATAGTAATTTTCCCTTTATTTACTCCGTACTCGTAGACGACAGCGCCTTGAAAGCGAAGTGAACATTTGAGCATGTTGTAGCCCATACATAGTGCATGCGAAAACCTCTTCATCGACTGTGTTCGTCTTTCTAGTATCGCCACAAATACGAGTGGCTAGATTTGCCTCTTTGCCACTCGCGTGTCAGGAACGAGGTGGCGCCAGATGACTTCGGGATGCGCAGGCCGATTTGTCGCCGTTGGATCATTACGTCAGCAGCGACATCCCCATCCTTATCGTTATCACAACTGCCTCTCGCGACCATTTGGAGCTCCGGAGGATGCGAGCCACCTAGTCGGGATGCCCGCCTACTTCTACCATCTTAGATTGCAGCTCTCAAACTCTGGCTCCAGCTCATCCTCCACTTTACAAACCGCCTGGGAGGCCCTTCAACCCTTCCAAAGTCGGCCTGCAAGCTCAACCGCATCACCGACCGAACACACCCCACCAACCCCAGAATACGCGCTCGCACATCACCAAAAGCTCTCCACCCGACAAACCCACACTCCACCTCGAACCCGCTCCATTGCCGGACCCGAGATCTGCACCGGTGAAGCCACACTCGCGCAAGACAAGCGCTTCGGCGCCATCACCATTGAGTCCATTAACATGGTTCCCCAAACCCATGAATCGGCGAAACGCTCAAAGCGGCCCGCCGCTGAGCCCGAGAACTTGGTAGCTGCAGGAATCGGCACTGAAATTCTTGGTGGGCTGCACACACGAGGTCGCTACATTCCTCTCGAAGGCGAAGTCGCAGATAGCGTCTGGGGAATTGTCCACCTATATCGCGACATACAGGAGACGCCATATCTGAATGACGAGGAATATCCCACACATCTAAAAGGCTCTGCTGCTGCGGCACGGCATCCTGCTGAACGGAGTCTACCAACGAGCAGCAAGGACCTTTCGTCATACCCGTTTCCCGCGCAAACCCCGGATGAGGATTGCAGGACGCTCTGTATTCTCGCTGTGCCTTCTTATCTGTCCCCACCAGACTTTCTGGGCTTCATGGGTGAGAAGACTATGGATGATGTTAGTCATTTCCGGATGATTAGAACTGCTCGTGCGAATCGGTATATGGTTCTCATGAAGTTCCGGAGTGGGAAGCAGGCAAGGGATTGGCAGAAGGAGTGGAACGGAAAGGTGTTCAATAGCATGGAACCGGAGACTTGTCACGTTGTATTTGTGAAAACGGTAGAGATACAGGTGGTTTCTGGTGATCCTGCTTTTTCACCTGCTGAACATGCCCATTTGCCTTCACCAAATCTTTCTACGCCAACTGGGCAGGCGACTTTAACGGGAAAACCTCTTGCTCCGCCTACACCTGCACTGGTTGAGCTACCCACGTGCCCTGTTTGTCTTGAGCGGATGGATGAGACTACGGGTTTACTGACGATCATCTGTCAGCACGTCTTTCACTGTACGTGTCTTCAAAAATGGAAGGGAAGTGGCTGTCCTGTGTGCCGGTACACGCAGGATGACATCCGCAAAAGCAACGCAGGCGTCAAGCTTGAAGAAGAGGCACAGGAATGCCATGTTTGTCACGCTGAAGAGAACCTCTGGGCTTGTTTGATCTGTGGGACAATCGGCTGTGGCCGCTATGACGGTGCGCATGCCTTTGAGCACTGGAAGGATACAGCCCATGCCTTCTCTATGGACCTCACATCCCAACGTGTCTGGGACTACGTGGGTGATGCCTACGTCCATCGTATCATCCAAAGCAAAACAGACGGCAAGCTCGTTGAACTGCCAGCGGCCGACCACAGCGCTCTCGACCCAGACTGGGGCGATGCAGTCCCTCGTGAAAAGCTGGAGAACATGAGTGTTGAATACACACATCTTCTCACTAGCCAACTGGAAAGCCAGCGTGCTTATTTTGAAGAAGTTGTAGAGCGTGCAGTGGATAAGGCATCGAAAGCCACTGCCGCTGCCGCGATTGCTGAAGAGAGTGCATCCAGTGCGGCTGGCCGTCTGGAGGAATTGCAATCAAAGTACGATATGATGACTATTGAGACATTCCCTTCACTTGAGCATGATCGTGCCAGGGCGGAAAAACGTGCCGAGAAGTTCGAGGCTCTGACTCGTTCATTCGAGAAAAAGTACCAAGAGGAACGCTCCATGAATCAAAATATGATGCTAAGACTGGATTTACTTGATAAAGAGGTCCAGGGGCTTAAAAGCTCGAATGCCGACCTCGCAGAACAGAATCGTGATCTCACCTTCTTCATCAGTGGTTCGCAGCGACTACAGGGACAGGGAGAAGAAGTTGAGCAGGGAACACTCAGTGTCCCTGACCCCCCGAAAAAGAACAAAAAGAAGGGAAAGAAGTGAGAGGCAAGTTCTTGTTTGTGGTTTTATCTTGTACATTAAGCGCATTACCCAAGTATCAATCGACTAAACGGCCAGGAATGAATAACATGAAATATACAATTCGAAACTCAGAATCGAAAACAGTGCAATGCTCATACAAGTTCTATAATATACAAAGGTCCAAACCTATCAACACACAGACACCTCTCAAACACCCTTCCTAACAGCCCAGAAGTAATTTCCATAATCCTCACTTCCAGGCACCATCTTCCACCCAAAGCCAGGGATATAAATCGCACCCACACACTTCCATTGCATACCCTTAACCTGCTCCGCACCCCCACGAACAACCCCCGTATCCGCAGCTCTCATAAGTCCCTCCTGCAACCAACCCTTCACCTCAGGCGGATTCACAAACTTACTCCACTCATGCGTTCCCCGCGGCACAACACCAATCGGCCACGGCGCCTCCGCAATAACCTGATTGAGAATGAATGAAGGAAGAGTCCTCGAAATCGTAGATCCAATCAACCAACCACCAGGCTTCAACGCCCGAAGACAATTACTCAAGAAGCTCAGCGGCGAACTAGTCTTCGGATCGATATGTTCGAGGACCTCGAAGAGTGTCACGACGTCGAATTGCGCTGACGTCTCAGACGTAGACGCAGACGCAGATGTAGATACAGGACCCGTCTTCGACGCAAGTACATCCTCCAGCGTCGTATTCAAGTATCGAAAGCGACTATCGCGCAAATGCGCGTGAACGGCCGGATCCAAGCGCGCGTGCTCGCGCGCCATATTAATGAGGTCCGTTGAGGGGTCGACTGCTGTCATTGAGGCTGCGCGAGTCGGTGTTGGAGCGGCGGACTGTGGTGTCGTGGGGATTGTTCGGGCTAGGGACTCTGCGAAGATGCCGCCGCCGCAGCCGATATCTAGGTAGTGGAGGGCTGCGGATGTGGGGTCTGGTTTTTGTTCGGTTGTTCCTTCGGCTAGGCAGGAGGCGATGAATTCGTGGCGGAGGGGGTTCATTAGGTGGAGGATTCGAGAGGGGCCCATTGGGTCCCACCAGGAGCTGGCGAGGCCTGAGAAGTGAGAGAGTTCGTCGGCTGAGACGGAGGTGTGTGTGCGGGTTTGGGATAGGTTGGGTTTTTGGGGAGTTTGGAATGGGGTGGAGAGTTTGGTGAGCTGTTTGGAGGGGCGTAGAGCTCGGGCGAGAGCTCGCCCTCTTATGGAGGCCATTTTTGGTCGTTTGTGTTTGGTTGGAGAGTTGGTTGGAGGAGGTTTGGGTGGTGTTGTTGGAGGTTGATTTTGGGCGGGGTTGGCAGTGTCTGTTGGATTGAAGGTCAATTCAGGTTCTAATTGAGCTTTGTTCGAGGATTTGAGATTTTACCTACCAGTAACGCGGATTATCTGAGAGAAACAAAAAGCGCTTGAAGATCATCAAATTGGAGAATCGCCGATGTCGAGACAAACATGCCAAGACCGTTTGACATGCGAGCTTCTACAACTGCGACTCTTCATAAACATTGGTCTATATAACTCCTCATGGTATCATAACACAATATCCCACATTAATGACTACATTCACCCCAAGAGACAATTCTGGAAACCCAGTTCTTGTGGTAGCGGATGAGGACCAGCCTCAGTCTGCTCAGCGCCATCATGAACCTCGATGTTCTCTATGCCACCTGAATTGTCCCAGATATTCTGACGAGACCAGGGGGCCAACTGGTCTGGTGCTGCAGTTCCCAGCATAGGGAGGAAGTTCCCAGTGGTGATGCTGCAGTCCAAGCCAAGCACGTTCTTACAACGCTCCAATAACGTCGGGAACAGATACGAAGGCGATCCACGAATCTGAGATAGCGTGTGGAGGATACCCCACAACAGCTCACTCGGATCAATTGTTGACTCGGCTAGGCGATGCACCGCTTTGGTTCCAAGAGACCGCGTCACGTCAGCGACCGAGACTCCCATGTCGAACAGCTTCTGTTCCTACACATCCAAAGTCAGCGATTGTCGATAGGGTTTCCTGGGTGAGGCTCACCATTCCAATACCGTGTGCATCGACTGCACCCTGTGATGCAGCTCCGATCACGCTCATGACAGCTTTGCCTACCATTACTGGCAGATGGAAAGGTAACACGGCATCGTCGCGCGAGCCAGGTTGTGTAGCATGGCTCATGGACAACTTCCACATCATTGCCTGTAGCCACTGTTGTGTGATCAAGATATCCACTTGCTGGATCTCAAGCACCCCATCTAGGGATATTGTTTTACACAGGCTTGACTGGATGGCTGAGGTTGGTGGCCTTTCCAAAATGCTGTCACCGCCACCAGCGGACACCCAGTCATAGAGATTCGGTGTGAGTTTCTCAAAGATGTTGATCAGGTTGATGAAACCATATGCGAGAATTGGATCTCCGGAGCAGAGAACTTGTGGCTTGTGAATCGAGCTGCGCAACATGACCGGTTTCGCCTGCTGAAGAGCGTATCCTCTGCACGAGATAGTTCAGCACTGGAGGATGTATCTAGTCTCCCTGTCGACGTACCTTTCTGTGATGAACAAAAGCCAGAACACTCTGCGCCTCTCCTCCGCCTCCTCGATCTCATAATCCGCATACGTCGATTCGCGGTGCAGCCCAAGGCTAAACGCAAACGAAGTGGCCTGGCACAGGAAAAACCACGCATGATCCTGCTTGTCCATATTTCCGTACGAAGCAAACAGAAAGAAAGAAGTCAAAAGACTCTCCGTCCCCAGGTCTTCCAGAATATCACAGTCGCCACGCGCCCTCACAGCCTCCGCCAAAAGTTCATCACCCGACATCAGCGACTGTCCATCACCCATGCGCAGTGCCGGGTCCGACACAGGCGCAGCACCATCCAACTTCAACTGGATATGCGTCGCTGCACATAGCGCAGCCAGGAACGCATATCTCCTCGCAGAAAGCCGTTCGGGCTGATCACAATCTAAGCGTAGTTGATCACCGCGCACAACGGGCATGATGGGAAACAAGTACTTGAGATAAACATTGACGTGGGCGAGAAGAATCTGTGGCGAAAGCCGTCGGGGGACATGCGCATACCCATTTGCAGATTCAACGGTAGAGTCTGTTCCGGGCGATGAGACGAGATCTGGCGGTGCGAGGTGGGCGAAAGTATCCGCGAAGTGGAACCGGGCATCTTGCAATCCGAACGGCGATATAGGCGAGTTGAATTCTGTATCGGGGTCTTGGTCTTGGTCTTTCTCAGAATGAGAATGAGCTCGAGATGGATGTATCGGGGCCAGGGGGTATAGAGTGCGGAATTTGGGCCCTTTGCGGCGGAGGACGTCGCTGTAGGAACATGAGAGGAGCAGACGTTGGCATTTATCGCATGGAAGTTCGCGGGAGCATTTGATCTTGCGCCGGCGACAATTATCGCATGCTTGTTTTGAGGCTTTGGGGTTCATGCTGTCTAGCTAGAGAGGATCATGGTAGGGTCCACGGGTATAGGAATATGCAGTGCGAGGGTAATGATTATCCTAAACGTTTAAACCTGGGGAAAGGCGCGGAGAGAACAGAACCCCGCAAGGCCCCTGCACTTGTCATATATGAACTCATTCTCATTTGCATCTTACAAGTTAGTCCATCCCTTCTCGGCCCGACTTCGCCCTGCGTCAACAGCCCCGCAGTCAGATCCGATCGTTCCTGGATGACCTTTCCAAGTCAGGTCTGTTCTTTTATTTCTTTTATTTCTGGTTATTCTGACATAGAGTCTTTGACCTCGGGATTAGCCATACCCTCAACAAGCCGAACATGTATATGCCCTCGGCTCGTAAGCGAGGACTTCTAATGCGCGGGCCGGGAGCATCAGCTAACAAGTCGGCACTAAGATGCGCGATTTTTCTGTTTCTGCGTTAACTTCAGTTAATCTGGGAAGTGGACACCGCTAACCTGGACTCTCCTCGCCTCTTTGACCCAATCAATTTCTTCACGGCACCTGGGCATTAGCTCCAATATCCTTCCTTGGCCGAGCCCACGTTTGTTTCGGGAAGCCGAGCGTACAGATGAACTTCAATTACCCTCAGCACCCTCAGCACCCTCAACAGCATCCATTGTGCCATGTTTGAAGCGTATAGTCCCGCCATGACCTTCGAGCGGAGACTAAAATTCCCCGAGGTTCCCGCGAGCTTCTCCAGAATTACTCCAGACTCCAGGTTTTGGAACCATCCATTTTACCGGGGCCTCTTGCTGGTTATAAACTTCTCCACTAAAACGAAAAGATTCACCGTGGCTTGGCACGAGGCTCTTGTTCTGCATTCTACATGAAATCATCACCTACACGAGAAGCTTCTTTTGCGCAGAACGGACATTCATCGGACGACTGACCAATCACAGAGCTGGAAGGCAATGATCGGCACTCCCTGCGTGGGGATGTGGGATTATCCCAATTATCATCTTCTGGACGGAGTACTCCGTACTTACTTTTGCTCACCTTGAAGCTATGACTGAATATGGACCCAGCTACAATTTCAAGCAAGACACTGTGGGACTATGCTCTGCATGGGTTCAACCTTGGAAGTTGTATGGGTGTACCGTGGTGTCTAATAAGGCAAGCTTTAGAATTGACGTCTTCGGTACGCAGCGATTATTACTAAATGTATCACCTAGCACCGCTTCTCTCTGCTACCATGTACGCCGTATGCCGTACTTCGTGCTTTGTGTGTACTCTGTACTCCCTACTTTGTACACCGTAAGGATTGCGCCCCGGGTCATGCGATGATGCTTTTTAGAGTCGCGACGCAAGGGATATAGAGGGACAACACCCAGCCCCAGCGTGAGCTTCAAATTGAGCCAACCCCGCAAGAACATTCAGCCCGGGAATGCTACTCGGAGAATCAACTCGGGGAATCAACGGAAATATTGATCGGGCATCGGTATGTCATCGGTTGCTCTTGCAGTCTGCCCCCGGCTTCCCTAAACTATAAAGACGGGCCGGGACATGCTTGTGCTTGCCCATATTACCTCCGCGATCATGTACAGCTTCACCAATCTGCTAACAGGGGCTTGCCTCCTGCCAGCAGCCTACGGTGCTTTCTCAACATCCGTTAAGCCTTCTCGCTCGAGCTCAACGGCGTCTTCGACTTCACCAGCATACTCTCAATTCACACTTGACGCTAGCGCAGATACCGGCGCCCAGTTGATTGCCAACATTGATGACCCCGAAGCCATCGATGCCCAGAAGGCTTGTCCGGGATACAAAGCGTCAAATGTGAAGGAGTCGGCTCGTGGATTGACCGCTACTCTGACGCTGGCCGGTGAAGCGTGCAATGCCTATGGAACTGATGTGGAGTCTCTGGACCTTTCTATTGACTATCTCGCCAACGACCGTCTAAACGTTCAGATCATTCCCACATACATTGATTCTTCCAACGCTTCTTGGTTTCTCTTGGACGAAAACACCGTCCCCCGTGCTAGTGCTGCGAAGTCTGCATCAAAGGAGGACAGTGATCTTGAAGTCACTTGGGCCAATGAGCCTTCTTTCCACTTCAAGGTGACTCGCAAGGCGACTGGCGATGCTATTTTCGATACCACCGGCTCGACTTTGGTGTATGAAAATCAATTTATTGAATTCGTGACTGCCTTGCCCAAGGACTACAACCTGTACGGTATTGGAGAGCACATCCAACAGTTCCGCCTCTTGGACAATCTGAACTTGACACTATATGCGTCGGACAGCGCAGACCCCATTGACCAGTGAGTTTGGCATTGAGACTAATCCTTCACATCAGACAAATTTGGTTCTTCAATGCTTACCATCTGCCCAGAAATATCTACGGGTCTCATCCTTTCTACCTGGACACCCGATACTACGAAGTCAATGAGCAGGGTGAACATACACTTGTTGCCAGCGACAAAGCAGACCAATCCAAGGACTATGTTTCCTACTCGCATGGCGTTTTCTCCCGAAACGCACATGGCCAAGATATATTGACCAAGCCCGAGTCCCTAAAGTGGCGCACTCTGGGTGGTAGCATTGATCTTACGTTCTACTCCGGTCCCAGTCAGGCGGATGTCACCAAGAACTACCAATTGAGTACGATCGGCTTGCCTGCATTGCAGCAGTACTTCACTCTTGGATTCCACCAGTGCCGCTGGGGTTATAACAACTGGACTGAACTCGAAAGCGTTGTATCCAACTTTGAGAAGTTTGGAATTCCACTCGAGACAATTTGGTAAGTTGTTCTACCAAGCCTTCCAAGCAAAATTCTTACCATTTCAGGAACGATATCGACTATATGCATGGTTATCGGGACTTTGAGAACGACAACAACCGCTACCCGTACAGCGAGGGCGAAGAATTCCTGGAAAAGCTGCACGCGAGCGGTCGTCATTACGTTCCCATCGTCGATTCTGCTCTGTATATTCCCAACCCCAACAACGCGTCGGATGCGTAAGTTTCCTGATCCCCTGTAGGGGCTTTTTGCTAATGATGTCGATACAGCTATGATACTTACACTCGAGGACACAAGGACGATGTCTTCATTAAGAATCCCGATGGAAGCGAGTATATTGGAGCCGTTTGGCCTGGCTACACGGTCTTCCCTGACTGGCACAACCCCAAGACCAACGAATTCTGGGCCGACGAGATTGTGGCATACCACAAAAAGATAGCTATTGATGGTATCTGGATTGACATGAGTGAAGTCTCCTCGTTCTGTGTCGGAAGCTGCGGCTCTGGCAACCTGAGCTTGAACCCATCCCACGGGCCTTTCGCCTTGCCTGGGGAGCCCACTAATGTGATCTACGATTACCCCGAAGGATTTGAGTTGACCAACAAGACCGAAGCTGAAGCTGCCGCATCGGCTTCATCTAGCCAAGCTGCTGCTATTGCCACTGGCTCATCTTCCGCTTCCTACCTGCGCACTACACCCACTCCTGGGGTGCGTAATGTGAACTACCCTCCCTACGTTATCAACAACGATCAGGAGGGTCATGATCTCAACTCGCATGCGGTAGCCACGAATGCCACTCATTTCGATGGTGTCCAGGAATACGACGTTCACAACCTCTTCGGCCATGGAATTCTTAACGCCACTTACCATGGTCTGTTGAAGGTCGACGAAAACAAGCGTCCTTTCATTATCGGCCGCTCAACCTTTGCTGGCTCTGGCAAATGGGCCGGTCACTGGGGTGGTGACAACTATTCGAAGTGGGCTTACATGTTCTTCTCCATCCCACAAGCCCTGTCGTTCTCTCTATTCGGTATCCCCATGTTCGGAGTCGATACCTGCGGCTTCAATGGAAACTCTGATGAAGAGCTCTGCAACCGTTGGATGCAGCTTTCTGCTTTCTTCCCCTTCTACCGAAACCACAACACTCTCTCCTCCATCCCGCAGGAGCCTTACGTCTGGAGCTCAGTCATTGACTCTACCAAGACGGCCATGAACATCCGATACGCCATTCTTCCCTACTTCTACACTCTCTTCCACGAAGCCCACACCACTGGTTCAACCGTTATGCGTGCCCTGGCCTGGGAATTCCCCAACGACCCCTCTCTCGCCTCCGTAGATACCCAGTTCCTACTTGGTCCCTCCATCATGGTTGTTCCCGTGCTTGCACCCCAAGTTGACACCGTCCAGGGTGTCTTCCCAGGTCTCAAGAACGGTGAAGTTTGGTACGACTGGTACACCCAGACGGCAGTGGATGCTAAGCCTGGTGTTAACACCACCCTCCCCGCTCCTCTGGGTCACATCCCTGTCTTTGTGCGCGGTGGCAGCGTCCTCCCCATGCAAGAGCCCAAGCTCACTACCAAGGAGTCTCGCAGTAGTCCGTGGTCCCTGCTTACGGCACTCAGCGGTAATGGCACAGCTTCCGGCTCCGTCCATCTCGATGACGGCGAGAGCAATGTTCCCGAGAAGAGTCTTGATGTCGTTTTCAGTGCTGAGGCGTCTACCCTGAGCGCCAAGGCAGATGGTGATTGGAAAGAGTTCAACTCTCTTGCTAGCGTCACTGTTCTGGGTGTCGCAAAGGAGCCTAGTGCCGTCCAGTTCAACGGCGGGGCCATTCCTGCATCATCTGTGCAGTACAATGCTACTTCGCACGTTTTGGCTGTTAGCGGCTTGGATAAGCTGACTGAATTTGGTGCTTTCACCGAGGATTGGACTTTGAAGTGGTGAGACATTGGACAGAATGTGGAGTCTTGACAAAGATTTCATTCCCTCGAGTACACTCTCTTTCAAGCTCACTTTGTATATCTTTACGAATCCGAAGTATTCTTTCTGCTTTGTTTCCTTTGACACCAAGGCTATATTGTACAAGAAAAGACACTTAGAAAGACACGTACTTGAAATATACTCTAAAGGATAGGTATCAAAGAGACCTAAGGATGCCCACGGTCACTCCGTAGACTTAATGCCAAATAGGAAATTGTTGCATCAGACATACTGGAATTAACCCTGGCCGCCATAGACCTGCGTAGGCGTTTTCATGGATCCCGGTCGCATTCTTAATCAAACCAGACTAGATCCCGATCCCCGATCAAGTGGCCCAGTCTCGGCCCGAATCAAAAACCCACTCCAGGGCTGCCCGGATGGCGGTAGCATCATCTCGGTATCGCTTTCATAGCCCTTTCAAGTCCATGGTAAGATTTAAGTGCCCAGGTAATGCAGTAGTCTTACAAAATCAAGCACTAATTGCGGAAAGCATTCGATGAAATCCCTCCTTGGACCCCAATACCACCCCCGACCTATAGGTCGGGCAAAATAAACCGATCGGCACATTGAAGAGCCAATTATCACTCGGAGACGCCGTTGTAACCACATAGCGAAACTAGAAAGTTGGGGTCCAAGACCCTTTTTGCGACCGCTGATTTGGCGCTCGTCTCAGGGGCTCCGCTGACAGGGATGTCTAATTTCCCACATGCAGATGCTGAAGGATTTTATGCAGACTTGATATTCTAAGGGTCTTGCTGTAAAACTAGAACTGAGGTATTTTAAATGTGGTTCTGTAGATTACTGTCACTAAATTTTATTGGAGGGCTATACATCAGACCATGATGTTCAAGTCGATTGTTACATTCCTTTCAATATATTTGTTGGGGGCGGACATGGCGAGCGGAGATCGAACAGGTTTCTATGCAAGCGTGTGTTTCATTGGTTTGGGGGCTGTGGTAGCTTTGTGCTGTCTGTGTTTTCGGATGGCAGGTTTCGATGATGATTGGCTTCGCTGGACCTCTTCATCTACAGTATGTACAATATCGGATATTTTGCTATATAGAAGCCCCTTGCCCCTTGCTGCAACGACATTTGCCAAAGTATCTCGTCTTCCAAGTCACTATTCTTTGTTACTGCAGTGTTCCGTCAACCGCATATACAGCATGGTTCTTATGCGCTTTGCCTGGCTTGCAGGCTTAATTGCGTCTGCTATTGCTGCGACTCCTGACCAGTGGCGCTCGCAGTCAATCTACTTCCTCCTCACCGATCGCTTTGCTCATACTGATGGCTCGACTACTGCGAAATGTGATTCTAGCATGGGAGTATGGTATTTCGGGTTTACAATATGGGTGCGAAAGTGGCTAATGTTTAACTTGTAGAGATACTGCGGTGGTACCTGGCAAGGAATTATCAAAAAGGTTGGCAGCTCTGTCAGGTACTGAGTTTACCCCTACTAATACTCTACAATAGCTGGACTATATTCAAGGAATGGGCTTCACAGCCATCTGGATCACCCCCGTGACTGCCCAGTTGACCGAGGTTACCCCATACGGCGATCCCTATCACGGTTACTGGCAGCAGGATATGTGAGTGACAATGCACATATGCATACTGCAGCCCAACTAACTGTTCATGCAGCTATGGTCTCAACTCACACTACGGCACAGCGGATGATCTGAAGGAACTTGCATCGGAACTGCACAAACGCGGCATGTACTTGATGGTCGACGTGGTTGCCAATCACATGGTCAGTCAAAACCCCCTCAACGCATGAGAGCTAAACTAAAGCTTGCCGAATATAGGGCTACGACGGTTCAAGCACCGAAATCAACTATGCCGAGTTCAATCCTTTCAATAACAAGAAGTATTTCCACCCCTATTGCAAAGTCGACAACTACAACGATCAATCCAACGTTCAGAATTGCTGGCTCGGTGACACCACTGTCTCTCTGGCAGATCTGAAGACAGAGCGCAATGATGTCAAGCAAATGTGGTACGACTGGGTTGGATCTCTGGTTTCCAACTACTCGAGTGAGTTTCTTTTTCCCCATTTCTGCTGCTGTGAATATAGTATTTCTGTTCATTGCTGATACTTAACAGTTGATGGTCTCCGCATTGACACCGTGAGACATGTCCAGAAAGACTTTTGGCCTGATTACAACAAAGCCGCTGGTGTCTACTGTGTAGGTGAAGTTTTCGATGGCGATGTCGATTACACGTGCCCATACCAGGAAGTTTTGGATGGCGTCCTGAACTACCCAATGTAAGATGCATTCACCTTGATGATTCGGAAACCATGAAATAGATCTAACCCTCCGATCTCAGTTACTTCCCCCTTCTCAAGGCATTCAGCTCCGTGAAGGGAAACATCAAAAATCTCTATAACATGATCAACACGGTGAAGTCGAAATGCGCGGACTCGACACTCTTGGGAACATTCGTTGAAAACCACGACAACCCTCGCTTTGCCTCGTAAGTGAAGCTCGGCATTCTTGATCTGACAGGATTTGTGCGTGAGTGCTGACAGAATCGCTTTTCAAAATTCAGTTATACCGATGATATGTCCCTTGCGAAGAACGCTGCCACCTTTACCATCATGGCAGACGGAATCCCAATCATCTACGCCGGACAGGAGCAGCACTACAAGGGAGGCAGCGATCCCAACAACCGCGAAGCTACATGGCTGTCTGGGTACAACACAGATAGCCCATTGTATAAGCTGATTGGCAAGGCGAACGCTGTCCGCAACCAGGCCATCTTCGCAAGTGACAGGTACTTGACTTACAAGGTATGTTTCCAATTTCTCACTCGAATGGAATATTTAAGTGAGCAAAACAAGAGCATCAAGCTAATTCGCATTGTTAGAACTACCCTATCTACCAAGACGACAGCACTATTGCCATGCGCAAGGGCTTTGACAACTCACAGACAATCACGGTTCTGTCGAACCTCGGCTCTGGTGGAAACTCGTACTCGCTTTCTCTGCCTAACACGGGATACAAGGCCGGTACTAAGCTGACCGAGGTCATTACGTGCTCTACCGTTACAGTTGACGCCAATGGAAAGGTACCTGTGTCCATGGCGGGTGGAGAGCCGAGAATTTTCTATCCCACTTCTTTGATCGGGCCCAATTTGTGCTCCTAGACTCTAGAGATGGAAGGTCCTGACATGTTTAGCTATGTCTTGGCTTAATTTTACCAGAACCTTGGAATATTCTCAAGTATTCCACGCGGGTGTACATGTACATGAAATTGCTACCATTGCCAAATGCTGCTTCTTTGAACATATGGACCACATTCATAAACAAAGAAAGTCTCATTCAACATCATTCAATTCTCTTTTTTCCTTTTCATTTCGAGTTCCCACGGTCTTGCTTTTTGTACTCCGGTGCTACCTAAATCCACCAGGGACATACACCTTGCACCCAGATGATCCCATGAATATGTACTCAATAAATCATTGCATCTCCATCACCAGGCAAAACCACCAACTCCATTAAATGTGTATCAAAAAGCAATATCCCCGTACGCGCTCCGTGACTACCCCTTATAAATCCATCACCAATCATGTAGTTGCCTTGGCACCAATCCAACAGGCATAGCCCCACCAATAACAGGAGCAGAGTGTTGAAACAAGCCCGGAGTCTCAAAGGACGCTTGTGAAATTGGCTGCGAAGCGAATCCAGGCATCAATTGTTGAAGACAGTCATAACCCTCGACGAGCGAGTCCAGCGCCTGAGAAGCTGGCATAAGCTGTGAAAGATCCATGCCAGCCCTGGAATGATGTGTTCCGAATATTGGCACGCCCTTGACCTCTGTAGGCGAAGAGTTCTCTGAAACAACAGTCGAAGCTTCCGAATAGCGGCGCTGCACTTCGCCAAGTATACATGCAATGCGGTAGGAGAGGTTGTCTCCGCTTGGCGCGAGGTGTAGCATGAAGCCCCGGACCTGATTAATCAGGGGGTCAGAGAGGTTGTAGTCGCACAGTGTGAGAGCTGCGTATCCAACGATGAAGTATATGTGGTCGATCAGAGCTGGAGCGGATGAAAATCGTGTCTGGAGGAATCGTGATATTATTAGGCGGGCATTACCGCAAATCTCTGGAATGAGACGGTCGCTATCAAGTTGGATTCTGGCTGCGGTGCGGTGCAGGAGGAGTTGACAAAACCATAGATTTAGCTCGAGGGTAGAATCGTCGTTGTTTGCTTGTGGTTTGTTAGTTGGGGATTTTGAATGGTTGCGGCGATACTCACTGAATAGATGTGCCCATTCCACCTTCCAGCGCTCGATCTCTTCATACTCGGGCTCGGCAAATTGGATACGGTGTGGACTGTGTTGTAACTTGAGGGATATACGGTAGAGTTGGATCTCTGCAACGATTCGTCCGTCTTCTGTAGTGGCGCCTGCGTGTTCCAGAATCCGGGGGCATTGGTCGATGTATTGTGGCTGAATGTTGACGGCGCGGCCATTTGCGAGAGCCGAGCTGGAGCTCGGTGTTAGCTTTGGTTTTCAGAAGGATTCTGGATACTTCTTACTGTAGTTGGGTGATGCAGAGGGTATTCCACAATCGCATTTGAGAGATAAGTTCGTCGCAGTTGGGATTATCTCCCGGCAAGGTGTTGAGGAAGTTGAAAGAAATGAGAGCATGGTTGATCGAGATCCCGCTCAGCAACCAATCATCCATCAGTCCTTCTTTGTTGACAGAGGTGGAATAAAGGCAAAGCAAAGTCAATGCTCGGAGCATGTCCATTGTCAAAGGTGGGGGTTTCCACAACATCTTCGTCACGGTATGCTGTACATGAAGTGAAATATCGCGGGCAGTCTGTTGTGGAAAGCCAGGGAGATAACGGGATGCTAGAAGACATGCAATGTTGAAAAGCAGAGTGTTGTGTTGGATACTGGACGAGTGATCGATCGAGACCCAGTGACCGAAATATTCAACAAAGCTATCAATATTGTTAGCGGTGAGATCTTTCCCCTCAAGTGTTGAGAGAACATACAATTCAATCATTTTCACACAGATTTTGGAGTCCACAATACCCTGAGTGACAATATCTCCAAGGATATCAGCATCGGTGGAGAACTGATCTCTCTCCCCAAAGCACTCCACTTGCAAGTCCCGAATGAGTTGTGCCGGTTTTATAGGATATAACGAAGATGACACACTGTCACCCGAGCCAGTTCCATCTATGCTGTTGCTTCTGGCCTGCGACTCGAAGCTGCTCGACATATTGGGGGTGCGGTTCACCATCTGCCGCATAAGATGGATCATCTCCCCCATGCCACGCTCCAGTGAGACAAGCCGTTCCTCTATTGAGGGGATAGCGGCACCAGCATCCGACCAGGTCGACGCATTATCCTGAAAACGATCAGTTGTCTCCGGTAGCTCGCACTCCAGCCTGTGGGATACGAATACGCGGTCAGTTCCAGCTCAGGACACGAGTTCCGGGATTTCCGAGGTAATTCCGGCATGTGATAAGCACAGCATGACAGGACACACCTCAGAGATAAACAGCGGCGACAAGCATGGCCACGCGGGTCGACATCACAGCGAGTCTTGAGCTTGCGGCAGGTGTTACAGGCAGTCATTGATCGTCGGATACGCCCTTTGGGTCTCAGATCTTGACCAGCGACCGAATCAATTCTGCCGCCATCCTCGGGGTTGATGTGGCTCTTAGTTCCCCAGGACATGGTACTATTTGGAGGGTCGGTTCTCGTCATTGCATTGGGCGTGAAAGGGATGGTGTGAATGTACTGGTTTAAGGGATCATCTATGTCGAATAGGAAAGGATGGAAGATTGAAAAGAAGAAGATCAATGATCAACAATTGGACCCTTCTAAAGCCAAGTCTTAAAGCCTGAAGATCACTTCATCGCTATCAGGGAGATCCAAGCCTTATAATAGCGGATCGCTGGTCCGAGTGAACGCTGGTAGCCAATTGCGACAAGTGGCCGATGATTGACGATATCGAGACCGCCTGCGCAGGTACATTTGAGCCCGTTCATGGTGGACCTGGGGTAATCGAAAGTGCACCCACCAATCCGAATATCTCCCGGAGGCTTCTAGAAAGGTAATGTTGGCCGGTGCAGACTTTCGAGGAGAGGGGTTGATAGTCATGTATTGGCTATAACCCCCGCCCAAAATCCCCGACGTGAACCGTAGGAGAGGGGGCAAGTGGCACAATCTTGCTCGTATGCTCAATTAGTTCGGTTGCTTTGAGTTCTCGACTTGCTCATCTTATTCTACTAAGGTTCAACTACAATCAAACGTTCCTTTCATTTTCTCCTATCTTGAAACAGGCTCTTTTATTTGCTTTTTTTTGTTCGTCGGAGATATCCGCCATATGAACTTACTGTAATCTAAGTGGTTTTTTTTGCAATCACTTCGCTAATTTGACTATTAAGTGGGGAGGGAAGAGGATCCAAGTGGGGAGAGTTAACAGGCAGAACAAAAGAATCCGAATTCATTGGCTAACATGTGCAATTGTCTCAAAGTAAATGGCTATCGGGATTGGAGCGTCGAACCAATGTGACATCGTAACTTTTTAGCCCCGGTTAACGACGGGTCTCTTGCTGGTTAATGCATTAGTGTCCCCCCCTTTTAGCTCTGCCCGACTGCTACTCCTGAGAGTTCTTGATATCGCACTTTTCAAGGTTCAAGCCGTGCTTTTTGGCTAAGCGAAAGCATATTCCAAGGTCCATCTGGGTGTTGCCGGATATTTGTTCGCCTCATTTGACAGCGCCGATCGGGATGGACGGGAACGAAAATCCCCCTCGATCGGCCCCAAACGATTCAGCCATGTACAATGTCAAGCCCTGTACTCCGTACTCCGTAACTACCTACGCCGTAGATTGCTAATCGCGCCATGCTAAGTGGCAATGCGGATGAATATATAGCAGTCGCCCGAGCCATCCTTTTCCCTGCATATGAAGGGCTCCACTCTTAAGGAGAGGCAATATAACTTTCATGCACGCGGCTAACTGCCTGCCCTTCTGGGTGTAGTGTTCTTTCGTCTTCACGGAAATCTCGAGCAAACCTTGGAACAAGCGGTCAATCCCCCTCGGTCCAATATACGACTTGGGATCCGATGACTTTGTCTGAATTTTGGCATTTCTTGGCTTGTTGAATTCCTGGGGTGATCGACCACTGGCCCACAGCCGTTGCCAACGAGTCCCATATGTGCATCCACCCCCAGCTTGCTTGTTATCATCCCCATCTTGGACTATCTGGTCCGAGCTATCTTCGCTTAATTTCTTGATTGCGTAACAAAAACCTACCTGCCAAGTATGGCATAGGGGCTGGGAGCGATCAAGCTATGCCCAGTCATGATGCCTGCGTTCCATGCGCGTTGAATACCTAGTCACTGTGCATCAACGTGGGAACTTTCTTTTGTGGCTGAGGTGCCAACCTTGATGTATTTGGGTCAGTATATGGTGTTTACAACTGTGGCACGTCAATCAGCCATGGCTTTACACATGTCAGCCTGGCGGGTGTAGAAGGAAGCCTCAAACCTACAATACTTCTAGAACCCGTCGATCACTTCAATATGCTTTGCATGATCCTGAGAAAGTTAAATAGACGCTTTCCGGCGGAGGGCAGACAATTGAGCAAGCTTTGGTCACGGCGTGTGTAAAAGCCACAACCCGTCTCTAGTCGTGACGTCGATAAACTCGCGAAAATCGAGAACGCAGTATCGTGACCAGCCAAGTCCTCTCTGAGTTCGAACTTTGGTTGGCTGACAGGTTATGTGCTCGTTGTCCCTCTTCCGAGGTCCTTCTCTGCGGCTTCCTTGCAGGGCCGTCTGACTGCATGTCTCCAATGAGCGAGCTCCATGGCGCCACGGGCTTCTCATCTGAATTAGATATCCGAGTCTGGTGCATAGTTCCCAAAATGGCCCCAAGCCCCATTCAGAGCTCACTAGTCACGCTGATAATGGTTCGGCTCGGGGATGCGCAACATGAGGGCGCTGCGAGTGTATATAGTCATGTTTCAGAGATAAGGATCTTTCTGAGTAAATTTCCGCAGGTGTTGACATGTCATTTTGTCAAATTGTGTCTTTTTCTGAAAAAAGATGCCTCGGTGCCATATCTTTGGTGGAAAAAGACAGGGCATGTACCGCTCCCGGGCCCAACGTTCGAAATAACTCTAGGTCAGGCCTACCTTTATTGGGCTGAGAGACGCTACCCGTTTAGCTTACTGCACCTCTCTTTTGGTGGTACTTGTGCAATTCAAGCTCGGTCAAAAATTCCCCAAGTGGCGGGCAGTCTCACTATCAACCAGACAGCAGGATTGCAGGGGTCTGGAAATCTCATTTGGATGAAGTGAATGGTCAACCAATTTGATCAAGCTCGATCAAGGCCGATAAGATTGACATGGGGCAGGCCGAAAGCATATGCCTAGACTGCGGGCTATGCATTGCTGTGGATCTGCCCCGAGCATAAGACCCCTAAGCGCGGGGACTGTGCAGCCCTGGGGCTCAGGCCTGTCTAGCACTAGCTCCCGCTGGTCTCACCCCTTTCTCTCCCCAGTACTCCGTACGTGAAGTTTGGTGTATTGCGCTTCTCTTGTTTCCCCCCTTTTCCCATCTTCCTCTTCTCCTTCTTCTCGCGTTGTCATTCACAGTCCGCAGCCTAAGCTTAGAAAAGCTGGATCTTAAAGCCCGTGGCTCCTGTGCCTCAAAGGTTGAATATCTCTATCCATGGACCTGCTTTTACAGGATATCAAGCTGTTCTCTCGGTGCTAGCTAGTCACATCCACAATTGTCGTCAAACAAACATCATGCTATCCAACCCTCCTTCCGGTTCACGCTACCTGTTGTCCGCGGGACCCATGTCAATATTCTGCGCTCTTTTACCCGTGGAGCTGGTATGCTCATGTTCGCAAAAACTAATTGCGTGTCACAATGATGAATTGCATTGTCTATCTATCTATGTGAGTGAAAAGCATGCAAAAAAATTGACCGACGCAGGGATCGAACCTGCAATCTCTTGATTCGTAGTCAAGCGCCTTGCCATTGGGCCAGCCGGCCGATGTAAAGTGGGGCTCGAAGGTCCCGCACTCGCGGCTCAAAGGCCCGTGCCATTAGGCTACCGGGGCTTCTGATAGAAGATTTGGCAGACTTCGGCTATATCAGTACTGCACAAGGAATACAATATATCTCCTTCAGTTTCGGAGTGCTATGCAACCAAGATGACTCTGCAGAGGCTTTTGCCCAAGCCCAGTGGCTGATACCCACCAATCTGCAGTCGTACGGAGGGTCAATGACGGATCCTGGATTGCTTCTCTTTTTTTAATGGTTTCGTTTCTTTCTTTTCGAGGTAGCCATTTCAATCCCCGGCGGTTTGGTTCTCACCCGAGAGGCGTAGATACTCATATGAAAACAAAGCGATGGCTGCACCAAAGCAGGAGGAAGGATATTGGGAGAGTAAAAATTCCTACCCAGGCAGGTAAACACACTGATCCTTGAATCACCAAATACTAGATTTATTTGATGTTCCTATCCCAGCTACGATATCTTGATGAAAGGCTCCATTAGACGGGAGGAAGTTATCAGCATAACAGGTGAGGAATATGAGAGCTGGATGGCAACAAGAATGAACGGCAGGGCCTGAATATTCAAAACTCTGTAAGTCTGCACAATGGACTTCAGCACATGGCGATATATATCAAGGAATATAAGTTTTGTTTTTGATGGCTCGATAGCATCGAATTGACAAATTCGGCGGATTGGACTAATAATCGGACTCTATATATCAAACTGAGCCCTATGCCCATTCTCACAAAGGGCAAATATTGGAAGTGCCCTTATGAAGAAGACATAAGGACTATTGGCCAAGTCGGCAACAGCCACGTTGTGTAAATGGCAATCACGTACTAGGAAATCCCGCAGGTCACAAGCACTATGAACCCTCTAGGGTATAACTGTTGATCAAGATGCGATGACGAAAAAAAGCACTCTGTCAAGGGAGAATTCGAGAAGACTGAAAGCTTGAAATGCCCAAGATATCACAAAATTATATCAAGCGATGCAAAATAGCAGAGAGCGATGATATATAGAGGTCAGGCCCGTGGAGGCTGGCTACCGAGCTTGGTCTTTTTCAACCTTTTCTCTCCCCAGATCTAGTTATTATTGCAAGTACTACGTACGCATCTGCTACGATGCCATTTCACTCAAAAACTTTCCTGGCCTTCAGTCTCTCTATCGTTCGTCAGTATTCAAGTCAAAAGAATACTTCATTAGAGGAGTCACATCACATTCAGATGCAAAGTCACCAGTACTTTGGATTTTCGCCCATCAGGTAAAAAAAGCGCAACATCCAGAGTGAAATGTCAAAAGTATCACATTACCTCTCTTTGATACCAGATATGTGCATCAATATCTGACTGGAGTGTGTTGGTAAACCAAAAGGGTGGCTATTAGCGTCACGAAATTTCATGGCCATGAGCGACCAGTATGCATGATGTTCATCAGTTAAGCTGTGAAGACTAGACTTTCTGTTGAGAGGTGAGATGACCGCTTAGGCTAGATGATAATTTCTTTCTATCTCTCTCTTTTCCCCAGCTAATCCGTTCTTGCTTTGGAATCCGACATCTACGGTTTTTTCAGCGATTCCTTGCTTCTTCCAGTAGTCACTTCGTGGCAGCGAGGTGAATCTATGCGCCATTCTGATATCACATATTCTTTCTGGACAGAGTTTACATACGCCAAAGTACTTTCCAAGATTTCAACCCTATCTACTCCGTATATTTCTGGTGTATGCGCCATGTATGTGTTGAACGAGAAGCTATCTCACACACGTATCACAACCTGAAGTATTTATTGACTTGCATTGTGAATAAAATTGGACACTTTCAGTCGCAAGGCTCTATGCAAATTGTCTCGACTCGCATACCATACGCGGTTGCAACTACATAACTCCGTCGGTGTGTAAGTTCATTTCCTACCGACTGACTCACAACTTCTCTTTTCAAAACCTCACCGACTGGTTGTACATATCATATCTTATGAGAGGGGGATTGTGCACCTCCACATTGATCTAGGAAAAATACCGAGTCTCGGTTGCGCCCACCAGACAGTTTGTATAGTAGCTACAGGAGAAAAGACAGCGTCGGCAATCTCGCCTACAGCAGCAACAACGCTAAACCGTATAGATAACAAGCCTCCGGGCAAAGTTCCAGAACCAGAGCGAACCCGTCAAACATGCCACTGTAAGACTTAAGCACACTAAGCGGCGCTATTGATTTCACTAAATAAGTGTCGAACGGTGGGACCGTCGATCCTTCACCTGGAACCCAAAGGAATCTGACAAGATTCAATAGTTTACAAAGTTAGAAAAGAGAGGGGAAAAAAACATGTCATTGTAACCCCAGGTGTGGGACATGCCAAATCCCCAAATTCGAGATCCAAATCAAGGGACATCAAGGGAGAGGCGAATTCCAATATTCTAACGCGAGGAACGCGATGCGATAGCATATCATATCACATACCCTTGGACCAGGTGCTTAGCACCAATAGTCAAAATGCACATTAAATTCGAATGTAACCTACCTTTTACAGGGCGGATATGAGGGTCGAAGGGCAAGTCCGGTTTAGTGTTGTAGCTGTGAACCGGTGAGAGTGTGGTCGGACGAACCGTGCGTGCATCGATCTACACGATCATCTCCCAACTCAAATCCTGACATGAGATAGCTCACAATTGCTAGTTGACAGCTCCGAAGTACAGAAAGCCACACGCCACACCTCGCATACTTACCGGACTAAGTAACAGCCAGAGATCTACGGAGTACGGAGTGCTCCGAACAGATTTCACAAGTGACATCCGATGCACCAGACGTCATATGCCAGCACAGCATGGGGCGCCCACATAAGATATGTAGCACGAACGTGTCTGTTAACGTGTGTTGAATTCACCGCTATATGATGCATCGGATGCAGGTAGCCGCATCGTAAGATCGAACGGATCGAGGATGAAGATCACGATCTATTCGGCATCGACAGAGCGAAATGGGAAGGAGAAATTGTAAGGCGTGAGACCGGGGTTTGGTCAGGCGTGAAGTGACAGATGCGTTCGGTCAGGGATGGGAGGCAGGGGTCAAAAGTATTTGTAATGATTGTGATTCGACAGCTGGCTGCATGCAGGCTGCATGCACGCTGCACGTCTTGGGGGTGATATGTAGGTTCGACCGTCGAGCCAGTCGTGGGGGTCGGAAGTAGCTGGGCACTGGGGATTGTGGCAGTGGCTTGCATAACCGCTGTTCCCTATGTGGGACCGAGCTACGAGGGATCCTTGCTCTTACATATCCTGTCTTTCAAGATTACGGGTGTCTGCCTATTCAGATGTTTGCTTTTTTGTCCTTTGTTTAGTGGTGATTTGCGACGTGCATGCCCATTTTTATTTCACCGAGTCAGAGTTACGCCTCAAGGGCTTGGAGTTTGGAGTAGTTCAGAAAATACATGAATAAGGCCCCTAAAGTTGTCAATACGATAACATCCTGCATGACATCGTATAATCTCAATTGTGGCGAGATCTCAAATTTGGTGTCAGTCACAAGTGGAATGTTAATATAGTAGCGGTGCCTAAGTGCCCCCCATTTTGGGGTAGGAGGGGACAGCCCAGCGCCCGAGGCCCCGAGGGCTCCGAGACCATGTCATTCGGCAACTTGGCCGACACTGATCTGCAGACAATTTTTTGAGTCGTGTCAAATCCCGGGATTGCGTATTCAGGGGGGTGGTTTCCGAGAAACCAAGTGAGTCGTGAGCCCAAAAAAGCCACGCGAAGTACGGAATACATCAAAACCAGTGTGTTTCAATTGGGTGCCTAAACGTTGAAGTGATCAATTCCCAACATGAAAATTTTCACTTTCTGATCCGCGACATCCGAGGTGTTTCGGACAAGTTAATGAATTTCAAAGACAATTTGATTCCTGTGTAGTCTGGTTCGGCGTATCAGAATCTTCCATGGATGTTCTCATTATACACTTAGCCCACACCTTAATTACATCGCAGCTGTCAAAACTGGCCAAAAAGGTCCGAGAATACCCCATTTGATGGGCGATCATATTGTCAAGTCAGATTGAATCCGGAGGATTCACGTGGCATGCTAGCGCAATATCAGTTCCATGGTTCACTGTGGCCCGTGTGGACTCGAAGTGGATTCGACGAAATTCCAGCAGTCAGGAAAAGTTGGCAGATATAAGAGAACCGAAGTTTAAACTCGAACTTAGTTTTGACCCTCCAGAGCTGTCAGCTCACGTCAATAGGAGTAGGACTTGGCTGGGGCATGATTTGTCAAGTTTACTATGCTGCGAGCACTTATACAACCTTGGAAGTACTCCGAGCCGATACCGAATTCTACACCTGGACATCTATCTAGATGTTTTGCACGCACACGAATACCGAGGGACTGGAACAGAATTTTAAGCATTGCCCCGGTGGTGTCAGTGATCGAAGGGTCATCCTACCAGAACAGGTCCGAGTACTCGAAAGGTCAAAAAGGGTAGTGACCGTGGTAGCCACGAGGTCGATGTTTGGTAGACCGACGTCATGGAGAATCAAAGAAGCCAAAAGTGGACGCGATCTTATCCATATCGAAACCAAATAGTTTATGGGTCTTTTGATTGGGGCACAAAAAGATTTTGAATTGGCATTAGTGACAGCCCGATCCATGGTTCATGCACTTCCCCCGGGCCGAAATTCAACCTCTTTTTGTGCGCTCCTTTTTAGGATTTGGTCCGGCCTTTGAGTAAGTTCCGGAGTGGTTCGGCAGTTGTCAAATTTTCCCCTGGTACTCTGTAGTCATGGAACGAAAACAATTGTACACCCCCAATGATCCGGTTGAGAGAAACGTCATACGCAAAATCTGTCAATTCCCGAAGGCTAAATACAAGCATGAGCCGTGAAGATCACCCAAGATCGGCGAATGAAAAAGCGGTTCTTGGGACACCTTGATAAGGCAAGATCCACGGTTCCGCCGAATGTGTGCTCGTGAACGGATAGCCCAGTGCCGAGGGAACGGATATACGGTGGGGACGGGCTGTGCGGTGGGCAGCTGAGATCTGCTGGATTCTTCACAAAATTGATGCTCGCTCTCGTATTGGCCGGCAAAGCCATGGACGGACGGGGGATGGCAGACCGGTAGTTTTAGTCCAATGCTAGCAGTTGTAGTGGAACAAATAAATGTGTCATGCAAATATCAGGTTCCACTGAACGCCTATGCAAATTTTGGTGGCCCAGCTGTCCGAGGCATATGCCAAAGGTAATGCGATGGCGACAAATAGTGCCACGAGTTGGAGATCGATATGACAGATGTATGGTAAATGTAAATAACTTGAATTTTGAATGTTCTTAATCTTCCACGTACCCCTGGCCCGTTTGATTCTTAGCAAAACAAGATCCCACCGGGTAAACGCAATCAAAGTGAAAGGGTATCAAAATGTGATGTCTGCCTGAAAGCTCCGTACCGGACGGCAATGCGACATGAAGTGTGTGACCCAGAAAAAAGGGGGAAAACTGACAAATAGAAGGAGACAAGAAATGATAAGAAAAACATATGGGAGAAAAATGAAAGGGGAAAAAAAGCCAGTCTATCCCAGCGTGCTGTGTGCTCGATCCCGTAACTCGTAAATGGTAGGGAGAAAAAATAAGATATGCCTCCGATCGTAAAAGTGAATAAACGCCGACGGTAGGAATGCCTGCCGTAGGATGGTGTAGATTAAAGTAGAAAAGGCCGTGAAGGAACCCAGACTGATGCTGGGTTCATCGCCACTTTAATGGCGAGGAGAGGGCAGTTCACCATCCATGTCACTGAAAGGAGACTGTCGCGAGGGATCGACATCAGTGCCTGTACGCATTTGGTTGCGCAGAGCAGGAAGCTGTCGCCGACGGGCGTTGATAAACCAATTGCTAATCTGTTCGGGGTGGTTAGCCAAAATAGCCATGAATGACAAGAAATGCGAAACACATACCTGACTAATTGAGAGACCAGTCCTCGTCATAAACATCTGCTTGTCCTCTTCACTTGGATAAGGATGGTCAAGATGCTCATGGAACCAGGCGCGCAGAATATCCGTAACAGGCTTCGGCAGATTCCCACGTCTGCGCTTCGTCTTGGGATCAATAGGGTCACCCATAATTCCAAAATTGGCCTGCTGGCCATGCGCAAGCATCTGAGGCGAGACCTGCTCATCGTAACCCATTGCCGGATGGCCGTATGGTGATTGGGGGTGCATTATCGGGGCGTATTGCTCCGCGCTGCGGCGATCGGGCATAGCAGCCATTGGGGCCGGCCCGGGCTGGCGATACTCTTGAGTAACAAAGGGGTCTGATCTGGGGGCGCGCTCGAAGCCCTTTTGATTTACTGGGCGGCCTGACATTGAGTCCAGGTCTCGGATGGGTGGGAGGATCGGACTAGGGCCGCGGGATGCGCCTTCGGAGAACCGCACCGCGTGGGCCGGGTCCATGCGTTCGCCGCGCGAGACTGTATATTCACGGTGTGCTTCGTATGGCATTTTAGATGGGGAGCCGTATGAGATGGAGCGGGGATCGGCCATTTCGTGGCCCGAACCCGGGCGGTCTTGTGAGCGTGGTGAGGTATAGTATGGTGAGGTTGATTCGATTTCATCGTGGAGGTGAGCGGGGAGAAGCTGAGTGGGATTAGCACCTTGCACCTATCTTTTTGATGTGGTTTTTCTCTATTTAGGCTTACCTCGCGGAATGAGGGGAGGGTCTGGTGTCCGGCGGACGGCTGCGTATACGAAATAGCCATATCGGTATCTTCGTCCAGCTGGCGGGACTGGGACATAAGGTATTTGCGGGGGAGAAAATGGACAAGGCTAGAGAATGTCCTGCAAGAAGAGAAGAGTAATGTATCACAAAAAAACTATGCCCAGTTAGAAACGGGATGTCAAGTATAGACAAAACTAAACCAAGAAAAGCCAAGGTGAGAAAAAGATGCAAACTTACCGAGGAAACCAAGCTGGTTTTACGTCGACATGTTGAAAAAGAAAGGCCAAGATTATATGCAAGGTTGGGGAATGAGGGCAGAGATAGAAGTCCAAATAATGCAGGACCCGTACATTTTAACCAAAAAATAGCCCCATCTCAGAAAATAAAATAATAATAATAATAATGTATTTTTTTAAAAAAAAACCCATCCCAAAAAGAAAAAAAGAGACATCCAGCTGTTACATGTCCATGGAAAAGCAAGAACAGGGGGGGCCACCGAAAAATGACGATCGTGGTGGGTACGAAGAGCCACAAGTGCTCCAAGGCATGCAGAGCGGAGAAGGGGGCGTGAATCAATATGGTCTAAGGTGGTTGACAGCGCCAATCTCTCTTTGGTCCTTTAGGGTTCCTGTCATTGAAATAGTTCGGTTAGCGTATCTCACGAACTCCTCCCCGTCTCCACGGTTATTCCTGATTCTCCGATGTCTCCGTTGGATGATGGTCGGTGTTTTCTTCCGAAAGGGATATACCATACAGTCTACCCAAGGTCAAGATTCGACGAGAGGGGGAGAAAATGAAATCAGATGGGAGAATTATAATTAGCACGAATCCGAGGAAGAAAAGGAACAGAAGTGTGGTTCACTAGTCTACGTCAAATTCGAGGATCGCATGTTAGAGAACTGGGCTACTAGTCTTGATCCCAAAAAAGAGTCCTCAGTGTGAAACCGAGATAATACAGGTCTTCGAACGTGAGTACGAGAAGTGTTATGATTTTGCTAATAAAATTAAGGAATTATGCACAGGTGCCAGAACAATTACAGCGTAACATCCAGTGCATTACGGAGTAAAGATTCAAATGGCCTAAAGGATGGGGAAGCAGAGGGGGATCCCAGCAGTGACAGCCGCAGAGTAAGGAGGGGAATTTCTGTTGTACCTGAGTCAAGATGATCTCTGGAAATCAAATCACATTCTCATTGCTTTTTTAGTGGGGATTTTTAATTCTGGATTCTGAATGGAGATGAGAGAGATGGCGAAAGAGAGCCATTCCCATGGGTCTGGAAAAGACAACCGGGAAGTGCCAGTCGGGCACCATCTCGTACTGAAAAAAGAAAAAGAAAAGTCAGTGGATCTTGGAAAGTCCGAGTTGAGGGCAAAGATCGCCGTCAAAGAGTGTCACTCCAAGATCTCGTTTGAGTTGGTTCGAGAGCTTGTGTTTCCAAGGGAAAAGGTTTACGACAGACGAATGAGGACGCGCAGTAATGACGCCTCGGCTCGATCGTAGATTGCCTAGAGCCTCTCATGGGTGGGCACGGAGATCGATCGACCACTGAGAAAGGGAGAGAGGCTGGCATTGGCCAGGGATAGATCGCCTAGGGGTTCTTCAATTTCCATCTCCACTTCCTTCGAGATGACTTGTGGCGTCTTTTTTTTAAATTCTTTTTCTTCTTGGTAATTTATTAATTTATGGTATTTTCAAGCAGAAATTGGGGCTTTTCATTCTTACATAGATTAAAGTCGGATCACCCCGAGAACCCGCTTATGATTTCATGATAATCATGTTAATTTTAATTAATATTCCATTTTTATTTTCCTTTCAGCTTTTTGTTTTTGTTTTTGTTTTTTCATTTTTGCTTTTCTCACGCGACGTGCTGCATGGGGATGCATATGATATTTCAACTACAGACGGAGAGTACGGAGTACGAAGGACCTTGGCTTAAGTGTGACAGGAGTCCTAGTGATCGTGCGCTCTTTTCACGTACAAGTATCGCATTCAGCTTGACACGACACATACTAATTGACTAGACCCGACCCGCTCTGGAAACTAGTTTTGACAATTCAATAATGGCGCAAATGCGCTAAGATTGTCGGAGATCCTAAGTGGGCCAAATGCAAAGCAGTGAGATCAAGTGCCAATCACAGGGTCAATCAGCCTCGGAACAATGGAGTCCAATTCTCTCAAGACATTGGAGCCCTGCGAGTTGCTGTCCCCTATTGGTGGGGTTCCTGATGAACTCGATGTGGCGTAGAGACTCGTACTTTAATGTATATAACCAAGTTGGCACAAAGAAGAAAGGATATATTGCGATTGTTAACGTCAAACATTCACGGGTAAAAAAGTAATTACTCGAGCAATATTGCAATGAACGCACAGCGCTACCCTCCAGGGCTTGACAGGACATATCCCGACCCTAAATGCCGTGACGTTTCGGACAGAATCCGCCCCAGCTGCCCCAATTTACTTCAAGGTTTAATGGTCTGTCGCGAATTTGTCTCGCTCGCTCAACGCGGTAGTCAACCCCGGGTCTTACTGGTTTCTTTGCTTAGTTGCCTTTAGTTCATACAAGATCTTACCCTTTTACCAAGCCATGGTGAATCTGGATTTCAGCCTCGTGGGGGAGCTTTGGATCGCCCCTTTGATTCGCCCCTCATTCCAGGGCGAGATCTGGCAGCGGAAAAAACCTGAGATTCTTTTTGGATTTAATTCTTTTAATTTTTTACTGTCTAACAAGCCAAGTTCGAAATCTGAAATCTAGAACAAAACTAAATAGATTGTTGTTGACTTGGACAAGATTAAACCCACGTACTCCGTAAATTGTTAATTATTTTCTAGCTTTCATTTTTCATTTTGGATTTCTTTTTAAGTCTGTGGCTGAGTGGCTACAAGTACGAAGTACTACGAGTACTCCGTAAGTGATTGGTATTTGGAGCGATCGTCATACCTAGCCCAAGGTCCCGAGATCGTGCATGAAATGGAGGGATGCAGATCATCGGATCTCGCAGTGCAAGAACTGGGATCGTCTTAGAAAAATGACTGGTCTAAAATGTGTTTAGTCCTCTCAAAGCCCGGGGAATGGAGGCCAAAGAGGGGTTTGACGGCACATAGTCTTTTTTTATTTTATTTTTTTTCTCTGAATTTTCCTCTCGTGCCCTACTCCGTACGGGGTGCTGTAGGCCCTAGTATAGCGCCGGAGGAATAGCCCCAGATCTGCGGAATACGGGTGTCCAAGGTTGCAGTAATTTGTCATTCTGTTTCCCGGTACTTGGGCCGGGGTTTGCTCACATTTTTTGGTTCAACCTTATATCTCCTCTTTGTGTTTCTCTTCTTTGGGAGGATTTTCATTGTTACATCTCATACCCCTCCAACACCCTATTTTTAAATTCTCATGACTCTGACACTATCCCATACACTCTAAATTAATTCTAGAATTCAGTCTAAACCCAGTCTAAACCCAGTTTCCCACCATTTGTCAATCCCCGAACTCTGGAACTGTCAAAGTTAGGGGGAGAGGGGAGGAGAATATAGCGGTATAGCACTATAGGTAGCACTGCAGCAAGCAAGGCACCCGAAAATGAACCATTGCATGAAGCCATCCCCGAGTACTCCGTTCTGCGTACTTTGCTTTTCTTTACAACAATTTCCAGGTTCCTGGTATTATAGGCGCATGGCTACAAGCATCTTCCCGGTATCCGATTTGTTTGCTTTCGCCACCCAGGCCTGTCACGGCCCATGCATGGCCGCCAAGGACGTGGTTCGTGACAAGACCACCAATCCCTCGCTGACATGCGATGTGACAGTAGGGATTCTTTTTTGCTATTGGCTCGAGGTATTCTTTTTTGGTGCTTTCTTTTCCACTTCTCGGTGACGTCTGTGGGCGGACTCTTGCTCTAAGCGGTTAGATACCGCCCTACTATGGAACTTTTGTCCCGATAGTGCGGTCTGGCTGATGAATTGGTTTTTAGTGACGGGTGTGGTGATCGTGCGATGCACTAGTGCCTGACTCATGCTGGGACCGGGTCTTCTGTCACTTTTCTTTGTTTGGCCAAGGTGGTCTTGGGTGTGCTATTCAGCCTAGGTGAATATTGTCGGCTGGCCAACTACGTCCATGGATGGGGAGGGACACAAGGAACCCTGGAATGGTGTGCGAAGTACTCCGTATGTCAGGGCTTGTACGGAGTAGACATGTTGACCGTGCTACTTCATAATGGGTACCGTGTTATGCACATATCTCTGTTCATAAAATCGAGAAAGTGGAGGTGCTGTGATAAACTGCAGTTTCATGGTTGTGGTAATATTAAATGATAACAATAAAAACCCCCATAGGTTTTGCCCAGGTGCTCTCAAGCAATTGATAAGAATAATAAGAATAATAATAGCGGGCATGGGCATGGGCAGCGCTGATGTGGCTAACTGTCATCTGGCTTGCAAAAACGCCACGGCTGCAACGAGAAAGAAAATATTAAATGAAAAAAAGTAGACTCAAGATAATCTCAAAAGAAAAATCCCCAAATCCCCAGATAAAAACTCACTGTCAATCAAAACCACCCCCATCATTCACCAAATCATGCCATGTATGATTGAGCGCTGAATCTTAAGCAAGAAGTTGCGAATCTCTCGAAGTGGGCAGAACAGAGCGCGGATTCTCTGCCTCGAGATTGTTCTCTTCCTCCTCGGTCACAAATGACGGAGATTCAGATCGCGCTGGTGTAAATGCAGTCGAATCCGCCTCGACTTGAGTCTCGCTAATTCGAGCCCTCTTGTTTCCTTCAGTCGTCTGAGTTTCAGTGGGCTGCATCGGGTTCGGGCGCTTCTTGTTGGAATGTCCAGAGTTCGTTGCCCAGGTAGACCTCTGCTTTGACGATTTCTGGGACTTTGAGCCCTTTGGGGGAGTTCGGTTCTCCTTTTCCTTCACGTTGTTGACAGGGGCGGTTGGCGGAGCCGAGCTCATGTCATGCGAAGCCCCAAAGACTTCGAGGTCAAGTGGCTGATCCTCATTCTTTTCAGTCTCAAACTGGAGGAAGCAAGCGTAGACGGTGTCGATACTATCCGGACTGGCTCTGTCGATATCCAACTTGTTGAGGAAGTCGGAGAACATCGGATCATTCACAGCTTGAACGAAGCCGGAGATCTGGAGCTGATGAGGAGCAGCTATCTTTGCAAGCCTGAGCTGCCACAGCGCAAGTTGATACATGCGAATGAACTCTGGGGCCTTCACGTTGGAGGTCTTATACCGCAAATTGCTAAACTCAGCCCAGCAGCGATCGGTAGCCGCGCCTGCGTCTTCGGCATATAGCTCATTCAATTTCTCCCAAGCTTCGTTGGCGCCGCTAAGATGTTGGACTTGGGCTCCAGTTTCAGCGTTCAGCGTGTTTCCAAGATGGATGCGGGCTCGATAGTTGAATGCTTTCCAGAGGTTGATCTTTTTCTGAATCTTTGCACGTTGCTCGTCTGAGAGAGATTCATCTTCTGGCTTGGGAGGGCACAGTGATTTGCCGAGGACAATATTAATAAAGTTTTTGTCCGTCACTCTGAGATGTTCCATGACTCGAGGTGCCCAGACCGTCCAGTTTGCTTTTCCCGCCAGCTTGGGGACGCTCACGTGGAGCCGCCGAGTCTCGCTGTATCCCATTTTGTGCGTCTGTGAATGCAGGTTAGTTGAATCGAAGGATAGTTGCAAGGTAGAAAAAGAGTATGGGCAACGAGGTTATGCAAACCTTGGTCGTTCGGCTGATGGGACGAATCCGCAGAAGGGGTATGAACTGTGTAGAGGAAGAGTGGAAAGAGGAAGTGGACGAACCGCAGGTTTTGAGGCAGGAGACGGAAGATTTAGGCGAGGGAATATTCGAAAGAAAGACCAGCAAGGAAGGGCATGGACGATATGAAAGTGAACGAGACTGGCGTAGGTGTAGACGAACGACCGAATGAATATCGAATGCGAACACGAAACATGAACGAACGCAGGAAGTAAATGGCGGGACTTACCAAGAAGGTGATGGTCTATATGAATGTACTTGAAGCCGAAGAAGTTCAAGTGAAAGTGTTGCAGACGTTGAAAGTTGAAAAGGCCGAGCCTTCAAAGTCATGAAAAGAATCAAGACTCAAAGTGTACCTGAGGTCGAGGTTTGGCGTCGACCAAGAAGTTGACTCGAAGTGCGAAGAAAGTGAACGAGAAAAGGGTAGAACAAAGTAGCTTGCTGGTACACAGGTCAATATCAGCAGGGTGAATAATTTCCTATTTGGTATGAAGCCAACAGAGTACACCTTTAGGTCTCCTCTTGAAGTACCTTTTCAACTGTCCTTCCACGCGTCTTTCCAAGCGTCTTTCCCGATACTACCTGGCAGCCCCAAAACTGCGTACTGCTGATTTGTTCTGATAGCCTTGGATATGGCAGGAGAAACCCAGCATCCGAATTCCAGAAAGGATCATAAAGACCCGATCTTCTCTACATGTATATGGTGACGTAGAAAGGAAGCAAGGCCCATAATAATCGAATGACTATATTTCATGTATGTGACGAGTAAGCAGAACGATATGAAACAAAACGACGTGGACCAAAAACCAAAAAGAATGCAAGACGAGAAAAACAACAGAGAACCACCCCGCTAAAAAGAAAACAATGAAAATCCCAGACCTGGGGAACGAAACTCGATCCGAGCCCAGCTCGAGACAAAAAGATCGACTGCGGAGTGCGCAGATGCAACGTATGTACATAGAAGAATAAACAGTGTCAGATTTCAGAAATCTGACCGCGTGTCACAGTTCACCAAGTTTCCTGTTCGAAAATAGTCAGCAAGGTTCAAATGCGAAAAAAAAGAAACAGAAACAAATATCCCAAACTTACGGCAATATACTGTCCAGCCTCCTTCTTGCGTTGCCAGAACATATCAGCCTCCTTAGCATTGAGATTTCCCTTCGCCATAGCAACTTCAACAAGCGCCGCCTCCACGCCTTCACCCATTCCCTTGCCAGAGCCGCAAACGAACACCCGACCATCAAGCGAGTTAATAACAAACCACACCAGATCAGCCTGGTGCCGGACTTCTTCTTGCACATAGCGACTTTCGCCCTTTCGACTCTGCACAACAGTCCGCACCTTATCCTCATGCACGCCCCACTCGCCAGAGTAAAGTTCATCGAGCAGCGAATCACGCACACCCTGCAGGACCCAGACCTTATTGGCGCAGTTGGCGGACTGCAAACGGCGCTGCACGAAGCCGCGGAACGGAGCGATGCCGACGCCCGCGCCGATCAGGAGCATGGGACCATCGGAGGCAAAGCGCGTTGCGAGCGGGTTCGCCATAAGACCTCTGAACATGGGGATGTGGAGATCTACTTTCTCGCCCTTGGCTTCGGCTTCGATGGCGCGGCGCGCGAGAGACTCCAGGTAGCCGGATCCGACGCCTGTGCGGGAGCCGCCGCGCCAGTCATCGGATTCGGCGACTGTTACGGCGACTTCGACGAGACGTCGGCATTCGGAGCCTTTGTATTGGCAGGAGATCTGGGGGTCTTGGGAGAGAGAGTAGAAGCGGGGCATGAGGGTGTTGAGGACTGAGAGGAGGGCGTCGAGGGGGGTTGGGAGGAGGGGAAGGCGGTTAGGAGTTGGGAGAGGGAGACGAAGGAGCTTGTGCGGAGGTCACAGAAGGCGCCTTGGCCCTGGGCGGAGGAGAGGTAGGAGAGGATTTTCTTTTCGTTGGGCTCGCTCGCGTGTTCGGCGAGGAGGCGGAAGAGGGGCTTGGTGGGTGCGTAGGATTGGATATCGGCGCACCAGCTGAGGACCTCGCGGCGTGTGGTGATGAGTTCACGGGGCTTGTCGTCGCCCCAGATTGTGGGCCAGCGGCCCTTGGTGGTGCGCATGAGGATCTTCTTGTCGCGCATGGATTTCGGGACGCCGAGGAGGTTGAGGACGTCTTCGACTTCCGAGTCTTTGTTTTTGGGGCAGACGCCGATTGCGCCGCCCACGACGAAGTCGACCATGCCGCTCTCAGCGGGGTAATCGGTGACATCGATGTCGAAGTGGTAGGTGCGCTTCTCGGCGCCGGGGCCGGTGAGCTCCCGGGCGTGGAAGATAGGCGCCCGGTATACGTTGTAAGGCGGGTGCGGCTGGACGAAATCGGGTGGGTGATCCGCGGGTCCAAGCGACATGTTGATTGCCGATGCGGGGATTGGCTTGAAGGTGACGGTCTTCTCCGGGAGGACGGCGATGCTCGAAAGCTCGCTGTCCATGGTCAGGAGATCGAGGTTCAGCTTCAAGCTGTCAAATGCCTTGTTGTTGGCCGGTCCCACAATCGAATTGAAGCCTGAGATCGGTCCATCTATCGTGCGCAATGCTTGTCCCCGGCAGCAACCCCCGCCGCAGCACAGGGATTCCAGCTTCTGAGTTCCGGCCGTGCCCACATTCTCCAACACTCTCCTCATGTCATCGGCATTCTGTGAAATGAGGATCGTTGACGCTCGCCTCCGTTGGCGACCATCGGCCTTTTCCGCTGAAAGCTCTTCCGATTGATCCTCGTTGGGCGGTGTCAGAGGGGTAGTGGGGGTGTGGACGGTCGAGTCAGTTCCTTGCGAGGAGGACTCAGAGATGACATTGAAGTTGGTATCAGTCACTGAGAGCGAGCGTACTCCTCGAGGTTCTTCCGGGATGGGGTTATCTGGGTGGGAGGTCGAGGAGACAGGAATGTCCTGGTAAGTGCCTCTCCGGGGACGGTCCCCTGTGGAAGCATAAGTCGCCGATGGCATGACGGATTGCACTGCGTGAACTATAGGGGTGGTTAGGAATTAGAAATCCGTTGGGAAAGCATTGAGGGAAGATTTCAATGGGGGATGGGTCCACACGTACCCATGGTGATGAAGGGTGGCGAACGGAATCGGCGTGAGGGAGGGCCGTTTAAGAATCACGACGCGAACAAGGAGCTGTCAAGAGACCCCCTTTTTTGGCAGATTGTATTCAAAGGGAAGAGAGTGGGATGAGGATGGGGGACGTGGACCCGAAGAATCCGGGATCGTAGTTCCGTACGGGAAATGGTAATTTAAAGGGAAAAATCGAATGCAGAGTGTGGGAGACGACAGGTTTATCAGATTCGCCACATTCCTCGGGTACGTTGGGCGGATCCGGTCAAGAGTCCGTTATTGTTTTTTGGGAATATCTTCAAGATTTAGTATAGTACTTTGTCATACTAAATTACTAGGGGATTCTCATTACCATGTCAGCAGGATTATGGGTTCACCTACTGGATCTGGCACTCCATTTGGGGCTATTGTATCCATCTCTCCAGATCTACCGTGCATATGACTGTATTGTATCGGGGCGTTTACGGAACCCGAAGCGACTCCCGTGGTCTTAGCCGGTCTCTTCGTGTTTGTGGAATTCTGATGAATCATTATGAGAGCGGATACGCACATTGCCAATCTGTTTTCCGTTGTAAATTGTCTTATTATGTATATCACAGGGATGCCATAATTCAGAGAGTTCGTCAAACATGGCCGAAACTTATCAGATGGAAATAATACGGTAATAATACATAGTACCTCGGTTATCAGATCAATCAGATACGGAGCTGTCAGCACATCTGATAACCTTGTACGGTACAGTACTATACTGCATTACTTCATTACTTCATAACTTTCAATACTTCCACTACCGGAGCATTCCCCCAACTTCTCCGATCATGTGAATTCTTCATACTCTGCGGTGTACACTACACACTCTGTACGGAGTACACTCCACGACATTCCTACAGATCCCTTCTGCGATCCCCTGCCCCCAAACCATAGTCCACCCCACTTTCCGAGCCGGAACAAGTCCGGTCTATCCCGTTGGCTGACAGGCCCCTTCACCTGCCCGCTCGGGAGGCTACTTAGCCCAAAAAGTGCGATCAATTTCCCAACCACACGGTTGAGAGTGGGGGCATCAGCCCGTTCGATATCAATCAGTGGGTCAGCTGAGCTGCTAGTTCGTTCTGGAAGGCCGACAAAGGATCGAACTTGCTAGTGGACTGGTCAACTTGGGGGCGCTGACGCGAAACTAGCCTCCCTGCCAATGTCTAGTCTGAAACGGCTCAGGTCCAAGCCTGCGTGGCTGGGAACCGTCGGTGTGTCACTTACTCGCGAGTTGATGGCGGATTGACGCGATCTGTGATGCGGTGACGCGGCGATGCGGCGACGCGGTGTTGAGGTCGCAAGGTCTTGGTCTGGTTCTGGTGCTTTTGTTCGTGCATACCTTGCCGCATCGGGGAACAAGGGGGCGATGGGCTGTTTCCATCTGATAACTTAATTTCAATATCTCCACCTGAGCATCCACTCGATTCAGGGGGAGCATGTGTATTGCGCTAACTGTTGTTCTGGGCCTACGGAGTACTTCATATACCGTATTTCAAAGGAAGTCTCAGACTGGCGGTTACATCTGATTACTCGCCTTTCCTTCCGACAGACCCCTGTTCTCGGGATTTTTTGGGCACCAAACTAGAGAAGTTTCCGTGTCTGCGGTAGCTTCAGGGCTGTCATAGGAAGTTGTGGCGTCATAACACAGCTGACGGAATTCTCGGAATTAATATTGCGGAGTTTGACCACATTCTACAATCTACAAAGCACTTTCCAGTTCCAATATGTACGGAGGCAAGACATAATAAGCTTCTTACCCTGTGCATTGAATTGACTTTTCTATACTCCATACTATACGGAATACACGTTACAAGTATCTCAACATGCCCGGAAAAGCCAGGGGCATACTCCGTAAGTCAGAGTGAGTGGTTAATAATAGTCTCAGTATTGTCTAGTTATACGTCACATCATCAGGTCATCATAATACAAGCATAACCAATCATATCATACCAGAAAGTCCAGCAATTTCCCGTCAGTTCCCGTCTCTTTTGACCAAGGCCACAGGCGGAATAAAATGGTGTCTGCCCCTGGCCCAATAATAGAGTGACGCGGACCCAACGACCCCAACATACATCGCCACGGACCAATTCATCGTTTCAACCGTGACATCAGTTGTCAACGGGAAAAATGCAAACAAGAACATCGGACAGAGGAACGCCAACGCTCCGAAATTCACCGCCATTCCAAACTTCCCCAAAGACCACCGATGATGCGGAAGTTCCTCGCCACGCAGTCGTTTAAGAAACACACAGCCTATAGAAAGGATATATGCCGACAGCAATGACGTTATAGTCAAGGAGATGACAGCATTGAGCGCGACCTGAGATCCTATATTGATCAATGAGAGGAGGATTGTGACGACCAAAGAGACCATCACAGAGTTGAGCGGGATGTTCCAGCCCGGTGTGACCTGATCAACATTAGCAATCCTTGTCGGACCAAATGCACAATTTCCAGTTGAATCATGAGGGATAATTAGGCTTACATATGCGAAAAAAGACGAAAATGGCAGACCCTCGTCTCGAGCAAACGACCACAACTGCCGGGATGCGGTTGCAACTTCCGTGATGGTACTGGCCGTCAACGTCACCACCAAAACCGCCGTCATCGCATTTGTCGCTGCAAAGCTGCCGGTGGTATTGTAGAAAATCTCGATAAACGGGAATCCGGTCGGGGTCTCGAGAACTTTGTCAACCTCGCCTAGCGTAAAGCACAATGTGATCAACATGATGAATCCCAGCACGCCGTTGACCGCAACAGAAGACATCATCGCCTTGGGCAGTGTCTCTGATGCATCTTTGATTTCTTCCGCTACATTCGTCAGTCTTCATCGCTCATGCGCAAACACAAGTATAAGTGGCGAGTCTTACACATGTGAACAGAGCAATCGTAACCAAGCATCGAGGTGATAGTCGTCGACAGACCGACTAAGGTCGCAGTCCCGGCATTATCCCAGCCGCCGCCGTTGTTGAACGTGGTGAAAACTGCGTGGGCATTGTTACGCGGTGCGAGTACCCACAGCGGGATGATGATGGCGAAGAGGCCGACGATATGAATGATCAGGATCAATCCCTCCACGAAAGGCAGGTTCTTAGCCAAGAATGTGTTGAAAATAATTGAGAATGTCGAAATGGCAATTACAAGCATTGTGCCGTGCCATCTTTGGAAATCGTAGCTTGGGTGGTTCAATACGATTAATCCTTGGATGATGGTGCCGGCAAGGTAAGCGATAGACACAATCGCGCATTGCCATCCCATAGCAGAAAGCCAGCCTATGTTTGATGAGCTGATAGTACCTTGGAAGAAAGGGACACCACTTTACTTACCTGTGATATAACTCAGGAATTTCTGCCCTCGTCGCGGTGCAAATTCAGAGACCCAGTGATATTGTCCACCGGCAGTCGGGGCCCTGTATCTATTAGTGCCGTCCACTACCCAAGGCTGAGAACATACATTGATGCCATCTCAGCTATACTGGCATACACGAGGGTAAACCCCATCGAAACGCCAATGAAGCCCCATATCAAGCCTGCTGTACCGCCATCCGTCAAGCCGGCTGAAAGCAATCTATTCATAGTCAGCTGCATGCACTAATATGCCACCCAGCTACCGAGTCATGCAAGGCGCAGCTTACGTCAATATAACCTCCCAGGTGCAGATAAGAGTGCATCCAAAGCCCACAATGGAGATGAAACGAAAGTTCCTCTTGACAGGGTCAGCAAATTAACCAGACAAGAGATTGAGAAAGACAAAAAACATACTCGCAAGACTTGAACACGACCGAGAGCATTCATATCACGCTGGTCGGCCACTGTTCCCATATACCTAGGCTCAACAAGACCTTTCTTCGCATACTCCTCATCATCAAAAGTCATCGTCTGCTGCGAATCAGGCCTGGACTTATCGAAGACCGTCATATTGGCAACGGGGCTTGAATTGCAACGGTCGCGACAAGAGATAAGGGGGAATCTAACACGCACTCATGCCCGAAGGATTGGAAGACCCTATAAGAGTGCTGGAAAGGCGTAACCCAAAGAAGAAGGTATTAGGAGAAAATCATGGCGACTGTAGTCAGAGCGTGGTATTGACGTGGGAGCAAGGCATGGGCAAGTTCTCGGCCATGTGGACGTCGAGATCGAGATTGACACATCGTTGTTTGACTGCGTCTGCTCGCTTTGGGAGTTGGGTTTCCGGAGTACTTGCTTTATCCCTTGTCTGTAGGAATGAGACTAGTGGGACCTTGCATGTCAAAGGGATGTTGCGAGGCGGTGGCCATTTGGGTTTGGACTGGATCGGGGATGGAATCGAGTATGCAGTAGCACGGCTAAGGTAGCTTAGCTTATGCATTGGAATTGTATCAAATAAAACAGCCGTCAGAGATGCTGGCTCACTTGCCGACGAACTTGAGGGACTGTTGGGCAGTCAGTGTACGGAGTACTCCGTACGGAGTACACATTGACCTACTCCATTGCTGTGGCGGCACATCCGACATTTCTGATGTATCATTTACGCTAAGCTCATCCTGGACACAAATCTCTCCCTTGATGCTTATCCCCCAGACAATTCAGCCATGTCTCCACCTAACGGCGGGTAAATGCACATTTCTCGCTTTGTTTGCTCAAAAGTATCCCTCACACGGCCTATCGGATGAGAACCAGAGACCCACCGCTGGAAAGGGCACGCTGATCTACTGTACAGCGCGGGCCGCCACGCTCTACGCAGTAATGTATGGCTTGATAGTGCGAATGATATTGACGTGAGGGCGAGAAGGCAAACCGCCATTCCACGCCCATGATCCCAAACCTCCAAGCTCGACTGCGACATACGAAGAAAGGGATGCCTCCCACAGCTCCATTATTCCATCCCAGGTATAGTTTCAAGCTCAATGGCTGGACTCAATAGCCCCGTGCCTTCATCGGCTGTCGGCATATGATATACAAAGTACGCAAACCCTCACCAGCCTTGTTTGCATGCCACGCATCCCACGCTGTATATACCGATCAATCTGGATCCTTTATTCCCAGCCCACATGGCCCGATTTGACAGTTTCCCAAATTCCTTTTTCTTTTCGCAGACAACGGGGTACAAAAAAAACTAGACCTACGCAATTGACTCTATGGGCGCCACGGGCTCATTCTAGGTCCCTCTAGGTGCCATGTATGTGCCACCAGGCCAGTCGCCGCCTTTCGAGGTTGTGGATGACCTACACCATGGCGCATGGGTGATTATTACCGCGGCACTGGGACTGGTGGTCTCGCTCGTTTGCTTCTTGATCCGGCTTTATGTGCGACTGTTGTTAATTCCGCCTTTCGCGAGGGACGATTGGGTTTTGCTAGGGGCTACGGTAAGTTGCCGGCTTCGGAATTTCAGAGTACTCGTGGTAAGTGGCTGATACATGTGGTTAGGCTGTTGCGGTGATACAAGCGAGTCTGGTATTCTATGCCTGCTCGCGTGGATTCGGCACTTCGATATCGTTGTTGGAGAATGGGAGGCTTCATCAAATACAGACTGTAAGTGGTGCTTCATTGTCTGTTGCTTCGTGTACTGAACGTTCAGTTGATCGCTACCAGCGATATCATCGCTTTGATTATTATATATCTGTCGAAATGCTGCGTTGTAGCGATATACTTGCGTCTCACCCCGCAGAAACGGCACAATCGAGCTTCTTGGGCGACGCTGGCCTTGTGCACTATCTGGGTCATCCCGGCTGTTTTCACCGTAATGGTCAACTGCGAATTGAATACACCTTGGCGAGGTGGCGGCGGTCAATGCCCAGACTTGGTATGCATCACACACATTGACATAAGATGGTTCCTCTAATCTGCTGTTCTTAGTACAAACGATGGCAATTCATAGCTGCTGTCGACGTTATAACCGAGATCCTTCTATTTATACTAGCCGTCGTTCTCCTCAAAGGCCTGTTCATGTCCGTTCGTCGCAAGCTAGCTATCGGCTTCGCTTTCATCTTTCGCTTTCCGTAAGTACCAACCGCCCCATTCCTACCCAACTCGAAACTAACATCCGCGAAAGACTCATAATCCTCTCAATAATCCACATTTCCGCTCTCCACACTGCCCTCAAAAGTGACGACACAACCCTCGCCTCCGTCGAACCAACAGTCTGGATGCAAGTCGAACTCCACTATGCCCTAGTCGCATGCAGCGTCTTCTGTATACGTCCTTTCATGGCAGCCGTCAGCACAAACTACGGCACAGCAGGCGACTCAACCCTAGAAAGCAGTGCATCGAGAACAAACACAAAAGAAGGCTCCAAATCCGGATCCGGATCCGGATCGAGTCGAGATCCAGCGTCGAGATCTAGATCGCGTTCGCGCGCTCACCGAAAGGGAGCTGGAACAGTGACCAGGCCACCTACTCGCAAATCTGGTTCTGGGATCAAGAAGTTTGCAAACTTCTCGCTGGGGAATGATGCCGGTGAACATGCGCACGTGGTACTTTCGAAGAGCCATCGAGAGGATGCAGATACAGAGTGTGAGGGGCGGTCACCGGTGTGTCGATCGATGTTTCAGCTCGGGACGCGGAAGAGCTTTCCGAATTTGGAGAAAGGGAAGCATGGGTCGTCGAGCTCTGTTTTCCCGGACTCGGATTTGATTGAGCTTGTGACGAGGCCGTCTACTCACCATGCGGGTAGCTCGGAAGGTTCTACTGGTGATGAGCGGATGGTCATTCGGAAGGAAGTTCGCTATTCTATTCAGTACGAAGATGAGAATCCGGGTAAGAAGGAGGGATTAGCCCATGATGTTTCTGTTTATGTATAGATACTTTTATTCAAGATACTATATGAAGTTCGCCCTGATGCATTTAACGCCGTACAAATGGATGCTAGCTCATTTATGAGTCTTTGAATGCTTGATTGCATCCGGTCGTTTGAATGGATGGGCTTCGGTGCTCCTGTGGAATTGTTTAGCTTGTGTAATGGACATGGGCGTTAGGGGATCGAAAACTCACAGCACATAATCATCCAGACTGATATGGTCTGGTTCGGAGAAGATCAGATAGAGATATTTCAAGGTCTCTGCAAGCCAGAAACTCTCCATCTTGTCCTCAAATCTTGGCTTTGAATGCCGGATGTCCTTTATGGTCGAATGTCCAAACTTGGTGCGTGTTGCCTTGTCAATATGCTGGAACATGCGCCACGCTGTATCTAGCAGCTTCTTATCTCCAGTGGTCCGATACATGATGAACACAGACTCAAGGGCCTCGGGTCTAGGAGTAGTGAGTATAGCCCCATCACATCATCGGGAAAATACATACCTTAACTTATAGTTGGGATCCTTGATCTCTGTGACACCAGGAGGCAACCTCTCGGCCTCAATCTGGTCCTCCGCCGCCTCGCGGGTTTCCGCAGAGTCGATCGACCGCGAGAGAACACCCGACATCCACTTTTCCTCATCCCATGGACAATGGTCAATTTCCTTGCAATGGGTCACTTTGAAGATCTCAGGCATGATCCCTGTCGGCATGATATCATAGGCCCACACGCAGCCGTCCGTCAGGCCGCGCGCGACAAACATATCCTGCGGCCGATTGAAGATCTTAGATGCGATCGCCACAGAGCCACCCATGAAGCACTTCAGATGATCAGCCATGTAGGACAAAGTCTGAGCATTGCCTCGCATGCCAATAGCATTCGCAGCAAAAAGAATATGCTGATCTTCATCCGGGGTCATGGCTCTGAACAGCAATTTTTCATTGAATGCCTTGATCGCTTTCTCGTACATCTTGCGATACTTGTCCGTCTGTGCGCCAAGCAAGATATGCGATTTTGGCAGATACTCATAGGCGGAATCGGCACATCCACCGATCGTGAACTCGGAGTCTTCGAAGTTCATTCGGTCCAGGTCAAGCCAAGTAGGCCACAAGCCCGGAATCCGAGTCTTGTCTTGTCCGATCTCGAGTTCGTCCATGACCCGCTGCACAGCGTCGTAGTACTTGGGGTCGCCAGTCACTTGAGTCAACCGCGTCAGTTCCAGAGTCAGGGAAGCAGCTTCCGCTAGACTGGTCCGAGCAGACGGTCTGATTTCTTCGCCCTTGGCGGATCTGAACAAGTCAATCAGTATCATAGCCTGCTTGTGTATACTATTACGTGCTTGAAACATACTTTGTCCAATCCCATCGCACGGAAGGCATGCGATTGTGCGTGTCGAACGCATGGTAGATCATTTCACCCAGCTCAGTAGCCTTTTCCAGGAGAATCGGATGCTTGCCATTAGTTAGATCATGGGCAGCCATAAAGCCACCCATGTATCGAATGATGATTTCAAATACAGGGACCTGTTTACTCTTTGTCGTTGTAAAGTCGATGTCCTTTAGAGCTTCGAGGGCCAGCTCCAGCTCGTCGTCGAGACCCATAATTACAAGCGCATCCATGGAATCGACCAGCGTGGCGCCCCACCCGTTGAAGGAATCCGTGACGCCGCCGGAGGCAGGCTTGAGTTCATCGCGCAGCCAGGCGCGTTCTTTGTAGCCGTTCCATGCATGCATGAAGGTGCTTTTGACCGCGTCGCGCCTTTTCAGCCGGGTGCGGCGCTCGCTCCTGGTTTCCTCTGGGAAGTCATATTGGATGCGCGGGATGGTTTCCGAGCCCGTTGGCAATTGAATGATTCTTTTACCGGATATCTCTCGGCCACTTTGTTCAGGCGGATGGCATCGGAGCGAATTGTGGTGTCTTGGCGGGAAATGGGTTTTGGGGGTCGGAAGGTGTGTGTTTTGGGGAGCCAGAAGAAAAGAACATATGTGGCGACAATGAGGAAGATGGCTGTAGGAAGCGGACGACTTTTGCGTCGGGGCAACATGATCGGAAATTGACGAGACAGATGTCTAGGAGAGAAAGAGAGACATTTGAGACCAGACGTCACAAGCTCTTGAGTCAGCCACCTTGATCGACATGATCAATAAGAATGCTCATTTATTATTAGACATCACTTCTAGACTGTTTAAAGTGTTACATATTGAACCCTGCCAAGGGTCTTCCCCACTGCGGCCCCTGAGTCGCCTTGGTCTCGGGCTAAAAAGCCCTGTTGAAAGAGTACGGGCCATTGTTGACGGTCTCAGTGACATTGCATTGTTATAAGCTTTCTATCTTGTACTCTGTAATAGGTAAATATTAAATTAGCCCACTAATTCCCTGTGCGAACACGATCCATAGTCATTGATGTACAGTGTATAGCTTCAAGTCCACCTGTTCGATACTTCAAACATATTCCTCGTTCGGAATTATATCCGAGGGCAATGGACCCTCAGACTGAGGGCAGGAAATTTCGTAGTGCATAGTACGAAATATAATCATGGACGTTGTCAACTTTGGCTCTGGCCCTGGCGAACATCCCTGAATTGACGAGATGGGTGTTTGCACTGTTTGCACCCGATTGCCATCATGGCTTTCACCTATCAAAGATGCACCTGGACACTTGATATTACTCTCTGGCTCAGCGGATACATGAAATTCTCCATTAATTAAAGTATTACCTCTTCCTTCAATGAATGGAGCCTATGCTAATTCACTTGCAGATCACCAAGTCTTCAAAGACCCTGTATCACCACGTCTAGCACTGGGCTGAATCAAGAGCATTGCTCGCCGTGTATCTACCGAGGCTGCTGTCCATACGCTCAGAACCTTGAAACACCAAAAAGGCCTATAGAACTCATTCCACACTTCAATTTGGGGCCCACAAGGCATCTTCTTGCCTGATCGATACAGCCTATCACCACCAGTGGACCAGGCCTATTACAATCCCCCATATCAGCCTCGACAAGCAGCAAAAACATCCAAAATGCCAATCACAGGGTAAAACCCTCTCAGCCTCCCAATCCAAAATCAAAGCTAACCCACCAGGGTCTATTTCATCCCCTCTAACCCTAATGCCTCAACAGCCCTCCCCCAAATAACAGAACGTCTACGAACCGCCTTCCCAGACGAAGAACTATCCCCAATCGGGCGCTGGGGATTAGAACAAAAGCTGCTTCGCGACACACCAGGCCTAATCCCACCCCAAAACACCAAACCTTCCATCCCACGGTACATGCAATTTCTTTCCTTAACCCACTACCCCAACCATGGCTTCATCTACACCTCCGAGCCAGATAAGGAACCTCCATCAGACCAGCCGCTGCCAATGGTGATGACGACTGTCCCGCCCGCAGCGCACGCTACGCTCTTTCAGCACTTCACGTTCGCCTGCCAGCCATTCTGGACGCATCGGCTGACGTTCGCTGTGTCGAACGGGACGGTCTACGATGTGGGCGATTTCCGCGTGCGATTGGGAGATGTGCGGCAGACGTTCCCGACTGCGAGGGTGCGTGGTACTGTTGTTGAGATTGAGTGGAGGGGGCCTTCGATTGTTGAAGGGGAGTTTGTGGGGATTCGGGAGGAGGATGTTGATGCGGAGTATGCTGCGACGGCGGAGCTGATTAGGGAGTTTTGGGGGAGATTGGGGATGCAGGGTCGAGAGGCGATTCTGGTCCCTGGTGTTGGGGGCGAGATTAAAGAGAGGTTAAAGGGGAAAGGCGAAGAGGACTCTGCGGGGAGTGCGGGGACGGACGTTGCGCGGCAGTTCATGGAGGTTTTGAGGTTCAATCGGTAGTTTCGAGGGGGTTTTTTTTGCTACGGGTGGAGATGGGGGAGGTTGGAATATAGACTATGGGTATATGGTCGTTTTTTCTGTCTTTGGATTGGGATGGTGGCTGAAGTATGGAGTACCGCGCCCATCAACTCAGCTGTCTTCTGCATCCAAAACACACACGCTTGATCGTGATCCAAATATAGCCTAGCATAGACTACAGGAAAAAGTGGAAACTCGAAAGATGAAAGAGAAACGTTCTCGTTAAGGCGGCGTCAGCTAACATGGAAAGAAAGAGGCATATGGCATGCGACGTTTATTTTTGCATCATGAGCTGGACGAACTCGTTGTCTGTACGGGGTCAGCATATGAGCGAAAAGAATATCCGGGCGTAAGGTGATTCCTACAGTCAATTCGGCCATCGCCATCCTGGTCCGCTTCGCGGATCATCTCATCAACCTCGTCGTCAGTCAGCTTCTCACCAATGGAAGTCATGACGTGACGCAGCTCAGCGGCGGAAATGAAGCCGTTGTTGTCGCGATCGAACACCTTGAACGCTTCGCGGATTTCCTCCTCGGAATCGGTATCCTTCATCTTGCGAGCCATCATGGTCAGGAATTCTGATCGTTTGTCAATAGCCGTCTCTGAGATCTCGTGGGGGGTAGAGGCAAGTACCGGGGAAGTCAATGGTGCCGTTGTTGTCGGCGTCAACCTCGTTGATCATGTCCTGCAGTTCAGACTCGGAGGGGTTCTGGCCCAGGGAGCGCATGACGGTGCCAAGCTCCTTGGTGGTGATTTGTCCTGGGGAGGTGCATTAGGATTTCATTGCGCTCTGGAGGTTAGATCCGCGATCACTCACCATCGCCATCCTTGTCCTATTTCACGAAAAACCGCCGGTCAGCGCTCCCGTCACTTATCTGACACGTGGGGTTACTCACAAACAGGGAGAAGGCTTCCTTGTACTCGGACACTTGCTCTTCGGTCAGGGAATCAGCCTAGCGGTGGTCAGAAAGGCGGTTCTCGGCAGGGTGACCAGCAGCGATGCTGGACTGATAGGAGACATACCATGGTGAATGTTGATGGGGGAGAATGTAATTGAGAAAGGAGGGGTCAAATGGAAGATGTTAAGGGGCCCAAAATAGCGTGCCTGAGGTGCCCAGTCAGAGTGTTTCACCTCAGGGCGGTGGGGGCGAGCAGGGCTGAAGCCTCACCTGACAGCTGTTGTTTCCTTCTACTTGTTCTTTTTCTTTTTCTTTTCTTTTCTATTGAAGTTGATTCTATTTTTGATATATGTTGTTTTTGAATCTACTCCGTACATTTTCTAGATATGATTCCCACGGTTTTATGAACTCCCAAAAGAAGCCTCGGGAAGCAGGTGTGATACTTTACAATAATACACGGCGTGATTGCATTAGCAGATCCTTGGCTCTTCCTTTATCTCTAGGGCTGATGTACACTGCGGGGCTCTTTCTGGAGACTCTTTGAGAACCTTGGCCACATCTCTGTATTCTCTGAGCTCTACTCCGTAGCTTGGCTGATAATATTTAGTATGTTGAATCCAAATGAACACGGGTATCTTCAGGCTACAATCTCCTCCCAGGGGTAATTAGATCTATTTTAAGACAGCCGGCCCACTATGTTCTGGTGATAGCGCGCTGTAGCAACCACAGGTACCTAGGTACTCCGTACTTGGGCAATGTTGATTCTTTTGTAACTTGAAGACCCCTGGAACTGATTTGTATAGGTCTACAATTTTCGAGGGTAGTGACAAGTAGTGCCCAGGTGTAATCTTAGGGGGCTTATGGGTCTATCTATGGTCGACTACTTCCTTGTCAATAGTGTATGAACTAATTGGAATGTATCTTAATAGCCTCCTACTGACTAGCTATATCAGAACATCCTACTAATTACCTACAATTTACCATACATCAATAGTAGACAATACTCAAAATCAAAATATCACTGCCCTGTGAGATTTGATGCCAAGTATTGATTACAGCTGCAGCCCCATACCAAAAATACCTGAAAACATGGGGTGAGACCGGACAATTACATTGTGAATACCGGACATACGTGACCTCTTCCGCATGTGGAGCTCCCATCACCTCCGTCTTCACTCCGACAATCGAAGACCTCCAAGACCCCCAGCCCAACCATGATCCCGATAAATACACGATAATCAACAAACCGATTCCGATCCTCCACCAAGATGTGGCGAGATCGCACAAACCTGCACGCAACCCTCCTCCAAGCCACCGTCATCATCTCACTAACACTTCTCCCCCAGCTACCTCTCCTACCGCCAATCCCTAATCCACCACCCAGCCAAAAAACCACAATTCACAAATGGCCCCTCAGAGCCCTCCCAGCCGGAAGAAAGCCGGCGCCTCATCGACGACGAAGATGGCGACATGGTCATTGAAATGGACCTCCTCCCACCGCGCTGGATAGACGTCCAAGACGAGGTCTCCGAGCTCCTCTCCGAAATCGCCCAAAACTCCTCCCAACTCGACAAGCTCCACCAGAAACATCTCCTCCCAGGCTTCGGCGACGAAGATCTGCGCAAGCAAGACGAAGGCGCCATCGAGCGTCTGACGCAGGATATCACGCGCTCTTTCCACGAGTGCCAGCGCTCTATCCAGCGCATCGAGGTCATGGTCACGGAATCCAAGGCGCAAGGAACCGTCACGAGTGGCGAAGAGACAATGGCGAAGAATATCCAGATTTCGCTCGCTGCGCGCGTGCAGGAGGCCAGTGCGCGCTTCCGAAAGAAGCAGAGTACTTACTTGCGCAGTATGTTTGACATAAAATACTCGTGGGTGTTGGGATGTGTGCTGACTTGGAACAGAATTGAGGGACTTGGAGGGTATAGCTACGCCGTTTGATAGAGCGCCTGTGTCGCAGAATCCATATTCGGACCCGTCGCTGATGGAGTCGGATGCGGATAAGTCGTTTTCGCAGACTATGCTGCAGGAGACTTCGCAGCGGCAGACGGGCACCAATGATGCGGCGATTGCGCAGCGCGAGCGTGAAATTAATGATATTGCCAAGGGCATTATTGAGCTTTCGGATATCTTCCGTGAGCTGCAGGGAATGATTATTGACCAAGGGACTATGCTTGATCGCATTGATTACAATGTCGAGCGGATGGGCACTGAGGTCAAGGCTGCAGATAAGGAGCTTAAAGTGGTATGTCATTCTGCAGACTCGTTTTATCGGCGAGATTATACTGATTATTGGTAGGCTACGGGCTATCAACGACGAACTACCAAGCGCAAGATTATGCTATTGCTCCTCTTGATTGTGGTAGGCATGGTTATTGTACTAGTTGTGAAACCAAAGGGCAACAGCACGCCACCACCACCGCCCCCTGAGGATGAGTCCTCAAACAATATTCGATCTGTGTTGGCTTATCGTGGCCGGAGGCATCAATTGTCAAATCGGTTTGCCAGGGATCGTTGGATGGACCCGGATATATTTCGATGATACCTTGTATTAAATAGCATTGACTGGTTACTCAGACATAAGAGAGACATTTCAAGGTTGATCCTGAAAGTGTGATATTAAATAACATCCATGAAGGTACTTATGCTCGTCCATGCCAAGGTGATCCCGAGGTCCCGTTCGAGGTTTATTGCCTTGGGCTGTCGGCAGTGCCCTCTAAAGCTACCAGGGCTCCCCCACCTGCCAACGCCTTGGGTCCCTAGCTTTCCAAGGTTTCTACGCCACATTCATCGGGGTCAATTGTCGATCTGATACCTGTCCATTAATCTGGGCCAGTCCATGGACCTCTTTGTCATCTAAGGGGGCTGTGACTAGTTCTTGCAGCTCGGCATGTCGCAAATTCCTGGTAGGGTCTTCGCTGCCCATCCATGGATCCTGTTTCTATCTAGTATAAACCATGAGACATACCCTAGTACCTAGGCATAAGCGTAATTAAATATTGCACTCCAGGGCTCTACTTCCCAAGGCCATCTCATGATTTTCCAAGGCTGGACTAGAGAGACTTTGCGGTGTATGCACTTCCAAGGTTGTCAAAATAGTCGGTAATTCGTCTCATATGTTTCAATTGTACTAAAACTAGGCAACCAAATGTAGTTTATTAAGCAATCAGAACATGAAATTTAGATGAAACGATGTACTAGGAGAACAGACTGCTCCTTCTGGGATATCAGAGAATAAAGGTCCAAATCAAACGGAACATGGCGCGCCGAAAGCCAAGCGAAGTCTCGGAGAGGACTTACTGCTTAGGCTGGGTAAGCAAAGCAGCCAAATCAGGGTCCAGATCGCCACCTGCGAAGGCCGCATAATCTTCTTCGCCGTGAGAGATCTTGCGTCTCTTTGGCCCATTGGTGATGTCAAAATCATTTCCATTTTCCTGGCCTTGAGGCTTTGGGAATGAGCTGTCGCCAGCACCATCTCCCCCAGATGTTGAATCCAAAACGGTCCATTCCGACGCGTCATCATCGGCATCATCGGTAAACGGACCCCGGCGAATGCCTTGCTTTTCGGGCTGAGGAGAGCCAACCGGCGTGATAGCCTCGACTGGGGGAGGAGTGAGGGCCTCGACCTCAGGACGGGCAGATTCAGAGTTGTGCGCAGGGTTCTCAGGACCGGTAGAGGTGTCTTCGTTGGACATGCCACTCAGAATCGCATCTTCGACCTCGCGTTTCTTGGTATCAGTCGACTCTTTCTTTTGTGCAAGGTCTGCAGCGATAGCCTCTTCTTTCGAGAGCTCTGCGCGGTTGGTCTGGAGTATCTTTTCAAGTCCGTCAATCAGGGCACGTCGTGATTTGATGACCTCGGAGACCGAGTTCTCTGCATTGGCAAGCGATTTCAGGAGCTGGCTGAGGCGAGCCGCGTGGACAGGCAGAGTCGGCTGTGGAGCATTGGGATCGTGCAGCTTGTTGAACTCCGAAGTAGCGGTTGCAGTGGAGGAGTTGGAGCCGACGGCGGCTTTGCTAAGAGCAACTTGCAATGGGACAAGAGGCTGCAGTTCAGATGGGGTAGATCCCGAGGAAGCATCTTTGAAGAATGAGCCACCCAGTGTCTGTTTCTTCGTGGTGGAGCGAGTCTTGTCGATTTCTGTAGACCCGTCAGCATGATTATTTTTGGTCACCAGTTGGACCAGCTTACCGTCGATACGGGATTCCACTGCATCCAGTATCGGCCCCTCGAAGACATTGCGCTGTCTCCAAACTTCAACGACTCTGCGAATTCGCTGCTGGTAGTCATGCGACGCGCCCTTGTAAGCCGCTGACGTAGCCTCCACGATTATCTACCATTCCGTTAGTTGTGTCGCAATGGGGTTCGAGAGGAAACGGACCGGAGAAAATGCGATAAGGAAATCGTCTTTGCCGCGCGCTTTGGATTGCTGAGCAACCTCTGCACTCTAGTCAGTAAGAAGTCAAAACTGCGTGGGAGGTTATGCGCACCATTGGCCAGGTAGATCAGGTTCAATCGCTTCGGGGGCGGGGAATCACGAATCTTGCTGAGCCAGATTTGACCAGTCCGTTCAGCATGGCGTCTTCATTGCATTATTGTTAGCACATGTGGTAGATCAAAGGTGAACTAGAGTGTTTGTATACCTGTGGAACATGACCCACTGGGCAACAGTAACAATGCTCTCCTGCGTCTCATTGAGAGCTGACAGTTTCGCTTTCACGGCATCGTCGGTAAAAGCCATGGTGAAAAATCCTCAATTTAATTATCTCAAGGAGACTGAACTGAAGTCGGAAGGTGGGAGGTAAGTGAAGTAGGCAAGTCGGAGAGACCGCGTAGGAAAGAAGAGAAAGGCGCGCAACTGGGGAGGAAAGCACAACCTGCACGTCAAGAAATACCGGCGGGGAAGGAAGTCAGAACTCAAGTGAAAACAGACCACAACCACAGAGGTTCAGAAAATGAAAACGGTCTTCAATCGTCTTCCGAAGTTCAAGTGTCACCCAGCTTGACACAATGGATGAACTTACCGCCTCCGGCAAGGCAGAACCGGCCTCCGAGCCCGCTGCGACATCTGTCAACACCTCCGCTTATACCCAACTTCTGCTTGACACTTTGAGCTCTTCGTTTGACAATCATCTGCTGGACTCTGACCTTTCAATTCATTCCTACAACAGTCAAATTCAAACCCTTACCAGCATGGCTGACCGTTTCCCCTCCCTGGAGGACTTCTCTGAAGGTACGCTAACCCACTACACTCCTTACAGCGGAGCTAACATAACCCCAGGCCAGACCGAAGTGGCCGAAGCCCCCACTGCTACCGATGACGACTTCCTTGCCCGTGAGCGCGCAGCTCTCGGTGAAGATGCCGACCAATTCGCTACCGCCCAAGACCACGTCGGCGAGAATGTAGGCGGAGATGACGACTTGCTCGGAGGCGATGAGCCCGTTGAGGAACTCGGCCAATTCGAATCATCCTTCCCTTCCGTCGAAACTCAGAACCAGAATGAGGTATGCATTGGATCTAAGAGACATCAAAGACAATATACTGACCAGGGGTTCCATGTATCCAGCGCGTTGCTCCTGGTGGCACAATTACCGGCACCGGCTCACCTTTCCCCCGTACCGGCTACTCAAACCCCCAGGAACCCGAAGATGAAGGCGATGCTGTCCGGTAAGTGCAATCATAGACTCCAGACCATGTGGCGCATTGCGTCAGGTGCTCGTTGGGCGCCAATCTTCGGATCACCAGGCTAACATATCGTCTCTTTCAAGTGAATGGCGCGAGAAGCGTGACGCTGAGATCGCCCGCCGCGCACAAGTCTCCGCCGAGAAGAAGGAAGCTACCGTTAACAAGGCTCGGGAGGATATCGATGACTTCTACGTTTCATACAACAACAAGGCGGACAAGAACCGCTCGCACGCCCGTACCGAAGCCGAACAATTCCTTGCAAACCGGGAGGATACTTCTGCTGGTGGCACAAGCTGGGAGCGCATTGCTAAGCTGGTTGATGTTTCGGGCAAGGGCTCCGCGGGCGGTGCCAGCGGCTCTGGAAAGGAGCGCTTCCGCGAGCTGTTGCTCGACCTTCGAAAGGACCAGGAGGCCCCTGGCTCTACCGGTCTCTAGATCAGTTGCTTCGGCGTGGGTTAGAAGATTGGAGTTTCGGATTCAAGATTGCGGTATCTCCCAATCTTGAGCTCATATGATATGACTTCTTTATCTTTTTTTCCCATTCGGCGGCTTTTTCTCTTAGCTGGCTGCTGAGTCTTTGTTCCCTTGTTTTTTATTTCCAATCCACGCAGCGAAGACAGGGGTTTGTAATTTAGTTTCTCGAATTGATAGCATCGTTAATACCAGGGGTTCAATACGGTCAATCAAGCTACAACATCCATTGATGTATGCGATCCACTTCACTTTTCTTAGTTGTGTCACCGAGTAGACTGGATGTATAAGATTAGCATCCTACGCCATCCAACATGATATTATTGTCTCAATCTAAAGATGACCTTGTGGATAACCCGGATATAGTAAATACAATGATATTTGGAGTAGCTAGAAACAAGTCCTTGGACTAAGTGAAATAAATGCATACATTCATCACATCATCATCGCTTTTGGCATTGGCCTCTTAATCGAGTTCGGTAACATCACCGCCAGGTTCGCCGACGTCCTTTCCTTCCTCTTCCAGTTCTTTTAATTTCTTCTGACCTTCAGCTGTAGTGGCATCAACGATGCCTTCCTCCAAGCTCAGCATGCCTCCATTACCAAGCGCCTCGACAACGAGCTCTGCTGCTTCAATAGACATATTGCCCAAGACCTTGTTGACCTCATCCAATGACTCGGTTTCCAAAGCCTTCTGCAAGTCTTCAGGGAAGGCGTCGAAGATCTTACGGACTTCAATTTCGGTCGGATCTTCGCTGTTGGCAGCGGGAAGGTTGATGGTGATCTTAGTGTTGGGGTCGACGGCATGCAGCTGGATTTGCTCCACGCCACCGGACTCGTTACCGGAACTTTCCTTGTTAAGTTCAGCGGTACGGGACTTGATACGACCGTACGTTTCGTTGACGTCGTTGTGGAACAGAGTAGAGGCCCGGTGGTCCTTGGTGGTGATGCTATATTATGTTAGTGCTTGTTGCGCAGACTGATGAAGCTACACATACCGAGTGAAGAAGAGCTGAATGCCATCGCGACCGAGCGAGCGGCAGTACTGCAGGAGCAGACCTTGGTGCACGCACTGGCGGGCGTAGTCTTCATTACCCTTGAGCTGACTGTTGAAAGCCTCGACCAAGAGACCGTCGGTCTCTTTCTCGGCGACAATGTCCGGGTTCGCGGAGATGAACTGCAAGTAGGCCTTGTAGTCACCGGCCTTCAAATTCGCAAACTTCTTCGCAAGAGGGCTAATCTCAACATCGGCGGGATCCTCGTCGTTGCCTTCGTCGTCGGCCTTGGATGCGCTTCCAGCACCCGGGTTCAACAGCTCAACGGAGCTCTCCTTCTTTTTGGCAGCAGCCTCGGCCTTCTCTTTCTCAGCCATCTTAGCAACATGTGATTGGTTGAAACCCTCATGCAGCTGATCACTGGTGATCTTGGCACCCTCTTCCTTTTCGAGCTGCGCAAGCTTCGTGTGCAATTCCTTCTGGAGTCCCTGAATCTTCTCCAAGTGCACGTTCACACCCTTAATGTATGCCTTGAAAAGATTGTCGGGCTTGGAGTCTCCGATCTCCTTCTTAACCTGGTCCACCAAGGAGCTCATCATCTGGGAGAACTTAGGTTGTTCGGGTTCGTTTGTGTATACTCCCTCTGGCGGGGTGGGAGCTTGGTCTTCGGTGGGGTTGCTGGCGAACTCCATAATAGTAGAGAAGATGAACTCATCGGGGGAAGCAGAGGAATCTTCGTGCTTCTTGAGAGATTCGATAAGCTTGTCGATGCGCGACAACAGCCCGTCGTTGATAATGCGCTCGTATTTCAAGGTCTTGATCTCATGACGGCGCTGTTCGCGCTGCTGATGGATCTGAGCTTGTTTGGCTCGGATGAAAGAACGCTTGTCGACATTGGGATGAACTTCCACGTCGGAGTCATCGGACAGCTCCAAAGCGTCCCATTTGCTGTAGTCGAGAACCATCGTGTGTGATTGTGAGGAAAAGGAGTATAAGGTGGGGTGGTTGTATCGGCAGAAAATAGAAGGTTGGACACCTAGGTTCGATAGCTCAATGCCCAAACTACCAAGGCGAGTCAAGACTAGCAGGGAAGTGAATATATATAAAAGCCGGTCAAAACAGAAGACCAAAACAAAATGGAGTTGAAGTATCCAAAGCTCTCGACCAGGTTCCATGGCAAATCGAATGCGGCGAACTCCAGCAGAATCGGCCCCGAAAACCGCTCTGCCGATGCCGCGGACATCGAAGCTCTAGACTTCACCTCTGCCAATCCCAAGGAGCCGACCTGCCATGTGATGTGCTCAATCTGAACATACCCGACTAGATATGGCATGCCGTGCTCTTCATCGGTGACATAATTCCAATTTCCTCTGACCTCTGACCCTCCGATATACTCCCGAAATGCGCGCTCGGTTGCCAGTGTCTCTGGCCCTGGGCGTCAGTCCGCGCCAGGCCCCGAGACCATGCAGTTCTTTTGCGCGCAATGCAATCTTCACGCCGACACTCAGAACTATCGCATCCGACACCAATGGGCCAGCCCGCCTCTACTCGACCGCCTCGGGTATTCTCCGGAACGGGCCTCATGCCCTCTTACCCCGGAATGACAGTCTCAAATATACCCCATCCACGTCTCACATTATCGCTTCAGCACGCTTCTTATCATCTTCGCCGAAATCTTCTCAAGCAAAAAACCCAGCGCCTGCGGAAACCGAGAACACAGCTGCCCGGTCAACTCCGGAACCGGAAGAGGACAAAGGCTTCGAATTATCCGAGCGAGCAGCGCAGGCTGCCCAAGTGAACATGAGCGCCAGATTGAACAAAGACGGCGGAAAGAAATCCGGCTTCTCAGAGATCGTGCGACTATTGAAAATCGCACGTCCTGAGTCCAAGGCCCTCACATTTGCCTTCTTCTTCCTTTTGGTCTCCTCGGCAATCACTATGTCAATTCCTCTGTCCATTGGTAAGATTATCGACGCTGCCACCAAGAACATCTCCGAGGGAACTGGCGAACTGTTTGGCCTGAGCATGCCCATGTTCTACACTGCCTTGGGTGGAATCCTCCTAGTGGGCGCTGGTGCCAATTACGGCCGCGTCATCATCCTCCGCATCGTTGGAGAAAGAATTGTCAGCCGGCTTCGTTCCAAGCTCTTCCGTCAGACCTTCATCCAGGACGCCGAGTTCTTCGACGCCAACCGGGTTGGTGACTTGATCTCCCGTCTTAGCTCCGACACTGTTATCGTTGGCAAGAGTATTACGCAAAATCTTTCTGATGGACTGAGAGCCGCTGTGAGCGGTGCGGCTGGATTCACGATGATGGCCTACACCAGCGCAAAGCTGTCTGCTATCTTGCTTGTCTTGCTTCCTCCCGTTGGTTTGGGTGCTTTCTTCTATGGTCGAGCCATCCGGAACTTGAGTCGCCAAATCCAGAAGAACCTGGGATCATTGACTAAGATTGCCGAAGAGCGCTTAGGCAACGTCAAGACGAGCCAGTCGTTTGCCGGTGAAGTGCTCGAAGTCAATCGGTACAACACGCAAGTTCGCAAGATCTTCGACCTAGGCAAGAAGGAATCCTTGATCAGTGCAGCTTTCTTCAGTTCAACAGGCTTGGCTGGAAACTTGACGATCATGACGCTTTTGTATGTCGGTGGAGGTATGGTGCAATCGGGCGCCATCTCCATCGGTGAGTTGTCATCTTTCCTGATGTATACCGCCTACGCAGGCTCTAGCATGTTTGGACTCTCAAGCTTCTATTCCGAGCTCATGAAGGGTGTGGGTGCGGCTAGTCGACTCTTTGAGCTGCAGGACCGTCCACCCACAATTCATCCCACCAAGGGTCTCAAGGTTGAGACTGCACGCGGCCCAATCCGATTTGAGAATGTCACGTTCAGCTACCCTACTCGTCCTGCTGTGAAGATTTTCAACGAATTGGACTTTGAGATTCCTCAAGGAACAAACGTTGCTGTCGTCGGACCATCTGGGGGTGGCAAATCCACTATTGCATCGCTTTTACTTCGATTCTACGGCCCCACCGAGGGTCGCGTCTTGATCAACGGAAAGGATATCAAGGGAATGAACGCCAAGTCTCTTCGGAGAAAGATTGGTGTCGTTTCGCAAGAGCCTGTGCTCTTCTCTGGGACAATCGCTGAAAATATTTCCTATGGATTGCCTCGCGCCACACGATCGGAAATTATCGCTGCTGCCCGCAAGGCTAACTGCCAGTTCATCAGCGACTTCGTAAGTCTCACCAACCCAATCATACAAGTTTTCTTACTGACGAATAAAACAGCCCGATGGACTTGATACCCATGTCGGTGCTCGCGGAGCCCAGCTTTCTGGTGGCCAAAAGCAGCGCATTGCCATTGCTCGAGCCCTCATCAAGAACCCGGACATTCTGATCTTGGATGAAGCTACTTCGGCCCTGGACGCCGAATCCGAAACCCTCGTCAACAGCGCATTGGCTTCTCTGCTCCGTGGCAACAACACAACCATCAGCATTGCCCACCGTCTTTCAACCATCAAGCGCTCTGACACCATCATCGTTCTCGGAAACGATGGAAAGGTCGCCGAGCAGGGCTCATACGAGCAGCTCAGCTCTCGCCCAGATGGCGCCTTCACCAAGCTCATGGAATGGCAAATGAGTGGCGGTGACACACCTCCCACTTCAGCCCACCCCATTGAGAGAGATGACTTCTGGCAACTCGAGAAAGAGGCCGAGTCGTCAGAGCCAGAGATCGAACAAGAACTGGCAGAGGAGACCTCCCGCAAGAACTAATTGTTGCATACATCCGTTTTCATTCAGCCCTATCCCCGTCTCAAGAGACCTTTATCCTTGTCCAAATCCTTCGTTGAATACATTACCCTCATCGCATCTTTCCTCCGGTCTCTTTTCATACTCCCCCTCTCATGCACATTTTGTGATAGACATTACTTCTGCAGCGTTTGTGTATAAATTCCGAAAAATCAAATTTTCAATTCTATCATTAGAACCTGTTTGGATGGGTATTCAGTCAAGTTCTACTCCGTACGGAGCATAGCTGTAGCTGTAGCAATGAGGCGCCGAATGGGGGGCCTTCCATAGTTCGCATGCCCCACCGCAGATCTTGCTTAGTCATGGGTCGCTCGGACGCTGGGACGTCACAGCCCTGATAACGGCGAGCTCGTGCGCATTCCTACTAGGTCCCGTGGACTAGAATCCTCCTTTCAACAACCCTTTGCTCTGCAGACAAGAGCACATAGCAATCACTATCATCATGGATCGAATCCGCAATCTCATAGCACGTCCAGTGGCGTATGAGAGACTTGAGGACTCCAACGCGGAGGATGCCGATGAGACGGGATATGCTTCACAACCCCAACAGACGCCTTTCTCGAGACTACAATATGGCATATTCTTCCTCCTGGGAATCTCAATGCTGTGGGCGTGGTGAGTCACTCTCGGCGCTTCTCAATACCAAACTACCCCTAAATCCAAAACATATGCGGACAACCTAGCTAATCGAGTTTCTCCAGGAACATGTTCCTCGCCGCAGCACCATATTTCTTCACTCGATTTCAATCGGACGAATGGACAAGACTCCACTACCAACCCTCTATTTTATCCGTCTCGACCGTAACGAACCTCGGCACGGCCTACACATTGGCAAAGCTGCAGAAGAACGCATCCTACCCATGGCGTATAACCTGCTCACTCTTGATAAACTGTGCAGTATTTACAGTTCTGGCATTTTCTGCCGTTGTGATGACAGACTCGTCACCGAAGTCCTACTTCGCGTTCCTGATGGTCATGGTCTTCGGCGCAAGTCTGGCAACGGGCATCAACCAAAATGGTGTCTTTGCTTACGTCTCTGGTTTTGGTAGGGACGAGTATACACAGGCAATTATGGGTGGCCAAGGCCTTGCGGGTGTGCTACCTTGCGTTGTGCAGATTTTCTCTGTGCTCGTCTGGCCACCGAAGGATCACACTGGTCGTGAGGAAGGTGGACCGAAGATGCCGCAAACGACCCTTTCGAGATCAGCATTCATCTACTTTATCACTTCTACAGGTGTATCTGTGATTGCACTTCTGGCCTTCCTCTATCTTCTCAGACAGCAGCCTTCCTCAAGACAGAAGCTGAGAGACGACGACGAGCCTGCTGAGGAGCGCTCGCATTCCAAAACAGTCAGTTTGTGGACTTTGTTCACCAAACTACGGTTCTTGGCGTTCGCGGTATTTGTCTGCTTCCTCGTCTCCATGGTGTTCCCCGTTTACACCTCGGAAATACAGTCCGTCAATGACCCGGCCAGTTCGCGGATCTATGACCCCACTGTCTTTATTCCGTTGGCATTTTTAGTATGGAATCTGGGTGACTTGGTCGGGCGAATGGGTGTCGCAATCCCGGGAATGTCGATGGGACAATATCCCCAGATGGCTGCCATTGTTGCAATTGCTCGAGTGATGTTCATTCCCATGTACCAACTCTGCAACATCAATGGCCAAGGTGCTGTTGTCAAGAGCGATTTCTTTTATTTTGTTGTGCAGTTCCTTTTCGGTGCCACTAATGGGTACCTTGGAACAAGCTGCATGATGGGTGCCGGCCACTGGGTTGTTGCCGATGAACGGCCAGCTGCCGGTGGATTCATGAGTATGGTCCTCGTTGGTGGTTTGGCAGCTGGTAGTCTGTTGAGTTTCTCTGTTGTAGGATAGACAATATTTGGTTATATGCAGATTTGACAGAGTAAACACAAATATAATGATTAATGAAGTTTCAAGGCTTTACAAATGTGCTCTCATATTCTTATGAGCTAGATGTTTCCTCCCATTTCTCTGTGTGGCATGTCATGGAGTCGATATGTTGATGTTTGCCGTTTGCACGGGAAGAGCAAGCCCTAATTCGGGACCCAATATCAAAACTTGTCGGCGATCTCCCCCATACTTTCGAGCTACCGTAATCGCTTGTGTAAACGTATAAAACAAGCACTAGAAGTAAAGGTCAGATGGACATATTCAAACGGCACGTAGGGCAACCCCCCCCCAAACAAACCGCCGCCTCAACTCATCTCCTTCTTCCTTCTTCCTCTCTTCTTCCCGGTGCACCTGGTTCTTCCTTACACCGCTCCATCCGTTTGGCGCCTCTCTTCGAGCTTGGAGGATCCTCAAGGTTGTCTTTTCTTACTCTCTCTCTTGATCGTAAGGATTTCTCATCGCTCTTTACATCATGTCTTTCATTGACCCTACTGGTTGGATCGGCTCATACGGCCCAACATTCCCCTCATTCTGGAGCATCCTGTGTGGAGCAATCCTTCTTGTAAGTACTGATCTACCAGACCGAGTCAAAGACTCCAGCTCATCTCAATTCCTCTACTCAGCTGGTCGGATACTCCGTTGGATGGACAACATGGACACTCTTCCTCCACCCGTTGAGCGGCTACCCGGGACCCAAATTGGCCGCCATCACCCCTCTGGTACACATTCTCTGGGACATTCAGGGCAAGCAGCACTCGATGATCACCGCTCTTCATGATAAATATGGAGACGTCGTTCGAATTGCCCCAAATGCCCTCGCCTACCGCGCTGCCTCTGGGTGGAAAGACATATATGGTCATCGAAAGAGAGGCCAGAAGTTGTTTCTCAAAGACCCTGCCTTGTACACTCCAACTCCCAATGGGGTGAATGCTATCATAACAGCCCAAGATGAGGTCCACTCCCGAATGCGCCGTTTGCTTACCCACGCTTTCTCCAACAAAGCGCTCATGGAGCAGGAGGGAATACTACACACGTATGCGGACATGCTGATTGGGAAGCTGGAAGGTATAATGGGAAATACCATGAGCCAGCGCATCAACATCACGAACTGGTTCAACTTCACTACCTTTGACCTCATCGGCGATCTCGCCTTCGGTGAGCCCTTCGGCTGTCTTTCCAACAGTGAGTATCACTGGTGGGTCCTCATCATCTTGGACGCGGTCAAGGCCAGCGCTTACCTCAAAATCTTTTGGTTTTACCCTTTCCTTCTCCCGTTGGTCAAGCTCCTGGTTCCCAAGGACCTGATTGAGAAGCGCGAGAAGTCATTCCAATTGAGCGTTGAGAAGGTCCGTCGTCGTCTCGCCAGTGGTACCAGTCGCCCAGACTTCACTTCCTACATTCTCAAGCATACAAAGGATGGTCTGGCTATGACACCCGAGGAGATGGACGCCAACTCGGCTGTCTTTGTTCTGGCAGGCAGTGAGACCACCGCTGCTTTGCTTTCCGGTGCAGTCTACCTTCTCACTCGTCATCGTGATAAGTATGACCGTTTTGTCAAGGAGATCCGTGGTACTTTCAAAGAGTACTCTGCCATCAAAATTGCTGCACTTCTTGAGCTGCCGTACCTCAATGCCGTTTTGCTTGAGAGCATGCGTGTCTACCCACCGATTCCCTCCATGCTACCTCGGGTCGTGCCTGAGGGTGGAGCGATGATTAATGAGAGATACGTTCCTGCTAAGGTGAGTCTGAACTCTTGCATTGCGATAAGTCAAGCTTTGTGATGTTCCTCGTCGTTTTATCTCATGCTTTGCTTTTCATTCATTTTCCCTTCCTACTTTCTCTTCTGTCTTTCTCTACAGGCCACGTCTACGTGAATTTTTCAAGTTACTGACCACTACATTCATCATCTAGACCTCCGTCTCAATGTCTTTGTATTCGACGTTCCACTCGGCCGCCCACTTCAAATACCCCAATGAGTTCATTCCAGAGCGCTGGCTTCTTGAAGGAGCCGAGTTCAAGGATGACAACCGCGCTGCTTTCCAGCCTTATTCTTGGGGTCCTCAGAACTGCCTTGGCCAACAGTAAGTCAACCAGCCCTTCCACAATATCTGATATCTATTTGCACTGTGAGATCGCGCTATCTCAAGCTATCTTACATCCCCATCATATATCTTCTACCTTCCCCTGTTACTTCCACACCATCTTTGCATAACCAAATCTAACATCCCAAACAGTCTCGCCAATGCCGAGATGCGGCTCATCCTCACCAAACTCTTCTGGAACTTCGACATCGAGCTTCCCGTCGAGTCTCTCCCATGGATCCAGCAGAAATCCTTCTCCCTCTGGAAGCGACCAGCACTGATGGTCAACCTTTCTCGGGCCAGAAGGTAAATGCCACTCCTCCTACGCCGGATGCTTCGACAATGTCATCAAATTTCGAAACCTCAACAATTGCTTGTTGTGAAGAACGAGATGGTCTATCGTGCGTACGGATATGGGAAACAGCAGTGGACTGAATGAGGGGGAGATTTCAAGGCTGGGCAGTCAGGATTGTGGAGTTATGGCGTTTGTATCCATATCAGACACCTTTCGGCTGTTTCGGAAGGGAAGTCTGTTTGCTTTCAAAAGTTCTTTTTAGGCAATGAGGGCCATCGTTGGGCGCGGGGTGGTCTTGGGGCGTTTGTACCTAAACATTTAGCCTAGTTAATATCATGAATGATAATCAACATTCAGTGGCTTCTGGGGTTCAAGAACATGTTGTGGTTCCCGGCTTTCTAAGGTTGGGATTAGACATCAAGGCACAACAGAATACAATCCATCCATGGATGGCTGTTCACCATTGAGGTGGGAACCTCTAAGGCTAGGTAGTATTTCAAGGCTGTGCCCAGGTGATTCCAAGGTTTATTCAATGCATATGATCTTGTGTAGTGTATGTTAAATTTATATTTATGCCCAAATGCGCCAGGATCTGTCCGGGTATGCTATCCGAACGCCAGAAAATATGCAAAATAAAGACAGTTTCACATCCCCCAATCAACCTTCCAAGGTCAGGATGTAATGAAAATCAGAAGAAGTCTTCCTCGCCCAACCACTGAGAGTCCATGGCATAGGCCACCAAATCTGCTGCACAGCACATATCTTCATGGCCGGTTTCCAAGTCCAAAAGTCCAAGCACAGCAGTCAGTCTCTCCTCAAGGGTCTTCTTGAGACGAGACACACCAGCTTGAAGAGCCTTAGGTCGGTGTTCTTTCGCGGAGTCTTTGGCAGAGTTCTCGGATTGTTGCTTCTGAGCCTTCATGTTGGGCGAGCAAGGAGCAAGAGCCTTGCGTTGAGCCTGAGGCTGGGGCTCAGGCTTCCGATTCTTGAAAAGACTTTGTAGCAAGAAGAGCAACCAGACCAAATTTGTGCGAGGAGCGTACTCAGCCCAGATTCCGGGAATGTCGGGAAGCTTCTCCGTTTCCGCCGGGTTACCAGAATAGAGAGTTGCGCGCATGCTGGTGGCTGTTAGTGAAATCAAATAAAGAGGAACGCAGTGGAACATACTATCTATAAGTGTTTCTCTGCATGATCTCATCTTCGTCTTGGCCGATAGCGTCAAATAACTGCTTCTTGTCCAAATCGGAAGATGCAATCTCAGTCAGACCATTTGGATCGTCGCTGAGGAGGAGATCGGCACGAGAAAGCGAGTAATCGATAATGGTGGTCTCGAGCGCACTGAAACCGAATCCACTAGATGACGACTGCCGCGCGATGTCTTGTTCTGTGGGCGGATCCATACAGCCATCTTCGCGCGTAGAGCGGATACAAACGTTTCCTAAATGCAGGTCCCGGTGCTCGAACATCGCGTACTCCTCTGCTCGGGCCAAAGCCATGGCAACGCCCCAGAAAATATCATAAATTTGAAAGATTGAGGACCAGGCAAATTTTTCCAGCTCACAGCCCGCATCGTCCATTTCGATGATTGCCCATAGCTGCGTGTCGGGGTAAGATCTTTTGTTGGACGGGTTCGGGTTCATGCAATCATCTTTCGTCTTCTTATAGTGATCCCAGGCGTTTTGGAAAGACTCAGGGAAACGCCCTTGAACAACGTGAATCTCTCTAAAACGAGCAAACCCGGGAATTGGGTCTAAATATTTGAGCATCTTGACTTCGGCGACGATCTCGTCAATGCTGGTGAACTTTTTGGATCCTGGGCCACTCTTCGCCCGGAGTGGGACGACCTTGAAGACCCCATCGCCGTAGGACTTCAATTTCGCAAACTTTGACTTTGACACTATTGGTCTGCAGACCTCTTCGCGCAGGTGGAGCTTGTAAACTTCACCGTACGAGCCCTCTGCGAGTTTGGCGACGTCGAACATATTTGCTGACCGTGAAGCCCATGAGTCGAACTTTTGAATGCTCTGCGCAGCAATTGGGGAGAGCGCTTCCTTGAGAATTGGTAGGACGTATTCGCTTGCTTTGCTGTCATGAAACACTCCCGATGATCGTCGAGGCGCAGGTACCTTCTTTCTCACTGCTCGCTTTTTTTCCACGGGCTTTGGCGCTTCTTGTTCTGAATCAGCGGTCTCCTGGGCTGCCGGCAGCTCTAATGGTGGCTCTGATGATGGCTCTGTGGACTCCAACGGAATACTTGTAGACTTCGACGTGACGGGGGAAGCTCGGTTGGGCTCGTCGCCATTTGCGATAATGTCGGGAGACGGTTTTGGGACTTTGTTGTATATCCTGACTTCCACCATTCGATCCATTTTCTGAGTCACTGATGCGGGATCGGTCTCCAATTTCGCAGCTTCGGTTTCTGAACTATCCGCGATCGAGGACTGGCTTGACTCCGACTGGAGATCTGGCGATTCTCGTTCAAGCCCATCTTCACTTGGCGATTCCGGGAATTCATTCACAGTCGGTTCGTCCTCAATTTTCACTTCGGCCAGTTTGGTTTGAATATTTTGCACGGGGTCAACATGGTGGAGTTTATTGGATGGACGCTCTCTGGCCGGACTCGCTTCGAACACCGCTCTTGGGGCATTGGCTCTTCGTTTGCCGTATACTCTTCGCTGTGGAACAGACTTGGACCGCATTTTTGCGCCTGGCAGTGGGGAGGGCGACCGTGCCGACATGATATAAGTTGCGAGGTCGGAGGTAACCTTGGAAGGTGAAGATGAAAATGGGAGGAAGAAAGTGTTGATGTTTAGCCTGATTAGGCTTAGCGTAGGGTTGCCGTGGAACCATGGATCCAACGAAAAACATTTGCGAATGCGGAGCGTTTGGCTCTATACAAGTGCTCAGTCGGCCTTGGTAATTAGAGTAGATTAATATGGAGACAACTTAATAGCATGTTCATGGTGGGATCAAGAGGCGGAATTTTTGACGGGGGAATTGTGCTGACTCCGGACGGAGTAGTTACTTCGTATCTCGTACTCCGTACTCCGTACACGCCCAGGTGGACTCCAAATTCGCTAGCCAGGGGCGATCATCGTACTTAGGGATCGACTATGAGGACGAGCGTTCTCCTGAATTTCAAGTAACGCAGAAGTGTACTTCGTAATGTCTACGGTGATGCTTTAATAGTTGAGCAATCTTGAATGCGATAAATCTACTCAGTCAAGACAGAGATGTCTGATATTTATCTTACATTTCAAATACGGAGCACTTGGGTACATGTCTTGATTCTATTGCAGCCCCTTGCTTACAGTCTGCTTACAGGCGATATCTGAACGTGCCGTCCAAGATCTACCAAATTAATATATTTCCGTTTCACGTCGCAACATTTCGCGTTTGATCTCCTTTGCCCAGTCCAAGATAGTGCAAATAGACCAGAGCCTAGATACATGCAACCCTTACGATTGCTGGACACTGAGTGGCTCACCCACAGCCACTACCCACAGTGGGCTTACAGTGGGCTTCGAGGCCGGGGCTGACCGGAAGTGGTGGAGGCACCTGCAAGAACCCGATGTGACGTACCATTTGATCAGGTTTTCGCGACGAAGAGGATAGAACAGTGAGAAGGTAGTAAATAGAAAAAGACCGGGAAATAAGATATTCCAAACGATATTAAGAAAAGAAGAAGCAAAAGAAAAAGAAAAAGAAAGAAAGAAAGAAGAAAAAACAAGAAGTTGATTCCGTGTGGTCGGGGCACGCGATGCCTCGGGAAGCGTTTTTTTCCTTTTTGCATTTTCCTCCTTTCGCCTCTTCGCCTTAATACTCCATGATCTCCCCCATGATTTCTCTATGATCTCCCCATAGGGTATGGCGTTCAACTTCAACTGGTCGCCTTTAATGGCAGACGCGGGTTTCTACACTCGCGCTCAAGATCTGCTCACGGCCGCCCTCAATAAGTCGCCCAAACCCCCCATCATCGTCGATGACATCCACGTCACCGAACTCAACCTGGGCTCCATCCCACCGGACCTGGAAATCCTGGAAATCGGGGACTTGGCCGAGGATCGCTTTCGCGGGATCTTCAAGATGTCGTATACCGGCGACGCTTTCCTCACACTGAAGACCCGAGTCCAGGCAAATCCACTGAATACTTTCCTCCTTACACGGCCGACCTTTGGGTCGCCCGTGCCTCTGGCTGCCGCGTAAGTGTCGCTTTTCTTGCTATTGCACTTGGAGGGATCTTGTTAGCTGACCCCGTCGCAACCAGTACACCGCTCACGATACCTCTGCAAATCACCTTGTCGGATTTCAAACTGTCTGGATTCGTGATACTGGTGTTTTCGAAACAAAAAGGCATTACAGTCGTCTTCCGCAACGATCCCCTAGAATCGCTTAAGGTTTCATCGACATTTGATTCCATCCCCTTCGTGCGCGACTTCCTGCAAAAAGAGATTGAGGCTCAGCTCCGGATCTTGTTCATGGACGAACTTCCCGCTATCATTCATCGACTATCGCTCCGGTTATGGGTGCCCGAATACCGCACCGGGGAGGAAATGAACGACGAAACCGATAACACAACCGCCACAAGTGAAGGCCCCGGTCAGGACCCCCTCGCGAGCCCGCCCCAAGACCCCGTCGACTCTCTCGGAAACGCTCTGAATGAATCCGAAATCGCATCGCTCTCCTTGGACTCTTCCGTCGAAACCCATTCCCTGTTCTCGCAGAAGAACCTCCTTCGCCTCGCCGCTCTGACCGATTCGCAACGCACACTATCACTGTTCACGCCCTCCATCAATGAAGTCGTGTATCGAGCATGGACCTCTCCCACCGACACGAGCGAGCTCCCCTCCAGCGTTGTTTCGCCGCTCAGCCCAAATCTGTCTCGTACACACTCGCACATCGGTAGCATGTCCTCCTTCCACGAAACCGCCAGCACCGTGTCCATGAGTCGTTCATCCTCCACACCAAGTCACGCTTTCAGCTCCAGCACCTATGGCCTGAGTCTGGGTGCGGGTCGTCACTCCAAGGCCCACTCACGCAAGCGCAAGAAGCGCGTGGTTGACCTGCGCCGCCCCAAGACCACCGATGACGCCATGAGCGTCAGCGACGAGAGTGTTATCACCGAGTCATCCAGACCCCCGTCCATTGCCTCGGCACCTCTCCCCATCGTCAACGAACAGTCTGATGACCCGGTGACACCACCTTTCTCCCCGCAAAGCGATTTCCATCTCCCCGCGATCCCGGAGAGACATCGATCCAGCCTGTCTCGCCCAAACCGCGACCTCTCCTACTCCCACGAAACAATCCGCGCACCCAAGGCCGAGGACGTGGACGCCACTCCCCGTGCCACCGTACGCGGTGTCACCCACGAGAAGGCCGAAGCGGGGCCTTCTCGCCCATTACCCTCGGCTGCTCTTCCGTTCACGGAAGAGAAGTCCAGTGACGGCGTCGACTCCGTCCTAGTTGAAAAACTAGCTGGTGAAATCGCGCGTCGAATGCGCGAGGATAAAATGATGACCAATGCCTGCAGTGGCTTCTGGACTCGTCAGCATGAAGATGCCCCTCCTCCGGCCTATGGCCACTGAATGCTTGCTCAATCCTGAGCATGTTGAATGACCGTTATGATTCTCTTTTGTTATTTCTTTTGTTCATGCTTTCGAAGTCTGTTTGAAGCGGGATTGTACAAAAAAAGCTGGGTTCAGGGTTTTTGGCGTTGATGCTTATAGGATACCACTCACTGGGCCTTATATTTTTTTGTATTACTCTAGGGTTTTAGGTTGGAACGGATTGGATTGGTACTGAATTGGACAATGTTCTGTCTTTTAAGACATTAATATCTGAGAGCTGTTAAGTTCAGATCTCTCGAGGATTTCGTTGTTTAGGAAGCTTCCGAACGGTGGCGCAGAACATCTATACTTAAATCCAGCGGCGAATAGTCAGAAAAAAACACAAGAAAGATCCAAAGTGTCAAAATGTCAAGATGTCAGTGGAACTCGGCGAATGGAAAGTCGACGGGTAAAAAAGCTGGAGACATCCGCGCTAAACCCAGTGGGAACTTGGGTCCGACTATCTGGCTTCCAATTCCTTCCTCCTTCATCTTCCACATCCATCATGGCGGGCATGTTCAAGAACGTGTTTGGCTCTCAAGCCAAACCTGACGATGGTTCGTTATTCGCTCAACCTCAATTGCTAAGCTAATCCCCATCTAGACTTCGCCGACTTCGTGGAAGCTCCCAACCCGTCGCCTGCGTCCCTCCTCGCCGACTCAACCACCGTCCCGGCCGCCAACACCCTCGCCCCCAATGCCGTTCCTTACACGGCATGGTACCGTGTGTGGGAGAGGACATCCCCGAGCGACTTCAAGCAGGAGGCCATGATCATGCCTGTCATCCTTGTGATCGTCCTCTTCCACCTCTGGGGAGCGCGCAAGAACCGCCAGCGAGCGAAGGCCTGGGCGCAGGCCCACACCCCTTCCCTCCAGAAGGAGTTCTCTGTCGTTGGATTTGATGGAATCTCCCGAAAGGCTGCCGAAGGTGACTCTGCTGAGCTAGCTAGCCCCGAGTCTGTCTTGAAGGAGAAGTCGGCTTCCGAGTTCGCCGCGTATGCGACTGGTCGTCAGAACACTGCTTTCCTCGATGTCTCTATCAAGATGCCCAAGCGCTACAATCCTATCACCTACATTATGGAGTACGGTCTGAGCTTCTTCTTCGAGAGCTGGGAGCCCCCCGTTGAGAAATACGAGGCTCTACTTTACGCTTTCGATGGTAAGGAGAAGGACCTGGTCCCCGTCCTTTCCAAGGATTCCGCCCCTGTCAAGGTTCCCAGCTCTACCTACGATGGTTTCATCTGGGCCGTTGTGCACAAGAGCCACATGCGCAAGTTCCGCAACGACCGTTACGACGCCTCGATCACTTTCTCCAAGGATAACCCCAAGCTGCCCTCGTGGGTGACTGTGATGACCGAGAGTGCTGAGATCAGCGACACCCTCCTCACCCCGGAATTGATCCAGGCAATCGAGCAGGCCGGCAATGACTTCGAGTACCTGATTGTGACCGACCAGCCCGTCGACCGCCCCACTAAGATCGAGGAAACCACCCCCAAGAAGCGCATCGAGCTTTCCGCCAACCTCGCCTCTTCTGCTTCCGGCTATAACTCCACTCTCCCTCTGTTCAACCAGTTCCTGCGCTTGTCTGACAAGCTCGTGGCCTCTGCACACTTCCGCGCTGAGGTGCTGCGCAAGGTTCGCAATGTCCGTGAGGAGGAGATCAAGAAGCTGCGTCGCGTTGAGGAGGAGGAGAAGGCTGAGGAGCGCCGTATTGCCGCTGAGAAGATCAAGAAGGAGGAGCGTGAGCGCCTTCTGCGTGGTATGAGTGCTGATGAGCAGCGCAAGTTCCTTGACCGCGAAGCGCAGAAGGATCAGCGCCGCTCCATGAAGCGGAGCACCCGTAAGGGTTAAGCAAATGGCTTATAGAGGGAATTCTTCTTCTGTCGTCGCGTTCTCTTCGGAGACCGTCTCGAATGTCTTATTCTGCCATTTTTTTGGTACCTTAATAACCTGATGTATTCATATGAATCTGTCATGAGAACGGGGCATGTTTACAAATGTTCTTTATATTCAATGCAAATGTTACTTTGAACCTTTCATCAAATCGGAAACCACGTATCTCAAGTCCTCCACCTGCCTCACATCTCCATTCTTCCAACATTCGAACCTTCACCTCGCACTTCATCGTTAGCATATCTCATCATGCGCTCTTTACTCCTAATCCTACTTGCGACTCTCTCTCTAGCAAATTCTACAAATATAACAATACCACCATTCATACCACTCCCCCCAAACCATCCACCCAAGACAAACCTCCAACACAACATCGTCCTAAACAACTGCACCGTCCCAGGAACAATCGCTTTAACCTTCGACGACGGTCCTTACATCTACACATCCCTCATCCTCGACCACCTCGCCAACCACAGCGCCCACGCAACCTTCTTCCTCAACGGTCGAAACCGCGGTCACATAGACGAATTCCCAGACCTAGTACAAAGAGCCCACCAAGAAGGCCACCAGCTCGCTTCTCACACGTAAGTCCAACCAATCCATCCCCAAATCCACACCCAAATCCAAATCTCACAATTTCAATTTCAGATGGGCTCATCCCTCCCTCCCAAGTCTAACAAAAGACCAAATGAAACGCCAAATGACAGCCCTGGAATCCGCATTCATTCGCATCCTTGGGTTCTATCCTACTTACATGCGTGCACCGTACCTGGAGCTCAGTGATGATGTGCTGGATGTCATGGACGAACTTGGGTATCGTGTTGTTGGGGCCAGTGTCGATACGAAGGATTATGTTTATGATGATCCGGATTCGAGTTGGAGGAGTTTTGATAGGTTTCTTGATGGGTTGGATGCCGGTGGGACGGTTGTGTTGGCGCATGATTCGCATCGCAGTACTGCTGAGATTTTGGTGGAGGATATGCTGGGGGAGATTGAGATGAGGGGCTTAAGTGGTGAGTTTGCTTTTGCTTTTGCTTTTGCACTTGAGATATCAGGTGCTGATGGTGTGCAGCTGTTACGATTGGCGAGTGTCTTGGCGATGCCGAGTGGTATCGGACTGAGTAGTTGTGGAGGATCACTGATTACTTCGGGGATTGGTATTCAAGGATTGCAGGTGGCCCTGCGTGTATAAATTGTGTTTGCCTGTATATCTATAGAATTGATATGCGTTGTGTGCTTGATTCTGTTCTTGCACTCAAAGCTTTCCAAAGACTTTCACTCTATCCTCCGCAGGCTTCTGGACTTTCTCTCCAGCTGAAGCTTCCGGGGCACCGAAGACCAATTGAGCAATCAGGCGCCAGTCGGTGGGCAGATCCCACTGCTTCGCAACACCGGCGTCAATGAGCGGGTTGTAGTGCTGCAAGTTCGCACCGAAGCCAAGAGCCTCCAGACCAGTCCAGACTACACACGTTAGAAAAGCTCCAAAGTTTCGACTCGGGTTACAACTCACGGAAGTACTGGTGCATGGCATTCGAGTGCTCAGCCCAAGGCACGAACTGATCCTTATAAGTCTTGAACTTCTCCTGCATGGGTTGAATATGCGAAGGGTCCTCGAAGAAAAGAACCTAGATCTATCAGTATCTATACCCAATCAAGAAGTGCCAGGCCACATACCGTTCCATAAGCACCCTTGAACCCATTCAATTTGGGCAGTGTCTGCTTCTCCCAAATCTCCTTGGGAATCCTGCCTGAAGCAACGAGACCTTCGAAAGCTTCAATGGCGATATCCCAAAGTCTATCGTGCTGATCATGCAGCAGCAGGACAAGCCGCGTGGACTGAGTATTGAAAGCGCTAGGGACATGCAGAATAGCCTGGTTAACCAGCTCTTCGATCTTGTCATCTGGTACCGAGCTACTCTTGCCCAGCTGGTAGATGGTACGCCTGTTCTGGGCGAGAGAGATAAGAGAATCGGCCATTGGTTTGGTTGCGTAGGTCCTTGGTTTGGGGATTTGGGACTGAAGTTGGGATTGGAATTGGGATGTTAGTTGCAGACGAGAAAGGGGTCTGCAAAGAGAGCTTGCGCGGGAGAAGAGACGAGACGCCATTTTTACTGCTTTGAAGTCGGGGTGTGGTAGGTACTTTATGTATGTACTCGGTACTGGATAAGCGCTATTCCCGGGGTGGAATATGGATCTGAGGATTATGCTTCTTATAATAATTGCAATTTAAGCCGAGCGGGTCGACGGATTTGCGGATTTGCGGATATAGCGTCAATTGCTCAGCAGTTGATAAGCGTCCACATCGGCGTTTCTAAGCGTGCGCAGAGTAAACATCGGGGAAAAAGAATCTTGTAATAATTTCATGACTCAAGAATGTCGGGCATATTGGAAGCTGGAGTAGTTCAAACTTACTCACTGGGCGACTACATGGCGTGAGTTACAAACCTAGCAGCGAACAAAAAATTATCATGCCAACTAGATAATCCTGATTGCATTTGAGTGTGCTTGAGAATCATTCAAATTTAGGCAAGATTCCGTTACTGCGTATATCGTTGCCGTCTACTTCGTACTTAAGTACAATGTCTCTAATCAGGCATGGCACCGCCGATGCTTGGGCTGGGGTTCGCAGCTCGGCGCTCGCGAGCGCGGCACAAGCGGTGGATGCGGAAAGGGACCGAAATAAAACAAAAAGCGTGTTTGCAGTAGCTCAAGCGCGGCAAAGACGGCATATGCTGTACTAGCGGTATGGAAGACAACATTCGTCAGTCAGTGGCGCATCGATCCAATACTTATACTGCTCGACTTCGATTTTAAAACTCTCTCAATATTCATATTGTTGTGTATATATCGAAATGCAATCTTGGCACTGTGGTCCCTCTATTCAACGTTGTGTGCCGGTGCTCGGACACCCTCGGGGCCTCTATATTCCATTGTTTCAAAGTATACAAGATGCGAGAAAAGAAACAAGATAGTAGAAAGACAGGACAGGGAAAAACAGAGGACATTAGACGAACAGCCGAAGATGCTAGTACTTCATAAGTTCTCTTTGCCATTGGCCACCGGGATGCTTTCCTTCTGATGCGGATTCAGACCTGCGATGCCATAGCTCGACTAGGGGCCTGGCAGATTCTATTTTCACGTCAACCAGATAGGCCCGGGCGGACTCGGGGATGACATCTCCTGGATTGAACCCCTTTGACTCGACTTCAGTCAGCCTTTCCACAGCAACACTTGCGGCAGATGCCCAGGAGTCGTCTCCAGCTCGTTTTTGTAAAATGAAAAGGGCGTCACGACGAGTGTGCCAATCACGACATTTTGCCGCAGTCCACAGAAGCGCAGGGAAAACGCCATACCTGTAGTTGAAGGGCGAAAAATTGATATCGCTTGGACTGTCAGCCGAGTCCACTAGACTTTGTCCCGTTTTCATAATACGACGGAACTGCTCCAGGTGATCGTCGTATGCCATTTCATCTGGCTTTGGGCTTTTGGCGCATTCTATTTTGATCTGGATGACTTCGATCCATAGTGAGAGGACCCTCAGGGAGTCGCAGTTTCCAGGCGCCAGACCTTTCAATTCGACGAGAACGGCTGTGAGAAGACTCCTGCAAAGTCGAACCTTGGCGGAGACCACTTCCGCCTCGTGGCTGATAACGCTCGCCGGTCCTATATAAAATCCGTCGGCAGTGCAGTTAAGTATAAACCCCGAAACAAGAGATGAGAACTCCTGGATACGGTTCATCTGATCAACACCCGAATAGTGACGCGGAGCAAAGGTTGATAAGGCTTCTATAGTATGTGCAGATATCCAGGACTCGCTATTGTGCAGTTCAGGATTCTTCAAGAACAACTCCGAGTGGGTGCAGAAGAACCAGTGCACGTGCATTTGCGCAAAAGACTGTCTCAAGGCCAGGCCGGTAGCAGATTTATCTGCCTGAGCATCCCAGTCTTGAAGAAGTTGAAAACCGGAGATGAGATGACAGCGAGCGGAATAGAACTCTCCCTGGAACAGAGCAAGGAGAGTGAAGAACAAGCATGTCACTAGCACTACTTGCTTGTGAGTGCGGTTTGAGCCACGCGGATTTGGAATCTCCCGAGCGAGACTTTCTTGAAGGCAAGCAATGGCTTTAATAGAATGACGAAGACCCAGATTATAGTCGGAACTGTCAGTTTCTCCCCTCGAACTTCGCTCAAACTGGGCATGCCATGCACCCATAGCAACCGCAGCATGACGAACAGCGGGATGCTGTTCACACATTTGAAGAATCAATGCGTGCCAATATGAATTCCGAAAATGACGTGCAAATCCTGCCGATGTCCGGTTTCTGTAGAAGTCTAAGTGCCATCGTGCGTCCCAATTGAGTTCGATCTGGGAAGTGCTGGGCAGAGAGAGTGGAACGGCCGTAAACGACGGCCGGACTATAGGGCGGTATCGAATTTGTATAGCTACGTCTTGGTGCTTATTGGCAAATGCAGATTCTTGGGCCTTAGCGTCGCGCCATTCGCGGGTTCTTCTGTCAATTGTTTGCTCGTAGCCTTCGCATTCCCTGCCTGCACTTGTGCATCTGAGACAAGCGGGGTGTGTTTCGTCGCACTTTTTATGCCGTAATCTGCAAAGACTTGAGGTGCTGTTTGAGAATAGCATTGACGGGAACTGACCTGCAGGTTTTACATCCCGAGCGCGAGTTTGAATGTTGTGATCTCGTCTTTCGGGTTGGCTTTGCAACAGACATTCTGCTTGCAATTGACGGGAGGACACATCAACCCCAAAGGTCTGTTATCATCTTGAAACTGCAGATGAAGTGAATGAAAGAGTACAAATGTTGGGTAAGTATTGAGGCCAAGCCTCATAGAAGGTCAAAGCAGGTCAAAGATATTGAATTCCCAGGGGATCCCCAAGGCCTTTTTTTGTGAGCCTTGTGGGTGGACAATTAAGGACTGCGTCGATCCGGCGGGTGGATCATCCCGTCCCCGCAGCGGGCGTCCCAGTCACGTGAAAGCATCACGTGCTCATGGCCTCAAGTGGGGCATATGTGCCTGAGGCACCCTTCGAGATTCTAGTTATCTGCTTCTCTCTCTTTCTCCCTTTGCTTCCTCTTCCTTTCTCGGATTTAGTGTCTTAATTAGTGGAATACAGATATATCTGCACTTTCTTCTTGCCAGGTGTGACAGCGCTCTCCGCCAGCTGGAGTACAGCCGGGTCTTATAACAAAACAAATCACAGCCCGCTCACCGTATCCTGGCGTCAATCTTCTTTCGACAAACAAGGGTTTCCCCCAAAAAGATTTCAACAGAGAAACTCTAGAAACGATATGAATCACAACCATTCCAATTATCAAGTCCGGCTTGATTTCATTAATGGCGTTCATGGTTTATTGAAGAAAACATTCGGTCTGCCAGTATGTGTCTGAAGATAAGATGAGGTGTGAGCCCTGCTGAGAAGGATTGCTAGGCAAATTGCCTGATTGAACCGATCGCGTATGATCCGGAATGCCCTTTCAAATACAACAACTTTGTGTATCGTATCTCTCTGCCATCTCCACTTGACCAAGAGAACGGTGCCTGTCAGAACAAGCCCGGCTGTGTAGCTATTCCGTCCGGCACCAGTGACTGGATACTTCGTCTGACAAACCCTGATGCTTCATCCATGGAATCAGCAAATCGTGTCGAGAATGAGGTTGCTATCATGACTCTAGCGAGGGCTGCGCTAGACCCAAATTTCGAACCCCACGTTGTGCCTCGCCTATACGGCTGGGCTGGAACCACATCCGAAAAAGGGGAGCGACAACAAGGTTGGATTCTTCAGGAACTCATGCCAGGCATTCCTTTAGACGAAAAGCTGGATGACATAGAACTCGAGGAGAAGAAAGAGATATTTTCACAGATCGCAAAGCTCCTCAAAGGCCTGCAGGACTTCGAGCTACCCGCCTCTATTACTCAATACGGAGGACTGACCTTTGACGACGAGAGCAATATAGTCAGTGCACCAATGACTACCACCAGTACTGGACCCTGGCCCTCATACGAGGCTGCATTTGAAGCACAGCTCAAGCAAGCTCTTGAGAAAGCCGATGAGAATTCTTATATCCGGGGCTGGCACGAGAACGGCGTTCGGGATCGGCTAGAGGCATTCATAGAGCAAGGACTCTCAGAATACTTCAAGCCGCTTGAATCGCGCGACGACAAGGCAATAATTCATACAGACTTTAGTAAGCTTGTTTTTCTTCCCCCTCCCGAATCCATGCACTCGTTCTTATAGAAGGTTCCTCCCAGCGCCCAACAACTTGTTATTCAACACTTCCTCAGGTCGCATCACAGGGTTGATTGACTATGACTTTTCGTGCATTCTCCACCCTGCACACGAGTTTCTTTGCTCCTTTAGTGGTGTTGGAGGCAAGTTCGGGGGGGTGGTTCGGTGTTGATGCTCGTGAAGAAAGGGCCCTCCGTAATGGTCAGTTACACGGCTTTCCAGAGTCTCTTCCTGATAATCAGCAAGATGGCGAGGGTGTTCAGTGGAAAGTTTCCAAGGCCTGGGAGGATGCTCTTCAGAACGCGGGTTGCAAGCGCCCGATGACAATCCCAGGAATTGACGTCGTCGCTGATATTGATGCCCTGCTTAGTTGTATTCTACCTTGGCGCGTGACAAACTCAGACATTCTGAGGAGGCAAACTAACCAAGTGATTTAAAACTGTCGTAATGAGAATGAGAAAGTCTTGATCGAGATTCTGGAGCACATCGGGTTCTAAAATTATCGACAGATCTCTTTCTGGCCCGATTGAAGCCCCGAGCGACCGAGGATCGCACTGCTTCCACTTCCTCGAGCCTCGTCAAGCTGTTGATGTTTCACTTGGAGTTTGAATCTATTCAGTTGGTATATTATATAGCAAAACTTGTGATACTTTATTCTTTGCTCCTCCGAACTTTGAAGAGATCGCCCAGGGCGAAGAAATCGTGCAGGCCAGACCAAATGCTCAACTGCATCTCTCTGATTCGGCACTTCTATATTCCTGTAATCAACTTGTACTTGGGCCTCATCACCTTGGTTCAGGCTTTCCATGTGATGAAGACATACAAATGTATATATGTTAGCAGTTTGTATCTCTGTGCTGGTAAATCACAACAACTGCGACTCGTTGAATTGTCATCTGGACACCCCCCTACCTTTCAACTTACCACTCAATCTACAAAGTGACCAAGCGAAGACCTCGGTGTTGAAACACTACAGGAAAACCTTGGAAGTGATTCAGCATAAAAGCTCTTTATCGAAGCAGCAAAGAAGAAGTTGACAGGATTATGTTTGTCAATGAATATGGTTTACCCTTGTAAGGCCATGGTTCCTCTAAATGGGTCTGCGCTGTATCCTTTCTATAGGGAGTTTCAGGGCCCTAGGTTGTATTTCGCAACATGAAGTCTAAACCCGTCAGAACTGAAGTAGTAAGAATGTGGGAACCTTAATATCTACGGAGTCCACTGGGACGAGTTCTTACCTCTGTCTGTATGGCAGTGTGAGTAATTCGGTTGTGGCACTTGTTCGATTGGTTTCCTTTTAAGTGGCATGCTGATCGCACAAAATCAAGAGAAACAAAATTGAGCGTTCTCGAACTCTTTGCTTCTATTACTCCTCCCATATTTACTTTGCTAGGCTTCGTATTAGATAGTGGCGCTTTTTTTCTTTTCGACTTATTGGTATGAGTCGAGGAAACATTTCTTAGTTCGTTCCATATGAGCTAACTCTCGCTAATGAATTTTTGTTTACATCCTAGATCCAGTCAGTCGCATACTAGAAATGTCTGAAGAAGCAGGAAGCCCTGATCATGTTACCATCCGCATTCGCGATTCTGAGGGTAACGGGTTTTTTTTTTTCAGAATCAAGCGAAAAACCCCGATGCAAAAACTTATGGAAACTTATTCGGTCCGACTTGGCATATCATCGGGGATTCTCCACTTGCTATATGATGGCGAGAGAGTCAAACCTGACATGACAGCCGATGATGTATTTCAAACTCTTATCGTTCAAAAGTATACTTTACTCATCAATTTCACAGCTGGGCTTGGAAGACAACGACATGATCGACGCAGCCATTTCGGGCGATGACAAATGATAAGGCTTGTCTTCTTTTCCTTCCAAGGGGCTCTTCTCGGTCAAATACATCTGCCTTTTCATGGAAGATTTCATTTTGGGTTTTCGGAAAACCTCAAGCGAGCGAGACATGAGCCCACGCTGCCAGGGATCTGGGTGTAGGCCAAGTAAGCCTCCCCAGACCGACTTGGACATAGGAGCAGAAGGGAAGTGACAGATTGCCTGATTCTCGAGGGACTCCTAAGCTCGAGTGTTTGATTTCTTTTGCATTTTCCTGGATAATTCTAGTTCCTTTGGATTGCCAATACAGGCACAAGACGTGATACCGAATTTTAATGAAAGTAAATTATGGTATCAAGACTGCTATAGCAATATTATTATTCTGACTATCTTCAAGATCCGTCTCTTGAAAACTACCTCACTGGCGGACCTTTTAGCGCAAATTCCCATGGCTTAGCATTCCTCCCATGTGATTTTGCAAGTACATCGTTTATCATCCGTGGCAGCATACTGTCCCACACTCTCAGCCCAGAAGTCTCCGATCTCATACCACTGTGGACTAGCAGTACTCCCCGAACAATGAACTCGGGAGGATCTTTCACGAAGCGAATGTCTACTCGAGTGAGCCAACTACCTTGTGTCATGCGAGAAATTTTTATTTGGTAGAGAGTTCTTGAAAACTGCCTGCCACCCAGTTCTAATGTATCCTTTATGTGGAATCTACCAAATTACTCCTATATATAGCCCTAGATCCTTCTGGGTTAGTGGCATCTTGTTCCATTATCCTTGGCTGAATCCACATCCTCACGAGATCACCCCAGGCTGCTCTCCCTCACGGGTTCTACGCCTTCCACGCGAATGCTTCTTTTCCCGCTTTCGCTTGCGGTCTGGGCGTGGGTCCAACTGGCAACGATGGAAATCGATGATCAGGACTCGGCCGAGCTCGGCATTCCACAACAAATTAGCTGGACGGAGGTCCTGATGTACGACCCCGAGCGCGAGGATTTCGTTTATGGATCGTGAATACTCACGTCTCAGAGGATCAACTTCCTTAATAGGCTCGCCTCCCCAACCCATGAGCAGCATGTGCTTGATGGGACCCGCTCCGTGCAAGAAATACATCTTGGCCAAATCAATCGGACCAAGGAACACAGTAACCGCAGACCCCTGCAATCGAGCCAAGATACGATACACGTCAGCCTCCCGAGAGACTTCGCCCCACAGCCTGGTTGTGGTGCCTTTGCCAACGATGGTGTATCCCCAAAGAGCACTCGTGATCTTGAATGGAGCACCATAAGACCCGCACTCGCCCATCGGTGTACAGTCATCGATGTCATCTTCAAGCTGTTGTCGGATCTGTTTGACCAACTCTTCAGCACTGATGGGATGATGACTGCTTTCGCCACCCTGGCGGTGCAAGCTCACATTTGGGCACTGGTCATCCAACAGCCCACCCTTTTGCAGCCCTAGCAGATACCGCTGAGTACAGAACGGCGTATTCGCCCTTTGCGTTGCGCTACTCTGAGGTCCTGAGGTATTCTTCTGTGACGTCGCCTTTTGCGTGAATGGATACGATGACGAAGACCCATTGTGGCTGCTGCCATGCTGCTGCCCTCCTGACGATGCATCCGGATCGGGACCAGGAGAATCATGGCGTGTGGAATTTGATGGAGCACATCGGCCCCCAGACCGGGTCCTCATCCGATTTTCATCGGTAGGAGTTTCGACAGGCGATGTGTGCCGCGTTGGAGTGTACTACGACACACTGCTATCGCTGAAAGAAGAATTGAATGGCGAATCTGGGGGATCCTTCTGCAACTCCTCTCCAGGGATCCTGGAACGCTCGTGGGAGAAACTCGTCTCCCATGTTTGAAGCCGAGGACCAACATCCTGCCGCCATTTCTGGTCCCGAACCTGGGATTTAAAGCTCATCAAACAAAGACACAGTACCCGTGCAATGGCCGAAATTGGTTGTTCAAAGCTCCGATCCCCATTAACCTCAATATCTGTGGCGGGTTCACACAGTTGGTAATACAAGGTTTCTGGGTCGTCAGCTCGGACCCTCAGCAGAACCAATGCTAACCCTACAGTCAAGTAAGAATATTCAAGTCCTTCTTGGATCATGATGTGATATTCTTGGGCTAGAGCTGAGCCGGTCAAGCGAGTTGCATTGTATCGCAACTTCTCGGTCTCCTCGGTTGGCACGAAATTCGGTCGAACCACTTCATCCCAGAAGTCCATCTCCCGTAGTCCGATACGAAGACTAGCGACGGAGAGCTTGTGGGGTGGTTTGTATTCGACCGTTGTGAGAAGAGTTCCTGTCCCTTCGTTGATCCGATGTATGCAATACTGATCTGGTCTGCAGGGTCCGGTGATGACCGATTCTTCTCCTTTGACAGAATCGAGGGCATTGCCGTGATCTTTGAATGCGAGTCCATCTCCGAGGTGAAACTCTTGGCGAGCGGCAGGGATTTTGCACAGCTCGGCGATTATACTCTGCACGAGATTCTCAACGCCTAAATGCTCATAAAATGCCAGACTCGCTTCACTGGTGAGCAAATTGGAGTTAACGATTCCTCCCACGCCTTCCAAAAAATGCCTAGAGCCAAACCTTTGCTGAGGTTCTTCCACGGATGGGCTGAAATAACTGCACACAGACCTATAGATCCGCTGCTGATGAGCTATACAGTCGATCCATGGGCAAAGCCGCGTTGGACAATGCTTCCCAGTCGGTGTTGTGATTTGACCTTTCGTCGATTCGAGCAGACCCCCGACCCTCAATGGCTGCGAAATGAACCGCTGGCACAATCTAAGGTATTCATCGAACGTCGTCTTTTGCTGATTTTCTTCTGCGTCTCTTCTCGGCTCATTAGCTCATATCCTCAATTTCTCTCTCTATGTTTGTTCCTCGGTTTCTTGCCTTTTTAGCTTCTCCAATTGGGATCTTGCTTCCTCTGCTTGTCTTCTTCTTTCTGCCTCGTGCTTTGCTAACTCCTCCGCCTGTCTTTTCAAACTATCAGCTCAGTTTCTCGCGTCTCGGTTTGTTTTCTTGCTTATTTCACTTGCCTCACGTGTTCTTCTGCGTGTTTTCTTCCTTCTGTCTCTTGCCTTGCTAAATCCTATGCCTGTCTTCTCAAATCATCAGCTTGCTTTTACGAGTCCTCGGCGTGTTCTTTTTCTTCTTTCACTTGCATTCTTCGCTCTGCTTCCTGTAGAAAGAGTGCTTCAAAGTCTCGTGCTTTGCTTTGATCCATTTTACCAAATTCAGAATGGGATGAACCAGATTAATCTCAGTTTGAATTGTGCATTTCGACAACGATTCAATCAATCTATATACTGATTGCAATGTTGCAGCACTTCATATAAAGAACCATGGAAAGAGTTACCATCGCACTCTCGCGTGATACTAAAAGTCCTGTTGATAATCTCACATACTGTCCTCGGAGGGTAAACTAGCTCGCTACTGTGAAACGATTGCTTTGATGATCCTATCCCCAGGTCATGCTAAGCTGTTGCCTAGGTACTATGTTTCACATACCTTTATTTTGTACTCTGAACCTACAATCGCGTACCTGTCTGACATTGCCACCATGTGATAGATAGACTTCGGAACCATCCACAGACTCATCCTATTTGTTGAATTGATTTACACCCATTCTCTGATCCAACTGTGTACAGGCTTGCTCTTCAGCTTGTGAAAAGTGTGCTCAATTGGCCTTCACCTACACAGAAAGCTTGAATTGGAACCTATCTTTAGTATTAAAAACTTTCAAACTCTTCACTATAGTGTCTCCCCGGGACCATCGTGTTGGAATTAGCCGAATTCAATTCCAACCTATAATGGTAAGTCATGATGTGAAACTTGGAAAACGCCTGCCGCATTCCCATGTGGTAAAAACCGCACCTGGCTACCCGGGGATGAGCTTTTGGTGCTACCTAGCTCCATCGTACAAATCGCAAATTAAGTAGCAATGCTATACGGACGCACTTCGTACTGGTGTTCCACACGTACTCCCCTGATAAACTTCATCACACCGATGCATGTTGCAGGTCGTATCTTATTTGTAGTACAAACAGGGTCCTAGTCGTGAAGTACAGGGTTTAATGGTAGCTGAAGACAACCAATTATCAATCAGATTGCTAGTGAGATGTTTGAAGTTTGGAAATGTTGATTCAGTGACCACAAGATAACAGAAAAAGAAGCGAGATTGACTACTACGTCGGCAATGAAGGTGGAACTTGCAGTGGTGAGTTCTGTTGAGCCAAATTGATAAGATCGAAATGCATAGCTCTCAAAGTCAATTCACTGATAATAAGCCCCTTGATCAAGAGGCAGGGGCGTCTCATCAGGCCACAACGTTAGAATACCAGCTTTCGCATCTAAAATTTGTGATGCATTGGTGGTAATCCCCTGCTCATGAATGAGATCAATCAGATCAGTTGTCCAGTACCTGCATCCAACCCCCTGCTCATCGAATTCGTATTTGTGCTTCCCGCTGTCCACGATTACATCCATGATCTTCTCAACAGATATACCAGGAACGACATCGATGACAAATCGGGTTTGAGTATCGGGCGACGTTGCAGATGATAATTCAGATATAACCAGGTTAGCTTTGGAGCCTCCTCGAATCACAGTGCTTGGCACGCTGTGACTTGGCTGACAATCAACTCGAATTGAGGTGTCATCGGACGTCGAGAGGTAAATACACCAGTGATTTGTGGGGCCATCAATCTTTTCATGTGCAACGGCGAGGATGCGCTGCACCGGTAATTTCAAAATCTGTGGTCGACGAATAGCAGGCACAAAGTGCACTGGTTCGAAGGTAGACATGTCCCGGCGGCTAAAGGGGGTAACATTCCAAGTCAGCCGATGGATAGAGATGTTTGGAAAGGGGGCGGAATCTTTACTAGTTCAGGGGAATCTTTTTGACTTTTGCGAGCTGTGCAAGTAAGGAATACTCCGTAGTGAGCGAGAGATTAAAAAGATGTATCAATTCCATGAATATGCCAAGAATAATATGTTGCTCCTCGCCAGCCACAAGCCACACCAGGGGACACGTGATGGCTAAATGAGGCTGACAGATTTGTGGTTCTTTCACCCCAGGGGAACTTTCATGAGCAGGTCCTTCAGGGCCCTCAATCAAATTCAAGGCAGCGTTTTTGAAAAGCATTCGAGGCTTTCCTGCGGCTTCTTGTCATATGAATTTATTTATTTTTGGCTGGAGATACCGTACTACTACGTGAAGCCGGAAGTACTCACTCCGATTCCGTCTTACACAAGTGAAGGTGCAGCGCTTGATCGCCAGGGGACATGCCCGAATAGGCAGACAGGGGTGCTTCATGCTTACTCCGCTCCTGGCAGTCAAGCCTTTAATCCAGCAATTTGCAGAGGTATGGATCGAGTGATTACAGAATCTCAACTTATTACAGGGTACAATTCAACCGATGGTCTTATCAAAGTTGTTTCGCGGCCCACAGCAGCGGCTCATTTCAAAGTCTCCGGTCGTTACATCGAGTCGTGATACTTTTGATTACCAGCTTACACAGTTCGTCAGATAATAAAGCCCGGGAACATTATTTGATGGTTAGGACATTCATGAATACTGAATATATTTTGATTAAACATTGTTTCTGTTACTATATTATCGCTCAAAGCCGTCAAAGTACGTATTCTCTCATAATCTGAAATCTTGAATCAAGTTAGCTCTCCATTCAGGAAAATGCAAGTGAGGATAAAAGTGTGAATTTTTTTTGGCAGACTCAGAGACCCGTCTTGAAACATATAAGGTATCAATTTCACCATGAAAGGTAAGGTACGGATAAAATAGCATCACCGTATGCCAGAGAGGGTAGGGGGTGAAAGTAAAGTGAAGTGAAGACGTACCTGAACCAGTCGGAATAATCCCGCCGGTGGGGTCGGAAGAATAATCCTCAATCTCTGAATGGCTTCGTATTCTGATATCAACATTGAGAAGACCGAGAACATTAATCATATGAAAACATGTCTGCGATTAGTAGAGTACTCCGGTCGGGAATCATTCTTGAAAAAATGTTTCGACAGAGGTTTTATCAAGGCGATTTGATTTTATTCAATCCAGGAACGTAGGGATCAAAACAGTCAGATCGAAGGCATTTTTTCGAAATTTGACGAGTTTCGCGTGGTTCCTGAACAAGTGACGGTGATAACTCAAATCAGATATTTTATACGGGTCTCCCTTGCTTAGGCGATAGGGCAGCGGCCCTACGTTCAACTTGTTTTCACTGTTTTCAGTCGATGACATCATCGTCCGTCGTATACGTTCTCGGGCTGGGAGTGGGTATTTCCGAGTACTTGCATATAATTACAGACAATGTGTTCCGCGGGCTAGAGCGGAGGCTTTATTCTGAGATCTTGGTAACGCTTTTGAAAGGTCAAACTCATTGTCTTTTCAAAGTCATTAGAAAGTGGCGTATGCGACTCTAATCAATTTTCCCAGCTCTTAGCATGTTTACAGTCGTGGTGGTCATGAATCCGAATACTACCTCCAGTGCTGCCGTAACAGCGAGAATCTCGGAATATCATGTCAATGTAAATTGTTACACTGGAAGCGCAAGGGAGGCAAAGATGATCATATTGTGACCTGCCTAAGCTATGGCTAAGGGGCACGGTAACAAGATGCGTGAGAATAACGAAAAGCCGCTTGAGAGGAGAGAATTCAATTGGGGCAACTTTGCTTCTTGTGCCCGAGGAGACAACGTCCAGAGAGGATGAAACATCCTTTATGACAGGCGGGCTGGTAGAAACACTTGTCAGCACAACTTCTCTTTGAATGCGAGTTGAAAGGCTCCAGATGGGCCCCGGGGCTCAAGAGCCACAACTTACTCTCAGGAGCGGGGAACCAATATGGAACCCCCTCCACAAACCTGACCTCGAAGCCCGGGCGGTCTGGGACCACCTGCTGGGGCAAGACGGGCGAGGTGGCGGTGGATCCCCCGCTGGTGGGCCGCTGGACAGCTCCCTGACGCTCCTCAAGGCCAGGGCTGCCCAGAAGGTCAGCGAGGGTGGGCTGTCCAGCGGGTCCACGTTGTTCGATGGTGGCCGCTACAACGGCGTCAAATGGGTTCGGGGCGGCGGCAATCGCGGCGAGCTATTTGAAGCATAGTCAGCACTTGAAACCCATTTCTGTTGACCCGAGAACCTCAAGCACCATGCAAAGAAGAGAGCTAGGGGTAAGTCTTACTCTGGTAGCGGCCTGGGACCCTGCGGTGGCGATCTCGCCGGAACCCTGGACTGGGGCCGTCACCGGCTCCTGGGCGGGCTCATTCGCCGATTGCTGGGCGGCTTGCTCAGCGGCCATCTCGGCCCTAACCCGGGCCTGTCGCGCTCGCTGGACTTGACGTTAGCTAACTCCAGAGAAATATGCGTTTGGTGCCCTCAGGCTCCTCCTGGGGTCTTGATTCACTTACGCGGCGATCCGCCCGGAGCTGTTGCTGTCCTGGCCCATAGTGGCGCCGGCGGGCGCCTTGGCCAGAGGCATTTGGAACTGAGCTTTGTTTAGGTGCCATTTTGCAGCGATGTAAGAAATATGAGTGACGCTGGAAAGATGGGGAAGGTTGAAAGATGGAGAAGATTGAAAGGTGTGTGCAAACATGCCTTGTGTGAGAACTCACCAAGGCGCCTTCCCAAAGTGTGCACACCTGACCCCCATCGCCGGGGCCACAAGGAGATTACAAGGTTGAGATATGACTACTACAACCAAACGCATTTATATTGTTATTATTCGTATTCGTATTCCCGCAAGACACGATTTCCATGTCTATGTATGGATGTTGTATTCTTATTTCTTGCGTCTGATATCAGCAAAGTTCTTGTATAGACTGAACGTGACGCTTTAGTAACGACTAAGTGACATGAAAGTAACGGCCAACTGAGGTGAACTCAATGACAGAAGAGGTTTTCATGGTTGTGCTTTTCATTAAGATCTCTTAGTGCTTCGCTTGCACGAAGTAGGTACGATCCTACAAATACACAACCAAAGTTTGATAGATATAACGACCAAGTGACGATGAATGGACGACTCAGTGGCAGCCAAGTGACGGCGAAGTAACGTGAAAATGGCTGAAAAATTTTAGAGAAGTGTTGATAAGATGGCTGGGCAACCACACTGAATGCCAGGCCATATCAACATAAGGCCATTGCCTAGACGATTTTTAGACAATGGGCCTATGAATCCAGGGAATTAGATAGCATTTGTTGATGTAAATGAGCTTGAGCGAATTGAATGAGAGTTTTGAAAGGAAACATCCTAAAATTTCATCATATAAATTGATATATCTCTGTGTAAACAGAATGGGACGATTAAATGACGGCTACATAACAACTAAAAGATGACGGAAAGATGTTGGAGTGATATAGACCACCTTCTCGACGCTATTTGGATCACCGCAAAGCTCCTAACCCTTTTAAGGAACTATCAAATGATTTAGACATTGAGCGGCATAGTATCCAGGCCCCCTATAGGTATCTCATAAAGTGCCATGTCTATCATTTCGGCACGTTTTAACTGCTCAGAGTTCAAGATGTAATAGACAGCAGATATTTTGATAAGGCGAATCAACATACTGAGTGTGTGCGCAACAGCTGGACCTGGAAGTAACTCTCACCTCACGACTCTTGATGCTATAGAAACTGGTTCATTTTCTATCAATACTTTGCAAGAGTGAACTTGATTGAACTATGAGCGAAAATTATCTCAACGGCCTATCCTAAAGATGCACCCGCCAAGCCAGGAACAGAGCCGGGACCCCTTGGCAATTGCTTGATATGCTTATACACGCCTAAAGATTGGATTTGCACGCATTTGGGGCAATCCCAATATTAACTTGACCCAAACACCCAGTCCGACACAATCACTGCAACTGTTGCAACCTGAACTAGTTAGCCAAATTGTACGAACAGACTTCCAATATTAACTCACCAGCGAGATATCAACACCAGGCATTACAATCACATCCAAAGCAGGTCTATATCCCGCCTTAGAACCCATCAAATTCAACTTTTCATTATGATGAATGCTCTCCTTGACTTCAGCCACCTTCCGATCTCCATCAACGATATCGAAAAGCGCTAACGCATTCCCATGCCTCTCAATATTTAACGTAAGATCCTTCTCCTCCTGCCTCTTCCCATCAAACGCAGCCGCATTCTCAAAGGAAAGATTAAAGTCCCCGAGCGAAGTCCTCCCCAGCGTCCAGCGCGGAGATCCAGTCGCGATCGTCGCATCATCGCATCCCGGTAAACTAACCGACCAACTGTTCGAGCGATACCACTTGCGATGCAGTTCAAAGAGCGGTAGACCCGAGGAATCTCGGAACTCCCGACAGGATCTGTCACTGTATTTGCGACCGGTGATGGTGAACTGCGGGGTGCCGTCTTCCTCAGTGATTTTATACGCGACGGCTGATTGGGCACTGCCGTATGGGCGGAGAACGAGAGTCGTTTTACTGCGGGCGATGTATTGGTTTCGGAATGCGATGTCCCGGTCCGGAGATCGGAGTGTTTTTCGAGGTTTAGATGAGGTTGCGAAGGACATGCGAGCATCGGAGTAGGAAGTGTACGACATGGTGAGCGTATCAGTGACATCTGGGCTCATCCTGTGGCTACTTGACTCTTTATACCGGGGAATTTCGCGCTAACTGTGCCCGTGCGGCATTTATTCCAACCAATATCGCATGATATCATGGAGGACTGAGCCACACTTTGCCAAGAAAGATAAGTGAGGCTACAATTGCTTCTAGATGAGGGGGCCGCCCCGGTGGGGGCTCAGTCGTAAATCACCAGTGGCTGTTTCTTGCGGTGGGTTTCTTTGGACATTCTGATTGATTCTGATCCAGTTGCCGTCGGCGCCCTCGAATTGCCCAAGTGTGAGGCAGTTGTTTTGCTTGAACAAAGTAGTTGCAAGTGTTTATACTTGTAGTCAAACCATAGCCTCGGTTACTTCCACTTAATCGCCTTTATCGGATGATGACTCAGTGTGATTGTGGGAACTTCAACACACTTTACTCCGTAATTGTAGACTGATTTTCCTTCCATTCCAAACATCAGCTGTTGCATCATCATGGCCAAGAAATTTGCCGTCAAATCTTTAGACCATTTGGTCCTCACCGTCCGCAACATTCCCAAGACCGTTGCTTGGTACACTACCTACCTCGGGATGCGCCACGAAGTCTTTACTTCGCCGGCGAACCAGAGTGTGCAAAGGTGACCCCTCTTTTTTGGGCTTCAAACTTTAACATAGAGCAAGGGGCTAAATATCTCTAGACATGCGCTGATTTTTGGCTCTCAAAAAATAAATCTTCACCAGTCGGGCAAAGAGTTCGAGCCCAAAGCCCAGGACGTTCAACCGGGTAGCGCTGATCTATGTTTCCTGACTGATGAGGATGTGGAAACAGTTCTGCAGGCGTTTCAAGATGCTCGAATTGAGGTATGTTGACAGGAAGCAGGGTGTCCTGATACCGAAAAGTCCTAATTATCCCAGATCCTTGAAGGGGCTCAAGTAGTGGAGAGAACGGGAGCAGTTGGAAAAATCCGAAGCGTTTATGTCAGGGATCCTGATGGGAATCTAATTGAGTGAGTACTCTCTTCATTCGATGTGTCGACTTGACTAATCCTATACACAGGGTGTCAAACTATGCATGATAAGTCCAGTGACACATGCATTATCAATATTTATGCAATATCGAGCATCGCGATAGCATTATATCAAGGCCCAAGCAGCAGCACCCATCAGCATGGAGAAGACGACATTTTGTTGAGTCCCTGACGCAGCATTTGTACTTGCCGAAGCGGAGGCCGCACTCGCCGAAGTTGCCGTTGCTGCCGATGCGGCTCCCTGTAATTCGTTAGCGTTCAGAATCACATCATCTTTTTCGCAGCATACCGATGACGTGGTGCCAGAAGGAGTGCTAGAGGATGTGGATCCAGTTACTGTAGAAGTATCACCTGTGGTTGTAGCAGTGGCAGTGGCCGCACCAGCCGATGCAGCGCCTGAGGTAGCGGAGGAAGAGCTAGGAGTGGCATCATCACTGCAAGATGTCGCTGCAGACTTGACGCTATCGCCGTAGTATTGCCAGATGTTGTATGTCAGGGCGCATTTCAGACATGAGTCCAGGTCGGTAGTGAAGGTTGAGTTTGAGCAGTAGTTGCCTGCTTCAGAGATCAAGATCACCTCGCCTGTTTGTATCCTGATGGGTCAGTGGCACGTTTGAAGGAGAAGTATTTCTGTATTGCAGAATGTGTTATGACTGACCGCATGCAGCGTGACAATTGTAGAGAGGCGATCCTGGTTCAATATCTTCGCGCTTAAGCAGCGAGGAGAGTCCGGGCAATTGTAGGGCGGCGGCCGATGAGACGAATACAGCGAAAGCTGCTTTTCCGGCGAATGAAAGACGCATATTCACGTAAAACGCAATTAAGAGGAGGGATAACAAGAAGCCGGTTGCAGAGATGAAATCTCCTAGTGTCATTCATCCCGGAGCTTATTTATAGTCGCTGTACTGCACACAAGTCGCTTTCAAGGTTATCTTCCGACATCTTGCCACACGGAGCCGGTAAGCCACAATGTACAATGTAAGTACACATGAGCCAATTCCATATTGCCAAGTCCCTTAGAGTATGGAACTGCCCCACTTGGTTCGGCGCTGTGAAGCCGACGTCCGCCTGTGTGAAGCTGCTCGGGTCGGTTTCCTGGCGATGTCCGTTGGCGAGACTAGTTCTTCGGGTTTGCAGGTCATGATAATCGCGTGGGACAAATAAAAGCGGATATCGACCGTGTCAAACAGCAAAAAGGGAATTGAAATCCGAGGTCGGAAATGAGAAGCGCTTGGCTTTCGGGAAAATCCGAAGCGAGGGTCCATCCACCCTTGATCTTATCAATCTAATCTCATCACCCCGGCGAATGGCCTTCCGGCTTGACACTCTACTCTTGCAGCGTTGCAGTGCAGGCCAAGTTCCGTCTTTCACTTCACCCTATACCTCATTAAATCAAGTTTGACTCTTTGTGCCGGTGGTTCCCATCTGACTGGTTGGACCGTTGCATCCATTTGGCTTCCCACCCTGGCACAAACCCGCCGATGTGTATCACATGCCATTCAAAGGGTTTTCATTGACATCGAAATGCCCAGATGTTTCCTCGCAAGCGAGTCCATCCACAGGATCCGCTTGGGTTCCACTTCGTGCAAGTCTATGGATTCGGCAAGTGATGCCGACATGGCCTGTCATCGCTAGAAAGTCGTCTCTCCGGGTAAGATGTTTGATCTAGACGACTTATAAATGCACGTATCTGCCGATCGTCAATATTCCACCGAGTACTCTATACTACCAAAATTTCTCCAATATTTGGGACTAGGCTCTTGCAGTTGCTTCTTCCCAGAAACGGCCAAACAGAGAAGATGCAGCCCTATTCAACCTTGCTTGCTCTGGTCACTCTCTATGGCTCCCAAGTGAGAGGAGCCTCAGACATGGGGCCAGCCGCTTTTCTCTGGCCCCCAGATCGAGCATGGGGCGCTGCTCAAGATAACACCGCGCCCTGTGGTTCCTCCGCAGGAGTGACAAATCGCACAGAGTTTCCACTGAGTGAGGCTTTCATTTTTTCTCATACCTATGATATCAAGTGCTCACATTTATAGCCAACGGTGAGGTCTCTCTGGTACTCCAAGACGAGTCATACAATGTGAATCTCGCCATCTCCTACAATAACGGTGAGTAGTCCCTATGCCCTGTCTACGCATTACTGACAGCACAGATCCAACATCGAATCGCGATTTCACTACGCTGGTCTCTTCGTCAAATTTCCCCGACCTAGATCCCGGCCACGAATGCTATGCCGTTCCCAATCCAGCATCGAACATAACCTCCGGCTCGAACGCCACTCTTCAACTCTCGTATCTTTCTACATTTGACACGGATAAGAATAGCACTTTCTATGCGTGTGCGGATATTACTTATGTCCCGCTAGCCTCGTTCACCACCAATGTGCTCTGCTTCAACGTGTCAGAGTCTACGACTTCAACCTCGACCTCAAGCTCGAGCACCAGCTCAGCGACATCGGGCTTGTCTGGCTCCTCGGGGTCATCCTCGTCTAGTGGATTGTCCGGAGGTCAAATCGCGGGTATCGTTGTCGGTTGCGTTGTTGGTGCGGCACTGGCTGCTGTTGCGATGTTTGTCTTATGGACAAGATATCAGAGGAAGGTCCAAAGAGATAAGGTGGTGGCTGTTCGCATGGGGGACTGGGGTAACAAGTCGAAGGCTGGCGACTCGCAGCCTAGTGAGGCCTGAGTCCTTTCATGCATTTTTGGTTGATTTTGAGGCTACCTAGGTACCGTTTCGAAAGCCCCAGTGAATCTATATTCTCATATGTGTCTAATGTGATATACGAATGAACAGTTCGAATGTTTTGCGAAGCAAATTTGACATTTTTACTGCTTTTGAATATTTTAACTGCTTCATCAAACATCCAGGGCAGTACTTCACACGCGAAAGTCAGGACGCTGCTTGAATAAACTGGAGATCGGCTTGAACAACTCTCTGCTCTCAAATTGACCACCAGCTTTTCCGAACGTCGTCAGCTCCTCCCAAGAGACCCATTCCCATGCTTCACACTTCTCGGGCTCCAAGATCTGACCGTGTGTTAGCCAATAGACTTGAAGAACAAAAAAGCGCGAAAGACAAAAGGCTCAAAAAATGAACTAAAAACAGATCAGACTTACTTCTGGCTGAGCCCCTTGTTCACAGACACTCCCCATGAAAATGGTAATATAGTGCTTGCGTTCCGCCTCAAATACCTCATTTGTAGCCGTCAAATATCGCACATCTCCAATCTTCAAATTTGTCTCTTCAAGCGTCTCACGCTCTGCACATGTCTCCCAAGATTCACCATATTCCAGGTGGCCGCCCGGTAGAGCCCAAGTACCTGCATGCCGTTAGCTCGCGCCACAACCCCCAGGCCGACCACGTACCAGCGCCATGGCTTCCCTTTCTCTTTCCGACAATAAATTTGCCCTCGGAGTTGAGCACGAAAACTGCGACTCCGACTCTGGGATTAGGAGGTGGATCCATATTTGTTTGTATGTTGCTTTGTGGACCTGAAAAGTGAAGTTGCGGGAAAGTGGGGTGGTTTTGATCTCCGCCAGGCTGCACTTCACAGGGCTGTTCGCGAGGCTGTGCTTGATTGTAGGAACACAGCACAATAAGCCAGCGATGTCTTGGTACCTTTATATTAAAATTTTCAAAGCCTTCATGTGTCACAGAAGTACTTGCACAGCCGCCACAGACCAACGGCGCGTAGTAATTACCTGGTTGATACTTCCGGGGCGTATTTGAGGCTGAACAACCTCACAAATGCCAACTTTCCAACTTTCTATGTTGGTTTTGTCTTTTGATGTCCAAGCCAACAGGGCAACAAGTATGTACTTTGACTGTTTCTTTACGGATCGGAAGCGCCCGCTTTGACCATTACTTTGCTACAGTGGTAGACTCCGCCTCTAGACTCAGCGTGAAACAAAGGGCTACCTGTTCCAGCCATGCTCAAAGGCTGGTCTTATCCTGTTGTAAGGCAACAGGAAAATCTTTGCAGAGACTACCATGCTCGTGTTGGCCAACTTTCTTGTAGATCTCCCCACTGCCAAAAGAGGAACCGTAGGATATTATTCCGAAAATGTTTATGCATACTTCGAGATGTAGACCGATATTAACAAGGGAAGTCCATGGACCCTATAGGACACCATCTCGATAGCTTTAGGGCTCCTCAACCCCATCAAAACAGATGCAGCGGGTAGGAGAAGGCTGTGAAACTTCCGCTTCACTTTCGCCCTGAGATGGTGAGAAGTTCCAACGTTGAGCTGGCTCTGTGGCTTTTATAACTCCTACAGATCAGAATTTTTGAGCTCCGCGCCCTCGATGCAAACAAATCTAGCAGAAAAAGGTTTACTCCATCGTTTTGCAGAAATGGAGACCTCACTGATACACTCCAGCGACATCGTCGTGGCGACAAAGGGTGTCAAGCTAAGACTCTTTCACCCCGAATCTGATCTATCGTACACAACTTAGCTCATCGGGTTTTAAATGACAAAGAATTTGCAGAAATCAAGAAACTGACAACGAAGCAAACAAGATCTTCATCACCAGATACGCAAGGTGATGATCTACTCGCGCTTAACCAAAGTCGTCACCCCTGCGCCAATGCCAACACAAATCAGATTCATTCACTACCCTTGCAGCCTATAAGAAAGTCCATCACAGCGGCTAGATGCAAACTGACGCACATCTGACATCGAATCCCTGAATGATCGTCAAGGGGAAGCTTCAATGTTGAAGATCATCACACCCTTCCCGTTTCAGCCGATGTGATCTATGATTCTGACCTCATGCCCATGACCCTGCTCATATAAGTATTTATACTCCTAACCATTAGCCACTTGTTCATATTTAAATACATGCTGCACAATTGAATCCACCGTCACAATCTCTTCCTGTTTAATCCTCCAATATATTCCACTCAGAAAGACAACCAACACAACCAACAAAACTCATTCAATCATGCAATTCCACTTCCTTCTCGCTTCCATGCTCGCTTTGGGAACCACAACCCTCGCACAATCACCTATGAGCGGTATCGCGAGCTCGCAGAGCACTCAGAGCCCGACTCTTGCGCCTTCGACGCGTGGTCCAACTACGCCTGTTCCCACTCTTCGCAAAATGCAGTCCGCCACGCCGAGCTCCTCTGCAACCCCTGGTGCCGGGCCTGGGGGTATGGTAAATGGAATGCCATCGCCTGAAGGGAGCGCTTTCGGAGGATCATTCTGAGTGAACATGTGAAATGAACTGGTTGATGAACATGAACGACAGATGGTGGATGTTGGAAGGAAAGCGATCTTGTATATTCCGGATGTGTGATTTGTGCTTTACTTGTTTGTCCGCAGATTTCAATGTCCCTCGAAGCCTCACATGAACGTAGATAGAATTGAAAATGGTTTCGATTATGCAGTGAACGTATCTACTACCTCGTATTAATGCAGTGTCCAACATAACCTTGGAAGAATTTGAAAAATCGACGAAAAAGACAAAAGACCACCGAAAGCAAAGCCAAACAAAGAGAACACAAAGAAAATCAAAGTTCCACCCAAGAAATTATATCATAATATACAAGTAAACGAACAACACGAAAATCGCAAAGTGAAAGTCGACCGCAGCGAGCAAAAGCACAAGAGACGAGCTCACATGCACACACAAGGATCAAGCTGGGCGCGGGAGAGACCGCTGTAAATGTAAAGCGCACTCACTTGAGTCATGACCACAAGTCGATCCTCGATACCAATCCTGCTCAATGAGTTGAGCCTCGAGATCTCTCCAGTACCCAGCTTTTCCACCGGCCCCCGTTTTCAAATCTAGATCACCAAGACGGATCTCAACTGGTGATCCCTCGTCATGTGGGATCTGTTTGTCATCAGCTTCATGTGTGACTTATTTGTTGTAGCTGGGTGTACCTACTTTGACGAACATGGTGCAATCTCGCAACGTCATGGCGAGTGACATCTCCTTTGACTGAGCCAGGGGTCCTAACAATCCAACTTCCCTCTCGGTCTTCTGTAAAGACTGTAATCGCAATAGCGTCGGATTACGAAATAGGATATGAGCGAGGCGCGACCGGTCTGTACATCCTTGGATCAGGCCCGTGGCTCGCAAAACACTTTCATACTGTTCAGAGACAAGATCCAGCGGGCAGAAAGATCTCTGCTCCTTAGCTGGTAGTAATGATATGTGGTTTTTCATCTCCCGAAGTGCACAGGTACGACATCTATGTGCCGTTGGTGGTGCCGAGGGTGACTGATTCAACCATTTCGGCTTGAGCTCCGCGAGAGTGGATCCCTTATCGGCGGTCATGTCAGTGACAAGCAAACCGAAAGGCTCGCTCAAACAGAGGTAAGTGCCATGACGCTTTTTAGGGCGCTGTCCATTACGCTCTGCGGCGCGAAGCTGCTCGTTGCGTCGTGCGAGAAGACTTTCCGGGAGGCGGATGAGAGTCTGGTCCACTAGTTCGTCTGGTTTGAAAAGGGGGCGGATAATGGTATCGAAGTTGCGGGCGATCTCCTTATAGGTGATGTCTGCGGCAGTTTGTTTGCGGAGTCGGAGGAGTTTGCCTTGCAGTTGGGGTGGGAGGATCTCGTTGGTATTTACGAAACGGTAGATCACGTTTGCCCCGCCCTCGGCGAGGTAGATGAGCTGAACTCCCGCGGGGAGTTCAAGGAGACTGGGCTTGGTCATCCGTTGGGATGAAGTTGGATACGTGGTCGATCTTTGTCATGACGTGGCTGCTATTTCTAAACAGCCTCTTTAGAGGATCTTCGATTGGGTGTGGGATAAGCTCCTGGGATCTGATGTGCATGCATTCAGTGAGCTTAAATTCCTGAGGGGGCTAAACCGGGTTTAGCTTGTGGCGAATCACACTCGTCCACGCCTCGCTGGAGGCGGAAATCGAGGTGTAAATGGGCTTGTCGAGTGTCAGAGGGGACAAAGGACAGGAGACTGGAAATATCCAGGAGAATTCGAGGCGAAAGGAAGACAAAGAAGTCAAAGAACTCGAAAGAACCCCGGAATCAGGTCCCAGACAAAACCCGGGGGAAAATGCGTGCAGGGTTTAGTCCGCGGGTGGGGGCTCAATCGACCAGTGGCGTACCCCTAGAGCCGATCACCAGTTCATCTGGCACAGTTTCTCACAGTTGTGCGCCGGTTCTCACTGGTTATCAGAGGAAATCTCCGAGAAAATCCCAGAAAATTCAGGATTGCAAGTTCCCAAATCCCAAAGTACACGACACGCCCATTTATCTATCAGAGGCGGTCAGCGGAGACCGGCCACCTCAGCAACGAGAGGTGCATAAAATGTGAGATCAGAGGCTCGAGGGTCGGTGATCTCTATCGGGTGATGTCAAACGGCCTCAAATGGTGTTCAGAGTGGAAGGTGAACAGAAGAAGAGAGAGGTTTCAGCCCTGCGGAAATGGCTGACAACTTCCCTGTTAGCTGCAATTTCACCTTTCAGCTCTAACCCTCTACTCCCCTGACTACTCCTGGCATCTCAACCGTACCTCGGTTTCCAACTATACGCATCCAACTACGGAGTATTAACCTTGAACTTCGCCCACCTCGTAACTTTGTGCTTTAGCCCGCCATGGCTGAGATCCCCACCCCCGCCCATTGCGTCGCCGACTTCTGTCTCATCCCCGTACGTCAACAGCCCCCCCCTTACCTTATACATAAACTCCATGCTGTTTGAAACTCCCACTGACCGCGCAGATCGGCACCTCGTCGCCCTCAGTCTCAGACCAGATCGCCGACGTCCAGCGGCTGATCGCAACCTGCGGCTTGGAGTATGTCATGCATTCCGCGGGCACCACCATCGGTGCGTATCCCCCCGCTTTTTTCGCGTGAAACATGTTCTCATCGGAACTGAAATACTGTCTGAGAGTTGTGCGACGCTAATACCGTTTATAGAAGGGCCTTGGGACCGGGTTCATCAGGTTATCGGGCAGGCGCATACCATTCTTCATCGCCAAGGGATCGTTCGGATTCAGACTGATATCCGAGTTGGCTCGAGGTGAGCTACTGCATCTGTCCCTTTGCTTTGACTGCTGATTCGCTGATGCGCTGGCTGTAGAACTGATAAGGTGCAATCCTTCGAAGATAAGGTGAGTAAGGTGCGCGAGCTACTGGCTAAGGATTAGTGCGAGACTTTGAGACAATAAGATCCCACTGTGACTTCATAATTGATGTGTATTGGTGCATTCGTAATACTATATGATTCCTGTAAACCAAAACGCCCAATGCTGTCCCCGCTATGTCCGATATTGACATGCTTCGCCCAAGAACCGCTAAACCGAAATAAACAAACATATCCAAGAATAAAACTAATAAACACAATCAGAACGAAATTCCTCCGCCAAGGAGATTACCCCAGTTCCCACCGGCCCAAATCCAGTTGCCCATCGTAACAGTAGACCCAGCTCTCGCCGAGTCCGCCAACTCAACAAGCCCCTTGAAGACACTGCTGCTCGAAGACGCACTATTGGTCGAAGCCTCAGCCACAGACTTGCGACCCACAGGATCAGTCACATTATTCAAACTGTCCACCGTATCGATCGCAGGACCCCGGTTGAAGAAATCAACCAGGACGAACGCCGGCTGGCGCCCGCTCCACTCCTGCTTACAGGTCGTCGCAGTGTCACCCAGGTTACCGGTGCCGCCAGAGGCAGCGTTCGTCGTGCCGATGTAGCTCGCGTTCGGGTATTCGATGTCGAACTTGGCGAGATCGGACGAGTACAGGAAGTGGTTCATGAGGGGGAGGAGGTTGGCGGCGTTGGCGGAGGCCGCGTTGCCAGAGTATGCGGAGGGTCTGTCCGCTTCGCAGGAGAAGTTGGAAGCGGAGCTTGTATCGTATGGATTCTCCCAGAGGAAGGTGAATTCGTCCATGAGATAGGGGTAGCTCTCGCTGGTGGTGATGGAGGCGACGAAGACGACGAGGCGTTTGTCGTCGTCAATCATGGTTTGGAGGGTGGGCCAGGTTGTCGGGGCGGAGTTCTGAGACGTCGGTTCGTAGGCATAGTCTGTGATGTTTGCAGTTGTGAATTCCGTGTTGAGTTCGGAGGCTGATGCGTCATCTGAGTTGACTAGGAGGATTGTGACGACTGAACTTGGTTAGGTTTTGTGCTTTGCGGGTGTAGTTCGGGGAAACTTACCTTCGTTGGGGTTATCATCGAGCCATGACTTGATTTTCTTCAGCCAATCGCTGAGGAGTCCTGCGTCCAGCAAGGAACAGGAGGAGTGGCAGAGACGCCATTGTGAGTTGCTTTTGTGGACTTGTGCGGTGACGAGACGGACACCGGCTGATAGTTGTGTTGGGGTGTCGAAGTACTGATTTCCGGCGATCGAGTTACTGGTACTTGAGTCGCGGAGGAAAGGACTGTCGTGGGCACCGAGGTGGGTGATCTCGCCGTAGGATTTGGAGCAGAGGTCCGGGGAGTTGTTGCAGGCTGTAGTGCGCTTGGCCAGCGGATTCGCCAGCACTGCAGGCAGCAAGGGCAGGAAGTTGAACACTCGCATTTTCCAAGGTGTCACAATATTCAAGTACAAATTTTGGGGTAAATGTATTCTACAGGTGAACTCAGAGATAATAAAGAATGTTTACTAACAGCCCAAAAGGCCGCGTTGCCGTCTCAACTATTCTTAGATGATCTGCGGTGCACTGCCCGTCGGCCTGGGCATACTCCACGCCTCCACGCCTCTTTATTTCTGACGCTTACGCAAGACTCAAGAGGGTCCATTTGGCTGCAAAATTTGTTGCCTCGGTAGTCAAGGCTCTTTTCTAGTCTCTTGGTGGCGACCTTAGTAATGGCAGCCCTAACTCGAAGGTTGCAAAATGATACGGGGTGTGATATAGATATGCTCAGGTGGATTGGGTATTACTATTTACAATTACAATGCTAGTGTATATGGACGGCTCATAATCCTTTCAACGACAAGCGTATACCGGGAGCGCGCCGCCTCGATCGGGCTGATCGTGGTGGGTTGACCAGCCGCTCTAGATCCTGCTCCATTCCATCGAAGAGAGAAGGGTCGCCCCAAGCCTCGAACACATCGTGAACCACTTGCTGGACAGTGTATGGATTCCGGCGCCGCAGCATACGATTCATGCGTCGAGCAGAAAGGACATGATGACTGTACAGCATGGCAAGACGGTGACGAACAGCCTGGGAAATCAATCTCTTGTCAAGGTGGAGGCCTAATTTTTCGAGCTCTCGGAGTAAGATGAGGCCCCGGACCCAAGGAATGAGTTTTTTGTCCGATTTTGAGGGGTGGGGAATGGCGAATCTCGATGCAGTCGTGTCGAGCACTCGGAACATGAAGCCCCAGGAGACGATGGCGGCTTGCATCTGTGGGGTGAAGACCAAGTCCAGCATTCGTCGGTCGCGACTCTGGGTCTTCACAGAAGTTTCGGAAGGTGCGGGTAGAGCGGGCGTCTGGATAGTCTCTCCGGAGTTACCAGCGTATTGGCGTACAAGCCAGTGGCAAAGTTGTTGCAGTTTATCCCAATCATCCCAGGCATCAGCCATGCCAATTCGCTTCAGGATCTCTACCCAGAAAGCAGCACTGACATAGCCTCCGGCAGGGACTACACGCTTGAGAATCTTGAAGATAAATACCACTTCTTGAACGGCAGTCAGGCGTTGACCTGGTGGTGGGCGGTGGTTCATTCGGCGAGGGGTGAGGACCTGCTCGGCCATGAAATCCACACTTTGCTCCCCCAAAGTCCTGTTCCGCAGGGCGAGCTCGTCGACAAATTTGGACGCAGCAGCCAGTTCCCAGGCTGCAAGATGCTTCCTAAAATGGATATCGGAAAGGTCAGGTGCGGCCGGGTATAGCTCTGTGAGGACTGCCAGAGTCATATTGTATAGTCGCCAATCGCGAGCCATGTAGTAAGAAACCAACATTGACTCCTGGGTACGCTTGTCTCCAAACACATCGGGGTGTTGGTCGCTTCGCAAGATGTCTGAGAGAAGAATGTCGCGGTTCTGTGCGGCAAGCTTCTCAACCAGTCGCGAAAACACGGTGTTTCCCACCGATATGCCTGACTGCTTGAGGGTTTTGAGCTTATCCAGGAGATCCTGGTTACCATGTGCTCTGATAGCCATCTCACGTAGTGTCCGCGGGCCGATCTCTGCTACCCCAATCATTTTCAAACCACCCACAACCATATCGAAGTTGAGGGCCCGCGTAGCGAACAGCTTAGCGCCCAGGTCGTCTTTGAATGGCTTCTCGTCTTGTGGGCCTTTCTGGGCCTGCTGGGCTATTTGGGGCGTAGTGGATTGGTCAACCGTGGCTTCAGGGTCAAATCGCTTCTTGACATAACCACGAAGCTTGTTGAATTCTTTCCGAAGTCCGAATTTTTCAACATATTCCAAGAGTGGCCGTATGTCGGCGAGAGTTTGTGGATGGTCCTCACGTTGCGTGAGGAACTGATGCATGGGGATCGCCGACTCGCCGAAGCCTTTTTGCACAAGCATAGCAATAGCAGGCCCATAGATATGATGATCCGGCAGCGTGGAGCACATAGCCTGGAACGCTTTCAACCCTGGCGATAAGGACGACCCCTCAGAGTTGTTTGAAATCATCCATTCCGTGCCAGCCGGAAGAGACGATTGATGAAGCGCCGATGGTAATATCCGTATTGTATCGGCCGGTGTGGCAAGTCGAGCACTCTGAAGCTTTTTGTGCCATTCGACCGCGCGGTTCGGCATACCCTGTTCCAGAAGTCCTCCCACAATGCGTTCGTAGAGCTCCGGCCACCGACTGTCATGTTTCTCGAGGAGTCCAGTGGCGTATTGAAGTACATCCGTAAGGAACACCTCACGCCTCAGGCCCAAGTCCACAAAGCTCCGCCAGAAAAAATCCGCCTGTTCCCCCACAACCGGAAGCCGGACTCCGTCCGCGCGGACAGTCAGTCCCTGCCATATATCAATTGTGCCATTGTCACCGTAATGACGTTGACGATACCGAAGAAGTTCCTCCCATAAGTCCAAATTAGATCGGTGATCTAATCCATCCACTAACCGCGTTCCAATGTTGTTGAGGTGTCCGACGTCCGATTCAAACTCAAGCTTGTCCGGTCGAAGCGCTAAGAGTTTAATGGGGCATTTGGTGCGCCCTGAGTGTTTCTGGCTCTCCGCAACATGTGACTGCTCAGAAGCTGGCTGTTCACTGGTTTCCTCGATATCGTAAATGGGAAAGCTGAATGGCCGTTTCCCTCGGCATGTATCGTCGAGTGTGGTTTGTGTCGGGCGATTCGTAGCTTCGTCTGATTTCCTATGCTTGGTGCTCTGTGAATTGCATCTCAAACACTTGTACTTCGAGTCCAATTGCTCAATTCCGATCGGGGTAGCTGTGAGGGTGTCAAGGATCGAGACGGCGGACGGCCTCTTCAACAGTCGCAGAAGCGCCGGGCGCATGAGTGATGAACGAAAGAAGGTCGGGCAAGCAAAAACTCGACGTCAAACATCCTAGCTCCCGACGTCAATCCGAAAGTGCTAGTGCTATCAGTTCGAAAGTCGATACGCGTGGTACTTTTCTGCCACTATACCCGTTTGGGGTGATGACCAGAGACAACATCTGATTCGATCAGGTGACAGCACGTGATGCAACATCCCAGCTCATTCCGGGCCAACTTCGTCGGCACCATCACGCCCTCGTTGACCTCCAATCCCCGCTCCTTCCCCCTCACAACCGCGAAAATGTTCCGCGCTACTAGCTCTCGCATGGCTGGGTACGTGTCTCCTTCGATCCGCCGTCTACGCTCTCTCCGCACAAACCCGATCTCGAGAGTGCGACCACCGAATTTCCTACTCGGACGTTCGGGGTCCAATTGCAATTGGGAGTGCCTGCGTGGACGAGTGGTTTTGCCCTGACTACGCAACCTATACTGACTGCTCTTGTTCACATAGCTTCGTGTTCCGTGAGAACCGTGTGCCCTACTACCAGCGTCTCTTCCAGAACCACGACGGCAAGCGCCAGTGGTGGAAGGTCAGTCTTGGCCCTACTCGATTCCTACGTCCTCAACACCCCGCGACAAACATCTAACCGTTCAATTGCTATACAGACCTCCCGCTCCGGTTACATCATGTGGCCCTACCTGATCACCACCTACACTCTCGGTGCTGGTAAGCAGACCCATCCGATACACAACGCAGCCATGACACAACACTAACTGGAATAGCTTCCATGTACGGCATGTGCCGCATGGTTCTGGTAAGCTCTTCCCATCGACTGCCTTTCTCATGCAGAGAAAAGGCACAACCCACATACTTTGATGCATATACTGACCTCTCTATAGGGCAAGAAGACCTGGTACTAAACCATCGGTCCCAGAGACTTTTTGGGTAGATATGGGTAATACTATCATCTGAACCTTTCCTCGCTGAGCTGCTGTGTGTTGTTTCTTTATGGTGTATTTCTACCCTAAGAAGGGGTTAGACGGTTTGGCAGCCTTGCGGATCTGGGGCTGTACATATGATAAATTCAAGCGCCAATCCAAGAGTTGTTACATTTTCTCTTCCCTCTGGTTTTCAGTATAATTTGTCCGTGCGAGGGCAACGCCACGGAGGTCGCGCTGTGGATTGCATGATGGTGCTGACTTTCGTCGAACCTGCCGCATTGACCTCGAGGCGTTGTCTCCTCAGCCGTGCTTGACCTTGTTATAATCAGAGAGACTCAATTCATCGGGCAATCACCTGCTGAACACATTGGTACTCGTCTACTATCTAGTCTAGAGGGTGATCAGCGCACGCTTTGCATTCCCCGGGGCTGCTCGTGACTGCGCGCCAGCGCATATGGCAGCTAAGGGCGACTCTGGGGTGTCGTTTCCCATGTACTTCAAGCTATTTATCATGATTAAGACATCACTCGCGAGATATTGACTATTCCAATGCGAACTGTAGATGAAGGCGGTGTGTAACAGATATGGCAGGCTCACTTTGGCTCCGCAACCCTGACAGTTCAACTTGGCGAGATCAACAAAGTTCATTTTCAAAAATGCGCATCTAGCTCGCATTCTATTGAACCACCTTTGACTTTCCGCATCATCATGGAAAAAATTGATGCGCCGTGACATTTCCGCATTGGGGGTGTAATCATGGACGACGACCTTGCGGAGCGCCCAGCTAAACGGGTTCGTCAAGCCTGTGAGCCCTGCAGGTAAGCGGCAATCCGTACCTCTTGTTGGCATACTGTTGATTCGTATTCCAGGCGTAAGAAAGCCAAATGCCCTGGAGAGCAACCGGTATGCTCCTTGTGTGCTAGGTTGCGGCAGCAATGCCTGTACGCTGAAGAGCGACGCCGCCCTCTCCCGGAGGAAATCTCAAGACCAACCGACTCAGAAAGTCGGAGGTCTCTAGCTCTGGTAGGTCCTTCTTGGTCGGATCTGAGTTTGTGCACGCCTATTGATCATGATGTAGGAAGACAGATTGCGAAGTCTTGAAGGGAAACTAGGACAGGTTCTCACTGTTCTCGGGTAAGGTGTGCATGATGAATATCAGTTATCAATCTTACTTACTGTGGATATCTACAGCTCGAAGGGTGAATCCCAAGAACCAACAGAGCCTAATGTGCCATTGGTGACTTTGTCAATGCCGAGTTCATCCATCACGCTGCCACCATGGGAAGACATCATCCCTGTGGCAGAATTATATCTTCTTTACTGCGACTCTCAACCGCTTCCTCTCTTTCACCGAGACAGCTTCCTCGCAACTATTCAGACGCGAGAAGCTGAGCTCCTTTTTGCTATCTTGGCACTGGCCTCGCGGTTTTCATACTCACATAACAGTGGCAATGACCCAGCGGGTCTGGTGAATAGCTATGCGGAGATTGCTCGAGGGCTTGTCATGAAAAGGGTATCAGAGGGACCAGTGGAGCTTTCCACGCTCCAATGTCTCTGTCTGTTAAGCTTGGTGGATTTCACAAGTACATATCAGGCCCCGCGTCGAAGGGACAAGGCTAACAGTCCATAGATGGCCACACACATCGCTCTAGTGTCCACAGCAGCCTGGCGATGAACCTGGCACAATCTGCCAATCTTGGCCAAGAGCCTCGTTCACCCATGAGCACTTTGGTTCGCGAAGAACGACGGCGATGCTTTTGGAGCATTTGCCTCCTCAAGCGGCTACATGGTGGTGTTTTCTCCATCTTGGATATACCCGAAGTCGGAGGGCCGCCATTTCCTCAAAGTCCGGCCCGTCCAGCATGTTACCTTTCCCCTGCTCCATCAACGGCCGAAATGCGAAGAAGCGACATGGAAGACGAAGGAATAATTGCCTACGTGGTCACACTCAGTGAAGTGTTTGCGAGGTCAGCACGCTACGTCCGACTTCATGGCCGCCCAAGCAATGTCCCACCCTGGTCTCCTCATTCCGAGTACTCCAAAATTCTCGCTTTGCAAATGGACCTCGAGACTCGTATGCCATACATTCATCGATTCAAACCCGCAAACCTCGGCGAAAGATCCCTCGATGAATTACAGGCTCATCGTGAATACTGGGGCCCGTGGTTCTTGAACCAATTCATGTATCACACCAGTCTGTGTCTTCTCAACCACCCTCTCCTACTCTCACTAAGTCTTCGGAACTTCCGAAGTACCATCCCGGAGATCTTCCTACAGCACACTTCTGACTTGATCTCATCACACACAACCTGGATAATCCATTTCATCAACTACTTTGAAGAAAAATCGTTCCTGGTCTCGGATCCTTTACTGGGGTATGGTGCTGCAGTGGTAGCTACTATTGAGCTCCAGCTCAGCTTCACAGAGAATCCGACAATCAGAGAACAAAAGCGTGAGAGATTCACCAAATGCGTGCAGTTCGTACAGCAAATAGGAGAGAAATGGCCGCACATGGCCCAGCTGGTACAAACCCCATTCACTACATAAGGTCCGCATTTGAGCTAACTCTGAAGATAGGCACACAGGCTTCAGCGCCTTGAGGATGCCGTCTCCGCAACGTACCAATCAGATCCAGGCGCGCAGAATCAAAGTCTGCTTATTGATCTTTCACGGTTCTGGGAGATCTTGGAGTACTCATCCAATAGTGATATGCAATCTGCGCGGCGTTTGTTCGGAGAGTCCTTATATTCTGGATCTTCTGCCGGTGCAGAGGTCTCTCAGACATCTCCTCTACCGGCGCCCTTCCGGTTGTCTGCGCAAGAAGAAGGCACTCCGAATTTTCCTACACACGCTTTCAACAACAATACTGCTTTCCCGGGTCAGGATTATGGATCAAACTCTTTGGTTTCGCCTCAGCAGCTCAATTTGTCAAATGAGGAATTCTCCATCCTTGCGACGAATTTCTTCTCACAGGGACAGGAATTCCTTCGCAGTGGGGACAATTGGGATAGTGTTGGGAATTTTTGAGATGCTCAAGCTTTCTCCAGGCTCTATCTCTCTGTGTTCTAATACTTGGTAACCTAATGTGGGCTTAGTGGCACGAAGACTCTCATATATCATTCAAACATTTATTTCATTGTCATGCTCGCAGACATTTTGTACAGAGAATCTTGTCACACTATGAGGAGGCCAAAGCACCCTTAAACTCCTCGACGAAGCTGAACACTTCGGAGTAAGTGTTGTAGAGCGGTACCGGGGCCACACGAACAACGCCTGGTTCTCGCTTATCGCAAATGATACCGGCGTTCTGCAGGCGCTCGGCAACCTTGTGCAACAGTCCAGGTTTAAGCAGCACACTCAATTGAGCGCCACGTGCGTGAGGGTCAGAGGGCGTGATGATATCATATAGACGCGTCTTCTCATCAGTATTCTTCAGAAGCAAGAATTCAAGGTACGCAGTCAACTTGATTGACTTTTCACGCAGATCTTGAATGGAGGTTTGATCAAACACAGACAAAGCTGCACAAAGAGAGGTAAGATCCATCACCGAGGAGGTAGAAAGCTGGAATCCTCCAGCTCCAGGAATGGGCTTGAACTCTGCTCGAGGTTAGCTTGTGCACATCTCTATGTGTACCAATATCCACTCACTATTGTCCATTTTGAATCTCACTGAGCGATCTCCTCCATACCATCCAGCCAGACGGTGACGGAACTTGGGAGCATCAGGCCCAGCGCTATAATCAACCTGGCCGTGTCTTTCGTGCACGAACAATCCGCCCATAGAGCCGGGCCCGGCGTTTCCATACTTGTACGTGCACCAGACTGCAAAGTCGACGTTCCACTCGTGCAGCTTCAACTCGGCGTTTGCGAATGCATGCGCCAGGTCCCATCCAACAACCAGACCCCTGGATTGAGCATATTTGGTAATGGTGGGGATGTCGAATAGTTGTCCAGTATAGTACTGAATGCCCGGGAGAAGAATCAAGGCTGCATCATCGACATGTTGATCGATGATCGAGAGAATCTTCTCGGTTGAGATTTCATGCTCTCCCTCATCTGGTCCGATCAGCACCATGTTCTCCTTAGCGTCGAGATCATGCCAGGCAATGTGCGACTCGATAGCGTACTGTCGGGTGTTAGTCTGGTCAGAACTTCAGAACTAGGTTCAATCTAAGAAACTTACGTGATCACTGGGGAATGCCTTCCAGTCCATTAGGATCTTGCGCTTCGTCTCAGTGGGCTTATAAAAGCTAGCAAGCAACAAATGCAAATTCATCGTCAAAGTCCCCATAGCAGCAACCTCGTCGGGCTGCGCGCCGACGATCTTCGACATTGAAGTAGCGGCCTGTTCCGACAGGAGCTGCCATTGCGATAGAGGGGAATCCTCGAGATCGGTGAAGTGGCCAAAGACGCCGATCGAGGACCACGTATCCAGCTGAGCTTCCATATACTTCGACACGGCTTTGGGCTGAATTCCTAGTGAGTTGCCAGCGAAGTATATGCTGGACTCTGCGGAAAGACCTGGGGGCAAAGTCAGTATACATGAAGCCAACTACGGTATCGGCGTTGATCGAACCTGGCTTTGCCAATTTCTTGGTCGCGATGTTCGCCTTTGAAGGAATGATGAACTTGTCGCGGAACTCGCGCAGGGGATCTGCTGCATCTAGCGAGGCGGCATGTTCATGTGTTGCTGCCTCTGCAGGGAAAGTAGGCTTGGGTGTGTTTGTGTTGGTCATGATGTAGGGCTGTTGTGGTGGCAGAAATGATGCACACAATGTAGCCTAGGGAGATTATAATAGAGATGAAGTACTTTTCTCAGCTCGGGGCCGTACTATGCTTCTTTTATAAGAGAACGAGACCGAATGAGCGTCGAGGGAAGTGCAGCTCCAATGCAACCCGGAAGGATATCCGCTTCCGCCTCCCTTCCGTCTGTCGGAGTCCGTTGGCTCTTCCCGTCTCCCGCTATCTTCAGGACTGTGGGTAACTATGTGTAATGACTTCTAGGTCCCCTTTTGTGCTGATTCCTTGGTCTTACTCTTGGTCTTACGCTTGGCCATTTGCAAGGTTGCATTCAGTATCGTCAGTAATTGCGTATCGACAAGCAGCTGACGGAGTACTTCATATGCACGTCAGCCTCTAGGACGCTAGCCCTGGAGGCCTGACAATACACATATATGCAGATTGCTATGTATAGTAACCTAATGTTATAGCGCAATCAATCCGAAATGGTCAGTTCAATGCATTCCAATCACACCTGCAGATACGATCAATAGTGTCAGCGATCGCCCAATCAGGAAAGTGGCAATCAGAGGCGGAACCCGGATAGACTTCCGTATTACTTCCGGCTTGTATAGATCGACTTCCCCGTTATAAGTTATAAGGAGAAAACTTCAGTTCTGTCTGCTTCTCACCTCCAGCGCTTTCACCAAAGAACAAAGATGCTCCAATCTATCGACTCAACGATCAGGGATCTCTTCAAGCACTATGCTCAGCATGGCTTTCTTCCCGAATCGTTTCCGTTGACGAGGCTCTCAAACCCATACTACGAACCCTGGGAAACCTTAGCCAGCGAGCTCCCAACCCTCATCCAAACGCAACAGATCAGAACAAAGGTCGATCAACTTCCCATTTGCTCAACATCACATCTCAAATCCGAACCTGAATGGCGTCGAGCGTATGTGATCATGGGCTACCTCACCCACAGCTACATCTGGGGTGGCGACAAACCAAAAGACGTAAGTATCATTTCACAGTTCATGCACACCCTAGGAGTAAAATCAAAGTCTGACATATGTCTGCATCGCTCAGCGTCTTCCTCCCTCAATTGCAAAGCCATTCCTTGAGATCTCAGCCCACCTCGAACTACCCGCCTGCGCTACCTACGCCGGTCTCACGCTCTGGAATTTCAAACCCACCCACCCAGAAGCAGACATCACCGACCCTGACAACATCCAAGTGCAAACTTCCTTCACGGGTGCAAAGGATGAAGAATGGTTCATGGTGATTTCAGTGGCCGTCGAAGCCCAGGGCAGCAAACTGATATCGATTATGCGAGATGCCATGAGAGCCGTCGCTACCAACGACAGGGAGCTCCTCACGGCTCTTCTATACTCGTTCGCTGATGGATTGAATACTCTCGCTATCGTGCTCCGCAAAATGTATATCCACAACGATCCCGCATTCTTCTACCATCAGCTTCGGCCGTTACTCGCCGGCAGCAAGAACATGGGCCACGCTGGTTTGCCGAGGGGTGTGTATTATGATACCGGGGACGCGGTCGAGAAGCCGGAGAACTGGCTGCAGCTGAGTGGGGGTAGTAATGCCCAAAGCTCGCTGATACAGACGCTTGATATATTCCTTGGGATCACACATTCCGCCACGGATGGGAAGAAAGCGTCCGGGCCTGCTTTCATTCATGTAAGAGATAGGGACGTGCTTTTTTTTTTACGAGCGAATACTAACAGCCTCATAGGAAATGCGGAACTATATGCCTGGACCCCATCGACGCTTCTTGGAGGACCTCACTGCCGGGTCGACGGTGCGTTCCTTCATTTTGTCGTCTGGGGAATATTCTTCTGAGAGACATGCATACAACGCGGCTGTTAGTGAACTCAAGAACTTCCGTGACACACATATCCAGATGGTCACTCGGTATATTGTGATGACGTCTCGGAAGAGCGCTCCGGTGCAGGAATCAGAGAAGGTGAATTTGGCCACGGCCAGCTCCCAAGGGACTGAAGCCGGGCAGAGTCATACCCTTGCCGGCACCGGTGGTACAGATTTGATGCCGTTCTTGAAACAGACCAGGGATACGGTCAGGGATGCCAAGTGCTAGAGGCTTGGTGAAGCCCTCACATAATGATTATATGAACTCTTGTCGATATACATGTCTGATAGAAATGTTGATAATATTGTTACCTAATGTCACTTGTCACTGGTACAATCAAGTTTTCAAATTTCCATGGGCCAGCCCACCGGGTATCACATAATACAATTAAAAAGTGACGACAAAGGCTATGTCACGAAACCAACGGGTGATTGACGCTGATTGGGGTGGAGGGAATGTGCTTATGTGTGAAAGCTGGTTCCTCATGCATGCATGGAAAGTGGCTGTGTGGGTACCACCGAGTCAGATCCTTGGCAGTGTCATTTCGAGTTGGGTATGGGCCAGGGACGCAACAGGCTGCGTGCTGTGACCAAGTCACACACAACAAGAAGCGTCACTTAAAGCTAGAGAGAAAGTGGAACTTCCACAGGGGCGGATGTAGCTTTCACTTGCAAATCCGCCATTAGGGTTCGCAAAGCGGTAGTGGTCGTACTCGTACAGATTTAAATGATGTCGGTTCGTGGATGTCGTGGAGTCCACCCGATATCACCGGGCCGACTGACAAAGCTCATGTTTGGTCATTCTCGGCACTGGTCGCACGAGAGATTCAGCGTTTGGGGGTAGAGACCGAGTGATGGTGGAGGGGAGGTTGGTCAAGCGTCCTGGGCGTGCGATTGAATCGACTCTGAATCAGTCGGTCTGTCCTACGAAGAACGCGAGAGACGATCATCGCCGCTTCGTGTTGGCCGGTACACCCTCACTCTCCCGAAGCTCAGCCAACAACTTCTCTCTGTCAACCAGACGATCCTTTTCCTCTTTAATCATCTGTTCAACCGTCTGAGTGGCCTCGGCCATGCGATCGAGCTCCTTGTTCTCTGTCACCCGGCTGTAGGGATTCCCCGGGGTGTCACTGTTCGGAATGGCTGCCGTTCTACCCTGGCCAGCCTGCTTGGTGTTCTTTCCCTTACTCTTGCCCTGTGTACCAGCAGGGCCCCCAGTGAGCACCTCGTAGAACGGCTCAATGGGCTCATTGAAGATAATCTCCTCATAATTCTGACTGACAACAGTTTCCCGGCGCTCTTTCATACCCTCCGCATCCGGCCCGTACGGGTGAAGCTTCAGGCTGTGCCAGAGAGTTTGGGGTTTTTCGTTCGACTCGGGGACGAAGTAGAGCTTGAGTTGGATTTCGAATTCACCCCAGCCTGTTTCGGACACCTCGAACGGCGGCTGCTCGATGGTGCGCACATTTTGGGCGTAAGTTTCGTGCAGCTTGAACTGGACTTTCTTTAGCCAGTAAGAGATGTCTTCGCCGTTGATTCCTCGAACGAAGATTTGCCATCTGTGGGTGTGGTCCGGGGGGCAGTCTGCAGGTTTGTTCTCGGGGTCAAAAGGGTGTGCGACACTTCCAAATACTGTGTTTATTAGCTTGTGGCCAGAGACGACGCGATACGCTTTGAACATACTGAATGGACGGAAGACTGAGACGCCCTGGACCTTGCATTAGCTTATTTTTCGCACTGCGCATTGGATTACTTACTCTGACGCGCTTGTTTCCTGTAGCAGATGGCATTTTGTGGAAGTCTGATCGTTGACTGGGGAATGATGCTCAGTGATCGGAAGCAAGGGCAGTAAAGTCGCGACGGAGGAAGGATAATCCGGACATGGCCCGATACAAGACGCAGGATGCCGAATGACGCTAACACCGTTCTCGAAACAAGAATCTACTTCAATCTTTCTTTTTCAACTTGCTTTTTATTCAGAAGTCGAAATTGATTCTCCTACATCAATTGAATCTTTTACAGCTTCACGCACAAGCACAATTTGGCACAATTTGTTTTCACTGACATCATCGAAGCTATCAGCTAGCTAGGCCATGGCCGCCAAAAGATTAGTTGTCGCCGGAGGAAGCGGCTTTTTGGGTTTGTGAAGTCATATGATACTACGTGTGAATATTTCTTTCTAACAACCCATACCAGGCTCAAGGATTTGTAAATCCGCAGCGGCCAGGGGATGGACAGTCACCTCATTAAGGTAGCTTCCCCTTGTGGATATCCATGGATTTGAGTACTAATACCCCTCTAGTCGATCTGGTGAGCCTCGGTGGGAATCTGTCTCTGATTCTAAAGAGAGACCCAGCTGGGCAGGCTCCGTTGAGTGGGCGAAAGCCGATATCCTGAAGCCCGAGAGCTACAAGTCCTATCTGAACGGCGCTTCAGCTGTGGTGCACACGATGGGCATCCTACTGGAAGCCGACTACAAGGGCGTTGTACAAGGGAAAGAACCCATCCTTAGTGGCCTTCAGCGTGCTTTCAGTACTTCCAAGCTTGGAAGTCAGAATCCTTTGGCGCGGCAAGAAGGCGAGGCGTTGGAGCCCAAAGAGAGCGACGGCCAATTAACCTACGAGTTGATGAACCGAGATTCCGGTGTGTACAATTGAGTGATGTCTTGGAATGCCCAGAGAGCTAATATGCCATTATGACAGCTATTGCGCTAGCTCAGGAATCCACTAATGAACATGTTCCGGCTTTTGTTTACATCTCTGCTGCTGCAGGAGCACCGCTTCTGCCAGCCAGATACATCAGCACCAAAAGAGACGCGGAAGCGGCCATCTCATCCAATCTCCCAAACCTACGCAGCATCTTCATTCGTCCGGGTTTCATGTATGACTCCAGTCGAAAATTCACGCTCCCGATCGCAATGGGTGGGTTTGTTGCATCTGAGTTCAACACTTTCCTTGGAAACAAGCTTGGCTTCCTCGGGGCTATGGCGGAAAAGCCTCTCAAGGTCGATGTCGTGAGTGAGGCAGTGGTGGAGGCGCTAGAGGATGAGTCCACCAAGGGTGCCGTCGGCACAAAGCAGATCGAGGCACTTGCGACAAAGGCTTGGCGAAAGACGATGCTCTAGGTCTGTAGGCGGTACAGCCTCCTTGTATGTAAGATATTTTGCGAGGATTCGGGAAAACGGTTGGAATCTCTGCTAGTGAAATGACATCCGGTGCCTTGGAGCACAGCCCATAATTCCCACCCACGTAAAAAGTCGCAGTCGATTGCACATTCGCATTAAATCATGGTTCCACGTTCGAAGCTGTCACGGATCTCCGTTGTGTACTGTAAAGAAGTTAGTGGCAATGATACTTGAGAGTTGAAGAGGTAAACTCACCTTGTTGTAGAAGCGAGCCAGCTTCTGGTTGAACTGCTTGTTCTTCTCGTTGATGTATGTCACATCCGAGTCATCGTCACCGCGGCGCTCCTTGCGCTTCTTGAGGCGGACCTCTTCGGCCTTGTGAATATCGCCAACCAGTCTGTCGACTGCAGCACGGTCTGGTTTGCTCTGTGTGAAGCCGGTGGAGTCTGCAGTAGAGTAGAAGCTCCCATTCTTATCGACTGCGATCATCTCGCCATCCTCCGTCTCCACGATTTCAAGATCACCGTTGGCTGCGGCTCTTTCAATAGCAGCCATTTTCTCTTTTTCATACGCTTCAATGTTCGGGGGAGATCGCGGAGCTGTCTTTTGTACACCTTCCGCGCATCCTGGGAATAATCCTGGAACGCGACATCCTTTCGGTGGCGTGACTTCTTGTCCATGCGCTTGTCCCACTTCTCAGATTCATCAACGGTCCAGTCCCACGCACGCTTGCGTTCAAAGTCCTCGCCAGCCGCTTCGGTGTCGGCCTTGAGCAGATTGTGGGAAGCAAATGCATGCTTACGGGACAGGTTGTTCATGACAGCAGGATCTGTAGTCAGGCGCTGAGACTCGGCTGCCGTCTCTTTAAGGTTGCGCTCGGTTGCAGATTTCTGAAGATTGTCAGTCGTGCAAGCAAAGTGATTTGGCCGGTCGGGCCAATTTCATTCACGGGTCACTTACCGCTCGAGCTTGCAAGGCTTTGAACCTAGCCATTCGATCTGTCGCTTTTGGTGCAGCATCTTCTTTCTTCTCCTCTGAAGGAGTATCGGCCTTCGGCTCGGCGCTTTCATCGGGTGATTCGCGAGTAGTCTCGGTCGCGGTCGTTTGCTCAATAACCTGCTCTTCCTTGCCCTCCTCTTGCGCAGCCTTGTCTGCGTTTCGTGTGCGTACCATGGCTGTCGTGTATGTTGAAGTGAGGAATTAATTCAAATGATACTTGGTGAGTCAGTGGCGGCTGCGATGTCAGCCTTAAAAGAAGTCGGACTTGAAGGATGAGGTAAAAGCATGAAGGCAGCTCGTCACTCCGCCTTCAACGCCGCTTTAGTTCTGCCAGTCTTACCGACCCCGGAATTTGTGGTTCCCCTTATCGCCGTGTTTATCTTCTCCACATCTTGCGATCAGCAATTGCTACTCTCATACGGAGTACTCCGTACATTCCCTCAGAGATGGGAGGTCCGCACAGTCAATTGTTGCTATGGGCGGCTAGATATCCGCATTTACGCCCCAACTCACAGCGACTGTTGCGAGGTCTCTATACTTCTGCTCAATCTTCGAAGCAGCCACACGACCCATCGCCATCAGAGCTGCTACGATTCATTTTAAATGATTCAACGAATTCTATTGAAAGTTTGGACTCCGGTGTGGCTTCGCCCTCATACTTGCACGAGCTTTTCTCTACGCAATGGAAGTCCAATTCCCCACCGGCCCCATTGTGGACTTCTCTTAAAGGACTCGCCCCGCACAACGAAGAGCTACTGCGGGGCCTCAGGACACATGTCTCCAATCTATCTTCATTACGGAATCTCATTGAAAGATATGCCAATAATGAGAATGGTGCTGCACTATTGCAAACTAAAGAAGGCACGTTGCTACGACTTGCTCTACAGCGCTGTCAACGGCAAAACACCTTGCCGGAGATTCTATCGGTGGTTAGCGACCTTGCTGCGAGGCTCGATCGCCTTCAGCTCGGTGTTCATTCTAGCACCTATACCACTGGATTATTATTGGCAATGCTCAACCTGTCCACCCCTGCTCTAAGGCAATTCTTGGCAGCTCATCGTCTAAAAGAGATGCCGGCGTTAGGTCTCAGAGAGAGCATGCGGGTCATCGAAAGCTGCTCTGAAGCGCTTGATCGCAAGAGCTTCGAGAATCCAGCTTATGATCGAAGTCTCATGCTTGCGGAAATCACTGGGGAGGGAGACTTCATCGCTCGCGATCGTCCTAGATTACATGATATCTTGTACTGGACGCAACCTCGGGACCAGGAGGACGCACGATACACCTCCCAGCTTAGTGCTCAAGAATACATTTGCCTTCTTGCCAAGCTTGGGAGTGTAGAAGTACTTCGCACATGCTGGGGCAACTTCTTGAAAAACATTCAACCCAAGAATCATCATAGCTGCTTCGCTGCATATCAGATTGTGATGACTTTGATCCAAGCTGCTAATGCCAGGGTCGCAGTCAAGTATTTGGAGGACATCTCCCAACATTGCGGCGACAACCTGCCCTTCATCTCAAAGTTTTCGGGCCTCCAAATGTTGATTGACGACCCCGTTGTAGGCGAAGCGCTTCCTGATTTAGTGCGGGGAGGAGATTACATCGAACTACTCGACGCTCAGCTTGAAAACATGGACCAACAAATGGGAATCCAGTGGAGTTTCGAGCGCCAAGAACATTCTAGTGCAGCCCTAGAACCCCCCGAGACAATATGGGAAGCTTTTGGCGACCAACTTGCGCCCAACCTCGGTGCCGGATATACCAAAGCGAGCCATGAAAGCCAATTGTATGCGGGACTTCGCGCGCACGGCTGCTCCAAATCGCCAGCCACATTGAACAAGATTGTCGATCTACTGCACGACCACAATGGGCAACCAATAGAGATAAACACCTACCTTGATTACAGCAAAGAGCGACTGCGGGAATTCCGCTCGAAGTTCGGATCCGTTGAGTTTCGGTGGAACCCGGAGCACTCACCGATAGAATTCTCTCGCTCTCGGATTCCCACTCTGCATAATCTCGCTCAGCCTAGCACTCCACTGACCCTTGGGCTCATCCGGGCCCGTCTGATAGTTGGCGGAGTCCCTCAGTCGGGAGTTGACTCCCTGAGTCTCATGCAAGTTGGCTGCATAGATGTGCGGTACGGAGTTAACGAGTCATGGCAGTCATCCAGCTACATTATGGTGTGGGACCGACATTTCGGTGAGCTGCTCGGGCTTCACGTCGGACGAACCACGGGGATTATCGACGACGGGCCAGTATCAGTTGGCCCCTTTGGTGCTTTGATGCATATCAGGCTCTCGTCAAATTCTGATCCATGGGAATTGCCTCCTAGTGAGACTGCAAATCCTCGCAATTGCTGGGGACCTTACCACCTGGACCTCGATCCCAGTCTCGATCTGGCCCTCGATCTTCCCGGTAGAGTGGGCGTGATATAAAGATATGTAGTTTGTAAGGCCTAGTATGCATTAGGCTATGATTCCTGAGTCATGTTTTTCCCCCTTCTTTTCAAAAGCGAGCAGGGTAGGTGATGTATAACAACTCCACCTATCCAGCTGCCGCGTGTAGGGCAGCATAGGCAAAAGGCAAAGGAGCCGGACACAAGATACAAGTCAAATGAAAGGGAAACGAAAACGAAAAGAGGGAAGAAAAGGAAAAAATCGAATCTGACAAGCCCGATCGACATGAGTACGGAGTAGAGACAGGAGACATGTACGGGGTACGAGATCCATAAGGAGGGCTTTAAACACTCGTACAATTCAAGCATCACAGTGCTGATTGATATGTCCAGGAAATAACACCCGGACGTTACTTTCTCGGTACGAAGTAAGCAAGAGACTAGGAAGTTGCCTGGGAGGCAACCCTGCAAGATTTCCAAAATTTCGCCCAACGGGGATATTCCCTGCCAAACGACAACGTTCGCCGATCGTCTCGACACGTCCCAATCCAGTTATTGCTTCACCCACACGCACTTTGGAAACACTTCCACACCTGCCAAGACTACCAAATGCTTCTCTAAGCGTTGTGCCTCGTGTCATGAACGCTTTTATATGCACTTGACTACTTTCAGCGCCCCATTGATCGAATATCTCTTCCTCTTCTGCTTCACTGTGCTACCAGAGAGGCACATGGGGACCGATCATCGCCTGCAGTGGCATGCAGAGGGCAATGGTTCTGCAAGGCTCGACAAAAAGCCAGCGCAGCCACACCAGCTGCATGCCGCAAAGTCTGATGCTGTGGGGCTGCTGGAGTGTTTCTGGAGTCGGCAATTTCAATAAGGTCCGGCATTTCCATTTTGCAGTCTTTGGAGGCGTCACGATTGGTGTAGATCGCTCAGCACGCCTGGTCACGAAGTCAACAAATTGATTAACCGCATCTGCCGATCGGATAGATCCCGGCGTCTTAAATTTCAGTCCTCTGCAGCGGAATACGGAGTGCGCTGCTCGTTTCTCGCTCAAGGCACACACACACACTACGGAGTACTCCGTACTGTGTCCCTTGTCTGTACTCCGTACTCTTCACTTTGCGCTCTCCACCCCGTTCTCTCCACGGACTTTGCCGGAGCCCGACTCGCTAGTCGTGGTTGTTAGTGACAATAAATTGTGGAGGCGGGTGCATGGACCCATACAGACTCGTTTATCTACACCCATCGTTCGTTCGCCAAAAGCCACTCACAGCTGCCTTGCTGATCGGAGAGTCCCTTCGTTCGTTGAAAGTGTCAAAACCCACTTTGACCCACGAGAGATGGCCAGAGCGCACTCTTGAAACGCTAATTGACTTTCAATTCCTGGAAAGCTTTCAGTGTGTGCAATTCTCGATACCCCGTAGCACGGAGTACGGAGTATTGGAAAGCATGTCCTTGCTTTCTCCTCGGAGGGTTGACCTGTTGATGAGTCCAATGCCACTGACGCAAGTTAGGCAGCTTTTCCAGATCCCCCCGATGTGGGGACGGATCTCGCCTGCCAAGCAACGGCTGTACGCCAATCATCGCGGCTCCAAGTTCGACTATCTACCCAGATGGGTAGCCCACAGCCTGTTCTTGTCGGTCAACATTGAAAGGTGTTCCTGGCTCTGTGTCAGGCCAGCGATTCTTCTCTACTCTAATAAGCGGAGATCTAGGTTTGTTCCCCTTGTATCCCGTCTTGAACACGAAATACGGAGTACCAGGACCAGTATTGGAGAGGGTAGGACAAATCCCCTCGGTTTTGGTCCGCAAAAAGGAAACACGAAACTTTCTTACTAGGCTGTTCCGACACCAGAGAAAGGGGGGGTAGCAGGGTCTCAAGTCAGCTATTTGGCAGGAAATGCATCCCGCACATCCACAATTCTGACCGTCTTTCGGGCGCCAGTTTTTGTCAGGAACATGACCATTCAGCTACGCACTATGCCCCTTCAAACACAGCCGAAATGTCCAGCTTGGAAATCCACGAAAATCTACGAAAATCCACCAAATCCACAAATCCACAAGCGCTCTGGCAAATGCCCGCTCGGCCCGTCCCCCCGGGTCTTCCCTTTTGACCATTCTCTGGTGGGTACAATGTGCCAGCTAATCTGGAAAAAGGGAAATTAAAGGAAAAGGAAGCGAAAAATTGCAAAAATGCAAAAATAAAGTGCTTGATAAACCCCGTCCCCAACCTTCCCTGTCACATTCATACTCATTGGACCAGGTAGCCCTGAAGGTTGGGGCAAATCTTACGAAAAAAAAAAATAATTAGTTGAACATCCCCCAAGTATAGACAAGTCCCTCTGACTGCTGAATCTTTTCACATGCGATTTATCTGCCATTGCAGACAGATCCAGGAAATGCATCTATGGCGGATTTTGCTATTCAATATCTTTTGAGCATCTACACCTGCCAGATCCATCCAATTTCAATGCCTTCACTCCGTCGTCGTCCAAATAAGGCAAAACATAAACTATAACACCAGGACCGCTTGACGGCTCGTGCGCCTGAATAGATGTCGCCGCCACAACGTGGGCATCCCACGGAGCGGCCGTACATCGATCTCGTTCGACACAATGCTCCAATCCCGCCCTATCTATACCATGAGCCTCTGCCTCAAAATGCGGACTACGAACGCCCTGCAATCACACCATTCGCCCCTCGACTTCCTGCATTGGGCTATCCCGAACGAAGCGCAGACCCTCGATATATGCCCCCGGTAGACAATGTTTACATGTCTCGACAACCGCTCCCACAAGTGCTTCCACTTCGAACGCACCAACCCATCTTCGATCCTCGCTACCATGCAGCCCAGGGACCGGCTTCCAGTGTAGGCGCAGCCCAAGCTCCAGAGCATAGCCAGCGGAGCCGAACGTACGACATGGACTCCCAGTAAAGTACCTCTTTCCGTTTCTGTTGAGCCGCCTCTTGTCAGTCCATCCAGATATGTCGTGAGATGCCAATCTGGCCACCGTCTCTGCCATGTCACATCTGTGACAGGTTGCACAGAGCGGGACCATACATTCGTGCAAGGACAGAACAAAAAGAAAAGAAAAGAAAAAAAGAACCACACAGTCTAACACCAAATCTATCCAGGTACAGCAGCAGTTCCACAGCAATGCCGAGTCCCGTCTGGTCAGATAAAAGCGCAGGTCTACACTCTCTGAACCACATACCACCCATACCCCAAGACCCGAAGCCTCAGACGCAGATGCAGACGCGAAATCCTTCCTACAGAATGCCTCACGGCTTCGATAAGCTCCTCCACCACTCCCCAGAGCCAGAACTTCCCCCGTCCCACAGACCCTCCACACAATCCAGGTACCATCTCCACGTCCGACAGCAGCCCATTGCTGCACGTGCATGCGGCGCCGGTGATCGAGATCGTCGCCCAGTCGACCCACCGCCAATCGTCCAGATCCTCCTAACAGACTTCGACCCTAATTCTCAAGAAGATCGGGATCTCCTTCAAGACCCCCGCTTCACAGTAGGCTGTCTTCTCTTCCCAGTCTCGTCATCTTCGCCATGGCCCAACCCAGATGCCAATCCGCCCCGGGAGAGAGAGAGGGAGAGGGAGAGGGATCGCGACAGGGACCGCGATGATACAGACGGCGTCGCCCGCACAGATGATGATCTTTCAACCCCCTGCTCTCCGGAAAGGCATTCATGTCCCCTTTCTACGTGGAAGCAGACCCGGACCCGAACTCTGCTCCTGTCCATCCATCTGCCAATGACCGTCTCGCTAGCCCGAACGTGTTCAATGCTGCTTCGCGGCTGCACCAGCCGGCTACATTTTTCATCTTTGCTGATCTCTCTATTCGCTCTGCGGGTCTCTATCGTCTCCAATTTCGATTGATGAATTGGGGCTCTGTTGAAGATACGGGGCAGTCAATGCCGATTCTTGCGGAGGCTTGGTCAGATCCTTTCCGTGTGTATCCTGCGAAGGATTTCCCGGGAATGCAGAATTCGTCGATTTTGGCGGAGGGGTTGAAGGAGCTAGGGTTTGTGGAGTTGAAGACAAGGGGGCATGGGAAGGGGAAAGGGAAGAAGAGGAAATAGTTTCGGTTTCTTGTTCCTGGCTTGCATTGCATTTCTTGATCTCGAGGAGTTTGGGTTGGTTGGTCACACATATGTCGATGGTTTGGGAGTTTGCATTTTGTGTCACTCAGGATTCCTTGTTGTCACGAAACCAAAAAGATGTGATGAAATATATGATATGACAGGGGATATATAAACAGATCCTCGGGGTTATGATACAGGGAATGTGGTGCGGATAATATACAATTCAGCCGACAGGCATGAACTTGAGCGGATATTCCGGTTCATAGTCCGGGTCATCCCAATTCTGATCCAACTGTCTGATGGCCTTTTCGGGCAACTCGGTCAGGTAATCATCTCGGGAAACTCGTTCAAACATAGACCGGGACTCCGTGATGTGGCCTTCTTCACGCTCCATCATGGCCAGAATGAGGGCCGCAGTGGGTTTCTCAATCTGGGCGATCATGTACCACTCCTTGGCCAAGTTTCTGTAAGCCGTGCGATCCAAGGGGTTGTAAACAATTGAATCGATCCATAATCTCAATGGCTCGAGTGTTTTCATCCAGCCAGTAGGTTCGCCCCTGATAACCTCCGCTCTCTCCTGTCGGGTGAGATATTCTCCCTTGGACATTCGGAGATAGTAATTAGCCAGGTAGAAGCATGCTGGCTTGTAGCCGGATGTCGCGGCCATGCTCATGAGCTCTTCGTATCTGTCCCAGTCTTTTCCCTCCAGATGCGAGATGGCCAGCTCCGTCAACGCGATGGGCTCGGAGAACTCCAAAGCGGCGCGCTCCATCACTTCAGAAACCTCGTCTATCCCTTTCGTTGCCGAGATCGCAAGTCCATATAACCGCAACGGCGAATCTATACCGCCACCCAATGTTATGTCGCAGAACGGATTTTGAGACTGCCTAGGGGAGGCTCTGATATAGGGCAAGATCTTCTCCTCCAAAAGCTCGGCAGCCTGGGCACCCTCGCCGCGCCAGGTGAGAATTTTCGCATAGAGCATGATAGCCTGAGGGTACTCGTCTTTCAGAGCGAAGTCCTTCACCAGAGCGATCCACTCGGTGTTGCGGTGGATATCAACGGAATCGATTTCAATGTATTTGTTGACCAATTCCACGAGGGCACGGCGGGACTTTCCTCTCGCGCAGGCACTCTTTGCCCATTCTCTCAGAGCCGGGCCCGACGGAAGGGGCACTAGAGAAGTTGCAATTCGGAATATCGCATCAACATCTAGCATAATTAGTCTCAGTGAAGACATTTGTAGCGCTGAAACCCCCAGCACGTACCTGTTGAGACTGTCTTAATGTTAAATGCGCCAGCGTATTCAGTATACGCCAGCGTGATCAACTGCTCACTGACATTCTTATAGGTGTTGAAAGTCACGCTTGGTGGAATCAGTCCGTGATTCGAGGACGCTTGGTAGAGGATAGGCGCAATCGCGGCGAAGTCTTCGAGCATAGGGTTCGGGTCTCTTCCGATCCTCGCCCACCAGAATCCGTCTCGGTCTAACCGTTGTCCCCCTTTGGTTGTATGCGGTAAACTGAGGTGGGCGGGAGTACTGCTTGCATTGGCCCGACGGACACTTGGTGACTGGCGAGGCCGCGCTGATTGGGTGGGGGTGGTGTGGAAAGGCCGTAAAGATGCGCCGCGACGACACGAAGTGGAGGGATTCGCCCTTGCGATGTATGCGGGGTGAGGAGACGAGAGAGCTTGTTTTATTTGGCGCCATGAAGGGCGCAAGTGTGATGGGTTAGCCATTGGAGGCGACCTCGGGTGGGAGGGTTGGCTGCGGAGGTTGCAATGGAGAGGTTCCCTTTTTTTTGTGTTTGTAGAAGTTGGAGATCGGGCAGCTCCAAGTCCGCCTGCGATGTCAATCAACATTTGACATTTCCCGGGGCCAACAATGCTTGAGTCTCGCAATATTCTTTCTTTTACTGGTTACTCCGTACTGATTACTTAATTACTTGAACATAACATATGCTAAATGCATCAATTAACCAAACGAGCCCTCTTATACCAGACGGTCCCAGAACACAATGCGTATAATGTACATTTTGCCTTGATCAGCCAGGCCAACACAATGCTCAAGATCTTTCAAGACAGAAACAATCAAACTCGATCTATCCCCCCGATTCCTATAATAAACAGTTTTTACTCCATGGTCGCCTTGGCACCGAGCGCCTTGAGCGTCTCGATGATCTTCTCGGCCTCCTCCTTAGGAACGGACTCCTTCAGGACCTTGGGCGCGGCCTCAACGAACTTCTTGCTGTCAACCAGTGACAGGCCGAGCATGGTCTTGATTTCCTTGATGACCTTGGGCTTGGAGGCAGCCTCGAAGGACTCGAGCTTCAGGTTGAACAGGGTCTTCTCGGCAGCAGCGGGAGCGGCCTCCTCTTCCTCAGCAGGAGCAGCGGCAGCACCACCGGGGCCAGCGGCCATGGCGAAACCGCCAACGGGGAGATCGGGGATGTTCAGGCGGGTCTGTGAAAGTGTCCAGTTAGCGATGGTTCGACAGTTATAAAGAGATCCCAATTGATGCTACACATTGTCAAATGCTAAGATACGCATATCACATATCCAAGAGTTGAAAATGCCACTCAATTGATAGATTGGTGAACCCACCTTCAAGCTGGAGACCAGGTCGGCAGTCTCAAGCAGGGTCAATGTGCTGATCTGGTCGACAATCTGGGAGATCTTGGGGTTTGTAGGGGCAGCAGCGGCAGCCTCGGTGGATTCCCATCGTTGGGTGCTGGGTGTGCGACGGGCTGTGAGGTATGAAGCGGAGCTCGCGATGCGCAGGGAGGATGGGCGGACGGAGCCGGAGAGCTGTCTGGCGCAGCGGGCTGCGACTTGGGTAGAGAAGGACATGGCGGAGATGGTATTAAGTGAAAGGGATCGAGAAAGGGCGGCTTGGAACAAAAGTGGTGGGATACGGAATCGCGCTCGTTGATATCGAGGCCGAAAGGAAACATTCGAGGAAAATCTGGGAGTATCACGTGATGCTTTTCTGCCTCAGGATCTTATGTTTATCGGCAAGGCAGATATGGGATAGCCTCGACTCGCAATGCGGACTTTTCTAGGTAAGACTTCTAGCTATGGCGTCTAACTAGTTCTTGTGTATGAAGACTAGCTACTTTTCAAGTTTTTTGTTCTCTATCAAGACATGTAAGTATTCCTTTGATTAAGAGGTGAGGGTGTACTAGAAGAGAAAGGTAGTCCAATTTACAATGGTTCTTAAGCGTATCATCGTACGAAGATCTATCAGGTCTCAAATATCAAACAGCGTCCAGACCCTTATTTCTCCTTTTTTGTTTTATTTAGTCCTGGTCCCAGTCACCTCCACCCTGCGGAGGCTTGGGGCCTCCCGCCTGTCGAGAGACAATGATCTGGTCAACGCTCAGCACTGTTCTGGCAGACTCACTGGCCAGACGAATCGCAGACATCTTGGAAGCCATCAGATCCAGAATGCCCTCCTCGACGGTATCAAGGGTACCGTCTGACTCGCCAATCTCAAGATCAACACCTGTGGTCCAGTAAGGGTCTTCCTCTTCGGATGAGCTACCCTCCTCTTCTTCGGATGACTCGGCACCGGCGGTGCGGTGGTGTGCGGTATACAGACGAGAGAGAACCTCGGTGGCATCGAGACCGGCAGACTCGGCGAGTGTGCGGGGGACGACCTCGAAGGCCTCGGCGTACTTGCGGATGGCGTGCTGGGGAAGACCGGGGGTTCGGTCGGCGAAGTTGGTCAGGCGCTCCACGAGCTGGATCTCGGTGGCTCCGGCACCGGGGACAAGACGGGGGTCCTTGGTGATAGCCTTGACGACGTTCACGCCGTCGTCGATAGCGCGCTCAACATCCTCGAGGTGGTTCTGGGTAGCGCCACGCAGGACAATGGTGGCTGTGCGGGTGACGGCGTTGGCATCCTCCTGGCGGAAGACGGTGACACGGTCACCGCCAATCTCGGAGGTCTCAACGACATCGATCTGACCCATCTCATCGGGCATGGGGGCACCCAGACGGGCCAGGGGTGTGGCGCCGACAACGCGGCAGAGACGGCGGAGCTCGAACTTGGACAGAACCTTGACGACCAGGATGTTGAAACGGTTCAAGTAGTGCATGGCCAGGTCGCCGACGGTGGAGCCAGCAACGAGGACGCGAAGGCCGGAGTCGTAGAGCTCCTTGATGGCAGTCTCCAGACGGTCCTCCTCGCCCTTGGTGAAGTCCACCATTTCTTGGGCGTTCTTCAGGAGAACTGTACCCTTGGTCTCGGTCTGACTGATATCAATGGGGCAGCTGAACACTCCGACCTTGGCCTTGCTGGCCTTCTTGATAACTCCATCCGGCTCACGACCGAAAACCATACCCTTCACAACCTTGGACTGCTCCAAGCTACCACCCATGATCTTAACGACTCGGACGTTGTCGACGTTGAAGTTGATGGGGTTCTTGGGAAGGACGGCCAGAACTGCCTCTGCAACCAGAGCAGCCAGAGTGTCCTCGGTGCCAGACTGCTTGGAGGCCACCACTGTGCGGAGAGCCTTGCTCAATTCTGTTGCCGATCGCATATCCTGGAGTCTGTCGACCTCGAGCTCTACACGAGACATTAGTAATTGCCTCCATTTGTCCCCAATTCACCCTCCCACCAGATGAAACATACCCTCTAGAACAGACATAGCAAAGTTCTGAGCCTTCTCGTATCCGGACACAATATCACTCGTCTTCAGACCCATGCGGATCAACTCCTCTGCCTTCTTCAACAGCTCACCAGCCAACACGATCACCAGGTTGGTACCATCACCCATCTCGGCATCCTGCTGTTGACTGGCCATCACGAGCAGCTTAGCAGCGGGGTGAACAACATCGAGCTCACGGAGGATAGTGGCGGCGTCGGAGGTCAGGATCATCTTCTGCAGGTGGTTGATGACGATCTTGTTGCGGCCGTAAGGGCCCAGGGAGGTCAGGACGGTGCCCGAGATAGCCTGGCAGGCTTCGATATTACGGATGACGGCTCCATCCTCGGCATCGTGGCTGGACAGTTCAAAAATAGTCAATCGAATTGCACGTTTTCCAGATAAGGAGGTCCCTTATTGCGGCGGGATTTCTAGACGGTTCGACTCACCTCTGGTAGCCGGGCTTGAAAAGTCCCGCTTGGGAGGGACCTGGAATTGAAAGCGACATGATCTGTTGTCGCGTCCGAGGAAAATGCGACTGGGTATCAAAGTTGATGTAGGGAGTGGATGGAGCTGTTGTGCCGGGCAATTTTTGGAGCTGCGGTGGTGGGTTTGCTCCGTTTGCACGAGGGGTGCTTGGCGGTCAAGTATAGATCGGCTGGGAGTGTTTCTTTGCCATCTTCATTCTTTGACCAGCACTGGAATGTGAGATTCTATTCTTCACAATTGTTAGAATTGATGATCCTGGCCATGGTCATTCAATACATCTCCCATGATTTCTCACACTACTTTGTTCAATCGCCACCATCTATCTCAACCAATTAAGCCAAAAAAAAACCTCGAACAATCCCAGTGATATTCTCTACAGCACTCTTATATTTAAGTGGCCAGTCAGTAAACCCACTTCTTGCTTTACTCAATGATATGGTTTTCGGCAGTTGCAACAGCAGAATTGCCTCTTCGCTAGTGCAATACGTTGACTCCTGAAGCGGCCACTCACCAACCAGAGCCGTTCATATCAACAGCGGCAAGTACCAGGTAGACAATGCAGAGAACCCCCAAGCTGTAGAAAGAGAACAGAACTTACAGCCTACATGCGTGATTTGTCAAGACTGAAAGGAAATTCATGATCCATTATCCATTATCCATTATCCATTATTCATACATTCATGAGTGGGCATTAATATGCAGCAACTTCAGTAGATAGCTAGTATTAACCATCTCTTCCTCGAGGTGCTGGATTCATCAGTTCACAAACCAGGTACTGGAACCGTTAGTATCATGACACGGGCAATTGAATCGAATGAGGGATCTTACTGCTTGCACGAACTGTCTTGTAGTCGTTTTCTTCGTAATTCGTCATTGTCGGCCTTTTCAAGCCTAGTGTGGATAGCTAGTATAGACTATCCCTTTCACGAGGTCCTGAACAAAGCCTTTCGGAAACGGGGCACTAGAAGCGTCAGGATTGTAATACGGGCGAACCGACGAGCAATCTTACTGTTTTCACGAACTGCCTTGCAGTCGTTCTCCTCGTAAATCTCGTTGGCCTTTTCGAGCCTGTTGCAAGTGATTAGCACAGAGCAAGCTGAGGAACTAGGTCTGAGTCCAGCACATACCATCCCCGAATTCGTTCCATTCGGTTGTATCTCTGTTATAGTTTAGCAAATGTCCGTCCAGGTAGCAAGTGTGCTTACCGATGGGTGGCATGACATGAACTCCAGGGGGTCGTGATCCTCTTGTTCGTGCATACGAGTCCATCTGCCTCAATCAGCTTCTGTACTTCTGTGTACGTATTGTCCATGACCAGAACTCACACTCCAACCGCCGCCTCAGGCTTGTAGCATGCCTTAGCCATCAGCACTGGAAAGGTTAGCACAATTCGGTAACCGGTTACAAGGATCCTTACTGAGTCCGATGTAGTCCGCTTCAGCCTAGAGGTAAACATCAGCCAAGAATTCAACCAAGAAAACTAGGCACTCTTACCTCTTGGGTTCGCGAGTTGGGCAAGGTGTACAGCATCGTCATCAGGAGCGAAGAAACATGCCCGGCAATATCAAAAAGAAGAGAACTGGCAATCCCAGCGCTCAGCTTGATAAGTTTGTTGCTCATACTCTCGGCGGGGTGATGAGCGACAACGTGCGCAATCTCATGTCCCAGAACAGCGGCCAGTCCATCCTCGTCCTTGCAAAGTGACAGGATTCCCGTGTAAACGAAGACCTTTCCACTGCGCCAGGTTAGCGTGCGCAATCACAAGATCTCAAACCCACGTACCCGGGAAGCACAAAGGCATTGGCGCTGTCATCGTCCTTGATCACGTAGACTTGCCATCCCTTCTTGTCCATATTGGTTCCAGGAAGCAAACGTCTCATCACACTATCAACCATCTTCGTGAGTTGGTTGTTACGCGAGAGAATCTTGCCGCGCTCGGTGTACAGGATCTCACGACAACTCTCTGCGCCGATTTCTAGCTCTAGTGCTTTAGAGATAACATTGAAACGTCGACGACCGGTCATTTCTACTTTTTCGGTGCTGAGAAGGTAGAGAAGGTAGAAGCCTGTGGCACCTATGCCCACCACAACAATGTGACGGGGTTTGGTCGTATGTACCATTCGCGAAACCGATGAGACGAATCGTGAAAAAGTGGAAATGCGCCTTCCATTTAGATAGTACTCGCGTCGCTGTTTGAATGGTGTAGCGGTAAAGGATCGTATCTGACGCATAGGCTGGGCGGTTTTGGCCAGTTGGTGCACTGGAATCGTGTTGCTTGATGGACGTGAAGTATGCGCCAGTGAAGCTTTCTGGGCCACTTGGGCATACAGCTTGCGACCCAGACTTATCATCATGGTTTAACCCATATGGGCGACAACTGAACGCGAGGAGATCGGTGATGTACAAGAGAGGGTCTATTCCACCTCGTCCTCCAAACGGGGGCCCCGGGAATGTTTATCGCGGCGATAAGGGCGATAAGGGCGATAAGGGCGATAAGCGTGCCCTAATTTGGGGAGCCGCAACGCTAACCGTGGGCCACCTCTGGACTATAACTCAGAATCCAAGACCGACTACGATCGTTTCGGGCTACAATTCATGTATGGATACAAATCGGTCTTCGAGGACATGTATGTCAGTGGGCTTGGGACGGCTCTTATGGGGAGTCCCTTGGGAGCTGGCTGGTGGACTGTAATCCATGGATGTCACCTCGCGCGGGGACAGATCCTTTGTTTACAAGTGAAATTGGCCAAGGAATTGGTATGAGCGCCTTTTTGCCACGAGGCAACAAGCCTTGATCCAACCCTGGACTGTTGGCAGCCACATACAGCAGGCCTCAAGCCCAATCCAGTCATCTGCGGAGATTTGCCAGTTAGCTCACAAGCCAGGGCGTAAATGTACAGAAGCAAAGCCTATTTCAATTTCCATAACACAAAGAGCGTGAGCATTAACAGTATACAAGTATAAATTGAAGATATCAAAATAGAAAATTAATCATGCAGGCTTATTTGTAATCAAAGTAATCATCATATGTTCAAAAACCCATAGCCACCGTCAAATCAGATACAAAACCCAGTAACGTGAACCCTATTATGCATGGGAACAAAAAAGTGGTATCATAGGGGGGTACAGAACTAAAAGGAAAAACAGAAAATAAAAACAGAAAATAAATCATCGCAAAGGGGCATATCAGAAAGTATTGTTTGGGGAGGGGGGAACGGTAAGAATATTGCGTGAAAATCCAAATTACTCCTCAGTCAAAGCATCATCACCAGTTTCACGCCAGTCGCGAGATTTCTCCGTCAAGCGACGAACACCCGAGACACGCTGGGCCCAGTGGGCTTCGGAGGCAGTGCGGAAGGTGTATGCGCGCTGAGAGGAGATGACGCCGATGCTTTGCAGGACGGCTTTGCGGGAATCGCGGCTGAAGACGGCTGGGTGGCTGATCCACTCAAGGGAGGACTCCAGGTCTGCGTTGAGGGCGTTCATGGTTTGGGCGTCGACGGAGGAGGTGGGGGTGATGGTATTAGCCTCTGAGGTGGAGGAGTGAGCGTCGCCGTAGGTGGAGGACTTGGGGGAAGAGGAGGAAACGGGTGTGTCGCCGCGGCCGTCGGCGTCGCTGCCGGATCGAGCGGCTGGGGGGAGGGGTGGAAGTCCGCCCTTGCCGAGACCCTTGAGGATACTGCGGGTTTCTTGGAGGAGGTGCAGGCCACGCTCGTTCTGGCCTCGGGAGACGAGAGTGAGGGCGCGGGTGAGCATGTCGGAAGTGAGCAGCTCCATGCGGCGCTGGACGATGGATGGGTGTGGGGGGGATTGGCGGGGTTGAGGGGCGTTGGCCCTTGGCACGAGGGTTGGGAGGGAGCATGGTGATGGCCAGGAGCGAGGGACGAGGTGAGTGGGTGAGGTGGCCGTCGCGAAGGAGATCACCATAGGTGAGGTCGGCTTGGATCAAGGGCACTTCTTCGACGCTGACAATGCGGGAGTCGTCGCCGTCAGAGCCGCCGCCTAGTGCTTCTAAGCCAGAGACTATGCTCTCCCAATGATCTTGGGGCATGTTGTCTTGTGTAGCATTGTCGGGCTGGATGACGAGCTGGACTAAAACGTCACGCTTGTCTCCGAAGCGGAGGTCGCCAAGGGCTGCCTCGGCGTCTTTACCGGTGGCTCTCTTGGTGGTGTGGAGAGCGCCACTGATTTTGACAAACTTGGCCGGGGATCCTTCTGGGAGGCGAAGCTTCAACTTGACGTTCTGGTGGGAAGTTGTCTGCAATGCGCCCAGGCATCCAGCGACGCACTCGCGGAGCATCATCCAATCCTTGACGTATGAGTAAGAGCCCTTAGTGCGGGTGGACAGCTCGATCATGGTGTCGGGCTTATGTGTCAGTCCGAGACCAAATGAGTGGATGCTGACCTTGGCAGCCTCGGCGCGAGAAACGACAAAGTCGACACTTTCGGGGTCGGAAATTGAGGAGTCGCTGATGAGGAGAATGGTCGAAACAGGGTTGTTGAACTTGCGTTGCATCAAGAGATCCATGGCCACGTTGGCGCCTTCGACAACATCCGCACGGAGACTCTTCTGCCCCACAGGTCGGATGGATTCGAGAATCTTGGGCCACCCGTTCCAAGACTTGGTAGTCATACCCACCAGGGGCACACCGCCGCCGCTAGAGCCGAAAGTGACCAGGCCCATGCGGTCCCGCGGGCCCAGGTTTTGAACGAGGAATCTGAGCGCATCACGCAGGAGAGTAATCTTCAGACCTTGCATTGATGAGGATACAGGGATGACGACGACGAGATCGAGGGGAATGTGAATGGTGTTAATGGAGGGAGATTCTGTGTCCGGGTTGGTGTAGTCGGTGATCGCGGTGTTGATCGACTTGCCAGCACCGTATGAGGAGTTGATAGACGCCTGTCGTTGGATCCGACTGCCGCGGAAATCATCCTCCTCTCCGGAATGATCATACTCGTAGTCATTCTGGCGTGAGATGTTTTCAACCGGGTGCAGATCCATGAGAGACCGGCGCCATGTTTCAAGCTGACCACGGCTCTGGAAACGAAGGAAGAAGCAAGGCAGCTCGGTAACGGAGAGGTTGAGGGCAAGAATTGGTTCATCGGCTGAGGCATCAATGGACTTGAGGTGCTTCTTGATCAAGATTGAACCCTTGAGTGTACAGCGGGCAGGCTTGCGCCTCCCGCTCTCATCATACCGGTTCAAATCGGATGATGACTTTTTCTCCTTCACACAAATAAGCATTTCCCCAAAGAGATAGCACTCCAGTTCCTGCCACGAGTCCCGATCCTTGCCCACGCGCATCTGCCCATGAAGACGCAGCTTGCCGAAGCGTTTGAACTCCAGACCGTGCCAGTTATCCACTCGGGTGCGCAATTCCTCAGCAATTTCATCCATATTCTCCGTCTGTTCGTTCTGAATTGAAGCTGCATCTTGTCCACCCGCAAACCGTCCTGCGTAAGGTTCGTCCGGCTGTGATTGGCCGCTGGGCGTGTGTCGGAGGTCATCCACATCTGGGCGCCAGTTGGCTTCGGGAACTTCGACGGTAATCAAACACGTGAGAGTCTGCTGCTGGCGGGATCGATTCATAGTTGGGAACTCGCTTCGCACGGTGACTATCGGAGCGGGAATGGGGTTCTTCGCGACTCCCGGGCGAGGGCTGAGGTCTGATTCCATAGCTTGGACATCATAGTCGTGGCGTCGTCCACTACTCGTGTGTTGGCCTTCATTGTATTCTCCGGATGATCCCGCTGCGCTGCCATTGCGGGAATGTGGTTGGCGGTTGTGAGAGCCCACGGTCAATCGCTCGACACGATCACGCTGACTTTGGCTACTTGTGTCGCGGCTGTCGCGTCGATGGTAAGATGGATCTCTCGCAGCCGGATTGTATTGTTCTCTTGGTAAGTATTCTCTGGCCGAAGCGGCGCTGAATGACGGGTCCCTGGCGGAGGATTGATATTGTTCCCGTGTAGCCGAGGTGTATCGACTTCCCGCGTCGCTGGGAGTTCGTCGGGTAGACGGTTGTTCCCACGGAGTCGGAGTAGTCAATCCACTGCGTACTGTTGCGGTATCATTTGTTGTGACGGAGCGCACGATCTTGCTAATCTTGTCTGCAGGGGGGAACATTAGTCATCTCACATTCCCCGCGGGGTGGTCGCGCACGAGGGGTGGTCATACCAATATCCAGCACATTTCCTCCGCGACTTGTATCCAGGGCTAGAGGCGCATTGCATGTTGGACAATCTTGACCATCCAACTCGCGCAGGTATTCGTAAAAACAGGCTTCGTGGGAGACGTGGGCGCACGAGAGCTGCAGTACGCGCTCACCGCGCAAAGTGTGCTCCAAGGGCTCCTCGCAAACGGCGCATTCGCTACCGACGAAGGTCCTCTCCCTCCGTGTCCGTGTGCGATCAACCTCCATGGGGCCGGTGGTTTGTCCCGATCTTGAGTGGAAAGATGCCCGTGAGCGACTTGAGTGTAGAGGACCAGGCTGATAGCCCGAGTCGGTGACGGTCGAAGGAGCTCTTGGCCGGGTGATATCCGTCTGATTGGAAAGACTGCTCCCGGGTCTGTCTAGCACGCCTCGGGTGAAAGTACGAAAGGAGCGGAGGGGCGAGCGAGTAGAATCTGGCTGTGATTGGAATTCTGTACGTCACCTCCGAATTAGCGGGGAATGTTGAATGCGACAAGGATGAAGCCTTGCAGACTCAGATGCAGGGGAGGAAGATAAGAATAGGAATATAGAGGGCCCCGAAAAGAGTGGTTCAGGGGAGTCGGGAATTCCTCTAGAAGGGCAGTGTCTCAGATTGACAGGACTCACTCTTAGACTTCTTCGGTCTTCCCAGAATGCCCAGGTCAGAGAGGTGTTGAGTTGAGTCTTTCTCAGACTCCTTGGGCGAACGTTTCCACATGGACTCAAAGGGAGACAAAGAGGTGGGGAAGTCAAAAGAGGCGAGAGCATCCAAAAAAAAAATAAAATAGAAATAATACCAAACCCAAAATGCAAAAAAATACCAGGGAAAAAAAACAAGTGAGAGAGAGACTAGTATACAAGTGATGAACAGGGGGACTGGCTGTAGGCAGACTGGGGCAAAAAATGCTACTAGGGGAAAAAACTCCGTTTAGAACGATACACACTAAACCCCAGAGAGTCTCTCCTACTAAGCTAATTCCTACTAGTTCCCAATAAAGAAAATGAATAAATTATTATCGAAGAGTAAATTTAATTAAAAAAAAAAAGAGATCCAGAGATCTTGTTTCCACTCTGGAGCCATGGATTGTAGTGGAGAGCCCCTGAGCCTGGAAAAAAGAAAAAAAGGAGTTGACATGAATTAGGTCTATTAAGTCCAATCAGATGATTTAGGCCACTTTGAGAACATTGTATGATATCTATCATTTAGAGTCTCACCCTAGGAGAATTACTACTCACAACGTGGCCTTGCCCTTGCCTGGGCCGCATAATCCGAAAGGCTATTGATCTTATTGAGCCTATTAAGCCTACGCCGACGCTTGTATAGATCGAACACGTTCAGTGTCACATTGAAAATCCGACTACACAATTACTCCGTACTCCGTACCCATGGAAAAGAAAAAAATCTATCCCAACCATCATGGCTCCATGGTTCGAACACTTTACGTCGTAGCAGCATATCTATCTGATACTGCAGGCCTAACATGACCTCATCTGCCGACTTGAAATTCCTCGCCCCATTATTGAGGAACCCATTGAGGAACCTATGGAGGAACCCCTCTCTTTCCTGAGGTTCAATGACCCAAAATATGCTTAATGTTGAGGAACCAAGGATATCCTTGGAGCATCCCCTCGATTCTTCAATGCTCGGCAGACAGATACCGAGGCTCTGCAAAACTTTGGAACGGAGGGTGGTATTAAGTCAAGAGATACTGTGGGCTTAACACTCGGGCCGGAATAAGCTCAATGCCGATAGATTTACCCACCAAATTTATCTGTATCACGTGAAACCTATCATCCACTCCTGTTATGCCCACTCCACCACTCAAACCACCACGCAGTGGCAACTTTTTGCCGATCCTTCACGCCGTTGTTTGGCACAGAAGGATTCTAGAAAGACTGGAAACACTCTACCAGCTTGAAACTCGCCAATGACGTTTTATCTCCAACTCGATCCAAGGCTACTTACTCCGTACTGTGCTTTCGAGAGCCTCACATCCTTCGGTAAGGCACGGGATCGACATCTCCCGTACGAGTTGATGATCCGTGACCTCGAATCTCCTGTGGCGTTAAACCCTCTCCGCAATTGACGATCGCTGCTCCGGAGATTTAACGCCAATGCCATTCTCACGGAACTAGCTGTACCAAAAACCTGGATATGAACACCGGGCCCCTGACCATACAATGGGAGCTGACCCGAGGACATCCCCCCATACCCAGTACCCAGTACTCCGTACTCCGTATTCAGTACTCCATCCAAGTGCGCCCGTTGGTACTCCGTACTACTCCTGACGCTTCCAGCGGGTCGTTCCCACTCATTAGCGCCCTGGCAAGCCGAGCGCGTACCTACAACGTACAGTCGAAATAGGAGGAGATTTAGTTTTGCACATCAATGTCGGTTATGGATCCCGCTGCCGAGAACAAATGTCGTTTCCAATGCGATCGACACCCTCCTGCTTTTTGGGCGCTGCTGGACCGTCTGTGCTAATCCCCTAGCCGACTCCATTTGTCTCAAATTTCTGATTTGCCGCGTCGATCCTTATCCTTGCCTCCTGTCATGTCGCCGCTGACATCTTCCATCTTCCAATCCCAGGCCCCGCGTATCCAAGTAATCGTAGTACGTACAGCTTTTTGTTTTCGGTGGGTTTTGATATTGGATCTATCGTACCCGTTGCCCGTGCGACTTGTGCTCCGTACGGAGTACGGAGTACGTTTACGCACATCGGGACGCGAATCGGATCGCTCATTTTGATTTCCCGATAATTTCGCTCCATCACAAATGGTTGGAGCTGTCATGGGCTAACCCACGTGTGGTGCAATTGACAGCTCAGTCGGCCTATCTCCTAAACCGGTTATTCCGGACACAAATTACTGTACGTACACAGCGCTCGTCTCGGGGTTTTGGGTTCTCTCATTTTTGTGATGCCTACTGGCCTTGGTAGGTTTACTGAATGGATACATGATCAACGCCGTTGAAAGTTTCCGGAGCGGAGTTGCTTATGTACAGGTACGAGGATGTAAATCATCCGGGGTGATTTTTCCATCCTATCGTATCGAGCATTTCCCGGGCTCGATCCGATGCTCGATTCAATAGTGCGGACCGCATCACACCATTGTTTCATTGTTTGATTATACGAGCAGGTTCGAAATAATTCAGGCAACATTCAAGTGCAAGTAACTCCGTATAACTAACTTTAGTTGAAAACTTTAGAATTGAAACGCTCTCTTGGGCGCAGGGGGTATTATGCACGTCTCATTGGACAGGCTGCTTCCGAGTCCCGGTTTTCTTTAGCTGCAGACGACTACGGAGTACACACAATCCAATTTCTGGTCTCTTGGTCTACGACTCTATGATTGCAGACTGTGACGCATAAAGTTCAGTAGATGCATTAGACGCATTCAAATGCCGCTACAGCTGCATAGCACAACGGATCTAGATCCTTTCAGGTCAGGCAACCCGAGACTGCTTTTTGTCACAAGCCAAAATGCTACTTTGGGTTTTCATTAGTACTCATATGCGATGGCTCTCACAGAAGGATTCGACACAAGCACTCTACGGAGTACATTGACTAGACATGCAGATGCCCCAGTGGATACTCCCTACGGAGTACAAGCTAAGCTACTGAATCCTTCGGAGTGTCCCCATCACAATTGTATACAATTTGTTAATTTATTATTATATTTGTTTTCGTTTTGTTTTTTTGTATTCTGCATTGTTCTCTCTACTTTTGGCTATACGTTTGATATACGCAAATACGTCAGGATCTGATCTGAAACTACCCCTGAAACGGCACCTACCAAGGATGAAGCAGATACTTCAGTCGAGATGGAAATCCCGACATCATGGCTCGTCTTAGCTCGGACCATTCGCTGTCTCTGGTAACCGATCGCATCCGTCTTAGTTCATCGACTCGTCACTGTTTCGGGTCCGGTGGTGCAGATTGGTGGACATTTTAAGCGGGTAGTAGGATGAGCTCACCGCGCAGATTGATCAATACATCGATGCACGGGGGGACGGAGAGACAAGGGCGCTTTGTGATCTGTGATCCTACACGTACTGATCTGGTGCAGCACGAAGTGCGGGTGCGGAAGTGCCCCGTGTGCTGAACCTTCGCTCAGCTTACTCCGTACAACGCTCGTGAGCTTGCCAAGTAAAATTTGGGATCTGTCACCGTACTTTTGGTCGGGGACTTTGGATGAGTCTCTTTCGATGGATATTTCTGACCCTGTTTTCTGATCGATACAATTGATTGATGATTGTGATATGTTAATGCGGGGGTTTTTTGCTTTTTTCGGCTTTAGAGTTAAATATACACTTATGGATGAGTCGATATGCATGAAGTTCAACGTTTCTAGGTTGGGATGCTTTGCATATACATTCAACGGCTCTGTGATGTATCCAATCCACATACGTAAACTTGGACAATGAGTCGTCCAGAGCTAGCGGCGCATCACTAGCCCCAAAAAAAACATCTTCGGTGTCAGTTTTTTTATTGATTTATTGGCACGAGAATAACCGGGCGCCCGATGCTCGGTATCGTCCGATTGGTGAAGACAAACTTTCGAGATTGAGACTTCCGGACGATGGAGTCGTAATATAATATAAGGCTAAAAGGGTATTCGCAAACTTGAGTTAAGCACACAATCGATTCTTTGCTTATGCTCACTAAACGGGAAGGTTCTTAACAAAACAAAACCTTCACAATCGAAGTGGAGTTAAATGGAGCTAACAGGTTCGTGGCATAGAATCCAGACCCAATTTTTTACTTTTGTGGGAAGAAAAAACCTTGGAAGTGTCTCAGCCCGATCATGACTTACATATATTCATGGCCCACAGTAGCAATTAAATGACTCGGGTTTGTTGAATGGTTCAAAGTTCCAAGGTTGCTATTTAAAAATTAAGATTAAGTCCGGAGTACGGAGTATGTACAACATCTATGCGTACTCCGTATTCCCTTTCGAGCCAAGGTTCCACTGCTGCCAGATCAATCTTATCTTGTGATATCATTTATTAATCGTATAGCTCACTTCCCTCATTGCATCACATTATGTACTCCGTACTTGAACAACCTCTCGTCAAGCACTTTCCTTGTGCTGTTTTTTTTTTTGCCCAATATTTATCAGTTTTGTCTATCAATACCAAAAGAGAAAAGTCATCTGATCAATCTACCAACTCTCTCCGTCTATGCACCTCAATGGCGAGCAATTGACACGTCCAGTAGGAGACGCAGGGATCGAAGTTTATACGCAAGGCTTCACAAACTCGAATCTCAGCAACATGAATATGAGCTCAAATCGAAATTGACGCTGCATTGTTGCTGTCTTCTGATCTCCAAATCTCCAACCCAGAGACAAGAAATAGCGGAAGATTCGCCAACGCGACGTCTCACAAATCCGAATCCTGGAACACATGATGTTGAATCGATGACATTCACCTGGGCATATTCCGAGTAGCATGTCTCCAACGCAGCGCCACCCGTTCATCTCTGAGCTTGGCATTGTGCCCCCTACTCCTACACATACTGACGATCAAATCCTTAGCCACAATATTTGCATGATGTATGACTTCCAAGCCACGTCATTTATGATTTCGGGGGACAACATCTGGGAACGCAAGCTCTAGGTTTCCCCAACTCCTCTCGGATCGGCGAGTGTCGATCAATAGCCATATTGCAATAGCTGGCAATAGCTGGCAAGCCAGTCCTCATCAAATGCTATGATCGAGAGGGAGAGGGAGAGGGAGACTTTCGATCCTAAGATTTCACGCCGGAGCCTCCGCGTTAAAGTTGAGTGACCTGGACGTATGGGCACATGCTCTTGGGCAGTCAGAACTGTCAATCAATGTTCTACTCCGTACATTTGTTTGATATCAGTCGAGACTACCTAAGGTATCGTCTCTTTTATCATATTCGCCCTTTCGTCCATCTTCTTTTCCAGCTTATGAGTGCGCCTTCATGCGAACCAAAGCTTGAGAGTTTTTAGCTAGCTTTTCAGATTTAAGCATGGGGCTTATACCTCAATACTATGAAAGATAGTCTTGAGGCCCAGTACAATACCACAATATGTAAGGAGATTGATAGTCGAGTCCTCAGCCATTTTGACAGCGAGAATGGTGCAGATAAAGAGGCATCTCAGTAGCTGGAGCGTAGAGATACGGGCCAAATGTGGTTTGAGAATTAAAAACCACAGAGTGGGTTGGAAGGTTTAACTACCCCAGAAGCCAGTATGATTCCAAAATGGCCAGCAGTCGGAAGGATAACCATGGCTTGCGGCTGTTTCCCAACCTCGAGACGCTATCACTACTCGACACTACCTACTACCTACATACATCAATGATATCAAGACGGTACCTATTACTTATATTGATCATTGCCTAGTCTTCGTTTAATAGACCCAGAGACGTACACCCGAGGTTAGCCCGTGGACCTCATATGGCGCTTTACAACGAGACGTGCCCAGGTAATTCCAACTATGTCAGCGAGGAGAAGAGCACATGAAGCATGTCCTATCAAGCTTCCAAGGTCTCTCCCGATACCAAGATTAGTACTTTGGCCGATATTAATGCTGTCTCCGTGTTTTGCTTTGTTTTCTTATTTGAAGACGAGGTCAGACCGGATGGTCCAACGGGACATATTCTATAATACATAGATGATCACACCGAATCAATTTACAAGACCAGGATACACATCTACTGCGATCCCTCTGTAGACACAGAGCTATCCTTTTGGTCTCTCCTCACAGGACCTGGAGGCGCAGGGCTGGAGAATATGGACTTGAGACCAGCGAAGAAGCTATCCCGAATCTGCACGTGAAACCGTCAGTCAAGATGTCCGTGCAGTAAAGACCGAGTCCGAATAGACTTACCCCGTGGAACGGCGTATCACTAGTTTCCCACTCCATGAACAATACGGCGTAGATAATAACGACTAACGAAAATTAGTATTCACCCAACAATATTCCCTCATTCCACAAGACATATATATATATATATATATATATATATATTATATATGTCCAGTTGGGTTGAGCTCCAACCCGCCAGACAGGAAACCAATACTCACATCCTATAACAACCCACTGCCCAATCGTAACAGCCTTCATAAACGTCGGCCGGGCGTACTTCAGCGCCGCGCGACGCCGGTACTTGCGCTCAAGTCGGAACTGGTGCTTTGGCGACAGTTTCTTCATATCGGGGGGCCATTGGCGCTTTGGCTGGTATGGACTGTAATAGGCATCTTCGAACGAGGGCGGAGAGTCGGACTTTTTGGAGAGGCGGAAGGGTGATGCTTCCCTTGCTAACAGTGAGGATGTGAAGGCCGTGGGTCCGGTTGTTGTGAAGAGGCGGGTGGCGAGGGAGTTCTGAGCAGGTTCAGGCGCATGTTAGCTTGGTTCGGTGATGTCCAGGTGATGGCTCTTCTTTCTGCGGATCACGGTGGTGGTATCTTACTTGAAGGGGTAGTCTGGGGAGCAGTGCTGCGCCCAAGGGCGAGGCGCGCATTGGTGCGGTGGTTATTGCTTGGCGGATCATGATGTGTGGACTGGGAATCTTTGTTGCGGTTGGATCACTTTTTGAGATGGGGTGGAGTGCGCGGAGCGCCAGAACTAGACGCTCTTCACTAAGTTCGAAGGTTGGAAGGGTGCAGACTTGTGATTTCTTCGGTTATTTTTTGAGTCCAATGGTTTTTAGGATTGACTGATCAAGATGTTCAATATTTACTTCTATAAAGTATATAAAAGGGCTCATTTTGCTTTCTCACTGATTGTAAACTCACCTATACACTGGGCTTTCGACCGCGGGAGATAATGCTGACTGATCATCACCTGACCATCACTCAGATCGGATTGTTTCACGTGACCATAACGCTCTGGCTATGTCATCATATGCCAAGCTTTGGTCCACGTACAGTATTGTCCTTGAGGTACGGAGTACGGAGTATAAATTAAGTCTTTCTTTCAAACAAATAATCCCTATTTACGGCTCAATAGTAAAAGTCGAAGTTGAAAAGAGACGCTCAAATGTAATCCGAGTGAACTTTAATGTATGTACGGAGTAGCTCGGAATCCAGGAATGATGAGCAGCCTCCTTCAGCCTACCCTGACACATGGTGAAATTCCCTGGCCATTTGATGCGTATTCCCCATGTAAACTGTCTATCACTCTTATTATAGGCTAGTCTTTTGGGTTTGCAAGTGTCAACCCGCCACCGTTTTCATGGCGCTGAAATTCTACTAGCAGCCCGCGGGCCGAATCTTCCATATCGCCCTGACTTTCCTCGACACGTCGGTTGGAAGGTCGCTCACTCAGACCGTGGAACAGATATGCAAGAATGTTATTGCTCCATGGAGACAATCCTTCCTTATTGGTTTTCATCATGACGATGATGAGGAATATCAGGCTGGCAGCGAGCTCGAACAGTGGCAGGGTCAGCCATGCCCACGTCACAACGGCGGCGGTGGTCGATGAAAAAGCCTTTCCATGAACGACAGGTTGATACTTGATCTGTCGGAGACTCAGTGACAGGCTGTGTGCTAGATTATCCATCATATCTGGAAACCCCGTTACCGTGGTATTCATTGCCGAGAACAAGGGTTGAGTCAGGACTGAAGAGTACGCGGGAGATTCAATGTGGCCGCGACGGGCATCGATGGTCGCGTATCCAATTAGGAGAGAAGACAGCCAGGTGTTCGTTCCATCGATCGCCTCCTTGGTCGCGACGAATGTGGTTGAAGAACCTGGCGGTTGGAGTACAATGTCCAAATTGGACGTAGGCACAGGCTGAGTCTGATCAGTCCAAGTCGAGATCTCGGTTTCGTATAAGGTTCCATTTGTGAAATCGGCGCGCATGTTGCGAACGCAGAATTGGAGGAGGCACTCGAACGCAACTGGTTGGGCGAGAGGCTTGGTCATGTAGCTGGCTGAGTAGTTCGAGTCTGGTTGTTCTGGGATGGTGGCTGGTGCTGCGCCCACTGCGAATATGTTGAGGAGCTTCGAGCCATTTTGGGTAAATGCAATGGAGTCCAAATCTGCAATCGGGTTGGTTGTGATATTCAACATGCCGAGGGTGGTTGCGAAGTCGACTTGGTTGATCCAATCGCCGGGCTGTATGCCAGTAAGGCCAAAGCCATTGGAAAGTGTATGGTAGTTGGTTTTGTAAGCAGTGATTGGATTGTCATGGGGATCCATGTGAATCTTTGTAGACGTGAGGGTAGAACTCAGGTCCTTGCAGGTGTTGCAAATACCCAGAGTCTGATATGGCTCAAATGTGCAATTGCTGGAACTGCAATGTGTCAAGGTTGTTGCTGAGAATGTGGTATTGAGAGGATTGAAGAGTGCGACGTAGGGGGCAGCTAGCAACGAAGAATCAATGCCAGATGTACTTCCCTCGTGCCCGATCTGCGCATAGTCCGAGCCATTCATGTATTGTGCTACTGGTAGCGAAGCATCCTTGGTATATGGATAGACGGTTTGATATCTCAGGACTTGTTGATAAAATGTGCTGATGGCTAGAGCCATAATTGTTATGACAGCACCAAAGCATGCAATATACCTGGTTCGAAATCAGCAAGGGAAGAAAGTTGAGGCTTTGAATCTCCACAGCGGATATCATCTATAGGTCCAATGCTTCAGAATCATGGGGAAGATGAACTAACCCTCCTTTTCGATGCACGATCGTTAACAGGCTACCCTATGGTCCCCGGCTAGCTTCGTCTACCATGCGAAGATCATTCAATGTGTGCTTTCGAGGGGCTTGGAGCCATTTGGTCTGCCCGATCGAGGAGCTCACGGGTATGATCAAAAATGACTGGGCAAATGTGGCCAATAGTGAGATGATTGCGTTAGGGGTGATCCCATATCGCAGTTCTGGCAATGGACGGCCATTGAGGACATTCAATACAACAATGATAGCGACGAAGAAGCAAAGGCTCGCGGTCCAGCTCAGGATCTCGATTTTCCATGGTAGCAAACTCCATGTCGTTGATGACCGTCGTGTCGTTTTGATTGACGGGTTCGACAGCGAGTGGGATGGCCCCGATTCAGAGAGAGGGAGCAGTGTTTCCTGGCGATCGTCGGACGATCTGAACTCTTCGAGCTCCTGTGGCGCTGATTGCATTGCTGAATACCCTGTTAGGTGTTGCATTATATCGTGGCTGCTCACAAAGGCTGGCCTATAGCAATTACCGGCGATGGATCACTCTCCAACGCGGCATATTCTCGAGTGTCATGAGGAGGAAGGAAATTGATCTTATATTTGAAGCTGACAGGGTTGGCCCCCAAACATCTACAGCCCACTCAGCCTCCTCAAAGGTCCAATCAGCCCAAAGCTTGTGCCTGCAGGAGATCCTACTCTAACCGTAAACGGCTAGTTCCAAAACTTTGGTAGTTACTGTGGAATTGCAGGGACTTTCACACCTCATCATCACTCGGGGACCACATGAGAGAATAGAGGGAATACCTCTTCTGAGGCATGGGCAATTACAAGGTTAACGGAAAGGGTGGTCAATGTTGGATCTTTAGCGTTAGCGTCACAATCAATCCCAAGATATCTGACCCTAAATGTGGTGAAAGCGAATCAATGGAAGCCAACTGCTACAGATGAAAGCTGGTGAAAGCATGAGATTCGAATATGAAAAAGAGAAAGACTGTCGTAGTTGTTTTGAGAAAGTGTCCCCCTCCGAATGGTGCCTGGAATTGTTCTTTCGTGCTCGCCTTCCCAGATCACCTCAGTTGTGCTGATTCCTGGGCCCATTGAGTAATTCCTCATACTCCTCCTTTCTTTCACTTAATACAGCTACGATATCCTTCCTGCATTTTCTCATTGCGTCCTCACGTGGGCAGTTGTTCATCCACATGGCCACCTGCAGGGCCTCCTCCTTGAAGGCTTTCTCGATTTGCCGCCGTCGGAGTAGCCCAACGAACTTGACGGAGGGATCCGTCCAAGGGTTATCTTCGAGATTGAGCGTGTCTTGAAGGATATGACGAATTTTGTGGAGATTCAGTACCGAGAAGCTCTTCTTGGGTGGATTGCTTCCAGGCGCCTGAGCGTAGATCAGAATAGTGATATGGAGGTCTTCGAAATCTTTCAGAAGGTCGATGAAGGTTGACTCATCTGTCGTAAAGCCAGCCCAGCCGCTAATGACAAGATAGACCGGATGTCCTACTTCCCGTGCGCTTTGCATCAAGCTTGTCAGGTATCGGATAGCCTCATGCTCGTGATCCATCGGGTTGTTAGCGCGCCCGACGATAGGGCAGTAGAAGAATTGACGGTCCCCCAGAGAGCCGAAAGAAGCTCGGAAGGCATTTGCGACGTGGGACATAGTGCCTCGAAGCCACATCCTTTGCCCATGGACATCTGCATCGCGGTGACACTTGCTGGAACGAGCGATGAAGATCACGGAGGGGCCTATTGGAGGGGTCGGAGGGCCCGAGGGAGCCATCTGGGCCATGGCGGTGGTGTAAGGAGAAGCGTTTAATGAAATATGGTGGCTTTGACTTGAGCTTGACTGGAGGAAGGGGAAAGCCAGAAGGTGAGAAGGTGGAAGAGTTGAGTGAGGCAATGTACATGAGGCAAGAGCGTTGACTTCGACATCACGCACTTGATGAGGCTGTACTCTCAACAAAGTCTCTCCTTTCTATGCTTCTTAGGTTGGGTTTCCATGTGTTTCTCATGTCACTTTCATCACATTGTCGTGTGAGGGTTCTGATGTCTTGTTTCTCTGCTTTCCTGGTATAAGCCCAACCCTATGATCAAGGTTGCGGAGTGTCAATTGAGTTAATTCCCGAGATGTGGAATATCACACTTGGGCTGGATGTATAATTGCTCATTCTTGTATATTGGATAGTAACTGTGAATGTCATATTCATGGTACATTCATTGATTTATTAGTAGTCAGCATGTAGGCTTGAAGATGTCCCGATCTGTTGGGCTTAGTTCCAAACCAGGAAAATATGAACAAATCACCGGTCTCCAGTCAAGACTAACTGATCACGAATGAAGTAGTGGTCAAAGTAGTCAAAGTAGACAAAGGACGAAGTATAGAAAAGTAAACGGAATGCGCTTTCCGCCGTTCAGCGCTTCACCGGGCGGCCCCGATGTGGAAGGGGTGGTTGCTGACTAAGCCGGGAAAATTGAAGAGAGTTGTTGGGAAAAAGGCGCTTATCACCTTCAACTACCATCAATCCTCACAACATGCTCTTCCGTACTGCGGCTCGTCAGGCTGCGCCTCTCAGGCGTCATGCCTTCACTCCTCTCACCCGTCGCTCTGTCACCACCGACGCCGCGTCCGCCAATGTCGAGACCCCCGTCCCGCAGGTTTGTTGAGCCCTATCCGGAAAACTGGAAATCTCCCATCGGAAGCCCGGGACACTCAATGCTAACCTGTGCGCTTGCGCTGCTATAGGAAGATGACAAGCCCTTCACCGTTCGTCTCTCCGATGAGAGCTTCGAGACCTACGAGCTCGACCCTCCTTCATACACCCTCGAGACCTCCAAGAAGGAGATGAAGCAGATGTACTACGACATGGTTGCCATGAGGTACGGAGATGAGAATTGCGAAAGCTGAAACCCCCGAGAGCGAAGGATTGGACGCTGACTGTTTCGCCTAGACGTATGGAGATGGCCGCCGATCGTCTGTACAAGGAGAAGAAGATCCGCGGTTTCTGCCACCTGTCGACCGGTCAGGAAGCTGTCGCTGTCGGAATTGAGCACGCCATTACCCGCATGGACAAGGTTATCACTGCCTACCGTTGCCACGGTTTCGCTATGATGCGCGGTGGTACCGTCAAGTCCATCATTGGTGAGCTTCTCGGCCGCCGCGAGGGTATCGCGTACGGCAAGGGTGGTTCCATGCACATGTTCGCCGAGAACTTCTACGGTGGTAACGGTATTGTCGGTGCCCAGGTCCCCGTCGGTGCCGGTCTTGCTTTCGCCCAGCAGTACAACGAGCAGCCCAACACCTCCATCGTTCTCTACGGTGACGGTGCCTCCAACCAGGGTCAGGTCTTCGAGGCCTTCAACATGGCCAAGCTCTGGAACCTTCCCGTTCTCTTCGGTTGTGAGAGTATGTGTTCCTCTATCCTTCTGGTTTGGTCCTTTGATTATCAGTTTCACTAACCTTTTTCTACTCGTTCAGACAACAAGTACGGTATGGGTACCTCCGCTTCCCGTTCCTCCGCTCTCACCGAGTACTACAAGCGTGGTCAGTACATTCCCGGTCTGAAGGTCAACGGTATGGACGTCCTCGCCACCAAGGCCGCCGTCCAGTACTCCAAGAACTACGCCATCAGCGGCAACGGTCCTCTCGTCCTCGAGTACGTCACCTACCGTTACGGTGGTCACTCCATGTCCGACCCCGGTACCACCTACCGTAGCCGTGAGGAGATCCAGCGCATGCGCAGTACCAACGACCCCATCGCCGGTCTTAAGCAGAAGATGCTCGAGTGGGGTGTTACCTCCGAGGAGGAGCTCAAGGCCCTCGACAAGACCGCTCGCTCTGCCATCGACGCCGAGGTCGCCGAGGCCGAGGCCATGGTCGCCCCCGAGAACAACTCTCGCATCCTCTTCGAGGATATCTACGTTCGTGGCTCCGAGCCCAAGTGGATGCGTGGCCGTACCGTCGATGAGACCTTCTACTACTAGATTGTTTCTCGAGGGGATCGCAAGTCCTTGAAAGAGCTTTTAATCGTTGTGTGATAGGCTGGAGAAAATCCCCTATCTATCATTTATCTGTAATTTAGCCCGATGACTATTTTCTCTTATGTTTGTTTACTTGGTTATCTGTTCTAGAATAGAGAGCAATTACCATCTCCGGGTCTGTTCAATAGTTTCATGTCTAATCGCATGTCAATTGTAATTGGATCAGGCAAGGTACGCCTTCGCTCTGATAATGGGTATCTCGGAAAGCACAAATACAAGCAAAAATAGAAATATCACAAAACAAATCATCTCCCAGGCTCCTGTCTCAACATCTCAAGAATCATCTCCTGAGTCTGCTGCACAGATTCCAGCTTCTCCTCCATAGCCGCTCGACTCCTCTCCAGCTCCTGTCGAAACTGGCTCTGCATCTCCTGTCTCAATTCTTCCTTCATCCGCTCAATCTCACTATACGTAGGATGTGAATGCGACTCCGCCCGCACTGGTCGCGGAGATCCTCTACTCTGACCCGGCGCCTCAGAAGCAGCCTGCACCAAAGCCGAGATCACAGGCGCTGCAGCATCAGGTTCAATCCCCGTAGAAGCAGCACCCAGATGCTTATTCAATTTGCCCAGCGTTTCCAGCACAGCCGAAACCATTCGGCCGTCACCGGGTGGAGCGGGTGATGCGGAAGGCGGAGGCTGCACAGGGTTGGAGAACATATTTTCGAACCCCGGTGGTAGTCTCAACGGCGTAGAAGTCGAAGCTGGCGTCGAGGGCGATTCGAGGAACGGTGCAGCTGGGATTGCAGCTGGGGGTGACGGAGTGCCCGGGCCCGGGTCGTCATTTGCAGTGGGCAAAATGCCCAGCATCGAGACATCGGAGCTAGTGACAGAAGACGTTGGCAGGTCTCTCCATTCTTCAGGTTTCGGAGCCCGCCACGGCTGCGGCTGTCGTCGCTTCTTGATCTCGTCGCGCTTCGCGATCCGTCGATTCTCGGCTTCTTCCCATCGCTGCCAGGTGGGGATCCAGGCATCGAGCGCAGCTAGCCATTGTGGGTTCATTAATTCCTCGGCTGTTGAGCTTGAGGTGTTCGTCGTGCGCGTCCGCTGGTCTTCGAGGAATTTGATTCGCTGTCTGGTGACTAGTTCGACCTTTCGCCGTACCGAATGCCATGAATAGGAGCGGCCTTGGTGAGTGCGCTGGAACTCTGTGGCTACCGACTGCCACCATTTACATAGGTTGCTGCGGCTGCCGAATGTGTCTGCATTTTGGTTACAGATGTCGAAGAGAGCTACTTCTTCTTTGGTGGTGAGGCGGCGATGCTGTCGTGAGGAATCGTCTTCGGTTTCGTGACAGCGTTTTGTGCCTCGTGTTGGTGTCGGCATCAGCACTGACCCGTCGCCTGTTTTTTGTCCTCCCACCCGCATGGGCGCATAGTATAGATCTTCGGTGAGAATGCCCGCCTGTGAGACGTCCGGTATGGTACGTCCGGATGTCTCTTCGCTATTCTGTGCTGTTGGTCCGCTGGCTGGTGAGTTCCGGATCACCACCGAGACTGATTGGGATGCTGGGCTATATCCTGATGGGAAGTTTGACGGTACTGTTGAAAACGGGTGTGAGTTCGGGCGGTATGTATGGCTGTATTCGGGGTGAGTGCGCGGCATCAGGGCTACTGGAGAGAAGTAGCAAGCTGCCAGTGCTGAGCAGTGGTTGAGTCTCTTCTCAATACATTGTGGACATGAAAGACAAGCACAGAATGTGTCGATCTGTGGGGATAAAAGAGCTCCAGGGCTGTGGTCAATTTCACATGGGAGATTTGGGGATGGTCCGTGCTGCATCGATGCCGGTTCTTGAAATTTGATAGACACTTCTTCTGTAGACAGTCCACTAATTGAACGCTATTCTCTCATGCACAAGCATTGTTTGCCTCGATGATACTCAAATCAATTGAAGATTGGAATTATGTCGTTGGAAATATAGCTTGGACCCTTGGTGGTGAGATCACCTTTCATCGTTCAGCATTTAAATATATATATATACCAAGCTTGCACAAAATTACCTACGTAGCACTGCCAAGCTACCTAAACCCCGGAGGAAAAGAGGAATACCTAGGTACCAACGACAAGAAATATTGAACATCGAATATATATCCATTCAAAACACATAATGGCTATGGTGGTACAGAGGAGACACAAAAGGCCTCGGGGCAAGCAAAACGAGAACCAACACCATGGTCAACATGATCCAGAAATATGCAGGCGAATCTAAGAGCCCACTAATACACAGGTGGGAAGGTAGGAAAATAGGGTAGGGTAGTACATAAGACAACAAAGGCGCGTAAGTAGGAACGTATCTGGCCTATGGGCCACAGAGCTCTCTACCACCGTCTCCTCAAGTACCAACCGTAAGCCGGGGTAGCGACCTGTTCACCGAAGGGAGTGGGAACCTCGGCAGAACCGGGGCGAGCCACCGGGTGACGCAGGTAGACGGCAGCACAAATGTTCTGGTTGACCTCAAGGTAGCGAGGAATGAAGGCAAAGGCAGACATGTATTCACGTGGCCGCCAGGGAGTGGCGTAGGGCTTGAGGTGGTCGACGGGGTTATCGCGCATCTGAGTGAGAGCGCGCTTGAGGGTGTCGAATTCTTCATCGCTGAGCTCGGAGGAGTCGACGTCTTCGCCGCGAGTGGCTTGGTCGAAGGCTTCGGAGAGCTTGTCGCTAGGGGCGGCCTCCGCGGCAGCAGTGGCGGCGGCGGCGTCCTTTTCATTCTGAAGCTCCTTGTTCTCCCTGTCCTTCTTGGAGTCCTTTGAAGGCTTCTTCTCACGCTTGGCATCCAGTAGAAGCGTTAGTTGCGAGAATTGTGCTTCCAGGCTGTCGGTGAGGACGGTGGAGGATTCGGAACGAGAGAGGACGCGGCGGACGGTCCTCCCGAAGCCGCGGAGTTCTGCCTTGCGCTTTGCGGGAAGGGTGTCCTTGCTGGTGGAGATGATGTTCTTGGCTCGAGACATAAGATGCATGAGAGTTTCCTTGTTGCTTCTCGGCTTGGTTTCTGTGGGCTCGGCTTCGTCCTTCTCAGCGGCCTCATCAACCTCAGTGACTTTCTCGACCTCCTCTTTGGGCGCGGATTTCTTTCGTCGCGCAACGCGGCTGTTACGACGCTCGCGTGGAGTCTTTGTGGCACCGGTAGCGAACATAACGCGGTCCGACTCGACCTGGAAAAGGTCACCGGGGTTAAGGAGGTAGCTGGGGTGTCGCATCTAGCAGGACCATTCAAATTAGTACATGCCTTCATATGAACTCAATTCTAGCCTTACCTTCTGGCCATTGACTGTAACGGCTCCATGGATCACGAACTGTCGGGCCTGTCGGGCACTGCTGGCAAACAGAGCGCGGAAGATGGCAACGTCCAATCGGCGTTCCAGGGGCGCAAAAGCCATTGATGTGTAGGGTATAGGGCGGGCCTGGTGAGCAGGCTTTCCTTCTTTGTCGAGACCAGAACCACGACCGGCTGAGAAGACAGATCCATCATCCGCGGCCAAGTCGTAGGTATTCATGGGGATGACACTGCGGATGCGGTGGTTGAACATGCGCTTCCATTGGCCTTCACCGACCTGCTCACCGTGGTAAGCACGGGAAACAGCCTTGGCTGACCATTTCTGCTGGAAGAAAGTGCGGTTGACGGTAGGCGGATTGCGGAATCGGGACATGTTATACAGATTGTATTTGCTCCATGATTGACGGAGTTTCTAAAGTGGTCGCAGTTAGTTTGAGAAATTCCAGGTTTCTTGAGCATGAATTTGATAACATACGCCTTTCGACAAGGTGTTGGTAGCCCTGTTCCTCATTGTGGCGGCTGGATGAGTTCAATACTGCCTGGCGATATGGATCAGCTTGTTGGAGCGGCATTCAAAACTTCAGAGCACGTGATTGACAGTTTATGCCTGAACGATGTGGCATAAACATGTTTGCAATGGTTGCATTGTAGATAATGTTTGCTGTGTTTGTGTACATCCCTTGCTTATCCCTTGATCCACATCCTGCATCCTGATTGGCTGTCCCACAATCTCGCTTAGCACTAGCGCGCTTGTCGAAGAGGATAAATAGGTCGCTCTTCCCGCCCTCAACCTTCTCTCTTTTCTTCTTCATACTTACCTTGTTTGGGTGACTGCGATCATGAAGGCGGTTCACCACAGATTGGTCCCTGCATTGCACAGCGCGGCGGAACAGTTTGTTCAATGGCCTTCGGGTCATTGACAGGCGTATTCTTTGGCACCCTCCACTTGTGGAATTATTTCTTTTCATCAACGTTCCGCCTTGCGCGTGATCTTGGAGAAGAGTCAGTTCTCACTCAACTTGTTCAGTTATCCTACCCTGCACATAGTCCAAACATCCCAGCTTTACCCTAACTAATGTTTGGCTTTGATAGGCTACAGTGGAGCTACACTGGATTTTCATATGTATTGAGCCTATGCCACGGAGTACTGCTCACGGTGTACTTTGTATACTTTTGTTTAGCCTGACCGACCTTTATACAATGACTTTGGAACTTTAACAACTCTGCTGTCTTCTTTCCCACTTCACTGTACAAAGTGGCTTATATCATTAGATCTCTTGAAAGTGGCATACTGATGCTCCCCCTACTATTGCTGCCCGAGTGCCTTATTTCTGACGCCTTCCAAGGTTGAGCGTTGATGCCATTATTATGCCATCAACTGCTGTTTTGCTACTCCAGAGAATTAAGCCTTTCTTTCCATTGTTCCCAACTGGGCTTCCCAGATCTTCTCCCATTTTGTTCCCAGTTTTAGCACCTCTTCCTTCAGTTGAAGTCAGTACCACTAAGAGCACACAATGCCGAAGAAACGAGCAGGCTCAGAATCGGCATGCCCACAGTACTCTCGAGCCTCAAAACGCCCGCGCGCCGAAACCGACCCTGTGGCACGCCAAAACAGCGTGTTTACCAATAACATATACATACGACTCTGAGTCTACGAAAATAGCAAGCATTCCCAACGCAAAGGAAATCCTCGACTCATACAACCCCAGTATTCAACGAGACCATAAGGATATTGTGAAACCTGCCCTCTACGCATTCCTGGAGTTTCTCCCAGAGGATAGCAGACACGAGCTGATCACGGGCATAAATAAGACGGGTGGTAACGAGGAAACCCTTTATGGTGTTTTCGACAACCTGTATACCGGGCTGAGATCAATAAGTGAGGGTTCTCGACCCATTCTCGAAAACCACCGCTTATGGGATTACCCAGTGCTGTCTCGCTCAAGACGATCGTCCGTTACCTCCCCAATCTCGAAGCGAGAACAGCCAGAAGCACTTTCGACTTCCATGCATACACCCATCACACGACAAGAGGATTTCTAAAAGTCCCTTGCCAGGCGCGATGGTTATCAGTCCGTCGCCACAGGACATTATGACGAGCGTCGATATGATGAAACAGGACTTGACGACCTCAGCCTCAATCCCATTGAAACTGAAGGAGCCCATTTAATACCATCTTCCTACGGTAATCAGAACTCGAATGAGGTAACAAAAGTTCACTCCCGAGGTCTTCGTACTTGTGTATACTAATACTATCTCAAAAAAGCTATTACCAAACGACCCGAATCGTTCATGGGAGATTTTATTTCGATGTTTCCCTACACTCAGAACTATCGGTTTCAGACACACCAACCCGGACCTGAAAAATCCTGAAAACGGCTTAACTCTGTCCAACTGGGTTCACAGAAGATTTGGCGAATTCAAACTAGCTTTTAAAGCCACAGTCAGTCACAGATGCCCTTCTAGTTGAATAACCTTGGAACTAAATACTAGTCAGGATCTAGGATATACCAAACGAATACCGGCTCGAGATTTTCGGTAGACTTGAGGCTGGATTCCGAAAAATGCTACGTGATGTAGTGACTTTCGAGAACCTCGACCAAGAAGAGAATCATGAGCTACCATCACCAGAATTACTGGATTGTCATTACCGGTTGTGTCATATCTTGCACGCTTCCGGGATGGCAAAGTCATTTGAGTATGATTTCAACAGATGGGAGCAGATTAAAGAATCAATTCATGAGCTAAGAGAGGATGGGAAAACGGATGTCGCGGATTTTCTGAAAGCATCATTCCTATACGATTCCGTCCCTGCATATCCTGGTATTCCAAAAAGTTTATCTTCCCCCAAGCAGAGCTCTCCGAGTGTTCTAAACTTTCCGTTACTCTTGATGTTGATTCTAGCAAAGAACTGCCATGACCATAGCCCGAAGGCTGCTTTAAAATGATTGATACAAGCCTCAGTGCCGCGCTCACGCGCGGTCAAAAAGACAATGACCTCGGGATACCTAGGTAGTTGCCTATAAGCAGGAGTAGTTATGTATTGGTTTAATCTCTTATTTCCATTGGTAACGGAAGAAAGCTATCATCAACTTTGGGGCTTCTTTCTAACTGTCTTTCTAATTGTCCTTCCAAGGTTCCAACTAATTGTCGAGTCATCATGATTGGTCGAGTAAAAGAAGGCTTGGCTAAGCCGTGAACAGAGAATTAGGGATCGGGGATATACTGCTGAGGGGTCACGAGCAATCTGTTTTGCTCGGTTCAGGGTTTGGGTATTTCGACTTTCTACCGGCGCGCCACCCGTGGACCCATGTCAGATAATTCCACATCATTGTTGTCCCTAGTCTCAAAGATTGAGCCCTCAAATGCTCGCTTGATTTTGTGGTACTTCTCCTGCGACCAAGTGATAACATAGACGAAGAGTTGGTGGAAAGCTCTCAACGTGCGGAAGAAAAAATTCCTATCCAAAGTTGATAATCCTCGCTGCAGAGGTGTCGAAAACAGGAGAAAGATTGCTGTAGCCAAACCTGCCCCCTGGTCCAATTCGCCAAGTGAAGTAGACGAGCGAGGGATTGGCGGGCTGAAATGTACGTCCCACGAACTCACTGCGCATAAAGTGTCGAGTTGAGACCGATCAATTATAGCCCCTAGGAACGCAACAATCGGCATGAAACACATCAGTGCCAATTGTATAACGGGCGGATGAAGCGGTTGTGGCTGGCCAATCTGAGCGGGAAAACACCAAGCTAAAACTTTCGCTACAGGAAACCGCAGCATTTCTATCATTATGATAAACACCAAGCCCAGCATCTGGAAGCTGGCGACGTGGTTGGAAAAAGACCGTCCAATACATACATATTGTACGCGGCAGCTCAAGACTTTCAAACTACAGAGAAGGACGGTCATCCAAGCAACATGTCTCAACGTGACGTAATTGAAACTTGGTCGGTTCGACATAATCGCCAAAAAAGATATTGTTGATGAGATTTGAGCCACAGATGCTACTGCTTCATCTTGGGCTTCCCAGCGCTGGTTTTGGAAGGGAACGTGTCTGGTCAATTGTACACAGCACGCAATCAGGGGATATGCAACTGCGGCACAAGTGTTTGCATCCAGACGAGGTGAAAGCTCTCGCAGTTCTCTTCGGTATTGCAGGTATTGGAATCGGTTGCGGAGATCAATCAGATGATGGTGAAAATCATCAAACTCCATCTGCAACCACGGGAACGCAGTGGAAATTTCCTCGAAGAAGAGATAATAAAGACCATCTGTATCGATAGACCCTCGTGAATGGTATTCGACAAATCCACTTTGGTATTTGGAGAGTGACATATCCAAACGAGAATAAAGATTCAGAATCATCTCAGCTCGTTGGCCTGTGGCCTTCTCGTAATCCTTATGCAGTAGATGGGTGAGTTCTGTAATTGAAATATAATGAGGGTAGTGATGCCATAGAGAGATGTCAGAGCCTCGAAGGAAACGGCGGACAAATTCTGTTGTCCACTTTGGCTTCCCTTCTTTCTTTGCAAAAGCGACACAGAAGATACCATCAAGGAGCCTTCGCAACCTGCAAAGTTTCTCACGGTCGATCTCATGTCTGGTGTCCGAGTCACGACCGCTGCTCTCACCGGACCCCTCTTCCATGTCTTGTGGGAGTGGCAGGTCACGAATGTCCGGGTCGAAAATGCAAGCATGCTCGAGGCCCACGATAGGACCTGACCAAATGTGCCTGAGAAGCACACGGCCTTCATTGGGACCGAAAGCCATGGCGCAGACAAGAATCCAAGCCCAGAATGTACCCGGACCGTAAAATCCAGAGACCTCGGAGTAGTCGGTGATATGAGTTGCCTTAACATGGCACAGGAACATCATATTGATAGCCAGCAGGCATTGGCACAAGAGGGTGAGATCCCGGGGCCGTAAACGCGATCGTAGCCTTGGTGGAATTATTTGCCCCAAGACCGTCTGTGCTCGCCATAGGGCGATCTTTGTTGTTATCAAACTTTGGAGGATCGCATTATGGAAGAAGAGAGCTGATAATTGAGTTGCCGAGACATGGGACCAAATGCCCTGAATCCGTTGCAAACTCGCGAAAAACATGGTCCCCTCAAGTGATGATGATGGAGGGAGCACCTGGGCACTCGTGATGTCTTATGTATGCGCAGGTGTGCCCAGCTGCGAGGTTGCCTGCTCAGCCCCATCCATCGACGAAACAGCGAATCATATTGACTGACAAGGTATAAGCCACGCGCAGGGGTTGTAGATCATCAAACAAAAGATAGTGACGAAATCATGGTCTAATGCAAACTCGTTGATACGTATTTCTGTCATTATTTATTATACCTTTAGGCCCCGAACCAATTGTAGCCCAGATGAAACATTGCGCCCATTAAATATGCAATAGTCGTACAGTATGAATCCCTCACTCTCTCCTAGAACTTGAAAATACCTCCGCCAAGGAATCTGCCTCTTGAGGATTCGTCCATTCTTCAAGTAGCTCGTGAGCCATGTCAACAGTCTCGTCGTCAATGCCGGCCTCGAGCACTGTCCCGTCGCAGAACGCCAACCGAGTCAAGACCACAAGATGTTTCTGTTTACTACCAGGAACGCAAGCCAGTTTATCTTGCATGTTGATAGACGATCCATGCTGACGCATGACCCCGAAGACTAGCCGCATCAGCCCGTTGACCAGGGCAACGCGCAAATCCGATTCAGGCGGGGCAGAGTATAGCGCATCCAGCTCGTCGTGCATAGATCTGAACAAGCGGGCCAATGCATTGGGGTGTAATGCAAGTATCGTGCTTGCATGGCCCTGACCTTGGGTTTGAGCCATGGGGTTGAACGCTAGGGATTCCAGCAGGAGCAGAACTTCCAGCCGCATTGCACAGACGTCGTATGTGGTGTAGGGGGCGACACCTTCATCGGGGATTGCTGGCTCGCTGAGCATGTGAGTGAGACGGTCCACGACCCATTTTTGAACATCAAGTTGATCCTGGTCGGAGGATCGAATAGGCCCAAAGGAATTCGGTCGGATGCTTGTTGATAGGAGGTTCATTAGGAGGACAATATCGCTGAGTGGCTGGGAGGGGTGTAGCATCACGAGGATGAAGGATATTCGTATGCTTTGCCAGTATTTCTCCATTGCACTCCGTATGTGCAATACTCCGCACGCGATCTGGTAAAGCAGGCGCATGGCCCCAGTTGAGTCGACGAGAGGTTGTAGGTCAGATTGCGGGGTTTGGCGAGTGACCCGTTTGTCTCTTGATGCCGGGGCATATTTGAAACGAGGGACCGCGTTAATTTCCACAGAGTCCTGTAAAACGCTGACTAGGGGTTCGATGAGCTCTGGAAGTGGAGTGTCATCGGACATCAAACAATATCGCATGATAGACTCGAATCGAGGTATCGGTTCGTAGAATTTTTCGCTGATAGCACGCTGCCACAGAGAGGCAATTGTCTGAGTATATTCTAAAATGTAATTACTCGGGTCCACATGCGCCATGGCCTCCATAATGATGCTGGACATGGCTTTGTGTGGCTCTGAAGGGAATGAGAGCTTGACCATGGCCTCGAAGTCTGTATCCTCGCCCATCTTGGTGCGGTGGCCCAGAAGTCGCACCATGAATCGCTGGTGACGACTTGCCTCTGCGGCCTTGCGCTTCACCTCGTCGATGTTGGGCATGTCATCGGGAGCATCGGTCATGACAACCTCCCCGCCGGCAGGACTTAATTGCAACGGCACCGCACTATCTTGACTGAGTTGCCGTTTCCGTTTACCCGGAACTGTCGGCGTACCGCGTTTTGAACGCGCGGCAGACTTGCTGGGCGACACCATCGCAATCTCGTCATCATCGAACCCATCCCGGAAGGGAAGCACCCGGGATTTTCGAGGGGTCTCCGGAGCTGGTTTGTCGACCCGCTGCCTAGATCTGTAGTTTCGGTGCTGGTAGGCCTCATCCGCCAGTTCTTGCTGAAGGAAGACGTTCTCCGTTGCTAGCTGTTTGCCTTCAGACATCGCCGCTTCGACCTCCTGCTTGTGTTTGGCCATCTCGTCGGCCATGGATTTCCGCAGAGCCGCCAGTTGCTGGTCATGGCCTTGTGTGATCGTCGTTTGCTTCCTTCGGATGATTGAGATTTCCCCGTTCTTTGTTTCTAGCTGCAGCTTCGCGTCGGCCAACTCGCGCATCATTTGTTCTCTTTCTTGCTCCATCTGTAAAGCCTGTCAGTCCTGATCCAGTGAGTAATACCAAGCGCACAAGCTTACCTGCACCAGGCGCGCATTGATATCTGCCATATCTGCCTGCGCGTGGTATTCGTCCACCACCATTGCCTCGCCCGGCTGCTCTTGCGCAGCCCATTGCTGAGGTGCATGGGACTCATAGTGATATGAAACGGGGTGCTGCCCTTCCACATTATCGTAAACCTCGGCTTCCAGCTCTCCCACCTCGAGTGTATTGTAGTCATTGGTCAATCCGGTGTGTAGACGGGGTGGTTGCAAGGCTCCATTGAAGGATGGCTGGGTGGGCAGAACGGGGTTCACCGGGCGTGCTGAGGCCTGAGTTGCCTGAAAGGCATTTTGTTCGAGCTCATACAGCGTACCTGCTGGGAGGTCGTCGAAGTCGTCGGAGCCGTAATCGTCGTCGTCCATGCCCCCGCCATGAAGTAAAAGTGGTGGTTGATCATCCGAGGTCAGAAGTCTAGAAGTCTAGAAAGTCTTGGAGCAGGGGGGAGTCTCCAACCAAACACAACACATATAATTTTGATTTGTATGCAACCAAAAGCCCAAGAATTCAGCCCAAATGTCATTTAAATACTTCCATAATTAGCTATTCTACAGATCATTCGATATATCGAAATTGAGCCCAAAAAAGCATACACACCGCTTTCGCGCTTCACATGAACTCATCAACCTTCGACGATCTTCTCCTCTCCCACTCTCCCCTTCCCAGAATTTGATTTCTGGCCCCCCCTTAATCTCACCATGTCGAAAACTCGTCGTAATGTCAGGTTTACTCGCCGGAACAATGGCGAGCGCCGCTTGAGCGTGTCATCCGACGTCAGCGACGCCCCTTCGGAGCCCGCGAGCCCCAGCAAAAATGCCAACGGCCCCAAACCCGCAACAATAGCTGAAGAGGTTGGTGATAGCTTTGGATGCATTCGGATCATATCTCTGACGCGAAATTGCACTTTAGAAACCTCCCCAGTCCGAATACGAGAAGAAAAAGCAGACCTTCATTACCCGGACGATATGGAGCTTCGTAATGATCGCTGGTTTCTTCGTCGCGCTGTTCTCCGGTCACATCTATATCATCGCTCTCATCACCGGAATCCAGATTATCTCTTTCAAGGAAGTTATCGCCATCGCCAACATCCCCAATAAGGAGAAGAACTTGCGTTTCACCAAATCCTTGAACTGGTACTTTTTGGCGACGACGATGTACTTCTTGTACGGAGAAAGCGTCATCTACTATTTCAAGCACATTCTGTTGGTTGACAAGGTGTTGCTTCCTCTTGCGAACCACCACCGATTCATCAGTTTCACCCTTTACGTCATGGGTAAGTACCCCCGACTCCCCCGCCAAATGAGCTCAGCCCCAAATGAACACAGCTAATGTCAACTCGCAGGCTTCGTGTTTTTCGTTGGGTCGCTGCAAAAGGGCCACTACCGTTTCCAGTTCACTCAGTTCGCCTGGACCCACATGGCTCTGTACCTGATCGTGGTCCAAGCTCATTTCGTGATGAACAACATCTTCGAGGGCATGATCTGGTTCTTCCTCCCCGCTGCGCTGGTCATCACGAACGACATCTTCGCCTACGTTTGCGGAATTACCTTTGGACGCACACAGCTCATCCAGCTCTCCCCGAAGAAGACCGTCGAAGGTTTCGTCGGCGCCTGGGTCTGCACTGTTGGCTTTGGTTACTTCATGACCAAGTTCCTTATGCAGTACAAGTACTTCATTTGCCCCGTCAATGACTTGGGCGCGAATGCCTTGACCGGCTTGGAATGCGTCCCGAACGCAGTCTTTACCGCTCAACCCTATTCGCTTGAGCTGTTTGGCCTGGACAAGACTTTCTACATCGAGCCTATTCAGTTCCACATTTTGGCCTTTGCCACTTTCGCTTCGCTGATTGCGCCTTTTGGTGGTTTCTTCGCATCTGGCCTGAAGCGCACCTTCAAGATCAAGGACTTTGGCGAGTCTATTCCCGGCCACGGCGGTATCACCGACCGCATGGACTGCCAGTTCATCATGGGTTTCTTCTCCTTCATGTACTACCACAGCTTCATTGCTGTCTACAAGGCTAGCGTGGGCGACATCATCGAGACTGCGATCAACGGTCTGACTGTTGACGAGCAGCTCGAGGTCGTCCGTGGCCTAGGCAAGTACCTTTACAACCAGGGTGCTGTCTCTGAGTCGGTATGTATCTACGAATTATCTCAACTAAGGGAATTTGCTAACGTGCTTTAGATCCTCGAGTGTCTCGTCACTGAGCTCAAGCGCCGATGAACTCGAACCTTTCCGGCCAGATCAAAAAGTCCCCACATTTATGACGCTCTTCTCTCTTCAATTCTACATCGAGGACGACGACCCTTCAACCCCGTGCTTCTCCAACTCTCCTCATAAGGACCTGCCGTGTCGATCTTCCGACTCCGATTATCTTTCTCGACCTGCCTGAGATGCATGCAAAATGCATGCATCATGCACCCCGCCTTACCCGCCTTTCAACACGGCATCTGAAGCATGGCAAGCACCCTAACCCGGTGTCACAATTCGTCCACACCCGAGGCACGGGGGTAACTCACCTCTTCTTTCCATTTACGGCTGTTTCTGTACTTTTCTGTCTAGTACTTCTTTTTTTCTTGCTGATTATGCCGGGCTCTGGACTAATCTAACTTTGATGACTTGCAGTGCTCGGTCAATTGACCTGGGGCTTTGTTATATTTGTGTAGGAACAGCGGCTTCCCCTATATCGATGGGGCAGTGATTTTCTGGTTCTCACTCGCTAGTCTAATTTGGCCTTGCTCTGTAGGCTTGGCATAGCGGGCTGGAGATTTGTACATAGCTTCCAATCCAAACGTTGGAGCTGATCTCATTCAATTTCCTCTGTGTAGGCGAATTCCTAGGTAAAAATGCTGGCCAACTGGTCATCAATAGTGTTTCATTTGCATTTATGTATCGATATTTCGTCTCTGGTCATAGGTATCGGGGGTATCGGGAGACAAGTGAATTCCAATGAGCAATACTCCGAATTCGAAAGTTGCAGTTCAATCGGTAGATTTAGAAAAAGACCCCTGGACACAGATTCCTCAAGTCTTGCTCATCAGTCCCGTGAATGCGTAGCTAGATTGGGTAGATCCATGAATGGCGATGGGCTATCCCAACGAGCAACAGCGACCGCCATCAGCTGGTGTCCACCTCACGGATCAATGTCGCTGTTCCGACCTTTCGAATTTCCCTCGAATCTGCTTTGTTTTCGAGAAGCTTTCACACTCCGCAATTCGGCACGGCCATGCAGAGAAAAGTCCGCGAATGTCCTCAGTGCTCAGCTTCATATTCTTCCATTTCAACATCGAAGTAGCGCGCCACCTCTCGTTTCTCCTCATCCGCACATGCAGGATCAAGCATGAACCGCACTGCCGCATCGCGCCCTCGTTCGCTCGTCTTTTGACTCTCACCGTTCGCCGCGATCGGCGTGAGTGGGTGGGCGATTCGATGAGAGTCATGCAGTCCCCCTGAACCGTTGGATGGCTTTTGAGGACGATCAACCCAAACGTTGTATCGAGGGATATGCTGCTCACTGGCCTCTTGATTGAGGGGGATGCGAACGGTAAGGAACCTGTCTTCAGGGAATTCCGACCCGACAGTCGTATGTGAGCGGTGATGCGTGTATAGTTCTAATAGATCGAACAAGGTTTCTGCGGTTGTTAGAATGGCCACATTGAATGAAATCGCGTGCGCTTACCCATTACTTCCGCGCGAGTTGTGTTCCACTGAGCATAGTCCTGCCCGGATTCGACCTGTTGGGCGCGCTGATCTAGGAGTCGCCCTGCAAGTTCGAGGCAGCCGAAAGCCATGGCCGAGGAGCCCTGTTTGATCGGAGCGAATGTGCGATAGAGATCTGTTGAGATTCGATAGGCAAGATTGGCGACCTCGGAATCTCGAGGTAATCCGTAATGCCGGCTCAATTTCATGAGGGTCTTTTGGGGGTGCCGAGTGCGGAAATCAAAGCCCGAGGCTTCTAGCATTAGTCGCTCAAGACCGATGATACCCCGTGCATTTGTTTCAAACATCTGAAGCTCTCGTTAGTCCTGGTTCTGTCGTCTTTGTGATTGCAACTTACTGGATCATCGGCTGATAATTGCTCCGAAGGTGAGACTTTCAAGTTGTATGCGGCACACACGATATCACGCGACTTCTTGAGCGTATCTTCAATCTTGCAGGCCGTGAATAAAGCTGCAGCCGCAGCATCCTGTGGTAGAATCAGCACAGGCGCTTCGCATGTGGAGATCAAGTGAGCTTACTGAGAAGTTGTACTCGTTGTCTGGATGCACCAAACGGAATCGATGGTAATAACCCACTGCCGTGTCAAATGTACGAATAGGTCTGTATGATCAATTAGACATTTGAACATCGTTGATCGTCGTTGTGTCTGGTTCGAATTTCACATACAGGTTCAAAGCTCTTCGTACCTCATCGAGCCACGCCACGCCCTGAAGACGCGATGAAGTCTCGCGAGGAGGTTTGACCCCCATCGATTCGATGCAGCTTTCAACCGTTTGCTCGAATATGTATGGGTTGGCCACCTGTATAAAAGACGGATGGATGGCTGGAAGGGGCTGTTCGCGCATGGCGCCCCCTCGAGGTGATTCCCCCTCCATGCTGTATGACATCTCTTCTCCAGGGGAGTTTTTGATACTAGCAATTGCAAGATCTAGTGAGGTGCTCCAAAATCTGGGAGTTCAAGGTGAGCTGTAAAGTGGTTGAATTGATACCATCACGTGCCGAGACATGTCGGATATTTTGTTGTTCCGACCGAAGTACATATCTCAAGTGAGAATCCTCTGCTTTTAGTGTTCATGTAAAGATATTGATATGACTGCTGAGTTTCATCTTGTTGATTAAAAAGCTCAATCTAACTTCAAGAGTATCCAACTTATGACTCGGGGACTGTTCAAGGGACCCCACGACCAGACCGCGTTGCCTTCGCCAACTCACTCTGAGCAGTGTTATCCGCATATCTCTTGTAGATTGGAAGATAATGCTCGGTGTCACTGGTCGTCTCTTTGATACTCTTTCTATTTTCAATGGCAGCTAGCCACCTTCCCCACCTTTCCCAAACTGCACTGTCAGACCCATCAGGGATCTCCAGTCCACCCTTGAACTCATCGAATACCCACAATCGGACCGCCCAGGGAGCTAGCACCAAATCTGGCAGACTAATGTTCTCTCCGAGGAAGAAAGGTCCATCAGGGTGCATCTCTTGGGTCCAAGATTTGAGGTGACTCAAAAATTCCTGTCGAGCCTGATCCAAGCCCGCATCTGCATCCTTCGCATCCGCAGACTGGTACTGCAAGAACCGATGAAAGGATGGAATGATTCGAGAAGTTACATAGTCAATCCAGATCCGGGCTCGGGCGCGCTCATAAGGATCTTCTGGAAGGAACCGCGGTCCATGATCTGGGTATGCCTCTTCCAGATATTCCAAGATCACGGTAGACTCGTAAAGAGGTCGTGGGGGATCTGGAGTTGAAAGAGTTGGGACCAGACCGCGTGGGTTGAGAGTCAACAGTGACTCTGGTTTGTTGTATGGATTGACTTCGATGTATTGATATGGGATCTTTTTCTCTTCGAGTGCGAGCCAGACTCGTTGCACTGAGTGGTCAGTATTGATATTGCTGGGAAGTCCGACTAGAAACATACCAAATCTGTATACATTAGTTATGTTGGATTGCTTCATGGGGCGGGGTTTCTTACGGACAAAACCACCCCGCATACAGCTTCAGGGGCTGCTCGGCTTGATGTCGGTCAACCAGTGTCTTGGCTAGACCGCTGGCTTCGGGGTAAAGGTTAGAGTCTGGGTGTGCGGGCATACTGAGATGAAAGTAAGAAGATGTTAAAGAACATAGAAGGAAACCATTGGAGGCAAGTCAAGTAAAGTCAATCAGGTCACGAATATCCGCGGGAAATGATGTCACTCACAGCATGGATCTCTAGCGACGCAACGGTCAACTCGCCGTTCCAGGTCATTCGATTCTCCGGGTCGAAAAAAGAAATTGACCAATTTAATATATCAAAAGACCTTTGGGTAGGTTGCAATGAAATTGAATACCTGAAGACTTGAAAGTATGTATACTATTAGGATCTTGGTGATGTACTAAGTCTTTGTTCTTAAGTTATGATATCCTTCTAATCACCTCTGCTCAAGTGTAGGCAGCTCCGGGGCATGACCGTTGATAGCAATTCCCTTCAGCCCGTTCAAGACTCCATTGTTTAGAATGTGCTTCTTGGATCCTTCGGCACTCGATGCCTGCGCATGCAAAGAAGGGACATCGTGCTGCTGGTTAACGGTATAGCCAGTATCACTGGCATCCACGTATGCCTCAACCCCAGCACCTCGTCGCGGGTACTCTTTCATGAGATTCTTATGACGGCGGAGCGCACGAATCATCTCTTCGTTGGCAACGTCATTCAAAAATTCACAACTACCCAGAGGACTTGGCACCGCTGCGCGCAGCAGTCCGTCTCGAGTCTTCAAGATAGCCTGTGTGGCCTTGTCGAGAATCTCCTCATTGAAGAGCTCATGGTCCATAGAGAGACCCGCGCGAGAGAACAGGGCTAACAATCTCCGATGCTCTTCGTCACTGAGAAGGCCGCGGTCGTTGGCCAGGGTGGCAGAATAAGCCATGTCTATCGAGATGGCATGGCCGTGGCGAAGAGGAACTGGTGGCGCGAGCTGTAACAATGTCAGAAGAATGGTCTTCGTATCTCCATCAGTGTACTGACCTCGTGGAGAGGAGACCATGTGTGGCCATAGGCGATGACCCGGTCAAGACCAATCTCATGCAGATTGGGAGTCTCCAACTTGAGCATCTCAAAGATACCATTCCGGTTGATCTCATCCGCAGCTTTCTTAATCTCTCCATCTTGGACGGAAGAGCGCCCGAACTTGGTCTTGATCAACCGCTCACAGAATTCATCGAGCAAATCGAATGTTGGCAAGTGAGCACAACTCGAGATCTTGATCAGCTCGGCGAAGCCGTTTCGAACTTGAGCCTCGGGCAAGGTTCTCAGGAATCCGAAATCAAGAAGCGTGTGCATGGGTGCATGGTAGGCACCGAGTCGGTTCTTGTAGTTACCATAGTTCACAGCTACCTTGATGCTGACGCTGGCGTCAATCAGGCCGATGACGGTTGTTGGGATGCGAATGTAGTTGGTGTTGCGACGATAAGCGGCACAGGCAAATCTTTAGACATGTTAGATATCACATCGAGTTAGTTAGGGGTAATCATACCCTGCAACGTCGGTGACCAGTCCTCCACCCTGTGATGTATCAGTAACTGTTATTAACGTTGTTTCTCACAAAACATACCACAACCAAGACAGGCTCCTTGCGAATGATTCCGAAATCCGTCATTGAATCCACAATATTGGTGAATGTATCCAATGACTTGGCCTTTTCTCCGATCATTGTCTGGTGAATCTTCAATTCGATGCCATGATGATCGAAATACTTCTGCATCTGCTGTCCATACAACTCATAGATGTTTTTATCCATGATGGCTAGACAGCGGCCCCATTTCTCGTATAGCTTTGCTAGCTGCAAACTCGAGAGCTCAAAAACGCCGTCAAGAAAGGTGAAGTCATATTCGATCTTCTCATACCCTTCAACGTGAAAGCCGTTTGTGGTTTCAGCTACCGTGGCCTTGAGATCCGACATGATGGTAGCTTCTTTATTCACAAAAAAGAAACGCGAGGGGGAAAAAAAGCGAGGATGATAAGAAGTAAGGCGATTGAGGCGAATTGATACTTCAAATATTTGGAACGGAATCCATGGTTTATATACAGTCTCTGACTTCACACACATGTACAAACTGTGATCGCGTAGATACGTCACTGCACCACTTTGCCATAACTCGGAGGTCAAGCTGCCCAAAAGTCCGCAAAGACTGCATTGTGAATGCCAAGTATGCAAAGCTGTCTACGATGGAGCTGACTGACTTTGGAGAACCAAGGCATCAGTAGGTGTAATCGACAGGATCAACCGAAAACGAACAGCGGTGCTGCAGTCCATGGGTCATGTGGAATTAGGTTGGCGGGTCAACAGGATATGATGTTTGGCTAAATGGGGGTTTTCCGTGCCTGAGCTGTGCTTGAGCTGTGCTTGAGCTGTGCATGATACGAAAACGACGGGTTAGGAATTAATTTTAGAGTCTGGGCCTTTCCCCGGACAGCTTTCAAGATTTCATGTAATGAGGTCATATCAGACCTCAGTGATTCGATCTCTGATCCGATCTCCGCATGTCAAGCAATTATCCACTTTCCGAGTAGAATCGATCGGATTAAGCTTGCGATGGCCAGAAACATCCGATCGAAACCGGGCCTTGAGGGAAAACGATCGGCCGATGTAGCTCTGCACTATCACGACATCAACAACCTCGCCCGATCGATTTTGTTGGATCTGCGTGATATTCTGGAATCCTGTTCCATCAATTGACACGTAGTTTCACATATCACACGTGTCTCCTATCTTCCATTTCAAGTCAGAGTAAGATCCGAAACGGGTGGTTTGATCAACGGTGCACTAAATCGGCTTCTCCACTATTTCTCCCCGCCCCGGCGGTAAATGGTTCTTCCTCTACCTACACGTGCAATTGATTACTTCTTTGGCGTTGATTCATTGATTACGGCGGGCGCATAATTGAAAGCAAATCATATCGCCAAATCTCCAGGTGCTACCCCTCTATCCTTTTCACCTATCTATCAAATCCACAGAGCACGCTCTGAATCATGGCCGACTTCAATCAAGAGAAAGCGTATGCTACCCAGGAGGATGGGGCTGATTTCTTCGACGATGGTCGCGAAATTGAGCTCCTGCATTATGTCTACTCGCGTCCCCATCTGGAGGACATCCGCGGGTCTCCGGAAAAGGTTCTTGAAGCCATTGACGAGTATGGACGAACGAAAAAGTACTTGATGAATGTAGGCGAGAGCAAAGGCCGCATTGTATCTGATCTCATTGCAGAGGTGAAACCACAAGTGATGGTGCGTTAAACATCAAGTTGAAGTATACGAGCAAATCCACTAACGACGATGGTACAGGTTGAACTGGGTGGTTATATCGGTTACTCATGCATATTATTCGGCAACGCAGTTCGCAAAGCAGGCGGAAAGCGCTACTACAGCCTCGAAATGAACCCGGAGTTTGCGGCAGTCATCATGTCATTGGTCGATCTAGCTGGCCTTTCAGACATCGTCAAGGTCATTGTCGGTGCAAGCGATGCTTCTATTGTGCGCTTGGTCTCGGAAGGCCAGCTTCATCACATCGATCTCATGTTTCTCGATCACTACAAACCAGCTTACACGACAGACCTGAAGCTCTGTGAGGAACTGAAATTGATTACTCCGGGCTCTGTCTTGGCTGCTGATAATGTTATCAAACCTGGCAACCCACCTTACCTTGAGTATGTTAGGAGGACTGTTGAAGAGAAAAGAGAGAATCTTGGGGAAGTGGTCAAGAGCCAAGGCATACCTGGCAAGACCGTTGATCAGTACAAGAAGAGGTATGGGGATATGCAGTTCAACCAGAGCTCGGGCAATCCCAATCTCGTATACGAGAGCGAGCTGATCCACAGCTTTGAACCCACTGGGGTGCCGGTAAGATCATTCAGCAAGTGGAGACAGACAAGCGCTAACTTGCATGCAGGATGGTGTTGAAATCACCCGATGCACAGGAGAACATCAATAGTTTCCACATAAACACTTATTTCCTTGATATTCTCAATCCGAGTTGCGATCGATCGATCGCATAGAGCATATAACAATTTTTTTTCTTTTCTGGTTTAGTTGAATTGTCAGGATGACGTAGTCTAAATGAAGGCGTGTTCCATTCGCATTAATGGTTCGATCTGCCCAAAGGAATCGCATAGGGAATTATTTCGTTCTCCAGTTGGTTTGGAATTGTATTGCATGTCTGGGCAGCCATGGATTCCCCTCGCTCTCTTTTCTTCGCCCGTCACGTGCCAAAGAATATACTTTTGCTCTTTCTCAGTTTGATATCCCTTCCGATCACTGCTTTGTTGATCTTCTACTCTGTTCTTTTCGGCCCAAGTTCTAAAAATGGAACTTCCAAGACACCAAGGGTTGATGGGTACCCTCGCAAGACTATTTTGGTTACCGGGGTCTCCATGACCAAGGGCCTGACCATTACCCGACTCCTCGCCCAACACACTTCACACCACATCATAGCCGCTGATACAGAGCTCTTATACTTCACATCACCGGGTCGGTACTCTCGCTCCATCGCCAAGTTTCATCGTTTAGATTCGCCACAAAATGGAAATCCAGTTCCATATATCAAGTCCTTGTTGCAAGTTCTCAAATCTGAAAGAGTAGATCTTTGGATTAGCTGCAGCAGCGTCATTGGCGCAGTTGAAGATGGGCAAGTGATGAAGACAGCCCAGAAAACATTAGGAGACACGTTCAAGGTCATCCAATTCGATGATGAGGCTGTGGCCAAACTGCATGAAAAGGATGCGCTCACGGACTATATTCGCAGCCTTGGATTGGTCGTGCCAGAATCCCATCGGTGCACATCTGTTCCGCAGGTCGAAAATATACTGCATGACACCTCAAAGCAAAACGAGATTTCAAACGATTCAAAGAGGTTCATTCTGAAGCCGATCGGGGTGGATGATAAAGCGAGGGCCCAAATGATGACGCTGCTGCCTTTCGCTCAAGATCAAGAACTCGACACCGCGTCTTACCTGTCTTCATTGAATATCTCGCCATCAAACCCATTCATCTTACAGCAGTTTATCACCGGCCCCGAGTATTGCACACACTCTTTGGTCATCCAAGGCAAAGTGAAAGCATTCGTTTCATGTCCTTCTTCTGATATGCTCATGCATTACGAAGCGCTCCCAGAAGACTCGGTTCTCAACCAAACGATGTTGGAGTTTACGCAAAAGGTCGCTGAAAATGAAGGAGAGAGTTTCAGCGGCCACCTCAGTTTTGATTTCATCGCTGAAGGCGAGGGTACAGATTTGAAAATATATCCAATTGAGTGCAACCCCCGCGCACATACAGCGGTGGTATTGTTTCGAGAGACGGAGAAGATGGCTGATGCATATCTTTCTTGCTTTGATTTATCTGCCTCCACCCAGTCCGTCATTGTACCCAAGAAGCCTACTTACGGCTTCTACTGGATTGGGCATGATGTAGTTACTCTTCTTCTTGTTCCCCTTTTGGCGTTGCTTTGTGGAAAAGGTAAATTCGAAGATGCGACAAAAAACGCCAAGACATTCTGGCATCATTTAACATGTTGGAAGGATGGCACCTTTGAGATTTGGGACCCATGGCCTTTCTTCGTGCTTTATCATGTTTATTGGCCGGTTCGATTCTGTGATAGTCTGGTCAAGGGACAGAGCTGGAGTCGAATCAATGTCAGCACAACCAAGATGTTTGAAAGCTGAAGACTTTCTGTCATATGACATTAGTTAGTGAGTTATATACAGAAATAGGCTTGAATCAAGGAAGAGGCCAAATACCCCTGCCCCTTGCAGACAAGCTAAGCCACTTCTGGCCCTCTTGCGTGTGATATCTGATCCGTGACCCCGCACCCAGGGACTGTTATTTTGCTGTGCAGCATGAGAGTCAATCCTAGGGAAAATATGAATTAATCATAGGAGTAGATATGGTCTCATACGGACGTCATGCCGTTTTGACATTCCTTGGCTCCGGGTGTAGTTCGCGATCGACCAATCAAATCATGCGGGATCATGGTCCGCCAATCTGATCCATCCGATCCACAGACCTCGGGATGGCGCGCCTGCACTATAAAAAGCGGCCCCGGGGAGATGCGACAGGAAGCAACTGCATCGAGCGTCCTGTCCAGATCGGGAGAATTAATGTATGTCACAGACGTACCGATCGGACTATCTTACAACGCTCAACGTTCACGAGTGCCATTGGACATAACTGTTCTGACAAATCTAGGCCCTGCTCAGACCCTGCACGTTCCGTTTGCAGCGCTAATACAACAAAAAAGAGAAAGCTTGGGGTGCATATTCAAGGCAATCTGCCCGAGAACCGGTTTGCTCAAAGGCCATAGACCGCTTATTGTCCATCGGTCAAGCAGCCCTGATGCGGACACCACCAGTCAATACTCCCATACATGTTTGATAGATTAGCGTTTCTGTAGAACCAAAGCCCGGCTCCTGTGCTTGATTCTCTGCGCCCAACAAAAATTCCAGGTACAATGTCTGTTTCCAAAAATGGAGAGGTTAAGATTACCCATGCAGAGGACAATGGAGGTTCGAGTCGGGCCGATGGAGATGCGAGTTCTTCCGAGGGTCATGTCTCGTTGGGGGACATTATCGAAGGCACGGCTACGCACCAAGCTACCATTTTTGAGCGCAAAGCTGCACTGGTGAACGCGTATGTATTCAGGTCTCAAGTCGCCAGATCATGGGTATTGAATACTTACAAATGTAGGGAAATTGATAAATTCGGGTTCGGCAGATACCAGCAATGCATCTGGGTGCTGTGCGGGTTCGGATATTTCCTGGATCTGGCTTGGACCCAGGGCGTTGGGCTGATGGCTACAGCTGTTTTGTAAGTAAATGAGTCTGGGAGGAAGACTTATTTTCTAACCCCACGATAATAGTCAGGAGATGAATGTGCCGCCAAGTAGGCAGGGATTGATTTTCTCATGCTCAAATGCAGGTCTTGCGTGAGTGATCTTGGAAGATGATATAGATGCGCCGTCAATATCGGAAGCTAATGAAGTAGAATTGGGGCTTTCTCGTTCGGCATTATCACAGATATCATTGGTCGCAAGTGGGCCTTCAACTTGACATGCCTTATTACTTCGGTTTTCGGCATGCTCCTGGTCTGTACCCATGCTACTCCTGCATTTATTAAAAAATTAAGGACTAGCACTGACACCTCTTCAGGCTGCGGCCAAGTACAATTACGCCGCAATCTGTGGTATTTATTTTCTCTCGTCTGTCGGTCTTGGAGGCAACATTCCCATCGACGCAGCTATCGCTTTGGAATTCCTCCCACAGAATCGCCGCTTTCTTGTTGCCTTGCTGGGTATATGGCAACCAATCGGTGTAGTCGTTGCATCAGCCATATCTTATGGTACGGCAGCGAGGTATAGATGTGACGTGGAATTGCCGGCATGCAATGCTGCTGGTGTCAACCCTGGCGACGAATGCTGCTCTATATCTAGCAACATGGGCTGGCGATATGAAGTCATTGCGATTGGGTTAATAACCTTCGTTGTGTTTTTTGTTCGGTGTCTCGTTTTCCACTTCCATGAGTCGCCAAAGTTCCTGATCAGCAAGGGTCGCGAGCAAGACGCCATTGAAGTCCTTCGAAAGATCGCAAAATTCAATAATGCCCCAGCGCCCACACTCACCCTCGAAGACTTCCGCCAAATAGATCCAGATCCAACTCCCAATTTGGAGACCCCCAAGTCCGCTAAGAAAGTTGCTGTTGGGTTCTTGAAGCGCTTCAAATATCTGCGTGGTTTGTTCCAGTGCAGAGCCGAATGCTTCAGCTTTGCTCTGCTTGCCATTGCGTATATGGTCAGTCTCCTCAGGGTCTCTTATAAACAGCAACTAACTGTGCTAGGGTGATTATTGGTCTTTTACTCTAGCCGGATCCTTTCTTCCGATCATCTTGCTACGAAACAACGTGGAAAGTGGCGGGAATGTCTCAGAGACGTACCGTCAATACATTTACATCTACCTTCCTGGAATTATAGGTGCTGTCATTGCGCTCTTCTCGATCCAGCTGCCCTTGATAGGTAGGAAATGGTCGCTGGTCATTGCTGCGGTGCTGCAGGGCGTCTCGATGGCATTGTATACACAAGTGAGAAACACGGCTGGATACGTCGGGCTCAATGCGCTCGAGTATATCATGCAGACAGTGAGTGGAATATGACTATCATGGAGACAGATTCGAGGATCGAATTCCCGTTGACACTTTGTTTGCAGTACTTCAATGCAGTACTCTACGCATCTGCGCCGGAAATGTTCAACACGAGTTACCGCACGAGCGCCAGCGGAATGCTATCCTGTCTAGGCCGTATTTCCGGAATTGTGGCCCCGTTTGCTGGTCAAAAATATATCGAAGGGGGGTCGGCTGGGGTGCTTTGGCTTGGAGCTGGTGGAATTTGGGTCTCAGCCGTTTTCCTTTGCTTCTTGCCAATTGAGATGAGCAATCGAGAGATGTACTAGATGGGAAAACTGACTGTTGTATATAATATTCATCAGGATATAATCGATAACATTACGGCAAGATGGTCTGAAGAAGTTCCGAGGTATTTCGTAGTTGGTCAGTGAGATGCCTTTCCATGCGTTCCTTATATTTCAGGCCCCTCTCCGCTCTTATCAACCTTATCGTGTCGGACGCGACCAGACAGCACCACACGCGTCCACTCCACCAGTGTCGACTTGCCTCGCAAGGCAATCATGAGTGAATCCGATACCAGTATTGTGCCCTGAAGATGTCCACACCGTCATCCTCGACGCGAAAACCCCCTCACTCACCGCAGGTCACTGCCTCCGTTGCCAAATTTCGCTGTCTCTACAGCCATGACCTCCGCCGCAAGTCGAAACGATGGCACGACGGCCACCTGCGATATCATAAGCATAACAAGCGTGTGATGGTCTATGACGATTCGGGCAACTTTATTGGTGACCACCACTGGAGATCTCTCGATGAGGTTCAAGATGGCGACGAAATGGAATTGGACAAAGGTGTGCTGATTGAAGTGGGCGAAAATATGGGGATCACGGAAACAGATATCAGCAACTTGTACGAGAAGAAAAGATCAAGCCAGGGCTCACCTCAGAGCCGAGATCCTGTTCCGTCAGCACCCTCTGCCTCTGCCGCTACACCGACGCCGCGCTACGGTGGTTCGTCCCAGTCATACCGTTCGCTCAACGATTTACTCGGCATCAAGAAAACTCCTGTCAATCCTTTTGCCTCCCCTTATGAGCAGAGACATGCTGTACCGACTCCTCCAAGAGTTTCTGGGCCCGAACCAGCGCCCAAGCGACAGAAGACATCAGCAGTGAATCAGCCTACGGAAAGCCCACTATCTCAGGGCCAAATCATTGATTTGACCGAGTTGAATCCTGAAAGGAATCCAACAAGGACATCAAACTCATCGGCCAGTCAATTGACGCGAGCCGGTGGAAGATCGACTCCCGAAACTTCAACAAGCAATACGCAAGGTCCAGCCTTGTCGCAACGGGCAAACCCACCACGGCCCGATCTTCATACTGCAGCCAGGCGCCCGGTTCCGGCTGTGTCCCAGCCAGGCGCCAGTTTACCATCGTCAGAAGGATCAAGTCGCCCCATACATCGTCCTATTCCGCCTTCAAGGCCCTCCAATGGCACGACAACACCTGCGCCACCTGCACAATCACGGAGAACGACCGGGACATTCCCAGAGTCCAACCCCGCAGTGCCATCAGAGCAAGAGCCACCCCGGCCTCGAGGGGCATTGCGCGCACCTGAAACCTCGCGCATTCGTGAGCATCGACCAAAAGCTGCCCCTACCAAACCACCTGCGCCACCAAAACCACCTACTCCTCCCAGACCACCTGCACCTCCTAAATCGCCTACGCAGAAGCCTGATCTCCCTCCCTCCGGCACTGATGTATCAATGACGGTTGAAGCACCCCACTCACGAGAAACCCCGGCCAGTAAGGAGCCAGCCATCAGCTGCGAAGATCGTCAACAGAGCGCGCAGCTGCCAACAAAACCCCAAGAACGCCCGTCAGTCTCAAAAAGCCCGCCCCTCGCGAGTTCAAATGCTCCCAATTCTCGACCAAAAGCTGCACATTCATCTCCCACGGTCTCTAACAGCGAACCTGAAAGCACCACCAATGTGCCAACGCCGAGCAACATGCCACCCCCAGCACGTCCAGTGTCGAGAAAGCCATCTGAGACTACCCCTGGCGGACTTCGCATGGGCGGCGGACGGCCACGCAAAAAGCTCATGTACAGTGCCTTGCTACCCGGTGCTTCACGGACGCCTTCACCAACGACATCCAGCTCACCTTTGGGTAGCGGAAATGACCCACCTACCATAGAACCCCAGGAGCCAGAGTTAGTATGTGTCTTTTGCTTGGCATGAGAACTAACGCTAACATTAATGTAGTATGAACTCTGACCTTGTGGGTCCAATTGACTCCACAGCCAGTGACGAGTTCGTGCCCACCAGCTCGACACGGCTCATTTTCGATGAAATCCTCAATGGATCAACGCTCAGCTCGTCGCCTCCAGCAGCGAGGGGAAGAAGATCTCATGATTCAACGTTCCGAAAATCATTCTCAGATCCAACTGCCTTGGCTGGCCTCCGGGGCAATAGGGACCCTATCACGGAGACTAACACAGACAAACGCGTGACGAAAGGGGCCTGGTCATCTGAAGCATTAGACTTGTTTGACTACTGGCCTGCGGGACGCGAAAAGCCGAGTGAATGAACCAATATACCCATATGACTTACGATATCCTTCATCTTCATACTTATCGATCTAAGCAAGCATGTACATAGATGATACCCAATTGCATTGACAGAACGACCACAATATCTCGAAACACGTATTCTATCTCTCTTGACCTGACCACAGCTTGAAACTAAAAAACCAAGACCATCATCTCACGATAAACCAACAAAATCCCCTCTAACCCCTCTTAACCAAAGTCCCCGAGATATAAGGCATAGCAGACCACTCAAAACTCCTCTCCAACTCAACACTCTCCCACCCCTCAGCACCAGCAGCCCCCCTCAACGCCTTCTCAATATCCCTATTCAACGCACAATCCCCAATAAACCAACTCCACCCAAGCGCCTGATAAACCACCTGCGCAACCCTCGCAAGTAAAGACCCCTTCGCCCGTCTCCACGGATTAACAACATGCTCCGTAACCAAAATCCGACCCCCAGGCTTCAACATCCCATAAAGCTCCGAAACAGTCTTCTCCATATTCGGCACAGAGCACAAAACACGAACACAAAGAATCGTATCAAAAACACCCTCTGAACTAACATCAACTCCCGAGTCCCGTAGAGCCGGTGTCAGTTCGGCGGCCGCAACGCCAGTGGGTAGGATATGGTATTTGGAAGAAATGCCCTCTGCCTCGGCCTTTGCGCGAAGTGCTTTGTGGAGACTTGTGCATGGCTCTGCGCCGTATAGCGCGGTTATGGAGGGGGATGTTAGAAGGGGCATTTGGGTTCCTGTTCCTGGGCCTATGTCTAGGACTACGCCGCTGGCTGTGCGGAGGAGTGGGGGGATTAAGGCTGAGGAGCCGACTGGGGTGGGGAGTTCAGTGTTGTTTGGGTCGGAGGTCATTTGGCGGGGGCCTGGGATTGTTAGGATTTGGGGTTGTTTGGTGGATGATGAATGGTGAAGTTGAAGGTAAAAGGTGAAAAGTGAGAGGTGAAGGTGAAGATGGAGTGGTAGTGCGGGGGATTTGTGGGATTGATGTTGACAACTTACTGCTGAATTCGATCCAGAAACTGCCAAAGGCTTCATCTCGTAGTTTGGAGGTTTGGCTGATTGGGGCTAGGATTTGGCCTTTGAATATTGTTTTCGTGAAGACTTTCACGTAGTCTGAATTTCGGATTAGTGGATTATACAACGTGGATGATGTTTTTGAGGCTGGTGAGCTGGTGAGGTGGATTGATATAAGAGTTGATAAGAGCAGGACGATGAGTTGGAGGGAATTCAATGTCTCGAGAGAATATCCACAGACAATGATTTAGAGAAGAAAGTGTGTGAAGAGGAATCAGAGTGGATTTGGACATCAGCCCATCATCCATCAGCCCCAATCCCCTCTATCATCTCAACCGGAACTCGGATCTATATCATCTCTGTACTTACGGGGTATGGCCCATGATATGATCTGAGCGGGGACGGTCAATTCGACCATCCGCTGGAAGAACGGCGGGGGAACATCGGCAGACATGGCGAGAATTGAAAGTAAGCCAGGGGATAATGGATGAGATCTAGTTCCCACGTCGAAAGTAGTTTTATGCTAGAGGCTCTCACGTGACGCGGAGGGTTTTGCGCGGGTTCGGCGTTTGAACTGCGAATCAGATCGGAGGATTGTAAGGAAACGGTCAATTCCATTGGTTGATCCTACGATCCAAGGAGAATAATTAGACATAATCCAACGAAATCAAATACTAAATCTAGTATCAGGGGGCCAAAGAGCGGAGCCTCTCAAGGTAGATGGCACGGAATTATCAACATGAGGAGAATATAGGAAAGATCAGATTGCGAGTCCTGGGGGATGCCACCTCGGATTGAATGATAGACTGAGATAGAGAGCTGAGATCTGAAAGGAAAAAAAATAATGAAGAGAAGGTGTTGGCTGCTGAAGACAGTCCGGAAACGCAGCGGCTTTTAAGCAAATGCGGGTTAGGGGAAACAGTATTAGAAGGTGTTCTTGAGGAAGAAAAAGAGACTCGTTTAGACTCAAGTCGTCTGGGTTGAGGACCTGCCCACAGACCCGCGAATTCCGTTCTCAGTGAGGGTGTGGGGAGTGAATGCGATCGACTCGCGGGCTGTACCGACTAGTACGAGAGAGCGAGCCGACATCGTGCTTGCCGTCACAGCAGGCACGCACATTTTCAAGTCGATCTTGTTCCTGGTTTTCCATGACCTGTCGGAGATCATCGGCGCTCTCTTGGCCGTGAAGGCTTTCATTGTGCATGCTGGGAGATTGGCCATGGCGACCCTTCAAGCTGGCAATGGAGCCTCTGATTGAACTGGAGATCGTGCTGAGACGCGACGAGGAACGCTGGCCATCGGGAACTTGCAGTGACGAGTTGGGCACAGGGGAACTGAGGGCGGGTGAGGCACGGCCGCCATGAGTGCCACCGGATCGCATCGACATTGCAGAAGCGGCGCGCTGCTGCTTGTGGGGATTGCGGACGGTGCGGCTATTGTGGGAAGAGAACGACATGCGCGCGGTCTGGCGTGTGCCAGAATTATAGCTAGGAGGGTTGAATTCGTCGATCTCGTCGAGAGTCACACTGTTGCTATCCTCACAGTTGTCGTTGGTCTCCCGAAGAAGCAAGTAGGACAACGCGTTGAACCAGGTCTCGTGCCTCTGGCTGGTCGTTGCCGTGAACCGAACCCGTCGGCCAGGACTGACGACCTCCAAACTCCTGCAGTGAAGACCGGGTGGGTATGGGTTATCATCTGGAACCACTCGTACAGCCTCAATGGGAACACTCTTGGTGCGAAGCTCGCTCTTTCCAGCCGTCTGTGGGTCTGAGGTACTCCAGTATAGAGTGCGGGTATAAGGGTGGACCCAGAAGTAGCGTCGGTGACGCGTGGACGACATGTCCGACGAGCCAGTCTTGCGCGTGTACTTCCAAAGGAACTCGCCAATCATGGTCTGTGTGATGGCCTGGATCATGCGAGGATCAGTGTTAGGTCCGTAGCCTTGAGGCATAGGACCTGCATGGGGGTTGCCATTGAAACGCTCGTCGATCTCGGATGCGAAAGACGAAACCGAAGATCGTCGAGACATTTGGCTTTGACTTCCACGCCGCATGCGGGCTTGGGAGGAGCCGGTTCTCGCAGAGCTGGCTCGCGCAGCTTGTTCGCTGGGCGTGAGGGGACGGTGGGAGTTCATTCGGTAGGCAGAGGCAGGTGCCAAAGGAGGACCCATGGCAGAGGTAGGGGATGGCGGAGCCGCGTCGATGGATCTCTTCTCGGCAGCCATGATGGCTTCCCGGTGGTCCACGGGCAGCGGGGGATGAGCGCTGACATTGGACAATTGACTGGTGGCACTGGGTGGTCGGCGGTGGTTTGGAGTGGACTTCGCAGGTTGGATTTGGGAGAGACGAGGTCGAAGGTTTGCCTTAGGTGTGTAGGGAGATGTAGCAGTAGCAGTGACGGCGGCAATTTCCTTCGAGTTATCCGTGACCCGGCTATCCGAAGACAATGGGCGCGAAGAACGCTCGACCAAAATCTGATCAATTTGCTTGGAGGACAAGATGGTTTGGGAGCCTTGGTCCATGCTGACTGAGCTTGACATACGCTTCGCAGAACGACTCAGACTGTTACCAGAGATATCGTTCAAAGCAAGACCGGCACCACCGAGTCTATCGTTCTCATTAGCATCAACTGGCTGGTCTTCGTGAACAAACACAGCAGCCCTAGTTGACTGCGACTCTGGCTCGGTTTGGGTAGAGAAGTCTACCACGCCAGGGAAAACAGGAAGTACAGACTTCACGGGTTGAGTCTCGACAGAGCGTACAGAAGAGAATGACAGCTCTGGTGAAGGCACAACGCGAGGCTTTGAAACCACAGGCTTTGTGTATGCAGGGTCAAGCAGAGAAATTGTCAAGTCAGGAACCTCACGTTCACGCTCAACGTGCTTGACAACGTCGACGTATTGAATAACGGGTGGTTGGGGCTCAGGGATAGAGGCCTTGACGGGGGCAGTGAACTGAGTAGTAATAGAAGAGAAGCTCAACTCTGGGACTTCACGCTCACGCTCAACCTCGACGTGCTTGATGACGTCGACGTATTCAACGACAGGTGCTGCCTTGGTTGCTTGCACTGGGGCAGTGAAGTGGTGGTTGATAGAAGAGATACTCAATTGAGGCAATTCACGCTCACGTTCCACGTGTTTAATCACATCAACGTACTCAATGACTGGTTCTTGCTTAGCAAAGGTGGCTTTCACAGGAGCCGTAGAGTGGCCGTCGATGGAAGCGATGCTCAAGGCAGGATGCTCGCGCTCACGCTCAACCTCAACGTGCTTGATGACGTCGACGTACTCAATGACAGGCGCCGCCTTGGTGGCCTGCACAGGAGCAGTTGAGTGTCCGGCAATAGAGGCAATGCTTAGAGCAGGAAGATCGCGCTCACGCTCCACCTCCTTGATTACATCAACGTACTTGATGACAGGCTCCGGCTGAGGGATAGGTGCCTGTACCGCCTGGACAGGTGCTGTTGACTGAGTTGCAACAGATGAGAAGCTCAATTCCAGTACTTCACGCTCACGCTCCACCTCTTTGATCACGTCAACGTATTGGATGACCGGCTCCGGTACAGCGAGTGTTGCTTGAACTGGCGCAGTGGATTGGGTGGTGATAGAGGAGAAGCTCAAGTCGGGCACCTCTGGCTCACGCTCAATGTATTTGATTACATCAACGTGTTTGATTATTGGTTCAGGCACCAAAACCTTGGGTTGGATGGGATTAGTGGCCTGGACTGAAATCGAAGATATCGTCATTTCCGGCACTTCCGGTGCGGGCAGCTCATGCTTCACTGGCTCGGTGGTTCCGCCGTTGATATAAGAGACACTGAGTTCAGGTCGTTTGGGTGTGCGGGGTGTGGTCTCCTGGGAAGATACTTCCGCCATGCCCATTTCTGGAAGATCGCGTACATTGACATTTCGGGCTTGCTCGTCCCAGGCCATCTTGGGCGGTGTAGACACATCAGCCATGTGGTCATCAGCAGGCAGGGGCTTCTGTGGGGTGCCCTGTGTTCCTGAACTGATGGATCTAGCGTTTTGCTCTGCCTCGTCACCGACTTCTCGGTCTCCATCTCCAGCCGCGTGAGCAGCCAAAGCACCAGTGGCAGCTCCAGCGACAAGGCCGGCGCCAGCAGCTAAGCCAGCGCCAACGGAAGAAGGCTCCCAAGGTTCGGTCATAACGCCAGAGTCCACCATAGCAGGTTTGGGTGGTGCATCCAGCATCGCATCCGAGGGTCGGCGCGAGCCGGCAGTGGGTTCCATACGCGGCGTCGAAGCTTGAGAAGTAGCCTCTCCGTCATCTTCGGTGCTGTCAAGCTCGGCAAGCTCTGCAAAGAGACTCTGTCCCTCTTGAGATGCCGGGGCTTGCTCAAAGCTGCTTGCCGTGGAGTCGCGTGAACTTGAGGGGCGGCTTGTAGATGCAAAGGTAGCCTCCCCAGAGGGGCGAATGCGTCTTGAAATGCTACGCTTGGACTTGACACGGGGCCGGGAAATGTGCATTTGTGTTGGAGAGCCGAATCCTCTATCGAAGTCCTCCTCGTCAGATGAGGCCGAGGCAGTGCTGTGGTATGCATCGCGATCGCGGGTCTTGGTCATGCGGATAGATGAGCCCTTGGCTCGTGGAGTTGTCTGAACGTTATGCTCGGTCTCAGTGAGATCTGCTGAGTCGCTGCTGTCATCGGCCATGCTCTCGACGCCGGTTTGGAACGCTTCGCTCTCGGTTGCAGTGGCACGCTCATTGGCAGTCTCAAAGCCATCTTCCGCCTCGGTGGCGGTCTGGTAGACATCGCTGGGACCATCTGGAGACTCAGTTCCAGAACGGGCTGTACCGGGTCTTGAGCTGACACGGACTTGAGTGGGGCTGGTTTGGCCGGCGTTATCTTCCCAGTCAGTGTCGTGGAGCTCGACGAAAGACTTCTCCTTGCGGCCTGCGCCCAGGAGATCTGGGCGAGGAGGCTTCCGAGACGAATCAGTCTTGGTCTTTTGGCGTTTGCTCGAGCCATTGGCCACAGTGCTGTCACGGCGACGGGTCTCGACTTCGTCACGAGCATCTTGCAACATACGCTTGAGCTCGATCTTTTCAGTCTTCTCACGGTGAATCGTGCTCTTGAGGTTCTGGATCATACGATGAGCATGTCCGAGAGAACTCTTCAAGGTCTCCGATTCCAAGTGACCGTGTCGAGGGGTGAACTTGTTAGGCGAAGGTGGGGGAGAGCTTTCAGGAGTGATTTGTTCGACCTCCTCATCATCGTGCTCATATGAAACGGCGCGAGTGCCCTGGTTTTCATGATCACGAAGTCGCATGGCAACCGCCTTGGCAAGCTCTTGGTTTTGGGAAGTCATTTCCATGAGCTTCTTGTGAAGGGCAGACTTCTCTGCATCGCCTGCATTCAGGTTTCGGCGCAGAAGGTTGATCTCTGCGTCGTTTGCTTTCTGCGTAATGCTCTGGTCCTCAAGCAGTCTGGAGTTGGCTTGCCTCAGTTCCTCCAATTCGCGCTCCACTTCATTCTTCTCCGCGGTTGACGCAGTCAAACTGCCGTTGAGTCGCTGTTCACGTTCGGCTGCCTCTCTCGCAGCTGCCATCAGCTCATGAGCTTGCGTTTCCAATGCCCAGTTCTCGTCCTTGTAGCGCTGTTCGCTGTCATCCAGTGCCCGAATCCGCTGCCCGTAGCCCTCCGCTTCCAACTCAAGTCGTGATTTTTCCAAATTAACCGACTTAAGGGACTCTTCTCTTTCCGCGAGCAGAGCTTGCAGTTGACGGACTTGAGCCAAAAGGGAAGTGGAAATCTCAGTCGCAAATTCGATATCATGAACACGGTTTGAAGGCTGATTACGCTGTTTTCGTGAAGGGACGCTGACTTTGCTCGGAGAATTGGTTGCTTGACTGGCGAATAGTGCCGGGCTTAGAGGGGACTGTCAAACTCAATAGTTAGTTCTGGTGTTTCCTGGGTTGGTTGGAATCCACTCGGATTGAAATGTACCTTCTGGTCAAACGAGGGCGTCCCAAGCTGCGCCTCCTCGGTGCCTCCAGCTAGCCGCTTGGGTGCCAAAAATGCACGCGCCGACTCCCGACCGATCTCATTATACTCTTTCTCCAGATCGGCGAGCTTGCGGCGCAATGCCGGGCCCATCTCCCCATCATCCTGCTGCTGTTCGACCTCCTTCAATTGTTCCGCCAACTGTTGCTGCTGGTCGATAAGGGCGGTACCCAATTTCGATGCCTCTTCCAGTCGACGTTCGGTTTCTGCCAGATGAGCCTCAAGGGCGCGTTTGGCCTGTGCAGGGGACGACGCATTGAGACTGAACAGCTGGGTGTCGAATGACGAGTATCGGTGGGCCTCGCGGGGGACAGCTGGCCTCCCGCCATTTGAAACGAAAGGGTCTTCCATGGACGCAACCGCTGCGGTTTCGTCGTTGGAAGCGGTCATCATCTGGGATTTGGAATCCTCAAACGGCATCCGAGACCTCTCCGTGGCGAGGACGCAGCTACCGTTGAGATTATCGGGAGACTCGCGCGTTGATCAGCGGTGCGAGTCTAGATCGCGGGCATTATCCAAATAACCGAGATCCGTCGCAAGTTGCGCTGAACTGTCGAGCCAGCGACCAAAAGGGTGTGTCCTTTGATGCGATGCACCGTTGTAGAGGAGGGGAAGCCGGGATGGTGGACAACAACAAACACCGGGGACCTTCGGACGAATCAGTGCCCAGCGTGAGGTTTCGGCCTGGCGAGATGACTGGACGCGCAGAGTTCAGCCAACCACAACAAAGTGATCGGATCTGCGTATCGCAAGGTGATGGTTAGTTCAAAAGGAAAGACAAAAAGGAGAGAATCGATAAATAACAATCAAATAGAAGAAGAAAATAAGGGAGTGTAAGGAGTGATTGGACAGGTCAGGTTGACTCGGGCGGGGGAGAAAAGGGCAGAGAAGTGTGCTATTATCGATTATTGCCAGATGGCTCCGGTGAGGCACATCTCATTCAGCTACGTCTTGGCTATGGAGTGCACAGAGTAGATTTGTACCTAATTGTAGGGTGTTTCTATTCATTGCTATGTTTATTTGCATCTACTCCGTCCAAGACGATTACTACTCGGTTCCAGACTTTGCGCTTCTGCTTATTTTGACTTTCAACGCGTTTCTGTCGGTGTTTGTCTGGTTTGCATTGCTTAGTCATTTCTTCCAGATTCGATTCGAAGATCCGATCGATTAACTCGCCTCTCACTTCCCCAGACTTGTCTTTCCTTCTGATAATAAGCAATATGGCTGAAGAAACACCTGTGGCAGATGCGCCCGTGGCAGACACCCCCCAATTCTCGTTTAAAAAGCGCAAAGGCAAAGCCAACCTCCGCAAAAAGCCCGCCACGCCACCACCGGCTTCAGACTCCGGCTCTGACTTCACCTCCTCCGACGATGAAGAAGGCCGACGGATCAAACGGCGGCGCAACAATGCCGCCGTCGCGGCATCCTCTAAATCGAACGTGATCCGACGCCCCGAAGAAGTAAAGACAGCCGCGCCAGCGCCGTTGACCACAAGCAACGATGCGACCAAGTCCTCCGAATGGTACGACGAAAACCTCAACGAAAAGAATCTGCTCGGTACTACGCGGGCCCAGCCTGCGACATCAGAGGCAGATGGAAAATACAAGGGCGCAGCCAACTATCAATCATTCATCCAGAAGCACCCGGATGCGCCGTCCAAGTTCGGTCCTATAAAAGCACCCACGAACGTGCGCACAATCACAGTCACGGATTTTGCTCCGGATGTGTGTAAGGACTGGAAACAAACTGGTTACTGTGGCTTTGGAGGTAAGTTACTTCTGACATCTTGACTTGACCTTGACATTTTGCTAACTTTGCAGATTCTTGTAAATTCTTGCACAGCCGTGAAAGCTATAAACAAGGCTGGGAGCTGGATCGCGATTGGGAAATCAACACCAAGGGGAAGAAGCTGGATGGCAAAGTGGTTTCCCAGCGCAAAGGCGCCGGCAAGGCCACGGAAGAAGAGGAGGATGAGGACGAGGATGAATTGCTGGAAAGCATTCCCTTTGCCTGTATCATCTGCAAGAATCCCTACCAAGAGCCCATCATCACCAAATGTGGACACTACTTCTGTGAGGCATGTGCTCTGAAGCGGTATCGCAAGACTCCTACTTGTGCTGCGTGTGGGGAGGGAACTGGCGGGGTGTTCAACGTGGCGAAGAAGTTGAATGCTTTATTGAATAAGAAGCGGGAGCGGGCTCGCAAGCTTCGTGAAGAGGCGATTGCTAATGGGGAGGAGGTTAGTGATGAAGATGATGAGTAAATAGCAAATAGCATAATGAATACAGCTGGACTGGTGTACCATATATTATATTTTTGTCCCGAGGTCTTCCCGTCAAATCCTTCTTAAACACAGGCTTCGAACTGGATACCATAGAGGATAATATAAAACCATCGACACAATCAGAACAATCAAACAATGAATAGAGCATCCAAGTAGACAAATTAGGCTAAAAGGTTACCCCAACACTTCAAAGTTCGATGGTGGAGTTGGCGATAACCTTACTTGGCTTGACCTCGTACTGGCTAATTAGCGGAAATGAACCACAAAAGCATGTTAAATGCATCAGAGTCTCCGGAGGTTTTATGAGGTACTCCGTACACCCTTCTCCGGACTTGCTGAGAGCCATGTATTACAATTAAATCGGAGAATTTCCGTGGGGATACTCCGTAAAATGGAACCTTCATTAATATCTCATTTGGCAGATCTTAGATTAAAATCTTCCCCCATCACTGCTTGTGCGATCGCCCAGATTTGACATCATCGCGATCAACTGCCAAGCCATTGATAGTCCGCGCGGCATTTTGCGGTGGATGCGCACTGCATCAATTCGAGATAGCGAACGCGAACAAATCACACACGTCTCAGCCATTATGTGGCTAATTCGGTGGCTAGTCCTGTAGCTCCCCGCTTCCGATAAGCGACAGCGGCTGTCGGGAAGGTTACCAAGTTGGAGAGACAATCTCCACCAATGTCTCATGTGTGAACACTGAGTATTCCAAACACCCGTGGACATTCCCCAATGACATCAGGCTGATCCTCCATATCACAGACGGCAAAGCCAACAGAATCCACCACACCAACGACAAATCAACAAATAATATGGGGACTGAGTCAAGGAGGCTGTGTAAAACGGAATGACCCCCCACCCTCGGCACCGAACGAACTAAACCAGAAGCCAAAGACTGTAATTGGTCTAGCGCCGGTGGAAAGTCGTGAGCCTTTTAACGTCGACGCCAACGCCACGTGCGTTCCGTGGGACGGCGCAGTACGCGTGTTGCCACTTTCTGGTTCCACTGCTTATTGGACGAGTCAGACAGAAGTTTGCGTTCGCACCTCGCGACAGGCGAATTAAGCGCAAAACCTCGACGGAAAGGGAAAGCCAAGCTTTCGGTGCCAAGGGCCATAGCGGCCCCTAACAGCGACCCCGGCCTCAACAGGAGTCTAAACGCAGCTAAAAAGCAGCTAAAAGTGGATTAAAAGCAAACTAACTGCTGCTAAACTTAAGGATCCCCTGAAACCGCCTCCAGTGGCCAATGAGATGATAATGACATTCTATTACACTTTCGTCTTTCCCTCTCTCTCTCTCTCTGGTATCCCTTTCTCTCGCTCCTTCTCTGTTTTCAACGTCTACAGCTGCTTCGTACTCCGTACTCCGTTCTATCCTCGCCGTTGGAGCATGGCCTAACAGTATCTACCACACAACCCCATCACCATGCGAGGCAACATCCGCCTCGCATTGATATGCGTCTCCTCTCTCCTCCTCTTCTCCCTCTATCTCCTCGAAGCCCACCTTCAAGACCTCTGCAACCAGTACCGCGCCGGCGCATACATGGTCGCATGGCTAGACCGCAATGGCGCCGCAACACCAACCTACACCACCCCAGGCGACAAAGTAATAGTCATGGCTAAACTGGAAGAAGAACATACAGAATGGGTCGCCCAAGAACTTCCAGAGTATGCAACCCCCCCCCAAAAACCCTACTTCACCACCCCAACCCTAAACACAATTCTAACCCAAACCAGCTGGCAACGCGCAATCTACACCGTCAATCCATCCCACGAATCTCGCATAAACCCAAACACCCTCACAACCCCCTTCAACAAAGGCCACGAATCAATGGCCTACTTCACCTATATAATCGACAATTACGACTCCCTCCCTTCAACAATCGCTTTCCTCCACGCCCACCGCGCAGGCTTCCTAATGGCCTGGCACGTCGACGCCCCGCTCCACGATAACGTCCTCGCAATGCGCAGTCTGCAACTCGACTTCGTCCAACAAAACGGATACGTCAATCTGCGCTGCAATTGGAATCCAGGGTGTAAGGGGAAACATCGCTTTAATAAACATGTCACGGAGCAGATCTGGTGGGATGTTTTCGATGGTACTAGTACCCCGCCGCTGAACATGTCTTCGCCGACTGAGGTCGAGTACCCCGGTGTGCGGTATGCGAAACCTGCGGAGATTGGCGCGGCTTGTTGTGCGCAATTCGCTGTGTCGAGGGATCAGATTCGGTTGAGGCCGAGGGAGGATTATGTTAAGTTCAGACAGTGGGTTATGGATACGGAGTTGAGTGATGCATCCTCTGGGAGGGTTATGGAGTTTATGTGGCATATTATTTTTGGGATGCAGGGTGTTTAGTGAGTAAATCCTGATGTTTTGGGGTGGGGTTTTTTGCGGATTTTGGCTAACAGTGCTACAGTTGTCCCGATGAACAGTTGTGTTATTGCCAAGTATATGGACAGTGTTGAAATGTGGGCTTCGGCATCCCCTAGCCCCTTGCATTTCGGCAGATGAGTGGCATTTTTTGCAGGGCTGGGCTCTGATTTGACATTGCCAGTATATACTGTACATTGCGACACGCGATTCGATGTCTCGTCTCGCCTGGGATTCCGCTTTCTGCTTCTTGTCTTATATAGATTTCTTTGCGTTCAAGCGCGGAGCCTACAGTGCTCCATAGATACTTTGCTTTTGGATAAGTAGATAGATCAATGTGGATATTTTTATCAATTCCAAGGTTGTCTCCTCGCATGCCGTTTGCCTTCAGGATTGGTGCATGTCTTTACGCAGGTGCCCAGGGGTATGAAAGTTAATGTCAAATACTGGAATTCACCAAAGGAGAGCCAAGCTAGGCACTACGGAGTACATCTTAATGCTATAAGCAGGGATTCAGCGTGCTTCATACAAAGCTTATGGTACCCCTGGTGCCCAGAGTACGGAATATGATAGAAAAAGATGTCAAAAATCAACAAAAACACGAGCGTCAATGATCTCTCTAGCCCCGTAGTGCTGCATAGGGAGCTTTGCATCTACAGAGCTAAATGACCCCCTGTCCTCAGGAGACATCTCCTGTGTTTGCTGGGATACGGCATTATCTCGGACATATCAACAAACGCACCCACTCTGGTCTTGGCTCCTCAACACTCCCCCTGAAGGACTGAGGGGTTTTTCCCTTGGTGGTTTGTTTGTTCTTCTCATCGGGAAATGTCCTTTATTGGTCTTTTCCAAGGTTCCCTTGTGAGTAAAGGGGCAATGCATGTATCTTGCCATGTCTTATCTCGTAGATAGTAACGTTCTTCTAAGAATGATGAGGTTGTACGGATGGTATAACATGGTCAATGGATAGGTACGTTTGATATCAAAGCCTATTCGCTACTTAGTTCTTGGTTACTTGTCCCTTTTCAAACTCTCTCCACTGTTCTTCTTGTGAGTTTCATCTGTTGAGCGAACAAACAGTGCATCTTCGTGCAATGTTCCGAGGTTGCCCGTTTGCGCAATCGCGATTGCTTCTCGTTTGCGCTACTCATTTGGGGTATATAATGCCCCAAAGATTCTCTTTTCTAAAAATCATCTATCCTGAATTTCAGCTTCCTTGTTCAGATTCCTACTTCCCCAGAAAGCGAATGATCCACTATATAAAGTCCATCACTCCTCTCAACCCTGCCACCACTTTCTATGCTTGCGCACCATGAGACATGCTCCCATCTTCTCAGCTCGAGCTTTTTACCTCTACTCTCCGCAAGTATGGCCTCTGTTTCCTATTTCGGCCAGTAACTCGCGCACTTCTTACACTTTGGGCTTAGGCACAAACCTACGAACCAGCAACTAGCCGCGCGATCGCCCGATTTTTGACACTGAAGGCAACGTCCGCTAGAGTAAGTCAGGACAAAATAAAGATCCAGCACCTTTGCCTTGGGTACACGGGCTTTCATGCACCGTGGTCAACCGCAACAAGCGTACCCAAGGCAAAGGTGCTGGACTTTTGTTGGGTCTTGCCTTGCTCTTTCGTATGTTGCCATTGGCGCCAAAATCATAGGGTCATCGCACGGCTAGTTGCTTCTTCGGAAAGTCTCCCCTGCCCATGCTGGTTGTCTTGGTGGGATCTGATATCTCAGGAGAGAAGAAGCCGAATTATGTTTCGTCAAGCTGCCACACGGCCACAAGCTGGTCATCCAGCCCTTGACTAGGAATGTTGTTGTAATGTGAGCATCCATCCTTTTCGGTTTTTTTCATAGCTAACGGGCAATGGATGCGTTTCCACCAACTGGCTTCCATCGGGACAACATGGACTTCACCGTTGTGGCAACGAGATTCGGAGTTTGCATCAATCGAGTCCATATCACAACTGCCGCCGGCTAGGCAGACTGAGCCAGACTCTCATCCATGGACCGGATATCGACACGGATTCTCTGATATCGGAACTTTTCCAACTTGAGACACGGGAGTGGAAGATTCGAAATTTGCATTAGTGCCCGATGCAGGGAGGATGCCAGGCTCGTCTCGGTGCAGTATTGCTCGTTGAGGATGTTGGGTGTCTTGACTGTCAGCTGGAGGGACGGAGTAGAGTGGATGAGCTTTCCGCTATTTGCCAAGTGGGGCCCAATCCACTGGGCCCACATCGACCACACTTTAAACACGTTAAACTACTCTGCTTGGCAGTATCTTTCAAAAGCTGACTCTTCGTCGGACTAGGTCAACAGTCAGTGACGTGACAATGACCAGAAAAAGTGGTGGGATCGTGAACGCTCCTTCCCTCACTGTGGGGAACTTCCATTTCTACCATAACATCCTCATTTCCCCAACTTTCGTTTCGTCTCATCTTCTACTCTCTGGGTCACCACGACTTGAGCCCGCCGCCAACCTTCATACTTCATTCAAAAGAGGTAACATCCTCTACTCGGTAACAGAGCTTGATACTGATCATCTTGAAGTGCTTTCGCTCAAGTGCATTCCTTTTTGCTGAAGACCATGCTCAATTGAGAACCCCGCTTTCCGCTCTACACTTAATATACCGATCGATCTCCAGCAAACAGGAGGACTGTGTTAACGACTCCGCTGAGAATGACAAAAAGCTCCAGATGCCAATCTGCCATGCGCTGCGCTCTTGTTTCCAGTTCAGAGAGCCTGAAGAACTTTCTTCATTTTTTAAAACAAAAATCATCCACTTTGCTTTTCTTTTTCAAAAACCAAAGATCGATTCCTCCCACATTGGTTGGCAGTCAAAGTAGGAAAATTCTCCGGGTCCAATATAGCCCGCAAACGGGTCAGAAAACATAGCCAGAAAGGCCAACAAAGCCAAGGCCTTGGTAAGTCTGATCCTGTGCATTCCAGTCCACCGGGACTACTTGATCCATTGGTATCTGCTTGCTAACGTAGAACCTGTAGCTGCTGTCGGATCCAGAAAAAGAACAATGCCCCGTCATGTGCTGCGCAATCTGCGCTCGATATCTTGTCGAGCCAATGGGGAACGGGTGACATGTCGAGTCTTTGACGATACAGTTCGTGCCTTTACAGTAACAATCAATTGCACGACGGCAACAATTTTTGGGCCATTGTACCCGGGCCAAGTGATATGATACATACACCTACTCGGCTTGCTTGAGGTCATCCAGCATGCAACATCGACAACGAGAGCTGGCAAGTCATTCACCGCAAACTCCACAACGCAATTTCTCATGCCATGAAGATCGCCAAGATCCAAGTTACGGAGGAACTAGCAGTACAGCGACCAGAGCTGCTGCCAACCATGAGTCCTCGATCGATGGTGTAACTTTCAAAGGACACTGAAACTGTCAGTTTGATCAGGTCCGAGCAGGAAGCTCAAAGACCCAGCGAAGCCTTGAGCTCGACTCGGAGGAGAATCATGAGCTACCATCACCAGAGGTACTGAGCTCCACCTCTGTCTCCGGTCCTCAAGCTCGGGACACCGTGATGTCCGGTGCGTTGCAGCTGGCGGCTGCGGAAGAGGAGGGGGTGTGGAGGGAGAGGGAGAGGAAGATTTCGGGGCCTGTAAGTTATGCACCACGTCTTATGAATTGTTTGTTGTCACTATATACTGACTGTGCGATTCGATGCAGACAATTTTGCCCCTGAGGAGGCGTACGAGCTTCCTCGTCAGTAAGGAGCGCCGGTTCGCTCTATTTTCTGAACATTTTCCTCTCGGGGTATTTTTTTTTTAAATACCTCTTATGCTCGTGATGAACGAAGAGAGATATCAGCCCTTGTTTCCACAGTAGCCAGTCACAAGCCTTAAGTCTGCGTTCACGCGCGGCCAAAAAGACGATAACAGTTGCTTATAAACAAGAGTAGTTATCCATGGATGTATTTGCTCAATCTGCAAGGCTTCTATCACTATCTCTTCTGTTAACATCAGAATAGATCGATATGTAAGACTTCGATTGGTAACGGAAGAGAGGGTCTATCATCGACTTGGCGAGTATTTATAGCTTAGCTGTCTTTCTAGCTGTCTTTCTAGCTATCTTTACTACCTATTAAAATTTGCTTTTTTATTTAGCACCATCATCGAGCAACTATAATTGGTCGAGTAAAGAAAGTCTTGGATAAGCCGTGAACAGAGAATTAGGGATTGGGCATATATGCATGTAGTATAATGCGTCCTTTTGCATTTGCCTGAAGGAAAGAGAGGTTGGTGTCAATGGAGACACGGAAGACAGGAAAGAGATGAGCAAAAGATAGGAGAGAGACAACCCAGCCAGTATGTCGATAAGGTATTGGATATGGTATACATAGGTCAGAAGACATTGTGCTGTATTGGCGATACAAGACAATACAGCTATGATGATAACACTAGTGGTGAACCCACGACAATGACCGGGTAGAATGCACGATGCAGAGTCTGTAATTCGGAGCAACGTGAGAGGATTCAATACGGCACAAGCCACAGGAGACGGGTCAGGATCTGGATAGCAAATCAGAAGAGTGCATCAACCTTTGAAGCGTGTCGCAATAGCGCACGCTGCATCCAGAAAAGAGTCGACCATTGGGTCTATGTGGTCGAGAGCGTGGAATCTGGCGCGACGCAGATCGATCCGGAGGGTGAGGATTAATTTCGGGAGATTGACAGATTGTCGACACGTGGTTGTATGGGCGCGTCTCAACTGGTCGAAGGGGAGACTGAGGTTGGTTTGAAGTGAAGTTGCCAGTAAATTGCGTTTACTTCCCAGATTGAGTGAATCTCATTGCTGGTCATCCCATTAACCAACCAAGGGGTGTCAATGTACTGTTCATTCAGCTTAGAATGGTTAGGGTAATGCTTGCATGGAGAGTTTTGCACTCATTGTAGATTGAAAACCACTTCCTACACAGCTCGGGAGTGCATTTTGCCAGATACAACTACCACAGTGATCACGTAGGAGTGAACAGTGGCTCACAGATTAATGGCTGTTGTGTACTTATTCCCTGTGTAAGCTTAACAAAGAACTTTGGTTGATTCCTCTCTTTCCAAATCAACACAAGCCTAGCAGCTTCCTTCCTTCACATACTCCCATCACACCACTCTTCGAAGCAAAACTCACCACTTCAACCAGCAAGACCATCAGTGTCTACCCTGCATGAGTAAGTTGAGTTGGTGAAGCTGAAAGATGAATTTCTTGAAACATGCTATCAGCTAGCTGACGCATATTACAGCTACGATCAACTCGACAAGAAAAGGAGCAGATGGCGTCTCACTCCTTCACTCCAGCAACCCTCCCAGCATCTCAGCTACCTGGACTCTCATGCTCGTCCAGCCCACTCACTCCATTTGACTCGCATCTTTTTCTTTTCTCTCTTCTTTCACGGCAAAGAAATTGCAGACTGTCTCGCCGCTACTGTTGGATATGGGTAACATCCACCCTGTGCGCAACTCATTCCCACAAACGGGTCAGAAAGGCCAAAGAAGCCAAAAAAAGAAGGTCTTGGTAAGTTCTGATCCTGTGCATACCATCCCGTCACCTCCCACGGTCTACCTGACCTATTGAGATCTCCTTGCTAACGAGGAACCTATAGAAAGCTGCCGCCCAGCGGGTGGCCGAGAACGAGAGCTACTTCTCGTTTATGGCGGCCATGCACTCGGCCGCCTACTATGTATGCCCCTCCCCTCCTTCCTCTGCATCTCTATGGGTCCCGTCCTCTTGTCTGCGTCATGTTGTCTGACTTTTTCGTATGTAGTATGAAGGGCCGCATTGTCCGGGACCGTGCGGGCCTGACAATACGTGGAGGTTGCGGTGGTGGCCGTGGTAGTGGCCTGGGTGCCGGACGTTTCGATTCCTGTACCCTGTTATTGGGGGACCACAGAGCCCGTGAGTCATGTACCGGGTGAGATCCATCTTGTCACCACATACTGACAATAAATTTTGATACAGTCAACTTTGACGACCCTGCGTAGGTCTGCGAGGCCAACACAACCATTATCACACATCCCGTACTGGATTGGTTTACTACCATCGGGTTCTCAGTCGTCACACGCAAACCAGGACTACTTCTCGTTCATGTTCGGCATGGCTACCGCTGCCTACCATAAACGTTCCTCTCCGCGTCTTCTTTCATTTTTTATACATGAGAATGGGAAGAGAAGCAAAAGGTTGCCTCTGACAACCAACCCTCTTTTCTTTTTTCCCCAAGCTACCCACACGGTTTTTTCTGCCGGGCCAGTGTGCGGCTTGGCCTTTTGAGGATTCTAAATCGACCTTTTCTTCTTTCTTCGAAGACAGAAGATCTGGTCCCCAAGCCCGGGACGTCTTCATGTCTGGCACCCGGCTTGATTACGATTTCGAAGCCTGTGAGTCATGCACCAGATGAATGGTTCTTTCTCACCATGTACTAATGTTGAGATTTGATGTAGTTGACTTAGATGATCCTGTGCGGGTTACAAACCCAATACAACCATTGTTCACAAATATGATAGTCCAGGGCTGGAATGGTTCACTATCAACTGGTCCTCATTCGTCATACGCAAACTGGCTACTACTCACTCATGGTCGACACAGCCACCACTGTCTACCATGTGTGCTTCACTCTTCGTCCACTTTGAACCACACTTACATGAGAATGGAATCAATAGTGCGACGTGTCTGGAAAATCTCTTCCTATTTTCCAAGACTCAGAGTACTGTCTGCTCTGCAGTGGGCTCTCGCTCTTTCTCGACTCACGCAAATCGTTTTCTTTTGGTCGTTTCTTCAACTGCAGCTCTACAACTTTGATTTTTCTTTCCAAAAAAAAAAAAAAATGAACGCGGCGCCCACTGGCAATGGGGACGGGGAGACCCACCCTACATCGGGCCCAAAGGCCAGAAAGGCCAAAAAAGGCAAGGCCAAGTGAGTCCCATCCTTTACATCTCATCCGCCACAGGCTACCTGATCGAGTGGCCTAGGGAGAGTAGTCTGCTAACTTGGAACGTGTTGCAGGCTGCCGCCCGGGCGGCGTTCGTCGAGGCGTGCAACGCCTCCTGGTCTTTCGGCGTGGCCCTTGCGGCCTACCACGTAAGCTTTTTTACCCCCCCCCACCTTCACCTATCTCCCTTATACCATCAACCCCCTCATGCTCTATGCGCGTATTTTGTCTGACCTTTTTTTCTTTCTTGTAGCAATCGCAAGCGGCTCGTGCCCGCGGTGGGGCCCGTGGTCGGGGCAGTGGTCGGGGCGGTGATGGTGCCCGTGGAGGTGGCCTGGGTGCTGTCGGGGGTGGGGGCCCCGACAGTTCAAAGCCGGGAGCCGACCTGGGCCTCCCCGATGCCCCCGGCTCCCAGGCTGGGGAAAATGTCGTCTCCGGTGAGTCCTACACCGGACGAAGTGCTTTGTGTCATCACGTACTGACGATGAATTTGATGTAGGCGACGTCGCTGAAGCGTCGGGCCCCGAGCCCAAGAAGCAGTGAGCGTGTCGGCGCTCTCCCTCCCTCTTTTTTTAATTACTTTTTTTAATATACCTTACGACCTTCACGAATGAAGAGGGATGGCAGCACTTGTTTCCATGAGTAGAGGGTAGCCAGTAAGATTATACCGTCACCGATTTCATGCATAGCAACGATTGTAGTAACAGCTTGCATGGAGTTTATGGTATATTTGATCCTTCGAGTCCACAGTTTCGTTGACGAAGTGTTGTCGGGATCAAGTCACCATTTGAGAGAGCGCGGAAGCCATCCGCCTGGGTGACATCCTTCAATCCTTGATTAACCTCTGGTACTAGGCCAGCATGCTCTCGTTGTGCCGAAGGTGCGAGCAGATTTTGTTCGTCGCCGAGCAAGGGCACTACGTGAAGATGGCAAGAGCTCGATACAGGCGGAAACTCTGGCAGTTGGATTGGCCGACCTTGCGCTTCTCGCAGCTTGGGACTCATCAGAACAGCTCGCTTTGTCACACCATCTACCTTCCAAGGTTGGTTCACGCGTACAATACTTTCGCCCCGACCCTGGGTCTCTCTCCCGTCTAAAGATCAAAATGAATTTGCCATTCAGTGACACTTATGTTTCGGACTAATCCATGTCTGTGAGTCGGGTACAAATGCCCTGTCCCTTTTCTTGTCCAGTATACTCTTGCTGCAGTGCAATATGGGATCTTGAGAATTTGTCCTTCACACAACTTATCCACGTAGGTGAGATAATGATTGGTGGCCTCGTCCTGAGAATACTCGAATTCACCTTCCATTTGAACCGTTTACAATACGAGAGTTGACAATCGAAGGTCTCCATGCACGGCTCTAGGCTATACATAGTTTGTATCCCTGGGGCTCCTTTGTTCTTTGATCTAAATCTAATCAAATGAAGACATGACGTCTGAAGGAGAAAGACGAGAAGCAGCTATGAAGATGGAGAGACTAAGAGGGTGGATTGAGTTTGCGTTGGTTTCACCCCGAGGGGGTTACTCGTCAACAACACCAGCGTAGAGGTCCAAACTCGTGGTTGTTGGGGCCGGGTATAGGTGACCCTGACCTAGGAGTTGATCGGGCATGGGTGACCCGAATCTCAGCAGTTGACCGGGCATGGGTAACCCTGATCTGAACAGTAGACTGGGCATGGGTGACCCTGATCTGAACAGTAGACAGGGCTTGGGTGACCCGAGTCTCAGCAGTTGGCAGAGCTTTGGCTACAGGCTTGAAGATGAAAAAAAAGGGAAGGGAAGAGAAAAGAACGGGAAAGAGGACAATAAGAAGGGACAACGGGACAAGGGGAAATGAAAGGAAAGGAAACAAAAGAGAAAAACGTTGAAAAGGGATGGAGGATGGAAGGAAGACAGCTGATGTGTGCTGGCGGGGGCACAAGAGATGGAGAGAGGAAGAAGAGGATGAGAAAGAGAAAGAGGCAGAAGGTGGGGGTCGTGTGACTACTTCTGCCTTAGGCTGCAGGCTCCCATTCTGCCAAAATGCACCATCCTAAATCAGCTGATCTATCCAGTCTTCTCGCTCTGGATGTCTTGACTTTGATCGTATTTGATACCTGTCGATATTTTTCAAAGCCATTTGCATGGTATTGTTGTTTTGACGGACAACGGCAGACTCATTGCCACCTATTTTCGATTGTTTACTTCGTGATCACCCCCCACTGCGGCTCACCCGAGCCAATCAGTCTACGTTCTCACTGAAGAGCCTCATCCTCAGATCTCCCCGATGATCCTCATGGTACCCGTGGACGGACACTTCGAGACCACCGCATCAACTATGGGAGCCAGATTTGACACAATAAGTATGGAGGCACAATCGAGGGCAGGAAGAATCAGCTCTTCCGCGAAAGCGATAAGACTCAGACACATCGCTAGACCCCAATCCAGCACTTCCAATCGGGAAATAGAGGCTGTCTTGTTAAATGTTCTCCAATCGATAGGTCTTATTCTGTCTATCTTTTTCTTAAAGTACCGGTCCCCGGCTATATACTACGACCAGAAGAATATAAACTTACCATTTTTTTCTTCTCACATTAGCCAGTCACAAAGCGCATCCTACATACGACTATCCTAGCCGCAGTACCCATGGACTAGGAGTAAAATGTTAGGGTTCCAAGTCGCTCCTTGGATTTATGTTTGTTATATCAAGGATAGTCTATTATACTTTTCTTCTTACTCTTATTTTCAAATGTAGGACCTTGTAGAAAAGACTTGATCTTTATCAGATCACCACCATATCCGCTTTTCTTTTTGTCATTGTATTCTTCTTCAGATTATAAGATATCACAAGCGAGCAATTTAGCATCGTCGAGCACTCTTGGCGTAGTGGTCATCGCGTTTTTTTTTAAAAAAAAGTCCAAGCAAAACCAATCAGTCAGGACAGAGTGATGTCAACTGACAAAAAATAATATTGCACTCTGCAGGGATCGAACCTGCGACCTTTTCCGATCTTGAATATGTAAAGGAAACGCGATGACCTCTACGCCAAGAGTGCTCGACGATGCTAAATTGCCCACTTGTGATATCTTATGATCAAACAAGATTACAATGACAACAAAAAAAGTGGATGATGAAAATCAATATGCAGTCTTTTTAAATGTCTAAAGATTGTATATTGGAAAGTTCCTTTTCACCTTTTCAAGGTCTACAACTAGCCTCTTGGCATCACCTGGGCACTCTGGAAATTCAAACTTGAAATTTATGGCCAACTGGCACAAGTTTTGAGAAAGCCCTGGAAGGATTTCTCCATCGCTCATACAACACAAGGAATTACGCCTAGTTAACAGAGGCTGCTAGAACGGCCCATTCGCCTTGTAGCCTCCTGTACATCAAAACCACATAACCGCCCAGAAGATCCAGTGGTAGTAACAGCCCTACCATAATCCAAATCACGTCCAGGGCTTGAATCTTTTACTATATAATCGTATGCAGGAGAAGGAAATATGGTGCAGTGTTGTATTTCTACTGGATAGGAAGTAGGAGGCTGGAAACCAGAGGTGCAAATGTGGGTGTGCCCATATGCATAGGCGGTCTGACATCGCAGACAAGACGACGGGGGTGCTCAGTGCTCGGCGGGATCAGGGAGCTGCACAGACCCCCAGGACTACCGGAATAAGAAAGAGATGCCGTTCTTGCGAGAGGTGTAGGATGCTTGAATTGCTAAACTAGCGGAGACCCTGTTTCGTAAAAACGAAACAAAAAAAAATCAATTAATTATTTTTGTAAAAGAAAGCGGGGCGCCGGCAGGAAAAAAACGTGCGGGTAGCGTGGGGAAAAAAGAAAAGAGAGTTGGTTATCAGGGGCAACCGGGTATTTATTTTTCAACTTTGCGCTAAACTACTTTGGGACATATACATGGGGTACCTGGATCTCCATACATTCCACCATACATAAGCTTGTACCTGTCCATGTACCTCCAAGTGGGTGTCAGGAGGTCCGCAGGGCTACGCGTATGTGCTTCCCTCTGCTTGGCTTCGCTTACAAGACTCTGATGAATAAGGTGAAGTTCGTTATTCATTAGTGAGCTGATGATACACAACCTGATTGCACACTGGGATCAAACATCTCGAAGCTAATCAGCAATGACCCCAAAGACACACATGTCTACTGCTTTTCCTCGAAGTACTGCTCAACTCGTTCCACGAGATCGGATTTCTTTCCCGCGTTAGCCCGGCCATGAGAATGCAGGAACTCCTTGAGGACGGCCACCGTGAGCTGTTCAATTGTTAGCCTCATTCCCAATGGAATCGACCAGACCTCGCATGCATACCTTGGACACAGCGCCTTTGGCGAAACTCCGCTTCACCTCTTCCTCCACCCCGGAGGAACCGAACTCGATCTTTGGTCGCTTCGAGGGAGGATCATCGGCGCTCTCGGATTTGGCACCTCGCTTCACCAATGTGGACTTGGTGCCCCCACCCGATGTCCGCTGTAAGTAGGCGTTCACCTGAGTAGCCCATTCATCGACATAATCGCTAGCACGCTGTGTGAACATCGAGTTAGAATGAGCTTGCGATTGACCTCTCGAATGTGACCAACCTTGTGAATTTGTCGATACTTCGGAATTGTCTTATCTTCCGATGCAGTGGGGAGGTCTTCTTGCAAAGCTATGGCCTGCAGAATTCGATAATGCCATTGCAGTGCTGTTTCATGATTAGCATGGTGGTATACGGCTCATGGGATACAACTCACCCGGATTCGGGTATTTTGCAGGATCGTAAATGGCCTTCGGAAGTTGGAGTTGCTGAATCACTTCTCGCATAGCATCTACCAGCTCCCCTGGTGCTGGGTTGTACGGTGTAGGTGGGTTCTGACGAACATCATCCGCAAATGGAATTGGAATAACCCACATCCCAGCCGGGACTTTCTGCACGCCATTCTCGTCGACTTTCTCTTCTCCAGCAATCATGGCAGCTAGAACGGGGGTGGAGTTCTTGCGGGGGATAAACCACACCAACGCCAGTTTCTTGGAATCGAGGAGTTTTCGGTGCAAGGCTGCAAACACACGCGTGGAACCCACCATGTCTTCCTCGGAGGGATAAATGAACGACGGATGTTTGGTGTTAGCCCAGATTGGCAGGGCTGAGAGCGGCTTAAAGCCGATGATTCGAATCACAGGGTCACCAAAGTGCCGTAAAGCCTGTGTTTCCTCCGTTGTGAACGTAACCTGCTCCCCGCCGAATTTGTAAGCCTTTCGAATATCAGCCTTGTCTACCTCCTGTGCAGTATCATCGGCCATTTGTGTTGTAACGCCTTTGGCGATCTGGGGAACTTCTCCGCCTTGCCAGACAAAGCAACTCCGAGCGGGCTCCTGCTTTTTAAGTAACAGGTACCCGTTAACGGAGATTTTGAGGCCAGGTCCGATCTCGAGGGGTACATTTGAGAAAAGCGAACGCCGAGGCACGGATCTCGAGTTTATGCTGGATAGCAAAGAGTTGAGCAACGAGAGGCCGTCGCCTTTAGCGGTTGCTGTGTTGGTGTCCGGCTGGAGGTAAACTGGTGCATCTCCATCACTGGGTGAGGTTTTATAGATGATATCCTGCAGCGTGTTAGTATACCACTGGGCCACGAGCTTGGCTACTTACATCGTAGAACTTGGAAACATCAAATTCACGATCTGGCTCTGAGATGGGAAACAGCTCGATGTTAACACCCAGATCATACAGATCTCTTGCCCGAACTGTTGCAGCAGAGCGCAATGACTTGTTATCCGCATGAGGATCGTCGTTATCGGTCACAATGAATAACCGACGGGACAGGAAGTTGGGAGCTTTGGAGGTGAAGACTTGATTTGCGCAGAACAGCACGTTGGCCATGGATACTGGCTCCTTTGATGGCTTCAAGATGTCCCTTCTGTCCTCGTCATCTGCTACTGGGTCTGCTAGACACCGCAGATGCTTGACCTCCTCGGCAGACGGTACATCGAGGTCTGTGTACAGGTAACAGTGTGGGTATGACAGGTCACCTCCGCTCTCATCTTCATCATAGAACTTCGAAGATTCGGTTCCATAGAGCATCACACCGATCATGTCACGGGGATTTGAGATGATACGCTGCTGTACCAGATGGTATGCACATTTCAATGCAGCCGATGCAGGCGACTCATCGGCATGCTTCTTTGGATCTGGTGATGGACGAGGCTTGAGCATTGAGCTGCTGATATCTATGGCAAACAGCACCGCATCCTTCACAGATCTGAAGCTCTGGAGGCAACAGTCAACATCTGATAACGATAACTGAGGGAGGTATACTCACTGTCTCATCGACCTCCTCGTCCTCGTATTCGTCCTCTCCACGCGCGTAATCTTCTTCGGCCATGGTCGCGAGTCACTGGAAGATGGTAAAAAGAGAGTAGAAGTGTCTCAATGTCAAACTCACAATTACATCAATCGACGCGACGAGTGACGCGGGGCGACACGAAAGTCATGTGACGCTGATGCCTGAAGTTGCTGACGTCCCCCGCCTTGTGATTGGCTCGTGCGGAAAGGGAAACCGGGAACTTCCAAGCTCCGAGCTGGCCAGATGAGGTTTGCCCTTGACTGTGCTTTCCCTCTTCCTGTGAGATCGTTTTCGGTGCTGTTATTACTCCGGCATCACAGCATCATGGCATTCCGCAGTCCATTCGCAATTCCTCGACAGCTGGTCAACGGCGCCTCTCTTGGAGTGCGGTCAACGATCGGCAATCGGACGAGATACATTTCCACCCAAAGAGGACTGGCCACAGCAGTGCCGCCGGTTACTCAGAATGCCGTTGGCTCCAAGGGACCGACGGCTATGGTGTTCATGAACATGGGAGGACCTTCAACTACCGACGAGGTCCAAGACTTTTTGAGCAGATTATTTGTACGAAACATTCATCTTTCCCAACGTGGTGACTGAGCTAATCTAACCCTTCTGTTACAGGCCGACGGTGATCTGATTCCCCTGGGACGCCTTCAATCGTACATCGGACCCCTCATTGCCAAGCGGAGAACACCCAAGATCCAGAAGCAATACGCAGAAATCGGCGGAGGATCTCCAATCCGGAAATGGTCGGAGTATCAATGTGAAGAGATGTGCAAGATTTTGGATCGCATCTCTCCCGAGACTGCCCCGCACAAGCCATATGTCGCCTTCCGCTACGCCGCGCCCTTGACCGAGACTATGTACCAACAATTGTTCGAGGATGGATTTGGAAATGGAAAGGGCGGACGTGCCGTCGCATTCACACAATACCCCCAATATTCTTGCTCAACCACCGGCAGCTCCCTCAATGAGCTGTGGAAGTGGCGCAACCGATTGGAAGGAAAGCGTGGGAATGAAGAGGCGGAGTCGGCCGGTGCAATTGAATGGAGTGTCATTGACAGATGGCCCACTCACTCTGGTATCGTTGAGGCTTTCGCGCAGAACATTGAAGCTCAACTCAAGACATACCCCGAGGAGAAGCGAGACCAGGTGGTGTTGCTCTTCTCAGCTCACAGTTTGCCTATGGATGTTGTCAACCGAGGTAAGTTGATTCAGCTACACTCTCCATTTCAAAGTTACTAATTCTCCCCAGGCGACCCCTACCCCGCCGAAGTGGCTGCCACCGTTCACGCCGTGATGCAGCGACTTGGATTCAGCAACCCTTACCGCTTGTGCTGGCAATCCCAGGTGGGCCCCAAGGCGTGGCTCGGAGCCCAGACCAGCGACACCGTGCAGGAATATGTGAAGCGCGGCCAAACCGACTTGATCCTGGTTCCCATTGCGTTCACAAGTGACCACATTGAGACACTGTACGAGTTAGATTTGGAAGTCATGGAGGAAGCCAATAGCCCCGGCGTCAAGCGCGCGGAGAGCTTGAACGGCAACCCTGTTTTCATCCAGGGACTCGCGGAAATTGCCCGCGACCATCTGCAGAAGGGGGAGCCATGCTCCCGCCAGATGACTCTGCGTTGTCAAGGCTGCACTAGCGAACGCTGCCTGGGTCAGAAGAAGTTCTTCGCTGGCCAAGAGTATGCTTCTTTGGTGCAATAAGCTCACAAGATTGACAACCTAGCTGGTCATTTTGCATGTGTACGCGGTACTGGGAGGTGCTGGGGCGTTGGCTGTAAATTTCGGAATACTGTACATTATAATCTATGAATCACATTTCACTCAAATCACGGCATGTACGTGTACACAAGTACAGCAGCATCCCAACGTTGTAGACGATCATTGGGCGGAGCTATCGGAGCTATCGGCCACCGATAGGCCGATAAGCAATACAGGGAAATGCCCACTTCCCAACGGACGAAATGAACGGCTCATTCTGATAAGTCGTGTTTCCGCTTCTTACAAATCAAGCATGGGATAACCTTGCATTCCCCTTCTCTCCATTGACACCAGGGAGAGCTACACATTATGGAGAACGAAGAACTATTTGCCGGCGAGCCCGAGGTTGATGCGCAGATGCGCGCCCGAGAGCGCGCTGAAGCGACCGAGACCTCGCGACTATTGTCCCAACCTGATGCAATTTCACATGGACAGCCATTATATGTAACGGACACTCGACCAAAATGGAGAAGAGCAAGCGTGAGTGCTGAATGACATGATGATGTTCGTGAAACCTAGGGACAACATTCTAACTGTCGTTCAAACAGATATGGTGGCTGCTTCCATTTGGAGTCCTGTTCATGCTAGGATTCGGCGGACTGGCCGTCCCCAAAATCAATCTCATCATGTCGCTCATTTGCCGAGACTATCTCGCCGAAAAGGAGACTCAGGATCCGACATTCACCTATCTCCCAATAATATTCGGCGAGGATAACTCCCAATGCCAGATCCCCCAAGTTCAATCCCTTGTGGCCCAATTCCAGCTCTATATGAATCTTGTGGCTGGCGTTTTGTCTGCTTTGGTAAGTCCCCGATTCGGGCATCTATCCGATCGATATGGGAGGACCAAGATGATCGCTCTGGGCGCGATGGGCGTCGTGCTTAATGAGATCATCACTGTGATGGTGGCTACATGGCCGGATCGATTCTCGGTCAATTTCCTTCTTGTCGGCTCGGTCCTTGATGGATTGGGTGGTTCTTTCACTACCGCGCAGGCTCTGATACATTCTTATGCATCTGACTGCACGCCGATTGAGAAACGAAGCGTGGCGTTTGGTCTGTTCCATGGTGCCTTGTTCTTTGGAATCGCAGTTGGTCCTGGTGCTGCCGCGTTCTTGATCAAGAATGGCGGCACGCTGCTTGTTTTCTACATCGCACTCGCTTTCCATGCCACCTTCTGTCTAGCGGTGTGGTTCATTGTGCCTGAGTCTCTGTCCAAAGACCGACAACTCGCTGCCCGTGAGAAACATCGTTCAAAGGCTTCAGATGTCGATTCTCCCAAATGGTATTCTTGGCGTGTCTGGAATCCAATGAACTTGATCACCCCACTGGCGATCCTGATGCCTGCGGTTGGTCGACCCAGCATTCTGTTCTCCAATCGCCGTGGCGCGAGCCCAGCTTTACGGCGAAACATTATCCTCCTGGCGGCCATTGACACTGCTGTATTCGGAGTTGCAATGGGCACGGTGCAGATCATCATCATATACGCCGAGTATATGTTTAGCTGGGGGAGTGTGGAGTCCAGCCTGTTCGTCGCGGTCATCAACGTGGTGCGCGTCGTCAATCTGTTCGTTGTACTCCCAATCATCTCTTGGCTCTTCCGCACTCCTGCCAAGGAGGATGGCACCATACGCGGATCTGACATGCTGGACATCGTCCTCATCCGCACTTCAATCGTGTTCGATGTATTGGGATATGTTGGCTATGCCATGTCCAGCCATCCTACGGGAATGATCCTCTCTGGTGCCATTGCTTCCCTGGGTGGCATGGGCTCAGCGATCTTGCAGTCGTCTATGACCAAGCATGTGCCCCATGAAAGAATTGGTCAAATGCTTGGTGCTACTGGTCTTTTGCACGCGCTTGCTCGGATTGTTGCGCCTACAGTCTTTAATCTAATTTACAGTCTGACTGTGGCAACACTGCCGCAGACGGTCTTCGTGGCGCTTGCTGTTGTCTTTGCTGTGGCATTCTTTATGAGTCTTTTCATCAAACCACATGGTATGTAGCCCCTCTTGGCGTGTGGAAACAGTACTAACTTTTGAAATAGTTACCCTTGAAGGTGAACATGTCGCGGACCCTAGAGCCGAGGCAAACGAAGATGGAAACGACGAGGATGATACACTTCTTAATAGATAAAGAGTAGATCCCAAAGACCTATCTATACAGAATATTATAATCATTTTAGGGATTTTTTCAATCAATCTCGTTGTACTCCGTATAGATCGCCAAACTGTTCAGGTACGGTAGTGCCTCGGAATCAGACAACTAGTTTCCAGCATATGAGAACACGGTATGGCTCGGTTGCCTCTCTTTGGAGTTTCGACTGTTTAAATCATTCTTTTTGCTGTAAAAATGCCTTGCAACTCACTCAGACATATGGAGTGGAGATCGTACGATCAGCGGATCAGGGCGGACTCCGGTGGGCGGTACTGACCTATCACGCAAATTTGTTGCGGAAAAAAGAAGTTGCTCCGACTTTACCCTGTAATCTCGACTCAATTGCCCAGCCCTCCACCCAGTTTGACCGAAGCAGAGAAGCTTTCTGTGCTTATGCGGTGTGTACCACACACACATTGAGTACACAATCTGCCAGGCTATCCATGCACGACTGGTGAACCCGTGCGCGCACCAGGCGCTCAGCATTCGCAACATGCTTGCCCACGCCGCCAAAACCCCCTCAATCGTCCCTTCGCGGAATGCCCTTCGAGTATTACGGCAATTAGCCCTGGCCGGCTCAACGGTCGGTGGATTCTGCACCGTGGCAGTCCTCACATACGAAGCACATCGTCGAGTCCGCGTCGCCGAAAAAATAATCGACAACAAGCGAACATTACACAACACCGCACCAAACTACGATGCAACCTCTGCCGCCAAAAGATTGAAGGTGATGGTGGAGGCAGCAGAAGCAGGCGAGTTCATGGGCATTGAATCTCTCAAGGCTAGGAATCGGAACTTGCCTGATGGGCCACTGGAGCCAGGGTCAGATGTCGGTGAATTGGAAGCAGCGAAGTACCCCAAGCGCAAGCCGATGATTTCTTTACAGAAACATCATGCTCGTTTCAAACATAAGCTTTTCACGGGCTATCGAAAGCAACCATTCGGCGAGTCAACCCCCTTCCACGCAGGACTGAAGGCCCGGAACGAGAGAATACTGGCCCGTGAAAGGAAACAGGCTGCGGATGCCAAAGGTGATGGAAAGCTTCCCTTTGAGGCGGAAGTTCGCAAGTTGATCGACGAAGATCGGGAGATCACTGCTGCGAACTTGTTCCTTGCGGCTACCGCGGCTACGAACAGCATATCGTGGGAACGCAGGGAGATCGGTTGCTACATATTCACGGCAAACTGTACCAAGGGAAACCTTTTCGTTGCTCGGACTCTGTTCAATCGCTTGGACAAAGTCAGTGTCGTCTCAAACGAAATGTGGGCCACTATTATGCACCTGCTCGCGAAGGAAGGCCACATCGACTCGGTTGGTGCCATCTACGATAGATTCAGGACAAGCTTTCTCGTCCCGACACATTTGTTGGAGGTGATCCTTCGGTGCCTCATCGAGTCCAAACGATTGGAGTCGGCAAAGTATCTCTTCTTCCAGCGTTTCAGGGATGATCGAGACTGTGGATTGTGCGGCGCTTATCTGGATGGAATTTGGAGAAAGACCCGGAGTATGGAGCTGGTTTCTTCGCAACTTCAACTCATTGTCAACCGTCTTGAATCACTTGACCGCAAACCAACCGAGAAGCTGTTCAATCCCGTCATCAAAGCCATGGTAGAAACTGGGAGAGCCGAAGAAGCGGAAGCATTGGTGACAGATATGCTTGAAACCTATGGAGCCAAACCTGGGTGTCGCACCATTGGCCTAATTATGTACAGCCGAGCACTCGCTTGTGAGTGGGACAGGGTTATGGATGGAATGCATGCGATGCATGAGCACGGATACACCTCCGATAAGAAGGACTTTGCCATTGCGTTTGACCGTGTGTTTTTGGAATACTATCCTACCCACACAGGCAGCCAAATCTTCGACTTCCTTGTTTCTTGCATCAATGACTTCGATCTCAAGCCAGACAGGGTTCTCCACCGACACATACTTGAAGCATTGATTGAAAAGGGCACAGAGGAGATGCTCACCACTATCACGGTCATGGCCGAAGAAGGCAAATGGGACACTGGTCTCGATCACAATGAGATCAGGGATCTTGTCAAGACACGACGACTCGCAATGACTGATAGCCCGGTTGGCATTTGGCGGATGATGCAAACCGCCAAGAATGGATCACTGCATTCGGCTTCCACCCGGCGCATCTTTGGCACAAGTTCTGAGAGCTGGACAGTGCGTGGAGAGAAGATCGCCCCCATCCACCTGCCCGCAGAAAAAAGTTACTCCAAGACCCTGGACATGATGGCCACCAAAAGTGCGAATCTGTTTATCCCACTGCACCAGCGAATGCAACATTGCATCAACATGGGCAAACACGATGATGCCCTGAGAATGTACAATGATGCGACTAATGCCGGCTTCGTTGTAAGGCCCATCCACTTGACATTGGCTACCATTGCTGCACTCCTCGGACACAGCAAGCTAGGTCTAGCGAACGCCCGACGATTGATCTGTTCGGAATGGGACTACTGGAAGATGACCCCCTCCCTTCGTTATACCAAGCGTTTCACCTCTTGGACCCCAATGTTCTTCCAACGGGTGATGAGGGTGGACCCAGCGGCTATTGGTCGTGGTGGCTTGCTCAAGATGGCCCTGTTTGAATACTACAACGTCTGTGCCAGGACCGACGGTCTCGCGGTCAAGCACTTCTCCGCCGCTTCCTCCAGTCGCCAACTCATCACCGGAGGAGCACCAGAAGTGGCCGTGGATCTTCTCACCACGATTTACCAATCCCGCTGGCGCATCTCCCATGGCTTTGACCAAGTTCTTTTGAAAATGTTGATGCGTGCCTATGCTAGTCTCGGCAACCTCAAAGGCGTTTGGTGGTGCATATTGACAATGCTCTCACGCACCGAGACTATCAAGCGAGACTTCGTTGTCGAGGCCAAGGACCAAATGAACACCTTGGCCAAAGGCTCACTGTCCACTGCCTCTGACGAGGCCACCGAGCAATTCAAGATCCTGCAAAACACCGTCGAGGTGCTGGAAGCCAAGTCTAAAGGCGATTCGCACTGGTCAACCATCAGCGTGCGCCCGGACTTGAAGAAATCCGCGCGAGCCCAACGGCTCCAACTTAATGACCAGGCACATCTGATCCCGACTACCAGTCTGGAGGAGTTGATCCTCTCATTTGACGAAGAGAGGGAGTTGGATCGTTTGCTGCAGCGCAAGCAGTTCGATGCGGTCGGTCACGCCAAGTGGTGGGCGGAATCCCATCTTTGTATGATCCACTCTGCCAGCCCCGAAGATCCCATTTACCCTGAGACCAAAGACTTGACTTGGGATCAGTACTATCCCAAGCAGGATCCCAAGAAGTATGCCCAGTACCACCTCGAGTTTACCCCTTCCGAGTCAGAGGAACAGGCACCTTCCGAGTCAGAAGATCAGGAGCAGATGGAGTATGGGATGTGTTAGAGACAATGTGTATAATAAATGTAAATATGTACAGTATCGAAATTAGAAACAATGTATACCAAGTTCACGTCCAAGTCCAAGTCCAATTTGAAGTTGAAGTTGTGTCGTGATGTCTCGTGCGGCGTAGAATGCAGTAGGCGGAGAAGGAGAGACTTTCACATGTCACGCCACCCCTTTATCGAAAAAACATCAGCCCATTGAAGCTCAGTCAATTGTCTTTTCTTTAAATCAATTGCCCGACGATGATCCCGGTTTTATGACAATATTCCCTACTCATTCAACATGCCATCAACTAATGGCGTCCTCTCCCCGGCCGCTCAACGCCGCATCGAGCACCACGAGGCCGACGTCGTGATTGTCGGCGCCGGAATTCTGGGCTGCGCACTTGCGGTCACACTGGGAAAGCAAGGCCGCAGCGTCATTTTACTGGAAAAGTCACTGGAGGAACCCAATCGCATCGTGGGCGAACTTCTCCAACCGGGAGGCGTACAGGCCCTCGACAATCTAGGCCTGTCCGATTGTCTGGAGGACATTGACGCAATCAACGTGAAGGGATATTGGGTTTCATACTTCGGTCAACCAGTCCTCCTCGAATACCCCAAGTCAACCCCCTCGTCACCAGCCCCCTTGGGTCGCAGTTTCCACCATGGCCGATTCGTGAACAAACTTCGACAGGCGGCCCTCTCCTGTCCCAATGTTACCGTCGTCGAGACAAAGGTGACTGGGCTGGTCACTTCATCACACACAAAAGAGGTTCTCGGTGTCGAGTCTGTCACCAAAGATCTGAAGGATTGCTACTTCGCCCAACTCACCGTTGCCGCCGACGGCTATGCCTCCGATTTCCGCAAACAACACCACCAATACACACCCAAGCGTCGCTCAAAGTTCTACGGGTTGGAGCTTATCGATGCTGATCTCCCCTGTCCGAACACTGGTCATGTCCTTCTCAGCGAAGACCCCCGGTCCTCATGTACCAGATCGGCACTCACGAGACCCGAATCCTGGTAGATGTTCCAGACAATCTGCCCGCGGCGTCTGTGAAGAACGGTGGTGTCAAGGGCTATTTCCGCAACTGCATTTTACCTAAGCTGCCTGAGGGATGCCAGGCGTCTTTCACAGATGCGTTGGAGAATGGTCAGCTGCGCTCAATGCCAAACTCATTCCTGCCTGCCGCAACTAATAAAACCCCGGGCTTGATGATTCTCGGTGATGCGTTGAATATGCGCCACCCCCTGACTGGAGGTGGCATGACAGTCGCATTGAATGATGTATGTGTCATTCGCGAGCTGCTTAGCCCAGAGTGCGTGCCTAGCTTCGCCGACACGGAGCTCGTTCTAAAGCAGCTTTCAATCTTCCACTGGAAGCGAAAGAACTCGTCTTCTGTCATCAATATTCTTGCACAGGCTTTGTATTCACTCTTTGCTGCAGATGGTATGTTCTTCATGGCTCTCCTTCGAAATTCGATAGCTAACACCTCACCCAGACCAAAGCCTACGAGCCCTGCAGCGTGGCTGTTTCCGCTACTTCCAGATCGGTCCTGTCGGTGGTCCTGTTGGACTTCTCGCCGGACTGATCAAGCAGCCCCTTGTACTTGTCAGCCACTTCTTCTCCGTCGCCTTCCTCTCTATCTGGGTCCTTTTCCGCGAGACTCCCCTGCTGGAGCAGATCATGTTCCCATACCACGCCTACATGATTCTCTACACAGCATGCATCGTCATCATGCCCTACATCTGGACCGAAATCTGGTACTAAGCGATCTGAGCAACACTCTCCATTCTTCCAACTTCACCTCTTCTTCTCATTCTGAACATATTTGTCGAACCAGAATCCTTGTCTAAACAAGTCTTTATGTGATTTAATTCTGCACTGCGATTCCAGATACATGTACTATATCCCTCACCGTCATCTTAATGATCGATGATGCAATGCCAATTCATTCCGAACATCCATCTTTCTCCCCGCTGCAGATCCTCCGCTCATCTTCTCTCAACTCCTCCCAACTCCTCCCTCCACTGCGGCCTCAGCGCCCAATACCCAAGAACAAATAACAGAACAACGCCCCGAAGCAAAATGAATGCCCGAAGTAATTCACCAGAGTTATGTAATTGGGACTTGCTGTTGCACGAGCAACACCAAACACCGACATGGCGGCAACAATCATGTGGATGGTGCCACCGCGAGCGAAAGAGAAGCCGTCACTAACCGCCACGATCAGTCCGTAGAGGGTGAAAAAGCAGTAATATAAGAAGAACGTGGCAGACATTGTGTGATGTGTGTGTCTTTCCAAGATTTGAGTGAGATTTCTTCTTTCTTTTCCCAAAGTTCGAAGGGGTTCAGTAAGTGATGCTGCGCAATAGAGAATAATTTATATCAGCAAGTCCGAAGAGCGCGGTACTTGTATCTCTCTTTATTCTTTGTTTCGAAAATATAACTAAAGATATACAGCACCGGGGCCACAGTTAAAGAAGCTAACACAGCGTCAGAAGTATCAAAGAAGCCCTTTGCAAAACACAAGACACAAAGCTCAAAGCTCAAGGCACAAAGCTCATCGATACACATAGAGTACTCCGTACTCAAGGGGAAACCAGTTTCGAAGTTTTTGGTTTGTTTCTCATTGTCGACTAATCTCTCTTTCTCTTTTGTACAGAAACCAGGACCGAAAAAAAAAGAAAAAAAAAGGAAGATGGCACAAAGCAGGGGTCTAACCATTCAATACATCAATACAAACTCCATGAAAAGTCTCGTGAGGCGTTTGGAAGTGAACCAGCCAACTTTCCCGAGGCAAATGCATGCAATGAATCCCAAGTTGGGGATTTGGTTTAATAAAAAAAAAAAAAAAAGGAAAAACGTATTCAGTGAACGTGAAGTCGTTCGACATGGGCATTGAGGAATTTAGGACGTATAAATCAAACAGTTGGGGTGGGAAGGGAGGGGGAAAGGTCTTCAACCGCCTTTTCGCAGAGAGTCATCGACGGGGATGGGCTCGGGGTTGCCACGGGGTTCAGACTTTGTGTTTTTGCGATTCTTTTTCTTGGTCGTCTGCCACCCGTGATCACTAGCCTGTTTCCGAGGCTGATCGCCCTTGGGAGGGTTGTGGGTATCACGGCTTTGGCCTTTTGGTTTGGATTTACCGTTGGCGCCGTTGGATTTCTCGGACTCGCCGTTTGCGCGACGCTTGGGGTTGCTTGGTTGGTGACGATTCTCATTTGCTGACTTTTCGCTCTGTGAGTTCTTGGACTGAGACTCCTTTGCTGTCTGGGCCATTGTTCGAGGTCGGTCTGAGGCGGGCTTTGAGGGCTGGGACAGTTTTTCGGAATTCGACAGGTGGTAATTCTGCAGTCGGCTGGCGAGGAGCTCGGGCTGGTCATGTGTGTCTGAGTGCTTGGCCACATGTGTGCCGTTTGCGCCGTTCACCTTGTGGCTCTCCGCTGATGGCCGCGGGGGAACAGCTGAGTGGTCCAAGTCAAATGATCCGGAGTCCTGGTAACCTTGAGACAAAGTGTCGGAGAAGCTGGCAGGTGTGTTGATGTGGTCGTCCGAGGAGCGGGAGTTCCAATGGCTGACAGCACAGAAAGGATCAAGACTAGGTGGGTATTCCTCCGTACGGGGCTCACTTGGACGCACCGAACCATCAATGACTAAAGGACCAGAGACGGGCGGACGCGCTCGTTGAGGCTGAGGTATGGGCTTTGGAACAGCGTGCGCGGTACCATTGGTATCAGACGAGAACGATTCCTGGCGATACTTTCCGTTGACCTGTGAGTATCCAGTAGGATACCCGACAAAGTATTGCGGATTGGCTTGTTCAAAGGCATGCACCTGTTGAGGAGTCAAATAATAATTGAAAACCTCCTGCGGTCGATTCTCATCCACGGAGTCTGAGCGGGATCCATTGCTGGCAAGGCTGTTAGATCGAATAGCGTTCTCATCCCCACTTCCCTCTCCGCCCTCTGAAGACTCAGTGGCAGGCCTTTGTGCGGGCCAATTATCCACGGGTTGGGGCAGGGTGTACAGAGGGATGTAATTCGGATGAGAAGGCGAGGTCAACGAGCGTGCAGGTTGCGAATGAGCCCGAAGCGACTTCGGAGACCCGTTGGCGGCCGATAATCGTCGCGAGTCACGGCGAGTATCAGGCATGGTACTGGCAACAGAGGGAGATGGCGGGTTGGTGGCGGTGCTTGCTTGGGAGCCAGCACCCACCGAAGCATAACTGGGGTTGTAGATCGTTTGCTGTCGTTGTGTTGGACTGAGGGTTGCATGGCTGGCGGTTCCCGATCTGGATCGTGGGGTTTCATCTGAGTACTCCTGTTGCTGAGGAACAGGGAACTGGATGAATGGTTGTCGAATGAAGACAGGTGGCGGTCGTCCAGTGATCACCGCCTGGTTGTGCAGTTGCATGCGCAGTTCTTGTTCCTGCGCTTGCAACAGCTGGATCTGTTGGTACAATTGGTCATGCAAAAGATACTGCGCCTGCTGCTGTGCTTGCAGGGACATGTCTGTCGCATTGCCGGTATTCGGCTGTCGCAAAGTTACCTTGCTCCCATTGTTCCCCGTATTCGACTGTCGTCGTCCAGTGCCAGCCAGCCCGCCGCGTGGCATTTGATTGTTGTATCTACCTCCGCGGCCACCCCCTCGTCCGCGCGTTGGGAGAGATGGAGTAAGTGTCGGTCGTGGCTGAGGCCTGGGTCGCTCCCACGTCCGCTCCTCTTCTACAGGGTACTCAAACTGCTCACAGGCCTCTTCGAGATCACCCTTTGCCACAGATTTGAAAGCCCGTCGCAATTCCAAATGCAAACCTCGGAATGAGGTGTCGTCGGCCGTGTTTCCCAGGTTCCGTACCGTATTGAAAGGTTCCTCCACGCAAAGCCGGTTGTTCATGAGCAGGTGCCAACCCTTGGCAACTTTGTTCGTCAACGTGCCCTCACGCACTGAAATGACATTCGTTTCGTAATCAAGTTCGTGACCATAATATCGGAAAAACTGAAAGAGCAACTCGCCAACGGATTGCTTGTTGTGGCGACCAAACTGGGAAAGAGTCTTGATGTCGTCGTCAAACGAACACACTAGTCCATCTTCGGTGACTCGCTTCTCGTGCGGTCTTGCTTGTAAACTCGGCAAGATTGGTGGGCTCCGCGTCTGAAGGAAACTAATGATGAGACAAATCCACGTATAAGAACTTAAAGTGCCGCCAAGTGCTGCATCGTTCAAGATCCGTCGTTTTGTCCAATGTTTCACGGTCATCGCCAATGGTCTCACGCGCTCGTCCACTTCCACATAAGTCCGGATCATGCGAGTATTTTCCAGTGCTAGAGTATTGTTGACATTCATGTCACAGGCCAATCGAAGCTCCGGATCCCAGATCTTCACAATGGGGACCTTCGCGTGCGATACGCACACTACTCTTTCCATCCCATCTGTTCAGGTCAGCCAGCAGTTCTCCTAATCACGTCCAAATCGATCGATTCCTTACGTTTCGCGAGCACTTCAGCCAAGCAACACACATTCTCCAGCGCTTTAAAATTCGTGGTGATACATATATCCACTGTTCAAGTTAGTCCTTGTCGAATTCTGTCCTCCCAAGTGCCCGTTCTCAACCTACCATCCGAATCGCTGGAGCAGAGTTTGTTCCCTGAGGAGCCAAATATATTCGCTTTGATGTCATGACCAGGCCATTGGTCGTTGAACAGCTTCTCCAATTTCTGAACGAGTTGTCTGCGTCGATCGTCGCTCTCAGCGGAGGGTAATAATCGATCATAGAGGTCCATGATGTCAGCCGATAATTTTTTCTCCTCTTCTGGATCGAGAGTCTCCTTCACCCCCTCCTTCTCCTCTGGCAATATATCCGCTCCGAGACTGTACGGTATCCGCCTGCGAAAATAGGCCATGGCGGTCTCATATTTGCAACCCCCGAGCGGTTTTCGCGGCAGATGCGTCGCTTCCGAGTGTGTGGATCGAGGAGAAGTACTGCCGCGGGCGGGGGAGGGGGACCGCGAGTGGAAAGAGAGGTTGCGCGCATGCTGGTATGGGGTGGAAGGGAGTGAATTTGACTGATGGGAGGTCAACGGAGGCCTCTCAGGCTCTTCGGATGGCGGTATCCATGCCATCGTGGAGGGCCCCGACGCTATCGGTACGTCACCGTGGGAACACTTTGCATTCCCATCGATGTTTGCGACCATATAGCAATTTCCCGACTCCCACAGGTGTGGTTCCTTTCTCGATCTCGGCAAAAGCGATAAGAGTCCACCACAACGCACAATGTAAAACCCCTCCGTGCGCCTGTCGCCGGAAAGGAGGGCAGAAGGATCTTGGAGTAAGGTGAATTCGCGTGGTGTGGGAGGTGATTTCGCGTGGGGAGGTGTGTGTCTCTTGTGCGGTTCGTGGGCGAGGGACGCTAGGGAAGATCGTTTTGGTGGGCTCGCAATCACCTCGAACCACAAAGTCGCGAAGTCCGAATTTTTTTCCTTTCTTCACCCTTCGCTCAGGATGAAAAACAAAGAGAATAATAACACAATGCCTCGGCCAGGAGATGAAAAATAAGACACAGTAAGAAAAATAATTTTTAAAAGAGGAAAAAGGGTCGAGGCCTCGAGGATTTGGGATCAAAGAAAGCGCACCAGAAGGGCAAGCAAAGAATTGAACGTAGTAGTTCCAGGAGTAGATGCGTAGGAACCAGCCTGGGTTCCGAATGTGGAAGAGAGAGGGAGGTAGAGAGGGGAGAGACCTGAGGTGAAGATGAAGGTCAGCCCCTGTCGGCGGTAAAGGCACTGCCGACCGGTCCCCCTCCTGTCTAAGATTCAGATCTATACTTTTGATCGATTCTGAGGGATCAAAGAGACTCCCTCTTCTTCTGAGATTCCTCAGAGTCCTCCAAGTTAGTCAATCAATTCTCATACAAGATTGTGAGAGTCAGAAAGAGAGAGGAATGAGACACGTCGTTGCATGTATACGCGGAGTCAGCTCTTTGCTCTCTTCCTACCCTTTGCCTCATGTCTAGACTGGGCATAGTCAGGGGCTGACATTCTACTGGACTCTCTCTCTCTTCTTTGTGTCTCTCTCGCTTATCTCTGACTCTCTTTCCCCTCTTGAGCTCCCGATTTCTAGGTGTAGGTATCACCTTTATGCATTCATGCAGGTACCAAATCTGATATCGATAACAGCTCCTACTTGACTTGGAGAGACTGCAGAAACAAATAGGAAATATAGCCTCACATAGCTTGGCAATAGTATCAAACCCTAAAGTTTCAATATTTACAATGTCAACATCTCTCCTATTTCTCCTGATCGCCCGTTCTTCAACGATCACCGCGTGTGTGGTCCTTGCACGTGCTGTTCACTATAACCTAATCCAGACTGCCCCCAAGCCATGACACTTCCAAGGTTGACTCTGGCAATTAAAAACAACCTGGAAAATCTGTACAGTTCCACTCGGGTCTGTTGACTGTGGCGCAACATCATTCAATCATAATTTACCCCTTTGTTTGAGACCTGGGCTCATTATTGGTGCCGCCCTTCTCCCCGGATCCGAAGAGGATAACCCTCATGGCCATTGGCTCGATACACTGACATGGTAGCCTTTGTTAGGTTGACGGGCATGGACACTACATTGGACAGCGAGGCTTGATAGTTTGCATTTCTTTGACAACAACCAGAGGGGTCAAGCTCTCGGCCTGTGACTTGATGACCTCACAGGCATCCCACCAAGCCAAAAGAGCCTAAGACCGTATTAGGCCGAGCACAGTCCTATGTATGACGAGTGGGGAGATATCACGCTCGAGACCCTCGAGGTAACGCGGAGGCATCGTCGATTCGGCTGTTGGCTCCGTTGCTACTATCCGGAGCGTTTTGGAAGCTTTGCCCGGTGTCCACGAACTCCCAAGGTTGTCCACGGTTGGAGAGACGGGCCTCTGTGCTGACCTCTAGGTGGGGGACCTTGTGCTGGGAGTCGATTCACTCCGACTACTCGTACATACATGGTACACGTTGGAGAACCCATGCACTCGTACATGCGGGGGACCTTCTGCTGACTGGCCGAGCCGGTTATGTACATGAACAATGCAGTAGCCAATCCAGTGCAGAGGGGCGCGGACCTTGCGGAAGAATATAAAATGATGGTCAACTTGCCCCACCTCTCCTGAATTGACCGAAGCTGGTCATAGCACCCAGTGTTTGGGGGGATATTACTGTAGTATAGTCCAAGGTCGTCCGTTGTACACAATATATTGTAGCTGTCAGTTCAAGATTTGACCGGTTCAATACATAGATACTTCGAAAGGCCTGGGTGGAAGAGAGGCTCTTGACTAGACTAATTATCGGGCTGCAGCACATTATATATTCCTGTTGCATGCGTTCGTTTGGCCTAATGTACATCACTGTACATGGGGATGCAGACCGCATTCCAAATCTGTCCAGCCTCTCTTGCAGCCTCTGTTCAGCGATATGAGTTCTTGGCAAGCTGACTGCATGTGAATACAGAATAGTTCTAACATCATACGTTGGAGTATGTAGCCCGTCGGGGTGTATTGTATAGAGTAAATCTATTGAATCTTAATTGAGATTGCTTTTATCCAGCAAAGTCTAACAATGGCAATGTCAATATCTATAAGTATAAATGTCAGAAATAAGGATAACGAGAATAAGAATAATAAGAATAATAAGAACTGGTAAGTTTTTTTTTCGACACGAGGACGCTTAGGCACATCCAATCTCCGGTGACCGGCCCCATCAGTGACGAATGAGAAGTCTTGGGTTGCCGGGAATTGCCGCGTACTTGGGAAGAACAAATGTATTGAGCAATTGCTCTGAGACTATTGAAAAGAAAGGTGTGAGAGAGAGGGAGGAAGGTAGTAAAAAGGCATTATAGTATGTCCTAGTATACTCCTATACTTCCTCGTTCTGGAAGGAATACTACTCCTTTTCCTGTATTTGTATGCTGTTTTTTTAATTCTTTTTTTTTTCTTACGACTTACTGTACATTGAGAAACTAGAAAACCCCCTCCTCCTCCCCTCCAGGTAATACAAGTTGGACCCTCTCCTTTTCCCTCTTCCCATTCCTGTCGTGGTAAACTAAGGCCTACTGTAAGTGATTCCTCTTTTCTTAATCTGTTCAAGTGTGGACATCTACCCGAGTTTTACGGGAAAAAAAACCCTCCCCCGAGTTTGATGACATTTTCACCCCGTATTTTTTCAACCTCAACTCACTGGGAGTGATTGTGATTGTTCTTGGAGATTTCTCTGTGTGTGCGGGTGGACCGGGACTCACATTTTTTTTTCTCGACAGATCGCCTCAGACCGGATCATCTACTTCGCCGCCTTCCCCTGAACCATCGCACTTTCGGCGAAGGTCCTTTTGATCTCGACAATGTCTTACTACGAACCTCAAGGATGGCAAGCACCTGCTGCGCGCCAGGTCTCCTGGGAGCAGCCCGCACCACCCTCCCGATCAGGTACGGAAATATCAATACACACATATTTTTCATCCTAACATCCTCTCAGGCTCGAGTTCGGTTTCCCAGCGCGAGGACATCCCGGCCTTTTCTTCCCAGTTTGACGGTATGAAAATACACTCTGCCCAACCCTCAATCGCCCCCGGAATCGCATTGGTGGAAGAGATGAGGGAAAAAACCTCCTTTCGGAACGGAAACGCTAATCTTCGCTGTAGAGGTCGATCGAGCGATCGACAATCTCGTCAAGAGCGGGAAGCTTTGGAATGCTCCTCGGCGGGATTCGATGCCCATGATGATGGGCCGGCCTTACCCCGACTACGGTATGTTGCGGGCACGGATGGCACCCAGAACGCGTTTCTGACTTGTCTCTTGACAGACCCTCGTATGGGTGGTGGCCCTCAGCGACACCATTCGATTAGCGAATTCGATGGCAACAGAGCGCCCCCGTCCGGCAATGCACAGGGGTTCTATGCCTCCCAACGGTACCAGGGTCGTCCCAACGAGGTGGAACAAATGATGCAGGCGAAGCGTCGGATGGCAGCACAGCGTGAGAGGGAACTCCGCAACTACCACCAGGAGCAACAGTACAACCGAAGTACGTGGTAGCCTTTTTGTCCTTTTTCCCTCTCTTCTCTTCTCTCTCTCTCTCTCTCTCTCTCTCTTCCTTGGCCTCGCTATATTCCCCTGTTGGCATTTGTCCGTTCCTTGCATCTATGTATCCTTGTGTAATATATATGGTTTGGCTTCTTGGCTTTTCTTTGACCGGGTTTTTAATAATTCGTTTCTTCTAAAGGCCTCCTCGCCGAAATGTCCGCTTCCAAATCCGATCGCTCCACCAGCCCAGCAGCCGTGAGCGAGGATAGCCGCCGTGATCTCCTCGCCCGCCAGCACCGCGCCCTGTACGGCAACGAAAGCCCTGCCTTCTTCCCCCCGGGTGCTCTGGATGAAACCTCCCGCCCCGCCAGCCAAGCCGCCAGCACCCCAGGAGTCCGCGGCTCCTCCCCACGCGCCGTAGACCCCTTCGGTCTCGCAGGTTCCACAGAAGCCCAGACCCCGTCCCGCGCAAACAGCACTTCCTCCCCAAGCTCCGCTATCAACGCCGGCTTCGAACAGCCCGTCACCTCCCCCTCGCCAGCTACCGACTCCTCCCGCCAACCCTCCGGCTCCGTCGGCCCAATCGGTTCTCGCGTCCAACAAACACCCCCAAACCCCGCTCTCAACAAGCGTTCTATCACACCTCTTCCTTCCCCATTGGGCTTGGGCTTCACCCCCGCTGACCCCGCTCCCGAGCGTACCTCGTCTGCTGGGCCTGTTCCCGTCGTCCCGGCGCCTGGTCCTAAGGATCCAGCTGGCGTTGGGCTTGGATGGAGTAACGGCAGCGGCGTGTGGGGCTCGAAGAGCGGACTCGGCGTTCAGGCTTCTGTTTGGGGTTAAGGGACAAGGGTTTTTTTAAAAGGATTCTTCTCAAACCACGGCGTGCATGGACTTCACATTTTTCTTGGCGTTGAAAAAAAGAAAATCGGCTTCGAGTGTCTGCGTGACGCTGATATCTGTTGCTCTGGGCTCTGGGCTTCTGCGGGGTTTTTGGAACAAAAACAAATCATTTGGAAAATATTTGTGACTCTATTCTTTTTTTGGGGATCTTGACCGGATGTCCCAGTTCATGGGGTGTTTGTTTTGATGGATACTTTTTTTTGCCATTTACTCTTTGGGTCCTGCGCGATGGTTGGAAATATGGCGCTTTTCTGGGGCTATCATTTCTTGGTGTTTTGTGTTTTGTGTTCTTGTCGGGTGCTTTGGTCTTCATCGTTTTCTTTTTTTTGGGGTGTGGTTTAGGGATTGCACATTGACTCTTTTGGACATTGGTCTGCCTGTTTTACTATACTCCTATGGAGAGGCGAACCGAGGATCAAAACGGATATTTTGATTTGGATGGTCTTTAATTATCTTTTCTCTTTGGTCTGGTATTTGACTTTGGGTTAGTTCAGGCGATGTAAAAAGGGTTACTGGTGTCTCATTTTTTTAATCTCAATGGATTTTGGGTGTGATTTTGGAATCTACTGTTTTGGGCTTTGTATGAACTAGTCTTGAATCCTCCTAACTGGCGTATCAGTCTCCTCCCTTCCAAGGTTTACATTCATAGATCGTTGGTTGTTGTGTGAGACAGTTGGTACATTTCCTTCAAACTGTGAATGTCGAATGTATCAAAATGGTCATGAAACAAATCGTAAGATACTGAAACTTTTATAAATTAAGCATTATGGCATGCATCAAGCCGCACGCAAAACAGGGCCACCCCCTCGGGGTCTTGGTCATTAAACCATCTGAGTCTTCAAGCACATCATAGGCATGTAACACAAGGTTGATGTGTACCCAACCGCATAAAGCAAGTCCATAAATGGTGTAAATCTTGATGCAGATGAATCTAAGCTCAACAAAAGATCGAAGAACCAAAGAAAGACCAAAAGATCCCAAACCAAACTCAGACAGAGCTGGTGTTGACCAAAGTGCGTCCTGGCTGATCACTGGGCTCGCCAGTAGGGGCGACGTGCGCGATCTTTCGCTTGGCAGTGAAGAGTCCGACAACACCACGCTCTTGGTTCGACCCGAGCCAGGGCTTGCGGGCCTCACTGAGAACCTTCTGACCAAGGAAGTAGATGAGCTGACCGATGATGATCAGAACAAAGGCAATCGGGTACATCCAGTGAATGTGGTAGTGGAAAACCTCGACACCAATGATAACACCCCAGAAGTTCATGGTGAGCATGGAGACGTTGAAGAAGGCCGCAGACGAGAGGCGGAACAACAGCGGCGCCAAACAGTAGAAGAGACTCAGACAAAGGGTATATCCGGTGAGATATCCGCCGACCTTCCCATCCCAGTGAGCGTTATGGAAAGAGGTCCGGTCGAAGATACCGGCCTGAGCACCGTTGATGATCATAGCCCAGAAGGACATTTGCCCAAGAACCTCGTACACGGGCCTCTTGCTGACGAAGTATTCTTCACCGGTGTTGGTGAATCCGTAGAAGGTCGCACCCAGCAAAGCGAACAAGTCACCCTTCAGCTGGTTGCCCTTGGAGATGTCACCGCCGTTTGTGCCGGTGATGTGGTCTGAAGCAATGAGAACACCCATTCCACCAATACAGATCAGGATACCGGCAACTTGGGAGATGTGGTAGCGCACGCGCAAGAAGAGGAATGAAATCACCACGACCACGACGATGGCCCAGAAGTTGATTAGTTGTGCGCTGAGCATTGTTGTATATTGGTATGCCAGCACGATGAAGTAGTTACCTTCCACGTCGCAGAAAGCAAGGATGATGTCTGTGGCTGTTAGTTAGGGTTCGAGTCGAGAGAAGATTCGTGTGAGCCTACATTTCCAGCCGTCACGGTAAACCAATTGGAGCCAGCCCTTGAAACCGTAACGGTACATCGTATAAGGTGTAAAGATGACGTTGAGAAGCACGTAGTTCAAAAAGGTCTGGAAGGCAGGAATCGCCCAGTCCTCATTTCCGAGAAGCGTGGTAAAAGTTCCCGTGGAGGTATTGGCAATGGCGAGGATTTGTCTATAGACGAGTTAGAACCGTGAATGATAAGTGTTTTCTTGTTGAACAAAATGTCACTCACCCAAGGATCACGGTAATATAGAACTCCTTGGTTTTGAAATACGCCAAGAACCCTTTCTTCTCCTCATCCACTTGGTCTGCGGGCTGCACCGAGTTCTCTTCTTGAGAAGAACTCTGCGCAACCGCAACCGTAGCATCCTTAGGCAGTGAATGGACCGAAGAGGAGCTTGCGCGACCCGCATCGACTTCCACACCAGATGCCTGGACAGTAACGTGGTCCTTCGACTCAGACATGGCGACGGCGAATCTCGAAAGCGGGGTTGACGATCTCACAGGTTAGAACGCAAGCCAGTTGCAAGCACAGAGATGATAGGGAGCTTTTAAACAACAGCTACGAGCGCAAAACTCCCGAAGTCGCTCGTATATCGACACACCGGAATGAATGAGAAGACAGAAAACTCTCCGTCAACATCAAGGAAAAAAAGCCCGCCACGGGCTGGAACCTTTCCTAATCGGGATATCTCGCGATAAGAATCTGCCATGCTAATGAGCACCAGCCAATCAGCGCTGAGACAGTGGGGGCGGTCAAAAGTGTCTGTGCGGAGAGGAATGGGCTGATTAGGTCAGTAGGCGGTGAAGAGGTTCGCATACTGCGTACACTGTGGAGGTTCAAAAAGTATTTGACCTCAGGTATGGAGTACTCCGTACTTGGACTTGAGACTCAACTTTGCATACTGAATGATATTTGGATGAACAAGAAAGTAGGAAAGACAGCAAAGATCCCATGGTTACTGCATACCAGGCTCCAGAGTGGAGTTCAAGTACTGGAGGTCCAATACTTGAAACTGCACTGTACCATGGCAGTACTTGGGCGGTACCCAAGCCCCAAGGGCCTAGCTCCTGGCCCGGGAAGTCTCTCCCGCGTACTATAAACTTATGCGGGAGATCCGTTGAGTCGGAGATGCAGCGAATATTTATAGATTTAACTTAAGTGATGTGCAATAGATCTTGGATCTTCATTACACAGGGCATCTTGTGTACATATGCGAGTGTGTGAAAGTATTGTCACAGTACTTCCCCGGAGCCCCGTGGCCCCCTTCAGTCGGTACGGAGTATTAGTACTGTCGATAGTGACGCCATAGCCCCTGAGAGAAGGGAAAAGTACTTGTACATCGTACAATGGGCATTGATAGAGGCAAATTGAAAGAAAGGATCGAAGTGACGACACATTACTGTAGAGAGGGCGTATACAGGGATAACATAGCATAGAATCAGTTGCCGTGAGTCATGTCTTCTGGAAGACCCGGAAGTGCCCACTTTGTTCCCGGTCGCGTGTTGTCCGAAAGTGCAACAGAAGCTTGCCAAACTTTGAGCTCAAGGGGGAAAATCTTAAAACCTTTAGAACCTGCCGAGGCCGTCAGGTGGACCTGCTCCCGATCGTCCCCTCCGCAGACTCTTTCATCATTTCGTGATCTCCACCACCTGTCCCCCAACTACCTTCCCGGTTCCTTTCTCCCTTTTTGAGTCTTTTCTTTTCTTTTCTTTTTTTTGGTTTTACTCTTCGATCTCGGCTCTCCTCTCGCGCCGGCTCCATCAGGCCCGGAGTGACGAGACGCCTCCTTTCCCGCCCGACCATGGCGCTGGAAGTTCAGCCGCCCGACGGTCGCAGACGTGTCAAGGTCTATGAATTGAGGGATAATGACTGGTTTGACCGCGGAACCGGGTTCTGTACCGGTCAGATCTTGGGGGTGAGTCGCGCGTCTCCAGAGCGCGATGACGCCCGATGGTTCATCGCGCGCCACCATCAACACAGCACTGATCGCATCGCTTTAGGAGGAGCCCCGTATATTTGTCGAATCGGAAGACCAGCCCAATCGCGTATTACTCGAAACAAAGATCACCAAGGACGATGGCTATCAGAAACAGCAAGGTACCTGATCCGACACCGCACAGGTGTCATCGTGACTAACGGGATCGCGCAATCAGAAACTTTGATCGTTTGGACCGAGTCGAATGGGACGGATATGGCGCTGAGTTTTCAAGAGGCAGAGGGCTGCGCAGTCATATGGTGAGGATGGAGAGCCAAGTTCTGTGTGCGCGCATCGGCTAACCCCCCCGTCCCCAGGGACTTTGTGCATGCCGTCCAAACACATCTCCTGAGTCTCACCTCGGCTGGTAAGTTTTTTTCCGTGCGCTTGATTACTGGCGGCTCTAACTTCCTCTCCCAGATGACGCCCTCTCCGACGACCTCGACAGCTACCAGTCAATCGTATTACCAGCACCTGACCTTGGCCATCTCACAGAAATAGAACAGATCACGCGAGCCGCAAGTTTGACACAAGCCGGCCGAGACGCGCTGTCTAAATTTATCATCCGCGACGAATACATCTCAAAGTTGGTACCGCTTGTAGCGGTGGCAGAAGACTTGGAGAGTTTGATTGACCTGCATCGCCTGTGCAACATCATGAAGTCGCTCATCTTGTTGAACGACAACACCATAATCGAGACGGTCGTTGCTGATCATGTCATTTTGGGAGTGGTCGGGGCTCTGGAATGTATGTTTAAATGGCTATATCCGTTGCAAAGCCCAGAGCTAACACTGATTTAGATGACCCCGAGTTCCCCACGCACAAAGCAAACCACCGACAATACCTCGCAGACAAATCCCGATACAAAGAAGTTGTTCCCATCAAGGACCCGCTCATTCGCCGCAAGATTCGGAGCACGTGGAGGTTGCAATACTTGAAGGATGTGGTGCTGGCACGGATTCTCGACGACCCGACCTTTTCGGTGCTCAATTCGTTGATCTTTTTCAACCAAATGGAGATCGTGAACCACATTCAAGGGAACGCGCCGTTCTTGCGAGAGTTATTCAGCGTATTCGACCCACGGAACCTCGATCAGAGGCGCAAGGATGATGCTGTGCAATTCCTTCACCAGTGCGCTGGTATCGCGAAGAACTTGCAAGCGCCGTCGCGCGCTCAATTATTTGCCAACTTTATCGGCCACGGTCTCTTCCAGGTGATCGCATTTGCCGTCAAGCACTTGAATCCGTCAATGCGCACGACAGGTATTGATATCTTGGTAGCATTGTTGGATCACGATCCTATCATGATGCGAAGCTACATGCTCAAGGCCGTCAACGAGAAAAAGACCCCCTCACAGACACCCTGATTGACCTACTTCACGTGGAGACCGACCTCGGCGTCAAAACCCAACTCGCCGATGCCATTAAGATTCTTCTCGATCCTCAGATTCCTCTGCAGGACCCGCTTGGTCGGGCTGGACCCGATTACTTCAAAGTTCGCTCCAACAACATTCTTTCCGATGCATTTGTCCAGCAACATTTCGATGAGTCTTCGAAACGGCTGTTTCAACCCCTCAAACAGCTCGAGAACCGCGCAACCCGTAAGTAATATCAGACTATAATTGCAAGCTCATCTGCTAACTCTCTTCCAGTTAATGATTTGACATTCCAAGAGGTCACCCTCTACTCCCACCTTGTTGATATACTCACCTTTTTCGTCCGCCAACACCTCTTCCGCACTCGCAATTCCATTCAGAGTGAATCTCTCGCGCCTCGGGTCACCCAACTCCTGCAGGTCCCCCAGAAACATTTGAAACTAGGTAAGTTTGTACATATCATTGCAAAGAGCAACCGCTGACCAAACTCAGCTGCTCTTAAATTCTTCCGCACCTTGATCAGTCTCCAAGATACCTTCTACCAAGCGCTCATGACACATAACAATACTTTCGGGTTAATCCTCGACATTGTCTGCGAAACAATGCCCCGCGACAACCTACTCAACTCGGCCTGTCTGGAACTTTTCGAGTTTATCAAGCGGGAAAGCATCAAGCCCTTCATACTTCACGTCGTCGAGAAATATCGCGAGAAGCTTGAATCTATCACATATGTCGACACGTTCCAGACTCTGATTTCAAAGAATGAACAGCTGCAGGGTTACGGGGCCGAGGCTGATTCAGCGTTGTTCAGTCAAGACGAAGGCAATGAATCGCGCAGAAATCGAGTCAATGGCCAGCGCTGGCAGGGCGCAAGGGAAATGGACGCTGCTGAAGAAGAATACTTTAATACATCCGACGACGAGGATGAGGTAAGTACCTGAATCGAACGTGGCAAGGAAGCGACTAACAGGTCAAGATCAAGTGGCCACAAGACAACGCGCCTGGTGCAACTGGAGCTTCCAATGGATCCAGTCCAGCTGCGAAGTCTTTGGTTGATTATCCAGATGACGACGACGAAGAGGATGATATCATGGACACCAAGCCCGAAGGGGTCTCAGAACCGACAGCCGATTTGGAAAATTCTTCAACAGCCCAGACACCTCCCCCGAACGATTTGCAGAAAAGCGCCGCCGCGAGGAAGAAGACGAAGACGAGCTGGTCAAGCTTGCAGCCGGCCCCAAGCGACGAAGCTCAACCAGCAGCAATTCCGGCGCTGGTATTCTCCTGCGGAAAAAGAGCCTCTCTGGCTCACCGATAGAGAAGAGCTCTTCGCTTGGCGTAACAAGTGCAGCACCCAAGCGAATCGCCATCAATATCGGTACGACAGCCAAGTCAAAACCGGAAACCGCAGTCGTGGAGAGTAATGAGAAGGAGAATCGCGATGACAAAGACGACAATGAGGGATAGTTATCATCAGCCAGGCGTTTTTGTATGTTTATTCCCTTGGCTCAGATACCAGACGCAGGTTCTGTATGGACGTTTTGTCCGATTGTCCTCTTGACTTTCTGGCCTGTTTCTGGTGTCTGGGCTGTGCATGGCGTCTGGGCACTGCATTGGATCCGGGAATGGAGCAAATATATCCTGATTTTTGCGTGTCTCCAAGGTTATGCTTTATACAGTATATGAGCTCTTGGTGTGTTGTATTATTGTAAGGTTTTCCATGTCTCGTATAGAGTCTGATGTGCCCACTCCAGCGCATTGGATTTAAATGGCTTCGCCTCGCAATCCAACCTTTTTTTTTCGGATGATTTTGATATAGCCCTTCCCTCGGTACCTGCAATTACAGCTCGTAAGCCAAATCCAAGAATTGGCTTGTTGTAATATAGTAGACCATAGGCTGAGCCCTCTATTCGCCAGCATAGTATATGGGATCCACCGTTGAATCCAACGTCACCTCCCTTTTCCCCATCATTGATCATATCCAGGTATCTTTTTCTTCCCATTTAACCGACTCAATTGGAGACTCAATCCCTGGACCTATAGCACCTACTGGCTATATCGCACAGACTAGAAAAGCAGACCCTTGCTGAGGCCATGTCAGACCCAATGTCCCAAATAACCCCAAACACCTTCTCCACAACTACAGGGCCCTCCCCCAAAACAACAATCTTCTTCATCTCCGGAAACCCCGGTCTGATCAGCTACTATCACCCCTTCCTCTCCCTCCTCGCCAAATATCTCACAAATGAGACCTCATTCCGTATCCACGGAAGTTCCCTCGGCGGCTTCGAGATCGGCCAAGAATCACCAAAAGACCTCGATCTCGAAGACCAGATCCAATTCGTCCAGGGTAACCTGAACACCCTGATGAGCAATGATGTCCAGTCCAACGACAACGCCAGACAAAAAGTCATTCTGATCGGCCACTCCGTCGGCGCATACATGGCCATGGAAATTCTAAATAGACACCGCGACCAATCATTCGATATTATTGGTGGTATCATGCTCTTCCCGACATTAATGGATATCGCTGCTTCGCCCTCCGGCCAGAAACTATCGGTTTGTTCAATTCTTCCCTTGAAAGACCCGTAACTGACCCTTCAATTTCAATAGACTTTGCTATCCATAATACCACGTCTGGCACTGGTTGTCAGTCTCTTTGCAAGACTTCTCACATTCATACTCCCAGTCTCGGTTCTCAGGGCCGTCGTTCGGGTCGTGATGAATGATCCGCCGTCTCATGCTCTAGACACTACGTGCTCGTTCCTGCGGAGTCGGGGTGGTGTGCGACAGGCTTTGTATGTCTCCCCCCCTCTTCTTCTTCTAAATCTTGATCTGGATATGAGGGTTTGGGAACCTTGCTGACGTCTTGTAGACATATGGCTGCTGATGAAATGCGTACTATCACCTCTGACAAATGGGGTGATGATATTTGGGGTGCACACGAACCTGTTGCGAAGTTGTTCTTTTACTTTGGTCGGAATGATCATTGGGTGGCGGAGAAGACGAGGGATGAGATTGTTAAGAGGGGGGAGAAGGGGGGTCCTACGATGGTTGTTTGTGAAGAGGGATTGCCGCATGCGTTTTGTTTGAGTGAGTATTTTGGAGATTTTTGGTTTGATATTGGCTGACTTGATTAGAACATAGTGATACGATGGCGAGGAAGGTCGCTGCTATGGTTGGGGAGGTTGTTGGTGTACAATAGGGCTTTTATACACGGTAGATTGTTGGACATAGATCACCGAGCTAGAGGTGTTTAGACATCCGCGCACGAAGTGCAGGGAAGGAGTAAAGTAAATAGAGAACCGCAAGCCGATCTTTCTGCCTGGTTAGAAACATAATACATTTGAACTGATCATAACCAAAATGCAATTGGGATATCTAGTGAAGCCATGCGCCATAAAATGATCAATGGAAGTAACAAACGTGCCCCAAATCTCCCTAATGCCCTTGTGGTGGGCCTTGGTGAGCTAGCCCAGCTTTCCGGAACAAGGCTCCTAGCACATCAGGATCAGTCTGCGGCTGAGGCGGTGGTTGCTGCGGATGCGAATAGACATTCGGGGGCATCATAACCCCATAAGACTGGTGTAGCTGCGGAGGCGCGTATTGCTGGGGTGCAAGCTGGTGGGCGCGCACACTCCAGCCGTCGTCCTGGGCCCGCTGCTGGCCAAACAAATCCTTCAACGAGATCTGGCGGCCCATGGGTACGCTCGCCTGGACTTCTTCCAAAGGTGCGACCTGGTTAGCGGCCGCGGCCGCGGCAGCGTGAAGACTGTTCTGGCGCATGGCCTCGAGGTGCTCGCGGGCAAGCTTCATACTGTGGCCGGCGTGCACTGCGCAATCTTCAATCATCTTTGCGTTGATGGTGCGGTTGTCGGCGCTGGAGTTTGGTGGGGGTTCGCAGTAGATCCAGAGGCCATAGATGCGCAAGTTGTCTGCGCTTTCTTGGTTGGTGGGGGCGTTGGGTGGGTGTCTGGGCTCGGCGGCACCGTGTGCGCCAGTCTCGCCTTCGGCGGGATTATCGGCCTTGATGATCACGAATTCGTCTGTGATCTCGACGTTCTCTCCGTTGGTCAGTGGGAGGTCGAAGTTGGTTGGACCGCGACGGTTCAGAACGAAAGCTGTGTAACGGTGTTCGCCAAGTTCTCCTTGTGTTTCCTGGCAGACGAAGAGACTTCCTTCGACACCATTCTTTTCCCATTGGTTTGTGGATGGGTTGATGATGTATACGACGACGTAGTGGGCGAGGGAGAGGATGTTGACCACCGAGGGTTTGTGACGGCGAATTACTGAGAGGTTGAGCTCCTCATTTGAGCGCAGAGCGGGAGCAGGTTGCTGAGGCATGTCGGAGTAGTATGCGGCGTCTGATTCATAATCGGTGAGGTTGACTGGGTTGTGATTGTTCTGTCGGCGACCTTTGCGGGAAGTCATGGTCTGGGCAAGGAAGGCGACGGTGACGTAAAGTGGAGGGAAGAGCGATGCAGTAGGTTGATCACGGGATCTATACGGAGAGTAAGGTATGAGAAAGTACAAAGGAGTGAGAGTGAGTAAGGTGAGTAGAGCGAGAAAGAAGCTGAACCTCAGTGTTAAAGTGTTGTGCGGGAGCTCCACGGGCACATAGCGTCATTGCCCTCCGCCCTGGTCCTCCGTCCCACTCGCGCCTCTTCGCGCCTCTTCTCACCTTTCGTTCTTGACTTCAATCCACTCGGTCATCACTGATGCTTCTTGGAGTTCTTCACCGCCGCCTTCCGTGGATACTCTGATCCTTGTTGGAGCTATAAAATGGAATAATTGTCGCACTATACCACCCACCCGCTCATCTCACCCTACTTGGTATATACCCCACGATAGCACAATTACTTCTGCGCTTCCCTTGCGATTATCCTCGCTCATCATCTGCCACCGGGAGCAAGAGCCGCGCAAGCGCCCACCTACACATACACTGCGCCGCATATATGCCGGACAACCGAAACAGGACCGATCAATCGATAATACAAAGAGGCATTGCCATTATTGATCCTGTCGCATCTTTACATACGTCATGAGTGCGAATTCTCAGTCGTCGTCGTCGTCTGCATCTGCGTCAGAACACAGAGATCACGAGTCCGAATATGCGGAGGAGATCGAGAATCCCGGACTCGACATCCTGTCCCTGTCGCGAGCGGTTAAAGAAAGAAGAGCAGAGTACACTCATCGACGCAATATTCGGGTCAAGGTTGGCACGTGGAACGTTGCCGCCATCTCCGGCACCGAGAAGGACGTTGGGAAGTGGTTTGTGCAGGGCGAAGGTGTATGCGAAAAGTTCTCTGGCTCGAAATGCACACAGGGCCAGGAACCAGATGCCCCGGCCAGTAAGCAGGATCAGTCGGAGTCAGATGGAGACAAGACTGCACCTTTCCACTGCAGCCCCGAAGGGATAGACCTCTATGTTCTGGGGCTGCAAGAGGTCGTGGATGTATCTTCACCCACGGAAGCTCTCCGACCATATGTTGACCCGGCGCCTTCAAAGAAATGGAAAGAGGCAGTGCACAATGCGCTGCCTGCCGGGTATCAGCTTGTCTCTGAAGTCCAGCTGATTGGGTTGCTACTGCTGGTCTATGCGTCGCCCGCCATTGAAGACAGTATCTCTTCCATCAGCACGACTTCGGTCGGCACGGGCTTGATGGGCTACATGGGTAACAAGGGTGCCGTGGCAGTACGCCTGGTACTAGGAGAAACGGCCCGTCTGGTGTTCATCAATTCTCATCTGGCGGCAGGATCAGACAAAAATAGTTTGGAGCGACGCAACTGGGACTCTTCTCAGATTGTCCAGCGTGCCAAGTTTGAGGCGGTTTCTTCCGAGGACGATCAAGAAAATGAGTCAGGCGAAGTCATTGGAGACGAGGATTTCACTTTCTGGTTTGGTGACCTCAATTATCGCCTCGATGACATCCCGGGGGATGACGTACGTCAAGTCCTTGCCCGGCATACGGAAAATGCGTATGATAAAGAACGCCAAAAGAAGCAGTCAACGGGCGAATCTCAACAGTCCACCCCGGATAACGAAGAATCGCCACCGCCGTCTCCCCTCGGCGAGGATGAAACATACCCAGTCACGGATGAAGAGATCGACCCCCTTAATGATCCAGCGTCTCTGCAGACTACGATATCCTCCCTCTTGCCACACGATCAGTTGCGACTGCAGAGAGAAAAGGGAGCAGCGTTTCACAAAGGATGGCGAGAAGGCCAGATAACATTTTTGCCGACGTACAAATATGATATTGGAAGTGTGGCCATGTTTGACTCAAGTGAAAAGCACCGAGGGCCAAGCTGGTGTGATCGGATCTTGTTTCGCACAAAGCGGGATAAGCTGAAGCACGAGCAACTTGACCAAGAAGCCGAAGTGGCTCGACAAAGGGATGAGCAGATGAAGGCTAGTGGATTGGACAAGGCTGTCGCTGATGATAACGTCCTATTCGAGTATGACCCAGACACAGACGGGATCCATAGCGATGAGTATGCATCGGACGAAGACCAAGCAGACGATGAGGCGGCTACAGTTGCATCACAGGACCCTTCTCAAGACCCAATCCATTTGGACCACTATCTATCTCATCAAGGCATTTTGTCCTCGGATCACAAGCCTCTGGATGCCATCTTCACCTTGAGCTTCGATGCCGTCAACCCTCAGCTCAAGACGAAAATCCACCAAGAGGTCGCTCGTGAACTTGACAAGGCAGAGAATGAGGCTCGGCCGGATCTGACAGTTGTGGTGGACAAGTATGGAGACCAGAAACAATCTGAAAAAGACCCCAACGCCGTTGACTTTGGTGACATTGCCTTTGGCGTGCCAGTCCATCGATCCTTGACGATCGCGAACACCAGCGGCAGTGCAGCGACTTTTTCATTTGCGGAAAGGCATACTGATAAAGACGAAGCCATTCCTTCGTGGCTGGAGCTTCATGTTTCGCGCTCGTCAGAGACGGACGACAATGGTCAAGCAACCGCCTCGTCGTCTGGCAACCACACTCTGCACCCAGGAGAAGTAGCAAATGTTGATGTCGTCGCTCACATTCGCAACATCGAGCACGTTCGTCTACTCAACATAAGAAAAGTCAAGCTGGAGGATATTCTCGTCCTCCACGTGGACGGTGGCCGTGATCATTTCATCTCTGTCCATGGGCATTGGTTGCCCACGAGTTTCGGTTGCACGGTTGATGAATTGACGCGCATGCCTGAAGAGGGCGCTCGCAGCCTAGCCAAATCGGACACACCTCATCCATCCAGCACCGACGGGTCCTCCCAGAGCCGCTTGTCGGCACCCCGAGAGCTATTCCGGTTGACAGAGGCAATTTCCGAGTTGACAGAACGTGCCGTTGCTGAATGGAGCATGACCAACGGCGAATCCGAGGAGCATAAAGCGCCATGGAAATCAGAACTCTGCGGGGGCGCATGGCCTTTCCAACCTGACACATGGACCCTGAAAGACCCAGAGGAGCGTTCTGCTCTGCAAAATTGTGTCCACGAAGCCCTCGATACCAATCAAGCTCTCGTCGCAGTCTTCCCTCCCGAGATACCATCTGTCCAACGACTAGAGGTTCTCGCCGAAACCCTTCTCACATTCCTTAACTCTCTCAAAGATGGCATCGTGACAGCATCGGTATGGCAGGAAATGGAGCAGCAGATGATCGCGCGCGAAAAAGCCAAAACCCCACCACGCACTTGGGAAGAAACCCAAGCATGGGTCCTCGAGAGCCTCGCCTACTCCCCCGCACACAGCGTCTCTTTCACCTTTGTCACCTTTATGCTTGCGCGTATTGCCAACGAGGTAGCCCCGGTATCATCCTCCACGCCGCAGCCTACACCAAACCACGGTGAATCGGAATCAGCAAAGAAGTCAGAGCCTGCGAATGCAGAACACATACAACCTCCTACTCCGGCAGCTGCCTCCTTCATCTCCACCGGCACTTTCCGTCGCAAAAACCGGTCCTCGAGCGCATCTACTAATATTCCAGATGCGCCTCCTCCGAATCCCTCGATTGCCCGTCGTCAGGCAGTGGAGACTGCTTTGGCGTCTATTTTCGCGCGCGTGCTTATCTCGGCTTCGGCTTCTTTGCCAGCTAAGGAGAAGGAACGACGTGCAACTGACGAGCGAAGACGGTCGATCATTGAGCCGTTCCTCAAGATGATTGGAGTTGATGATAGGGGTCCGTCAGGAGGTCGGTGATGAATCCCAGCTTGTTGATGTTTTCTAGAACATGTGTTTCCATATAGATCGTTGCAGCTATATGTCATAGTGTATAATTTTGTATTAATGGCATTCTCTCGAAGTAAGCTGACTCGCACAATCAGTGATTCTGCCGCACTGACAGCTTTGCCTATGTGATACTATCCCGAGACAGTAATACAAACACATACCCCATGTCATCCCACGTAGTACTCTCCATTCCCCTTTCTGCTTCTCTTTACTTTCCCCCACACCTGAGGTAGAACAACAATGCCTCTCCGAATAGTTGAAAACGATTCACCTGAGCCGGTCCCCTGGGGAGCCCTCTCATTAGATATCTATCTTCTCTCAGAATGGGAAACCCCGAACCCCGCACAGCCCACCGAGTCCCCCTTAGACCGCCGCCGTCGGCTGGTACGCCAGTTCCTCGCATTAGGATTGGAGGGCAGAGAGGTGAATACTGCCCGACACTGATCAATCCATTTCAATTGAAATGCTGCGTTTCTTCACAACCCCAAACGAAAACACATAATTGATTCATTAGCCCTACAACGCCCGCACAGAAACACCACCCACACCCACTGAGGCCCAAATAGCCGAGATCCTCCTCCCAGTACGCCCGGAGGCTCTACGGCCTTACGCTGGCTATACCACTTGTCTAGAGGAAGGCCTCTGGATCCGTCTCTGCTACAAGAAAGAGAAAGAAGAGGCGCATAAGGCTCTATGGTCCCACAACGAAGACGTAGCCTACGTCGGTCCCGAGGGGGTAGTCCTCGACAATGAAGAGATTTTCGGGGGCCTAGACGTGGCAGCTGCGTTGGAACTGTTCCCCGAGCGCGTCACGAATGAGGGTTCCACGGGACATATTAAATTGCGAGAGGAGACTTTGAGAGAGGTACTGGGTTATGTGGAAGATGATGAGGGATCTGGTGAAGAGGACTATTCTAATGAGATCAAAGAGATGCTGGCACAGATGAGGGCGACCCGTGCGGCGAATCCTCTTCTAAAGTATGGCCTGTATCATGCTGCTTGTGTTGTTACTCATGCTTTTGTGGAAGATGAGGTGGCGCTCGATGGTGGGGGTCTGTTGCATGTATTCTGGGATGATTGTGGGAATGTGGTGAGGCAGTGGCGGGTGGAGGATGATGGATTAGAGGACAACTTTGATGGAGCCTGGGTGGAGGGTGCTTGGAAAGAGAATTTCATCAATGGGATCGGAGAGCTTGGTCCTGCTTATCATGAAGGTGGAATACGAGGACCTCCATAGAGCATTTGAGGTGCCTCCGTACATAGCAAGCAGGACTTGTACATAGGAAGAAATAATCCATTTCCACCTGTTCAGAGACGATTTGATCGAAAATACCTCCAGGGCTGGATATATGCGCTATATACATCACAACACAAGGGAAAAGAAGAGAACGTGGCATTAAAGAAACGAATGAAAGGATCAATTCTCTTTTTCTAGTCCCTTTCTCCTTCTTCGCCTCTAACCTACTCAAACTTTGTGAAGTCCGCGATATTGTACAAAAGCCTTAGCAGAATATAGTTAACCCCTACCTCTCGCCTCCACAAAATAAATGCAAGTTCCAGGACAAAGGCCGCCGGAAAGGAACCTGGGGGCCTTCAGACACGCGGGTTGCAGAGGTAGCAGGCTCTGCAAAGTTGTATAAATTTCGAGCGACGAAGATGAGTATACCTGCTCATCTAACAGTTCGAGTCTGAGTATCAATCCCCAAGGCAAGGCTTGTGGAAGACAGAGAGCCTGTTGTACTTCACAACTAAACCGAACCTGGCGACGTTTTGGGCTTGAAAGTAAATGCGGTGCGCAAACCTGCGCCTTCGATATTAAACGGTGTGCTATCTGGAGACTTTTTATTGAAGACATACCTTCTTGTTCGATCTATTGTATACTAACGACGGCTTTGGAGGTAGTAGAATACTACGCGGCGCATTGAAGCCAGACTTCTTCTGACAAAGGTCCCCTCTAGGGAATGGCACGCTTGCAGGCTCCCCTGGCCGTAGTTGAGGATGAGATAGGCAGGGTCGTAAACCAGCATGTCTTTTCACAGGCCCGAAAAGCCAAGTTATATCGGTATCTTTGTCCCTAACAAGATAAGAAATGTGAGCTCGAGAATCATCCAAGTTGCGAAGCCCTAGAACGTTTTTACCATTGGATCAGTTGCGGTGGAAAATAGGGCAACTTTTTCCCCTGCTTTGACCATCCTCTCCACAGGGCATTTTCGAGTCGTCGGTAATTTTTAAGCTGTGTCTTTCGTTGCTGAATATATCTTCTGGTGTCCCATATGTCTTCGTCTGTCCATTTAGGAGACAAATAATCCACGTTCTGGGTGGCTTCGTGCGTGATCATGGAATCATCGAAAGCGACGCGTGTCATGCTTGGCACTTTCTGATTTATAACTTCTGGTTTGAATATGTGAAAGACTTTGGTTATGCCTAAGCACTAGGTGACAGATCAATTCATATAGGAATACGGAGTACGACATCCATTATGGGTTGCAGACGGGTTTGGAAAGTGGGCCAATTTCTATACGCAAGGGGAAAAGAACGGTTCCAGAGGGTCTAATACGGAGTATATGCTTTCAATTTTACATGTCTCTCATTAATGCCTTCTATCCGAAGGAATGTTCTATTTGGGAGGTAATTCCGTTCTACTTCATTCTTCCCTACGTGCCCGTGCAGACATTTGCGGCATACCGAGGGGACCGGAATCTTGCCAACTATAACCTAGATCGATATCTCATGCCATATTTGAACCCAAAACATCTTTGTGGTTTGAAATGAAAAGACTAGATAGACTAGATTGTTCAAAGGAAAAAGAGAAAAGGCAACTTATCCGCTGAATCTCTAGTAAACAAGTGGGAAGACTAGCTGCCAATTTCGAGAATTGTTTACTCGATGCACCTGCTAGCTCTCAGCTTAAGTGTTCAATCGGATATGAGGAAAGAATTTATACTACTATATCAATCCTAGAGAGCCATAGGGGGATAGCCATGGAACAATGTCAGGAGCACTATTGTAAGAGCAAACGTTTCTCGCCAACCACTACAGATATTCTAATCCCTGGATAACTTCTATATTCATTACAAAGGAATATCGACAAAAGTAACATTCTCGGTATGCATTTGACTGGGTGATATTCCGAATGCAAGTATAAGTACAGCCTAAAGTCCCAGGAGTCAGAATGGAAAAGACCGATTGCGGCTCAGATGTGCTGTTTAACCAAGCACAAGCTCCAAATAAACTCTCAGAGCAAAACCTGTTGGAATCGAGACTCCTTGTAAAATCGTTTGGGCTTTGAGCTGCACTTGTTGTCTCGGTAAAATGCTCAGACCAAATTTTTACTACCACCTTGTTCATTCGAGCCGACGAATCATACGTTATAGACACGGTTCTCTAGAATAGATGGAATGAGCGATAAAGCACGCGTTTCCGTTCCCGGTAGACCTGAATTGACTTTTCTTAGTCTGTTGATCAAGACTCTGATCTGCCTCTTGGGAAATTTTATTGCATATTTGATATCTCAAATTCTGTGGTGGTTGTTATTTGGGTGATATTTTGAATACTTCTGTCTGTCTCCACTGCTTTTGTCATGTGAAGCGTGTCTCTTGAATCACCTAGCCCGCGTGTGCCATAATGTGGCATATTCAAAAAGAAAGGGAAACCCACGGAAACCTACTTCATTTCTCTTCCCTGAAAAGCTTTGTTGGAGAAACAGATATCCTACGAAAGCGAATTCTGGCTAATCTTGATTGTTGTCCAATATTGCCCGGTAAGAGGAAACAGCAAGATAAAATACAAATAATACAAGTAGAATTAGGAAAGAGACCAAAATTACAGTTCAACGTTTGATCAGCATTCGATATGATCTTCGCTTCGGCGGATTGTCCTACTCCGTACTTGTTTAACCCTATCTGTCCCTGGGACAAACCATATTGACCCAGAGATTCAAAACAAACTCGTATCCAGCAATGAGCCAAATATATGCAAGCAGTGCGAAATATGTAGCTGTGCCACATCGCCTGTCAGGGAATGAAGTCAGCTTTCTGATTGGCGGCTGATTTTTCCATCCCTTAACAACATTCTATTGGACAAATGCAACCTTCGAAAAAGGCAAAAGGCCTCTGGAACGCAGCCAATCGGATTAGCCGCTCTATTTTAGAGGATAGACTCATAACCTGACACTCTGCGAATGGGGAAGATACAGGGTGCATTCCAGCAATAGCCCCAACATCACTCAATTTTGCTATTGCTAATCCAGTTTCAGCAAGGGACGACGTCTTCACACTGGCAAGAGTAAAGAGAAGGGCGATCAGAATGTAATTAACCCCAGCTCATAGACCTAGATATCAATCGTAAAATTTGTCTTGTTGATCCTGTCGCCATGCAGATCTATACATAAGGTTTCAGAATCCAATATATAAGATGGACCTTGGAAGCCTGTCAAAAACTTTCCATGATGAGCTGTCACCATTGTCGGTCCGTGCAAAAGGGACGAGACCTCCGATTTTCCACCCAATGGTTCTGGATCTATTTACTCGTTTGATTTCAGCGGCTAGGAATCTAACCTGCCGGAAACGACAGAAGAATTCGCATTCTCTACCAAATGTACCTTTCACTGCATCTCTTGTCTTCAGGACAGTCAGTTTCTTACGCTTTTGCAGGTCAGACTCAAAAGAAGCCAGAACTTCCAGCGACGGAGAAATTCCTCGTTAACGACCGCACCATACAGCCTGGATCCAGCGGATTCATACATCTATACCGACCAAGAATGGATGGTTGACACTCCGCCTACAAGCCCTCGCATTCAAATAGAGATTCGCAGTGGATTTTCTACATCATCTACAGAATACGGAGTCGACGATTTGATAATCGACTCAACCACGAGCCATCTTGAGAACGGACCAAGTCTACTATCTCCTTCAGCTCTATCAATACTTCCAACAGTTCTCAATGGACCTATAGAGCCGATGGATATCAGACATCCCCAGGATATGGAGCCCGAGACTACGAAAGGACCTCAGCTTGCATCCAGGTGGCGTCGGAAAGTAAGATCGGCTATGTCGCAAAAATAGTTCTGGTGCGTTTATTGAAGGAGACCTCGGGATGCACTGATAGCGCGCAAAAGCCGAGAGGGTGAAAATGAAGCTACATCTTCACTTCACAATTTCAGCTCGGATTTTTCTATATAATTCCAAGGCACGCAAATCTTGTAACATAATAACCTCAGCATTCACTGCTAGATCCCTGACATCGCAATCCGAAGCATGCTTTCAGAACAGCCACCATGAGACTTCCTACAAAAATCAATCCCTGCGTATTGTAATTAGGCATTGAAACCTCTCAAGTTGCCCGTCCTATGCAACCACGTTTTTATCCCCTCCGTTTATAACATGGACCAGGACAAGTTAGGGATCTCCAAGACCGGTCCAATATCCCTGGCTCTGGTAGTGGAGACTGACAACCGAGGCATAATTGACTGACATCTACAGACTGGAAGCTACCGACTACCACAATGAGAAACTATACGGCATTGAAAGGAATATGTTCGTGCTTCTACTATGTGTCCACAGCTCCCTGGGGCCACTCTCGTCATCGATTACACTCTTACGAGAAACGTCCGTAGCGGCCATTCATATAAAGAATAGATGATGTTTAGCGAATCATTACCTTCAAAACGATACACGGACCATAGTAGCATCTGAATGTCCAGGCACGAATAGATTGTACGGAAGACTGGTGAAGTGGCGAGTACCTTGTGTGATACCGTCTCGTCTACTTTAACCCCACCAGGGCCTTTCTTGGGAGCTTTCGCTGGCATAATGAATAGTCCACAATAACCCCAAAACGTCATCAATGATTGGAAGTGCTCGAACGAGGGCCTAGATGTTTCTAATCGAACCTTGTAGCAACGACATGATATCACACCCAAGTATGCTATGAATAGGTATTTATTGCCGATTTTCTTGCCTGAGTTGCAGATCATTGCCCTTCTCTTCTGCCCCCCTCTGAATGAAGAAAAAGAACAAGACGCAGATTGAACCAAAACGTTCTCCGGAGCAAACCGAGGCTTGGATTCTTGGCACCGGCACAGCGTCCTTGGCGTCCGCTTTTTATCTGATCAAGCATGCCAGGTTATCACCTCAGAACGTGCATATACTGGAGTCGCGTGACTCGGTTCAACAAGTTTTGCATCGAAAGGGCGACCCGTCCAGCGGATACGATCAGTTCGCAGGATGCTTGCCTGTTCCAATCGGTGGTCCCTTGAAAGAAATCCTCGCTTGTATCCCGTCTACTATCTCATCACCAGCTGGCCAACAGAGCTTCTTAAACGACATACAGTCAGCAGAAGTAAACCGAAAGATCGAAACGGAAAGTAGTGCTATAGGCGTTCTGGTGCAAAAAAATCGCTTGATACGGAACATTGCGACTGGTTCGCTCAACTTGAACCTCAAACACCGATTGAATCTAGCACGATTTGTTTTGAAACGAGAGAAAAGACTCGGGAGGAATCAAATCAGAGACTTTTTCTCCGAAGCTTTTTTTCAAACTTCGTTTTGGGCTATCTGGTCTGCTCAGTAAGTAATTACTACATTCTCCTGGAATTAGTTTGTCTGAGCCTAACGCATTGAAACATCTTCAGATTCGGTCTTCAACCTTGGCACAGTGCAGCTGAATTTAGGCGTGCTATACGCCAGTACCTCGGTGAATTTCATACGCTCTCAATTTTGAACTGCCTTGATATCACAGGCCACTACCAATATGAGTCTATATTCCTTCCCATCTACCGCTTCCTCCGGAGCCTTGATGTGGACTTTCAGTTTGATACCAAGGTTACGGGTATTATGACAACCTCCGACGATCCTCAATCAATTTCACGGCTAGAAGTGGTTCAGAACGGATTTCAGAGCTATAAGGACATTGGCACTCACGATATCGTTATTGCGACACTAGGATCGACCGAATCAGGGACTGTGGTTGGATCAAATGATGATCAACCGCCTACAGTCTTATTTGACGCTTACGAGGATCTCGATGAGAACTGGTCACTATGGCTCGCGCTTAATTCTAAAGACAAAAAATTCGGCAACCCCTACGCCTTCTGCACTCGTCGATCTCAATCAATGTTGGAGTCTTTCACGATCACTACAGAAGATCTCAACTTTTTCAACTATCTCACTACTCTCTCGCGATCCACGTTGAAAACAGGAGCTTTTATCGTTCTCCAAGAGAGTCGATGGAAACTTAATCTGTGTTTACCTGCGCAGCCAGTATTTCCACATCAACCTCGAAACGTACGCGTTCTTTGGGGTTTCGCGCTTTTCCCCGAGGGTATAGGGAACTATGTCAAGAAACCGATGCTGCAATGCTCGGGCGCAGAGATCACGGCGGAACTTCTTCAACATCTAAATTTTCCGCCTGAGCTACTTTTTCAACACACGGTGACTATTCCACGCGTTATGCCGCGCATGAGTACAATTTTACTAGCTCATTCGCGGGATGAACGCCCTGAGATCATTCCTCGGAATACCACCAATATCGGACTGGTTGGGCAATTTGTTGAGATTCCGCAGTACAGCTGTATTGATATGAGCTACGCTGTTCGTGCAGCGCAAATGGTTGTATCCCGGCTGATGGGTCTCGATATACCGTCGAATGAGATGAGGAGGTCTCTCATTGGAATTTTGCTAAGGATTCTACTCTGGAATTGATACCGTCTCTTGAATACATTTTTCCCTGATGGGTTTTATTGTGGCATACCGTGGACTTTGTTGTTTAAGACCATTGAAATATTAATAATTTGTACCCTCCGATGAACATGATGCATTATTCGACTAAAAAGCAGTGAATAGTTCAGTGTGTGAACTTGCTAAAAGTTCACATATATTCGAGCTCTGGCGCCTAAGTACTTTTCACAGACTTCCGCTGCACCGACACACCCTGCCGCGTCGAAGACCCAGTCTCCGTCTTCTTTCCCTTGGCTCTAACCTTGGGACTCACTTTCCACCCCAACATTCCCCTCACAGCATTCAAACTCCCCGAAACCACTCTCCCAGGTAATCCCAACACCGACACCACCGTCTGCACCGGCACAACCACACAAGCACAAACCCACTCCAACAAAACAAGCGCAAACCCAGACCTCGCCGCCTCCTTCCTCTGCGCCGCCGCCGCTAACGCCAACGCATCCCCAGCCTGCGCCTCCAACCTTCCAAACCTCTGATCCGTCTGCAACGCAAACAGCGCAGACCGCTTCTCATACCTCCTAACAGCCCGATTCAAAGCCTCAATATCCGGCTGAATCAACTTCCGCACCTCCGCCGCCTGCGCAATACACGACCCCGCATCCGTAGGATCAGGATCATTCGCGCGCACCGCGCTCTCCGCAACATGCGCCTCCAGCTCCTCGAGCCGCTTCGACAAGTCCGCGAGGGTGGCGGGGTCACTGGATGGCGAGGCGGCGACGATGCGTTGGAGATACAAGGTGCGTTTTTGAATGAGTCGGAGGAGGTGAGCGACTGGACGGACTTCTGAGGCTAGGAGGAAGATTGTTAGGTTGTAGTTTGATACTAGGCCTTCGGAGGGACGGGAGAGATTTCCTCGGATGGTGTGGAGGAGCCAGGTGCCGATTACGGGGAAGATGAAGCAGGCTGTTAGGGCGGATAGTTCGTGGGTTTGGAGCTCTCTGCGCGCGGCGGTTGCTTCGTTGGTGTCGTCGAAGGGGGTCTGATCGTCGAATCCACTTCGGGTTGCTTGGGCCGATCGGTACCAGTCCCTAGTGAGAGTTAGTTTCGGTAGTGTAAGATTGGTACGGAGTATGGGGATAAAGTGGGATTGGGAATGGTGAAGTGGTGACTCGGAAATAAGATAAACAGTGCTTACCAAGGCAATCGGACCGACCAATTTAGGAAGATGGCGGCCAAGACTAGTAAGGTGACGTCGGTCACTATGGAACTGCCATTTTGGAAGAAGATGCCGGCAATGGCAGGCAGCAGGGCTAGTCCAAGGGGGAAGAATGCCAGTGTGATTCCTCCAGGCTGTCTCTATCTTTCGACACGCGGGGAAGAAATAGATCGTCTGTGGATGATCGGATGGAGTTGCGCGCTTCTGATAGTGAATCGGACAGGGTGGAGTTGCGACGGTCGAATCCGGTAGAGCGCGAAGGTATGTCCGTCATGATTTCTTTTCCATAGAGATGGATATGGAGAGGTGCGTGTCTCGCAGAGTAGATGTGAAGCGAACCTCGGAAAGTGGGAGTATAATTGCTTTTTCCTTGCCCGAGGTTGCAATGATGTAAATTGCGCAGATCGCGGGTTCCGCTGTTTATACTCCACACACTGCCCAGGTGGAGTGTCAAAAGTATTTCTCCTACGTACTTGGACCTCGTTGTCCACGTATAACTGCCTGATAGATACCTCTGAAATTCAATTTGGTTATTTGAAAAAGTATGTCACCTTCTACCTAAATACCTAATGATCTCTAACACCTTATACGGCACAATACTTGGACAACATTCGAAAATATAGTAAGACAGACAAGACAGCCAAGTTTTCCAGGTTCTAAGGCTAGTGGGAATAGGTCGGGCTCGAGGGTACGGAGTAGACTCTCCAGTACTGGGGGTTTACTTTGAAGATCTACTGTGCTGGTACTTGGTGTATAGTGCAGTGTTTACAGGGTAGAAAAAGAGTACTTAGACAGCTTGGACACTCAATGCTATAGAGCCCTGGAAAAATCTGTACATGAAATACTGCTGGTTAATTTCCTACGAATACCATAAAAGTACAAGATTGTGGTTTACGTTGCAGCCCTTGAGAGAGCGGCCCAACCTTTCCTTCGGCAACGCTCCCCCCGACCAGACCAGACTCAGCTCTCGGACCATAGCTGTGGATTCATGAACAGATGAGTCTATGACTAGTCGAATCAAGCTTAACTCTCCTCTTTTCATGCAAGGCCGATCACGGATGGCGGCGCCACCAGCGAAATGAATAAGAATGCCCAGCCGCGGGAGCTTATTGAGCCCCAATTGCGGCCACGATCCGCCCTGTTGCTATTCCTGCCATTCCATCTCCCTTTCACTCTATTCGACACAATAACTTCGACTGCAGCTTTCTTTGTGTGCTCTTTGACCTCCATTAAACGCTGTCTGGACTCAATAGATCCCTCTGTTGCAGTGGTTCATGCAGATGATTCAAAATGTGCTCGCCCTAACTCTATAAGGGCCCTTTGCCTTTGCAACCTATACATTCTTCGCCTTATTCAAGTCATGTCTTGAACCCCAATACTCCTGACTCTGATTTGGATCTCTCGAATAAGACGATTCTCAATTGCCTCGTGGGTATATATGGACGAGATGGTTTCGTCCTTCCTGCTGATTTCCCTCTGTGCTTCGTGATCTATGAACGACTTGATACTTGATCTACGCAAGAGAAACGTCCAATATCAACCGGATTATACACCTATCGCCAGCATGACTGTACATCACCGGCAGCCAATGGCCGTGATCGTGCCAATACTCTCCATCTTGTCCATCCTGGTGGCAATTCCGCCGTTGATCCTCCTGGCCAAGAATAGGAACTTTCCTGCCTCCAATTTGATATTTTGGTCCCTCATTCTCAACCTGTTCAACATCGTCAATGCTCTCTGCTGGCCCACAGATGACGTCGACTCCTGGTGGGACGGCAAGGGCCTCTGTGATATCGAAGTCAAGATCATGGTTGCCGGCTACGTGGGCGTCCCAGGTTCCCTGGTTTGTATCTTCCGCAGTCTAGCCATTGTGATGGATACAGACCGTGCCACCCTGGTCCCAAGCCGGGGTCAAAGATGGCGCAACCGTTTTATGGACACCCTATTTTGTTTCGTGGCCCCTCTGATCGCAATGATCACCCACTTCATCTACCAAAAGAGTCGCTACTACCTCTACTCCATCTCCGGATGTGTGAACAACTATGACGAGAGCTGGGTCAGCCTGGTTCTCGCCTACATCTGGCCGCCCGTCCTATGCATCATCGCTACCTACTACTGCTGTACGAAACCCTCTCCCCTCAATTAAATCTAAAAACCCCCATTCTAACCATTTTCCAGGCCTGGTCCTCATCCGCGTCCGCAGATACCGGAGTGACTTTGCCAACATCCTGCGAGCATCAAGCAGCAATCTCAGCAGATCTCGCTTCCTGCGCCTCTTCTTCCTCGCCCTCTCAATGCTAGTCTGCATTCTGCCCGTCCAGACTTTCGTCCTGTACTGGAACATCTCCCTCGCCCTCCCCTGGCACCCATACACATGGAACAAAAGCCATGGCGCCCAATGGTTTGAAATCATCAAAGTGCCCGTGGGCAACCAGGTCTTCTTCGACCGCTGGACACCCATCGTATCAGGCTTCATGATCTTCATCTTCTTCGGCTTCGGTCGTGACGCCACCCGCATGTATAACGCTCTCTTCTGGTACCTCGGTCTGGGCTATTGTTTCCGGGGCATCAAGCCACCAACCCACACCCATACCCACACCGAAGGAACAGTCACCAGCCCCGGTGCCGACTCAGGCACGACCCTCGTTGGATCCGTTGGAACCCGTGCGAAATCGCTGTTCACTCGCAAGGGCTCGACGGGCACGCTGGTGAATCGTGCTTCCTACAACGATGTCGAAAAGGGTACTTCTTTCCGTCGTTCGTCGAGCAGATGGTCCTGGTTGTCGTCTATCTTTGGTAGACGGCGCTCGTCTTCTTCTTCTCGGACTACAGATGATATCTCGCTGCGTGATATCTCGGGTGGGTCAAATACAGTGCTCACGAATGCTTGGGCGGATCCGCGCAGAAGCAAGGATGGTTCTTTGAGTCCTGTCTCGCCAGTGCAGAATAAGGATTTCATTCATGTGCAGCAGATTATTAGCCAGCAAACTGAGATTCGTTAACGGGTCTGGGATTTTAGCTTGGGGTTTGGGATGTTGTGTTATTTTGAAAGTTGGGAATTTGAATTTGGGGCCTGTCTTCCATTAAAATTACTACTTGAGCGACTTCGGACGGCTTCAGCATAGCTGGCCGCCACGATTATTACCTAGGTATTACTTAGTCACTAATGTTTGAGCCAGTGAAGCTCACAATAAAAAAACAAAAAAGTGACATTGAAAATCCCCTCCAGTTCGTAATAAAAGCACGAACAGTCGCAATTGCAAATATGCGGTAGAGCCCATGCAAGGTCGAAATTATATTGCATTGAGCCCGAACTCCCTAGATCCAGACAATAACCACCTTCCAAGATCCCAAGCGCCGTCAATTCAGAGGAACGGCAAACACTGTCGTAATATCAATGAAGATCATATACGTGCAGGTCTAGATTCCATGAATGCAATTCTAACCGCCCACAAGACCAAGATGGGAACCAAGCGTCAATTGCACCGCCTAAATGGCGGAGTAGAAGCTCTAAACTTGGAAGTAGTCCCAAAACTCACTGCAGAGCCTCCCGGCCAGCCAATCACAGCCACAGTGCAAATGCGCCTATTGGTTCTGTTACAGATCAGACTGGCGAGGACCTGCAGAGACGATCATGCGCTGTGAGATTCGACGGCTTGCGAAGCCGTACGCGTGGGTGACCAATGGCGGGGTTGGATGGGCGGTTCCAGGTACGGTGGAAGTTGAGGAACTGACCAGGTGCTTTTTGTTCATGTTTGAAATTATCGAATTGGGAATGATATCGATTGGAAGAGACCTGGAGGTATACATTTGGTTTGGGAAGTTGGTGTTGAGGAGTGAGATGTTGCCGCCATTTACCACCGACGAATATCAAATGATCAACAAAATCTATCGTGCATTTATGATTGTTCTACTCCGTAAGCGCAATGGATAAGTAGGTGACTGCAATGAATCTACGGAGTACGGAGTAGCTCATACCGAGCGAGATTCAGCCACGGCGCTCCAGCATTGTATGTTAAGCATTAAACGAAGCCTTGGAGCAGAAGGTTCCAACTCTACACCGCATGTCAGAATCGGCATCTAAACTTGGAAACAGACAGGGGCACGTCCACGAGCCGAGCTCGAACTCAAAGAGCTAGCTGCATGCAACCACCCAATCCGAGCACGCAATGTGTTATGTGTAGAGCAAATCCAGACGCGGTGTATTCAGAAAAGTAGTAACAATACAAGAAGGTCAGGGTGAAAGTTTCCAGAATTTGAAGCCGCAGGCTGTAATGAGTAACGCCTTAGCACCACCCAAGCCAGTCATGTCATGGCACTAGACGCGATGATCACGTATGATCGAGACCTAGAATTGAACGGCAAATATCATATTGTTACAAAGCTTGCGTCAAGCTATTTAGTTCTCGGCGTCACGGTTCTCTCCGCGCTTGAGGACCTCGAGGGTGCCTGGTTCGGTTAGTATCAGTGGTCTATCATTGCGTGCGCGTGCGGTGGACTTACGCTGCACGATGTTGAATGTAGAGCGGTTCTTGCCCTCTGAGTCTTCCCAGTTGTTGATTCTGGCATCGGCCTCTACGAACACGAGGGTTCTGTAGTTCGGGTTAGCTATGTCTATTGATCTTTATGACTGGTGCATTGCAGATGCATGGAGCTAAGGGATCCGGTTTTGGAGCGCAAGCATAGGTGCAAGGACGACTTGGTGGGACCATCTCGCGGGGCAGATGCAGGTTTCCAGTTGCGTCCAAGGTGCAGAGTCGACAGTTCGAGCTCCAAGCTCCAAGCTCCAGCTCTAGCTCCAGCTTTGACAGTGTATGACCGTGCTGCGCTGTAGTGACCCGAGCTGAACATAGCCACACCACCAAACAAGCACCGGTGGTACACGGGCGGGACCCCAGCTCGGAAAAACAAAGGAAAACAAAACCAAGAGCTTACTCACCCCTTCGGCAAGCTAAGAAGATAGTCACGCTGGGGACCTTCGTTTGCGAAGTTGGAGACGCGGAACCAGCTGGTCTGGCGGTTCTCACGGGGACCGTGGCTGGTTCCAACGCTGTACTTGATCACCTCAGCGCCGGTGGAGGTAGTGGTGAGCTCGGGCTCGGCACCGAGACGACCGGTGAGGGTGAGGCGGGCGACGGAGTGGGCGGGGGAGGTGCTGAAGGCGCGAGCGGTCTGGGCAGCGTTGGCCAGGCGCATGCCAGGGCGCAGAGATGAGAGGAAAGACATGGTTGGATATGGAATTCGATTTCTGGTTGAGAGTGGACACGACTGGAGTTGAGGTTCGCGTGAGTTTGGTGATGGGTCATGTGATCTACCCCCTTTTCCCGCCTACTTGGGGACTGATGTGATACTCTTTCGCATTGATTGTTGGAATGGTTGTATTGGCAATGGTTCTTCTCCTTCTTTTTTGAGTTCTAGCTGCTTTCTTTGGATATTTTGAATCTGGAATGGTATGGATTTGAAGCTAAGCGCCTAAAGAAGGTATAGTTGCATTTGCAGAGAGGGATCATCACACAAACTGGGGAAACAAACAGCTATAATTCCCAGGTTCTAAATCCAACGGTGGGAAATCCCGAGTCATTAAGTCATAAAATTGGAACCTGGAAAAAGCAAACACCAAAAAGCAACGTGAATCTTGGAGAAGCTAGGAAGTCTAACCTGCAGTCAAGACAGGCGCACATCCAGGCCAGGAACAGACAGAACGGAGAAATCACATCCCAAGGACGGAGTACAAGTACGATGGCCAGCCCAATCGCGTCACAATCACATCCGATGGTGCCGGTCAACAGGACTTCTGTACAGTTAGTATTGGGGACCATACTGGAAGGGGTAAGCGATAGGCAGAGTGAAGAGCAGAGAAAGAGAGGACTATACCACAACAAGCATAGAGGAAGCGGATGCCGCCATGGCCACCGCTGATTGAACGAGCCATCGCCAAGACCGAAATTAAGATAGCTGTCTGTCTCAGATGCACTCCTTACGTGGGCTTGCAGCTATTACTTTGTATAATTAGCGGCCCGACCACGTCGATGTCTGCAGAAGGGGCGTTTGGTGGCCAACAATGGCGAAACTAACAGGTTCTGGGCCTGCAGGACAATGCAAGTATGGTCAATTGACCCTCGGGATATATCTGATAGATCGGCTGCGATAGCCCCTACGGCGCCACCCGTACACAGTCGAACAGGCATTATTACCGAGTGCTCCGTACAGACTACTCCGTATACGAGCATAGATTGCTCCGGGCTTGGGACTGTGCGCTTTCAACGTGGATTTATTGATGCACTAAGGGACGGTGAACAGTCAAGGTGACAGATCCAAGTGACTCGCGTGAGATCGACGTATTTCAAGGTCGACCGAGAATGGGCCGTACTCTGTACATTGTACAACCTTGGAACATGGAGATCCGAGATTACTCAATCAATTGTAGTTAAATAAGAAACTCCTTCCGTGATTTGGAAGGTTAAGAAGGCTTAGAAGATTTGCATGTTTGGAAATTTGATTGAATGGGTATATTCGCCGACCCTAAGGGGGTTAAGCGTTAATGACCCGAGTCCACCAGAGGAAATCTTTGCACTAGCTCGCAATCTCTTTGGCCCGTGAGATTCGCATTTGAAGCTAGCAGAAAGTTGATCCTTGCTAGATCGGCAATTCGCTCGATCGGTGGGTCACAGTAGATAGCTCGTAACCCACTTGGCTTCGCGTGGTCAAATTAGTCAAATTAGTGGTAAACACGTCCCTGTATTCCCTGTCGCCAATGAAACTCAAATAATGCATTGGATGAGCCTTTCCTGTTCCGTAGGGCCCCGCTGCATTGTTCTTTCTAGTCCGTTTTATATGTAGGGAGTCCTAGGGCTGTCCACTTGCTTTTTTCTCCCGACGCTATTCACACCAAGAACCCTATCCTTTGGACTCGTTCCTACTTGGTTCACCCCGTATACTAATAAAAAATATTTGATATTGACTCCGGCACGCGGATTCTATTGATTTCGCGTCCCACCCTGTGATAGCGCGTGCTGAGTATGTGAAAGGCCGCTGATCATCCCATAACTACGACAACGGGTGTCTCTTTTCCGCTTTCCCCCTCCAATTGCTTCTGCAAATCCCAGCCAAAATGCGGTGGTCCACGCTGGTCACCTTGATTATATCATGTCTGCTATTGGGGGCGTTTGCGGCGCCGGCATCGGGACTGGCTCGACGCGATGAGATCGCCAACACAGACGGAAACCAGGATGGAAACCAAAATGCAAACACGGCAACGGCAGAGAACAATGCCAGTGAGGCCTCGACGACGGCAACGCAGACAGATGCATCGATTACGGCTACAGAGGCTTCGACAACGGCTGAGGCTACCGCTACTGGTACTCATGCCGTGACTACTGGCGCAACGAATGCTACTACAACGACCTCGGCGCCATCGGCCACCTCGACGGTACCATCGCTCGATGGAACGACGAGCTCGTCCTCTTCAGATGGGGCAGATTCTCAGAGACCAACTTACAATGGTGGTCTTCCTATCACGCCCAAGATCACACCTGCATTTGGAGTCGGAGGGTTTATACTCATGGCACTTGGTGCCGTGTTGGCATTCATTGGAGTTCGCAAGCAATGGTATGTCGCATGATTCGACTGAGTGAGTGTTTTGCTGATGACCAACAGGGTCCAAATCTTCCTGGCGACTGGATTTTTGACTGCATTGGGTGTCACTGTGAGTTTTTGTTATGGGAAAATGATAGAGCTCGCGACTAATCCATCAATTACAGGTCCTGATTATTTATGTCATGAGTCCACCTGTTAGTAACGCTGTGCAAGGCGGTTACTTGGTTGCTGTTTTCTTCACTGGAGCCGTCTTCGGTGGTCTGTCTCTCGTCTTCAGGGAGATCTGTGAAGGTCTCGGATGTCTCCTGGGCGGATTCTGCCTGAGCATGTGGTTCTTGGCTTTGAGACCTGGTGGACTCCTTACCGAAAGCGGTCCCAAGGCTGGCATGATCATCGCATTCACTGTGGGATTCTATTCCTTGTCATTCAGCCACTACACCCGGCCTTACGGCTTGATTGGATGCACATCTTTCTCTGGTGCAACCGCTTTGGTCCTCGGAATCGACTGCTACAGCAGGGCAGGGTTGAAGGAATTCTGGTTGTACATCTGGGGTAAGTTCCAAAACCGCACTAACATTATACGATACTGATAAATATAGGTTTGAACAAGAATGTCTTCCCCCTCAGGACCGACACCTACCCTGTGACACGCGGTATTCGTGTTGAACTCGCTGCGACAATCATCGTCGGCATTCTCGGAGTGATCTCCCAAGTCAGACTGTGGAATGTCATCAAAGAGCGCAGAGCCAAGGAGGAGGACATTCGCAAGGAGCAAACCCGGAAGATTGAGGAGGAAGATGCCGAGGCTGGTCGCCGTCTCGAAGAGAAGAACATCCAAGAGCGGGCCGAGTGGGAGCTGATCTACGGCAACGGTAAGGGAGCTGACGTCAAGACGGCTTCCATATCTGAGACCGCGGTTGGTGACTCGCGAAGGGGCTCAGATGGATTTACCTCTTCGGACAATGAGAAAGACGGCGATATCGAACTCAAGGAAGTGCATAGCCCGGATTCATCTGGTAGTGCCTCTGGCAGTGAAGAGAACGGCACTGGCGAGAATGGAAACCGAGAACTGGAGGCTGTGCCCGAAGAGTCTGCCGAGCATGATCACGCGAATGGAGATAAGGAGTATGGACCAGAGACTGATCCGAAGGGCCGCCGACCTGCAACTCCTGTGACTCACGCCCTGGGTGTGGCTCGTGACGATGCATCCGAAAATGGTGCTATGGTTGGCTCTGAGGTTGGTTCACCGCGAAACACACGATTCTCTGGTCGAGACATGACAAACCGAGCCTCGATGTTGTCTCAAGAAGCTGTCATTGTTCACGACGATGCCAACTCCTCCGTTCAAGGTGTTGCGGATGATCTTCACGAAACAAGTGTAGGCTGCCCCAGTGTGGCATCTGATGTTCAAAACCCTGTTGAGATCACCGAGCGCGAGATTGAACCTTCCGAGAAGTCTCTAGAGAAAGAACCTCAAGCTACCGGCGTGGAGGTCAAGTCCAACGTCGGCTCACAGGCCGCTCAGAGCGAGAAACCCAATGCCGATGAGAGTGCGACAACCAAGCTAGATGTTGCAAAGGACGTTTCTGAAGAAGCGAATGTCACTCCAACTGCTCCACAAGCGACATCTGCCGAGAATTCATCAACCGATAAACCCGTGGCAAAGGACGCGCTTGAGTCCTCTGAAGAGCCTCGCTCGCCTGAAACCTCCGTAACAGATGTCGCAGCTGAAGCTGTGCCTGCGGCTGCAGCTGCAGTTGCAGCTGGGAAGACCCAAGAAGCAAAGGTCGAGCCTACATTGCAACCTTTGCCTTTGACTGATGCGAAGGCTGAAAGCGCAAAGGACAACAACGAAAGCCGGCCTCGGACTGCTGGTACAAGCAAGCCTGAGTCTATCCAGGAACCCATTCCTGAACCTGTACCCGAGCCTATCCCTGAACCGAAGATTGAGCCACCCAAGGTTGAGCCGAAGGTTGAAGTTATCAAGAGACTGGATGCAACCACCGTCAAGGCCCTTCCGGAACAAACGTCGAGAGTCATCCACTCTTACCGTACAAACGAATGGGCGAAGCATCTCGCAGATGCCGATACCCCCGAATGGGAGCCAATTGTCTTTGACCCTGAGCCAGAGTTGCCAGAGCTTGAAGAGCACCACGAGGCCCCTGCCGTTGTCGATGTCAATAGTCTTCTCCAGACGCCGCTCACAGCTCAGCCAGCCCCCATCGTGAACAGGCCCGAACCCCAAGAGATAGATCAACATCAGGCTGCGTACATCTCTTCAATGCCATCTCCAGAGATCCCGCGGTCAAAGACACGTACCGGCGCTCACGGTCTTACTACCAAGGCAATGCCACCTCCTCTTGCTCGAAACGAGTCATCCGCCGCGATTCCCATTCAGCGATCATCATCTGGCCCAACCTCCCCGACCCAAGAGCAAGGATTGACTTCTTCGCGGAATGCATCAACTCCGTTGTTGACCATCACCACGCCGAACGAGCCCAAGGAAACAGAGCCATCCCCACGCTGGAGTGGACCACCTCCGCTGCTCGCTGTGCGCGAGGATATGGTGCGAAACCGCATGTCCTCAACCTCCAATCGCTTCGATCCCTGGTCATCTCGCAACCAATCTCGCCAGTCTCTACCTGATATGTCGCCCATCGCCTCCCCCATATCCCCAATTTCACCTATCTCCCCTCTCTCCGCCTTTCAAGAGAGAGACGAGGAATACCACACACCTCACGACGAGGACAACATCCCCCTCTCCAAACGTCGTGCCATGCTCCAACGCCAAACGATGCAGTCCCCCTCAGCAGCAAGTCTCCACAGCCTGGAGGGCCACTCCCCGGTCCAATCACCACCTTCTCCCTCTGGTGACGTGAACCGGTCTGCCTCCAGAATGGCGGCGTGGCGACAGTCTGTCCGCGAGGAAATCACTCAGAAGCGTGACGTCCTACACTCGCCGCCCATCAGTCCTGTCAGCCCTGATAAACGCAATACTTGGGGCTCCGTGCAGCAGATGCGTGAAGCTTCCTCCACGCAACTTGGCAATGCCATTGCCGAAGGTATGCAGCGGGGAAGCATGACGGATCTTCATCGGCAGGCGATGCGACGCATGCAAGCTTCGGCGAATCGTCAGCTGTGATTGCTTGCTTGTTCTTTGACTATATACCCTTTGCTTATTACACGACTTCACGAAGTATTTACTACGATGTTTATCATCTTTGATAATGTATATTCTCTTCGGCTATTAATTAATTAATACAAATACTCGCTGGATTCTGTTCAGCTATTCCTCAATCATTCTCAATCATTCAATACCTGCGACATTGAAGCAGTAGATCTTTAGTTCCGTATGAGTCGATATAATCTACATCCCAGCGCTAAATGGGCATAAGCTCTGAGCCCATGCAAGGTCGCGGGGTCTTGACCTACACTGCCCTGGCCACCTTCGACTCGCCCATCTGCATAGCGAACACAGAAGTGGACTCGACTGCTCCGTCGTGTCCAAGGACCAAACTGCACAGCATTCCACAGTACCGAGACCTGAACTAGATTGAAACAAAATCAGTACCACCCTTAGTTTTGCACGGCCAATATCATCAATGCATGTATCTGATAGCGTTTGCAGGATTCTGCATACTACCCAATAAAGGATGAAACAAGGGATCGCGGTGGATTAATCACAGTGAAACCGGGGACAAACAACTTCCAAGGTTGTTGCAAAGCGCCCTTGAAGTCTCGCTGGATTGTCTTAAGAGCCCGAGTCCAACAATTCAGACGATTCAGACGAGATAGACAAGCCAGACTATATTTTTTGATCGCGCCCAAAACAATTTGATATCGAAAATCGAGTGGATATTGTCTTCGCCAAGCGAGTCTTCTATGCCGAACCCCAGGTTTCACCTCAAAATTGAGCGAAACAATACACACTGCTTGATCTGATCTCGGATCAGATCCAGCTGTTCCTCTTTTCGTCCTACTCCATCACATTCGTTGTACTGCATGTCCCTTCAAGTCTCCACGGTGACTATTTTCGCCGATCTCCATCTCCGAACCTCACTTTCAAAACGGCGTCATTCCAAGCCTACAACTCTCTATCGGAACCACACTCCTTAACAATTCCAACCCCCGTGGAGCCACCTCCGTCCTTCGTTCGCGCCCAGCGGCGACAGTGCGTTCCTGGCCCGCCGTCGTTGGCCATTCTCCGCCCCCCAGCAGTCCGCCTAGCAAATCCGGTCAACCACGTCCCCCGCATCACCCCAATTTCTTTCCCCCCACAGCACTCAGACGAAAGTCTCCCACTAGCCCACGGCCATTCAAGAGACGCCCGCCCACTACTCAGCGTCCCCGAGCGACGACGCAGCCGACTCACCCCATCCCCAAGCAGCCTACAGGTCGAGCGCAGTCAGGGGGAGACGGAAAGCGGCCGCACCAGTATCGCCCTGCCCCCTCGACACAGACGCAGCGAACTGTATTCTCCAGCAGAAATGGCTGCCGCGTTTGCGGGCAGCGCCGCGCGGGACACGGAGAACCTGCGGCCTCCCGAGGCAGTCCACCTGACGCAAGTGGGCACTCGACAGAATGACCGCCCCCGTCACGCCCCTTCGCAGACTTCTCTACGCTCTCAATCTCAGATCGCTTCTGTTCCCTCGCACACCGGGCAGCCGCAGGCTGATATCGCTGAGGAATTGGCCTGGGGACCTGCACACCCTTGTTTTCCTCATTACAACCCGCATGTGCCAATTGGGTCACACGAACACCTGTCGACGCGTGTGATTCGGATTCGGAGGGATTGGATGATTCAAGGTGATCTGGCACCGACGTTCTCGAATCTGTACCCGGAGATTCTAGATCCGTTATTGTCGGAGCAGGAGTTCCGGAAGGTCATTTCTACTGTCAATGATGGGATCATTAAGGCGTTTGATCCTTTTAGTTTGAGGAATTGGTTCGATGGCGCTATGGGATTGCTCACCGGTTGGGTATGGGATGATCTCAATGGCCCTGGTACCAAAAGCCAACTGCAGTATGTCGAGGCCTGGCTGGAGAAGTGGAACCGAGACGTTGGCTCCAAGGACGGGGTGTATATCTGGAGTTTACGGCGCACGGCGTACATGTCGCTCGATATCCAGATTCCCGATCCCAAGGTGGGCATCGTTCCCAGCGAGGCTGCGTCGGCTCCCAATACCAGACCGAGTACAGGCATTGGGGCTGGAGCTTGATGGCAGCCATCCTTTTCCCTTTTGTACATGTTGATTTTCTATTCTTTCTTTGTTGCATTTTTCGGACCTCTGCATGATATCCATACCGCAGACTTTCTCTCACGTTGATACCTTTTTTTCTCGTTGGTTCGCGAGTATCTACTTTAATCTTGTGATTTGATACCATTTCTGGCTTTCTTTCTGTCATATTTTCATACTTACCCTATGCTTGGAATTGTTTTTAATACTGATTTGGCCCGGCCTTGTTCATATCTGGCGTCATGTTGGACCGGCCAAATTCAATGCTATGTTCATGGAAAAGAAGACATGGTCGATCTCAATTCAAATTCAAATTGCTTCCTGCCAATAAATTCGCATCAGATATGTAACGTGCCACATTCCACCGAGATAAGATGCGCTGTCAAACGTGCAGAGTGCTTCGTAACTAGCAGGACCTCCTTTTTTATACTCCCAGGCGGTGTCGATCCACCCCACCCCTGTTTCCGCAGCTCTCTCCAACTCTACGACTCACCAAAGCACCATGTTATCAGGGATCCTTGTGTTCAATCAGAAGGGCGAGAACCTCATATTTCGCGCCTTCCGCAGCGACTGCCGTCCGCGTCTTGCCGACATCTTCCGCATCCAAGTCATCTCCAATCCGCAGGTCCGCTCGCCGATCCTGACCCTGGGCTCGACGACCTTCAGCCATGTCAAGCACGAGAACATCTACTTGGTAGCCGTGACCAAGAGCAATGCCAATGCCGCCCTGGTCTTCGAGTTCCTCTACCGGCTGATTATGCTGGGCAAGAGCTATTTCGGGAAATTCGACGAAGAAGCCGTCAAGAACAACTTCGTGCTGATTTATGAGCTCCTCGATGGTATGCAAAACATCCCCTCCTCCCCATTCCCCGAAATAGAAACCAATCTAATAAAACCACCGCACAGAGATCCTCGACTTCGGATACCCCCAGAATACAGACCCAGACACATTGAAAATGTACATTACCACCGAAGGCGTCAAATCCGCAATCACCAATAACCCAACCGACTCCTCTCGAATCACGCAACAAGCCACAGGCGCCCAATCCTGGCGTCGCGCAGATATCAAATACCGCAAGAACGAAGCTTTCGTCGACGTAATCGAAGACGTCAACCTCCTAATGTCCGCAACAGGCACCGTCCTCCGCGCAGACGTCAACGGCCAAATCGTCATGCGCGCCTACCTCTCCGGAACCCCAGAGTGCAAATTCGGTCTCAACGACCGCCTCCTCCTCGACCCAGGCGAGTCTTCCTCCAGCAACCGCGGCAATAACAACGGCCTGGGTACATCGAAAGCGACGCGCGCAGCCGCCGGATCCGTAACCCTCGAAGACTGCCAATTCCACCAGTGCGTGAAGCTGGGTCGATTCGACGCGGATAGAATTATTTCATTCGTGCCTCCGGACGGCGAGTTCGAACTTATGCGCTACCGCGCGACGGAGAATGTCAATTTGCCTTTCAAGGTTCATCCTATTGTTAGGGAGATTGGTACGACGAAGGTTGAGTACAGTGTTGCGATTAAGGCGAATTATAGTTCGAAGTTGTTTGCGACGAATGTTGTTATTCGGATTCCTACGCCGTTGAATACGGCGAAGACGACTGAGCGTACGAGTCAGGGTCGTGCGAAGTATGAGCCTGAGCAAAACAATATTGTTTGGAAGATTGCGCGGTTCTCGGGACAGTCTGAGTTTGTGCTTAATGCTGAGGCGACGCTTACTTCGATGACGCATCAGAAGGCCTGGAGTCGACCTCCGCTTAGTCTTTCGTTTAGTTTGCTTATGTTTACCTCTTCTGGACTGCTGGTGCGGTATCTGAAGGTCTTTGAGAAGAACAATTATAGTTCTGTGAAGTGGGTGCGCTATATGACTCGTGCGGGCAGTTACGAAATTCGGTACGTTATTCTCTCATTCTTGTTGGGCTTCTCTTTTGTTTCTTACTGACGCTGGTATAGATTCTGATCATTGTTGCATGGCGGTTTCTGGACTGGTCTTTGGTTCGTCGGAAGGCTGGACGGGCGTGTTGATACCTTCAATGGACTGGGGTCCGGCTTTCATCTTATTTCTTGTACTTTGCGCAGCACAAATGGTGTCTGGCGTTTGGTGGGCCACATACATACTGGATTTTTCATCAGTACCCAATATTCCATTCTTTGTACTATTGATTGGCCTCGTCTTTTTTCCAGTATTTGTACCCTTCGATAGATTGTACCGCGTATAATCTTAGAGCCAAAGTATTATGGGTCAATAGAAGAGCAAGTCTATAATGTATAAGAGAAAAGGTTGGCAGATATAAGTACAATTCAAGTTGGTAGTAGATAGTAGTACGATCCCAAACAAGCATAGAGTCAAAGCCAAGGAAAGATCCAGCAGATGTGCAGAGAAAGTCACAAGAGAGAGAGTATAGGAGCGAATCACAAGGGACCCTCCAAAAAAGCAAAGCGTATTCACATAGCCCGTGACACCGGGACTCAAAACAGAAACAATTTGTGCTGGTTAACGTAGAACCGAAAAGAAACATAACAATGATAATACAGGGGTGTTTTTGAAGCAAAGAAAACAACAAGTCAAGCCAATAAGGTCAGTCAGGAGGTGATACAGATCAGATAATACATTAATGAAACACGGAAATTGCTTCGCAATTTCACTGCCGACGCAGGCCGACACGACCCTCTCCAACGAGGGACTGCCACCTGGCGCCAGCGGCGCTGCGACCCATTTGGCGCGCGCACTCGTCCCAGTCTTTCTGGGAGAGATTGATTTTATCGAGGACCAGCTTGATGAGATGCTGGTCTTCTTCCGCGGTCCAGGAACCGGCGATCTGAGTGGGTTCCTCTGTCACTTCGATGGAAGGCAGAGGGGCGTCTGGGTCGATGGCAGGACCGAAGTCAAAAGCCATGCGACGGGCTGGAGAAGGAGGTGATTGGGTGACGGGCGGAGAGTGTAGAGAGTAGAAGTCTGTAGGAGCGAGGCCGACAGGCAGCTCGTAAGGAAGGTGGCGGCGACGCTTAGGGGTGGAGAAGAGGGTGCGATTGAGAGCTGGTTGCGCGTCGCTTTCATCCTCGGCGTCGCGGAAGCGTTTGTTTGCGCCACGTGCTGGCGCGGAGGGAGGGGGTGGAGGTGTGAGAGCGGCAGTTCTGGGTGGTGGTGTTTGTCTGGGGGAGACGGGGCGCGCGGCCTTGTGCGATCGCGGGGAGCGACGAGGTGTGATGGGGAGAGGGCTTTGGAGGCGTTGAGCCTTGGATCGGCGCGGTGTGGGTGAGGGGGATCCATTCAATAGTGATTGTAGAGCGCGACAGGTGCCGAGCAGACCATTGCCTGCGGCGTGGCCTGTGTCTGATGGGGGAGGACTCGAAAATAGGCGACTGGGAGTGAAGCGAGACGACCGGCGTGCATCGCATGGAAGAGCAGATGGGAGAAGCATTGTAGAGAAGTTGCGCGACGTTGCGCGATGTGGGCGACGTGGAGTTGGGAGAGTTTCGACAGATGGAAGTTGAGCGCGAGTTGGTGCGATTGCGCCGGAGGCGGTTGTGGGACGCGACGACGGAGTTGGGGCAGTCAAAAAGGAAGGAAATGATTCTGATGACGATGCGATTCTAGTTCCAGGTATTCCGGAGAACGCGACCAGAAGTTGTGGTGTTGATGTTTTTGGAGCGAGTGTGTTGTCAGGGAGAAAGTTTGGCGGGGGGGAAATCCCGAGATAAAAGAAAATTGGGCCGCAAACGGGTCAAGCGAACGGGTTGGCTATTTCCGTCACAAAGAATGTGAGATTATGAGAATTTCGAATTTCTAGAAGTTTGAAAAGAATGTTCGGAGATCGTATTCTCCTGAGGAATGTTCAGCGAATGACTTGGGAATTTGATGAGAACCTATAGCCCTGAGAGTGCTCTTCTAATATACCTACTCTGCCTCTACCCAGTGAAACAGATTACTAGGAGAATTCTCAGGAGCCCAGGACCAGAGAGGGACATGCAAGGCAGTAGACAGGCACGAGGCACCCCTGAGACATCTGGCCCAACACTTATTTTCCCATTACACTTCCTGTTTGGGCATTAGATCGGCGTCTCAGGTACAGTTTCTTTGATTCTGCAGCCCGTTCATTGTATTGTATTGGCTTGCGATGAAACTCCAGCCTGCACCCCCCATTGAACGTGCATTGGGCGTGCATTGGCCCTGCAGGACCCATGCGATGTCATAGTCTTTGTCTCTGACCTCAGGATCTACGATGTGGGCGAGTGGCGTTTTAATAATTCTTGTAGAGAGGGTTTACCATTCTCCTGCCCTCAAGGAGTCTACTTGCCCTATAGGACTGAAGGATATGTGTTCATATTCCCTATATGCCTATATGCCTATATGCCTATATGCCTTCTCTGCCCTGAAGGATTCGGGACACGTTGAAATTTTCACGCGTACGCGTCGACGCGTCGCGCGTTGATTTTACGCGTTGCGACGCGCCAAGCATCCAAGCCCTAATTCAAAGGTGCAACCTCATTGCACAGTATACTCTCTGTACGGAGTACGGAGTACTGACATACAGAGTACAATGTATGTAAAATGTAAAATGTAATGTACAACACTGCAGGCCATTCCTAATTTGGAAAGACTTAGGATCTCACGTGGGTCAATGCTCAAAGTGCCATGTGCCCCTGCCTTGTCAACTAACGCGGCCCTTGATCTCGGAGGTTTTTGTACTGTAATGGTGTATCTACATAGCAACCCTTGCTTGAGTCCGTCCAGACAGCATCTCGTGCAAACTTATGGCCTGCATTATCTCGCAGAACCCGGCTGCATCGGCCTTGTGGGGTGCAGCACTGCAGCGGGCCGAGCTGTCTAGACTATCACTCATTTCAGGTTTCCACCTTGTACAGCCATGTCCAGGAATTGGAACGCATGACAACTTGCCCAATAACAAATTAGGTCTATTTTCATACACAAAGAGCTCACCCGCTAAGTTACAGCTGAGATACGGAGTACGAAGTACAAAGGGGTCAATTGCTCCTTGAACCACCGTTACTACTCTGTACCAGCCCATCAGTCCAGGGTGACACAGTTAGCACAAAAAAATCTATTTCTGTCCCCGTCCATACAACTCCATAGGTGAGCACTCCTTCAGGACAGTGGCTCTAAGCCCACGGTTCCCAGCCACAGATCGAAATCCAAAGCCACGCAAGGGGTTGACGCCCGTCAGCCCACTGAAATCCAGGAAATCCATGCAAGAGTTCGTGGGCTAACTATGAACCATCCCAAGCCTTTAAACCCACCAGGAAATTAATTCCCATTGTTTACAACACAAGTACGGAGTAAACAACCACAACCCTGGAAAGAGAGACATCATCTTGCGGATCTGGAAGACTCATCCGATAACTCGGGAATGTCCAAGCTTTTGGAACCTGTGCCGCCCATGCAAGACATATCCCTGTCCGCGACACTAACGCAGATCATCCCCACAACTCGTTCTTGCCCGTGGCGTTGGAATGTTGCCCCTCCAACCGAGCCCCGCTAGGGCCTCGATCTCCTTCAGGTCTCAGATCTTGGCCTGGGTGCCTTGAACAACTCAGACATCGGCAATACAGGGCATTGTGTGTCTTGGTCTCACGATCCTTGTTTGGTGTACCCAGTGCGGATATCACTTTCTTGTCTAGCCCTGAGGGCGATTGTGTTGCCTTGATCGGGTTGCTATACAGCTTGGTCTCAAGGGATCCAGATCGAATACTATAGTGATGAGGTGTTGGACTTCAAGGCATGCTTTTCTTATCCGTACCGCTACGTTGTTGGGAGAGCATATTCGTTAACCACAGAGGTTCTCTGTTCACCTCATATTCTTCAAGGGACACCTCGCACTACCTAGGTAAGCGCCTTGGAACTCTTCATACACCATGACCCGATATGGAAAGTGAAACCATGTCTCCAATCCCAGTGATCAGCTTCCTGGTTCCTCTTTAGAGAACTACCCCCTCTTGCTTCCCTTTTGCCTATCAGTAGCTCAAGCCCCCAGTCCCCCAATCACGTTTGCTAGCAGGGCTCACTATCCCGCCTAGGACTACCTCAGCCCAAGCACAGGGATGAATATAGGTCCTTTCTATGGGTTTGCCAGTCGTCAAATGAACAGACAGGTTGAGGACCCCCTTTCTAGTGTGTGCGTGATCAAGCGTAGCCTCCTACTGCCCTATGCAGTTCCCTTTCTACTCAGCTGTGGGCCCTTGATGGACAGGCCTGGCGATTGTTTCTAGGATTCAGTTGCCTCTTGCGAGGGGCCACGGGTGGCAATATGGGTTTGCATCTTCTCGCTTGGCCATCAGTGCATGTGTACAGGACACCTTAGGCTCACTCCTGCGTGTAGTCGAGCTTGAGTTGGTGTACAGATGTAGGAGGTAAGTGTATCAAACAACCTTGGAAGGGTACATCCTTAGCTTAAAGCAATACATACAAACAGAAGTACCAAGCAGAGGTGTCAGTCAAAAGACCAAATAAGGGCTGCCTGGTATAATCAATACCAGCTGGGTGAGGTGTCGCTTGTCCTGATTTAGCACCAGCTTAATCCCAGGGCCCAATCCTCTCCATCTGTTGGGTCAGTTTCCTTCCCGAAGTACTGGGTTCGACTCCTAGTCCCGATGTCCAGCTGAATTTATTATCTCTTTTTTTGCTTCCTCTCTTTCTTTTTGGTTTGTTTGTGATGAGGGAGAATCCAAACTTTGTAGTCAATGACAATAGTCCCCATTTCATGCAATTGTGCTAATGCAATTATCTACAGATTCTCATGATAAGTTCTAACAGGCATGTCAAGACATCACCTAAACAAACACAGGGTATACAACAAATCCTCACTTCCCTTGCATTTTCTTGAACCTCTCCTCAGCAGCCCTCGCTCGGCGCTCTCTCTCCAATCGCATCCTCATCTCAGGTGTCATACCACGAGTCTCCTCTTCACGCTTCTCGGCACCAGACTTCTCAACGGCGCCCACCGTCCTCCCGCCAGTCTTCGTTGTCTTTGAACGTGCCGCCTTCTCCGCCTCCTCTTGCTTCAATCGATCCAGGTCGGCCTGGCGGCGACTCGATTCCTCTTCATTGGCAGCCTTGCGTTCTTTCTCGGCACGACTGTCGGCATCGGCCTTGGAGACTGCTGATGGGACTTTGGCAGTTTCCCAATCCCATTTAGCCTCGCCGAGGGTATGGCGCGCAACGCGGAAGGCGTCGCGGGTCGGCCGGTCGCCTGACAGTTCGAAGGGGGTTCTGCCTTCGTTGTTGAGGGATGTTGGGTCGGCGTCGGCCTTTGTGAGAAGAGCCGTGACCACAGCGGGGGCGTTGAGGTTTGCGGCTAGGTGGAGAGGTGTAGGGCAACGGAAATTTTGGGGTGAGTCGGTGGGTGTGAACAAGAATGTGGGTGGGATGGAGTTGTTCGAGATGTAGGACATCAAGGCAGGGACCTTGGAGCGGCGGATGAGGGCTTGCAGTTGGCTGGTATGTAGTAGGGCAGCTTCGTCTTCCTTTGAGAGCTTAGGCTTCTGTGGTTGTGGTTTCGGCGCTGGGGCTGAGGCTTTGGCCTCGTCCTCTTTGCGCTTGGTTTCGGCTGCAGCCAGCGCGGCCTCATCTACCTCGCTGACTTTGACGCGCGTCAACTCTTTGAAGCATCTTAGCAGCTCTCCTTGGGTTGCGCGGCGGGTATTGATGGGGAAGCCTCGGATCCTAGGATCCTTGTTCTTCAAAACCTGCCCATCGTAATTATCGAAGAGGATTTTCCGGTTTGTCTTTCCTGTAGCTCGAACGAACAACAGCTCAGAACTGTCAATCATCTCGCGCCACTCCGTCAAAGTATCTCTAATCTCTTTTTCCAGCATTGCCTCGTTGTAGCGACGCAGACTTGAACCTGCGGAGTGAGCGGCTCCTCGTGAGGCATCACTGGCAGACTGCGATCCACCTTGCTTCCGACGGGTCGTATATCGGTGAATGGATTTATGCGCAATCACGCGAGCTTGCCTGTCTTCAACACCACCTTGCTTTCGATGGATCTCTGGTGCCAACGAGACCAACATAGCAGCGAAATGGCCACCTCCAATCATACACATGAAAATGTGAGGCCCCGAGGCGGCTGGATCTTGCGCTTTGTTATTGGCACGTGGTTTGATTGGAGCCAATTGCTTGCGGCGAATAGTGTCAACCAGATGGGCGGAGTCCTCTTGCTCAGCAGGCGAGAACATGGCCCTGTATATACCCAAGGATTTATTCGATGGTAGGCCCGAGCTGGAAAACCACAGGAGTGGGCTCTTCGGGGTTCCTGGCACATTTGCAGAGCTTTCTTCATCCCCGTGGGAGAGCTTCGCCTGCTTCTTCAACAAGGCTGAGAGGGTAGTTCCAGCAGCTCCATTTCCATCTTCTTCCTCGGTCTCTGAGGACTCGGATCCAGATATCGACTCGTCTAGCTCCCCGACTGCCTTTGAAAACTCAAGTTCTCCGAGAGGTGCATTCCCACGCAGCTGAGATTTGACATTGTATCGGTGGTGATCTGAGCGGACGTGGCTGCGCTGTTCTTGGACGGTGTTGTACGAGACTTTGCAAAGAGGGCAAAGGTTGGATGTTGCGATCGCTGAGTCTTGTGCCGCTTGCTCCAGCTCTTCCGACGAGGGTCCGATTTCTTCTTCGGCGACAGGCTGTCCTGTGGTTTTGGCCGATAGACTCGCAAGAAGTTCTTGCGGCAGGTCGTACACTAAAATGTCAGTCCAGAGTCATCTACATGGAATTTTGCGCACATACCATAGAGAGGTCTCTTCAAGAGTTCCTCCATTCGAGTCGTATCCACCATGATGCGCTGGGCGAAGAATGCAATGTATGGGAATCGTAGTGCCCCTCCAGTGACGCTGATGAATCTACCCTTACCGCCTTGAATAATGCTGGCAATATGGCGGTCTTGGAAGTACTCCGCACTGGGTGCATTCCCACGTGATTTCCCATACTCAGCGGCTACGTCATCTGTCCAGAATCATCATACAATAGATTTTCATAAGTATTGGACTTGTCACCTTTAGTACGTTGGAATCCACTTTCTAGCCTGGCAGACCTTTAACTATGCAATAGCTACAATAACCTTGGAGTCGAAACTTTCCTATCTTTTTTGATGTCTTTATAACTATCTTTTCAACCATCTTTTTGAGTATCTTCCTAACCATCTTTTGCAAAGTTATTTTCTTAAATTTCTTACTATAAGAGATGGTCAACACGTATCATTAAACAGATGACGGGCAGTATCCTTTTTATTATATCGGATTGCATCCCAGGGGTTACTGTCACACGGGTTTGAAGAGTAGATCTGAGGTTGAAGTACCTGGGGTTATATACTTCTGAGGCTCCGCTATAGGATCCATGGATCTCGCGATCCCGACAACTTCACATTCTCCTTTACCATAGGCTCGGTTCTGCTGCATTCTACGTCCGTCATGCTAACTATTACGATTCCCAGCAAATCTTTGCTAGCACCAAAGGAATTGCACCTGCTCATTTCATTCAAAATCGTGATTTCATCAGCCATCCATGGATCGGTCTCATAGAGCATACCTCGCTGGCCTTGTGGGCACTGAGATAACAACATATGCCAAACCAGAACACTCGCTGCCCCAACAGACATGGGATATCGCCGAAAACCTTGATGAATACGCGCAATCTCTTTATCAAGAGGACGTCAATCGTGGTATAGGAACGCCATATACATGTGCTAAGTTCCTTTGCTATCGGAAAGACGATCCTACCCAGAAGGCTGCATTTCTACGAATCCATCATCAAATCCCTATTATTGGCACGGAATACTCAAACTCTACAAAGAGCACGCCAGGCTGACTCTAGTCACTCGCCAAGGGAGCTCATGGTATTCATCAAATTGAAAGAGAAAAATTGCCAGGTAACCCCTGCCCTTCTTGGGTATGAGCGCATAAAACAAGAGCCTGGAGATATTATCCCTGGAGGTTACTCGATATGTATCGTTTGGGATAAAATTCCTGGGGAATCACTGACACCGGAGTACTTCTGGAGCCTGAGCCGCGCAGCCCGGGATACGATTCGCCATGAATTTCGTCGAGTCTATGAGTCAGTTATGCCTACCTCTTTGATTCCCGTCACGTCAGAACTAACATACTGAGAAGGGGGTTCCTTCCTTGTGGAATCAGGCCAAGGATAGCCACCCTGTCAAACCTCATCTATGATGAAGTTTCCGGGTCAATGTACGTGACAATTTTCCTAGAGCATATCAACTGACGTGTACTGATTTTTTGATTTTTTAATTTTTGGTCAGTCATATCTCAGGTTTCTGCCGTGCTACGTACGTGAACCCGAATACGGAATGGACCGACGACTTCTACGTTGCATATCGCCTGGCAAAGCCTCCACAACCGATACCTGGGAGTCGCGATCGCACTGAGTGGGAGCTTTGAGCTCAAGTCTCGAGACTGTTGCTATTGCTTTTTATCGAGCCCAATCGTTTATCTTTAACATGGACACTTTACCCTTGACTAGGTGGCTGTGTTCCGCTTGAGTTTCCGGGATCTTAGTTTAGTTTCAAGATAAGCATATGATTGGTTGTTTCACATCGAGCTGTCTCAAGCGCTTTATTTACAGGGTCACATGACTGTCATCACGGCACATTACTTCCTCTGAGCAACTGCCAACAATACCACTCTTATCACGTTCTTTGCCCAGGTGGTAAATTGAGGATCACTCTGAGAAATATGTTGTCACCAGAGCAGCAGCGGAGTCAGCAGCAGCAGGCGATGCTGACTCAACTTCAGCAACAACGAGCGCAGATGGTAGCACCCCAGCAGCAACAGAATACTGGCAGCAACGCGCAGATGCAACAGCAAACAATGGGCTCAAAGTATGAAGATCTTCCTATCAGGGCCCCTGGAGACATCAGCTTTTTCAGTGCAAGTCCTGGCTCAGATGTCCCCAGCTACTTCAAGCATTTCGAATTCGCATGCCAACAGGGTCTCGTATCGATTGTTCAGTCAATCGTTGTCAATGAGAACCCAACACCAGCATGTCTCCATCACGGCTTGACCTGCGCTCTGATGTGTGGTCATGTCGAGGTTTCTCGACTTCTCCTCACAAGTGGTGCGCCCATCGTCCGCGAAACTCCAAGCAACATCTTTTTGGCGCCCTACGAGTGTCATGTCCCTCTCTTTGACCTCCTCCATCACTTTGGATGGACTCCTAGCACCCCAACTTTCTATGGTGCCGTTTTTCTCCCTAGGACCGTTACCAACCCTCCCCTTATTCGCTGGTTCCTCGATCATGGAGCCGATCCTAACTCAGGCCAAACGCAAACCCGCAATGACCGTCGCGGTGGAACGAGCGATGGGTCATGTGCTGCACTTGAGGCAGCTGCGATCCATGGAGATGTCGAAGCTGTGGGTATGCTGTTAGATCGGGGTGCTATAATAGAGTATGGGGTGCCACTCCATCTGGCTGCAGGTGCATGTCCCCCTGGCGCCAACCCTCATGCTGCCCGGGTTATACCGACTCGCAAATTTGACATCGGTAGAATTCCAATAATGGCATTGCTTGTGAGCCGTGGGGCAGATGTCAATCAGAAACAGGAGTCTCAGCACATGGTGGCGCAGTATCCGATAATACACGCGGTGATGGCGGGGGCAACTGAGCGGGTACGGTGGTTATTAGAGCATGGGGCTGATCCACACGCCAGAGGAAATTTCGGCACTGCTATTGAATATTCTCGTAATATGCGATGTGATGAGATTCTCAAGGTGATTGAAAGTTTTGTCAAAGATAAGACATGAGATTGCACTAGTGACTATATGCTAGCGCCAAGTCCCTATATTGCGGTGAGAACCTTCGAATATGCCAGGGTAGGACTTCCAATACTCAGAAGTACACAAGAAAATGGCAAGGCTTGTTGATCATTTGAACGGTAAAATATCCATGGAAATTGTGATTTATGTACGAAGTACTCTGTAGTGAATTTCCTCCGCTTCTTGGCTCTTCCCTTCATTTCAAGGCTCAGGTCTGTGCCTAGGTGCATAGCTAGAGTGAATTATTATTGGTCAATGACCATGCTCGCAGTTTGGCAAGTTTGCAAAAGACGCCGTCAAAGCACCTTCCCTCTTCAAAGGCGTCTCCCAAATCGTGAGAAGCCAGTTGATGTTGAGTGCTGTAGGAGCTCTGTTAATGGAAATCCAACCTCCACCTGGGCAGATATGGCGGATGACACATATGCAGCGTCAATCACGGAAGGACCAGGTGCCGTGAACAGTGAGCAGGATTACCTGGTCCCGTACGAGCCTGTTGTCGGCCAAATATTGGGCGAAGGCTCAACTTCCCGTATTGCACTCGTGGCGCCGGGTGTCATCATCAAATACCCCCGATTCTCTTGGTGGGACTCTAAGAAAGCCGCAGACAATGGTTTGTTCAAGACATGAAGCGGAGTTTTGAGGTGGAAGAACGACTTCTGCAAATCCTAGGACTACATCCAAGAATAATAGAGTCTGCTAGCCTTCAACGTCTTGTGAACAATGATTGACCTTCTCCTAGGTTCAAGGGCGTCTCAGATGACCCATTTGGATTGCTATTTGCTGAAGCGAGCGACGGAAACCTACAGAACTACATCGACAAGCATCATGCTAACATCGACATGTCTCTACGACTCAAATGGCGCATGCAGGCCGCGGAAGCGATCCAATTCATCCATCAGAAAGGGGTGATACACTCTGATCTTCGGCCCGAGAATTTCTTATTACACACTGTGGCTGGAAGCGAGCTCGATCTTCTACTCTGTGACTTTGGGGGTTCAACAAATGGAGAAATAGATGGTCTGCATCTTCCTGACTCCGGATTCTTTAATCCTTGCGATCGGCCCGAGTCGACGAAAAACACGGATATCTTCAGCCTCGGGTCCATCTACTATACGATAATGACTGGCCATTGGCCCTACAGGTCCCCAGGCCCATTAGAGTCTCTGGAGGAAATGGAGAAATACCAAGAACTAGTTGACTCTCTGTTTGCTTCCAAGAGGCTCCCGCCGGTTGACGGACTGATAGCTGGACCCGTGATACAACGATGCTGGACAGGAGAATACTCTGATCTGGGGGCGCTCATTGAAGACCAGTGTCAGCAGTTTGAGAATTTTACGACTTCAACGCACTCGTAAAGCATGCGGTTATAGTGAGCCAAATACAATGCTACATATCTAAACTAGGCTGTCATGGTCCGTGCCATTCCAATGCCGAGTTTGGGAATTCGATTATCCTTGCAAGATCAAACATAGAATGTCTATGGAGCTCTGTAACAGTAAGTTCACTTCAGCTACATCCATGGATAGTGTCATTGTAATAGTGTCATTGTAAGATTTTTGTTCAGGGCTATCATGGTTGGAATTGCTGGGTAAATGAATCGAGATAGAGGCTCAGTAAATTCCTGGAGGTATGGGTCTTCATAAAGTATCCTAAGTAGTAGGTTGCCCAGGAGCGAGAGCAGAACAGAAGCTTGACGAAGGCCGTTGATAAAGAGAGACCCGCATTCGGCCTTAGCTGGAGGCTTATTCCCGAGGCTGACCATTACGCCATTACAAACCACGTGACCGGCCTAGAAAAAAAACCGGTCTAATTGGCACATTTTGTTACTCGACTTGAACAGAAAGCAGTTGGAAATTGACGTGTTACGCAGATCTCCCATTTGTACTCCCCCACGCCGTACGGAGTACACCAGTCGAGATCGTGAAAATATCTCCGACACCAAAACGGTCGCCAACTCCGACTTCCCCGAAAAAAAAGCGGGCCCCGAGGGAGCCGCCCGTCGCTTTTAGTAAGCAACCTAGCTTTCTAAGGTGCTTTGACTCCCCCCCGTCTGCTTCTGCTTCTGTATCCTTTCCTGCAAAGGTACACTGGGAAAAAGCGCTTTGAAAAAATGCTGGATGGCCAATCCCAGGTGGTCCTAGAGGGTGCCCACCCGGGGAATCTCCTACATTCCCTTGGATCGGCGATCGAATCCAATCGACAGCCGTTTTGTACTGATAGCGAGGGCTGGGGCCCTTTCAGCTCATCTAGGTTCGATCTGACGCCATGCTTCCTTGACGTGATCCTGGCCGTTGTGGCTGTCTGGGGTACATTGAGTGGACTGGCGGCCCTGTGGCTGTTGTTGAAGAAACGTATTCCGCAGCCCGTATCAAAGAACTGGCATTTCTACACAAAGTTGGTGAGTACACCGAATATTCGCCCGCCCATGCCATAAGTAGATTACTGATCTATGTCTTTCGTCGGAACAGGCTGTGCTCGCCGCTATCATCCTCGTAACCGCGCTCCAAGCTGCTATCCAAGTCGAATCGGAGCCGAAAGCCTTCCATGCCGATTTCCGATTCTGGTCCTCGATCTTGATAATCGTGTCGCTGGGCGTGATAACCTCGGTGCAATACTTTGAGCACTGGCGGAGTAGACAACCAAATGGCGTTGTGCTATTCTACTGGCTTTTCTTCATCATTGCATATGCCGTCAAGTTGCGCTCGTTGGTCGCGCGCAAGGAATACGTCCACTCACTGCCTTATTTCGTCTGTGTGAATGTGAGCTTAGGGCTTGCGCTCTTCGAGTTTGTGTTGGAATACTTTGTTCCCAAGAAGCAAAGCGCATACGATGCTCTTGGAGACGAGGATGAATGTCCATACAACTATGCGGACATCTTCTCCGTTCTTACATTTGGCTGGATGACCCCGATGATGAAGTTTGGTTACACCAACTATCTCACTCAGGATGATCTTTGGAACCTCCGCCGCCGCGACACTACTCGAGTGACGGGCGACGACTTGAAGGCGGCTTGGGAAGAACAGCTCGAGACAAAGAAGCCATCTCTGTGGATCGCCCTCTTCCGGGCTTTCGGAGGTCCCTATGTCCGTGGTGCAATTATCAAATCTGGAAGTGATATCCTTGCTTTTGTGCAGCCACAACTCCTCCGACTTCTCATTGCGTTCATCGATTCGTATAGAGGACCAGACCCACAGCCCGTCATCAGGGGTGTTGCGATTGCGCTGTCTATGTTCCTCGTTTCTGTGTGCCAGACCAGTTTCCTCCATCAATACTTCCAGCGTGCGTTCGACACCGGCATGAGAGTCAAGTCAGCCTTGACCGCCATGATTTATGCCAAGTCAATGAAGCTGTCCAATGAAGGACGCTCGACGAAGACCACCGGTGATATTGTCAACCACATGGCTGTTGATCAGCAGCGCTTGGCGGATCTGACGCAATTTGGCACCCAGCTTATTTCTGCCCCATTCCAGATCACCCTATGCATGGTCTCTCTCTACCAGCTTGTCGGACCCAGTATGTTCGCCGGTGTTGGAGTGATGCTTCTCATGATTCCCCTCAACGGTGTCATTGCCCGGGCCATGAAGAAGTTGCAAATTGTTCAAATGAAGAACAAGGACTCGAGAACCCGTCTCATGACCGAGATCCTGAACAACATCAAGAGCATCAAGCTCTATGCCTGGAACACGGCTTTCATGAACAAACTCAGCCATATCCGAAATGATCTTGAGCTGAACACGCTTCGCAAAATTGGAGCTACCCAATCTGTTGCCAACTTCACTTGGCAATCTACCCCCTTCCTGGTGTCTTGCTCTACCTTCACTGTGTTCGTGTTGACAAGCGACAAGCCCCTTACCACTGAGATTGTGTTCCCTGCTTTGACGCTGTTCAACTTGTTGACTTTCCCCCTCTCCATTCTGCCCATGGTCATCACATCCATCATCGAGTCTTCCGTGGCTGTCAAGCGCTTGATGGACTACTTCACCGCAGAGGAGTTGCAGACCAACGCGGTCAGCTTCCAAGACCCAGTCGCGCACATCGGCGACGAGTCTGTCCGAGTTCGTGACGCCTCCTTTACTTGGAACAGACATGATGGCGTCAACGTTCTGGAGAACATCGATCTCAGCGCACGCAAGGGCGAGCTCACCTGTATCGTTGGACGTGTCGGTTCCGGAAAGTCCTCCCTCCTCCAGTCATTGTTGGGTGACCTGTGGAAGAGCCAGGGAGAGGTAGTCGTCCGTGGCCGCATCGCATATGTGGCCCAAGCACCGTGGGTAATGAACGCCAGTGTCCGGGAAAACATTGTTTTCGGACACCGCTGGGACCCAGCATTCTATGACCTTGCCGTTGAGGCTTGCGCCCTGGTTGATGATTTCAAGAACCTGCCCGACGGTGATCAGACCGAAGTCGGAGAGCGTGGAATTTCTCTTTCTGGTGGACAAAAGGCTCGACTGACACTCGCCAGAGCTGTCTATGCTCGTGCCGATATTTATCTCCTGGACGATATTCTCTCCGCTGTTGACCAACACGTCGGACGGCACATCATCAACAAGGTTCTCGGAAAGACTGGTCTCCTCAGTGGCAAGACCAGAATTCTGGCAACAAACGCGATTACAGTACTCAAGGAAGCTGATTTCATTGGCCTATTGCGGGACAAGACGATCATCGAAGAAGGAACCTATGAACAACTCATGGCCATGAAAGGCGAGATCGCTAACCTTGTTCGCACAACGGTTGTTGACTCGGATGACGAGGGCACCGCCAGTGGCTCAGAAGATCTTGCGAGTCTTGAAAGCTCTGTCACTACCACCATCGTCCAAAACGGAGGTTCATCCGACAGCGAGGAGGCAGAGCAGCCCGGCGATCTTATTCCTATCCGCACCGGCGGCGGCGGCGCAAACGGAGAGGCTCGTAGACGAACCTCTACCGTTACCCTGCGTCGCGCAAGCACCGTCAGTTGGCAGGGTCCCCGGCGCAAGCTGGGAGACGAGGAGAATGTCCTCAAAAGCAAGCAGACCCAAGAAACAGCGCAGCAAGGAAAGGTCAAATGGGGTGTTTACGGCCAATATGCCAAGGACAGCAACATTATGGCAGTCGGATTCTATCTCTTTGCCATGTTGGCCGCCCAAACCGCCCAGGTTGTGGGTAATTTCTGGTTAAAGAGCTGGACTGAGTGGAACGAAGCACACGGAAGCAACGCTAACGTTGGCAAGTTCATTGGTGTCTACTTGGCTCTTGGTCTGGGTTCATCCCTTCTGGTCATTTTCCAGAACTTGATTTTGTGGATTTTCTGCTCCATCGAAGCATCCCGCAAGCTCCACGAGAGGATGGCATTTGCAATCTTCCGTTCTCCCATGAGCTTCTTCGAGACCACACCGTCTGGCCGTATCTTGAACCGTTTCTCCAGTGATATCTACCGAGTTGACGAGGTACTTGCACGTACCTTCAACATGCTGTTTGCAAACTCCGCTCGCGCCATCTTCACCATGGTTGTCATCGCCACATCTACCCCCGCATTCCTGATCTTTGTCATCCCCCTGAGCTATGTCTACCTCAGCTATCAGAAGTACTACCTGAGAACTTCTCGCGAGTTGAAGCGTCTGGACAGTGTCACCCGAAGCCCCATCTTCGCTCATTTCCAGGAATCTCTGGGTGGAATTTCGACCATCCGTGCCTACAGACAGGAGAACCGCTTTTTGCTCGAAAACGAATGGCGCATGGATGCCAACCTTCGTGCCTACTTCCCATCCATCAGCGCTAACCGCTGGCTCGCTGTTCGCCTCGAGTTCATTGGTTCGATCATCATCCTTGCATCTGCAGGTCTTGCCATCTTGTCTGTTGCTACTGGCAGCCGTCTTTCTGCGGGCATGGTCGGTCTTGCTATGTCGTACGCTCTTCAGATCACCCAGTCTTTGAACTGGATCGTCCGCCAGACCGTCGAGGTCGAGACCAACATCGTGTCCGTTGAGCGAGTTCTCGAATACGCCAATCTCCCAAGTGAAGCGCCCGATGTGATCTTCAAGCGCCGCCCTGCTATCGGATGGCCGGCCCAGGGTGCTGTCTCTTTCAACGACTACAGCACCCGCTACCGTCCCGGGTTGGACCTTGTGCTCAAGGACGTCAACTTGGACATCAAGCCCAAGGAGAAGATTGGTGTTGTTGGCCGAACGGGTGCTGGAAAGAGTTCGCTCACGCTCGCTCTTTTCCGTATCATTGAGGGTGTCAATGGAAACATTGGGTAAGAGGTTATGGTCAACGGTTTTCTATGTCATTTTCTAACAAAGCTTTTTTAGCATCGATGGACTTGATATCTCCACTATTGGTCTGACTGACCTTCGTGGCCGACTCGCCATCATTCCCCAAGATCCTGCCATGTTCGAAGGCACTCTTCGTGACAACCTGGATCCCCGTCATGTCCATGACGATACCGAGCTTTGGAGCGTACTTGGTAAGTCTCACTTGACTTGAAGAGCCATCATCATCGACCTGGCAAACAGTGACTGACTGGCTTGTAATGTAGATCACGCAAGATTGAAGGATCATGTGTCTCAAATGGAGGGACAACTCGATGCTCAGATCCAGGAAGGAGGTAAGTTACCCTCAACGCTTGGACGTCGCCTCAGGCAGATTTCCTAACATTTCCACAGGCTCCAACCTAAGTCAAGGACAGCGTCAGCTGGTGAACCTTGCTCGAGCTCTCTTGACTCCCAGCAATATCCTTGTCCTAGACGAGGCAACTGTGAGTTACTTTTTGACCCCTCTCATCAACTGACAGATTCAGCTAACAACAGCGATAGGCTGCCGTTGACGTAGAGACCGACGCACTCCTGCAGCGCACCCTGCGCAGCAGCGTTTTCTCCGATCGAACCATCATCACAATCGCGCATCGCATCAACACGATCATCGACTCGGATCGCATCGTCGTTCTAGACAAGGGGCGCGTGGCTGAGTTCGACACACCCGCAGAGCTGATCAAACGCGGCGGCAAATTCTACCAGCTGGCCAAGGAAGCCGGCCTGCTCGACAGCGACGGATCCATCTCACAAGCGCTGTGAATTTCTCTCGGTCGCAGCCGTTCCAGGCCCCCACATTTTCCTGTTTATACCAAGGGATCACTCAGCTAGTCAACCAATCCAGCATTGACTTAGCCTCATGTAGTCCTGGGTGGCTCGGGGAGGCCGGGGTCTCTATGGTCCCTCGGGTCGATCCCAGCAGGCTGTGGACGCTTATTGCTCACTTTCAATGCTGGATGCATGGGTCATGCTTGTTGATCTGCGTTGACCGTTCATAAACGCCCTTTGATGTGGTCCTGGTGTGGCGCGGGTGTGTCTGTGCATACCTGCATGTGTATATGTAACTGCGAGAGAGAAAACAAAAAAAGTCTTTCCTTGTACAGCTCCTGGGCCTCCCCCTGACCGGGAACAGCAGGTCAAACAAACAATAGAGAGTGGCTAGAATGTTTTGAATTTGTTATGCAGGCGAATCTGCGTTTCAGGTTGGGATGGTTTGCCCATATGTATGTACTCTGTGGTATCAAGCATCTCCGATTGGATTGACTGCGAACCAGTAGTAACTAAAAGTGGCTTTCCAAGTTATCCTGATGTGCTGTAGTCTATTTACGAGGTTTTTCTGGTTTCTACATTGAGCTTCCAAGGTTGTGATTGCGCATAACATCCACTTGTTTATATCTGGACAATGCAACCATAGTACAATTATATCACTTGGAACTCCGTAGAAAGAGGAAGACATTGGCTAGACCTCGGAGAACAGCGAAACAAACGTAACAGTGCATAACCGAGATTAAAAGACCTGAACAACATGATTATCTGCAGTAGCGCCTGCTACTAAACGTGGCGGTGACATTTTGATATCCCATGAGAACCATTCAATTGTAGCGGTGAAAGCCCAATGCCAGCTGGCTGCCCGCCATGGGTGTCTGTTCGCAGTCGGTAAGCAACTACAAAAAATCTATCCTGCTTGTACATGAGGTTTGCTTTAGTGTTGTATTTGCAAAGATAGGAAGTAGACGAGAATTAGTAAGATTGTTCTCCCGACATAATGCGAAACGAGCACAATGCAGATGCCTCGCCATAGTCTTCTCTGGTTCGACGATCACATTAGGAGTTCGGGGCAAATGAGAATACTTTTTATTTTCTCTTTCTTTGTCGATAGCATACGAACCACCTCCTTGCTTGTCTGCAAAACAGAATCTCCACGCGGCTGTGACTCTATCTGCTTGCATACCCTCGGTATTTGTAACCGATATGTACATTTAAGGGGAAGGAGGCGAAATCAACCTCAAAAATAGAATAGACTGACCCTGTCATCTTACGACGTTGCGATCCTGCCATATTGCAGATAGAGGGGAGGCGTGGGGGCAAACGTCAGATTATGTCCGATTTTACCTAACTAGTCGCGTGTCAGAAGGCGAAGGATTTCGCCCCTAAACAGGGATATCTAACAGACCACCGATGACTCGCGTGGAAACAGGTCTGAGCATGATCATGATGGCATCGCACGGTGAAAACAGGACGTGCAAATGGAATCATGTCGCATTGGCCGCGGACCTGCGTTCAGAATTCGTTTCAGCTATCAAGATTCTAGGCAAGGGATGTATATGATCTCAAATAGTCTTGATGCATAACGCGGAAGCGGCAAGCGATTCCTTAATCTTGTTCAATGGGCCATGGAGCTTCGATGAACCAATCAGCATGACAACAAAATCAGGATGTCCAGATCCCGGATTAAACTGACCTGCGTATCTCGACGGAAGAGGCAATGGCTTCACCAGGTGAGTAGATCGATCTCGCATGGATCTAATTGAAACTGACTTCCGGCTCCAGTGGACACTCCCGGAGAGCATTTGCCTCCGTTTGCTCATAGGTGCGATCTTTCGATTCGAGGCCGGGACGCTCTCGACGACTTTCCATGGCTTTGAACGGAGTATATGCAGTCTCATGCTAGCCTAGCCATTACCCACATTCCTTTTTCTATCTCCAGCCCATTTTTTTTAGAAAAAGTTTTTACTGAACCGATTTGATAATTGTAAGCCTTCCGAGTAAGCCCAGAAATCCATCCCCGCTTTCGAGCAGGTGATCGTACATATGTAGGTGCTGTGCATCAGTGGGCAATTTGGAAGTAATTTGCGCGAGTAGGCGGGATTTGCTGTGTCGTGACTTTTCCTCCACTTCCAGCGCTACCGCAGCCCAGTGGACTCCATTGCTGTACTAGAACGGGGCTCACTATATGGAGTACGGGGTCTTTGGAGGATTTCTCTTCCCCAAACTCTGTACTCCGTACGGAATAGAGTGATAGCGATTGTGGAATAGTCAAATATGATCTGGATCGAGTTGCATGGTACCTGCTCCAGAATCGGCAAGCCTGCTCCATATTACCCCTCATGGATCGTCTCGGCTGAATAGTTCTTAAGCGGTGCTCAGATGTTCCAGGGTTGTACGAGTACTCGTAGGCGTTGCATTTGAGCTGAACCTCCAAAGTTTGAATATAGTGACGAAACGTTGTAGTCGTTATGTCAGTATATTTATAGAAGACGTTGAGAATTCCCAGCTGCCTGGGTGATCTACAATTTTCCATGATAGAATGATGATGATAACTATTTGAAATCATGGGTTTGGACTGGAGTTTTTTTTCGTGAGATGAGATCGACTCAGCCTTGGGAGCGAAGCCAGCCACGGTGGGGATGCAGGATTCGCACAGAAGAAAATCTGCTGTACAATGCACATTGCGTTGATTTTTGTCATCGAGTACCAATGTGGCGGGTCAAAAGAACCACTCCTCCCGCCGCGGCACGCTTAGGCCCGGTTCGGAGTAGAGGGCGAACTGCAATTAGGGTCATGATCATCGACATTGGAGAGGGGAAAAAGTCTGCTTTGGTTGTCAGGAACGGGGCTTCTCGGGGCTTTTTCCAGACTTCCGGGTGTCCATTGAGCCACCCCGAGTTCCTAGATGGGAATATGTGGATGACGCCTTGCGTCGAGGGATTTGAAACCGAGTTAATTTAATGGGGCTTTTGCATAGAAGCTTGCTAATGCTATGAACCACATTGAAAACATTCTATTCATCAACACATCCTGGACTGAATCCCGTAATCAGTGGTGGGTAATAATGGTATGCACCTAAGAGAAGTTATGGGGCAGCCAAAGTACTGTACTTCGTACGGAGTACAATTCTACGGGGCTATTTGTCAGTCATATTCTCCAGCCACTGATCGACTTGCGTGGAGACCGAGTTTCCTTTTTGGATTACGGGGTTGACTGAGTTGCAAAAGAACCAAGTCCCTGGGATCGGAAGGTAGGATCGATACTCCTCTGGACCCAGGAGGGGCTTTAATCAGTCCCCGTAAGTCAATTTGGATCGAATCCGCTCCCGAGCCCTCGCTAACCGTCGCACTGGATCCCAGATATAGAATAATGTAGACGATCCGCAAAGCAGAATGACACCTTTCCAGCCACCACTCGATCGGGATTTCGCACGGATCCCCAGGGACGATCTTGGGGGCGCTGCTTCGGGACATTTGTCCGTCTTTGCAGATGAAAATGGAGAACGGGGAGAAGTGGAAACGAGTATGAGAAGGAGATATTGGTCCGCGGCTGAGGGAAGTACGGACGCTAGAGACTAGGCTGGCGGGATAGCAGAATTACTGGGAACGGGAGATAGACCGTCGCTTGGGGAAAGTGGAATCAAAAAAAAAAATAAAATAAATGGGAGACGCGATGCAAGCGATTTCAGCTATCAGGATCCGCTGAAGTGGATTTTTTTTGAAGAAGCTTCAGAGAAGAGGGGCCCGGGGAAGTGTTTAGCTCCCTCAGGAGAGTTTGCACTATCGTCGTAAATAGACTTAGTCACGTCTCAAGCACGAACAACATGAGAGCATGATTGGCTGTGGATCACACTTGAGCACGAAGCTCGATGCAAGGACCTCTAAAGCTCGAAACGAGCCCAGTAGATTGGACGAGCCAGATGGTATATCCATTTGGAGTTTCCAGGTAGTTGGGATTGTTTGGTGATGTCACTGAGGCTCCACTTGGCCCGGCGGTGACCCATGGTAGCTTTTCCCTCAACCAAGGAACTGGAAAGTTTAACAAAGCTGTGATTCTTTTGTCGGAACCACTTTGATAGAGATATATGGATATAGATTGCACATATACACTACTATACGCTTGACACTTTCTGTAGCTTGATATCCCTTGCTGATGCAGATGGCTTCCACGTTGATCACATGAAACGGATTCCAAGCGGTTATCATTTCCGTCTCAGTCTGATGCAAGGGCGTCCTCCTGACTAGTACTCCGTACATTGTACCTATTTCCTAGCCAAGCGAGCCCAGACGAACAATGGACTTGTGGATCGCGAACAGTGCACCGTCCCCCCCCCAAAAAAAAAAAATTCAGTTCAGCCAATCCAACCCGACCGGCTGTCCCGAAAGTGCGAACTGTGCAAGGGCCAGGTGTCATGTCCACGCTGCTGGGCTCTGTGCGTGTACCAATTTTGTGGTCGCAGCCACTCGGTAGAATCAATAGCATTACCGAGAACGAGGAGAATATTAATTGGTCTATCCATTGAGATTCGCGATGCCACAATCTAATCGTTATCCTTTTCATGATTCTGTCGTCTTGCAAAACCAAGACTGATGTTCCTGACACGGAGAACTTTTCCACCTGCACCAGAGCGGAGGCGAGAAATAGACCAACTGTGGTAGGGCTGCCCCTGTTAGTATTCCGTACAGCCTACTGTAGGTAGAGTCTGGCGGCCCTTCGGGCCGGGCCACAATGGAGAAATTATTAACTGCTGTTTCACATTGCTTTTTTTCACCCGTTTTGAGGGGGCTATTCTATCTATCGAGTAGGATTGCAAATCCATTTGGAATGTATTCAAAGATTATCGAAAGCCACTCAATTCCATGCATATTTCTAAGGCAAATGACTGCAATCTCTGAGCAGGTGACGCTTTTCGGGATTGGCTGCCCTGAACAAAAGTAGTGCCGCGATCAGCAATACTATCGCTCAGGCACATATCTCTGAGGCATTCGCTTACG